AATAGTCTTCCTTGACAGACCAGATTGTTCGTCCAGTACGGAGTACTCCGTACTCAGCAACAGCTGACAGCCACATTGGGGCGTATGGAGCTGGAGCTGGTTCCTCAGGGTCACCAATTACTCATAGCTTGGCACACGGGGTAACGATTGATTGGGGGGGGACGACTGGAGTCACTGATCTGTGCCAGGGCCCAGCACAGCACAAGGCAGTTGTGGTCGCCCAAATTACGGAGTCAGATGTCTGAAATCTTTTTTCCTAGGAGCCAGCTCCCGCCAAGGTCAAGTATCGACGTGTTGTGTTGTGCGAGGAGGCAACTTCGAGATGCAACACGGTAATTCAATGGTTGTTGGTGCATTTTACTCGGGTTCCGGGCGCAACCAACCGGGATTGCAAGCTGGGGGCTGCCACAAACCGTGCCCAGAACCCAAGGTAGCTGGAAAGCATTTGGTCAGCAAGCTTCTTGCGAAGAGGCATAGACACACAATTGGACGCAGGACGTTCGAAAAACAAGGGCAGCCATGCCGTCCGTTTCCGACAATAATGGCAACAGCAACAACAGCACCGCTCCAGACTTCACTGGCTGATGGCATGAGCAGCTCCCAGGGGGGGGGGGCTGAAGTACACCGGACATTCATATTCATCAATGTGCCTCTGTGCAGTGTGGACCAGTGGCCAAGGACGGAATTCCTCAAGGGTCCTGGGCTGTTGGAAAATATTAACTGCAAATTGGGTGTCTTACCAGCCCGGGAGGTATACCAAAAGAAGCAATTATAGATTTCTCGGAGAAAGCTACTATCACCTACGGAGTACTCAGCCCGATGCAAGCCAGAAGAGGGCTTCTTGCCAATACAGGCCATTTCCGCACCTCCATTGCGGCTTGCGGAACGCATTTCATTGATGTGCTCCGCATATCAAGCTCTCTGGGCCAACATGATCGAGATGTGGGAAACCGAGATTGGTGGCTTTCCCAAGCGCAGCGACCAGCCTCTTATGTTTGACTGGACAAGCCAATCCCACCAGGCCTTGGTCGACTTGAGGAAATAGCAGACTCAGCCAGCCAGGCTATGAGCTGTTCCATGCTGACGGCTTCTGCGGCCCCACGATATGCAGGGAGAGGATATCTCACGATGTTGGACATGTCACATAACAGACTGCATTAGACGGAGTAATACGGCGTGCACAACTACCAGTGCAGAAAGCAGGGCCGCAAACAACTCGGCCGACACACAGAGGCCCTTTGACTGCGGTGCGGGACCAGTCGTTCGTCATGGAGCGAGTTCAACTCCGTATAAGCGGTTGACTGCTGGCATGACGGGTTGTGTTTCAGCTGGCGCATCGCTTAGCTGCCTGCTGCTTGATGGTTTTGTCATCTTAGTACGGAGTAATAAGCTGCCATCTTCAGAGCACTCCGTTCAGAGACCAGGCTGTGCAGCGCAGTTCGCCAATGCAAGAGAACCCCATACTCAGCAATGGAGGACCCTGCATGGAGACACCGATGTGCACTCGTATCATCAGTGCGGATATACACGACTGGGAGCCCAGACTACCACCCTCTTCGTTTCTTATATACACAATCTACGGCTGCCCATTGTCTTGTCCGACTCAGGAGACGGTAGACAGCCGTGACAAAACTTGTTCGATACCAGCCACCGTACGGTATTGGAAGCCTCTTTATCTGGACGGCCACGGACACAAAACCTTCGGCGATGGTTATTCCAGACTGAATGAATCATGGGCATGTGCCTCCAGGACACCAATCTCGTGTGTTGCCAAGCTCCAATGATCAATCTGACGCCGCGAGGCTGGATCGGTACTGCGTTTTGTTCGTCAGTTATCAACACGTTACATCACCATCGGATATTGTCTGCTACTTGACTCTACGGAGTATGGTTCAGTCCAACTACTACTACAAACATGGTGATTCGAGTGCATTGCTCACCGGCCAGCAGCCATTCACATAGCGAGCAGCCGAACTACAATTTCGTTTCCAGTGTATCACTACCCAACAGCACAACAAGAAGGGCACCTGTTGGCCACTGCGGCCAGATGTCCTCCCTGCACGCCACAAACCAGAATCAGCAGCTTAATCAAAGGGCAAGGTGGGCTTTGTATTACTAGTCATAGTACGCAGAATGTGCTGTCCCGTTATCGAAGCCTCACCAGCCTGACAACTAGTTACGAGTCTACAACAAACAGGCAATGAATGGATGAGGAGCGTCGGCCCGTGCAAGTAAGTATGGTCGTGGCATCGTCATTGCGGCCAAGCCCATCACGGCAATGCTGTGCGCCATGCGTACTCATGTCTTGTACATTTGGCGTCATTCCATGATCATCGTTGTCCGACTGTACCACGGACGCGCCACAGCCACTATATTTGTACTACTCGGGCCGTATAACCAACAGAATGAAGACGAACGGACTGCTTATCAGGATGGATGACTGGGTCCATGATATCCGGCCGCGGTTCTTCTTAGCCCCTGCCTCTGTTACATGATCGCCTGCTCGCCACCAGTCTATATTAATCTTGGCTGGCAACAAAGGTGCAAAGTTCAAACCACTCACAATCAGCGGGGTCAAGGGCAAGGGGGAAACGGGGGGGCAAAGGGATCTTTTTTTCATTCCCCTCTGACGGGGGCGTCGCCGTGACGACTATCGAGACCCATGAAGATGAAGAACGCATGTTAGTGGATAAGACCCGATACTCTGGTTCTATTGTCAGACATACGGGGACACCAGATGATCCAAACGCATGAAAATTGGACTCGGCGCAATACGCAATACGTATTGCAGTGCTAGAACTGAGTAGGCAGTACCGAGTAAGCCAACGTTGGGTGCCTCAGTTGGTAGCGGGAGAATCGTTTCATGACAAGGAAGTTCCATGTTGATCGAGTGCATCGTGGACCGTGGTCACTCTCATCCCGGCATCAGTCAAGGATAACATGCCGTGTACGGAGCGCTCCGTACCTCGAGGGCGAATACTACGGAGTACTGAAGAGTGAACACCAGAGTAAACACCACAGGCGGAACCAACGGAGCCGGCTCGGCCATCCGCCCAGCCATGGGGCGTTTGACGAGGCAGGCGTACATTGTACATGCTCCGTTGATTGTACCGAGTCCTTCAAACCGCCCATTCATCAAATCTCTGGCACTCCCGTGAGGCTCTGATGGTCTATTCCTCAACCTCGACAAGAGCGGGAAGCAGTTCCAGGGGTCTTTTCTCGGAGGAGGTGCCACGCCAGGGGGGGGGGATAAATAAAAGGACCAACCGTTGGCGACCAACTAGTTACGGAAAAGTCACCTGGACGGGCAGCGACATGCAACTACCTACCTCGGTTACTCGGTATGGTATATCACGTCCTTGCGAATCACGATTCACGATGTTGCGAGAGAAGCATACGGAGCAACCCGACCCTCGGTGACTGAAGACACACTGGTTGTGCAAAAAGCCGTCAAACCTCCTCGCAGAAAGCCGCACACTGTCCCCCATAACCACCTCTGTTGGTCTTCTCTCTCCTCTTCTTCTCTTTTGCTTTCATTCACCTTCCTTTTCCCTTCTTCCTGGGGTTTTCCCCTTGTCTGCATCTTTGTTTCGCGTCCATGCAGGAGATGCGGCACAGGCTCCGCCACGAGGAAACGCTCTGCTTTTCTTCTTCCTACTGTATTGTATACCCGAGACGGTGGAGGCAAGTAGCACAAGAGGATGATGACCCGGGCGCTGCCCGGTGAGGATTCCAACGGGGGACCACGGGGCGGCCTGTCCGCAGCTTGGCCACCCCCTTCTCCCCGTAGCCGCCCGAGCAGAGTCTTTTTCTTTTTTTCTTTTTTTATTTTTTTTTTCATGGGGTGTTTTGAGGCCGGTAAGCTGCAGGTGCGTCGACCTCGTGCGGTGTGGTCAGTGGTCACCAAGCATGGGAGTCAGTCTCGCGATGGCGGAGGCCGGAAATCAAAATCAAAATCAAAATCAGAATGGCAATGCGTCCGCCCACCGCTCGCCGTGGCATCGTGGCATCGTGACACGAGAAAGCTTATCTGATGGGCACTTCAGGGCGACAAAGTCCGAAGCCGGGTGCGTACATCAAGGTCGACGGCAGCACGAGAATCAAACCACGGCAAGCCACACAGCCAATCCAGAGCAAGAGCAAGAGACGGCCTTGGCCATCTTGGTGCTCCGTGCTCCGTCTCCATGCTCCCCCTCCCTCCCGGCCTTGCACTCGCGCTCGCCCGGATGCTACCATCACGATGAGGGGCGGTGCGCATTTACTAATGCGCGTCGGCTTGTTTCACGCATGTAGGGCCAAGAAAAAGGGTCCTGCAGAGGCGCATTTCATCTGCCCGCACTCATACAGACATCCGTGCAGCGAGGGAAGTGGGCAGTCGTGGACTCGTGATTCAAGTCGAGATGGTGCATGACTACATGTAGGCAGATTCCGGCATCTGTGGCATGTAGCATGTGTGAGAAGGGGACGCGTATAACAACAACAACAACAACAACAACAACAACAACAGCAACACTACAGCCACACGCCTTCCTCTGTACTCCGTATCCGCAGCTGCAAATAGCAACGATGATGCATTGCAGCCGCCTCGGTCTGACACGGGGGGTAGACGTACTCGCTTCGTTTCAAACACCAAAACAGGCCCCCGTCACGGCCAATCCTCATCCTCGACTTCTCCTTTACATCTCAGCTCCGCACCTGGCCATGCCCGCCACTTTGCCCAATTCATTCTCAGCTTTCCGGGCGACCATAATCCATGGTCGTCAATTGCACAGTCAATGATTGTGGCTGACGCCCTTCTCCTCGAATGCCTGTGGGACAAGCGGCTCAAATTGTAGCTCATTTCATCACTGGCGTCTCATACGCTCGACTATCCTTCCTCATTTGCCCAGTGACAATTTGCTCTGTGAGCCTGTCAATATACACAGCCCTCCCCAAGTCTTGTTCCAATGTACATGATATATAACTGCCGAGCTTAAACCAAAAGAAAAAAATTTTAATCTCTACACCTCACTTGTTGTATTTCGCTCAGTCTCCAAGCCGGCTTGCTTCATCAAGCCATAAAACACACCCTGCTTCTTGTATAGCTCGACCGGTGTGTCAAACTCTATCACCTCACCCTTATCCAGGACGACGACGCGATCGCTGTCAAGGATGGTGTTGAGACGGTGGGCAACAGTGATGATGGTGCGGTTAGAGAACATGGGCGAGCGCAGGGTGGCTTGGAGCATCGCGTCGGTTTCCACGTCTACAGCTGCCGTGGCTTCGTCGAGCACAAGGATGTTGGAGGGCGTAAGCATGGCGCGGGCCAGCGAGACGAGTTGACGCTGGCCTTGGGAGAGATTCGAGCCTAATCCTGTCAGAATCCAACAGACATGCGCGGCGTGGAGAAGAGCGCCGATGACGATGACTCACCCCCTTCGTTAATCTTGGCCTCGAGACCGCCGTCCATGCTTGCTACATGTTCCTTGAGACGGGCGTGATCTGATTGCGGTTACTCGAGTGTCTCAATGCATTCGTTTGCCCGAAGTGTACTTACCAAGAACACTCCAAAGTTCAGTGTCGTCGTGAACGTGTCCAGGGTCAAGGTTGTCACGAACTGTACCCTCGAAAAGCGCGGCATCCTGAGGAATAATGGCAAGTCTACGTCGAAGATCCAACAAGCCAATGGTCGACGTGTTTAGCTTGTCTATGGCAATGTGGCCGGTAGCTGGCTCAATCAAACGGAACAGCGCAAGGGTCAGTGAAGATTTGCCCGCTCCCGTTCGGCCAACAACGCCAATCTTCTCATGGGATTTGATGTCCAGGTTGATGTTCTTAAGAACCAGGTCCAGACCCTCACGGTATCTGGTGCTGTACTTCCTAAACTCTATCTCGCCCTTTGCCGGCCAAGCAATCGGCGGTCGGTTCTCAGCAATGATCTCAGGCGCTTCGCTGGGTAGCCTGGCAAATTCCAGAACACGCTCAACCGAGACAATGTTGGTCTCGACTTCGACAGTCTGTCGAACTATCCAGTTCAGCGACGTCGTAATTTGAAGGGCATACGACATAGCTAGACCAACGGTGCCTTCAGTCAAACCGCTGTCATTCGAGACGGAAATTATGGCGAGGCCAGCGGCAGCCAGGATCACCACGGCGCCGATAAACTCCAGGCGGACAGCTAGCCAGCGATTGGCGCTGATTGAGGGGAAGTAGGCGCGCAAGTTGGCATCTACTCGCCATTCATTCTCAAGTTCAAATCGCTCCTGTTGACGGAACGCGCGAATAGTGGTCATGCCGCCAAGAGACTCCTGGAAGTGAGCATAGACGGGACTGCGGCTGACGCTGTCAAGTCTCTTGAGCTCTCGAGACGTGCGGAGATAGTATCGCTGAATCCAGTAGTAGGTAAGCGCCAGTGGGACAATCAAAGCAATGAACGCGGGTGTGGAGAAAGAGATGACACCAAGGGTAAAGCAGGATCTGGCGACGTTGACAAACAACATGTTGAACACGCGCGCCAGGACTTCGTCGACTCTGTAAATGTCGCTGGAGAATCTGTTGAGAATGCGGCCGGCGGGCGTGGTGTCAAAGAAGGACATTGGAGACCTGAAAATCGCGTTGGCCATGCGCTCATGGAGCTTACGGGAGGCCTCGATGGAGCAAAAAATCCACAGAACCAGGGTTTGGCCGACCGTAAGTAGGGATGAGCCGATACCAAATGCAAAGTAGATGCCAATGTACTTGCCGATGCTGTCGTTGGAGCCCGTCTTTTCGTTGTGCTCCGACCACTCTTTCAGCCATACAGAGCCCCCAATGCTGGCAGATTGGGAAGCCAAGAGGGCGAAAATGTATATCCCAACAGCAACCAGATTGTTCTCCTTGGCATATTCGCCGTATACAGACCACTTGACTTTGCCTTGTTCGACGAATTCCTTGGTTTGCTTTGTCCGTGAGGCGCCGGCGAGCTCCTCATCTGTAAGCTTGCCTCGAGGACCCCTGAAGCTTGCAGTACTGGCACGTCGTAGAGTGGCCATGCTACCTGAACGGGATTTCTTGCCTGCAGGAGTGGCAGCCTTGATCGGCTCCATCTCTGGAACGTCCTCTAGAGCCTCTGCTACTTCCTCCTTATCATGAGTAAAGCTAGGCTCACCCTCAATCACAGTTGAGGTCTCACTGGAAGGCGGGCTGGAGTTAACAGAGCCACTGTTCGACTCGTGTCCGGCAGTCCTCAGCAGGTCGGCAACCAATCCCTTCTTAGCGATCAGCTGCGAGTAGGTTCCCTTCTCAGCAATTTCACCATCCCTCAGCATGGTGATAAAGCTAGCCTGCTTAAGAACGGGGATGGAATTGGTTGCGAGTATTCTAGTCTTGGTCGAAAGCAAACCACGAGGGCCAAGGACGTTATCGATGATGTGACGACCGACATGTGAGTCCACAGCAGACAAAACATCATCCAAAAGGTAGATGTCGGCTCTAGCGTAAACAGAACGGGCAAGAGACACTCGCGCCTTTTGTCCGCCACTGAGAGAAATACCTCTCTCACCGACAACGGTCTCATCACCATCAGGCAGCTGAGCAAAGTCGTCCAAGAGAGCGCAGGCTTTGATGGTCTTCTCGTAGAATTCAGAATCGTATTTGTATCCAAAGACGATATTTTCTTTGACAGTTGCGTTCAGAATCCAGGTCTGCTGGGAGGCGTAAGCCACAGTGCCTCTGACCTCAGCAGACCCCTTAACCTTCCAAAGATCGCCAAGAATACTCTGCAGGAAGGACGATTTGCCGGAGCCCACACGGCCGACGACACACGTCAGTTCACCCTTGTAAGCGGTGAAGTCGATGTCCTTGAGGACTTCTTTGGTCTCATGACGGTTCCAAGAGAAAGTGCCGTCGCGGATGAGCACCGTTTCTTCGCCTATTTCTTTGGGAGCAGGCTTAACCGTGACAGAGTCAGACTGGAGTTCCTCGGCAGTAAGGAAATCAGTCAATCGGCCAATAGCAACTGACGCTTCAACGATGGACGTGATGACCATGGGCAAAACAGCCAGCGGGAAGGTCAACAGGTTGAAAAGGGCCAGAGCAGGGAAGATAATATCCGTTGTAAGCGGTCTATCCTGTGTGAGGACAAAGACTGTAAAGGTAGAACATGAGACGAAGAAAGGCGCCGTGTTCCAGGTGAAGTTGGCAAACGCCTGGGTGGCACCGATTCGTCGGAGATTCTTGAGCTCCTGCTCGTTTCGGACATAGTTGAGCTTGTTCATGAAAGCCGCACCCCATGCATAGAGTTTGATGCTCTTCATGTTGGTGATAATTTCATTGATGAGTCTGCTTCTGGCATCCTTGTTCTTCATCTGGTCTTTTTGCAAGTTCTTCATAATTCGGGCGACCCATCCCTGAGCTGGCATCATAATAATCATAACGACGATACCAGCCATCATTGACCATCCGACAAGGTTGTAGAGCGAAACCATGCAGATGATAATCTGGAAGGGGGCCGACCAGGCTTGTTGTAGAAACTGAGTCAAATCCTGAAGACGCTGAGCATCGACGGCCATGTAATTCACAATATCTCCGGTAGTTTTTGTTGATCTCCCCTCGTTAGATAACCTTAAGGACTTCCGGTAGATGGTGGAGGCTAGACCGCCCTTAATCCGCATACCAGTGACAAAGGACATTTGGAAATATTGATGCTGTAAGGGTAAGTCAGCAACTTTTTAAACGACGGAAACCGAGACCTGTTAATGAGTTGAAAGAAAAAAGAAATAGATACATACCACCATTGTAGTTTGGAATACGGCGCAACCAAACATGGCCAGCGCAATTGCTGCTCCCTTGATAACAGGTTCGGCAACCACCCCGTACTCACGATTGTATGATTTGACCCAAGTCAACAAGAGACGAAGCAGCTGCGGCTGGACATACTGCGTGATGTCGTTCCCGACCTTGAAGAGGGCAGCAATTGCATAAGGACCACCGTAGGCACGAAACATAGCCAACCAAAGTGATGGAGACTTGGGACGGTGGTTCAATTCATGAGACCACGCTTTCTCAAAAGCTGCACTTGTAACCTTGGTCTGATCCGATTTGGCAAGCCCCCACAAATCATTCTCGGTCAGAAAGACCTTGTACCCATATCGCATCATCGGTGTCATCCAGGAGAAGGTCAGGCGAGAAAAGACAGTGGCGTATTCGACGGGGCATTCCTCATCCTCGGAGATGGCTTCGTAGCCACTGGGGACATGCTGACGAGGCCGCAACCACTCAACCAAGAATTCAACAATGGTGGAGCCAAATCCAATGCAGTACGTAATAAAATAAGGTAGATTCGCTTCATATACTTGTTGTGAAATCAGAGATCGAAGCTTGACGGTGAGAGAGATGATGAGGAGTAGCCAGTAGAAGAGAACGACTCCATTGGCGTGCCGCAGGCGAGAATGCTCAACCCACTGAATCGAAAAGATGACCAACAACGAGATGATTGTCAGAAAAGTTGTCAGCACGCGGAAGTCGCCATACCAGATGCCGGGCATGCCAAGAATCTGAATACCGAGTTGGACGACGAAGTCGGCGACGAGAAAGACGAGAAGGGACTAATACAATGGACGCAAGTCAGCAATTAAACATGTTGAAGATGGGCAGACGGATGCTGTCTCGCCAGCTTTCTGAAACAGGTCTCAGTGGAAGGTGCTGGCCCACCTGCTTGATGTAAAAGTGAGCATTCTTGGAGGAGCCTTCTTCCAAGGGCTTCTTCTTCCTCAGCAGCCACCACAGGGCAACTGGACCCAAGATGAGGGCATACACGGCCACGGTAGCCAGCCAGACATCGATGAAGCACGGAGTAAAGTCGTATCTGTACTTGCTAATCGGGCCCCAACCCTCTTCATTGCCGCAGAGCGGTTGCTGAAAGCTCGCAACAGAAAAGTAACTGCGGCCGAGGCGCTGCAGCGGGCGCAAGCCGGTGAAGGAGCCTGAGAGCAGGCGTAGCTGCTGCTCGTTGTAATAAGGCTCCATGGTCCCACGTGAGGGCGAGAGCGAGGAGCGAGAGACGAGAGCAAGTCACCACATGCTCAGCAGATGGAGAACCGAGTCGGGTCGTCGGCGAGGAACAAAGATGTGAAGGTTGCAATGGAAGATCGAGATTGGCGCGATGCCCGTCGTCAGCGCCGGCGATCCTGTAGAGATCAAAACTATGGGTCCAATGAGCCGGTGACGTGTTTGCCGAGTACTTGAATCTGAATGTTCACTGTTTCTGAGAGCCAACAACGTGTTGGATGGGCGCGGTTGAAATGATGGACGGATGGGCAGAAAAACAGCAATAGGCGAGGAGGGAACGTGCAGACATGGCCAGGTCATCAGTCAGGGCCAGAAAAAATCGACGTTGGCGCATTAATAAATCCGAGGCCCGAATAAACGGAAGCGTCTGTGGACTTAAGGAATCGTGGTACTTTGGTACTTTGTAGAGGTTGGTCAGCAAGGGCGCTAATAAGTTTAAGGAGAATGTGCACGACAGGGAAGATCCAAGGACCAAGGGCAGGCTTTAAGTCGAGATGATTCGTCTTTCCATGCCCCACTCTTGCAGCCCCAAGGCAGCGTGCATGACGACAATTGTCAAACGGCAGGAGCCGTGGATGACTAATGATGCTTGATTATCATTCAGGCTACGGAGTACTGGATCTAATGCCGCGAGCATTCATTTTTTATGCCAGTTCCATACTGCGTATTTATCATGACATCGCAATAAGGCTTGTCGGCCGCCATCTGCACCGACTTCGCGGCTTGGGTCGTCCGACGTCGCCTCATACATACGCACTACTTGTGCTTGGTCTCGTCTAACGACAAAAACGACCATTCAGGTTTGTGCCGGCCACCTGTGTTGCACGTTCATTTCTCCAGCGTCCGCAGAAAGTCCACCACTCTCACGCCCAACCACTCTCTCGCCGCTTCTTCCTCGACAATATGTCCGGCATCCGGGATGAGCCCTGACAGCGAGCTCACAAAAGGGGTTGCTTGTTGGTATCTCTGATTCTGGACCGCCTGGTCCACATGCTCTGGGACAAACTCGTCCGAACCCGAGTGCAATACCAGCACGGGTTTATTGAACCGGCTCCAAAAATTGGCCACAGTTGCATCGTCCAAATCAGACGAAAAGTAGTCGTCATCTCCGCTACGGGAAAAGAAACACAGAAAAACACAAAATGTCAATGCTGGTCCTTAAAAAAGCTCAGACGGGAAGCAAATATCGGCGACCTACCCTTTTACTGCAAGTGACTTGAATCGATACGCAGAGATTGGGGCAGCCAGCGAACGTGGGACTTTGTCGTTGGGAAGGCAATCCCTAGCCCGTCCAGCGGCAATCCAACTCTCTGCTAATTCGATGCTTTCTTTAAAGCTGGACAAAATGCCCTCCATGGCCTCACGATCCGAGACTGGTCCCTGCATGATGAAGCCATCGACTGGTGGGTTGCCATGCTTGACGTAGTCACTGTACTCGATGCAATCCTGGGTACAATTAGTAATGACCCAAGGGCAGAAGGCTACACAATATACATGGGCTCAAAGCGAGTGAATTAACTTACTTGACAGCCGGTTGAATGGCCAAACAGGACAATCTTCTCTTTGCCCAAACCTCGCAAATACTTGACCAAAGCGGCGATATCATCCACATCGTTGCTTAGACTCGACGTCCCAAATCCGATGAACGAGCTCCTTAACCGAAGTTCGAACACAGAGAAGTCAACATCTTTGCCTGTAGTTTCCAAATGCTTGGCCACGGTCCTAATGTAAGGCACGGTGTGAGGTCCGTCTCCTAGGCCACCGATAAAAACCAATGCGTTCTTGGAATTCGGATGTCCGAGTTCATATGCGCAGGCGCCTCGGTTAGGCGACGGGTGAGGATGTACAATCACTGAGAATGAACTGTGCGAACCCATGGCGGCGCAAACGTAAAAAAAATTCGGTCGAGGTCGTTAATGTCAAGTATTGAGCGAGTGCTGGATTTGCTTTCGCATTCTTCCGTGCTGCACCGCCTGGCAACCATACAGTGCGAGATGGTGCGCAACCAGGATGTCCGCAGCAAAGCAGACTACAAAGCGGACAGAAAGAGACTGTGCAAAGTGGGCAAGTTTCAACATTCGCCTCACGATACTGTGTCCAGCACCCTGCACGGGCGCAGATAGACAGTGCGTACGGATGCTGATAAACAGTATGACGAGCCGACTTGGCAATGGCTGGCTGGTCCGGTTTGTGGTTGTGGATCAACATCAACATGATGCAACCATGCAAATATACGCATACGCTACTCGACGTTGCCCAGTGATCTTGCTCCCGCCAGAAACAATTCAGTTGCTCAGTCCTGCATTGTCCTTGAAGTGATCTTCAGAACAAAAGGAATTCTGATGGACATGGTGCAGGGACGAGGCATCTTGAGGAAAAATCCGTCTGTGACCCTCGTGAATCAACATGGCAGAGCAGACGGCAAACCAAGAGCGGCATGGCCTATTCCAAAGGGTATGAACATACTGACTGTCCCGAAGACTAAATGGCCTAGTTTTCAATCGTGAGCTGATATTTGCCAGCTTAAACCATGTTGTGTCAAGATTAGCCAACTGGCTATCCAAGAGACGGGGTCGGCCGACGCCACTCGTGAGCTCCTACATCTTACTGCCCAGGTCCTAGACATTCTGGATGGCCAGATTCAAAAGAGCCCATCAGCCTTGGATGACAAGTTAGCTGAATATGTCTTCTTTCCGCTTTACCACATTTTTCGTCGATTGGAGCATTACCCTGCCCGTCTCACCGAGAATTGTGTCAAATGTCTTCAGTTACTCATCATAAATGGTTGGAAGAGCAAGATTTCGTGCAAGCTGGTCCAACAAATATTCAGCTTCCTTACTTTCATCATCGACGGCGTTCCTGGATTGCCAAACAAGGACCGACATGTCCCGGAAGAACTGCAGCTGGAAGCTTTTCGGACGCAACTGGCCCTGCTTACCACAGCAGGTCAATCCGCTGTCGCCATGTCTGGACTGACGGAAGGAGACAGTATGCCAGCGTTGGGCCACGGAGTTACTGTCATGCTTGATGGTGCTGTAGATGGCATTACGCCACAAATCCAACTCGAAGCGTTAGGCGTACTGCAAGCACTTTACACCTTGTTGCGGGATCAGGCAGCCCTAGCCAACTTTCTCCCGGGCACCGTTTCTTCTTTGGTCAAGTTGCTGTCATCTCCGAACAGGCATAAAGCTATGGTTCTGGCAAAAGGCCTGGACGTTGTGCAGACCGTCCTTACTGGAGTGCTAGGAGATATGCAAACACGGTCCATTCTTGCGAAAGGCGGCGAGGAGGATGAGACGCAGTCCAAGCCCCCTGACGCAACCAAACCATTGACACCTGCATGGGTAAAGGCAACAACAGCTCAAGTCAAAGTTGCATTATCCAGCATGATGAAGTTGCGCAAGCATTCTTCGCAGGCAGTTCTGGATGCCCTCGATAGGCTCTGCGTTTCGCTTCTGGATGAGTGCCACAACTCCCTGGCCAATTGCACCACGCTACTAATCGAGACGGCTATAGTACTAGATAAAGGGGAGAATTCCTCAACACCTTCCCTATCCATGCAGACTGATTTAAGACATCTAGTCATCATATACCCTGAACTTGGCAATGCTGTCAAGACAGCTGTCTATAGCTGGATGTCTAGCCTGGCCCGTATAGTGCAACTCGGAAATGAAGAGATCAAGATAACCGCCATACATAACTTATCCAAAGGAATTGAATTATTTCGGAGCTCGGGGATAGAATCTTCGACTCTGGAGGACTCCATGGGCAGCGCTCTGCGCGACAGCATTGTTTCTCTTGTCCAATCTTCAAAGCAAACACAACCAGTCACTTACTTGCAATTGTTAGATGGGTCACAAAATCAGCGGGAATCAGTCACTGGGCAGTCCTTTGAACCAGTGCTCATGGCAAGCGAAAGTCAGCGGACACTCAGACGAGAAGTTGACAATTTAATCAGCCACATTGCCTCAACTTCAGTTGCGTGTAATATCGCCGCTAACATGATGGATAATGCGCGAGATTCAGAATCGACAGACAGAATCGCATCTCTGTGGCTCTGCTTCGAGCTAGTAAAGGCGTCCCATGGCTTGAACGCGGATTCGGCAGCGTTCCTGGACCTTTCTGCGGTCACCACCTCCTCAGATGACACAGGACCGATTTTTGAGGATCTATTCTCTTACTCTGTACAAATTCTTGAGTCTCACGCAGATTCAGACCATGCGGACTGGCAGCTAGAAGCCATTTCGCTAGAGGTGGCAGCCTACGCTGCACAGAGACGCGGAATATCATTCCGACCTGACCTGATGGACGTATTATTTCCCGTAGCAACGTTCCTGGGATCAGAGAATCCGCTTCTGCAACAACACGCAATTGCTTCTCTGAATAGCATAGCACTTGCCTGCCAATACGCCAGCGTATCGGAACTAATAATAGACAATGTCGATTACATGGTCAACTCCGTCGCCCTCCGCCTCAACTCACTGGATATCTCGCCCGCATCAATGCAAGTCCTCATGATGATGATCCGACTCTCCGGACCCAAGCTAATTCCATACTTGAACGATGTCGTCGAGTCCATTTTTGCTGCGCTGGAAAACTACCACGGATATGTTCTCCTCGCGGAAAACCTGTTCTCTGTCCTCAAGGAAATTGTCGATCAAGCATCAGCCATCAATGAGCGGTTATTAACCGACGGCGAGAGAAAAATCATCAACCACAAAAAAAAGCCACGTCCAATCCTCGGTCTGGATGCCCTTCTCGACGAGCTGGATAGGCGACAGAAAAGACGCATTCGAGACGACGAGGAAGCGAAGTCATTTACACAAATAAAGGGCCACCCCAAAGAACCATGGAAGTCCCATCCCGAACAAGAAGAAGAAGAAAAGGGGGAGGATGACGAAGAAGGCCATCCACCCCCCGAGCCCGAAAAACGGGCCAATTCGCCGACGTACCAGCTCCTTCTGAGGATCGCCTCCCTGACCCAACACTACCTCACTTCCCCAACGCCCCGACTCCGCCGCTCACTCCTGGAACTCCTTACCACCGCATCACCTGTCCTCTCAGGCGACGAAGACTCCTTCCTGCCACTCATAAACTCCATCTGGCCAATGGTCATAGAGCGCCTTCGCGACCCAGAGCCCTTCATCAGGATTGAAGCTTGCCGCACGCTGGTCAGTCTCTGCCGCGCAGCAGGAGACTTTCTCAGCACACGGTTCAAAACCGAATGGGGTGAATGGCTGCGCGACTGGTGTCGAAAGATGAAAGTCAATGCTGAAGGGCGCAAAGCCTCGAGTCGCCCGCGTATTCCCGAAAAGGGGCAAGGCATCATGATTCCAGTTCGCACTGGAAACGGGATAGAAGTCAAAGGACTTGAGGTAAACTCAAGGCCCGGTTCATCGTCGGGGAGTCTGGGACAGCACGCTTCGCCAGTAAAGATGTGGGAAGCGGTCGTGATGTTGCTGACGGCAGTAGTGGAATATGTCCGTGTTGACGACGCCATGTTTGAGGACATCCTGGATATTTTGGCGGATGTAATGGAGAGTAACAAGGAGGTGAGGGAGGCTTTGGAAGTTGTCAACGCGGATGCCGTGTGGTTGGTGAGGTATGAGAAGGGGAGGGTAGACTTGCTACCTGCGCCGGTTGTGGACGGTTTCGAATTTGTAGAGATGGAGCGACTCCCTCGGTCCTGAGCCATTTCTCGAAAACAAGTCAAGCAAGACTATGTGACTTTGGACCGCCTCTCTCTATGGATCGTATCTATAGAATCTATTAAATCTTGGGGTTGCCTGACAGATAGCCCTCCACCACGGCCGTCATCAGCCTATTCGCAATAGCTTGGGGCGGCGGAACTCTCAAGTCGCCTTGCTTGTAGTCCTTTGGCGGCGGCGCACCCAAACCACCAGCGGTCTGAGCGAGTGCCGTCCGGACCTCTTCAAAGGTAAACCATCTTGCACTCTCTAGTTCTTTGTCGTTCAAGCTGATGGTCTCTCCGTCGCCCGGCAGCGCTTGTGCGATGGCGCCAATCATCAGACTAGACGGATAGGGCCATGGTTGTGTAGAATGCACGACGACCCTTCCCACACGCACACCGGCTTCTTCCCACACTTCCCTACGCACCGCCTCCTCAATGGATTCGCCGGGTTCCAGGAATCCCGCAAGCGCGCTGTGCCAGTGGGGCGGCCAGCGGCTCTGCCGGCCCAGAAGAATACGTTGACCGTCAGCGGACACTACGGCGGCAATCATGGTGGGATCAGTTCGGGGGAAGCAGACGTTGGATACGCCGTGGCGCGTTGGGCAGTCGGCGAGTTGGGTTGCTCCAGAGCTTCCCTTGCGGGAGGTCGGCGGACAGATGCGCTTGTAGCCTGCCGCAACAGATAGATTGGGGTTGCCACAGCCAGCACAGAAGGTGTTGCGGGTATTCCAGTCAATTATTGAGCGGGCTTGGGCAAACATGGCGGCTGTCGCGAGGTTAGCGTACGCGACGCGCGATGGTGACGGTGATGTGAGAAACGGCACATACCAGCTTCTGAGTGCAACGACAGGCTTCTAGTGTCTGTTGCTATCCGCAGTCCCTTGTCCTCCTGCGTCTTGACCCACGTCTCTGCGAGGCCCTTGCGCCGACCTTTGGGTGTTACGTCAAGTGCGAAGAACGGCTGGCCCTTGACCTCGCCGTGCTCGGAAGTCTGGAAAATTGCATCGCCGCCATCCACCATGCCCAAGAACACAACCAGCACGGGGGGTTCAGCTGTGGAATCGTAATCTTTGGTCCTCTGCGCATCCGTCTGCTCGAACAGCTCCTCAACAAGCCGCTGGACATCGTCATATGTAGACAGCGCAAGCTTCCGCTTGTCGACGACAAAGGGGTTCAGGTCCTTCAATACGACGAAGCGCGCAGAGTCGCTTGTGGCGGCCTTGCTGAGAAAGGCGGCATCTGAGCGGAGGAATGAGTAGCGATTGAGACGACTGCCAGCGTAGTAGTTGATGACTTCCTTGCCGAAGCGTCTGGTGAGCATTGAGTCGTCGCCTGTGAGAGCAGCAAGCTCAGGCATGAGAGGAGGAGTAGTTGACATGGGCGGCTGTAGTGGACGGCAGAGTTGTTTTTTTTAAAGTTTTACCTCTGGAAGGATGCCGATGCCGACTGAGAGGGCACAGGATAACGTATATTGTGGCAGTAAGGAATCGAGGCTAAGAACACTTCACATGTTGGTTGAGCGGCTTATTTTTACGCCGGTCCAAATGGGACGCCGTTGGCAACCGTGAGAGCGGTGCGGAGGTGATGAGTAATGTCAACTGCGAATCCGTGATTGACGACCAAGGTGGAGGTACGTAACGTTAGTTCGGAGTAGTTGTCCGATGGGCAACCAGGTTGGCTGGGGCAGGGAGTGACGAATGGGAGAACAGGGCTCTTTGCGGGGGGGGTGTTTCCGGCTGCTGGAATAAGAAAAGATCCTGACCTCGATTGCCCTCGCGGCGATGCTTTGGCTAAACGCTCGCGAACCGCCCCACCACCTCCGATCCGTTTTGGGCCTTTGCCCAAGCCCCTTTGAGGCAACCAGACGAGACGACTAATCGCGCATAAACGATATTCGAGTATGAATTCGGGTACGGAGTACGCGAGCACGACTTCAGATGGATGACTTGTTGCCAGTTTTTCTAGCTGTGCTGCAGCTGCAAGGCTACTGGGCAAGGGTTTTGTAACAGTCCAAGCTCCCTCGCGGTATTTGTCAGGAGGTCGCTGAGCGGTCAAATTGACGGCGAGGCCGTTCCAGCAGCAAAAGGAAACGCTCTGCAGTTGTCGCTGCGACTGCGACGTAGAATCACAGATGCACCTGCAATCAATATAGTGTACTCCGTAGTTATTTCTTTTGTCGATGGTCTTTAACACACACACACACACACACACACAGGCTACAGCAGGCATTAATAAGGCTGTGAAATTCAAGCTACATCGAATTTCTATAGGTGGGATGTGTGTCTGAATTTAGACTAGCGTCTATGCATGATTCAAATATCGTTTATGCGTGTTTATTCATCCTACCTGGCGTGACGTGACATGCAGCTTTGACGGCGCGGCCCTGCGTCATGCAACCGCCGGCTGTCGTACAAGTTACATCGAAGCGCCAGGCTCAACTGTATCCGGCTTGCCCGCCAAGGAAGCGAAGGGAAAGAAAAAAAAAAGAAGTTGCGGTGCCGCTTCTGATCCCGACTGTCTAGTCGTCTTGAGGCTTGACTCACCTCGGCAGCCCCGCGAAATTCTCCCACACTTCCGCCGCCACTCCATCCACATTTTTCTCGACATCAAACTTGTTTCTAGGTTGACGGAGCCCCTCGAGCGCAGTAAAATCCTTCTTTTGTTCTTTCCCGATTTCGCCTGCTGGTCTTCAAGTAGACTGTCATTGCGGTCTTCTTCCCCTTCCTTGCATCACTGTCAGTCGCTCCTGCCAGCTCTCCTCGGCCGCGACCCGTCCAGACGTGCGTGTCATCGCCTCTCACAAGTTGCCACCATGACTCCCCCGCTGGCGAATTTGCATCTCGATGTCGAGGCTATTTCAGGAATCTGCGGGTGAGTCTAGTATATCAGGCTTTACTTGGTGTGCCGAATTACATCCTTCACACTGGTTTGGTCGGTCGGTCAGTCTGCGGAAGCTGTTCCGGTGTAACTACCGTGGGACCGTGCCCATGCTGTGCATCCTGGGCCATCCATGCCATGTCACCGAGGATCATGGTCTGGAAAAGACGACCAACCCGTCAACGCCTGTGCACAATCGCCATGTTATTACCCCTGCAGCTACATTTCAGTTCCACCGTATCATTGATTGCTGACTTGGATTCATGCATGTAGCTCAATCTCAATTGCATGCTGGGGTGCGTTACATCGCAAAGTCGTACAAGGAAACTCTGGAGGCTAATCTGCCCAGTCATCGTCTTCACACCCCAACTCATCGCGAATTGGAGGTCCAGCTCTGCCGAAGCATTGTCTGTTCAGTTTATCATTGTGTGGCTAATCGGAGATGTCTTCAATATCGCCGGCGCCGTCCTTCAGGGCGTCTTGCCAACTATGGTACGATCCATCACTGTCCTGGAGGCTTTCCTCGGCTAATAGTACGTCACATAGATCATCCTGGCCGTCTATTATACATTGGCCGACATAGTCCTTTTGGGCCAATGTTTCTACTACAGAGGATTGACCTGGCGAGACGAACCTGCCACGCCCACCCCAAAGACGTCGCCACGGCTCGATGGCAGCGCAAACGAACGCACAGCTTTGTTGGGCGATCACGATCACCGAGAACGTCGCGGGTCCGACTGGACTGGTCTATCGCTCACGGTTCCTCACATTTCTCACGTGGAACCTCCTCCACCCCCGCCCAGTACATTGCAGACTTTGATCTGGAACACATCCATCGTCTTCATGGTCTGCGCAGCCGGCGTCCTAGGCTGGTGGCTGGGAGAATCGGCAGCAGGTACTGATAAGGGATCCAACGTTGGTGGAGAAGATGCCATCGAATTCAACCTTCTGGGTCAGCTTTTTGGCTACCTGTGCGCTGTCTTCTACATTGCCTCCCGGGTGCCGCAGCTTATCCTCAACCACCGCCGCAAGACGACTGAAGGCCTTAGCATGCTCTTCTTTATCTTTGCATGCCTCGGAAACGTTACGTACGTGTTGTCAATCTTTGCTTACGAGCCCGATTGCCAGCATGATACGTGCAGGCCCGGTGAGGCCAGACGTATCTACGGTAGATACATGCTTCTCAATCTAAGTTGGTTGACGGGCGCCTTGGTCACTCTCTTCATGGATTTTATTGTTTTTGGCCAGTACTTTTACTATGCTACCAACGACACAGATAAAGAGGCCCGCTGCTGTGGTGAGGCACATATCGGGGGGGTTATCGAAGAAACTTGCTATGATCAAAGGCCGCTGCTTCAACGAACTGACTCAGTAACCCCCTGAGAGGGCGACAGTGAAAGACTTGTTGCGCCTCCCGGAGAAGTCATTGAACACAAAGGAAAAAAAAGAAAAACAGAAAACCGGGAAACCGGGGAAAAATACACGAAAAGCAAATACTGGCGTTCAGGCAATGAGACATGCATAGCACTGATAATTGGGGGAACGTTTTGAGAAACAACCCAGGATGGCGGCTACAAGCGTTTTTTAAAGAAAAAAAGTTGGGACTCGTTGGTCCAGTCACTCTTTTTAATGATTTTGCTCATGGATAAATTCACGAGGGCTAGTGGGATTCTGTGTATTCTGAACCGCTGGGAGGAGACCAACTCCGAGAGCTAGATGCTGGTTTGTGTACAACTGAGAGACCCTCCTCGTCATTATAAATCGAGATTGTCAACTCCGCCGGCCCTCATAATTCCAGTGCCCAGCAAGGGAGAGTAACAGGAAACGCCGAACACTCATGGCGAGGTGTTTGGTTTCTGCTGCCCTCATGCGTAGGTACTGAGGGCCTAGGGTAGCTACTACCGTCATTTTCGTGGGGCCGATTCATGAGCCCAGATTCAGCCCCATAGAGAGACCGCCCCACCAGTTTTTTTTTTCTCGCTATATAATGTGGTCCAGCCCAATTGACCTTTTCTCCTTTTCTCTTTTCTTGATTCTACATCATCAGTTGGGATTGAACTATTAACCGTCATGTTAATTTTTTAATTTCATACGGAAGACTTCGCTACGGCGACTTGCTGCTAGGCATCCTCCGCAGTGGGTGTTTGGCCGTTCCCGGTCTCCCAGAGAAATGAAGCTGCCTACCTATCACGTACTTTCGATACTATTGTTGTTTTCCGTGTTGAGGTGGTTCCGACATGTAGCCATGGAGAGATAGAATAAGAATGACTGTAAAGGAGAAACATGCTGGCCCAAGAGGCGTGAGTGGATGACTTCGTAGACTCACAATCGTCATCACTATTTTTGCGAAAGGCTGATCTCAGTCTTGTATTCTGGGCTCGACATTTATGGGAGAGCATCCTAGATGACAAGTCAACAGTCAACGCGTAGCCTAGATGATAGCTATTAGCACCTAGCTATGCAACCTGAACCCAAGTCTCAAGTCGTAAAAGTCGGGGATGAAGGAATATGGCCCCATGTCTGCACGGTCGTCTATACTTGTGATAGGTGTCGAGATCTTCATGTTCTTTTTGTCTAATGTTTCTATTCTCGTCGTGGTCTAAAATTGCTTCTCTCTCGTTTTTCCGCCCTCCACAGGTGAGTGACTAAGCGTCCCTCTCTGGCGCGACACGTGATCGTCGGGATAGCAGCCGTGCACGGACCATCCAGTCGGAAAGCGCGACCTTTTGACAAAGAAATTTTTGGGGAAGCTGTCATTCGGGATTCAGGGCACTCCCAATCTTGCGGCGAATCAATCCCCGTATCTCGAGCACGTCGGATACCAGCCAGAAGAAAAGCGCTTCTTCATCATGTCGTCGCTTTGGAACGCCTTGACCGGCGGCAACAAGCCGCGCCAGCAGCACCACGAGCCGACACATGCGTTTGATGCGACTCCCCCTTCATCGCAGACCAGCTTCGACCCGTCCCAGGGCCAAGGCGTAGAAGCTTTCCTCCAGAGCTCGACGTTCGCTGATCCCTCGCAATTGCATCCCCTGGCTGGTCTAAACCAGGATACTCTCGAGTATCTAACGCTCGAGGACTCTGCCCTTTCCGAACTCCCAGGCGGCCAGTCCGTCCTGCCATCGCGAGGCTTCACTGATGATCTCTGTTACGGTACTGGCATCACGTACCTTACAGCCCTGTCGATAGGAGGTGCCTGGGGCCTGCGGGATGGCCTGAATAAATCTGTTGGACAGCCTCCCAAGCTACGAATGAATGCCATCCTCAACGGAATGACTCGGAGGGGACCCTTCCTCGGCAACTCGGCCGGTGTTGTCGCTATTGTGTACAACTGCATCAACTCATTGATTGGTAGTCTGCGTGGCAAGCACGACTCTGCCAACACAGTTGTTGCCGGCTTCCTCAGCGGTGTGGTTTTCAAAAGCACCCGTGGTGTCCGATCAATGATGGTTTCTGGTAGTGTGGTCGGCGCCGTTGCCGGTGTGTGGGCTGTGAGTCAATTACCCCATGGCCATGCGTGGTCGTCGTCAAATTACTGACTTGACATGTTTTCAAGGTTTTGCGACGATCGTTTTTCCCCATTCCCGAGCCCGCAGCTCCTATTGAAAACCTGTGATGCCCATCTTTATATGATGGCGTCCACGATATATTCGTCACCGCCCACTTGGACATTTACCGCATCCCTAAGCTAGATGCAAAACGGCCGAGAAAAAGAAGAAGCAAGAATGAAATGGAAAGATTATGGAAGACCAGCGAGGAGGAAAATGTACGGATATTGCGGCGACAGGTTTTGCCCCTCGCACATGCCTATTGGCAGATTCGGCGGAGTTTTTCTTTACGGTGGCATTTGTCATGGACGATCTCTCCTCCCATGAAGTCAGTGTACATTATTACATCAAGTATCCAGCGAGCATTAGACCATAGAGGACGAGGCGCCTGGTCTGCAATTTACATGATTGGAATATGGATGCGCGAAGCCGACGTCGAAAGTGGGATGAACCAAGGGTGTGTGACCACTGCGGTCTCCACCGGAGGGAGACTTGTGTGTGCGAATTTACATATGGTATTGTTGTCTGGGAATGCTCACAGCTGTCAGGAGCCGGGTGGTCATATGACGGGTTCGTCTGAGCAGCTCAAACTCTGCCCTTGCCCCCATTGTTAACGACGATCTAGCAAGTCCCGTCTCGTTCCGAGTCCTGGGGGACACGGTGTACGCCATTTATCTGTTTATTCCCCTTCCCCCTCGCCAACTCGACGCCCTTGCCAGACGGCAGAGATCACGGGGGCCGAAATGTGCCTCCCCTGCTTCCCGTGGACGTGGACGCAATACGAAGACCCCCTAGACACGTTACCAGAGCAATCTGTCTGGATACACAACGGGAACACCTGGACACTGCAGAAAATAGTAAGTATGGCGACTTTGGCAGGCGAATTCTCCACCTCGTGGTTGGCTGGCGGTCTGGTGCGTCGTCTGAAGGAAATGTGAGCTGCAAGTGAGCAGTGAAGCGGCCCGGAGCGCTCGCACCTGCACACACGCAAAAGCACGCGCACATGCTGCTTGGAGCACTTCTTGTATACAAGCGCTCCTCCATGTCCTCGTCTCTCTTTCTCCGTCTCGCTCTCCGTCTCCGTCTCCGTCTCCGTCTCTCCTCTCCTCTTGCTTGTTCTTTTCGTCGCCTTCACCCTTCCTTCGTCCGCCGTCGTCGTCTTCATCTGCATCTCTCGTCGGCAAATGCCCTCCGCAGCGGCCAATTGCTAGCCATGCCCGAGGCAGGCAACGACCTCAAGCCTCCCAAGCCTCGACGTCCGCCCCCCAAGGACGACAATATTTTTTCCCGTCAAGTCCGTTTCGACGATTCCAACCCCAAGACAAGGCCGGGGTCAGCTGCCAACAGCAACGTCAACAACCCGGACCAAGCCCCCAAGAACACGCAGCCCGACTCCCACCCGCAGGTCGGTCAACCGGCTCTGCCAAACCTCAACCGTCCGCCTTCTGGCCAGTGGTACACAGCTGCCGACCCGACGCGCAGTGTAAATCTAGCCGGGTCCCAGCAGGTCTATGCATCTTTCCCCCATCAAAACCCTCACGTCCAATTCCAACCGCAAGCTGTTGCCCAGGGCCTGCCGTACCGTCCTCCCCCCAACATGGGCGACTATCAGAATTGCGTGCCTCCCCCTACGGGAGTGAACTTCCAGCCTCCAGCGCCGGATACCACGTTTGGGCCGATGCCGCACCTTTACGTGCCTAGGTTTGATGCTGGGCCGGTATACGGCGGCGGCGTTGTTCATGTCGGTTCTCCTTGTTCTTCGTTCCTTGCCCCGTCTACTTGCTTCTTTGCTCCGCCTACGACTACAGTGGTTTCGCCAAAGACATTTGGTGTCAGCTGGTATAACTATTATGCAAGTGCTGGTTGTTTTGCTCTGCCGAGCTGCCTTTGGCTGTTTTGGCACCCCGAACTGACACCTTTACGAGTCTCTGCTTCACATGTTGGAATCTGTATTGTCATGATTTGTGCTAACGCTCTCTCTCTCTCCAGCAACCAGTGTCAGCCGCCCCTCAAAGCTACGTCGTCCAGCCCGGCATGGTGCCCATGGCCCAGCAGCCTGTCATGGTCAACGCTCAGGCGTACGTCCACATGTGTGCCCCGGGCATACCAGCTCAGCCCGTCATGAGTAGCGCCAACCTCCCAGCGCCCATGATGGCGGCGGCGGCGGCGGCTCCCGGAGCATGCGCTCACATGCCCATCATCCCAGGTAATCCCCCTCCTCCTACTTGCGCGACCATGCCCGAGGTGTCTGGCATGGGCCGTACACCCAACGAGGAAATGCTCCGCCAGGTTGAGTTTGCCTACAGCAACCGCTTGTTCGAGCCGCAGGATTTTAAGCCTGCTGATGATGACCCTTCTCGTTTTTACTATGTTCGTGAGGTTGACGGGAACTGGACCCAGCGCAATCGTTTTACTATTGATCATATGGGTGATTGCAGGTGGTATGTCACTGATGAAGGGTGGTTCTACGCAGTGAGGTTGCCGGATTAGACGAAGGGATGTTTGGGTAAGTTGCGCCGTTGGTTGTCTTTCCGCTTTGAAGATGTGAATATATTGACAGCCGTTAGCTTGCTCGTTGAGAACATGAGGATGAGACGTCAACAGATGTGATTTACGACTCATACGTAAGGACATGCTACTTGGCGACGGAGCACAGATGACTGGTGCTAATTAATGGCGGTCATGTAGGCAGTTGTGTTTCTGAAACAACACCAGTACAAAAAAAGGGAGCTGTTGCAGCACGCCACTTTGGGCCACCGGGGCAAGATACCAGGTTCGCTAGATTATGAATATGCAATGCAGTTGGACTTGATCAGGCATCTATTTAGACGAGCCTCAGCTCCTCATGTGTAGCCGGCATTGACGATGAAGCACCTGCACGGACACATGCCCGCTGTCGTGTACAATATCGCTTGTCCGTGTACAGCACACTTTTAAGTTTTCATCTAAACCTGCGTAGCCTATCTATCATGTTTTGCCCAGCCATCCTCGTTCTAGTCTGCTATGCGACGCTCTTTTGATTAGAGAAATTGGAATCTTTTACACTTGTATCATTTTACGCGGTCGGTCTTTTCAAAGGATGGGCTTCCGTATTAAGCACATATTCATCCAAATTAATTAAACTTGGTGGCGAAAAGATGAGGTAGAAATACTTGAGCGTCTCGGCGAGCCAAAAACTCTGCACACGACTGAGTCAACGCTTTGTTTGAAACTCGCACACACACTCTACTTTCGTTTAAGAGGGCGAAGGGGGTTCGGGGGTTCGGGGGGTTCAGCGTGCCTTACCTCCATTGAATCAAGCTTTTTCGTCTCCCCGCTCGTCGTGACATCCGAAATGGCCGAGTACGCGTGCGTGGTTTCAGTCGAGGCCAGAATGGCCCGGAACATGTCCCACGCCGTGTCTTGCAGCTCCCTGTTGGCGGTGACGCGGTAGAGGACGAACAGGCTCTCGATTGCTTCGGGCCGCAGCTGGTACTGGGGATCCTTGACGCCCACGAAGCCCCTGGGGAGGTTCTCGTCGCCGAGGCTCCTCCAGGCGGCCTCGTCCCAGGGACACTCGCTTGTGTCGTTGCAGGGGATGAGGGTGAAGATCTCGGGCATGACGCCCGTCGGGAAGGCGCTGTACGCCCAGCCGCAGCCGCGGGCGAGGCGCTCGCCCAGCGAGACGTGCTCGTCGATGCTGAACAGGCGACCGCCGAGGGCGAACATGGCGCCGGCGAAGCAGGTCAGGTGCTGGCTCTGGGGGACGAGCTCGGCCGCGCTGCTGCCGCGGGCGTGGAAGTCGCCGGAGAAGAGGACGTCGTCCTCGCCGGGCAGCATGGGGCGGAAGAGGAGGTTCCGGGCGGCCGTGTCCATGGACGCGCGGTACATTTGCTCGTAGACGGGGTCGAGGCCGCCTGTGAGGGCGTGCATCTTGGGCAGGTACTCGTAGAGGGAGTCGGCCATGGCGCCGAGGCTGAAGGCGCCGCTGCGGGCGGCCTCGTTGCGGAAGTCGAGGCGGACGGGCCACATGCCGGGGAGGAGGGTGTCGTTCTGGGTCCTCTCCAGGAAGCGGGTCACGCGGTCGGTGGCGTCGTAGAACTTGGGGTCGCCCGTGATCTGGGACAGGCGGGTGAACTCGACGCAGAGGGAGGCCGGGGAGGCGGAGGGGTCGTCGACGCCGGCGGTCAGGGCGCCGGACCTGGCGTCCCGGTAGTTGAACCAGAAGCCGGGGAGGCGGTTCGGGGTGTCGAAGGCGTGGTAGAGCATCTCGCCCAGCTGCACGGCCTTGTTGAGCAGGAGCCCGTCGCCGCCGAGGTCGTACGCGCTCAGGAGGCCGCCGAGGTGGCGGATGGTGGTCTCGAACAGGTTCGCGGCGCTGTCGTCGGTGACGGACCAGTCGATCCCGCCGACGGCCCTGGCTGCCTCGTGGAACTCGTCTCGCAGGTCCATGATCCAGAGGGTGTCGAGGGCGTCCACCAGGGTCGCCGCCCACCCGCCAAAGGGGTTCTTGAAGCTGCCCGAGACGGGCGTGAGCTCGTCCTTCATCCAGGCATGTGTTCTGTACGCGTTGTAGCTCTTCTTGAAGGCATCCCGGACGGCTCGTTGCCGATTCCTGGTTTCGTCGTCGTGGATGAAGGCGTCGTCGGGGGCTTGCACCCGTCCCAGCTTTCGAGGGGGACCAGTCGGCATCGGTTTGATCGACTCGGGGGGGTGGAACAGCTTCGCTTTGGACCAATCGAATTGCGAGGTCCACGAGGCCGACGACGTGGTGCCATCATGTGATGGAGACTGAGGCGGTTGGCCTCCGGCGGCGGGAGGGTTTGGCGACAGCAGCAGCGGCGGAAGGGAATAGTCGCCTGGCATCATGTGCGTCACCAGCATGATGACCAGCACCAGACCGGTGAGCAGAACGAGCCTCGACTTCCTCGGTGGGAAAGCCATTGCGATGATGGAGTCGGCATGTCGGTAATGCAGTCGAGAGCGAATCCACCAGGAGAAGACAAACTGGCACTAACAGTGCCCGAGACACGGTCGAGAGTACGGAGTAAGACGAGATACATCCATGTTCTTGTGACCCGCATCAAGGTCGCATTGCGGGCAGACGATTCTCCCCTCCCTCTATTTACACGTGTCCCTTCTAAGGGCAACTGCGCCCTTGCAAATTTCCCTCGTCTCTCCCAACATTGAACGCCGGGTAGCTTCACGCCGTCACAGAACCCTCATCAGCGTACGTGACATCAACGTCGTCGTCGTCGTCGTCGTCGTCACCACCACCATCATCGTGCCCTCACAATGCCCGAGCAGCAGCAGAGACTTGCCTCCATCGGCGTAAGCAACATGATGCACATGCACGGACTCAATCTCCACCTCCGGGGCTCCTCGCTGACCGCGGTCCGTGACAGGCCAACGTCGATACCCGTCTCCCTCTTCATTGCAGCCTCCTCTTCCAGGCCAAAACCGCCAAAAACCTCACCTTTGCCCAGATCGCTCAGCATCTCGGCCGAAGCGAGGTCGCCTGCGCCGGGCTTTTCTACGGCCAGGTTCAAGCATCTGATGAGGACGTCGACAAACTCAGCGAGCTGCTGGGTGTGATCCGCGATGATCTCGCTGAGCAGATGATGGCGTTCCCCAATCGCGGCATATCCGTGGAGATGCCGCCCACCGAGCCGCTGATCTACCGCCTGTACGAGGTTGTCCAGAACTACGGCTATGCATACAAGGCCGTTATGAATGAGAAGTTTGGCGATGGCATCATGAGTGGTGTTTGTTTCAAGACGGACGTTGACAAGGAGGTTGACGAGACGGGCGCCGCTTGGGCCGTCATCACCATGAAGGGCAAATGGTGAGTGTGCAATCTCCTCCGTCCCAGCCCCGAGGTTCTTGGCAACGCATTGTGTGGACGTACTGATGTCTTGTTCAGGTTGCCGTTTACCCGGTTTTGATAAATGCGAGACCTTGTTTCGACTTGTGGACGGGCCTCGTCCTCGGGGCGCTAGAGAGCAGACCCTTGAAGGTTTTCCGGATATGATGGAGTAGTACAGTACAGTACAGTACAGTACCTACTTGCCTGTATTTTGAGCAACTCCTTCTCTGTTGAGCCCAGCGGGCTGCGGACTCCTTTTGATGCTCTCCCTCGTTTCGGTCTCAAATTCGCGTAGATTCCTGTCTACGCAGGTTGCCCAGTCGCCTCACCACGGTTACATAGGCCAATACTACGCACCAGAGAGACGTCTATCAAACATGCCGCAAACATGTACATGTACTTCCGTGCTACTACTGGCGCGTGACTAGGTCTCTTCCTGATATCTCCGCCGCAGCGTGGTTGGCGAAGATGCGTACTACCTGGGAATATCTGTTCGCGTTCACCAACTGTCACAGAAGATGCAGTATTGGAGTCGAGAGAATACTACGTACCACGCAAAACACAAGAGTGCTGTGGCGCTCTTCCTCGCATACTAGTCAAAAGGAATTTCGCCCAAAACTTGGGCCAGTTTTTCGAGACATGATGGGCCTCGAACCTCATTCCAAGGCCAACTGGGATTCTGGGAATACCACTACCTATCGACACGCGACAGGTGCCATTAATTTCATTTTGAACAGGTGGTAGATAGCCCGTCAACTGTCTACGACTTCGCGAAACGGTGGCGAGACTTGGAATTCCTTTGACAGCCCTCCCCCCAGCCTCGCGCCCTCAAGAGTCAATAGTCCCTTATCCGCTCAACGAACGCAGATGAGCGGGGTTCTGAAACTGTGTTCCCTTGAACGAATTGCGAGCTAGGGAAAAAGTGCGAACGGTCATGGTTGTCGCGAGGTGGTGCCGTGGCGCGTGGCAAAAGAAAGCACACAGAACAACTGGTTCCGCGTGTTCTAGCTTGGTCTAGCCATGTTGCATGCGAAATGGAGGCTGAAGCGTACCGAAAGATGATTCGACATAGGGCAACCTTGCACTAGAATAAAGGTACAGAGGGCGAGAAACGATGGCGTTGTTGTCATTCCTCAACTTACAAGGGAGAATACTTACAAGGGAGAATGCAGAGACACGGACGCGACTGTGAAGACGCATATCGAAGCGCCCCGACGTCAGCCCTTGTGTTTGGTTGTCAGGCTATGAAAGGCACACATATATAATCGGGAGGTACGCATGCCGGTTTCAAGCATCGCGTCGTCGGACCTATCTCTCTTCTCAATTCTCTTCCAACTCACGCCTCGATTTGCCGCATACACGCTGTTCCTGCAGGGCTTCACCACCGCCTCAACCCTACACATTATTCGCAATCGAGGACCTCGCCTACACCATGAAGTTCCTTTACCTTTCTCTTGTCTGCGCCCTGGTATCGGCAGCCCCGATCACCGAGGTAAAGCGCGGGATCGATCCCGGAGGCCTCGGGGGCATGACCAAGGGCATCAAATCCGCAACCGAAGCCCTCAAGGGTCTTGGTATTGGTGGTGGCCTTGGCGGTCTTGGGTCATTGAAGCGTGCTGAGAAGCCAGAGGCCCAAACGGAACGTCTTGCCCCTCGTCCCGAGCAGGCCCCCGTCGATCTCAAGGATGATGATGGAAAGGGACAGGCCGTCAAGCCCCAACAGGTCCCGTCGCAGATTACCGGCGCTGTTGAGGCAGTTGAGCATGCGGCGCTGGGCCCCGAGGCCAAAGTGCCCCTGGGGGGAGGCGTCGGTCTGTAGCGAGACGCAAAGCAAAAGAGCAAGCGCCTCTCGATGCTCCCCCGCACGCTTCTTGAAAGACGTCGGCCGTGGCCAGCTGATGAAAGACTTGCATGTTGGGTGCTAGTTGCGGATGCGGATACATTGTCGGCTGCCACGCTTGGTCAGCCCCGTCTAGTTTCGTGAGGAATCATGGCCGGTTTCTTCTTTCTTTCACTCACGGGATCAGACTGGCGCCGGGAATGCTGTACGTGCAGGTTTTGTGGCGTCACAAACTATTCAAGCCTGGACAGAAGGGGGGTTTGTGGTTGAAGGGGGCCACGGCTGTTGGGACGAGCATCTTTTGGCTGTGATGTACTGATGAATACTACTAGATGTCCTTTTACAAAGGGTCGAGTTGACTAGATTGCTGTGACACCACAATAGATGCAATCAATTTCACTTCCGCAAGACGTGAATGTGATGTAAAAATGCATCACCACCTGGTGCTGCGTGGTTGTACAGTTCGCACCTTGCGATTTCACAACACCTTCGTTGACCATGACCATGACTGATAATGCAATTCGAACGAACGAAACCTCCCGGTTGAACCTGGTGCAGTCGAATCCGAAATCCTCTATCCCGGCTCCTCGTCATTGCCCAACATCTAGGACAATTTTGCTGACCCTTTGTGATGACTGATGGGCAAAGGACCCAGCTTCGACCTTGACATCTGGGGTCGAGTCGAGTAACCGAAATTCGACTTTTGTTTTCGGTGACGGACGGGATGGGCCTAATGAAATTCTGCTCCCTCTAATTTTCGTCCGCTTTTGTCCATGTTTCCCGCGAAAAAACAATGAAGCGCATGGATCAACGATGGGATCGTCGAGCAGCACAAGCGCGTTGGTTCTGGCTCTCATGCAGGCCTCTCGCTACGCACCAACAAAGGAGAGGCGTGAAAATGACGCCAGATGAAAACTGGTCCCGTGGCTATTGCCGACATTGAAGTGGCCCAGCAAGAGCATGTGAGAAAGTGACTTGATTCGGTGGAAGAGGCATCATTGGCCGGGCGGACCAACGCTCGCTGCTTGTCTCAGTCCACGGCCTCTGGTTTTACCACGACCATGTACATATTCCCATTCATGTCGTCCATGCCCATCATCTCATCTCATTTCCATCACATCGCCCATTGTTCTCACTGACCGCCACTGGCCGAGCATCTGCGGTGCAATCGACCTCGGGCCCTCGGAGCCGCAGCGCGCGAGTTCCGGAAAGGTATCAAGCGTGCTCGAGGCCTTTGCTCGAGTCCGAGCTTGTGGTTTCCTCCTGGGCATGGAACATGGCGAGCCTCGCGAGCGACCAGCATGTCCGTCTATATATGAGGCCGGAGCATGCTGCTCGGTCTGGATTCCGACTCTATTCTCATCAACTCTTCCGACCCTGTACACTCGTTAACAGCAACAACTTCACTTCACTCTTTATTGTCCATTCTTTCTTTACGCGAAACGTCTCATCATGAAGTTCAACGGCATAATTCTTTCGTTTTGTGCGGCTGCGGCCGCTGCACCTCTCGCTGTGAGTTGCGCCGCATTCTTGTCCCAAGGCGTCGTCTCTTGTACACGGCTAATCTGGAATGAAACAGGACGTCCGCGGCAACCTCTCGGCTACTGCCGCATCTGCGGTCATGCCGTCTGCGCCGAGCGTGTCCAACAAGCTCACCGAGCTCCTCGGGCCTTCGCTGACCAGCGTTTCCAATGAGCCCGTCGAGCCCTCGGTGACCACTACTCCCCACGGGCGGATTAGGATCCAGCGCGCCCTGCCGCCGAAGACAGACGTCGTCGTCGCCAAGGCCGAGCAGATCCTGTCCGAGGCTGATGGTCCAGCTCAGTCGGCGGCCCAGGCTGACATTGGGTCCGAAATCGAAGCCATCATCGGCCTCCTGGACGACACTGCGGCAGCTGTGGCAGATGACAAGCGGAGCCGCGAGCTGCTCAAGGATGAGAAGCGTCGCATTTCCGCGGTGGTCGCCAGACTCGACGAAACGCTCGCCTCTGCCGGCCAGCTGAAGATTCTCCACGCCGCAGACAAGCGCGACAGCGCTGCCCTGGTGCGCCAAGTCAGCAACGTCGAGGCCCAGATCAAGAATGTCCTGGCAAAGCTTCGGGAGGCCGTTGGCGGCGACGACGCTGCGGCCGTCGATGCCACGCACGGCCTGCTTGTTGAGCTGCTGGGCCTGCTGACTGCAAAGAAGGAGGCTGAGGTCATCGTCGGTGCTGACGGGGGTGCTTGAGTTGGCCCGTGTGGAATGGTAGCATTGACAACTTTATGACTCACGGAAATGAGTATCATGTCCGTGGCGTACACCTATGAGTGAGGATGAAATGGGGCGGAGGGACGCTGACGGTTTATGCTGCAGCCTTTACCGCCATGTGAGATACAGTTACCTTTTTTTTTTTTTTTATAAATTATTCCGACCGGGCAGGTTGGGCCTGTAGATACTTTTAAATAGTGACTCTTATTCTCAGATACTTGCGACCCTCTGTCAAGATCCATGCATGGCCTAGCCTGATGACCGTCGACTGAGTGGCATCATTCATCTAGGCGGAGTATGAGGGATGAGGTCGTACCGAAGAGGATGTTGCGGTGTACGTACTGATTTCACCAGCAGTGTTGTCAATTTACACCAACTGACGCCGCGCCACATCCGCGCCACACCCGGCCGTCGCCGATTGGCCCAGTGCCCAGCCTCGCGGGCCCCCTCCAATTCACCCGTCGTGATGCCTCTTTGTCTGAGCCGGAAACAGTCCACTACGCATCACGTCTCATGTCCATTACATTCAACACTGCACAGGCTTTCACTTCCCTCTTTCTTCTTGTCATAGGCTGTTGCACCCAGTCCCGTCGTCATCTTTTGACCCTGTCCCTGTCTGCGCCCAAATCCCGCAATGGACGTTACTGCCCCCTCGCACCCATACTACCCTCCAACGGCCTCCATCCCGACGTATGTTGCCAATGACGCGTCTGTGCTGCGGCTCCTCGTGACCTTTGGACTCATGGTCGGCGTGGTGCTGGGCCTTTCGTATTGGCAGACGATTCAGAGCCCACTGCGCTTGCGTCCAATTGACCGCTTCGCCGTCATGTGGTTTGCCTTGTGTTGGTGCTGCCCCGACTGCGATGCCGTGTCCGCGTCTGCGTCCGCGTCTGCGTCTGCGTCTGGAGTCTGGACCTCCGTGTTGCGGGAGTAAAGCTAATACATGCCCGGCCTTCACAGGTGGATTCCTACATGTTGGGTTTGAAGGTTGGTCGAGACGAGGATGCCGCCAAAGGAAATGCGTCATAGTTTGCTAATGGCCAGCTTCAGGCTACTATGTGTACAACCGCACCAGCATCCCCCAGTTGCAGACTGTGTTTGGCCAGCTGTGGAAGGAGTATACGCTTTCCGACTCTCGATACTTGACGTCGGATGCGTTTACCATTTGTGTCGAGACCATCACCGCTGTCAGTTTCCCATCCACCGCTCTCGCGTGATAAACCACGATGATGCCGCACATTCGTCCCAAGCCCGAACAAGGCACACAACTCTTGCCAGCCGTACGCCCATGTCGTGCATTCACCGTCCTCGTCATCATATTTACTTACTCGACGACCGTGTGGAATAGCTCGTCTGGGGCCCCCTCAGCTGGCTCACCTACTTTGCCATCCTGACCAACTCGCCTTACCGCCACATCAACCAAGTCGTCGTATGTACTGCGCACCTGTACGGCGTTGCCCTCTACTACGGCACCAACCTTGGTGACTTCCGCGCTACAGGAGTCTCGTATAGCAGGCCAGAGGCTCAGTACTATTGGGTATATTATGTTGGCCTGAATGCGCCCTGGGCCGTGGTGCCACTCGGTATGCTGTTTCATCATTGTTTTATGCCAAAGCAAATATGCACTCCACCCCCACGCAGCCCTGGTGTGTTCTGAACAAGGGAGAAGAAGGGGGAGGAAGGAGAAGGAGAGGAGGCACGTGGCTAATGGCGTGCCTGTAGTTTTCCTCCATGACAGTTACAAGCAGACGGCCAGGGCCTTCCGCGCTCTGCAGGCGCAAGAAGCCGAGCGCAAGACGCAATAAGACACGGCCCGGCTCGGCTTGGCTCGGCTCGTGAATGTGATCTTTTCAGGCATCATTCACATCATGCCATACGCATCTCATGATATAATCTACCTTTTTTTACTCAGAAATGTCGCGTAACATTGACATGACAAGCATGCGGGCCCCTTGCCAGGGACCAGGGCAATCGGCCAGATTTCGGACTGTCTCTGTATTTGTTTTCCAGCCAGCACGATGCCGTGGATTCAAGACGAATGAAAGAAGAAGGTTGGAAGGAGAAAAGGAAGAAAGAAAAAAATTCGGCCAATTTTCTTTTGCGGTAGTTGCAGGCCAGCCACGTGAAATTTTGCAAATGATCAAGTCGGGAAAAGTTGATGCCAGAATCCCTCATCTCCTCACTACGCTTGGTCGAGAAAACGGGCGACGCTCAAGACACTCACTCACATCGATCCGGCCAGGCTGGACTAAACCAAACATCGTCAACCATCACCCGCTCGCCCCGTCCTCGACGGACAGCACAATATTCAGACCCTTGGGTGCCGGACCCAATGGCAACGCCGACAAATCCCAGGGTCCGCCACCCAGGACATACTTTTCCCCGTTGACCGTGACACTCTCCATCTCCAGGCGCATCTGTCGAATCTGCAGCCTGGAAGGCAGGGCCACGAGCGCCCTGGGGAATTCATGGAACCGCTCGAGCAGAACCTCGGAGACCCGCGCGAGGATGACGGCATAGTTCAGACTGCATCTATCCAGAACCATGAGCTCGCCGTAGGCCTTGGATTTGAGCGTCAGTATCATGGGATGTGTGGCACCGCATGGATAAGGAAGCGGCGGCAGCGGAGGGGGAGGATGCGTTGCCGTGTTGTATCGACTGGGCCATCCCGGAGGTGGCACAGGGACACCGAGGGGCGGCACAGGATTCATCATGACGGGAAAAAAGCCTGAACCGGCAGCAAGGGTCCGTTCTGGTGATGCCACCGTCGAGTTCGTCGAGGCAGGCGGCGTGAGGATCGGGGCGCTGGACCTGGACGAGACGACGCTGCTCCGTGTTGAACCTGTCGAAGCGTCAGACATGTGGCCTTCGTCCTCGCTGCCGGAAGGCGAGTCAAGGTAGTCCTCGTAGTTTGGGAGGGATTTCCCTCGACGACTCTTGGCCTTCTGCTGCTTGGGGCCCTCGGCGCTCTGGAACCCATTGGCCTGGACGTGGCGCTGCACGGCGCGAGCAGATTCATGGTGCATCTTGGTGAAGACGGCCTGTACCGTGTTTCCCTCGGCGGAAAGCACACACACTTGGCCTCGAGCGTCACTTTGCATCAGGTATGCTGCCCAGGGGGGCGAGTGCTTTGCATCCAAGGCGGTGATGATGTGTAGTTTGGCATCACGGCCAAGATACATGCGGCAGTTGCCTATATGAAGTGTAAGCTACAAAAGGAGTTGAGCTGAGTTTCGGCCTTTTTCCTTTTTTTTCATCTTTTCCCATGCAGTGCTCGGGGCCCCTGTTGGACCGTCTGAAGAAGGAGTCAGGTACGCAACGCACTCTTGATCTGATCTTGGTAGCTTATACTGATTGCGCTTCCGGGAGCCATTGTGCCAGCAGGCGAATCTTCGACCGAAGGAGAAGCAGAACAAGACGAAGAGACCCGCACCATGAGGGCGAAACATGAAGCGCTCAAGGGAGGAGGGCCCTCCAATGCTGAAGAGAGACGCAGAGGAAGACAGCGTTCGGCTCAGATATCAAAATGTATAAGCAAGACACGCGCGCCCAACAAAGCTTTCGGGCTTGATATAAGATGAAGCAGCGCACAGGTTGGCAGGGTCATGTCCCTTCTTCTTCCCTTTATTTATACCTCGACTCATGGACCGCAGCGACTCCGGCGTGCAAGCGCATGATGACGGCCGGGATGGGATGGGATGTCGACATGTTGGTCTTTGCCTTTCTCTTGGCCGTGCCCCTTTGCAGTTTATTCTGTGTCACCCGCTCCACCCTTGAGACGGATCCCGGGAATACAGTCAGTCATGCCTGCGCAGCCCAGACCTTGCGTTCGTCTGGGAGACAAACTCGACGTCTCTTCTTTCTCGGCTTGGTGCTCGGTGGCATTGCCGGCTTCGACTACAGCAGGGACGGAGAACAGAGTTGGACCAATAAACACAAACAAGGCGGCCAATGAGCGGCTTTCCAACGGCAAATCCAGGAGCGAGCAAGCCAGATGTCCACCCCTTCGGGTGGCGGGCATTGACACGGGGTCCGGAGGACGAGGATCTGGGGGCGTACGTATGCGGGCACGTTCGCCATTCTTCGGAACGGCTGGGGGACCTCGTGGCTCATGTACCGCGTTGGCACGTTTCCGCAGCTTGAAATGTGCAAATATTGACGACGTACGGAGCACGGAGTACACCCATCAAGTCTGGTTGTGTTTCGTGTGCCGGGTGTGTGTGCAATCGACTGGACAGTGTGGCCATGGTCTTGTTTGGAGAAGCCTTTCGACAAAAAGGCACTCTGCCGTGGACGAGAAAGATACGACGCAGCGCAGCACATCGCGTCACGGAGTACGGAGTGATGAGCACCAAATTCCGCCTGCCACGTTTGGGGGCTCATCCGGTCGGTCGCCGCCTCGTTGCCCAGCATTTGATCAAAAACATGAAAGGACAGAAGACGGACTTCAAAGCGTGATGCGCAATCCCAGGAAGACCACACCATACAATAACCGGACAACACCACGCCGAGCCCGCCCCCAGGGCAAATCAAGCATTCCGTTTCCGACCCCAGCTCGGCATTGTTTCTGCTTGTTGCGTCGTTGCCCGTGCCATGCCATGCCCATACCACCACTTCGAGAGTCTGTCTCACGAGTCACGACAAACCACGGTGGATAGTGGCCATGCCGGCCGCCCTTCACACGGCGAGACAAGAACCCCCAAAGGCACGCGGCACTCCGTGCTCCTCCGGCAGACAGCACAGCACGCAAGGGATAATAAAATTCGGGCGGCAATGCCCTTGGACCTTGGTCCCAGCGCGAGACGGACGCCTGTGTGTACCTTACCCCCTGCCCTCCAAAGCCAGGCACTGTTCTTCTTCTCTACTCCGTACTCCGTACCGGAAGGAATCAGTCGAGGGGAGCCTCCCAACAGGCTACGAGTCGTCTGTCCGTTGGCCTCGCATGCAGAATCCATGACGACCTACTCCGTACTCTGTACCCCGAACAGAGTAGGGTACCTGCACATGGCTTGATGGGCCGCCCGTGCAAGGATGGCCGCCCAAAAGAAACAACACAGCCAGCAGCCCACGAGGACCCGGCTCTCCTCCAGGAAAACGAAGAAATGAATCATAAATCACCACACCACCGCTTGCCTTGCCTGCTTCTTTAGCCCCCCCCCCCCCCCCCCCCCCGCAATGTCTTGGATTTTCCAGACAAAACTTGCACCCGTGGACGTGCTTGTTCCTTTTGATTCTCTGACTCAGCTCTCCAAGTCATTGGGCAGGTTGTAAAAAAAAACAAGGGAAGAAAAAAGACAGGGCTGGGCTGGAAACCAGATTGGCTGGACTGGGGCTTTTGCATGTCTCTGCTGCTGCCGCTGGTCGACAGCCTCACCTTTTTGCCCTTGCCCTCGCCCTCGCCCTGGTTTGGTTTGGTTTGGTTTCCACGGGCAGAGTCACGACGGGGGCCATGTCCTTTTCATTCTGTTTTATTGACTTATTCATGGGTTTCCAGGCAAATGTCTGGCCGACGTTCGGAGAACGGGTGGAAGCCATGCCCCATGATCCATCGGCCGCTCCGCTTTCCAGCATCAAAACTCACGACAACGAGTAACGTTGGGCATTGTGTGGGAGAGCGGTCGTTCCTGGTGGCGAATCCGTGGCCTTGCAGAGGTAACTAACCAGTGGCTTGGCGATATGAAGTACCTTCATTGGGTTTCCCTCCTGACCATCTGACCTCGGGGCACGGCCAGATGATGATGATGATGATGATGGGTGACTCGGACGCAGCGTCGCGGCTGCGTCGATTCTCCAAGTTTCAACATCGTCGGCGCATGTGTAGCCTGGTTGGGCCCCTGCTTTGATTGATTGTTTATTTATTTTTGTCCTCACGGCCCGCCCATCATCTCATGTGCTCCATCCATGCCATGCCGTCGTCTTCATGCACGCCACCCAAAAGCGCGCCCGGGCTCGCATGACAGGAACAGACGTGTCCAACATGTTTTGTCCATGATACACTATAGAAAAAAGGAACAAAAAGTTCAAGATTGAAAAAATCAAAAAAAGTCAGAAACCTACGTGGCCGCTTGGAGTCGTTCCAAGCGTGACGTCACCGCCTCGACCAAGGCCGACTCCCTTGCCAGCAAGCCCTGAACTTGCTGCAGTTTTGACCGCCGGATATCTTGGGGGATCCTGACTTCCCCCGTCGCCGCCGCGGCTTCCGCATGTCCCGACTTCTTCACGCTTTCCACATCCGCCAGCAGCTCTGCTTGCAGCCTCTTGACGTCCTCGAGGCGCCTCCATAACGGCCTTGGCTGCTGCGCAGCGCCGTCCTCTCGCCGTCCACCCGCCGGCGGTCCCAGGACGTTGGCCTCCAGGCTCGTCACCTCGTCCACAAAGGCCCTCTCCTTGGTGCTGAGGTCCCGCGTCGTCGCCTTGCCGACAATCTTTCGCAGACTGTCCACGCGCTTGGTGAGCCGCTCTTGTCGGTCTCTCGCCTCGGCTACGCGCCGATCGTACATGGCGTTCTCGGCCTCGTCGTTCCCGTCTCCCCCTCCGCCGTTGATGCTGTCGATCCGGCCCTTGACTTCGTTTGCCTTTCTCACTTGCTGGTGTAGTTCTGACTGGAGCAACTCGCATCGCCTGAAGACCTCTGCCGCCGCTACTCCCAGTTTGTACGTCTCGTCGCTGAGCACTTTGTGCGCGTCCGTGAAGATCTGGAGCGTGAGCGGGCTGAGCCTCACTTCCTGGTTGACAATTGTCTTGTGACGAGATGTCCGTAGCCGCTCCAGCAGCGTCGGCAGAGCGGACCCCTCGTCAAACGCTCGGGGCGGGTTGTACACCGGTCGCGGTTCGCAAAAGTCTAGCGGCGCCATGCTGGCCTCCCGCTCCCGCACGGGGCTCTCCTGCTTCACGGGAGCGAGGTCCACGTCGGGCGTCTCAAAGGTCAGGGCAATGGCTTCGTACGGCGTCGCCGAGAGCAGAAAGTAGCCCAGGTCAGGATCTCTGATGGCGACGCACGCTGCGAGAGGCGTGGCCACGTCGGCGCTTGGCTGCGCGTAAATCCTGTCCCTAACAGATTGTGAGTTGACCAGCAGCCCGATCCTGAAGTCGATGCCGGCCTCGTGGTCCGCCAACAGCTCGCCCTCGAGGCGGAAGACCCACGACGTCAGGGACACGAATGTGATGCCCGCGTGATGTGTAACGAAGAAACTGTATCTGGACATGACGTCGTTGCTGAACACCGGCCAGCAGTCCTCGCTCACCTCGACGGGGCTCATGGTGTCGATCGCTTGGAAAGCAAGCAGCGAGGGAGGGCCGCTCGGTGTCGGCGACCGCCCAAGTTTCGCTTTGTTCTTGGGCGGGAGCCACTGCGCCTGGATGCCTTCGAGATCGAGGTACACCCTGACCTGGCCGCTTGCGGAGAGTAGGCAGATGACGGGCAGCGACAGGCCCTCCTGATCGCCGTCATCCAAGTCGACATCTTCGTCTTCCCCCAGCATGAGACGATCCGTCTCCGTCTTCTTCCCAATCACCAAGATGTCAGTGATGGCAGTGTCCAGGTCATCGCCAGTCTCGGGGTCTGATTCAAGATAGAACGGCCCTTGTAATCGGGGAATGACGCCAGGCCGAGTTGGTCGTGTAAAGACCTCGACAATGGGCTCTCCTGGCAGACTTTCAAGGATCTGAGGTTCCTGCGCATCCAGTTCCCCCATCCACTGCAGCTGCTGTTGAGCCAGGAGTTTCTCCTTGTCGTCAATTTCAGGATCGTCCTCGATGCTGGCGACGGTCGTGACGATGGAAACAGACAGGGACGGGATCAATGTCGGCGGGGGCGCCCATCTCTGGGGGAGCAACGGGCAGAGAGCGTAGACATCGCCCTCTCGCATGGCTACCCAGAGAGTCATGGGGTTCCAGCCTCCTGAGCCCTTGGCCGCGAAGCTGGCTGTGGCTACTTCCATCTCGAATGAATCTGGCGAGAAGGCCTTGTTTGTTGCCGAAGTCGATGCGGAAAAGTCCTGATCCAGGGTAGTACCGTCAGCAAGCTTCTTGAGATCTACCGAGGTCGTAGGGGAGTCGAACGACCAGCGGTCCTGCATCGACAGCTCCCAAACTCGGACAATCGCATCCGCTGTAACGGTGACAAGACAGGAGCCATTGACCCCCAAAGGATGCCACAGGGCTGACATGATGGGTGACCGTGAAGTTACATGGGTAGTCGGGCCGAGGGTGTAAATCTTGGGCCGCAGAGGAGAGGTATCCTCGCTCGTTAGATGCGACGAGTCGGGTATGGAGCAAATGTGAACCGTGTGTGTCGTGAGAATGGCCAAGAAATTTGAGTTTGGCGAGATGATTATTTGTCGGATTTCATCAGCCACTGGAGTTTTCATGATCTTTGGTGTTTTAGCAACATTAGCAACACTAATCCGTTTTAAAAAAAAAAAAAGAAAAAGAAAAGGGGGTTGTGAGAGGCCACGCGGCAATGACATACCCTCAGCCCAGGTGCAGCATCTATCTCTCCTCGTTCAATTGAGGGAATCGAGTCTTCTCTCTTGATCCAAACCCCCGCAGCGCCTGTCCCCGATCTCGCTCTCGACTGTCTGACTGACCATTCATCCTTAAGGTAGGCCAGATCAGCCCATCGAATCTCCTTGCCCACGGCAACGAAGACCTCAGTGCCCCGACGGGCAATCGTTCTCCTAGGGCCGAGGATTGACCTGGCCCTGGAGGGCGGCGACAGAGCCCGCGATCGTACCGCGTCGGCGGAAGGCTCAAATAGCTGGCGGCCCGGCGCCTTGTTGTTGGACAGCCACGCCGACGAGAAAGATTTGACCTTGGGCATGGTAGCGTCGGTCGTGAAAGCTGCCTCCTGCGAAGCAGAGCAATACGGGCGCTTCGAAACTCGGCGCGGACGACAAGTTCTGGCGTAGCAGCAGCTTCGTATTGCCTCTTGAGCAGACACCGCTACGGTTGAGCTCAGACCGAGCGAGGCGAGGGCACCGAAGAGTTGACTTCGAAGAGAGAAAAGCAAAGGCAAGCAAGTGGCTGAGAGAGGCGCCAAGTGCTTAGCGCGCGTTTGCTGGCCGGGCCGCCGCACGTCTCGTCTCCACTCTGACCGAATTCGAACCAAGAGTCCAAGGTCCAAGACGGGCAGCAGCTCAAATGGGTGGGATTAAGAAGTACGTAGTTGGACTGTTTTCTTCTTGCTTCTTCCGGATCAGCAGATTTGTGCATAGATGTATACCGTATACCGCGAATCGGGCTTTTCGAAAACAAAGCTAGCCTTCATAATCAGCTCAGGCTATCTATCCTCTTGGCCTTGTGGTCTCATATGCAGAACAGGAACGATGCATGGGAAGAAGATGAAGATTAAGCGCAACAGTTTCAACTCACAATTAACAAGAGCCATCCTGTCATTCGTTATGCCCTTGCAACACGTCACGTCGTTTGTTCCTTCCCACTCGCCCACTTCACCAGATGTGGGTCCGGAGCTCACAGACTTGGCCTACCTCAGCCTTGCCCTCGCCCTCGACCTCGACCGCGACTCCGACCTCGAGTCGAAATAGTGATAGTTGCCACGGTCCCCAAGTCCTCGCACTCACCAAGTCTCGTCACCTCCAAACACCAGTCTCGCCTCCGTGCATCACACAGCGGTCGTCCTGGCTGCGCCATCGTCGAAATGCGTCCCGACACCAGAAACACAGTCGACCGTCTCGACCGCCCAAGCGCATACTACAACAGCAGAGTTCGTCCGCCTCCTCCCTCTTGCTTCGCATCGACTCTAACCATTTCACCAGAACAAGCGGCGACGCGAGCGAGACGACGACACCGCCAATGGTGACACCCCCGCCGAACCGCCCGCCGACCCTCTGGCCAACGCAACCACGCTCTACGTCGGCAACCTCTCCTTCTACACGACTGAAGAGCAGGTCTACGAGCTCTTCTCCAAATGCGGCGAGATCAAGCGTCTTGTCATGGGACTGGACCGCTTCCAGAAGACACCCTGCGGCTTCTGCTTTGTCGAGTACTACACGCACCAGGATGCGCTGGACTGCATGAAGTACATTGGCGGCACCAAGCTTGACGAACGCATCATCCGAACGGATTTGGATTCCGGGTTCGAAGAGGGCAGACAATATGGCAGAGGCAAGAGTGGTGGCCAGGTGAGGGATGAGTATCGAGAGGACTTTGACGAGGGTCGAGGCGGTATCGGCCGCGCCCTGCAGCGGGAGTATGACGAAGAGGATCGGTAAAGGCACTGGCCGGGCGAGGGGCAAGAGGGAACTGGTGTTTGAGTAGCATCTTGATACCCGGTAGGTGGGCTCGTGTGCAACTCCAGTACGGCCATGTTTTGAAGCGCACCGCAACACGCAGGTTGACGGACATGGCGTCACGGAACTGCACGACTTGACGGGGAAAATGTGTAGTGGTTTATAGACAAAGCCGCTGTTCTAATGGTACAGAGACATTTTTTCCTGCGGTGCATTTCCTTCCAAAACTCCATCTTGTCAGCCAGCATCGGCTCTCGCGAGTCGGCCCTCGGACCGGACGCCCTCAAAATCCCACAGTGTTGGTACAAAGGCCCATCCAATCGCCAATATCTTGGATGTCCAGATCCAGCGTCCACGTCTTCCAAACAGCTCCCCACCCAGTCGACGCAACTCAATAACCAGGCGGATTGACTCTCTGCGACACTCTCGTCCACTTGGGCAGCTCTACAGCAAGGTCAGCCGGAAAATGCTCTCGGCGCAAGGAGCACGGGCGGAAACATACTGTGAATGCCCTTCCTGTACCGCTTCGCCTTGCGGTCAAACATGGTATACTTGTCCCTGGGCAGCATCTCGGCCTCAGTGGGCATCTCGGTCTTCCACCGCTCCAACGCCTCCAGCGTCTGTCCCTTGTTCGCAAGCGCCGAATGCAGCGTGGCCACGACGCCGTCCACCGCACGCAGGCGCAGCCGGTGCCTCCGCTTCTGGAACCTCGACAGCCGCCAGGGGATCTTCCACAGCAGCCCGCCCGACAGCGGGTTCGTGATTCTAAACGGGCCAAACATGGCGTGCGTACGCGAGTACGCGTGTGGGCGTGTATCTGTGTGTCCGCGGATCCGCGCCCTCTCGGTCGGCAGTACGTGATGGTCTTTTTCTTCCCTCCCCCGCGGGGCCGTGGGACCGTGGGACCGTGGGTAGATGGATTGGCGCGGGCGTCGATTCGACGTGCAGATTCGTTGTTCACGACGGGAGGCCGTCAGAATTTCCCACGGACTCGGGAAGCTGCCGTGAGTTGCCGTGAGTGGGGCGGAAGAATTGAACTTGCGGCTCCTTCCCCCTCCCCCGGGCCCCGCCTACATGCATAAGACGTCGACACCACGACCACGACACGACACGACACGACACGCAGCCCTCGCTCAAGACCTTATATCTTTCATCGCCCGACCTCAGCTGCGCGGCGGGGGAACGGCCAAGGTGAAGAAACACGAGCCCCCCCCCCAAAGCCAAGCCCGCTCTCAACGCGCCGGCTCGCGAATGAGACCCCCCGCACAATCATGAGCTACTACTTCGCCATCGTCGGCGCCCAGGACAACCCCCTCTTCGAGTACGAATTCGGCACGTCCAAGCAGGGCGGCGACGGACACTCCCGGTTCTCAGACCAACTCCGCCCCCTGAACCAGTTCATCCTCCACTCGAGCCTCGACATCGCCGAGGAGGTGCAGTGGGCACAGGGGCAAATGTGCGCCCCCCTTCTGTACGGCGGACGGCGGACAATGGCTGGCCACGCTCGCCCTCGCCCTCGCCCTCGCCTTGGCACCGCAGCCCGCTGATCCCGGCGGAACAGGTACCTCAAGTGCATCGACAAGTTCTTCAACAACTACATATCGTGCTTCGTCACGGGCGCCAACGTCAAATTCCTCCTGCTCCACCAGCCCGTCGTGCCCACGTCCACGAGCTCGTCGCGATCGTCGACTGCTATTGGCGCCAACCCGACGAGTCCGGCGACCGAGGAGGCCATCAAGATGTTCTTCACCGAGGTCTACGATAACTGGGTCAAGGCTGTCATGAATCCGTTTTACAGGGCAAACACCGACGTGGCGAGTCCCGTCTTCAGGGCGAGAGTTGCGGCCGCGGGGCGGAAATATTTGTAGCCACGACTGCACCCAGACCGACCGTGTGGGTTTGGATCGTTGAGAAGAGTCGTGCCAGAGCAGATGGACCTGTGGGCGTCACAATGATTCAACGACAGCAAATTTTTGTTGCAGAGGCGCATGGTTTTGCTTACTCCGTCACAAGACACAGACACAGAGATGTGAGTTGAATGGAAATTGCACTTGGTATTCGTCTCAAAGGTCGCCCGTCTTTGCTCTCGGGGCGCCTGCATGATTTCTCGTAAACCCAGTCCGTCCTCCCCACAAACGCCAGAATGTCAAGAAATACAGTTCCCATGTCGTAACCTGCCGAAACCTTACTCCACTCGGTTCCAAACCCCAGCCCAAACCCGTCTGCCACGCCCTCGTAGTGTAGTATGATGTACAGAAGCCAGGCCAATGTCGTGTGTATGAATGTAAAGCTCAACCGACACCAAGGTGCGTTTAACCGCCGAAACCGTACAGTGTGCGGCCTTGTCGCTTCAGGGCATAGACAACGTCGAGCGAGGTGACGGTCTTGCGCTTGGCGTGCTCAGTGTAGGTGACGGCGTCACGGATGACTCCCTCGAGGAAGGTCTTGAGGACGGTGCGCGTCTCCTCGTAGATCATGGCAGAGATACGCTTGACACCACCACGACGGGCGAGACGTCGGATGGCAGGCTTGGTGATGCCCTGGATGTTGTCACGAAGAATCTTTCGGTGACGCTTGGCACCGCCCTTGCCGAGGCCCTTGCCGCCTTTTCCACCTGTCGGATGCAAGTCAGCACGAGTGCACGAGGCTCAGATGCAACACTTAGGCTTGCGCATCATGCTTTGTGTGCGTCTCTCTTGTTGATCGGCTGCGACCATTGAGCTGCGCCACCGGCTCAACCAAAAGTCGCGCAATTTGGACAACAGGCAGACTCGAAAGCACTACGAGATGCACCAATGAAGATTTCGGACCAAAAAAAAAAGTATTACTTACGTCCAGTCATGGTGATGGATATATATAAATGTAAAGTCTTCAAGATGGATCTAGACGTGTCGCGTTGTCGCGTTGATGACGTTGAGTCAAATGCAAAGTGATGTGCTCGGTGAGAGAGGGTGTGCGTAAGGAGATGTGGAAGCGGGGAGATCAACGGGGGGGGCGCGAGGGGGATGGCAAAATAAATACGTGGATGGAATCAGTCAGACCGGCCGAGTCGCCCGCCCCGGCGACTTCCAAAACACAGATCAGTAGTAACGTGGAGCGGCGGTGCGAAAACTCGCCAAAGTGCGCCGTGTTATTTTCCCTTTGTAGGGGGCGATCCGGGAAATGCGTTTGGCGCTAGTCCCGTTATGGGGTGGGCGTGTGTCTCCTCACCGTCAAGTAGCGGTGACTTTGGACGGATGTGTGCATGGGCTGGCCGCAAGTACTACCTGCTGATTTGCGAATTTAAATCAGCCACCTAGTGCTCCGCACTACTTGCTCGCTCCTGCTCCTGCTCCTCCTCGCCGCGCCTGTGCCTCCGTCGCAGAGTACGTGTACACAAACAAGCACTCCGTGCTCCGTACCGCCGACGAGCGCGTTCTGCTGCCTGTGTGCTGTGGGGCCGCACCAAACTGATTCTGCGCACGCGCCGTGCTGCTCGGTACTCGGTAGCAACCTTGCCGGACAGCTGCGCCGAGGAAGGAGCGATGGCCTCAGGCTTCAACGTCAACTGCCATGACAACTTTGACAGGCACCAACAAGATCCAATTTCATCTTGATTCTTGAGTGATGCCATCCCCAGAGAGCCTGGCGCAATTTACCCCTTCGAATCGCACTCGGGACTTGTTGAGCGATACATGATACATCGATCCAACACGCCTGGAAACAAGGAGTCCCTTCAACTTGGCGCACGCTTTGGCACCAATACATAATTTGCTGCTATATACCATACCGCACTTATTGATACACGCAACAACTGGCCTCGCAAACCTGCCTCCTTTTCACTCCATGCCGCTCCCTATCCAAGCCGACTTGCTGTGACTACCGCCTAATTATGCAAAGTTGAAAGCACCAAAAAGCAAAAATTTTCACAACGCCAGTGCCATGCCGTACCATGCCATGCAACACGCTCATCCCAATCCGTATGCTTTGCTGCCCTGAGCTGCGGCAACTCTCTATTCCAACTGGAAAGCTTCCTTCGCTTTGACTTCCTGTTTCATTGCATGGGCAGTATCGATATAGTCGTCGTCTTCATCGTCGCTGGTATACCCTAAGCAGAACGCCGCCACCTGTCCCCTTGATCACATTTAATGGATCGCCTAGAGAAACCGTCCGAAAGAATTCGTTCCGGTTACTCGTGACATCATGCCATCATTGAATCGTCCATCGGTACATCCTCTTCAAAGCTTTCAATTGCTTCTTTGATCTTTGGTCCGGCCTACCAAAAATCGGGTCAGTGACATGGTCCGCCAGAAGGGAGAAAAAGAAAGAAAAGAAAGAAAGGAAGGAAGAGAAACCAAAAGGTCAAGTCCTCACCTTTGGATCAAGGGCGAGAGCAATGGTAAAGTGTCGGACGGCCAGTTGCCTTTCATTCGTATTCCTATACAGAGTTCCCAGTAGGAAGTGAACGGTGGCCTCGTCAGGGGCCAGATCTTTCAAAATCATGAGCTCCTTCTGCGCTGCTTCAACTTGCCCAACAGTGAGCAGAGCTCGGGCCTTCTTGTACCGAGTTTGTGCTGCTCTTGGTGCCAGTTCCGCTGCCTTGGTATAAGCATGCAGTGCTTGTACCATTTGTTTTTGCTTCTCTAGAACACCTCCCATGCAGCAAATGAGGACAGCGTTGTTGGGGTTGATCGTTTGCGCTGCATAATAGTGGTCGTAGGCTTTTTCAAAGGAGCCAAGCCGCTCCTGAACTCTGCCGATACCGTAGTAGGCGTTGTAATGCCTCCTGTCAGCGGATATGGCCTGGCGATACGCCGTCAGGGCCTTGTCATATTCTTCGTTGGCAACGTGTTCATGGCCTTGAAGGGTAAAGGCGTATGCAAACTTGGGGTCCAGTTGAGTAGCTCGCTTGAAGCAACGGAGAGCTTGTTCGGGGTCTCGCGCCAACGACCAAGCATTGCCCAATGCGCACCAAGCCTGCGGCGAGTGCCATGCCGAGTCGACCAGTTCGTGCGCCAGGAATGACAGGTCGGTTTCTCGTTTCAGGTGCCACAAGATCGTCGAGTACACTTCCATATCCTGAAGACGGGACGGCGCCTGTACCCGCATTCTGCGAAAGAACTTTTCTGCTTCCGCATATGCTGCCTGCTCGTAGTGGGAGCGACCCATCTGGGAGAGAACCCATGGGGTTCCCTGTTGGGCAGACGGCAGGGAGCTGAATGCCTGAAGGGCGTCCTGACATTGAAATTTCGAAAGGGAGTAGTAGCCATTGCCCAGCTTTTTGACGAGATCCAGGGTCCACTTAAGCGCTTCTTCGACCTTGACAGCATCCGACTCTATCGCTTTGGACGGTGCTGGTGGCGGCGGCAGCGGTTCCCTTGTCCTTGAGGCCTCTCCGTGGTCTACGTCGGCTTGGTCATCCATGGGCTTTCTATTGCCACTCACAACTCTGCCGACACTGGAACCACTGGAACCTGGCCGCATGATGCGTGAGACCGGGGGCCTAGCCTTCTTTAACTCACGCCCAGCTGACGTGCCTATCGTAGCTGCCCCTGTGTTGGCCTTTGCGGACGGCTTGAACATGTTGAGCCTGGCGCTCCGTCTCATCAAATGCTCATCCGAATTTGTCGACCTTGGGACTGGATGGCCTGATAAGGTACGCTTCCTCTCAGCCGCAGCTATATGGCCAGCCCTGGTGCTGGCAGTTGTTGCAGTTGCAGTCGACATTGCGGCGGTTGTCGCTGGACCATCATGCATAGGTTCCACGACATGGTGCTCCTGAGCATGTCTGCCGTTCCTCTTCGTCCCTAATCTATAACTCATACGGGGAGGTGCGTCCAACCCAACATCGATGCCTTGACCATTCCTAGTCCGCCTCGCCGGTGCTTGAGGTGGTTCCTGGCTGTACATGGGCCGAGCAGCCGTTGCATCAGGGAGAGTCGAGTGCCCCGTCGGGGTCTCCATCCCTTCTACAGTCGATGAGGGTTGGGAGTTCGTAGACGCTGCGAGTCGTAATCGAGCACTCTGGATTTTGGACATGAAATCGTTCTCCGGGGCTTCGGCAAACATGTCTACCATCGGGGTGCCCGTTTCCGCAGATGAGAAGCTGATACTGAAGGGATCTGATCCCAAATCCGCTGCAATGTTCCTCGCCGTTGATCGTTTCAGCGACACTGCATCCACAGGTATCCCGGCTGACGATGACGCATCTCTCGGATGATCCACAACGCTTATGCCGGTATCTGAATCGAAGCTCTGAACCAAGCCCTCATTTGATCTAAAAATATTGGGAACGCGAACGTTGATGCCCATGTCGCAGAGGGCCGTAAACGCATCCCACATGAATGGGTTCTTCCTGAGCGATTCCTCAAAGCAGCTCACGGCCTTTTTCTTGTCGCCATAACCGCGGTGCAGCTTTCCAAGCAGGCAAAGAAGGGCAGGTATATCCGGAAATCCCGCTCGCGTCGTAGCGGTGTGTTTTCCGACACTGCATTTCTGCGACCACAGGGCCTTGGACTTTTCAAGAGCCAAGATACCATCCTTGTATCGTTCCAGCGCCAGACACGCCTGAGCAAAAACCCAGGTGCAGCCCAGGTTGCCCCCTCGGTATCCTATGGGTTTGGACACATCATACGCAGACCGATGGTCACGTAGCCGCAGGTAACAAAGCGAGTGCAAATATGTAGCATCGGCGGCCTTGGGATCTTGGGCGGCAAATCGTTCGGCAAAAAACAGCGCGTTGTCGTATGAGGCATTGTCGATATGGTAATAAATCACCTGCCGCAACAGGCCTCCGACGGCCGCCAGATTTGGCGCCATTCCGGATCAGCCCACGCTCTCGATTTGGAAAAACAGAGGACTCGTCAGGCAATTGCCAATGGGGGGAGGAATATCAAGATGAAGGTGCCATGGGGAGCCGCCGACCTGAGGCGGATAACTGAGCACTTTGGACGCGAACGGTTGGGGCTTGCGGCCGATCACATCAAAAGGAGAGCCGCCCGGTAGTGAAATTCCGATGTCATACGTCGGCTCGGGAAATGCGACGGCTAGTTCGTCAGTCTTGGTTGTCGTCGAGATAACGGTGGTGGTTTGTTATTGTGAATGAGAAGCACGACCGCTCCACCAAAATAAACGCCAACAGCGAAAGGTCGTCGTACTGTGCACCGTCATGAACAACAAAAGAGCGGCCAGATTCTCTCAGAGATATCGCCGAAGCCGCGCTGAATCGTCAATGCCCGGAAATAGAGGGTTGGCTAGCAAGACGAGAAAATTCCAAAGGCTTTGGGTTGAGTATTGGTGAGGTCAAGAACGGTGGGTCCCCGATCAGTCCCCAGCCAACGACTTCCAAGTGCAGGACCTTATTAAGCGTGCAGTGCGTGCGAGGGACGGTTCCGGCGACAATACATGACAGCACGAGGGGAGAAGGGACTGCGTAGTGCGAGAAAAGGAGCACGCGTTGGTCGTCGCGATAGGGCCTTGGGCTTGATCAGGGCTATTCAGGCTCTGGCTCGGTCGGGCACGCAGGTTTGTTAGCAGAACGGCCACGGCGCTGATGAGCGACGAGACGCGTCAGGCAAAGATCTGGAGACGGAGGATGAGGTGAGCACTGAGTAGCCGGCCAAGTACTCCTTACGGAGTAACCAGTAACCAACCACCACCTGCAGCCTCGCGCAGTTGTTGTGGACGCGACGCTGCTTGCCCGGCAACAGAGCCAAGCTGCAGGGGTGGGTCCCTCCTTCTAGATGATGTCCCAGTGCCTGCCTGCCTGCCTGCCTGCCTGTCTCGCCCGCCCGCAGTGCCGCCGTTGGGGGCGGCCAAGACCAGGCGCCCACGGACGGGCATCAGCTCCTCACTGACAGTGTGCAAAAATGGCAACATCGCATCATCGGCATTTCACGGCCAACAAACTCGACGACATCAGTCATCCATCGCCGCCTAATTAGATGTCTCAGAGTCACTGTCACTTCTCAATCCCTTCCCCTCCACCACACCTTTTCCGGCCCCTCCTGGAATAGCACCGGACCGTCTCCCCCCTCTCCCTCTCTCACGCACAGTCACTGACAATGGCGCAAAAGGCCAAAAAGGACCGAGCCAGATCCAACTCATCAGCCCTCAACACCCTGCACGTCGGCTCTCTAACCGTCAACGTGCTCTTCTTATTATCGCACTGCCTCTTCCGCCCTCGGTCTCTCGTGGCTTACGGATTTTTCCTCACACCCAGCATCATTTGCGAATATGTCCTGGAGATGTCGGGCCGCCCCAAGTATGATGCCACCACGGGAGCTCTCAGGACTGCTGGGGAGGACCTCTCCAACCCTGGGTTGACCGAGTACATGTTTGACGTTGTTTGGGTGACATGGGCATCCACCATTGTCGTCATCCTGTTCGGCAATTGGGGATGGCTGCTGTGGACGGTTGTCCCGGCCTATGGTGTATACCTTGGCTCCGGGCTCTTGGGCCTGGGCAGGCAGAAGATGGCGGAGATGCAGGGTGGAACTGGCGGTATGGCTGCTCCTCAAGGGAATCGCCGGGCACGAAGGGCTGCCTAAAAGAAAGGAACTACGGTGATGTAAATGAGATGGCCAAAATCAAAAAAGCTATGGTCTAGAAAAACGCCATTCTCTGTCCATCATTGACTCCATCGCTCCCATAATGCGTCCTGTCTCCTTCTCCATTTCAGAAGGAAAGACATCCAAACCAAGAACCCGGGCAAGCACGCACGATAGTTCGTTCCATCAGTTATTTCGCTTCGGCCTCTCCCCAGACCACCGCTCCAACATATCATCGTCCACATCCCTGACCAAGACATGAATATGTTCTAGCGCCCTCACGCTCTGCAGCGCAACCCAATTCTTGAACCAGAGGACCTTGTCCTTGCCCTCTTCGCCCAAGGAATCAACAAAATATCTCTTCACAAAGGCCTCCACCAAAGCTCTGCTCTCCGGCGTCATGTCGCCCCTATCGCCGTCCGTCGCAATAAACGTACGCGTCCACACCACGAGATGCGTGACGTTGGGCTCAAGCCCATACGGCCAGTCATTCAAGAGGACCTTGTAGTCCGACGCCTGGTCGAAGGGGACATCAGACTCCGGCGTGAATGGCGGCTGCCCCCACGTCGTGGGAAGTCGATTGGCGAGGAGATAATTTGTCATGCTGCCGTACCGGGCTTTGGTCTCGGCCGTCCATTTTATGTAGCGCCTCAGATCCGAGGGGACGCGTTTCAGCACAGAGAGGTCGTTGGCTTCTATGGCAGAATCAGAAAACCCGTGACACAGTGCATCTTGGCCCGGTGAAGAGGGGAACGGTTCGTCCTACCGATTATTTGCTTCAAATCTTCCCAGCTGTGCTTTTTAAACTCCTCATCTGTCTGTGAAAGCACCCGCTTGTCGACGTCTGTGAGAGGAAACGGTGCGTCCTGCATCTGACTGGCGACATCGTCACCCATTTTCTTTTTATTTTATTCTGTTTACCCCACCCCCTTTTTTTTCAACGCTGAAAACGCCGAGGTGGACGAAAAAGGCGCAAGGGACGTCCGCCTGGCTAACAAACGAGGACCTCTGGAACGCGGATGCAAAATCAACAAGACAACAAAAATTACAGACAGCTGTGTCAATGGTCAATGCTTACAGTGTCTCTGTCAAGAATCAAGAAATCACCTCGTTTTCATATGTGGTTCACGCATGTCGGCCAGCCTTGCTGTAGTCAGCAGTGAAGCCACATGTATCCAGGGACTCGTAGGGAGGCACCTGCGTCGCGTCGCGGCCCGAAAGAGTCTGGTCCTCAAAGAAATCGCTGTGTACTTCTTATTAAAGTAGTGCTACTTTGCGGCGCTACCACCCACTAACCACACGCCCATGGAGACCGCGAACGCCCACTTGGCACGGGCTAGGGTTAGGGCGTGAGATGTGGTGTGGGCGCAAAGTTGAGTAGTTTGGGAGTCTCCTTCTGCAACAGCCCGAATAGCGACTTTTACAGCCCAGAACCTCAACTGCTAACCTCTAAAGTTACCATTTATTACCTAATCTAACGTAGCATCGGCATCTCGTGACCAACTACTTATTAGCACCGAAGGAAATAACGTTACTAACCTTACTGCATTTCCTTTCCTTTCCCAATAGCATTAGCACTGCGTTTGAACAAACCGCCACCTTCACCACCACGTAGCTGCTTGCTCATCCGGGAACGAGATTCCCAGGACATAGATCGGGAAACCAGACTCGGCACCAATCGGGGTCCCGCCACTCACAGTGTCGTTAATTGCCATCCATCGACATCGTTCCGCCGACGGTCCATTCGAACAAGCACCAGACCAACCATGATCCCGTGCCGCTCTCTCATGCTTTTGATGATCTGACAATCCCTTCATTCCTTGAACAAGCAAGCGGAGGGTTCCGCCATTTGCAGCCCATCGTTGAAATGATCCTCCGCCCCGTTTCCCTCCTGGACTGCGCGGTAGCGGCAATCATAATTACGCCTCAAATCTTCTACACTGCTGGTCCTTTGGGTGGTTTGGCCGTTGTCATCAGGATTCTTCCGTTTCTTTGTGAGTTCAGTCCACGTGTTTCTCGTGCCGCTCGTAACCTGACCACGTCCAAGATAGTATTCAGACTTCCTTTTTATTTTCTCGCTCGCTACGTCAAGCCACGCGATGCACAGCCGTGGTTCATCGCCGAGTCGTCTCTATTTGAGGACATGATGATCCGGATTGTCAGATATGGATTCACGAATTTGCCCGTCAAGACAGTCAGGGTCCTCTTTACCAAGCATTTCGCGTATCCGTTCTTGAGGTGGAGGATGTTCAGGAGCGGACATTTCAAGTTTCCCGCTCATTTGCAGGAGAATTTCATTGAGCAGGTAGGCTTACTGAGGCTTGATGTACTCATGAGATGAGATTGTTGACTATAAGACAGGGCAACACATCTGTCACGGGTCTTTGGATTAAGCATGATCCGGGGCGAGGGCCCGATGTGGTAGTCTATTACATTCATGGTATGTGAACTTTTTTACAAAATTTGAAAAAAAAAAAATTAAAAATTTTTTTAAAAAATCCCCATACATCACTGCACTGCGTATTTATATACCGTCTCCATACTCACCAAGCACCAGGCGGAGGGTTTGCATTGGGCTCGTGTTACTTTTACCTGGAGTTTCTGCTGGCCATGCACCACTTACTACTGAAGGCTGGGTTTGAGAATCCAGCCATCTTTGCACTAGAATACTCTCTCGCTCCCGAAAAGACACACCCGACTCAGGTCAACCAAGCCGTCCTTGGTTACAGACACATTTTGGAAGAAGTCGGGGATGCATCCAAGGTGTGCATCGCTGGAGATTCAGCCGGTGGGACCTTGACGCTCAGTCTTCTTCTACAGCTGGGGAAGAATTCCAGGGGATTTCAATCAAACGGCTCTACTACACTTGCTGTTCCCAAATTGGCCGTCTTGATCTCACCATGGATCACGCTCGTTTCAAATACTCACTACCCGTCAGAGCTGGACTACCTAGAACGAGATACGTTGTGGAAGTACGGAAGGGCGTATGGGGGATCAGGGGTGCATGACTATATAGCATCACCCGGCCTGTGCCAAGACGGAGATCTCTGGACGGCAGTCAGTCCACAGCGAGGATACTTTATTGTATACGGGGAGGAAGAGACGCTTGCGCCGGATGCAGAAGCATTCGTTCGTCATCAACGAAGAAACAATATCGAGATCGACGCCATGGAGTTCAAAGGCGGCATTCACGCATGGCCGGTAGCATCGCTAATGCTGTCGGGGACACGGGACCGTCGGCTACAGGGACTCGAATCTATCGTCAGACATGTTAGAAAGAAATTCAGTGACGATGCTTTCACAAGAAAGAAACGCGCTATCTCTGACATAGAGTCATCAGATTAGATCAAGTTAAAAAGGGTATGCAATCATAGACAGAACATGATAATCGCAGCTCGGGAACCAGAGCGGCCATCCAAGATGCGCTCGGCTTCGTCACCGCCACGTCGTCTCTGTGATTTGTAAAGCTCATGATTTGAATCATCATTAAATCAAAACTGACAGCGATAGACTAGTTCTACACTGTGCTCACGAAAGAGGAGCAGCGGGGAATGATTCTTACCTCATGATGTCTCGCACCGCGGCGCATGACCATCAGACCATGGACACAGCTGGAATGGCTTTGTTGTCCAGTCAAAACTATCTACCCTTCAGAAGCAAGAAGCAAACAGAATGTGAAGGTGCAGCCTTCAATCCACCTGGGAACAATAGACAGTCCACGGACCCCGTGCCAGACTCGACGAAATCATATTACCTCGCGGGAGGGCAAGGAGAGATGGCACGCGGGATTCGCCAGGAGGACAAGCTTGTGAACTGGTCGAAAGACGTTTTGGTACGTGTGTCTGATTTTTGGCTGGAGAGAATAGCCATGCTGTATGTTGAGGCTCCGTGGAGCTCAAGGGAATGATGGAAAGCAAAGATGAGACGATGTTGTGCTGTGCAAGTGAAGAGCGCAGCCTGTCAAAAAGGCATCCGCCTTGGCGCTAGGGCTTCAGCGGTGGGGCGAATCTGGGCCTGGTGGCACCTCAGCTTGGTACGTACTCCGTAATTGGCCGGCCCTCAGTACAAGGTTGCAGGTTGACGCGCTTCTCAAACGACTTTCACGTTCCACCTAGTCGGCCACTGCAGCGATGGCCGGTCAGATTCGATTTGTCGCTCAATACCACTTGGAGACAAAGCGCCAGGACAAGCGGGAGGATCTGGTGCGAGAACAGTGTTGCTGGTGTGCAGTGGTCCGGGAAGCACGTCTTGCGACATCCCATGCATGTCCAATGTCAGCAGGATCTCGTCACCAGTCCACATGGGAAGGTGCAAGTGAGGATACACGAAGGCCTTGCCGCTTTCGGTAGCGAGCTGCGCTGCGCAGTTGACCCCTCTGCTGCTAAATGTACCCCCGGTCTAGGACGGGTCGACGAGCACGAGATGGAGCCGCACTTGCCACTTGCTCACAGTCGCACTGACCCAGAATGCCAGGGCGCCTAAGCTCGAGCTCCATCTCGCAGCGCCCGACTCCTAGCTCGACTCCCGACTCAGCTCCCGACGCCCAGCTCCCAACTCCCCAAGACGTCCGCCGCCACACACGCGCGAAGACCCCCCCCCGGATCGGTGCTGTCGTATCAAGGATCCAGCCATGGCCCGCAGGCAGGTCGTTCGCGTTTACGTCCGACTCATCAAGACACGCCCTCTTCATCTCCATCTCCATCTCCGTCAGTCATACAATACCCATCGCTTCCGCCTCCAGTAGCCTCGGTCATTTTTGCTTCCAGGGCCAGGCAGGCAGCCCGAAGACAGAACCGCTTGGGCAGACGAGCCGCAGCCGCAGCCGCAGCCGCAGCCGCACAAAGGTGAAGGCATCACAACGTGCGTTTAATCTGGACCACGTACGGTGCACGCAGGACCGAGTAATACCTAATACCACACACCCCAGCTCCCAGCTCTGGCCAAGTTTCCAAGGGTTCCGGAGGCTCAGTCGACAGGTAGTACTTCAGTAGTACCCCGTACTTTTCTGGATGAGGCGAAGAGTCAAGACTCAAGACACACAAACCACTCACCTCCATCCCGCCACTTAGACCCCTGGCTCCTTTTCCATGGACCTTGTTCCCTTCCTGGGCCATACGGGGTAATTTCGATTATATTGAGCCTCCACGCCGAGACGCCGCCGCCGCACCGTGATTGCTCCCATCGGCCCGCCAGACAAGTCCCCAGTTCGGAAGTCGCAAAGTGCGTCATTGTTGAGTTGTACTTTCGACTTGTGAGAGGGTCGACAGGAACAACCAACACTGAAGCATCTGCAGAAGACTGGCGGCGCCACCACCTGGACATTCTGCTTTTGTTTATATCAGCAACTTTGTATCATTCCCGTCTAACGTCCGACATCTGGATCTGCTGTTGTCGACAGTTGTTCTCTGGCTTTTGGCAGAAGCATCTTGCACCGCAGCCGAGTCTTACACCCTCCCCCCTTGAGGCTGGCAGGGACTATTCGCGTCCGTCGCAAGGGAATCCGCCGGCATCTCGCCAAGTACTGAAGCACCAATATCCGACGACACATCTTACCACAGGTCGGTCTACCTTGGCGTGGTCAGTATTTCCCGTCCTCTGCTGTATTTTTCTGCCCGCCTCGCTTTCCACACAGCCACCATACTAAAGTACATATCCTGTGCCCTATTCAGGTGGCCCTTGCTGGGCTGGGCGCCTGGCATTCTTGCAGCCTGTCATTTTACGGAATACCTGTACGGACAAGTTATTTGATTGCGGATTGCAGAGACGTTGCGGAGTATACAGCAGCACCCTGGCTTGTTACAGTTTCCCCAGCCGGCCTGTACGCCGCCATTGCAAGATTACTGGAGAATTCGACGCAGCAGAGGCATATACATACATTGTCCGAGACTCCGAGCTCGCCACTGGTTGGTTGGGAGGAACAAGGCCAACCCGGGCCAACCCGAGCCAACCCTATCTCTCAACCCTATCCCTATCAGCTGCCACGGGGAAGACGCCGTGCCCTTCACAAGTCCGGGTTGCAAGGAGTCGAAAGGGCGGGCCCCCGCCAATACAAATAGCCGTCATGTCGGAGGACGATTCCACCTCCAACTACGCGCCAAGGTCGCCCGACCTTTCTTCTTTTTACTCGAGCGGCCCCGGCCCCACCCAGCCTGCCTCGCAACATCCTCTCGGCCACGGCCAAGGTCCAGGTCAATATAAAGTGCAACCTCCCGCCTACACGTATGGCTCATCCTACACTCCACCCGTGCCACAAACCTCGACTTTTGTTCAGCAACAGCGCATCAAGCCCGGATTGTCAGCCTACTCTCCGCCCGTGCAGCAGCAGCAGTATTCCCCCCCGGGCCAATCCTCGAATTACTTGGCACCGCGCCCTTTGCAACAGGACCCGTATCGCGTACAGCAACCCGTCGTCCCGCAGCCAGGTCAGGTATATCCTGGACATAGTATTCACCACCAGCAGCAACAGCAGCAACAGCAGCAGCAGCCGCCTGAGCTCTGGCATCAGCAAGATTATCCCCGGAAGTCGTCGCCAGCGTCGCCAGGCCCTTCTCGGCAGGCCAACTCAGAAATGCCTCCGCGGAGATCTGTCGCACAGCCGCCAGCCCCTGCCATTGAGCCGTCACCGGTCAGGACCAAGTTCCCCACAGCAAGAATCAAACGCATCATGCAGGCCGATGAGGAAGTTGGCAAGGTTGCACAGCAGACTCCAATTGCGGTGGGCAAGGCGCTAGAGCTGTTCATGATTCAAATGGTCACCAAAAGCGCCGAGGTTGCCAAGGACAAGGGGTCCAAGAGAGTTACAGCGCCCATGCTTAAGCAGGTTGTCGAAGCAGACGACCAATGGGATTTCCTGCGGGAAATTGTCGCCCGTGTCGAAAATGAGAAGGAGGGGAGCAAGTCCAAGGCTCAGGCTGATAGCGACAGCGAGGAAGACTCTGAGCCGAAGAAGAAGGGGAGAGGGGCTGGCCGCAGGAAAAGGACGCAGTAGACTTGATGGAACGTACTACCTACCGAGTACTCGCTGTGGGATCATGGGTACGGTCATAATGACTGGGCATGGGAGTATTGGTGTTTTGTATTTGTTTTACCAATCAAGTAAATTGGCGTTGGGGATGGTAGCATAAGACTTTTCCGGCGTTCGGAGCAGCTGGTGTTTGTTGGACGCGACGCGACGCGGACAGCACCACGCAATGAGGCATATATGGAGAGTTGAGAGTATTGCATAAATCCTTGGCGGTCACGGTGTCAATATTCAATATTACAGTCAGAGACGAGTGCGCCGTGGTTTTGCGGTTTATTCCAGTGACACTGTGACGATGCAGGCGCCCCGCGGTTCGTGGTGGTTGCTTTTCCTGGGTTTTTTATTTTTTTATTTTTTTATTTTTTTTTCCCCGACTCCATATCATCAGCGACCGGTAAAAAATACATATATAATCGCTGAGCTACCCTAGGCCCAACCTGAAGAATGACAACACAGTCCAGACGCGCGAGCGTCCACCGGTAAGCAGGCAAGTAAGCAGCGGGATTTCCAGAATAGTGGTGGACGAATTCATGACTAGTCGGTCCATTGCGGTATAATCATTCTGCAGCTCCTCGATTGATGTGATCTCAATTCGCGACATTGTGACCGCCACTCAAGCTCTCAAGCTACCCGTAGGCAGGACTCGGCGTAAGAAAAAAAAGTGGGCGATTTTCAACAAATAGCACGACGACGACGTATTCAAGTACATTGGTGCAAAGTTCCTGCATGTATTACGAAGTAGGTATTGCAAGGGCTGGGAGAAGATTCAAGGTTCAAGGCAAACGCGCCGACTGTAATTATATCACGGGATCAGATGCTGCATAAGCACTCGAGTACGTTATCAATTGACACTCGAGCGCCGAGCAAGAGATGGACCAGACGAGCCGTAGCCCGCACGACCGCCGTGCCGCCTGATGAACCACGTAAGATGCACAAAGTTATTACCAAATGCCTACTTGAGGTACTTAAAGTACCTGAATACCTTAAGTGCTCCGTACGGAGTACTTAGGTACCTAAGGTAACCTTGGAAGTTAGGTAGGTACCTAGGCAGGCACCTGTTACTTGTTATGTCGATACGTACGTACTTGCTTATTCTACAGCATTCATCATAATAATCCACAATCCAATCCGCAACCCGACCTCGACACCCCATGCGAGATCCCCATCTCATCCGTCCCTCCAATCCGCGACCCCCCATCGCGTCAACGCCGTCCATCTTGATTCCCCCCCCGAGATCCGCTTCCTCTGGTCCCGCCCCCCCTTTAACAGCACTTGACAAGTACAAGCCTCGTACACAGACGCATACCGAGACACAACACGACTGCCAGTCGCGATTGCTTGACGCTGCGGTCAGATTATCGCAACCCAAGAACACCAAACACCGGCTATTCCCAGGTCATCAAGCTTCGCCATCAAACTGTGTCGTCGCCTTTGCCCCATGCCATGCGAACGAGCCACCTGTCTGCTGCAATACTTACTCGTTCAAGCTAGATGAGGCACCTCAGCCAACCTGCCACCTGTCCGCTCGTCTGCCCACACTGAAACAAATCCCAAATGTCGTGGGACTTGCTTCAGAGGTTTATTGAATCCGACGTGTTCAATTCGAATCCCTTTCTACCGGTTTCCTACCTTTCGTGAGTCACACTCGTGCTATTCAAGCTCTCCAACACGCCCCAAAGCCCGTCACCACTGTCATGCGCTCCCCCATTCCGCTCTCTTCAATCGCCGCATTCAGCTGACCTGGCCACCTCCGGACAGGCGATACGCTGATCATGTGGGCATACACTATGTTCTGTGCCAGAAATTGCGGCAATTCCCTTACGAGGATATCGAATTCTTCCTGCCGCAGCTATGCCACCTTATAATAAGCGTTGACAATGAGTCAATGGCCCTCGAGGAGTTTCTACTGGATCTATGCGAGGAGTCTGTGACTGCCGCTCTGTTGGTACGTGTCCGACCTCAATTGTGACCCAGTAGAAAGAATCCAACAAGCAAAAGTTCAAAAACTAATGACTTTTGCAATCGAATTGCACAGACTTTTTGGCTCTTCCAGACGCATCTTTACGACCTCTCTTCAAATCCGCAGACCTGGGCTTTTCAAACTTGCCGGAGAGTGTATAACAAGGTCCAGCATATTGTTTTCGGATTGGCAGACAGAGCACGGCATGAAAAGATCAAGGAGAATGTCCTGCCAGTAACTGTCTTGTCGAGCTTCGTCCTCGCCAGCGTTGCCATGCCCATGATTCCGAAGTGGGCAGGACCACTAGCCGTTGCGCAGGCTCGGAAGCCCCAACCTGTCGCCGAGCTTATTCCCGACACCGACGAGTCCGCCAAACCCCCTACGAGAGCACGAACGGTAACGGGAGCGACGTCGAAATCTAGACGCGGCAAAGAAGTCAGAAGCTCAGTTGCATCTTTGCCTGGTGCTAACGGCGTCGAGGACGGCCGCTCCTCCCCCATGAGCGTGCCTCATCTGCCCTCATCAAGTCCGTCGCAGACACCCAGGATCGTTTCCGAATCCAAACGCCCGTCGGCATTGGAAATGAGATCTGTGGAGGCCCGACTGAGCTCTGCCTCGTTGCCTCTGCCTTCGCCACCAGCGACAACAAGCCGTCCCTCGACTCCCGTGTCGGCCGGCTCAGCACTTCGGCCGGGCGAAAGCAGTATGCATCGGCGGCACTCGCACAACACCAAGGCCGTCACCGGTCCTGCCGACCTATCTCTGACTCACAGGACGAGGTTATTGCGCCAGCATTACTTTCGCTCCCAGACCCAGTTCCTGACTGCCCTCGAGGGCATATCTAACCGCTTGGTCATAGTTCCTCAACAGGCCCGGATGAGCGCCTTGCGTGCCGAGTTGGCGCTCGTTGCACGGGACTTGCCAGCCGAGGTGGATGTTCCTGTTATCTGTCCCCCGACGTTGGTCAATGGGTCACCCGGAAAGAGTCGCCATCACAGAATAGTGCGACTTAATCCCGCCGAAGCGACCGTCTTAAACAGTGCTGAGAAAGTGCCATATCTAATGATGGTAGAAATTCTCCGAGAAGACTTCAGTTTTGACCCCGAAACTCCCGAGAACAATCGACTTCTCACCAAGTTGTTGGATTCTAATGGCAAGGCGCGGCGGCTCTTCGACTTGGCATCCGAGACACCGAAAATTGCGCCTGTCGCACGAACATCTGAACCAATTGTCGACAGTGTTTTTGAGCCCACCTCTGGAGACTTGGGAAGCTCGCCATTGCTATTGCCAGAAGATGACACGCCTCTCGCACCAGTGACGAAGCATCACCAAGTCCGCACCTCGCAGCGATTGTCAAGTGGAGCTACGACCTCTTCTACGACTCTGGATGCTGCCACGCCTCGTACATCGGGGCAATCGACATCGAGATCCAGCAGTCCAGGATCCAGGCGCAAGATGACTCTCACCATGTCTCGGAATACCTCTGCAGACCAGCCCGATTTCTCGGCTCTCGCGACTCACATGCGAACCGCGTCTCAGATGCTTGCGCAGCTCGATGCAACAAGTGGAAAGCGGCCCAGGCAAGAAGTTGCTGCTATTCGTGCCAAAATCATTGCTAGCATGCAAAGCCTGGAAGAAAAGAGCTTCGACATGGACGAACAAGGACCGACTTTTGACACTATCATTGCCAAGACAAACGCGGGCTCACCTTCAGCAGGCAATCCGGATCTGGATGAGGACGCCCCCATTGACCCGGCGATTAATGCCAGCGCAGGTAGGGAGCGAATGGAAAACGACTTCAAGACCGGGGGTGTCCAGCGGCGAGCTGATCGTGATGACCCAAGTGCCGCTGTCTTTGGCGAGGCATGGGAAGCCAAAAAGGAACGTATTCGGAAGTCCTCTCCCTATGGCTGGATGAAGAATTGGGATCTCGTTAGCGTCATTGTCAAGACTGGTGCCGATTTAAGACAGGAGGCCTTTGCTTGCCAGCTGATTGCCGTTTGCCATAAAATCTGGTTGGATGCTCGAGTTGATGTTTGGGTCAAGTTGATGCGCACTTTGGTTACGGGGGAGTCATCAGGCCTGATTGAGACCATTACCAACGGCGTGTCGCTTCACTCACTGAAGCGAAGTCTTACTCTCGCCTCCATAGAATCCGGGCAAAACCCTCGGCATCGAATTGCCACCTTGAAGGACCACTTCGTCAAGGCTTTTGGCCAGCCAGATAGCGAGCCGTACCAAGCCGGCGTGGATGCCTTTAAACGATCCCTCGCGGCCTACAGCGTCATCTCATATGTCTTGCAGCTGAAGGATCGTCACAATGGCAATGTTCTAATCGACAGCGAGGGACATATTATTCACATTGATTTTGGCTTCATGCTCTCAAATTCTCCTGGATCGGTCGGCTTCGAAGCTGCTCCATTCAAGCTGACACACGAGTACGTGAATGTACTGGGAGGCTTGAACTCCCCAGACTACGAGGACTACAAAAAGTTGTGTAAGCAGGCATTTCAAGGTGGGCGCTCTGATCCCTTTGCGTTGTCCGAGTCTTTTTGTAGTCTAACACGTACTAGCACTCAGACGCTCAGCCGACAATATCATAGACTTGGTGGCCATGATGGGTCGAGATTCGAAAATGCCCTGCTTCTCTGTGGGGGTGGCTCAAGTGACAAACACTCTGAGGCAGCGCTTCCAGCTGCAATTGAGTGCAGATGAGGCGGAGCAGTTTGTTGAGACGGACTTGATTGCCAAGTCTTTTGGGAGCTATTACACCCGCCTGTAAGTCTTGAAGTATGAGGCAATTACGCGGATTGACCATTGCTAACCAAGTTTGATTCAGCTACGACACCTTCCAATATAGAACTCAGGGCATCTACTAGCAAGTTAACAAAACTTGATCCCTCTTCTTTGCTTCTTTCTCGTCTGGTCATGGCAAGGAGACACACAAACCCGTTCCAAGGCCCAGGCGGCATCACTTCTGAAATCGAGCATGGGAGGCTGTTTTGCCAAGGGGAAGGTGGCGCACTTTCACACAACGGCATATTTGGGATTTCTGCTTATATATCTGCTGCATTGGGGCATCCGGGCGGCGTTGACATGGGCTGAACTTGTGATTAGACGGCGAGTCACCAAAATGCATGGGACAGTACATTTCGAAATCAGGCGGACGAGGAATCCGACCTCAAGCTACGAAGTAGTTGGCCATTTATAGCACGGGAGGTTTTTTCTTTTGGCCTCTTTATGGATAAGATGCAAGGCACTCCTTGCGGACATATTGCCACGACACAACGTCGTGTATGAGCGGCGCATTTTTCTGACAGGTGCGTTTTGAAAGGATTCGCAAATGAGGTGATATGGTAAGGCGTCGGCACATTTCGCCAGGGCATCACGACGTGATGCATCTGCACCGTTTTTTGTAAAAGGCAATGAATGGCTGTCAGAAGGTTACTCCGGAGGCACTACGTTGCGAGTCAATGCTGCCTCGGTCAAATATATTCGCCTCGCTTCTGTGCTCGCTTCTGTGCATCGACGGGGAGATACCTTGGTACTGACTCCTGATGTGCATGGGACGGGTCTGAGTACAGGGCACCCAGCGCAGGCAGGTACAGTGTAGTGAGTAACTTACTTATGTACGACGTACTCCGTACCTGTACGTCGTTCCGTTCCGTGGCCGTGTACGGAGTACGGAGTGCGGTGACATGACTCGACGCAGCCGGGGGCACCTTCCTCGAAGCCTTCACACCAAACTGTGGCCTGGACGATAATGCGAGGCCAATCAAGAACAGCGATGCGGGCGGTGGTTAGTGGGTGGGGGTGTGCGCAGCCAAGCTTCAGCAGCCGACGGTGAGCAGACTTGGAGAGAGCCGTCGTTAATGAAGTACGTAGTGCAAGTGCAGCACTGGCACTTGAGCGTCCTACTCCATAAAGTTTTGTCGGCTTTCAGAATCCGACTGTTCTGCACTCTCCTACTCCGTACTCCGTACTCCGTGCTCCGTAACCCATTTCCATCCTTAATCAATAGATTTTCCATCTCGGCTGGCCCAAACAGACGGCTGAATAGACGTACACGCCCTTGATATTCAACCTCTGCCCCGTCTTGGGAGTGCGGTTGGTTGGTCGGCCATGATGCACCCCGAACTGGCGGCGCAAGGCGATAGATACGAATCCTCTACGTTGGTGTCCCTCTGCATGTCTCATCTGCCTGTTTCTGGCGTCGCATCGCTGTCTAACAGAAAAACAAGACCACCCTGCTCCAGCCCTTTCTCGGATGGCAATGAGCCTTGATCCTTCCAAACCAACCATGGGAGACCAGCAAGAGGACATTGCACGCCGGACTAGCAATCCGGCCTCGAGTAGCGGCACTGTCGTCGGCAGCTCTGCTGGTGATGCGGAGGCGAAGGCGACACAGAGGGTCAAGAAGTGGGCCCCCAAGGTGCGAACTGGGTGCCTGACCTGCCGGTTAGTTTGGCCGTTTTCCTACCCAGCCGTCGCATGCTTCGTCCGGGATGGGGATATCCTGTCTCTATCCTTGGCTGCGATTCATAATTGAGCCACGGCGCTGACTGTCGGGGACGATGCAGGGCGCGCCACGTCAAATGTGACGAGGGGAAGCCAGAGTGCTATCGATGTGTATCGTCGCGGAGACCGTGCAAAGGCTATCAAGAGCTCAGCGCCAGGCCGAGCAGACATGGCACCCAAGGTGCGAGACGCCGAGCTCGTCGCGGTGCAGGACCGTCGAGGTCGCACGGTGACCAAGACGGACCCGGACCCGGACCCGATGATAGCACCGCGAACCCCGGCGAAGCCGAAGCTCCCTACAGCTTTGACCGCAGTCTTTCTGCGTCATCGTCGATGAACCAAGGGCGAGAACGAGAGTCGTCTTCCGAAACACACTCCACGGACCAGAATCTGTCGGACCTTTTAGGCGGGCTCAAGGTCAACGAGCAAGGAGTCGCGCCGTATTTGCAACGCAAATCCGTGGGAGACGAGCCCTCGGTGGTCGACGAGGAGGAAGACAGCGCCAACGACGATGATGAAACCGAATACTTGAATCTTGTTCTGCCCATGACAAAACTTCCCGGGCACAAACTTCAAATCCCGCCTGAGCTCATGCCCCAAGATAGCACAGTACTGCGCTATTTCAGACTCTACTTCGAGAATGTTCACCCGTATGTCCCAGTCCTGGACAAGGTGGCCTTCTACCGCCAGTGGAACACCCACCGGGCCTCTATTTCTCCGATGATATTGGAGGTCATATTTGCCATTGGAAGTCGGCTAGATGCAGAATCTACAAGAGTTAGCAATCAATGGCTGGCTCTGGCCTCCAAGCATGCAGATGACTTCATGGATGTTCCAAGGCTGACAACCCTCCAAGCCCTACTGATTCTTATCAAAGCCCGTGAAATCGCTCCCAAGCGTGGTTACTTTTACCGGTCGTGGATGATGATCAGTCAGTGCGTGAGAATGGGCAAAGACCTCGGCTTGGACGAGCATTATGAGAATCATCAGTCGGAGGACTCCGACATGTGCAACTTGAGTCCTGCCGAATGCCGACTTCACACGCGACTCTGGCAGGTCGTTTTTGTTGTTGAAGCAATGATTGGGAATCCTCAAGGCCGGCACGATTTATGCGTCAAAGTTGAATCCGTGAATTTCAACGAACCGCCACCCATCTCGGGGAGCCCCAGTGTCGGGGACGGCGACCAGAGCGAGTATTTCGTGTCCAGAGCCTTCACCTACATGGCTAGCCTTGTACGGAACGTCCGGATATTGAACGGGATATATCTACGGCTCAGAAAGGGGAAGAACTGGGGCACTCAACCTGAGTATCTGGCATTTGAGCCGAGCATGACTTCATTTCTGTCAAGCCTTCCGGCTGATCTGTTGGTCGAATATCCCGGAGACAAGACGTCTCTGCCCTGGCTACCGTCTGCGTTTCTGGGCAATCTACATTCGTACTACCACCTCTCTATTTTGCTCTTCCACCGAGGGGTGTTGGGCTTTCTTGATCCCGTGCTGAACAGAGCCCTTTGGAAGCGCCACATAATGATCTGTTACAACTCAGCAAGGTATCTCTGTCGACTCCAAGAGGCTGTCAGGAAGCAATTCGGCATGGTAGGGCTGCAAAGCATGCAGCGCGGTTACAGCTTCACGGTGTACGCGGGACTTTCGTGTATAGTCATCCATTTGGTGGCTATTGTGTCACCGGACCCTGATCTGAACACCGGCGCCCGCGAGAATTTTGAGCGTTGCATGAGGTTGATGGAGGAAGTCATGCAGGCCTGGTGGATGCCAGATCTGCAAAAGCAAATTGATGCCTTCAGGAGGGCCTTCTCCGCCGACCTCAGCAAGCCGTTTGTGCTCCGACCAGACTTTCCAAACATTCGGCCGCGTCAATCGCCCCCGAACCAGCCAGAGAAGCCGCCCCCAGAAATCAAGCCCGAGCCGAACGACAGTGTGAGCCATCCCTACACACAGGCAACAGCGCGTCAGCAAGCAGAACCGGCTTTGCTGGACACACCACAGCACGACCTTGCAACCAGCGTCGCCACGCATCTAGAAGCTCCGAATCTACAGATACCATCGTCACCAGCGACGCACTCCAACTGGAATTCAGACCGCATATTTCAAAACTGGAACTCACTGTTCGGCCCACCACCACAACTAGAACCGTTTCTCGGCACCGCGGTAGCTTCGCAGACCCCCTTACCAGCCATGGACAACTACACCTTCGCCAATGTATCCGCTGGCCCTGCGGATGGCTTCTCTTTGCCGGACATGCAAGCACTGGGAACCTCCCCACAGGTGCCCAACTATGAAAAGTCTCCCCAAGTCGGCTTTCAGCCGGAGATGGCGCCGCAGTACACGGCAAACGCGATGCAGGGACTCTTCCCGCCCAGCATGTGGCAGAGTTTGGCGGCAGCCATGTACGAAGAAGGGCAGACGCGCCCCTTGTAGGGGATCCCGAAATGGGATGTTTTTGGATAATTTTTTTCGACGTGATTTGTCGGGGTATAGCTTGTGTTCTTTATATCGGATAAAAGGTGGGGGGGGATATGTGGCAAAACAAGGGGAGTGATAGTGAGGGACCTGCTTGATGATGTATTTTTTTTTCCCTCTTCCATCTCGTCTCGGGAGGAGTTTATATTTGAGTGTCTGCGGGTTTCATGTTCTTTGGAGTAAGAGGGACATAAAGGAACGTTGCGGCGTCACGGTCGTACGTAAATCTGAGAGAATTCAAGGACAAGGACAATAATAAAAAGCACTTGTTTGATCCATCCAGTCTTGCTCCGCTGCGCTGCGCACTCGGTTTACGGCTGCATTGTGTACGAGGGTCACATGTTGTTTGCATCATGGTCACGTACGTACATACAGCTAGGCACTCCATCGTGCCACACCCTCGCCCACAGCCATCTCGATGCCGGCACCATCCAATCTCCTGGCTACTGTGCAATCACCCGGGCTGAGCTCACGTGCCGCGAGGCGAACCGGCCTGTCCAGAATGCTCGACTGCAGCACAGCCCCAAGAGATGGCGGCGCAGACCGTTTCCGAGCCCGCGAGCCCGCGATCCCGCACCTACGGCCACACACGTGCTTGCTTGCTTCTCGACCCTCGCGCCCTTGCTCGCCTGCCTTCGCTCCCCGCAAAACGTGTCTGTATGTGGTGGATGAGAAATGCTAGCCCCAGCGTCCACCTTCCCGCTCGGCTTCCAGACGGCGCATGCGCTCCTCCTCGTCGGCGCCGTCGCGGGCCTCGTTGCGGCGACTGGCCCTCCGCCCCTTGCGGCTTGAGCCTTCGTCGGCGCCGTCGTCGCGGCTGCGTTTGGAGCCGGCTACAGTGGTCAGGCCGGCCATCCTCTGGGCCTCCTTGACCAAGCGTTCGCGGTTGCGGGCCTCACGCTCAAGCGTGTGCGCGTCGACGGGGGTGCTGGACTTGCTGGCCTTGTCCCGGCCGGCCTTGTCGTGGCCCCGCGCATTGGGGCCCCGAGAAGCAGAGGCTTGTTCCATGGGCGTCGACCGACCGTCTGTCGAGCCCCTTCTACTGGTGCTGCCGTGCCTGTGGTCTCGGTCTCGCTCTCTGTCCCTGTTGCGATCGCGGTCCCGGTCCCCATCTCTCTCTCTCCGGCGCCCCCTGTCTTTGCGATCCCTTCTCTTTCTGTCGCGGTCTCGGCCACGACGGCGTGGAGTGTCGTGGTTTCTGTCCCGGTGGGGTCGATGACGGTCGTCGTCGCGATTCTTGTCCTTGTCCTTATTCCTCCTGCTCTCAGGGTCCCTGTCCCTGTGGCTGCGATGACTGCCCCTCTTAGAGTCGTCTGGTGACGCGGATCGGGACTTTTCACCACGTTTGCCGTCTTTGGGATGATGCTGGTCATCGTCGTCGTCGTCGTCGTCGTTCGCCGTCGTCGTCTTGGTGTTTTCCTGCCACTGCGATGCTTCTTGCGGCGATGGGGACCGTCGTGGCCATCGTCACTGGCAGGCTCGGAGCGTTGGCGCCGGCGCCTGTGCGAGCCTTTGTGGCTTCGGCTTCGGCTGCCGCTCCTGCTACGGCTCCTCGTGCTTCCCCTTGATCTGGAGCGTGAGCGGTCACGGGTATGGGGTTGACCATCAGGGTCATCTTTCTCACGTCTTTCCGAATCCTTGGGCTGCTCCCCGCTGTCGTGGCCACCGTCAGGAGCGGCAGCGTCTTGATCCTGTTCACGGTCATGAGATTCACTTTGGCCGCGGGATGCAGCCGCGGGCCCAGTCGGTGGTCGCGACGTAGAGGGTGGCCTCGGTTGCTGGGGTTCGTCGTCAACTTGGTACCCTCTGGCCCGTAAGTGATGTAGACTAGTATTTGGTAGCCCCTGTCTCATGGCTTTGGGACCCTTTGGAGCATTGATAGGCACATCTGGAGCTGATAAGACGGAACGAATAGCTCCTGACTCGCCCTGGCGGGCCATGTTGCTGCTGGTTTGAGCAGCTTGAGTGTCACGGGACGGCGGCTCGCCAGTCTGAGCTTGCGGAGCGCTGGCAGCATTCTCGCCTTCTTGCGTTCCTTGGTCATCTCCCTGGGCGTTATCTTGCTTGGAGGCATTGTCCGGTACATTGGCACCTCCGGATTCGTTGTGTCCATGGGCATCGACCAGACCCTGGCCCGGGTAGCCGTGACCGCCACGTTGTGAATACTGTCCGCTCGGATAGTTGGACGTGTTGGTGTTGTACTGGTAACCTCCTCGACCGTAGCCGCCGTAGTAGCCACGGCCACGGCCGCGACCGCGTCCGAAATTATTGCGGCGATAGTCATTGAATTGACCATAATGACCTTGATTGTAGCCTGTCTGGAATCCTGAGTTAAAATTCCCAAAATCACCATTGCCCATGCCAATAGCATTTTGATTGTAATTACTCTGGTCGTAATTCCACGACTGCGAACCGTTCCAGTTATTAATATTGGAGCCTTGTCCAAATCCTCCATCGAACCCGCCTCCCATGCCGTTCATGCCCATGCCTTGAAAACCACCGTTCATGTACATGTTCTGCATTGTCATTGGGTCCATACCAATTCCCGGCATGCCTGAGGCACGAGAGAGTTAGCAACTTGGGCGCAAAGTCAACTGGACGAGCTGCAAAAACATACCTATCATTGGGAAGTTACCCATGCCATTTTGCATGGCCATCATCATCTGCATCTGGTTGAAGTCACCCGAGCCTGAGAACATCATGTTGGGCATGCCGCCGCTCATGGAGTCGGACCCGTAATTTACTTGGTCATTACCGACTTGATCATCGTCATCGTCGGCCTCGTTCTCTGGCTGATCTTCGGCTTCGTTCGCGGTTCGCGGCTCATGGTCGCCACCTTTGGCAGATACGTTGCTCCCAGCACCACCAAAACCGTCCCGCGTTGCTGAATCACCGTTGGAAGTAATAGCCGTCTTGCAAAGCATTAGTTAATTCCTCGGCAGCAGCCATGGATCTTCGCTGGGCCATACCTGTTCATTCTGCTGCGCACCTTCTGGCGCGACATCGCCCGCCGCACGCTTGATCCCTTCCTCTTCACGAGATTTATCATTTTGCTGCTTAATTTGCTGTGCTGCAGAAGCGGAATGGTCTTCCTTGTTGTCCCGAGGCTGCGTCTCTTCGGCTGTCTCTGCGGCAGTGGGCTCTTTCGGTCGGCTAGCCTCCCGCTTCTTCTCGGCCGTTCGCAGGAATACTTTGATAGTGGTTCTCAGGGACTTATTCGGATTGCAGTCGTCTGCCGACAAAGGCGAGTGCTCGCAAACAGGGCAGGACGGCAAAAGGTTTGATTGACCTGGTCTACTTGTTAGAGAGCCTCGCACACACTCAAAAAAAAAAAAAAAAGCTGGGAAATTGGAAAACCAACATGTTTCGCATATAGCTTGCTCACAGCAAGGTAAACGGAATGCGTTTATTGCTAGCTTACTGCAGATTGCGCATCGCAGCTTTATGGGAATGTCGTCAGGCGACAAAGAACTTCCCAACCTAGTCAGCTTTCCGATATGATTATTCCGACACCAAATCTTCGTCCACAATACCTTATAAGATCGGCCTGAGCCTCAGAAATGGACGAGGCCATGTTGTCAACGCTCAGGTCGAATAACTCTACCGCGACTGCATCGGAGAAAGACGGAGATTGGAAATACCAACGTCCTCGCCGTGGGTTACTGCGTGTTGTAGAGAATTAACGTGCAGAAAGTTGAACACAAGCGATATATATTTTACCACTTCGGCTTGGCGGAGGTCGCCGCAAGCTGTAGTGATTCAATTCATCAAGGGTTTTGGATAAAAAAGATAGACAACATTTGCTCATTCGAAGTTTTTCCGCAGTGGAATGAGGAGTTTGGCGTTCTCCTTTGAGAAGAAAGTGGGACCTAGCGTTGTGGAGCCCACTGAAGCTCACGTGATCATCGATGGCAGGATGCTGGCAGTTGCTGGAATGTGAAGCTAGGGAGAACTAGGCGGTAATGTTTCATTGATCCAAGTGAGCTGCGAAGCTGTGGGCTGAGTTGCCCATCTAGCCGATAGAGTTGGCCCTTGTCGCACCCAAGCCAGCCAGGGCTTGCCAGAACCGAGCGTGAAGACAGACATGTTGTGTAGCACTACATGGAGATGAGACGCCGGAGATGTTACCTCGTTTATTTATTTCATTTGAGAAAATGGGGATAAAAGATTGAAGATGGACTATCTGAGCGACCGCCAACCAACTACGGGAAAACACTTGTCGTGGCATTTGAGTAGGAATATCGAGCATCACATAGCTGCAGTTGAATCGGTGTTTCAAATTTCCAGCCACTGTCTGCCTTTTTCCCGCGTTGCAGGCCAACGACGCTACGATAGGAGCGACTATAGTCAAATATCTAGATGGACAACAAAAGGTAGGATGAATAAGCACAATAATGATCCCCCGCAGGTAAAAATAAAGATAAAAACAACAACAACGGTGACTCCCAATTGCACGCCTTTGCATCAGACACCAACAATCAACCAGCCAGCGCAAAGTATAATCACAACTTGAACACTTCTTCTGCCCCCATACCTCACCCAATTCTCCCACAGTGCCCTCTCGATCTAACAAGCGCATCCGTCCTTTGCACCAGCATCCCTGGGGCCACCCAAGTTAACTCTCTGCTCTTCGCCGGCTCGGTTGGCGGTACCGGCGGCGCCGGCGCCTCTGGCTGACTTTAACGACGTTTCCGGGATGGCATTGGCGATGGCGGTAAATACTTCTGTAACGTTGTGGCCGGTCTTTGCGCTGGTCTCGAAGAACAACAGGCTCTCCTCTTCAGCATATGCCTTGGCCTCTTCTGTCGAGACCTGACGGGCGCCGCCCGACTCCTCGCCATCGTCAGCGGCTTCGTTTTCCGTCGCAGAGTCGCTGGCCAGATCTAGCTTGTTTCCTACAAGGGCGATGACGATGCCGGGCGATGCCTGCCGTTGCAGCTCGGCGACCCAGTGCTTGGCTTTGATGAGAGACGTGGGCTTTGTAAGATCGTAGACGACAAGCGCGGCTTGGGCATTTCGGTAGTACATGGGCGCCAGAGAAGCGAAGCGCTCTTGACCGGCCGTGTCCCAGATCTCGAACTTGATTGTGCGAGTGGGAAGGTTACATTTTTGTGTCAGGAAAGCAGCTGCAGATGTGTACATGCGTTAGCTGGCCAGCTGTAGTCACAGGCAACTTGCAAACAGGGGCACATGATGGCGTGCCGGGGACGGCGGATCAACAGACCTCCAATGGTGGGCTCCTTGTTCTCCTGGAAGTCGTTGTTGACGAATCGAAGGACCAACGAGGACTGCGACGCGACAGTTAGCACAAGGAAAAGCAAGGCAAAATGGAAGCGGGCATGGGGGTCGAGTCTACCTTTCCAACAGCAGCCTCGCCGAGAAGAACCAGTTTGACGCTGCTGCTCGGTTTCGGAGCATTCGCAGAATCAGCCATCGTTTTGCTGCTGGTCGAGGCCGACTACCTTTGTGGTCGTTGACTGCGGAACTGATCACGATGCGGATATGCGTACTTATGCAGCAGGTTACTCTCGAGTCTCAGGCGACCAGGAGGGTATTGTTAGTGACGAGTCCGGCTGCCTTGGGGTGGATGTAATGGTCGTCCAAGTTCAGATGCGGGAAGAGGCAGAGCGATGACGAGGTGCACGGAGTCCAGAGTACGTACACATGCATGCATAAATATACCAAGTATAAGTACTTAAGTAAATAACAAGTAAGTGCAAGGCGACGACGGATGGATGGGTGAGACGCCCGCTGTTGGTCCAGGGCCTCCAGGCTGAACATAAAGCCTTCCAGGCAGAGAACGCTACCAAGGTCTATTGCTCGGGGCGCTCACCATTTTTGCTCGGGGCGCTCACTACCCATCATGACCCACTTTTTATGCGGCAAGCCCCGCTGCCATGCCCTACAGTACATTCTTAGTACAAAGGTATGGCAGCTTTACTCAACTCTAAAAAGCTTCATTGAAAATCCAGAATAAAGCTGCAGCCGTACGAATTTTTCAACAGGCAGCAGCTTTTTCCTTCAACAACATCGCGATGCCTGACGAAGGCCCTCACAACCCCTCAAATCCGCCCTCAAATTTACCGCCCTTAAATTTACTGCCCTTAAATTTGCCGCCCTCAAATTTGCCGCCCTCGCCGGGCTATGGCAGCTTTGATGACCTCTACAATGCCGTGCAAGGAATCAACGCTCCCGGCAGCAGCTGCCGGCGTCATCACAACGATCGAATCGCAACACAAATAACAGGGAAAGAAGACCAATTGGAAGACAGGGTGCCCTTGAGATTGAGGAATTCATTCCTTCAATGCTGTTGCTGCTATCGCAGCCGATAGACGTGACTGGGATGGGTAATTAAGCGGCCGGAATAACTGGAAAATCCGGCCCGATAGTGAACATATTGAGCGAAAACACCAGAAAATCGCGTTTTTAAGCGATTTGGAGCCAGCCGGCGCGGCGCTGTTGAGAAATTCGTATAAATTACACAAGCACCTTTTCGATTAATTGAGGGCATTTTGCAAGGACGCCGTGGACGACACGAGCTCGTCTGCTTGCGTGTGCTCCGTACCCCTGCTGCAAGTAACTACTTAAGTACTTAGTGTGTCGAGCAACCTGCGCTACACTTATTCCGGCACAAAATGGTGCTGAGCCGCCATTGTCCCAAGTAAAATTGTCTTGTGCACCCATGTACAGTACATGCCCAGGTACACAGGGTGTACCAGAGCAGATACGGAGGCGCTCGGTACCGCCGGAGACTCGCCAGAGCTGAGTCGGCCACTCCGACTGCAGCGGCAGAAAAGTGTTCACCGCCAAAAATTCTAGCCCTGCGGCAAAGCGCATCTTGCATTCTCAAGACCAGTATTGCGTCGACGATGCTATGTAGTACCATCATTCGGTCGGCGCAATTTGCTATTACCGACTGCCCAAACACTTGCTCAGTAGATACCATGGCATCCCGAACAGCAGGTTCGTCTCACGGCCTGAACCCACCCAAACGCACTCTCTTGGATGACAGCGATTGCGACTCGGAAGCTGGTGGTGCTCAATTAGAAGAAAGCGACTTCAGGGTCAATGAGGAGTATGCACGTCGCTTTGAGCATAATAAGAAACGGGAAGAGAGACACAAGCGTAAGCACCTCGCGTGTGCATTTACATCTGTTCTACCCCCCAGGCCTGCGCACGAAGGTCATGCTTCATGCTAACCTATCAAAGTCGAGGAAAAGTTCAAGGGCAGTGGCAAGGACCAGGACGACGACGAAGACGACGAATCATCATCGTCTAATGAAACCGAAGATGAAGACGGCTTTCTAGCTACCGAAGACTTGGACGCCCAGATCTCTGCCACGCTACATGCCATCAGAAACAAAGACCCGCGGTTGTATGACAAAGATTACAAGTTCATCAACCTTGCGGATGAGGACACGGCGGGGAGCAAGGAAAAGAAAGAAACCCCCGTGTTTCTGCGAGACTATCAGCGGCAAAAGCTTCTGCAAGGGGATGCAGGCGCCTCCGACGACGACGACGAAGACCCTGTTCAGCAGACCTATGCCGAGGAGCAGGAAGCCCTCAGGAAGAGGATTGTATCGGAGATGAATGCTTCCGGAGCGGTGGATGGCTCTGACGGCTCCGACGACTCTGACGACGATGATTTCATGAAGAAGAAGGCGCCCGCCAAAGTGGAAAAGACCGAAAACGGCGTCCACCCTTCGCGAGCGCCTGCTCTGAAAATTTCCAACCTAGACGTAACCAATGCCGACAGGGACCCCGAAACATATCTCTCCAACTTCCTATCCGCCAGAGCTTGGATACCAGAGGAAGGGGGTCGCTGGAAAGCCTTTGAATCAGACGAAGGAGAGGACGATGACCGGGCCGATGAGTTCGAACAGGCTTACAACATGCGATTCGAGGACCCGGAAAAGAGCAACGAAGTCCTCCAGTCCTACGCTCGTGATTTTGCCGCTGCGCGATCGGTCAGGAGAGAGGAAAAGACCGGCAGACAACGCCAAAGAGAATTAGAAAAGGAAAAGAAGGAGGCGGAAGCGCGCCAGAGACGCGAAGCCAAGGCCCGTCTGCGCAAACTCAAACTCGAAGAGACGGAGGAGAAACTCCGCAAGGTCAAGCAAGCGGCCGGCGCGGTGGGCAAGGAGTTGTCAGAGCAGGAGTGGATGAAGTTTCTCGACGAAGCCTGGGAAAACGACAAGTGGGAGGAGGAAATGCAGAAGCGGTTTGGCGACGAATATTACGCCATGGAAGACGACGCCGCTGCGGCATCCGATGACGAGGATGATGACAACGGCGAGAAGAGGAAGAGGAAGAAGAAAAAACACCCCAAGAAGCCCAAGTGGGACGACGACATTGACATCAAAGACCTCGTCCCTGACTTTGAAGACGACAACTGGGCCAAACGCCCCGTGACTCTTGGCGGCGACGACGACGACGACGACGACGACGGCGACATCGACGGCGACAACGACGGCGACAACGACGGCAACAACGACGGCGACAACGAAACCCAAGACCCTGACGCGGCCCCTTCCAAAAAGCGGAAAACATTGCAAGGCAAGCGCGCCAGACTTGAATCCCAAAAACAAGCCCGCAAGGAGCGTTCCAAGCTGGAGGCCCTTGTCGACTCCAAGCTCGAACTCGACAACCATGAACTCCTCGGCTCCAAGTCCGAAATGGCCTTTCGGTACCGAGAAACATCCCCGCAGGCCTTTGGCATGACGGCTCGCGATATCCTGCTCGCCCCCTCGGACAAGGATCTAAACGAGTTCTTCGGCCTCAAAAAACTCGCGACCTTTAGGGATGCCGAGAAGAAGCGTCGGGACAAGAAGCGTCTTGGTAAGAAGGCCCGCCTCAGAGAGTGGCGAAGAAGCACGTTTGGAAAGGAATTTGAAAAGGAGGGACCTACGTACGGGTTCGAGAGAGCCATGGGTGAGGAGGACGCTGTCATGGACGAGGCGCCCGGCAAACCCGCTGTGGATGGGTCTGGGCACGTTCTTCCAGAGGTTGGTGCGAGAAGGAAGAAGAGAAAGAGGTCCAAGGGTAAGAAGAAGGGCGGTGCTGAAGAAGACGAGTAGGTGGTGCAGTGTGTTTGGTTTGATCCAAAAAGGGGACCAGTCAAGGAAAACTTTGCGTACGGAGTACTGGCTTGGCTGATGGTGGCCTGGCATCTCATCTATCTAGACCGGCGCAACGACACCGTCTTTGTACAACGATGGAAGCAAGGTGGTGTTGTGGTTTGCATTCTTGGAGTCGAACTAGGGACAAGCGTATTTCCTGTTCACTTAGACGTGATTGCATTATATTAGTTTCCGGGTGGTATTTCGACAATGAAATGCGGTGCACCCTCGTACTTGTGATGTATACCAGATGAGTTGCACCAGACGCCAGGTGCAGTGAATTATGTATGTTATATACAGCGCGGCATTCCTTTTGTCCTTTGTGAATTTCGTCAGTCTCCGCTGCATCTATATACCCCGAGCCAGAAGCCTAGCATCGCAAATGATGACAAGACATACACAGCTTCCCCTATTTCGCACACAGTCAACCGAGAGCCTGCACCCGAAAAGTTAAATAAAAAAAATCAAGGTATACTCAAACCCGAAACCCGATCCAGTCTTGTGGATGTGCGCCGCCAATGCTTTCTCCGCCTTCGCCAAGGTTTTACCCAAAGTAATGATGATGATAGAACGATCCATGTACGATGCTGAAGGTCTTCTGGTCCCGTGCAACAAACCCAACAGGCGATACTCCTTCCTGCCAGCCCACAATATATAGTGACCATGTTGTTGCCTCCGTTTCTGTTCCAGTTTCATGCGAGAAAGGAAATAAATCACGGCAAGTCGGAGCTAGCCGCAACAGTGTAATCGATACTACAGTGTGTGCCGCAAGCCATCCATGGCATGAGGCATCGTCATAGCGTTGGCTCCAAACATGGAGCCGAATGAATCTACGCCACATCCGGTTTCTCCTCCCGGGCCAGAAGGATTTACACTTTGTAACTCAGACGGCTCCGTACCAACAAAAGGCATAAACCAGCCATCCGGCAGGTCACTGCCTGTGAATGCATCGAGCCCGGCAGCACCAATTTGACCTTGGTTGTGAGGTTGCTGTGGTTGATCCTGTCCACTTTCCATCTTCAAGACACGCTGATCCGGGTTGGGCATTTTGGGTTGGCCCTTGGCGTGCCAGTTTGGCGTGCTGCCATCCATCACGTTCTGGTTACCGGGAGACAGTGTGTATCCATAAGAGACCTGCCCGTCCAGGTTCTGTGGCCTGTCGTTGGGGGGTTGTCCAATGCTGTGCATCTGCAAAATATCCGATGAGAAGTACGGAGATTGGCCGCAGCCTTGCCGCGGGAACGAAGCTACTTGGACCGGGCTCATTGGAGACATTGCCGTGTATGCTTGTTGCGCCTGCGCCTGAGACAGTCCAGCGGAACTGAATCCCGTCACACCGGATCCGCTCGTTTGGCCACCTAGAGATACTGGCGCGTGCTGCGAGCCAGAGACGGGTGTCTGAATTCTCAGCAGACCACCAGAGCGTTGTCCCATTGCCGATTCACCGGACTGGCTGCTATCTTGACGAGTGATGAGCAGGTCGCTCGTGTTCTTCGAAGGCTGCTTGCGCTTGATAGCGGCCGGACCCTGAGAAGCAGCCTTGCCGTCCGGAGTGGATGGGGAAGCTAGACTGGTGAAGAAGTCTTCGACAGAATGCAGCTCCGGTTTCTGCTCCAACACAGCGTCTTCGCCCTTGTCTCTATTTCGCTGAGAGGTAGGTTCCACGACATCGAAATCACTGACCCCATGAGGGTATCGGTCGAACCAGTCCGAATACTGCAATACCGACCATGCCGCAGGTCCTTGTGCGCCAAGCCTCCCGCATCGGGATGCCTCCAAGGCATTCCTGTACTGACTTCGGATGTTTTCCACCAGCCAGTGAAACGTGCCCCAATATCGCATCGTCTTTCGTAGGAACTTGATGTTGATGCCGGCATTGACCTCGGCAGTCGCCTTGACTTCTGGATTGCCAGAGAATATTCTAGGAATGTGAATGCTGGTCGCAGAGAAAGCACAGTAGCCTGCGAATGGAGCCGTCACGTTGCATTTTGCATGTTCGGCATCCCGTAGTATCTCGGATATCCGATTCGCGGCGGCAACTGTCTTGGCACTGGCTTGTGCCAAAAACTCGAGGGGTGCGTCGGTTCCCCTCGCGCCGGAATTTTGCCACGCATTAGCCGCCTTGTAGAGGATTAAGATGTTGTGCTGGATTGTCAGGTGCATCAGAAGAAACTGGCTGGCCGTTTTCTCGGTCGTGTGCAGGCCCAGGTTGTCCATGGAATACTGCAGGGAATCAGGAAGCGTACGCTGCAGTTTGTCTACGTGCTGGACAAGACGCGTATAATCTGACATATCGCTCCACAGGGGGTGTGAGTCCATCTCTTTGCCGCCCTGGTGCAGGTATGAAACGATACGACCCCAGATGGCAACAGCGCGGATTGTGTACGCCGCAACGCCCATGTGTTCCCCGGCCTGGGCTATTGGCTTGCCATCTGGAGAACCGGAAGGAGGCCGCGAGCCGTCGAGAAGCTCAGTTTCGGCCGGCATATCTAGCTGGAAATAGCTTTCCTTGACGGGGAGTTGGATCCTAATGCACTCTTCTTTGATGAACATTGGCCGATCAGAGCCGGAAGAGTTGAAACGATCCATCAGGAAGCATGCCCACATGATGCGTCGTCGGATTTCGCGGTCAATAAAGCTCAGCGGAGTCTTATTTCCCCGCCTGGATGGATCGAATTCCAAGTCCTTGTGAAGCTGGAGAGCGAACGCCATGCGGATTGCTTGCCCTCCCAATGCCCAGCTGCGCCCGCCGTGGCACGTTCCAAACTCGTGCAGGCCCAAGATGATGAGGCAGGTTAAGATGGTCATGTTTGGCCATTCATACCGCCTCGTGCAGATATCTCGGGCACATGATGCCCACTCCTCACCCCGCAGAAAGGGTCTCGGGTCGGGGCGAATATTGTACTGTGGCGCAAAACGTGCGGCCACAGCGCAGACGGAGAGAATCAGTACAGGGGGAAGAGTGTTGTTCCTATCACAGCCGTGTTAGTGAGCACGTCGGCGGTTGGTTGAGGAATCGAACAGGGGGGCAGTTGTGATGCCAGGCAAAAACTAACTTCAACTTGCGCATAAAGCTTGGTTTGTGGAGCAGGTGATATGCTTGGCCGTAGACATTGTCAAAAAAAATCTCCGCCAGATGTTCTTGAACCTCTTTCGATGGAAGAGCATCAGTGCCCTCCTGAAACAATAAGTTCTCGTCAGGCTCGCCGTCGTCTGGGGACAATGACGCATCGTCGGGCCCATCGCAGACCCCATCGCAGCTGGCCTTGACTTTGGTAGGTGGTCCTTTTGCCCACGCCTCCAGGTCGGCACCAAAGGCTCCGTCGACACCACGCTTTTTAGACGGACATTTGTTTCCTTGGCTCGTGCCAGGCATTGCCGGTCTAACAACCGCTCGAGCAACGGCGCATACTGCGTCCTGGTCGGGCTTGGGAATAATTTTAATGATACGGTCCTCCATGCGCTTCAGCCGTTTGTCCAGCATGGCCATGTAGTCTGTCCGTGGTGCCGCTTTTCGGGTTGTGACCTTGTAGACGCAGGGAATCCGTGATCTGAGGCAATGCTTGCAGGCAGGCTTTTCTCCAGAGCAGCGGATTTTCTTGCGTCGACAGGCAATGCAGGCGAGGGGAAGTCGCTTGCGATCCTTGCCAGCTTTCGTTTTGAGCTCGCTCCAGGCTGGCTGATGTCCTGCCTTGTCATCCTTGTTCTTGGTCCCAAGATCTGTGCCATCAGCCCGAGGGTGCCCCGGCAGTCCAAATTCATCGGTGCCGGTGTCCTCGAACGCATGGTCCGCCGGGGACGTCCCATCACGCATGGCATCCTCGGCCATCTCCAAGCTGGCACTGCCATCACTCTGTTCGGGGGCAAACGACGACGCAGGCATGCTGGGCAGGGCAGCCAGTGGATGTCGGGCGGGAGACACGGTGCTGCCAAGTCCATGGATATGGGCGAAATCCGAGTTTGAGGGGTTACCAAAGCCAGCTTCGGGCATGCCCGCCATGGGGCCTTGGTCGGATAAGCTGCCGAAGGAAAAGGCAAAGTCAGGGAACGGGGAGCCGTCCATGATGGCGGGTGAGCCGCCATTCAAGGCTCCGGCTTTCTGGTTGTCGTATATGCGGTGCGACGCGGCAGGGTCGAGGAGGGCTTGTTGGACATGCTGGATGTGGTGTGAGTTGATGCGGTGCTGGCTGCCAGACATGGTTCCGCAGTCGCCCTGATGAGGAGACCGCTCGAAACCGCTCGGCGATTGCCAGGCGAAGGCCGACCTGAGCTTTTCACCGACGACGCAGCCTCTCTTGAAGATGCACCCGGCCGGTCGTACGGGCGCTGCTTGCTGGTGCGACGATGAGGACGACGACGACGACGGCGACGACGGCGACGCCCCAAGGCAGCCTCTCTCTCCTGCAACGATGCCGACCCAAAGGCCACTCACTCGTTCATTGGCCAGAGCCGGGGGCGCGGGAGGCGTACAACGGTTGAGCAGAGGATGCCCAGCACGGCTGCTGGTGTAGCCAGGTGCAGGTGCCGGTGCCGGTGCCGGTGCCGGTGCCCGCGACCTCGGGCACGATGAGTCGGTTATAAACAGCAACGGCTACAGCGAGAACGAGGATGCAGGAGAATGAGGTCCAAGGCAGAAGAAAGAGGGAACCGATATGCTCGCGCCGACTGTGCCAGCGTCGACAAGTTAACCTATCGGGGCGGAAGCACCAGTTTAAGTTTAATAAAAGCATGGAGAGGACCGGCCAGCGACCAGGACTTGCGTCCCAGGACCTGGACCTGGACCATACCGATAGGAGAGCACTAATCGTGCCCGCCCCACTTTATGTGGTTCGGCTAGCAAAAGCCCTCACCACCAAAGGTGGTGCTCGACAGCAAGGCGGGCCGGACACCAAGGCGGACCAATTTTCAACCTAGACGCGTTGAACCGCGAAAATGGCTGCAACTAGCGTCCAAACGGCAAAAAGCGATGTCGAATTACGTGTCAACGAGGCTCTTGAGTATATTGAGGAAAATCCAGGTGCAAAAATTCGCTCTGTGGCGAAGAAATTCAACGTGCCTCGTAGCCGGCTTCAACGACGTGCTAACGGCGTTCCTGCTAGGAAAGGCCATCCAGCAAGAAATACAATGCTTTCACGAGAAGAGGAAGTTGCTTTATGTAACTATATCGATCGCCTTGATAAGGCCAACTTCGCTGTACGACCTGAATTCATTACAGATGCTGCAAATTACATCCTAAAAGAGAGGGCATCGTCAACTGCCCCGCCTAGGCAAGTTGGAACGCGATGGACTACACGCTTTATCCAGCGGCATCACTATCATAAAGGTCTTCAAAAAAAGATTGATTCAAGTCGAAAAGCTTCAGAAGATGTGACAAGAGCTCTTTCTTATTACAACAAGCTTAAAGAGGCTATTCAGCAGTACGGAGTCCCTCCTGAAGATATCTGGAATATGGATGAGACTGGCTTTCGTATTGGAATGGGAAAGGACCATTTAGTTGTTACAAAGCGAAGAAGAGCGCATCTATTTTCAATGCCAGAAAACAGGGAGACTGCAACAGCAATAGAATGCATTTCTGCTGGCGGCAAAGTTATTCCTGCCTTTCTTATCCTTACAGGGCAAAAACACATGGAGTCCTGGTATCGGATAAAGGAGCTTGAAGCTAATACCAAAATAACAGTCTCACCAACCGGCTTTACGAATGACGAAATTGCAGTTGCTTGGATACAGCATTTTCAGGAATTTGCAACGCCAATAGGCAGATATCGCCTTTTAATCCTAGATGGCCACGGATCACACCATACAATTGAATTCGTTGAATACTGCGAACAGCACGATATAATTCCCTTTGCGTTGCCCTCGCACCTTACACACATCCTTCAACCTCTTGATGTTGTGATATTTCAGCCACTAAAGCATTATCATGCAAAGGCGTTGGATATCATTGTTCGAGACGGCGTGTTGAATATTACAAAGATTGAATTCCTTGCTTGCATTCAAGCTGTACGAAAACAAGCTTTCAAGACTACTACTATTCTCACAGCCTTTCGAAAAACTGGAATTTCACCCTACAATCCACAGCCTGTAATTGAGGCCCTTGAACAACGAGCTGCAATTTACACATCAACACCATCGCCGCCGCCGTTATATCACAACAACTCTTCCGACTTTGAGACGCCCACAACACTCAGGCAGATAAATAAGGTTGCCAACAAGCTAGGGGAGGTATTAGAAGACGATACATCCCTTGAGCCTGAGTTTGCACGCAATATCAGTCGTTTTATCCGCGGCTCTCTTATTGCAGCTACTGAGCTAGACAGACTAGCATTTCTGCAAATGGGGCGCCTCGGCAGCCACCAAAACTGGAGACTAGCTGCCGTCTGGTCGACTGCACTGCAGTGACTGCACGCAGAGACGAGCGACAAGCGACAAGCGACAAGCGCTAGAGGGCAAGCTGCTGTCCAGGCACCGGGGCCAAAGTCCTCTCGTCTCGACCGAAGCACCTACTACGGAGTGCTATTACTAGCACTAGTACGCAGCACGGAGTGCGCAGCAGCAGTAGTAGTACTACTACGTCCTTGGCCTGTCTGCAGGGCCAACAAGCAAGGGTCGGCAAGGGTCCTGTCGAGGTGCTAACGTTATACCCTGGTTCTTCTGGGGATGTTGCTAGGCCGATTTTGGTGTAGCCGACGGTTGGGGTGGGCCGCCTTCCCAAGTCGCTGGGGTCCCATGCCATCGCCGTGGAGGTTGGCAGCGATGGGTGAGTGGTCGGCCGGCGGTCCAAGACGGCCTCGGAGGCTCGGACCTTCAGCATGGCACTGCGAGTGGGGAGCGAATGGCGGCGCCTGCAATCCTAATGCTCCAGAGTCCAACCTCCAAAACAGAACACAAGTGGCGACGCCTATCCGCCCGGCCATGTCTGGCTACAATGCCACCACACGGCGGCTGTTCTTTTCGTATCGTGTAGGATATCATGTGCCAGTTTCTCCCCCCAGTCCACGCGACCTCGCCGTGCTCGTTGCTGCGAGTCCTTCGCCCTCTTCGTGTGCCCTGGATAGGACACGCGTGATGACCTGCATACCATGATATAGGAACGTTCTAGTACCGAGCACCTAGTTAGTTGTACCAACCAACGCATCTTGGTCCACAAGTTCAAGAATTAGGGGCTACTCAACACGTAACCACAAGTATCTCCTGTGTCCGACAAGTTTCGACATTCTTCCCGGGCACTGCCGCTGCCATGGTCAGCCTGGCCTGGTCCGCATTGCATTGCCGCATCAAGAGGGGTAGCATACATGCCGTTGCAACGGGTCTGCGCGCAAAACAATGTCGAGGAAAGACGTGAATGGTTTATGGTTATCAATACCGGAAACTGGAAGCACCGGGTGAGGATGTATCAATCTTGAATCAAAGTACGTCTTCTGTGCTGACTCATGTCGTGATGGCTGCGTAAACAATGCCCAAGCATTCGTCGGGGGTACCTGGGTGCGTTTTAGTATCCAGCACACTGTACCAGAGGCCTACAAAGACAGAACGATTCTCCGTAAAACCTCCACCGCGCAGTTTGCCCAGTGGCTCTTGTGATTGATTCCCCGAGTTGCGCGGGGCCGATCTGAACCGCATCTCAGCGACGGCTACAGCCGAACCACCACTTGAGACGATCACCTCCAGACAACAGCAGTAAGATGTAAAAGTTGATATGAGACAAGGTATTGTGCCAGCTCAAAGTCCAGCACTGAGCTAAGTGGCCGGGCTCTGCATCAACCGGCAGATAGATGGTGTAGAGACAGGGGCAACCAGAATTGGTGCCGCACGGCAGATCGAGGCGCCTACTCCGTACTCCGTACTCCAGATCTTCTTCACAATGCTTTGTCGTCCCATTGGCCGGCCCTGTGTTCCATGCAGCTGTGTGACGTCTGATTGGTAGTATTTCGTTCTCTATCAGCCGCACAATTCCTGGGAAGCCTGTCAGGCACCACTGTCCGTCTGCATCGGGCATCATAACTAAGGTGAAGTTAATAAGGTAAGTTACTAGTTAGTTCTTCCCGTCAGATATTGCGGCTCGTCAACGTGGCGTGGGGCTTTTGGCTGCTGCTACGCGGAAGCTTGCAGAGACCGTTCGTCATCTGGACTGTCGGCCGAGTCGAGGTTTAGCATGGTCTAACGATGCAACCTGCAAGTTCCCATCAAGGTGGACAAATGCGGGCTAATTTGACGCGCTGCGTGCAAGCGTATTCTTGTTGAAGAAGAGGAGAAATTGAGTGGTTCCAGATGGATATCGTTGCTAACAATTCTGATTTGTCGACGGAGGGAGCCAGGTACCTAAGTTCCTCCATGTCCGTCAGGACTCAGGGGAGGCCTACCTGCCCTGGGCTGCCCACCACGGTCCACAAGGCAGGTACGGACGTTACTAGTCAGCTGGCAGCTTCCCAAATTTTTGGACCTTGAAGTTGGACACTGATCATTTCTGCTTCTCAAATTTCGAGGTTCAACGTCCATCTTCCGCCCTCATGCTGGCCCCCTCTAGCAACAACGAACAAAGACGTGAATACTTATTCGTGTCTTTGTCCATGTGAAGTGTGGCTGTGCTGATGCTAACGTTCAACAGACTTGCTGCGAAATACTCCGTACAATGCGACAAGTTCAGATTGCAAACCCTGCTCCATCTCGTCGGTGTGGAAAGATCTGCGACACCCTAGCGAGTAAATTGCCTACGCTTGAACGCTTAGCATTTCTTCACATGCCTATTTTCTTTGGATCATGCCAGCGTCCTCTCCGAGGCAGATCCACAAAATCTGAAGGGAAGCCGGAAAATAGTATTAAGATACTAGTTGGTAGGCGGTTTTGAGAAACATTGAAAAGCTCTCGATGGGGCAGGGGTATCTGGTGGTCCAGAACGCAGCGACCCATCGAAGTGGCTGCTTGTTTAATCAACCGTAGTGATCACGGGGGATCCTTGCCTAATGAAAGACGATGCCAGCAGCTAATTGTGGTCGAAAGTTTTTTTTTTTTTTAAGTATACAGCACGGCGAAGTGTGTGGTCCGGCAAGGACGAGGGGCCCCCGCTGAATCTCCAAGTGAAGTTTAACAAGGGTAATGGACTCTTGGAGTTCCTGTTCAACTGTTCATTGTTCATTTTAGCTGACGTCCACACCTAATCCATGGTATCGTACGCTAAAGGATATGGAAAAAGTGCGGGAAACCCAACGCCCAAGTTTACGACGAGAATTATGAATCGAGCGGACTTAGAAGCACAACTAGGCCAACTCATCATTGATTGCCAGGACCCCAACGGGCACATTTTGGGACCAACTGGATGGTCTGTTTTGATATTCTTCGACAGAGGTGCAAATCCCTTGACTTTATCAAAACATAATGTTCGCTGAACATCAAGAAGGAAATGTTAGTTTCCATGACGCCTAGCTGACATCAAATACGGTGCTAGCCGGGCACCTTTTGACAATAAGAAAGCTGCTGATGAACTCGAGAAATTAGCACTAATTACCTACAATTCATTGTGCTTGACGCGCAGCTGTCACACCGACCTTACCTTGTTCACTCCTCTAGCAACCTCTTAGCATCGCCGATTGAGAAAAATCCTGCGCCATTCAGCGGAGCAAGTGACCCCATCCCGGTTAGCTTTGGAGGTAGCCTCGTCAAATCGAAACAGCATGAAAACGATGTGACCCTACCCGCCCTAGGGCAGCCAGTCTAAACCAAAGGTCGTCCATCGTGCTACGAAAATGTTAATCAGACAAAGCGTGGTAAATGGGTGGCTATTGGGGACTGGAGGCTTCGCTGGCCTGGTCAAGTGGACAGCGTCAAGTAGGCCGTCCCATGCGGTCTGAATGCTACAACTAGTACCCAGGTAATCACGCCAGGTTTCCTCGCGATACTTCAGTCGCGGTTATATTGTCATATTGCATGACGCAGGTGGCCTCTGACGCATCATGCTTCATCTCATTATCCATATCATGAGGAGCTCTTTGTTCAGGGGAGACAGTGCTGTGGCTTCATTGCAGATCCCTGGGTCGTTACCAGGGACAGGACCGGAGCTACCCTTGTCCCACACAACTTGCGTGTACGTTATTACAGGGTACGTGTTGAACAAGCTCTCCTGCACTGCCACTTTTGAACTCCAACGACATAAAACATCACAGTGATAAGTGGCCCCAACAAGGGAAAAAAAATCAAACACGAACGGCAGCCCTTGTTTTCGTGTGCTAGACAGGACCAGCTGACGGATTGTAGATGGTCGACACGGAGTTTCATACGGTGCACGCTTGAGCAAACCACAGGCTGTGGTCATCCACGTACGTACTATCTGGTGTAGCCACGTGGTCGTGGGCAGTGATGATCTCGATTACAGCGACATGTGAAGCAGACGCAGGCTCGCAGATTTTCCGGAAGAGATGGACGCCAGCGTGCGCAACCTGTGCAAAAGATTGCGTCAGTCTCTTTCATCACCTCCATAAAGGCCCCTGTCCATGTGCTAAAGTAGAGGAAGGGTCACCAGTATCGCAGACGTTTAGACTTAGTATGGCACTTGTTGATCTCCACAGGCAAAAGTCAATTTCGCCTCACGCAACAAAGCACCTAGGTAGGCGCCTCGTACTAGTTTTACCTCTGGGACTGTATTGTACACAAACTGACGGATTACTATTATCATGCCCAGTTTATATTTAGCCTGGGGAGAATTCCAGCGAGTAAAATTGTGCAGGCAACCTGCGTTTTGGTAGCGAGGATGCTACCTAGGAGGCTAGGAGTGTGATCCCGCGATATCTCAGGCTTGGTTCGACTGCCTGTGGGGTTCGATGCTGCGACGGAGCGTCTCGAAATCCTCCGAATTCTAACTTCCTAGACATGGCAGGCTGCGGCTCCTTACGCACGGAGCCGAGCACGTATGGAGACCCCGGATTGTGTCACTTTGTACGGAGTATTAACAGCTAACACCCGCAGTTGTCATTAGTTTGATTTGGTCGCTTTGACCCTAATCGTTCCCTGGTTGCAAGGAAATGCCATACAGTCGGTAATGGCATGGCTTGCCGATCTCATCTCGTCCATGTACCGACTAGCCGACTCCTGCATTCGATATCAAGTGCTTGCGCTGGTATTGTTGGCAGCGGGGACCTCTTTCGCTCTGGCTCGTGCCCAACAGCATGAGGACGACCAGTTGTTCACACGGAGAACACCACACTCATGCGCGGCAATCGTACGGGTATCTTCCGGTGCAAGCCAGCCAGCCATCCTTGCAAGATTGACCCCAAATGAGGACGCGGCGCATGCTTACGCGGCATCGTCTGTTCTGACATGTCACCCATCATTTTCTCAAGAGCAGCGCATCCACAGGGGCATTGACCTGGACAACAAATGAGAACGAATCTTGGTTTTCAGCATGATTTAAAGAGTCTCATTTTTTTGTTTTTTGTCAAGTGATTCCAAGGGCTGGAAAGAAAAGAAGTAGCCTCCCCGTTGAGAAAGCGGCGAAGCCATGGGTTGGCTGCCCTAGAGGCTACATACAAGTCATGGAGGTTACTACAACTTACAGCATCTCTCGAAAGGGTCGTGTGGGCATGGCTCATTGACGACGACTTGGCTTCCAAGCAAGTACTTTGTCCGCGCGGGGAAATATGCAACCTATATAATCAGGACGAGCCGGCTGCGCGGACGGACCCAGACAGAAGTTCAACGTTTACACCTTTTTGTGCGAGGCGGCCCTCAGCTTCACTTTTAATATGCGTGTCTCATATCGGCGGCGGGATATACGCGGGCCAAGAGCCTCTGCCTCTGTTCAGTCGGCAACCACGGTCCACAGGACATGCATTTAAATTTTGGACCGTGGAAGAAAGCGAAGCTCCCTGCCCCGAAGGACGTTGATGACACCTCACGACGAGCCTAGGCTCGGGCTCAATGGCTTTTGGAGCTTCATCCATGGCGCACCTCGACATCAATTACACACAAGGGCCGACAGCTGCGTGGCTTGCCATTTTTTCCCTGCCATACAAAACCTCTACTGTGTACAGAGGAGTCTGAACGGAGTACATGTATCTTCTTTACCCGCCAAGGAAAAAACCGAACCCCCCCCCCCTCCTACGAGTGTAGGTGAAAAAAAGGTGTCGCTAGCAAGGAGGCCAACCAAGCCTTGTTCTCGTCTGGCATTCACAAGGTGCTAACGCCGTCCAGGGAGTTGGGCGAAGTAATAGCTAAGACATTTCCCCGTTGTTGTCACACCATGGCAGCGGCGCACGGAGTACCGAGTACCAGTTGGCAACTCGGTGGCTATGTAACACTCAGTTGCCGCTGAAGGACAACTTGACCACTACTTGATTCTTTCCATCCGGTAGTGAGCACTAGTCTCAAGGCTCACAATAGTCTGGTACGACGTGACGATGTGCACTGCGTGCGGTGGTCGTAGCCAGTTCTTCCATTCTATCAACCAACTTTGCTATCCTGTTGTTGTTTCTTTTCTTTTTTTGGTAAGCAATTGGTCTGCACAAATGCCCCTGACTCTGATCTAGGTGCCAGTTTGAACAAGACAAGCTGATCATTCCGACTTGCGAAGAAGGGAGAAAAAAAAAAGAAAACCCCTTTTCAAGCCCACAACTCCGTATCGCCATCTCCAACGAATAGCCGCGCATGAAGAGGAGCGAAGATGCCGCGTGTAAGAAGGCTTACCCCCACGCCGAGTATCGCCAGTGACGGCAACACGACGGCAACACGACAGCACCAAGGACTTTGGCTATCCCGTCGCGGACCCGGCGCTATAAAGGACTTGTTCTTGGCGAAACAATCCCAAGAAGAGACTAACGAATTGTGATGACATCTATTGTATCCTTCACACATACACAGCCGTTGGTTCTTATTACGCAGCGCTTGCATTCCATGCCATCCATGGCCGCTGCCACTCAGCCCTCTCCGTACGCGGCGCCTCCCAAGGGACTACTAGGCAAGAATTCCAAAACAGGGTATCGTATATAGTAAACGGGACATCAAGGCGCATTCAACCTTCACGACTGATGTACACAGGGATACCGTAAACGACAACCGCGGCCGCGTTCAGGTATTTGAACTTGCAGGCGCCTCGAGCTCTAGCCACAGCTTCGGGCAGCGACCTCGTATGCGACCGTGTTTCCTGGTTGATGCAATCGCGACCGCCGTCGGCGCCAACGTCGTCGACGACGTGTTTCTTGCATCTGCCCTTGTTGCCACCGCCCTTTTCAAATGTGCCATGAGCAAACAGGCCCCATTCTTCAAACGCCCGGCCCGCAAAGCGGTCGATATCGCCGTCCGTCACGTCCCAAAGCGTGCCCACCACGGCGGGACACCCTGCCATCATGTAGTTCCAGACAGGGCCGTAGCACTCAAACCCCCCGGCCTCTGTGAGTGCCGCTGAGCTGCAGCCCATGAGAAAGGTAGTTGCCCGGCACTTGTCCAGCCGCCGCACCGTCTTGCCGCGAATGTATTGCGCGCCGCTGCCGTGACCAAAGTAGAGCATAATATCCGACTCGGACAGGGCATCTTGGAACTCGGACTCTTGCGGGCTCTTGTTGACAATGGCATCCCAGCTCTCGAGCGTCTCAAAGGCAGGCTGGAAGAAGGCCTGCGTGTTCTTCAGGTCGGACGACGGGTTGAGGATATAGGTCCCGGCCTTGGGAGAAACGCGGTGCCCCTCGGGGAGTCCGGACCGACACCTCTGCCTGTCGGACTCGGCAATGAGCCGTCGCAGACAGGCAAGCGACGGGACCCGGGAAAGCGCCAGGCCCTCCATGCACGGCAGCGACTCCCACGGGAAGGCGTGGAGGGCCTTGTCCAGGACGAGGATCGTGTGAGAACCATCCTGCCGCTCCGGGCCCGAGTTCAGGGCCGAGTAGTACCCCCCGAGGGCGTCGCACGTCTCGACAACCATGGCATCGAAGTCGATCTCGTCGTACGCGTTTCTCTCCCCGTGAAACTGCAGAATGTCCACCACGAAATAGAGCAAGTCGTTCAAGGCCTCGTCGAGGTCGCACTCCGGACCAGTCGGGTCGCCGAGGCCGATAAACAGGTCGAGAATCCTCGGATCGAGGTTGACAGACGGCGCCTTGGGCGTCTTCTTGCCGCGCATCCGGCTTCGGGACGGCAGGCTGCCGTCGAGGATTTGCTGAAACCGCTCGTGGAAGCGGGCTGACAGATCCGCCCTCCTCCGGTGCTGGGAGAAGATGCCCTTGAACCCGCCCAGCCAGGTCGACTCGACCGTCGACAAGAGATGCTTCAGTCGGGTGTCCAGCTCTTGGCGCCCGGCCCACCAGGCGCTTCGCTCGCCCTTTGCCGAGAAGTCACGCGCGGAGTGGCTGGTCTCGTTGGCAAGTTTGACGATGTCGACGAGCTCCTCGCGTCCGTGTTCGAAATTGAACACTTCGGCGTCGGCATCGCGGGAGTGGGCCCTCTCCAGGGGCAAGCGCAAGATGAAGGGACTGTGTCCGGCTTGCAACTTGGTGATGCAGAGATCGTGGCGACCATCGCTCAGGGAGAGAGAGATGACGTTCCAGCCGTCGGGCAACGAGTCCACGTAATCCCTTTGAAACGCAGCCATACTCGGGCTGAGGCCCACGACAGCTCTGCGAGGCGAGCTTGGCGAATCGCCGGGGACAGAGGGCCGCGGCGAGGCTGCCAGGGTGGCTTGCTCCCGTGCCCATGTGATGTTGCGGCCCAAGTCCACTGCCACTGTCGCGAGGCCGCACGACAGGATTGGCCTCGTCTTGGGGGCACTTGTCGCAGAGAGCAGGATAATGGTGTTTTGTAGCAACGCCGAAAGCCGGTGCACCATGCTGCTGTCATATGTCGACAAGGCAGATCCGTGTGCTTCCATCAATATGTCTTGAGCCCGTCGGAGCGCGTCCGCAAACGCCGGACCAGCCTTGTCCTTGGCTGTCTTCCTGTCACCGGCGGCGGCGCGGCCGCGCCGGGGAGGCGACGCGACCAGGCTGCTCTTGTCCGTGGAGGCCCTCGCTGCGCTGCTGGCTATCGCGGGGAATGAAATTGTAGAGTCCTGCATCACGGAAAAGACGGGGTCCGAAATCATCTGCTCCATGCTGTGGCCGATGAGGGAGGTTGCGGTGACGACCTGTTCCAGGGACAGAGTCTCGAGTAGCTTGGGCAGCTCCTTTGCCTGGCCCAAGGCCGACAAGGCCGAGGACCAATCCTTCTTCCGTATGTATCCGACTGCCCTGGAAAGAAGAACAGCGGCGAGCAGCGACGACTGGTAGACGTCTTTGGGGAGCTGAGCTGCTGCCTCGCTTCTCACTGCCTGGGCCTTTGCTCTCGCGGGCCGCCCAAGAGGTCGCGTCACGCATTCAGGCTTGCCCCTGGCGGGCCGTCTGATTCGTGTGGTTTTCGAAGCGGTTGACTTTGCCATTGCTGCCGGTTCTGTCGGCTTGTCACAACGGCCGAGATCACCAGGAGCAGCATGATCCATCCATCGGAGAGTCTCTTCCGCGATTGTCAGATATTCGTTCGCTTTGTCGTCGTCGCCTATTTCAGAGTACAGCTCGCCAAGCTTTCGAGCAAAGTGCACCCGCGAGGAGCAGATGCTGCTGGGAATACGAAGCTTTGCGTCCGCCAACGTGTCGATGGCCTTTGCCATGTTTCCTGCCTTGAGGTACACAGACCCGGTCCACGCAGCGACTTGTGCGTAGTAAAGAGAGGACTGTGTGCTCTGCGCGATTTTCCACGCGGACTCGGCATAGTAAATGGTCTCTTGAAACATTCCAATGTGCGAATACACAGATGATATATGTAAGAGGCAGCGGAGCAGCGGTGCCGCGAGTCCCCAAAACCGAGGGCCGGTCCTTTTGGCCTTGGATGGTCTTAGGTCAAGGCCGGTGAGGCTGCCTTCGGGCGTGTTTGCGTCGGGCGTCGACGATGTTGCTTCGAGCTTGGCCCAGTCGTGAGACAAGACACGAACACCGGTCCGGATCGATGACAGAGCGTCTTCGATGTTGCCGGTTTGCAGTGAGACTGTAGACCGAATGAGGGCCGACAAGGAAAGCATCAGGTTGGCTTGGTACTTGGACTGTGCCCACAGCGAGTGCGACTGACAACAAATGTCGTTGGCCTTGTCGACACAAACCGACCTGCCACTCGGTTAGCAGTGATGATGCAGGGGCCGACGGGGGCTTTTGACTCACGCTTCATCCAGGTTTCCAACGCCGGCGTAGTACTCGGCTTGTGACAAGTAAAAGTCGGCGACAACCCTCTGTGACACCCCTTCGTTGTGCTCGAGGAGCTCTTTGGAGATGTCGAGTGCCCCAGATGCCTGGGCGAACTTGCCGACGCCGAGATACTGGGTGGCAAGGCGGCTGTTGTGAAGGATCAGACCCTCATGGAATGAGCCAGAGTACTCGCCTACGGCCTCGGTCATTGCGATGGAAAGTTCCGAGATGGAAATTTGAAGCTCCGTCTCGCCCCGCAGATCCGCCAGATGGTTGAGGGTCTGCAAGAAGTCAATCAGCATCTGTGGGTTGTCAATCTTGGTGTGTAGATCGTCCTTTGACCCATATGAGCCAAGGATGGCCCTCCAGCAGGCGATGCTGTCCTTGATCACTGAAACTGGGAGCCCGTCATCACTGTCGGCTAGAGCGGCCAAGGAAGAATGGTATGCTTGGAGGTGTGGGATAAACTGTGTGAGGGAGCCATCTTCTCCCTTGTCCTTCTTCTGGAGGTGCCGAGAAACCTGATCAAGGCTCGATTTGATTTCTGCCAATTCCTCGTCTTCTCCGATATTTTGATGAAGCAAGTGAAGCAAAACTCGGAATCGCCGAATGGGATACTTATCCAAAGAATAGATTCGGAGCAGGGCCGTCGGGCTGGCGTCGTGGAGGCCAAGGGGCAGTCCGTGGCCGGCTGAGTCTGTGCTTAGATGCATGAGATGCTCAAGCACGGCCGCTCGCTCAGCTTCGGGAAGAAAAAAGGTCCAGTCGTTCCAGGATTTATCCAGCTTGGCTATTGAGCGCAAGGTTCGGGACAGGGAGGAGGCCTTATCCGTGGCGGCCCAGGCAACAGTCGGCGGCAAAGATGCCAGAGCGGCAGCAACATCAGAGAGGACGCCATCCTCCACCATGGCAGTGCAGATGGATCGAAGAGTTGCCACGGCGTCCTCGCTCCGGCCAGACCCCTTGCACAAGTCGGCAAAAAGCTCCAGCTTCATCGACAACTGGGCCTTTTCTTTTTGGGCGGGGGATCGCTCCTTGACCGCGTCGATCGATCGGCTTAGAGACTGTAAAAGCTGTTTGCCGAGGTCCTTGGTTCGATTCTTCATCTTTCGCAGCTCCGTAAACTTGGAAAAATAAAGAGTAGATATCTTGACGTGGTAGCCCCCAAGCTGCTCGGCTCTCCCGGGGGAAAGGAGGGGATCGCAAAGGGAGTCGAGCAGTCCGGAGCAATGCTGAAGGACATCGTCGATCTGATGCCACTCGAGAGCACCAGATTGGATCTCGCACCTCACGACCATCAGGGTTGCGTCCAGAGTCTGATTTATTGATTGCAGAACAGCCCGTCTCCGTTGCTCAAATTGCAGCGTCTGCTTCGCGGGAGCATCCCTTCCGGGGGCAGCACCCATCCATCGTCGCAGGAACCGCGGGTACCGCAGGACAAACGTCTTCAGCAGGGTGCTCGTCGTCTCGGGCATGGGGTCGGAGACTACCTTGGGATCCAACTCCTTCATCAGCAAGCCCACGACCGATCGCCTCGTAGCCGAGAGGCTTTCAAGCAGCTCATTGAGCTCCGTGAGAGTGCCACTGAGACTACCATCCAGGCTGTCAATAACTTCTCGCGTGGCCTTTTCAATGTCGGAATCCAACTCTGGCTTTTTCAAGGCGGCAGCAAGCATGCGTGCGGACACAGAGCACAACGCCACGGCAGAGTCTGAGCCCGAGCCCAAGGTGGATTTGAGCCTTTCAAACCAACGGCACGCATCGTCGTATTGTCGCGCTGCATGAGCTGCACATCCAAGAACTTGATAAATAGATGACAATGGCGACCTGGAAGACGTAGACGGATCCAGCTGGTGAGACCGGACAAGCTGCATGAGTTCCTCGTAGGCTGCCACGAGGGATTGATACAAAAGTTTGTCGTCGGGAGCATTGCGTCTGGCCAGAGCTCGCATGCAGCGGCTGAAGGGGGCCAAGACTTCATCGTCAATGCTACCTTGATGTCCGGCCAACTTCCACCACCTCAATTGCGTCCTAAATGCCAAGGCTTGGAGCTCAAAGACGCTCTGCGGACTGGGACTTAACCGAGGCTCAACTGCCACCTCATCCTCCTGACTGGACACACTTGGCAGCATTGAGAGCAGAGTCTGTGAAAGTGAGGCCATTTGCCGGGCAGCCTTTTGGGTCTGCTTCTCCCCAGCCTCCGCCAGCTTTGACAGAAGATTGACGGGGCACGATGTGTTCGTTTCCAGCAACATGGGGAGTAGAGCCTCAATATGAGCAGGTTTTTTCGTGGCGCCAATGAGTTTGAGAATCTGGATCTGAAACGAGGCAATGATCGGAAGCGCCGAAAGCGATGCTCTTGTTCGAAACTCGAGCAGCTCGGCGATTCCCGCGGCAGAAGCCTTATTCTCGACGGGCGTTGATTTGGGGTGTTTCGAGCTTTCGGTAGCAGTGGCAGGATCCAATCGAGATTTGAGAATTCTCATCTCTTTCAAAGCCTGGTCGTGCATTTTCAAGGCCAGGAGCTTGCCTATAAACGCAGACATGCCATTTTCGACCTGGAAATCGTATTGAGGTTCCTGCGTGGAGGGTTTCAATAACCGAAGGGAAGCAAAGGCCACTCGCGCGCACTCGACAATGGCCAAGCATCCTGTAGGGTGAGCAGAAACCCCAGCTTTGGCCTTGGCAGTTGGGATGTTTGGTGAGGTGGCCACGCGATTGAGGGTTCTTGGCTGCATCGGCGACAATGGTGCCGATAGTGAGCGCCGCAGGGTTCGTTTAGAAGCTGTCCGAGGACCATTCTCAACCTGTTTGCAGGGCGTTGGTGGGGGCGCAGGTCTCGCGGCTTCGGCGAGTGCCTTTAACGCTGCATTGACGACATGCGTAGCTAGGATGGTCCGGTCTCTCGAATTGAGTTGTTCGTGGCGTGACTGCGCGGCCGGAGGTTTCCTCCTCGACACCGTGCTGACTTTTGATGATTTTGCCGTGGTAGCTGTCCTTTCTGTTCCAGATGCCGACTTTGTAAGCTGCGCAGATGACTCTGTTCCGAGGAGAAGTAGCTCTTTAAGTGTTACAACAGTCGCTGGCGTGCACGTCGTGGTCGATGATACGGCTGCCTTGACGGCGTCGGCTGATGCTTGTAATGAAGCCATGTAGATTATTATGTGCGCAGTCTTCTAATCATACCATCGCAGTAAAAAGCCACAGGGCAAAGAGGACAAAACAAATGCAGATATCGCCCAAAAACCAAAAATGACGAGATGCAACATCGGGTACAATATTGAGACGCAAATGCATCAACGGTTGGTGGTCTAGTGTTGAAATCATGAGTGGGGCTAAATGTCGGTCGTTGTCTGGGGCAACGCCTGGAGAGCCGTTTCCCGGCGCTGGCTGCACCTTGATCCGCAGCCACGGCACAAGCACGGCCAAGGTGGACCACGGCGACGGTCGACTCTGGCTTGCGACAAACTTCTTGAATAGCGTCACCGCCTAGGCAAGGAGCCTGCCGAAATGCCGATCCAGCGAATACCAGCGCGAGTAACCAGCCTGGGCCGGCCAGCGCTCTCATCCAGAATACTGGCACAGAGAAAATCCGTGATTCGGTGGTCCAGCACAGGTCCGGCGACCGTTGTCGACACCGGGTTCTGGACGGCTTTGATCCCCAAACCCCTACGGAGAGAAAATGGCAAGGGCCTCAAAGGAGGAAAGTCGAAAGAATGGAACCCGGCAACATTCTTCATCGTCATGTTCCTCTTCATTGGCTCCATGTCAATTCAGATGATTGCGCTCCGCAACCAGTCCGAACGATACAGCCGACGAGCATCCGTCAGAATAGCGCAGTTGAGGGAGGCCTTGACAAAACTCCAGAATGGCGAAGCGGTCGATGTGGAAAAACTTTTGCGGAACGCTGCCGAATCACAACAGGACACCGACTGGGAAGAGAGTGAGTCCTGCCGCCTCGCCGCCTCGCCTGGGACGTGAGTGCTGACCTGGCGACCAGTGTTGAAAGCCATTGAGCGAGACCAGGAGTCGCAAAACGATCAAGCTGTCGAAAAGGTGAAGCAAAGGGCGGCTCCTCCAAAAGCCATCATGTCGACGGCCCCAGTATTATTAGGGATAAAGACGGACGATGAACAGGCAAATGCCAATGAGCAACCATCAAAGGCCAAACCTGCGAGTCTCGGGAATTTTTTCTAAGGGTCTATTTTTTTTCTGAGAAATATACATGACACACAATGTGACATTTATCAAGACAGCATGTCCTTGAAGACGGTCGAGTTCTCCAGGGATACTGCCGCGGACGGGCGGCGGCAGGCTGCCACTCCAGTCTGTCGCAGTCGAGAAACCAGGCCCGGAAGCAGCTGGTCCGTCGAGAGTTCAACTCTGACTCCCTCTTCACCCTCTTGTCGTGGATCCAGATCCGCGAAGAAGTGGTCCTCTCCTCTTACGCCGCCCATGTTTACAATGGCTATGGGCATTCCTCGATCTTTGGCTCGCTTAGCCAGCCGCCAGGCAGAATATGTTGCGAGAGACGTCCCTAGAACCAGTAGTCTGCCAGCACCGTCGATGGCATCCTCCGAAGCCACTTTCACGCGGCTGGCAATGCTCTCCCCGAACATGACAACCGCTGGCTTGAGGATACCAGCAGTACTTGGTGCCGCCCAGGCCCCGTCCGAATCAACTTGGACCACGTGCTTATGGCCACTGGCATCGTCTGGGGGATCAGCTAGACATTTCGGACAGGGTGGATATCTAAAGGTTGTATATGGTGCTTCTGGGAGGTCGACATCGCCATCGGGGTTGGTCTTTAGGCCCTTGAATCTCCGCTCCTCCGTTGACTCGGTATCCAAGGCACCAGAAGCCATAGCCTCGCGTAGGAGGGCGGCCCACCGCGGGTTCAGACGAGCCAGCTGCCGCTGAAACTCGTCTCGAGAAAATTCAGTCATGCAGCTCGTGCAGACAGTAGATCTCAGGTAGCCGTGTAGCTCAATGGATGGTGTTTGCGGGTGGGCGTTGGGATGGAACGAGTCCACATTCTGTGTAATAACACTTCGAATCAATCCCAAGCCGCCGAGATCTCGGATTGCATAGTGACCCGCGTTGGGCGTCGCCTTGTGCAGGGTTGACCAGCCAAGAAAGCTCCGTGCCCAGTACCTCTTGCGTGCCTCATGACTGCTGACGAATTCGTAGTGATAGATGGGGCGATACGTCTTGTTCACCCTGTAGGTGCCCTTGACACCGCGGTAGTCTGCAAGACCAGAAGCAACCGAAAGGCCAGCTCCCGTGAGAAGGACGGTCGAGTCGGGAAGGCCGGGTCGAGGCGGCGCCTGGAAGAAGCTGACCAGAGCAGCGAGCGCACCTTGGAAGGTCGAAGCGGAGGCCGGGACGATGGTGGGCGGTGCTAGAATGTCTGTGTAGGGAATACGCATCAGAGGTTTCCGCATGAGAACTGCCGGAGGTGCCAGTGGCGGTTGTGGCCACGGCATGTGATGGCACCGACGGGACGGGTATCTATCTGTCTCGACGTGAAGACTTGGTTGCGTCGACGATTGATGAGTGATTCCGAGGAGCATGAAGGTTGCAAACCCGGAGCCTGAAGCTCGGGGCTCGGCAGCACCTCGGACCAGATCCGGATTGGATGACGCAATTCGTCGCGAGGCCGCAGAGGTGGCGCGGCAGGAACCATTACGTCATGTGCGGCGACGAATATCTCGTCAAAGATGTCTGTCATGTTTGATACTCCGTACGGAGAACGGCTCCCCCGAATGCGGCACGTGGCGCGAGCAACACGAGCCCGTCCGTGCTGCACGGCGGCGACCGAGGCTGGTCCGCTCAGGGCTGCTGAATCGAGCTCCGGTCGCTGAAGGTCCCCCGCAAGGAAGGCCAGCCGGGCATTAATAATTGATCAATGGCCCCATCCAGGTTCGTCTATTCCCGACCCGATCCGCCCGGCCACTTCGCCCGTCACGACTTGACGGCCTCACCCACCATCTCACCTCAGCCCAACCACAACCAGACTTTTCTTCTCCTTTGCAACATGACAGGCTGCATGCGGCAATCACCACCAACAGCCAGCCAGCCAGCCAGCCAGTCAGCCAGCCAGACGCTCGCCTCCCGCTCCAGCCGTCGAGCAGTCCATGTCTCGCCAGGCCGGGCGCTCCACCGGCCTGGCCGTGTGCACTCATGCACAAGCACAGGCGCGAGCACGTGCACGAGCACGAGTGCGCTCAGAGTGGTCAGCGACGAGGCCCGCGAGGTCGGCGCTGCACATGCACTATTTGCACGGCAATGCTGAGCCCGGGTCGGCCGCGACTCCAGCGGCCGTGGCCACTAGCATCACGGGCATCAGCACTGCTGGCACCGCTAATAATGCTAGCACAGGCACCACCACCAGCACCGGCGCCCGCAAAGGAACTTCCCGTCCAGCCCACGGTCACGCCAACAGCTTCCCGTCTTCGCAGGGGACACCTCAACCTCAACCTCGACCTCGACCTCAACTTCAACCTCAACCTCGGCGTCCGGCTCATTTGCAGATGACGCAGCCTCAGAGTCACACGCGACTGCTGCACCCTCGTACGTTTTCACGGGCACAGGCTCAGGCTCGCCGCATCGTCCAGACTCTTTCTCCCCTGTCCCCGGCTGTCGCCTCGATCCCCACGTCGACGTCGCGCGTTTCCGCTCCCCCCTGCCCGTCCACCGCCGCCGTTTACACCACGTCAAATCCTCTCCACCGGCCTGCGTGCTCGTCCTCGACGGTCGATCCAGCGTCTGCCGTTGCACGCGTCCGCTGCGTCCTCCTTCACCCCTCGCCCATCCGCGGGCATATCCGCACGCTGCCCTCAGTCATGGGCTCGGCATTGAAGCAGACGCGAGATCATGGCGACCATGGTCACGGCCACGGACATCACCACCACCACCACGACAGCACATACCTGACGTCCGCCAACAGAAACGACCCCGGCGTACGCATCACCCGAATTGGCCTTGTATCCAACTTGGGCATGGCAATTGCCAAGTTCGTCGGTGGCTGGGCGTTCAATTCCAAGTCAATGACGGCAGATGCGTGGCACAGCATTGCTGACCTCGCCTCTGACATTCTCACCCTGGCCACTGTTTCCTGGAGCTTGAAGCCCCCGACTGATCGATTCCCCGTGGGATTTGGCAAGGTGGAAAGCCTCGGGTCTCTGGGTGTGTCGGGCATGCTGCTCGTCGGCGGCTTCTACATGGGGTGGGAGAGCGCAATCAGCCTGTACGGCCATTTCAACCCTGAGGGCGCGCACCACATCTTCGAGCACCTTGGCCACGGCCACAGCCACTCCCACAGCCCCTCTGATCTAGGGATCCCAAACATCCATGCCGTGTGGTTGGCAGCGGGCACCATCCTGGTCAAAGAATGGCTCTATCAGGCGAGTAGGTCGCTTCCACCCGTGCGTGAACCACTGGCGCGCGTGCAAGTCGCTGACGTAACATGCAGCAATGAAAGTTGCGCGGGAACGCAAGTCGTCTGTCCTTGCCTCCAATGCCGTCCACCACCGTGTCGACAGCCTCACTGGTATCGTCACTCTGGCCGCCATCCTCGGCGCCAACGTGGTTGAGAACGCCGCCTGGCTGGACCCGGTAGGCGGGCTGCTCATCTCCATCATGGTGGTCAAGGCCGGGTACGACAACACAAAGGAGGCCTTGTACGAGCTGGCAGACCGCAGCCTCGACGCCGACGTCAAGAACTCTGTCCGAAAACAAGCACGCCGGGCCTTGTCCAACGTAAGCGAAGGTCATGAAGCGGAGCTCCGTGACGTTAGTGGCACCAAGTCGGGACAGAATTACCTGGTCGACATGGAATTGGCCGTACCCGGCGCATGGACGGTGGACGACGTCAAAGACTTGGAGGATGCAGTGCGCATGCAGGTCGGCGGCAAAGTCCGCGGCGTAAAGCGGCTTCGTGTGCGGTTCGTCTCCCGGGACAAGGCTGTCGACGAGAAGTTTGACGAGTTCATTCCAGGGCCAGAAGCCTTACAGAGGCCGGAGCTGGAGCAGGAGGAGGAGGCCGAGGAGGAGGAAAAGGCCGAGAATGGCGCTGCCGATGATAAGGATGGCAAGCATAGACACCACTAGACTTGTACACCACCTGTGTACAGGATGACCAGGGTATACCGTAGAGCGAGACGCTGATCGAGACGACCCGAGCACCACGTAGTATATGATTGATTGGAATAGTCTATTGTCAAACATGTGCCAGCCTCCAATAGACCATCACAAAGCTGTATTCCCAGACCGGCAGCACACGTTGAGAGAGCTTCTGAGTCGACACACGGAACTACACCGCCAGTCTGTGCATTATCGTACAGCCATGGCGCCGTGGACAAGTCGAGTGAAAAGTCTGCCCACCTCCTCGCGCGGCTCTCCTCCTGGTCGGCTCTGACCCGTCCCAGTCAACCGAGTCTAAACACTCGAGCTCGACTACCGGCTGCGTTGCTGCTCGGCCTCGGGCGTTACCACATCGGTATTTATTCGTGGAGGCTCCGAGATGCTGGCCACAACGGCCACGAGCTAGTCAGCACCAGCCTTTGCTTCCATCAACTCCGCTCCCGGCGTCGGAGGGCGTGGCTGACGCGCAGCCTCCCCAACAAACACCCAAGCGGCTTCAACGTTCTGGCTGAAGTCACAGACCCGCAAAATCCCCAGTTCTCGACTGCCGGGTGTCAGTCCCCGTCCTTGCGATGGATCGGAATAGTTTTGATGTGATTCATCATCTCAAACCGTCAAACGAGGACGTTCCCGGCGACCGATCTCTGTCCCCGCAGACACCGCATCATCATCATGGATGACCAGAGGCCTCTCTCTACCTGGGCTTGGACCTGTCCACCCAACAACTCAAGGGTAGGTCTCGCTCACCCCCAGAGTCCGGGCTCCAGAGTCCAGACGTCTGCCACGACTTTTGTCCCGGCATCATCTAGCTAAGACTGGCACCCGACACCAGCAATCGTCGTCGATTCGGCCCTGCACACAGTTGCGCAGGCCAAGGTCGACTTCGACGCCGACTTCCCCAAACATGGCACCCACAAGGGCGTCCATGTGCGTCCCTCCACGGGCGAGGTGTACGCCCCGGTCGCCATGTGGATGGAATCGCTCGACCTCGTGCTCCATCGCCTGTCGAAGGAGAGGACGCCCGTGCCGATGTCGCGGATCAGAGGCGTCAGCGGCTCGGGGCAGCAGCACGGCAGCGTATACTGGAACCACCAGGCACAGGATATCCTGCGGCGGCTGGAACCAAGCAGGCAGCTGGTGGACCAGCTCTCGGGCGCACTAGCATACGAGTGGTCGCCGAACTGGCAAGACCAGAGCACGCAGAGCGAGTGCGACGCGTTTGACGCCGAGCTGGGCGGCAGGGAGAAGTTGGCCGCGGTCACGGGCAGCGGCGCCCATCACGTAAAGCCTCATCCACCCCCCCCCGAACCTGCGCTCGCTCCGATGAAGGAAGGAAAGAAAAAGCCTGACGAAGCACACCCTAGAGGTTCACAGGCCCCCAGATCATGAGGCTGCGGCGCGTACGCCCGGAAGTCTACGCCGCGACATCGCGCATATCCCTGGTGTCGTCGTGGCTCGCCTCCGTCCTCCTGGGATCCATCGCGCCCCTCGACAGGAGCGACGTGTGCGGCATGAACCTGTGGGACGTGCGAAGCCAGCGGTACAGCCCCGAGCTGCTCGCCCTGGCGGCGGGCAAGGACGGCGCCGACGACCTGCGCGAGAAGCTGGGCGAGCCGCAGGCAGACGGCGGGGCGACGCTCGGCTGCATCTCGCCGTACTTTGTGGACAGGTTCGGCTTCCGCGCCGACTGCCGCATCGTGCCCTTCACCGGCGACAATCCCGCCACCATGCTGGCGCTGCCGCTGCGGCCGCTCGACGCCGTCGTCTCGCTGGGCACGTCGACGACCTTCCTGATGAACACGCCCAGGTACGAGCCCGACGGCTCGTACCACTTCTTCAACCACCCCACCGCCGAGGGCCACTACATGTTCATGCTGTGCTACAAAAACGGCGGGCTGGCGCGCGAAAAGGTCCGCGACGCGCTGCCCGCGCCCGCGGGCGGACGGACCGGCTGGGAGGCCTTCAACAGGGCCGTGCTGGACACACCGCCGCTGGACATGGCCGGCGAGGGGGGCCGGGCCAAACTGGGCCTCTACTTTTATCTGCGGGAGACGGTCCCCAACGTCCGCGCGGGAACGTGGCGCTTCACGTGCGCCCCCGGCGGCGGGGACCTGCGAGAGAGCCGGGAGGAGTGGCCCAGAGAGGTCGACGCCCGAGTCATTGTGGAATCACAGGCGCTCTCCATGCGGCTCCGGTCCCGGAAGCTCGTCCACAGCCCGCGAGACCGGCTTCCCGCCCAGCCGCGCCGCATCTACCTCGTCGGCGGAGCGTCGCCCAACCCCGCCATTGCCAGGGTCATCGGCGACGTGCTCGGCGGCGCAGACGGCGTCTACAAACTCGACGTGGGCGGCAGTGCGTGCGCGCTCGGAGGGGCGTACAAGGCGCTCTGGGCCCTGGAGCGCAGACCCGGCCAGACGTTCGACCACGTCATCGGCAGGCGGTGGGACGAGGGGGGCGCCGTTGAAAAGGTGGACGCGGGATTCAAACCCGCCACGTACCAGACGTACGGGGACGTGCTGGCTTCGTTTGAGCACATGGAGACGAGGCTCCTCGCGGAGGAGCGCCGGGACTAGCTGGCAATTTTTCACGTCTCCAGACTACAGCTACACCTAGGCGCTAGGCACATCGTACACCGTCTACCGGACGTATTTGCTCATGAAGCGTCTGTGGAAATCAGACCGCAGCATGTCCTACACGTAGAAACATTAGCCGGCTGCACCCACCATCCAGCGCACATCACGACGAGACACTGCTGCACTCACATTGACGAATTCCTTCCTCTTGTTCCTCTCCTCCGTCCCACGCGCCTGGTTCTTGAACACGACGTCGTCGTCCCACCGCCTCTTCATCGTGTAGTCCTGCTTGTTGAGAAGCGGATTCCCCAGGGCGATGCTCCTCTCCCGCGCTTCCTCTTCCTCTTTTGCCCGTTCCGCTTCCTGGCAAGAGTTAGATCAGCAGGTCACCCGGCCCAAGTCACCACGACTGCAGCGACGGCAGCAGCAGCACCGAGACTCCAGAGGAATCGCTCACCTCGCGCCTCTTCTTTTCCTCCCTCTCCCGCCTCACCCGCTCCAGTTCCCTCTGCAGCTCTGCGTCCTCGTCATCCTCACTGTCGTCGTCGCTGTCCCCGTCCCCGTCCCCGTCGTCGCTGCTGTCATCGGCATCAATGTCCCTCGTTTCCTCCAGTATCCGCCGCCGCTTCGCCTCGGGGTCCTCTTCTCCGTCGCCAGCCAGCGGCAGCGGTCTCTTTGCCGCGCCGGCAGACGCGCTCTCCTTGTCCTGGTCGTGGTCGTCGTCTTCGTCGGCGGGGACGCGCGCGCCCTTCTTCTTGGAAAAGTGGGCTGCTTCAGCGGCAAGCAGCTCGGCCGCGAGATCGCGCGAGGGCTCGTCGTCGGCATCGCCACCCTGACCGGCCTGCCGAAACTTGAGTTGCGTGTGGGCGGGTTGGAGGCGCTGGTGGTAGGCCGGGCCGCGGAGGGCCTCTTTGCCGCGCGCCTGGGAGGATGAGAAATTAGCTGATGGTCTGGTGTCCTGGATCCAAGGCGTCTTCTTACCGGATCAAAGGTTGGTCTATGGGCAGTAGTCATGGCGGCGACGGGGAGGGAGGCTGCTTGTGATGAGGTGAAGTTGCGTCTCCAAGAAAGATTGCGTCTGCATCTGGCTCTGGCGGCTCTGCTCTGACCAATGGCTTCGCTCGCTGTAGGCCAATCACCGGGCAGGCTTTTGTATCCACCTGCGAAAAACGACATCACTTCTGCAACACCGTGTCTACGGACTAATGAAGACGCACATTATTAAAATGTATATTTTAAAACTCGAAAAAAGACTAATCTGCGCCTTAAGCACCCACGTAGAGAATGACCAACTTGATATCCACGTTCAACAACTGCGACATCTGTGTTGGTGGTTTCGTTAGCCTTGGTCCGTATGGTCCAGTCCTACACTGACTGTGCATCGATCATGATGTAATTTTGTGTATTTACAATCTTAGTAGGCCCTTTGTACAGTGTAGGAATACTGCTCATCACTTTACTTCAACAGCAGCAGAATTTACAGTGCCTTGACACCGGCTTGCATGGCCTTGAAATGGCTCCAATCGTGGCTATCTTGAGCCAGACTCCAAGCAAAGACACCGCCCAACTTCTTGGTAGCTACAATCTCCTTGAATTTTCGCGAAACAAGATCGGGGGTATCCCAGGTCCAGTACTGCTTAGCAGAAGAATCCCAGTACCACTGGCCTCCCTTGGCCGTGTCAGTCTGGCCATTCGTCAAGGCCTTGACAAAAGCAGCATTGTTGTAGTTTTCAACTTCAAACGTCACGGCTCCCGAAAGTCCGGTGTCAGATCCATCGGCGGCTTCGAGAACTGCTGTAGGACAGCCAGTGGGGTTGGCGCATTCGGCACCATCCTTTGTGGTGAAATACTTGGCGTAGAAGGCGAAGCCAAGATTCATCTTGCTCGGAGTCATGCCTCGCTGAATGTACGTGTCAATAGTATGGGCGGAATCCACAACAGATGTGTGGTGGTTGGTAGCGTTGTCTCGGCGGTTCATAATGTCGTACGTCATGACCTAGCAGCCACGTGTTAACTCATTGGCCCAATGATTGTTTGTCTGCCACCGAAGTGGTTACACTGACATTGATAAAATCAACAGCCTTGTCAATCCTGGGAACCTGCTTGGCCGTGAAAGCAATCATGTCACCCTCCTTCCCAGGGACGGCAATGGACAACTCCTTGTCTCCAATGGCAGCCTTGATCTCCTCCAGCAAGAGCGGGTATGTCTCTATTTCCGAGACTTTCTGATCGTTGGGGATTTGTTTGTAGTCCTGACCATTGCCGGCGGGATACTCCCAGTCAACGTCTGTCACAAGGTAAGCAAACCTTTATCCAGAAGCAACGACAAGCGAGAGCAGTCGTTTTACCTACCGACACAGTCGTAACCGAGGTTGCTCAGAGCAGCAGCAACGTTCTTGGCGTACGTCTTGCGCGTGTCCGGGGTGGCAGCGCCGGCACTGAAACCAGAAGTATCACCCCATCCGCCGATGGCCATACACACCTTTGTACCCCTATCAAACAGATCCCGCACCTGACTGAGAGGCATAAAAGGTTCGTAATAGCTACCAAAGGTGAAGGTAGACGAGGGCGCAAAGGCGGTTATGACGTAGTTTACGCCTGCAGTCACGTCCCTCGGGGGTAGCGTTGCTTTGTGCCATCTGAGGGTGAAGCGATGAGTTAGCAAAGCCTCTTGGAGAGAAGAGAAGACCGTCTTCCGACTTGGAACATACTGGTCGAAATACATGACATATCTGGGTGCGGCCGAGACAGCAGTGGCCGCAGCCGCAAGCACAAACGTGCATGAACGCATTGTAAGTAGCCAAGATCTCCTTGGTGCCAACACAATGCTCAGCACGGAGACGGCTTGGAGAGAAGGACAGCCATGAAATGGAAGGAGAGAAATTGCTGATGGAGATGCTTCGGACAAGCCAGGCCTTAAATAGTGACAGCGACTTCCTGCTACCAGCGCAGCATGCGCATGTTCAAATCGGCAATGGCGAGGAATGTGAAAGCTTTCCCGGATGGCAAGTCCCGGTGAAACCCAACAAAACAGGCACGGTACTCCGTATACAAAAGGGTATTCACACTTCTTCACCGTCATACATACTAACGTAGCTGCCTCAAGACAGGTCATGCTGGTAAATGACCTACTCAAGTTAGGTCAAGCGGGCAACCCAAGTTGGTCCAGGATGAGGCGGGAACGAATGAGCCTCCTGACAGGCCACAGGCCACGGAAGCCGAGAGCTCATGGCGCGTGCACCAACGGCCAACATGGGCGACCATGGAAGTCACAGGTCGAATATAGCGAGCGATGTGATGTGGTGGTTACTGGCGATCTTGGCCATTCCAGACCGTGGGGTGGTTCGGACGGTGTCGCAGCCGGGGCCGGATCCGTCACCGATTTTGTGCACATTCCCTTGATCAAAAGATTGGTTCGCCCCATGTGTCCATACCATCCATGCGTGTTCCGTCTTCCGTCCGTGAAGCTGGGTGCAGCCAAAGCGGATCCGACCAGAAAAAGGCTAGTAGTATGGAGTAGTTGGTGCCAAGGATGCTTTTTGAGTCGTGAAACATGGCGTCGACGTTGACGCTGCATCACCCTTGGGCAACCCCACGAGACCCTCCAAATTGGATGTCGACGCATGGGTGTCGACTTGCAGCTGCCATGTTGATGTTGCATGCGTGGGAAGAAGACTGCCGGGGGTTGAAATGGAGATTGTAAATGCCAACTGCAAAGGTAGGCGATGGTGACCGAGGCCGAGGGAGGAGGCTGGGTTGAAAAATGGCGCTGCTTTTAGTGGTGGGAGACGGTAAGGGGTGTTGGCCCAACCTTGCTTACTCAAGTAAGTAAGGCCAGGCTGTGATTCACAGATATACTGTACCTTCTAGGGCTCCTTGCTTACTTAAGTAAGTAGGCCAGGCTGCGATTCACAAAATCAGAGTATAGACACAGATATACTGTACCTTCCAGGGCTCCTATCTGAACCTAACCCCCCCTACAGCCGTCTCTCTGCAAATGGCGCTATTGTGCCCTCCAGTATGCTTTCTTGTCATCTCCAAGTACCTAAGCACTTGGATGTATCTACCGCAAGTGTGATAGTAGTACGTACGCTCTGCTTTACTCGTAGGCCTACTCCGTACTCCGTACTCTTATCCCAGCAAAACAATAGTACTTGGAGTAGCCTGCTGAATCACTTCCCTAGGAGCCAATCGCGACTGCTGATTGTGGTAATTTTATCCAAGTAGTGGGTCTCTTGTACCACAAAAAAAATTTCCCTGATTCGACAATTGTGTCAATTTTTCAGCATCCAAAGCATTATTTTATTTGCATGATAGCTGCCGGACATCTGAGTGTGAGGAAGGACATACAGAGTCATCGAGCGACGCAATGTGCGGTGTCGCGGCCATATTGGTACGCCTTCTTCCTCGCTCGGGCAGCAAGAGACACGCTGACTGCTTCGTCAGCTTGGCGACCCCGACGCTACCAGCGCCGCGGTTGATCTGCATGAGTCTCTTTATTCTCTCCAGCATGTAAGTCCATACGCCGTCAAGAAAAATCGATCGAGCGACAGCCGTCACTGGGGGCAAATGCTGATGGTGTCATCAGCGAGGACAAGATGCTGCGGGAATTGCAGTTTGCCAGGGCAGCAGAGTCTTCCAGTGCAAGGGACTGGGGCTGGCCAGCGAAGTCTTCTCAAACGGCAGACGGCTGCAACAGCTTCCGGGCTATATGGGTGCGTGAAAGCTATCTCGGCGTCTGAGCGGAAAGTTAACCCTTCTCTAGGGATTGGTCATGTCCGCTATCCGACCATGGGTACCGCGTCTGCGTACGTATACGGAATGGTGATGGAAAGTGTTTCTTGTCTCTGATTATCTGACCCTGGACTCTAGGTCGGAAGCCCAGCCATTATACGTCAATGCCCCATTCGGAATCTCGCTGACCGTGAATGGGAACGTCCTCAATACCGAGGAGCTCCGCAAATACCTCGACGAGGAAGCTCATCGGCATATCAACTCCGATTCCGACTCGGAGCTTCTGTACGTCATTGCATCTTGCTTCCGGCTCAGTCGGCATCATCGCGCAGTATCTCATCTGTCAAAGGCTTAATGTTTTCGCACACGGCCTTCACAAGCTCGGAAGGACTCGCGCCAAAGTCGACGACATCTTCAACGCATTGGGCGATGTGTACTCCAGATGTCACGGGGCTTTTGCGTGCACGGGGATGATCGCGGGCTTCGGCATTCTGGCCTTCAGGCAAGTCACATGCGGGTCTCCCATTATAGTGCCAATATCTGACAAAGATCCAAATATAGGGACGCTGATGGCATCCGCCCCCTTTGCATTGGGTCACGACCCTCAGCTACCATTGCGGGCGTGCATGATTACTTCATGGCGTCAGAGTCAGTTGTACTACAGCAACTTGGCTTTCGTGATATTGTGGATATATTGCCAGGCCAGGCCGTCTTCTGTCCAAAAGGCGGCACTCCCATCTTTCGCCAGGTTGTTCCGCAGAGAGGCTATACTCCTGACACGTTTGAATACATATACGTTGCCCGACTAGAGAGTTGGATTGATGGCATATCCGTATACCGCAGTCGGCAAAAGATGGGAGAGAAGTTGGCCGAGAAGATCAAAGGCGTGCTTGGAGAAAAGGGTGTCGAGGAGATTGATGCGAGTAAGTCAGACCTGGGTAACATGTCATCTTTCTAATCACTGACTTGACCATTCACAGTCATTCCAGTTCCGGAGGTGAATTATGACGATTCTGGGGTAGACTTAGGTTCGACGATGCTGACCTTGTGCTGATAGACGAGCAACGTCGCAGCAGCTGCTTTAGCCCAGAAGTTGGGGAAGCCGTACGTGACGGCCCTCGTCAAGAACCGCTACGTCCACCGCACCTTTATCCTGCCTGATCAGGCTTCACGCCTAAAGAGTGTCCGCCGTAAATTCTCTTTCGTCGAGTCGGAATTCCAAGGCAAGAACCTGGTCATCGTCGACGACAGCATCGTCCGAGGCAGTGAGTAAATCTTCAAAGCTCTCTTCGGAGTCTGGGCTAATGACCGTGTCAGCAACGTCGCGACAGATTGTAAGTCTGCATCGACAGCTTTGCTTTTAGTTTCCAAGATTTCCCGCTGATAGTTCAGGTCCAATTGGCCAGGGAAGCGGGCGCGCTTCGCGTCGTGTTTGTCTCATGCTCCCCACCCTGCACACATCCGCACATCGTGAGTCATCCATCACTTCTTGGCATACGTTGTTGAGAGTACTGAGTGTATGTACAGTATGGAATAGACCTCGCGGACCGTTCTGGTAGGTATCTCTGTTCACTGTACAAGCCCGCAGACTGGAGTCAAGGTTGTGACGCTGACGTCCGCAGCTCTGATTGCCTACAATAGGACGCGGCGAGAAATCGCGGATTACCTAGGCGCCGACGAAATTGTCTTCCTGGATGTCGACGGCGAGAACGGACTGAAGGCAGCGTGTATTGAAGCAGCTCAGGGTGCGACCCCAATCAAGGATCTGGAAATAGGCGTCTTTACGGGCGGCTACGTGACTGGGCTGCCAGATGGATATCTCGAAAACCTGAGCGACCTTCGAAGTGGCCGCCGGAAGCAGAAAGCTGGCTTTGAAAGCCAAAAGGCTGGTGAGGACGGGGACGGAAGCGTGGCCGCGAGGCCAGCACCTGCAGGCCTGCCATGCTCGGGCGACGCTGCTCCCCCCGACCACCGCGAGGATATCAAGTATGTGGTTTATGAAAGCCAAAGCTACCAGAGCTACAACTAATATTTGACAGCCTCTATAATGTCGCAAGTGAGCCCATAGATCGTGGGAGGTAGAGCATTGTTCGGCAAGCACCGTCGGAACGGCCTAAGCACCACAGCGCTCGAGCTCGACGACGCGGAGAATCTGGCTGACCCAGTGGGGCTCATACTCTACCCAGTTCATATCTATATTCACCCTTCCTAGTCTGGAGAGGGCTCCGCGATGTCTCGACGACCCTATGGGCTAGTGGTATTGACTATGGGGAGCTGGGGAGTTGTGGTGGATGATTGAGACATGACTGTTGCTTTGACTGACTCTTCCAATGGGCAAGGAGTATTGGCGAAGGGGTTTAGGGAAGTTGTGGTGAATGATGAGACTTGTTTTATGAGCGACAGCTTGAGAAAGGCTCTCCAGTTCTGCACCGTTCTTTCGGCGTAAATCGAACAGATGCAGGCTAATTTTCAGAAAACCCAGGATTCCGACTTGACCTCTGGGATGCTATTCGGTAAGGGACTCCGGGGTCGTATGCACCACATGTGCTTTATGCTGGCTCACCTTGGGAAATACCACAAAAGTGTTGCTGAGCGCTCAAATACCAGCTTAAATGCGGAATCAGCGGAAGAGCAAGCTTCACTCGATAAACTTGAGAATAAAGCCAAAATGCTGCAGCGCTGCCAGGCATTTTGCTCAGATGTTGATACCTATATAGAGTCACAGATTAGCAATATCGAAAATCATATAGAAGGCGAGAATATGATCTAGTTGCTGGTCTCAATATGTGACAAGCGAGCGAATCAGCGGGAAGAACCGAGGCGTTGGGAAGGCCAACGGGCATTTCGTAGAAGCAAGCATGCATCCCTTCAACAGATGTCCCAAGACTTGAAAAGCATTGCATTGCTCCAGATCGGCCACATGAAACACGACACTTAAGGCTTGGTGTCAGTATCAGGCATGAACCTCCACCACACTGTTGCCACACTAGTTCATCAGAGTATTTTTTTCATAATAGGGACACGGTAAAGGCTTGTCTGAGAATGCTCAATATCTGTGGCACCTGCAAACTGTTATCTGGGTGCATGTTATTCTATCTCGAGTAATAAACTAGATTGCATGTCTTGAAAGTGCATATATTGGTACATTGTTTTCTTTCCTCGCTCTCAGCACAGTCTAATTCGTTTCATAAATGCTCGTGATATTACAGTCGGAGTTTTTTTTTTACAAATTCACCTGAAGCCCAACTTCGCCTTAGACTAGTCCCACCGCCCGGCAGAATGTTTAAACCCTTGTACGTGAAACCGTGAAATGAACAAAGCCATTGGAAGACTGACGAGATTCCCAAAAGAGAACCAGCTGAGCTTGCTGCCACCAGCCCGCTGCTCAGTTCCCACCTACGATGCCACGAGATGCAGAACCGTCGCTCAGCGAGAAAGCGTTCGTCACAAGGGCCCTCGGGGAAGGCCTGCGCCTGGACAGCCGCAAGTTTGAGCAGTTCCGGCCGCTCGAGCTCACTTTTGGCGACGAGTTTGGCGTCGCCGACGTCAAATGCGGCAAGACGAGGCATGCCTCCCCCTCTTTTCCCACACTACAAGAGCCTCAATGGGAAAACGCTGTGAAATGGGAAGAAAGAGAAAAAAGCCGTCACCACTAACTCTGACCCCCCCAGAATCGTCGCCAACGTCTCGGCAGAGGTGACGGTGCCCTTTGCTGATCGCCCCTTTGACGGCATCTTCACGATATCCTCGGAACTAAGCCCCATGGTGGCGCCGTCGTTCGAGGTGAACCGCCCTACGGAGCAGGAAGTCCTCCTCTCGAGGATGCTCGAAAAGACGATCCGCCGCTCGGGCGCCCTCGACACCGAGTCGCTCTGCCTCGTCGCCGGGCAAAAGTGCTGGTCCGTCCGCGCCGACGTCCACGTCTTGTCGCACGACGGAAACCTCGTCGACGTGGCGTGCCTCGCTGTCGTCGCTGCGCTCCGGCATTTCCGGAAACCAGAGACGAGCGTGGCCGGCGAGGCCGTGACCGTGTACACGCCGGCGGAGCGGGAGCCCGTGGCGCTGAGCTGGCTGCACTCGCCGTTTTGCGTGACGTTTAGTTTCTTCGGGTCCGGGGACGACGGGGGCGCGGTGCTCGTGGACACGACGTGGCTGGAGGAGCAGCTGAGGGCGAGCAGCTGCACGTTCAGTCTGAACAGGCATGGCGAGGTGTGCCAGGTGTCCAAGCTGGGAGGTGCGGACGTGGACGCGCCCATCTTCGTGAGGTGCGCGCGGTTGGCGCTGGAGAGGGTCGAGGCGTTCACGGACCTGGTGGACAGGAGGTTGGCCGAGGATGGGAAGAGGAGAGACAAGGGAGGGCTGATGGCGGAGCTGAAGGCTGACAATGATAGATGATACGGCGGGAGTGGTGTGCACGGAGCTCGGGACCGACAAGGGAAATGCGCCTGAACATGGTCGATTCATCATGGCGCATTGTCGTGTCGTGGCGGGAGAGGGAAAACGCCGAGTCATCTTGATACCCCCTAGTTATAAGCTGGTGCCCTTTTCTATCTCGAACCAAAGTGGACGAACTGGGCAATCGTTGCCAACTTGTAAAATAGAACAAGACAAAAAAAGATAGAGAAGCACAATGACCTCCGTTTAAATCTATCCAGGCCAAGACGCCGTGCTAAACCACACTCTCTGGAAACGGTTCGTAGCTCATGAGACCACCCAAAAAAAATCAAAAAAATCACAAACTCCATTCTAGGTTGCAAATATCTTCCCCTCTCTTTCTCTCACCTCATGACGGGCGGCCTCGAGTCCTTGTTCCACTGCACCCTCGTCCTCACCCAATCCACCGCCTCCCTCACGCCATCTCCCGTCAACGCACTCAACGACAATACTCGGGAGTCGCGAATGCTGCTCGCCTTGTCCCCCTCCATGACCTTTTTCACCAGGCCCTCTTTGATGCGAATCGTCTCGACGCAATCTTCCCTGTCCTGCTTGTTGGCCAGGATAAGCAGCGGCACGCCTTCTGTCTCCGAGTGCTGCAGCACGTCTTCGAGCACAAGTCTACACTCCTCCAAGCGGCCGTTGTCGTCGTCCTCGAGGGACCCGTCGCCGATATCCGTACTGTCAATGATGAAGACGATGGCGTGACAGCTGGCGTAGTAGCTTTGCCAGAGGCTGCGGAGGGACAGCTGGCCGCCGACATCCCACAGCTTCATGTACATGTCGGGTAGGGTTATTGTCGAGACATTCTGGCCGACGGTCGGGACGGTCTTGAGCTTTGGCTCGGGCCCGGTGGGTAGGTACATGGACTTGACTTGTTCGTGGAACGTGGTCTTGCCGGCATTGTCGAGGCCTAGGAGGATGACGGAGTATTCTGTCGGTAGTGTTTGGTCAGTGTCAGTGTCGCCCGCGCTGGTTCGTTTCGTCTGGCTGGCGAGGGGGGCAGACCTTCTTTGCTGGTCGCGTAGAGATACAGGCCCTTGGCGAGGTGGTACATGCTTCCGGACTTGACGGGCCGTTGTGTGTCGTTTGACCCCCGCTCAGCTGGCTCGATAAACAGTGGCATTCATCAGCTGCATCTGACGAGGGAACCGACGCTGATGATGCGGGAGTTGGCACGGCGCAGAGTGTGCGGACGGGTCGGGTGTGCGGTGTGCGGTGTGCGGTGTGCGGTGTGAGAGGACGAGAGGTGAAGTCGAGTGGTATGATGTATCGGTCTAGTGGTGATGCTGCCCGTGGTGTTCCATGACGATGTCTGCTGGGTGGTTGAAACTTGAGACGAGGTACTCCGTAGCGAGCCCGGCTTGGAACCACTTGGAGAGATGGCCTGAGACTTTGGGCTGCTGGGCTGCAGAACGGTGCGTGTGGGGCGGCGACAAGGACCCTTCCATCAGTCTTCAGGAGGTAGGAGTGCCTGGGGAGGTACCTCCCTTGGTAGGTACTTAAGTACCTAGGTACCTATGTACCTGGGTCCTCGCGTATCCGGGTACCTGCCGAAACTCTCAAGTTTCTCTTTGTCCTTGCCACAAGAAAAAGAGGGGAAAAAAAAAAATCTAGTGGCAGGCAGAGACGACAAGAAACTTTCCGCATACTGAGCCCCATGTGCGGCAAATGCTCTGTTGAAAGTAACCGATACAAGTTCCCAGGCACCTGCAACGGCCCACGGGACCACGGGTCCTGACGCCTTGACGCCTTGACGCCTTGACGCCAAGAAAAGCAGGCGCCCCCAGGACAGACGGTTGCTGCTGCCGAACATCCCTCTCATGCGTCGTCCACTCAAGATCAAGATCAAAGCCCGCTGCTGCGCCAAACCCTTTCCGACGTCCACGTTTGTTAATTTGTTCGACGCCGACTCGCATTTGCTCCCCTCAAGTTTTTGCTTTCACGACACCCCTTCACCTTCACGAAGCCTCGAAAACCCAACCCACGCGTCGCCGACCCATGCTCTCCCTGACTCCGCCGTGAGGCTCTCGCAGGAGCCGGAAAGCTCCAACTTCCCAAATCCGCTCCCGCCGACCGTGACATCTCAACCCCCCTCAAATCGGTCCATCCACCTTCAACCCCGTGCCGGCATAAAGCATCCTAGCCGACCATGGAGCTGGCCACAGAGGTTGCCGACCTGGGCTTGAAGCTTCTACGTACGTTGAGCATCGAAATGCCATGCTGTCCCCGGCGAGACGAGAGCACGACACTGACTTGACCACGCGACAGGGCGAGATGAAGGCGAGGACGGTTCGTCCAAACCCCCCTCCTAATGCGATCCTCCTCCAGCAATTCGGTTGCCCATGGCACTATTGGACGGAACCTGTTGCTGACCACCAAATTTCCAGAGGGCGACGGCGCGACCAAGGAACTGTACGCAGCATGGACCATCTTCATCGCCATCTTGCTGCTCATTGCTGCTTTTTTCACGAGTTACATGCTCCAGATAAAGAAGGTGACAGCCATCCACGAGACGGTCATTTCCATCTTTGCCGGTTCGTAATTGTGTTCTGCCAAGAGCATTCGCAATCATCCTCTTTGTCGTATCGAGAATACCAACTGACTGAGCCGCGCCGCACCCCTAGGCATGACGGTTGGCTTGATCCTCATTGTCACCTCGGGCGATTCAATACGAACCATGATCAATTTCAACTATCAAATCTTTTTTAACCTCCTACTGCCGCCCATTATCCTCTCTTCCGGATACGAGTTGCACCAAGCCAACTTCTTCCGCAACATCGGCACAATTCTTACGTTTGCCTTTGCCGGAACCTTTCTTTCCGCCGTCGTCATTGGATTCATTCTTTGGCTCTACTCCCTGATCCCAGGAACCCTGAAGATGACGTTCGTTGATGCAATCTCTGTTGGTGCCACCTTGTCCGCCACCGATCCAGTCACCATCTTGGCCATCTTCAATACCTACAAGGTTGATCCCAAGCTGTATACCATTATTTTTGGAGAGTCAATTCTTAACGACGCCATTGCCATTGTCATCTTTGAGACAGCACAGAAATACAATAAAGGCGAAGCATCTAGCTACGGAATTCTCAGCTTTTTCGAAGCGACCGGCATTTTCTTGCTGGTCTTCTTCAGCAGTCTGCTCATCGGTATTGTGGTCGGCATTGGCACTGCCCTGCTTCTCAAGTTTACCTATCTGAGACGATACACCAAGATTGAAAGCTGTCTCGTGTTCTTGATAGCTTATGCCACCTACTTCTTCTCCCAAGGTGTGCATTTGTCTGGTGCGTACTATTCCCCTCTCCCACTAAACGCCGTCCTCGCTTTGCTCATCTCGAGTTAGGTATCGTGTCCTTGCTTTTCTGCGGTATAACGTTGAAGCATTATGCTTATTTCAACATGTCTCGGCGAACCCAGCTCACCACGAAGTACATCTTCCAAGTGATATCGCAATTGTCCGAAAATTTCATCTTCATATATCTTGGTCTGGCCTTGTTCACGGACAGTGCGCTGTCATTCCAGCCGCCCCTGATCATGATCACTATCCTGGCCGTTTGCGTCGCTCGATGGGTTGCTGTTTTCCCCTTGTCAAAGGCCATCAACTGGATCATCTCGTATCGTGCCAGGCGGCGCGGTATTGAAGCCGCTGAAGAGCTGCCTTACAACTACCAGGCAATGCTTTTTTGGGCAGGCCTCCGCGGAGCGGTCGGCGTGGCGCTGGCCGAACTTCTTACTGGTGACAATGCCCTAGCTCTTCGAGCTACCGTGCTGGTTGTGGTGGTGCTCACTGTCATCATCTTCGGTGGCACCACTGCTCGCATGCTCGAGATTCTTGGCATTCGGACCGGAGTTTTGGAGGAGATTGATAGCGACGACGAGTTTGACATAGAAGCCATTGGTGTTGGTCTCCACGCCAAACGTGCAGGCGGCGGTATTGGTTATACACCCAGGCGAAATGGCAACATAGCTATGCACAATCTGGAAGAAGGCCGCTCGGCTAGTTATGTGTCTGGCCACCGGTCGCCGCACCCTTCGGGAAGCGGCCAAAACACCCGAGGAAACAGTCTCAATCGTAAGAACTCCGGCCGCAACCTGGAAGATTTCGAGAGAGCAGACTTGCTTGGCCGCAGTGGCGAAGACTCCGACTTTGACACGGACATTGACACGTCTGACCTGCCGCCCCCAGCTCGTCCTGCCCGCCGACCCAGCCCACCGTCGCGTCCTCGGACAGACAGTGCCTTTATGAGCCCGACCGGCGAGGCATCGCAGCCATCAACCATGACCGCCACGGGGGCTATCCGACAACTTTGGAGTGCGGAAGATCCAGCGGGTCTATTCAGGCAATTGGACGAGGGCTTTATCAAGCCGCACCTGCTGCTGCAGGGTGATGGCAATAAAAATTAGCTAGCGGGCTAGACATGTAGGGATACTTGAGCATGTAGATGCGGACACGGGACGTGTGACGAGTCAAAACGACGACAGCGCTGGAGCAGCTGGTTTGAAGTCAGTGGGTTGGGATGGATGAATGGCGGGAGGCCTGGACGAGGCACGTTGTGCCTGGCGCATGTGGCGTTTTTTGAATCTATTGATGGCGACATGATATAGACCATCTAGTTCACGGCATTGTTCTTCAAACGTCACGGGCATCACAGGCACCGGGACCAGGACAGTGACTGCCCGCGGTCGCAGCCTTGTCTGGGCAGAGAGGAAGAAACGTTTTTAAAGTCGAGAGAGCTTCCACGCCCTGTTTCGACAAATATTAGGTATATACAATGAATTCCTGCCGTCGACATGTGACGAGCAGTTTGTTTGCTGATCCTACGCTCGCTACTCCCCGCTCCAGCTCCTCGCCCCGTGCTCCGTGACCGGTCGCGATGATGGCTTCGGGCAACACTGACTGACTATTCTGCAAAGTAAATAAATAAACGCGCTGAGACTATGACCGTAAATAACCGTGTGTAAATGAGGGGGGAGGCAAACGGCAACCCAGACGCCAAGCAGCATTTCCCTCGTCGACATGCCATCCAAAACCGAAGCCAACGTAGCGAGCAAATCTTTAAAAGAATCGTGAGAAGCCAACCTCGAGAGGTACAAGAGGACTCCTTTTATCGGGCCCCCGCGGGAGTGGCGCTACCGCTGGATTGACGAGGCTGCGACTGCGACTGCGACCGCGCAGGACTGGGCACAGGGACCGGCGTGGGAGATGCCTGGCTCCCAGCACGCTGTTGCGCCTGTTGCGCCTGCTGGACCTGCTGGACCTGCTGGACCTGCTGCCCCTGTTGCTGTGCCTGCTGTGCCTGCTGCGCCTGCTGCGCCTGCTGCGCCTTTGCCTGAAGTGCGGCGGCCTGCTGCTGTTGTCGAAGGAGAGCGGCATATTGGTGAGGGCTGGTGGTTGCGGCGATGCCGTTGGCAAGACCGGGCTGTCCATTTCCCCCGGCAGCAGCAGTCATGGCAGATTGGCGCTGTGCCATCATGGCTCTCGTGAGGTGTTCTGTCGCGACTTGGCGTACTTGCTCAGGCGGAAGATTGGGGTTCTTCGCCCTCAACTGCGCTTCTAGCTGAGCAAGCTGCGCGGCGATGCTGGCGGGAAGTTGAGGGTGAACTCTCTGGCCGGGGGAGCTGCCGTTGGCAGGGACGGGCATATGCAGACCATTGGTTGGCGGCGACGCATGCCCGTTGGCGTTGGCGTTGGCGTTGGCGTTGACGTTGGCGTTGGCAGCCGCACCGTACTGGGCCGTGACGGCCTGCCCGGCGGTCATGTAGTTTTGTTGGTTGATTCCATTGATGCCATTGCGCAGGGGAGGCGAGCCGTGCTGTCCGGGGGTGCCGACTGCGGCGCCGTTGGTCTGCTGCTGCTGTTGAAGTTGCTGTTGCAGTTGTTGTTGAAGCTGCTGATGCTGCTGATGAGGCTGGACCTGCTGCTGCTGCTGAGCTTGCTGGATCTGAACCCTTTGCTGCTCGGAGATGCGCTGAGCACGAAGCATCAAGTTGGAGTCCGGCTGCTGGTTCGGCATCGGCATCCTCTGCTGGCCCTGCATCGCGGCTTGCAGCTGGGCCTGCTGGACGGCCGCCATCTGGCCGGCAACCGCGAGTCCGCCATTCATCTGGGCCTGTACACCAGCAACGCCCACCCCGTTGACCGGAGCTTGCATGGGCATCCGGGGCCGCTGGGTGGCGGCGGCAGCCGTGGCTGCGAGTTGATTCGGGATACTTGGGCGGGAAACACCTCCCGCCGGGACGTTGCCGGCCGCAACATGACTTCCGTTTTGTTGCGTCTGTCCTCCAGCCGCCGCCGCCGCTTGAGCTGCTTGGGCTGCCTGGCCCTGAGCCCTGGCTTGCAGAGCAGCTCGTCGCTGGGCCTCTTGTCGCTGCTGCGCGAATTGCGCCACCTTCTCCGCGACAGCCTGATCGCGTTCGAATCGGAGGAGACTGTAATCTCGAGGCGTCTTCTTCTGCCGTTGCGAGATGATGTCGTTGGCCTTCTTGCTGGCTGAGTTTTGCGACGCCGAGTGTTGCTGTTTTTGAATCGTCGTTTCTCTCTTCTTGGCCAGTTTTCTCATTGCGTCAAGGAGACTCAAGTGCTTCTGGTTACGCCGCCTCTCAACTCGCAGCGGCACCGACGGTCTCCTGCGGACAGGCGCCATGGCACTGCCGGCGGCATTGGCCTGTTGTGCAGCAATTTGGTTCTGTTGAGAAACGACTCGCTGAGCCGCCTCTATCCTGCTGTTGTATGCCTTGAAATACTGCGTCTTCTGCATGTCTGCTGGGAGACCTTCGAGGTTGATCCATCGTTCAAAGCACTCCCAAGGCGTGCGTCTCTCAGCTCCCGACTGAAAACTGGATTTGGTCGACAACAGGTTCGAAATCAGTGACCAATTGTACGAATACTCGCGAACGAGGCCCCGCAGCTCGTCATCCTCCAGCAAAGTCCACTGCGATGACCCGCGAGACTCGTAGAAGCTCTGCACAGGCATTGGGTGTTCCGAGGGTGGCCTGAACTGGTGTCCTGCATGTAGCCGGTCTCTGATGTGCTTCGAGTCGGGATGGAACAGGGCAACCTCGTCAGTGGTTGCCGGCAGCTCAGCCTTCTGCACGGTTTGTTCGACCGCAAACGCGCCCTCCCGCTCGTCGTCCGACTCCTCATTCTCGTAACTGAATCTGCTGCGTTTGCGCGGAGGCGTGAATGTCACAGGCTTCATTTCACCTTCTACATACTTGCTCAGCGGTAAGGCAGGACGCCGCCAGTGGGCGTCGGGGTCATACTCGGGGTTCGTCATGTCCGCTCTCAACACCTTGAGCGGTGAGCCGTACATTGGAAGCTCATCAAGTAGTGCATCCGAAGCAGTTGTTCGTCGCAACCCAAACACAACATCGTCCTCTTGTAGCGTGAAAATGGCCGAGGGCGGAACAGGTTCCACAAACTCGTCGGCGAGTTCCTCCACTGGCTGCGGAGAGTCTGCATCGCCAGACGACATCAGCTCAGGAGTCGACTGATTGTCCAGCCCTTCTCCATCCACGTCCGTCATGGAGACATCCGCTTCTACCGTTTCGGCCTGCGGAGGGATCGCAGCACGAACCTGCATCTGCTTCCGCTCATCGTAGGATGCTTCGTGCCATTCTGCGCAGGCGTAGGCAAGGTTCCGGGCAACTGCCATCTTCCACTTACGTTCTTCCCGAAAATCAGTCCGCATCCATTTCATCTCCTTCAGTAGCGTGTCCCATTGTGTTGGGGGCCTTGTCGGCTCAGGGCAGCGCTTGAGTTGACGCAGAGACCACTTGTCGTGCTGTTGCAAGTGGTATACTCGCCTCAGCACCTTGCAAGCCTGGTGGTCTTGGATGACAACATTGGCATCGGGAGTGGCGATGGTTTTATTCGCTTGAAACAAAATCCGTTCCAGCGGTTGCATCCACTTGGAAGCACCGGTGAAGTTTTGCACGAAGAGTGAAGTGTAGTAGTCGTCTGTTGGCTGCAAAATCTCCTTGTGGCCCGACACAACGGACTTTTCATCAACTCGCTTTGGTTGTTTCCCGAACAAGACCGTTGACACCTGGCCCTTGGATCGATCTCGTTTATGCCCATTTCTAACCCTGGATGCCGGAGATTGTGGAGTCGAAGTGACGGGTGTGAGCTGATCGTGTGGTCCCTTGGTCATGTTCCGATCTACGGTGAGGGAAGGACGCGGTATGGCGCCACCTCCGACAATTTCGGTCACGGACTTTAATCGCATGGCCCCCGAGGACACGCGCGTCACAGCTCTCTCCGGCGCGGGGGGTTGGGCAGTCTGCTCCATTTTAACAAATGCAGTGGAGGGCTGCGACTCGCCATGGGACGGTGATTTAGAATCGCGAGTCACAAGATTCTGAGTTTGGGCTTGCGTTGACGGCGTCTCTGTGGCTTCGGGGTCCGTCTTGGTAGTAGAACTATCCTGACTATCAGGAACCTCAGTGGCGCTGTGTTTCTTCGGTTCGCTAGCCGGGGATTCATGCTTTGGAGCATTGTCAACCATGGAAGATTTCGTCGTCTCTTCGGGTGTCTGGGATGTCGCGGATGTCGCAGATGTCGTGCTCGATCTGATGGATTCTTGAAGAAGCTGATCCTCGGCGCCTGAGCTGTGCTCCTGACCTTCCGATACCTTCTCCTGCTTGTGTCGGACATTTTCAGCGGCATCTGGCTTGTCCTGTTGCCGTGTTCGGTCAACAGATCGCACACTATTTTTCCCGGGGCTGGTATCCGTCAAAGCGTCGTGTACGGCCGGCGTAGCCGCAGTGCGAGTAGTCGACGGGGGTGATGATATGGCCTCGGAGGGGAGTTTGATGCTTAGGGGCGCCTTCGTTGCGCTGCTGTTTAGCGACGCCACGGCGGCCGGCTTAATCGGAAGAGGTGTTGGAGTGACCGACACTGAAGTTGCATCATTGTGTTTTGTTGTACTGCTGGTAGACTCTTTTGTGACTGGAGGAAACTTGACATGGGGCCGCTGTTGCCGTGCCGCATTGTTGGTTGTCGAGACGCTGCTTTTTTTGGTCTTGATACTCGGAGCTGGCTCAGCAGCTAACGGAGGTGTCGACGTAGACGCAGCCGGTTTCGCAGGAGTTGTCGGGCTGTGCGATGATTTCTGTGCTGAAAGGCCCGGCGTTGCCTGTGCCGAGCCACCTGGTGTTGAGTTTGGCCGGCCATTCGCAACGACGTCAACCGTCTTCGGTGCAGATATATTAGATGGTTGTCGCGCGGGCGCTACCACCAACTCCCTCTTGATGCTATGCAGTGGTATTGGAATTGGAACCGGCGTCGGCTTCGAAGCGGGCTGAGTTGTCGCAGCACTTATTTGCAACGCAAGCGAGCGTCTCAACTTGTCAATCGATGGCTTTGCCCTTGCCGGAATGTGAAGCTCATCCAGCGGCTTTCCTCTACAGATGAATAATTAATACTAGAGACCAACAAAGACTTGTCGCCCGGGCCCGGACTCATTGCAACAAGACGATGTTAGACGGTCAAGCGCTCAATTGATGCACAGGACCAAGCCGCCAACATTGTTGCAAGACACGATAAAAAAAACATCATATTGCATGGCATGGACGTACTGCAAGATGTCGTTGGCTTGCAAAAATTGCCATTCGGCCGGTGTTGCAACTGGCGCGTCAGGACCAGCAAATGCATGGTTCGGCAAGGTCTCGACATGGGTCGCGACCGCAAAAAGCTCACGCAGCTTTCTCTTTCTCGACGTTACGATTGCACTGCTACAAGTCAGCCCGATAAAATCTATATCAAAATGACGAGAAAAAATCGCGCCTTTGATTGAGACTATACTCACTTGCAGTCGTTGCGCTTTGATTGAAGGAGCCTCGATAAGTCGGCGTGCCCAACCTCAGTCATAGCATCGGTGTTGGCGGCATCCGTTTGAGGGCCAAACGGATGCACTGGAGGCCAAAACGAGGTTTACAGAGATGAAATAACAGGCGGGCGACGATGGAAATGGTGGTGGTTGAGGCCGTGTTGACGGATTGAAATGTCGCCTTTGTGAGGAGTCACCAACTTGAGAAGGGGCGTGGAAATTTGTCGGGCGAGCGATTTTCACCATGGGAGGGATCCTTGGGGGGGGGGGAGCCCAGCCAGTTAGTGGTCTGGAGGTGGTGGAAATTTTCCAATGTTGCCAGCAGGCGGCAGCAGGCGGCCAGCATCAATGATTAGGCCAGCACACGAATGGAGGGGACGGGGGCTGCTCAAGAGTCCATCCAGGGCTCCAAGGACTGGAGCTGGTACGGGGCTTGGAAGCTACACGCAAATACTTGCAGCTACCTCGGGCACTAAAGTACTTGGTTCGGCTGGCTAAGCGGAGGGACGGGGTCTAATCCTCGTTCGTACAGTAATCCGTTGCACTAGAGAGGCGCGCTCCCAAGCTGTCTGTGCGTGGCAGGCAGTTGTGGTTGTGGGCATCAATGACGGGGCCCTGGGTCGTCTATCTGTCCGGTTGAGCAGGCACCTGCGATGTTTTGACGCGTCTTTCAGCGGACACATCCACTATGGCCAATGCATGTGGGGGGGGAGGGCACCACCAGTTTTGTGCACTTGTGCAGCACAATGCTGAGATAAGTAATGAAAAGCGAGCTTGCACCAACGGAAGGCCTGCCTTGCGCAATGCACGAGTCGTGCATGCGACTGGATAAACTGGCGGCTGCACAGACCATGGGCAGGGCCCAAGGGAGCCACCACTCCACGCTCCACGCCCGCGGACCTGCCTTGCCTGTATGAATCAATCGGTTGCAATTTTCACCACCGCATCCGGAGTGTACGCTCGCCATGCGCCGCCAAAGCGTAGAAGCGTTCGCAGGTTTCATATGGCCCTGCACGTCATCTTGCTTTTATTGCCCTGCCTCCATTTCCCCCCCAGAGAAGTAGTATCGATCGTCAAAAAACAAGATGTAGAGACCAGGAATTGTGCTCCGTACCTCAGGCAAGAGAGAGCAAGAGCAAGAGCACACACCCTTTTAGGATGGGACTTGCTGCATAAATAGTGTGCTTTCCTTGCTAAGACGGGAAAAGTAAAATTCCACAACTCTTGAGGAGAAAAAAAAAGAGCGCGGGCCTATCATTCATTGCCTTGGCCAGTCGAACGGGTTTAGCTTAGCACAGCTACCAACGACCCAAGAAAGCCAAACTAGAAACTAGTGGGCATTCTGAATAGTATGTTGGTCACGTCTTCACGGGACCGCAGCTTACATAACACTTACCTACTTGAGTAGTCGAGCCATGCAGCCGACAGACTTCCATATACGTACGTCGCCGTTTATGCATATTTTGTTTGTTTCAACGTCTTGCTGATCCAGCTCGCCAGGATGACAAACAGATGGGCAGGCAGGGGTCGCGATTTGAATCTTGATTTTGGTTCCAACACCATCGGAATGAGTAGCCATTTCCCCAACCGTGTCATTTGTCTTGTCTTGCGGCCACACTTCGGGGCATTCGTCACCCTTACTTGAGTCAATAATAGAGTGTAGTTACGTAGCTATTGTCCGTCCACTGCCATGGCCGCCATTTCAAGCGTGGGCGAGCGACATGGCCAGTCCGACAAGTTTCCATCGCTGCCCGGCATCAGTTCTTCGGTGCCGCTCGTTCAACTGTACACCGTGGTTCTTGCTCGCAGAGACTCCCACGCCGACTAGGACCCTGTTCTTCCCCCTGCGCGGTGGCCATCTCCCTGGCAATCTCGTCGCTCACGTCCCTCCGCTGTCAATGTCGTCTTCTCGATGTCCTCTTGGTGTCTTGCCCGAACCACGATGCCTCGGCGGTCGCCCGCCCATACAACCCCCAACACATGTCTGGGAATGTACCTCGTGGTTATGACCACGGATAATGTGTCACAGTGGAAGATTTACAAAGCCAAGACGTCAACAGGTGTCCCGCGAACGTATCTGGGCCTGCAAAGGACAATAGCCTCAGAGCGAACGACCTCTTTGGTCGTTGAGCGTCGAAGCGTCGAAGAATTTGTAACTGCTCCTCAGCAATGAAGATTGATCCACAAGAAAAATTTGGAATGATCGATGCTTGGATACGGTCTGCAAAATGAAGTCTTGAACTCGTATCGACGTTCCACGGCCGTGGGGAAATCTACAACACCCGCTCGCGGCCTGCGCCCTGGTCACCACGGCATGTCCCCATCAATGGTCAGGGCACAACCAGGTCTCAAGTCATCTGTCGTAGGCGGGTCGTCGTCGTCGTATAAATCGGGTCTGGCATCGACGCCACGGCCGTGATGCCTCTGCAGACGGGTATTTTGAGCGTAGTAAGTGATGAGACTGCGCAGTCTCAGCATTGCATCAGGAAAGCGCGCACGGAGTAGCGAAAGCAAGCCACCCCCCGACGCCACGCCCCCACATCACATATTCAATGTGGATCCTGGCATCGGAAATCTTTATCCATCTCATCATCAGCATCAGCATCAGCATCAGCATCAACCTCCAACCCAACCCATCCTCCCAGCGCCATGTCGGAGCCGCCCAAAGGCCGAATAGCCATCAGACTCGGCTCTACATCATCAGCCCCAACGTCCGACAGGCCCCCCCGTCCCGCGCCCCCATCAAGCCTCGGAAAGCGACCCCGGTCCCGCGCCGCCCTCGGCGCAGACTCCGACTCCGACTCCGACTCCGACCAGGACCGCCGCGGACGCCATGAGGCCATCACCGGGTTCGGCGCAGATGGCGCGGAGACGCGACACGGGAGGGAGCAGGCACCGAAGAAGAAGAAGGAATACATCATCGAGAGACAACCAAACAGAGATTGGAGAGGGGAGATGCGCGCACAGAGGGCAGACGCTCGAGAGCCAGAGGACGGCACCGCGGCGACGGCGCCGGCAGACTCAGGCGGCAACAATCAATCATGGGGCCTGACCGTCAAGGGAAAGACGCGTAGCCCTCCCGCCGAGCGACAAGACGGCCCGGCGGAGACCCCGTCGGAGACGCCTCGGCAAGCACCCCTACCCAGGTCGGCAGACGACGAGGCCCTCGATGCGCTGCTGGGCAACAGGCCGAAAGAAGCGAGAGTCATCACAACGGAAGACGACGTGTACAGGCGTGATGCTGCGGGCGCGGGCGCCGCCTCCACGCTGCAAGACTACGAAGAGATGCCCATTGAGGAATTCGGTGCCGCCCTGCTGCGCGGGATGGGGTGGGACGGACAACACCGCGGGCCAAAGGTCAAGGATGCGCGCAAGAGGCCCAACCGTCTGGGTCTCGGCGCCAAGGAGCTGAAAGGCGTCGAAGATCTGGGCGGCTGGAATCAGAACGGCGCAAAAAAGAGGAGCAGGCCGCGGCTGGATGAATACAATCGGCAACAGAGTCGGAGGAAGGAAGAACGGGGCAGGGAAGATAGCTACAAAAGAGAGCGGGACAGGGACAGGGAGAGGGACAGGAATGGCCACAAGGAACGACATAGGGACGGCGATAGGGACCACCATGGAGACGAGAGGCACAGGGGTAGGCATGGGGATTACAACAGGGATCGAAGGCGGTAGTTTCGACGGATTTGTTGATACGAGGGCAATCGTGAGGCGTGGACGGTCGGCGTTGAGCCCGATAGCCCGCCCGGCACTGATTCGAAGTTGTTTCGACGCCCGGCATAGAATACCCGATTCACGCCAGTTTCATGGCTCGTCGGCCGCCATCGTTGAGGTCGAGACTGCCGCGATACCACTCTACTTTGCGCATCACGACGACGAGGCCGCCAGAGTGCTGTGCTGTGTGTCGACTGTGAAGACGACCAGCCACCGTAGGAGCACTGACGGCACGTGCTGTGTCGTCCAACCATCAACTCGGCATCATAGCTACGACTTTCTCAACATATAGGCTCGCGCGCGGGGATCGACTTGCACCACCGACAATCAACAACAGTAGCAACATCAATACCCAGGAAAGGAAATCGGCCACATCGTCACTCCTTACATACAAGTCACGTAACCAGTCCCAGTTCAAATACCTAGGTCAAACGAGCCCGCCGCGACCAAATGTCGTACAACATTTCCACCGATTGCACAACGTTTCACAGCTTGTCACTGCAAAGGCACCCTTTCAAGCGTGTCCTTCAATATTCCCAGTTCCATAACCATGTTGTCAGGGGCGTCGGAATTTTCAATCTCCCTCTTTCCCATCTCCTCAATCAACCGCCCAGACGCGTGCAGAAGTGGTTGCACATAACGATGCTCAATGGCGGCTGCCATGCCCGCCGGCGCCAAGTCCCTGTACTCGTTTCCAAACAGGAACAGAGCAAAGTTTGCAGCCTGTAGGTGGAACGGGGACGCTTCTGCCCAGAATTCCAACAATGACTCGACATCCGCTTCGTTTAGATGCGTCAGGTCGGGGAACAGCGTGTATTGTACGGACTCAAAACAGTCAGGTGTGCTGAATCGTCCTTTGGATTTGGAATTGCGGGCGGAAATGACTTCCTCCCTGAGCCAGGTTACCGCACACGCTTGGAGGGACGCAAACATGCAGTTCTCGAGGAGGTCTTCTAGGATGGCGAGGCGATCGTCCTCGTCTGGGTCCGAGTGGAGGACTGCCCCGGCAATGACTGTTGCGGCATTTCGAGCCTGGATATTGGGGTGGAAGACAGAAATCAGTGTTATGAGATGGTGATATGGCATGTAATTGTCCTTGGCACTTGTATCTGTTGCGCCGCCCTTGGCAAGCTTCTTCTGGCCAACTAGCCAGATTGCGAGTACGACCAAGGCTTCCATAGTTCCAGGGTTGTTCAAGATTTCCGATTGGGGGTCGTCTCCAATGTAGTGCTTGAGTAGTTGTTGGTGGTCTGGAAATATGTGCATCCCAGGCCGAGGTTGGTCGGCATCAAAGACGTCTCCCGCAAAGACCCAATAAGCAATTATGCATAGCAGCCCACCTCCCGATATCTTGATCTCGTCCGCATTAGCAGGATCAAATTCGATCGCCAATGGATCTCTAACTATGGGCGCTTCAAGGATCTGTCGAAGCTCGGCAAAGGTCATCTTGGCAAAGTCCAAATCCCCAGCAACAGCCTAAATAAAACACGCCAGTCAACTCTCAATGCCAGAAAAGGAGACGGCGGCGGCGGTGACGATGACTTACTGCTAGCTGGCCGACCAATGCATCTTTTGCTCTAAGCGCATCTACTTCGTTGAATGCCTGCATCATCGTCTTCCTTCCCGGGGGCACTCTGTCGGGATACGTAAATTCCAGCAATCTTGCTGCCCATTCCAACTTGTTCGAGTTGACGTAGGCCTCAATGACGCAGGTGATAAAGCACCGTAACAAATGCGTCACAACTTCGAGCTCATTGTCGTTTGGAAGATCAGACTTATCCGCCTCTGGATCCGGCGCACTCTTTGTCTCGTCGCTGGTATGCACGGCCGTCTCGAGCACAGTACTCGACTGTCGTGACGGCAGCGGAGGTCTTTTTTGCGCAGAAAGCGATTGCATCAAGGAAATGATGGCAGCGGTCGACTCGGCACTGGTTGGGTCGTATGATCGATACACAGTATCTAGGGTGGTGTGCAAAAATCGAGACGGCGTCTTGACTTGAAGGCGTTTATGCAGGATGCCGAGCATGCCGCAGAGAGTGACAAAGCACTGGTTTCCCACCGCGCCGTTTTCTCCTTCTCCTGTCACCGTTTCCATGACCTGCAACACCTTTAGGATGACTTCCCGAGGGTTTCCCAGACGCGCAATGGTTTCTAGACAGCTCTCGCTCCCTGGGACGTGGATGAGCATCTCAACGAGGTCCCAGCCAATGTCGCTGGTAAGTTCTACATCTTCCAGGATTTCGTGGAGGGCCGGCAGGATATCGGGGGACATGGACTTGTCTATGATTGTGAGGTATGTAAATCTATCGGATGCCGGGGGGCGAGCCTCCTTGAGCCGTTGAATGACCTCGTTCGTGGTTGGCTCGTCGGTGGCCATGACGGATTGCGTGCATGTAGCCAAGCTTCGATCGATGTGTGCTGCAGCTCGAGCCGGGCTTCAAAACGGACGGCCGGTGTGGTTGGTTGAGTTGTTGAGTTGCGCGACGATGCGATGATCGTACTTCACGGGCAACTTGCCTGGTGTGCGGAGGAATTAGTTACATGACTTCACAGAAAAGCACTGGGGGAACACGGTCCGAGCTTGGGTCCCTACCGGTACTCGGTACCTACAAAGTAGGCAGATACTAAGTACTTTGGTAAGTACAGACGGCGCCGGACATGTACATGCGTGCCTACTCGAGGCAAGTACGACCCTGCTTCCCCGCCCTGCCCTCCCTCCAATGTTAATGCGGCCCCGCATCGTCAATGCATAGCATATCTGGGCCTCGGCAAGCCTCACCTTGTCACCCCTCCTGCCTGTCCCGGCCCTTGCATTGACATGTTGTCACAGTCGCCGTGTGTTGGCTTGGGAACTTGAGTCTCTCTGTCTCTCTCTCCTTTTTTTTTATTTCCCTTTATATCCTTTTTTCTTTCAATTATGTAGTTGGCGGCTATAGACTGACATTACCCAAGGTACTCCGTAGGTACGTATGTGCGCCATTTGCGTCCCTTTGCGTCACTTACTCACTCCCTCCCCTCGAATAGCAGACATATTCTGTCTGCACAATTCGTCTGCCCCTTTCTTTTCACCGCGCCAATAAATGTAGAAAATCGTTCAAAATACAAAATTACAATACAACAGCCGATTGTCGTCCGCTCCGGGTCCCGGCAAGTATGATAGATACATGTTGTACATCGCTACAACCCCGTGCTTGTCCTCGAGCCCTTGCTAGGCACCCTGGGCCACGACCACCTGTTCCTGCCATCCTCTCCACTTCGATACTTGGTGCGCAGCGCCTCTGAGACAGAAATGGGCTCTTCCATGGGGATTAGTTGCGGCTGGGCGTGGTATGGCAGCACATTTGTCAGTCTTCTTTTAGACACCGACTTCTCCTTGTTGGCGCCTGCTGCTGATTCCGCCTTCCTCATGTTCTTTACCATGCTCCCAAGCTCGGCATCGCTGTCGATGATTTGTGCTTTGATGAAAGACAAACCATGCCCGGAAGCGTCTTGCATTGTCTCCATCACTGGAACGCGAGGGGTATACTTGTACTGTTCGGGCCGGGGTGCACACCTCGCGTCTGGAATGATCGTGGGGTCTAGCATCGCCTCTGACCCCTTCTCCAGCAGTGCGCTCATGTCCAAGCTTTCGCCGGGCGCGATTGCCGTGGGGTGACTTGGAGTAATGCAGTCCATGTCTACCTCCTTGCGCAGGACATGATCGATATCGACCGCTGAAAAGTACGCGCAAGATTGGGGGAGGTCATGGATGCCAACTTGCTGAGCAAACATTGCTCGAGTCCAGACATTGGCAACCTGGAGAGCCATGGCGGCGCGGTACTTGTCCGCTTCTTTGACAAGGTATCGAATCTCATCATGGACAGTAATGGCTAGACGAGCGTCAATGTTGAACCTCCTAACCAGAAAATCCATCGAGACGATAAGCAGGTGCAGATAGTCGACTCCGGAGGATTGAATGGCCCAGTTGATTCGCGATGTGAGGTAGCCACCTTTGCTAATGAAGCGGCTCATCAGAGCTTCTGTGATTCCAGCTCCGAGAACTGGTGTCTGCGGTCGTTCTTGCTCGGCAAACTCTTCAAGCTTATTGAAGACGAAGGACTCCGTACCGCCTCTCCAAAATGGCTTACTATGAACTATCTTGCGAGTCGTCTTTGTGCCCTTGGTATTGGCATACAGCTTCGAGGCCACTTCCATGGTCTGACTCTCGGACAAGCTGGGATTAAATTGTCGCAACAGCGTTGCCGCAAACTTCAAGCCGGCACCATAAATACGGCCGTAGTTGAACACCTTGGCGTCGTTTCTCGTGATTCCCAAGATGCCGGCTGTCCGTGAGTGCAAGTCCGTACCCGCTGCCTTTGTGCCTTCTAGTGTCATGAACCCAATAGCATTTCCACCATGGATTTTGAATGTCGCATCCCCAACCAGGCTAGCAATCCAGAGCTCCTCGGAGTCGACGTCAGCCCCTACGAAGCAGTATCCCGCAGGAGCCTTCACCATGGCCTTTAGTTCAGAACCAACGCGGTTCTTCTTTGCATTGCTTGCCGTCAGCCACGTATTTTCCACTGCCCGCCTGGTGATCGTCCCCATGGGAATGACTTGGGGCAAGATGAAACCTTGAGAATCTGCCTTTGGCTTGACCCGTCGTCGTCGTGTCGAGGCCTGGCCCTTGGGAATATCTTCTTCATACACCACCATTTGAGACATGATCCGGTCTCTCGCGCTTATCCAGTAAGAGCATGAAGCATTCATTTCAAGAGCTTCTTTGGCATATTCGTATTGTGACGACAGTGTTCCCTTCTCAAAGTAACGCAGATATCCTTTTGCCATAGGATTGGCGCATCGGGCTGTCGGACCATCCTTGTGTGGAAGCTTGAAATAGTCGTGGTCTTCATCGTCCCTGAGAGCAAGCTCCGTTTCGTCAAATGTACACTTGACCATCTGCTTTGCCTTGTACTTTGCTGATTCGCCTCGTGGAACTCGAAAAGTCCACCCGTACTTGTCCGACCAAAATAAGGGGTGGCCATCCCAGGCCAGCCTAAGAAGCAGAGGCGCTATCCGCGTGCGAACTGTGACGTTGATGGGCGAATCGTTTGTTGAAAACAGGTCTTTGTACCACTGTGGCATCCCCGGTTTCTTCTGCCTGGCCGCGGGGCGTGGTGGATCGTTCTTACGTTTCCCTTTGACCATGCGAACTTCCTGTCCAGACCAGTCTAATTGCTTCATCCAGGGATCGTTTTGCCACTTGTCCATGTCATCCTTAATCCCCAGCGCCTTCTCGGTTAATTCAATGAGACGTTCCTGAACGGCATCAGATAGCTTATGATATGTAGCTTCAGCGTTCGCAATGTACGCATCCCACGACTTGTTGACGGGTAGAATGACGGATGCCAAGTGACGTAGGGCCGCGAAGCTGACCGGATGAGGGCAGACCTCGAGAAAATTGGGGAACACAATCTGGTAAACGCGATGTGTGATGGCCACATCCGCAGCACAATAGTCCATCAATTCGTCCAACTTGGCCAAGACGCCCTTGCGATCAAGTTCGCCGAAATCATCTCTCACGGCCTTGTCGATGGACACATTGAGGTGAAACTTGGCCACATCACGCAGGGAATTTATCGAACTACGCTCCACCCAGAGTTCCTCTTCGTCATGCACACTTTTGCTGGTCAAGAGTTCTGCAAGGTCGTTGTCGGGGGTTTGGCTCGCAACCCGATCTCGAAGTTCGCGATTCTTCTTGTGCCTTAACCATGTTGGTCTCTGTTGCGAGCACATGCCGTTGACAGCGACGTGAAGGGACATTGTATCGATGAACGCATTTCGGGACTGCGCAATATCGTACTCCTCCAGCACCCTGGCACGGTCGTATCCGACGTTGTGTCCCACAATGACCCTCTCTTTGGCAGGGTCACCAAGGGGTATAAGGTGGCGATGATTCTTCGACTTTCCCAACAGCCAAGGAGACAGCCATGCATACCAAGCCGTGGGACTTGAGGCGCAGGCCATGACAGCAAATGGACTTTCCTTCCACATGACTTCTGTATCGAAGCACAACATGTGCTCTTCGGGAACGTCGACGGGCTCGTTTCTTCCATCGGGATAATATTTCGTCCATCCACTACGGCGAACCCATTTTCTGGGCTTTGGAGGAGCACTAGCTAGGGCGAATTGTTTGGCGTACGCAAGGTACGGGTCCGCACTGTCGGAGCCAAGTTTGTGGAAGTGCTCATCGAGAGTACGTCCCTGCAGTTGTGGCAAGTCGAACGCGATGGGTCTGGAATTGTCGGTGTTCTTCCCCAGAAGGTCATGGCGTTTTAAATGATCCTTTGACAGCTTGACAAGCTCTTCGGGGGGCGGCTCGCAGCCGTCGGGGAATATTTGGTTGAACACATGAGCGCTCAGCAGTTGCACGCCGATTTCGTTGTATCTAGGTTGTGAGGAGACTTGGGCGCTGGTTAGCAAGGCCATACATGGTCAACGAGCAGCAATGACGGCACGAGCGGATTCCCCCTCGTGGGTTGACTCACTTGCCAGGCTCCCGGAGCTTCTGCCATTGTCGTGTCTGGCGATATCAGACTGCCAGCGGACAAGGGCTCGCCAAGCAAGCCCACGATTCCCGTGATGGCGGGCTAGGCGCACGAGACCGGCAGTCGAGGCGCGCTGGACGTGGCCAGCAGCGGGACAGAGCGTATTCATCAGCGAGGGTGAATCATCACATAGCAGCGACTGTGCGCCATGAATCGTGGTTGGCTAGGGCTTGATTGGCACAGATGATGGAGGTTTGTTTGTCGTGTGTCGTTGCGTCGGGTCCGAGCTCTGGGCTCTGGGCCCACATCAAAGACCCCGGAGCGGAGCGGAGACTCTGCCTGCACAAGCACTGACGACACAAGTCACATGACGCTTCGACTTCCCGCGACGAAGCGAAAAGGGGGGTGGGTGTGTGTGTTGTACACAACCAATAGAATATAAGAATCATTATAGTATGCATGGAACGCCGTAAAGCTCTTCTCGTGACGGGGAACTACCAGGTCCCGTCATCACCCAATATGAATATTGACACCACACGACTTCGCGACGTATCCCGTAACCTATAGTTACTTAAGTACGTAATAGAAAACGGAGGGATACCTCTTTCTCTTACTCTCCTCCAGCTTGTAGTCATTACTACTTACTTAGTAAAGCTTAACAGAACGGGCAGGTAGCACTTATTTTGGTGGCTTGTCGCCTGTAATTCCTCCTCTTTCACCGCCTCACTATTGATTGGAACTTTACATAATCATCTGGGTGTGTATTTCCGCATCCGGTCAAGTTTTTCTCAGGGAAAAAAATAAAAAATAAAAAATCAGATATAGAACGACTCCAAGGAACCTTGGCTCACTTCCTCCTCCCCCCCTTGCCCATCAACTACACCATTCCCGCCCACCCCATCTCACAGATTTTCGAAAGCCGTATTGGGAATATTGAGAATGGTCGCGCTAGCAAGGGAGCGATGTGACGTGTGCCTCCAGCCTTGGCATCTACCTCAAGCTGTGTCATTGGCCGCCTCGATTTGCACATTCCACATTCTGCTAGGCTCAAGATGTAGCTGAAAGATGGTGTATCTCGCCAATACCATCGTTATAAGCTATATTCTCCTGTCCGAGACCAACCGCGAGGAATTAGCGCTCGGACCTCCTCCTCTGACGACCTGCCGAGGAGTTGTTGTGAAGCATTCACGGGCGTGATGGATTATAGCCAAGCCATGAGAAAGCCTTAGGGGCAGAAGATGGGCCTCAAGCCGGGTGAGTCGGGTTTCTGGAGATCAATGCGGTCACTGGATAGGACTTGACTAGCTCCTACGGCCTCTTCCATCGTGCACCTATCCCGGCACTTCTATACACATCTGTGACAAGGACTCGTCTGGGGGCTCGCAGCACCGTGCCTTAACTCAACCTATAACTCACTTTGGTACTAAAGATCCTTGGCTTTCTCCAAGGTCCTTGCGGCCACAGGCCTCTATTTATGCAGCAGCCTTCCTCCCTAGGTCTCTTGACCGTAGTCCTTGCTCTCCAACATCCGAGTGACAATACTCTCGTAATAACAGCAAGGGGACATATATATGGTCTCCAAGACTTGCGCCCTGGAATCATAAAAGTGCTAAGGAGCCTCCTGGATTTGCGATCTGATAGGCCAGTTGAAATCCTCACAAGTCGGTAAGTAGAATAGTGGGAAAAGCGTTGCACGTGACAAATTCTTACCGAGTTGATAGCCTGGTTACAGTTCTGGTCGGCACCATAGGATATTACATCGGCTTCGTCTCTGAACTCCATGTCTTCCACTGGGACAAGTGAGAGCATGGCTCACGTCAGCCGGAGCATCAAGGCGGAGCTCTGTGAAGATTGGCTTAAACAGCGTGTAAGGCGTTGGGGTCCAACGCGAGCAGGGGACAATCTTGTTCCGTCTTGGACTGCGACTATCACGTCTCAAATAGACTCGGTTCACCATTACATTACGTGCTCCGGAGTCGTGAACGGGCAACGCTGTTTGGGATGTTGGTCCCGAAGACGTCGCTCAACTATGGACGTGGGCATCCACTGCACGTTCGGTGGCTGGATACGGTATGACGGCAACACTATTACTGCCGATATATGCGAGGCTTCTGGTGAAGTTCCCTGCACTACCAAACGGAACTTGGCTCAGCTGAGGCGGTTGTGGGCTAAACATGTCTTGACGCAGCCGAGCTCAAGCCAGCAACAAACATCCGACGGCCAGAACAGCACCGCAATTTGGGACAAAGCAGCCATGGATAAAGTATACGAGATGATTGATACAGCAGTCGCACGGTCTGCGGCCAAGAAGAAAGGTGGCGTTGGCAGCGAGAAGGTATTTGGACAGGGTTCGGGGGGCTGGTCGGGCATGTCTGAGGACGGCGTGGTGCTGAAGCGTGACTCGGGGCTAAAAAACGTTGGCCACTATGCTGAAGGATGCGATAAGGAGCCTGGAGGCATTTTCCAGTCGGGAGACTCCGAAGTGTGGATGACGTGGAATGGGTGGTCTACACTAAGCACCAGAGATGGCAGATGGCGCCCGAGTTATCATTTGGAGATTCTGCTCCTGCATCTCACCACTGTGATCGACTTTGGACTTACAAGGGCTAGATTTCGGGAGCGTCAAGCAAGATGGGCATGTGCCACTGAATGGGCGTGGCTAGACACGCCATTGGACGTGCCTCAAGAGTTCATGGACGCGATGCGAACGGACGCCTCTGAGATGATTAGGAGAGAAAAGCTGCGGGCGCAAGACTTGAATCCGCACAAATTTGCGCCCGAAGACGCCGGCACGAAACAGCAGCGACTGCAGAGACTTCACGATCGCGCAGCTCATGTGGCCGCGTATCACACGGCCGGTCAAGGGCTTGACACGGGGCGTGGACTGTTGGCTGCGTGGGCCTTGCTCCTCCCGAATGACATGATAGACTATGAAAGGGATGTTCTTTGCGGCGAAAGTAACAACATGATCCGCAGCTTCACCAGCAGCCAGCAGATTGTCGACGCTAGTGCCTGGTTGCTCAGGGGTCTCTTGTGGTCGTTTCTCAACTCCGATTTCGATCTTGCCGATGTGTTTGTTGGTGTTTTGGCATTTAATGCCGCATATTGGCGATATAACACGGCAAAGTTCGTCATTTACGAGGCAAGGAGTATCCGCAACGTCCGACCGACCACGCCTCGGGAAATCAGTGATGTTGCAGAAATATTAGCTACCAGGAACGCGGTAAGTGTCAACGAAGCTGAAACATATGGTGACATATACCAGGTCTTGGAGAAAAGGGTCCGAGCAGCGTACGACGGCTGCACATGCGTGGAGTTTCCCGAGGGACACGAAGCGAGCAAACTGCTTGCAGCGGTGATGAATGAGGGCGGTGGCGATGAACTTGAGCACCGCCTCTTGGCCGCAATCATTTCCCTCAACAACGGGGCTAACTCGGGGGACATCAGGTGTGAGTGTGGCATGGACCTCCTGATGTATGAGGGCTTCGTGCGGTTCTTTCATCCAGACCAGGGACTTGTTGCTCGACTCCATTACCGCTCCGGTAATCTTGACAAGGGAAACACCATCGTCGAGTGAGCCAATTCGTTGTTCTTGTCTTGGGAGTCTCGTGGTAGAAGTCCGTAGAAGGTATCAGCAGAACGGAGGTAATTTTCGGAACACTGGGGGTATGTACTATGTATTCCCTTGTTCCATCTCTCGCGTCCTCGATTTAATTTACGTCCACCTTGCCCTGCTGCAGCCAACGTTGATCCTTGCAAGGCGGTGCTTGTATAGACTGCTCAGCCCGGTAAGTCTGCGGCGACGGCATCAACTCCATGTCCCTGAGGACTTGGTGAATGACCACGGGTTGTAGAAAGCCCGTGGAGTGGTGCCGGATGTCACTCTTCCTGTATTCCCTCGACAGCCTAATATCTACCCGCTTCGGCGATCGGTGAGATACCAACAGACATTGAATAGGTGGTTCGGCATCTCGTGAGTCTCAAGTAAGTTGGGGCCAAGGCCACTTCGCACCTTCATCCTTCATACTGCCTTTGCTGGCCAGCCCTCTGCTTTTGATGCCATTTGCTCTGGAGTGAGGTCTACAATTGAAGATTATCGAGGCCAACTAGTGGAGAGTCTCATGCCCTGTGCGGATATCAGCGTCCCGGATCTGGAAGCGATTGGCCAAGAATGGGCGGCCGGCCTAGGATTCCAGGACGCCGTCATGGATCCCGGAGTCTGGCTTGTGCATTTGCCGCCCGAGGAGCGGACGTGGAACCAGATTTTGTGGTGGATACAAGGCCAAAAGTCGTTGCTGAAAAACGTTCTCCATGCATGAGCTTTGGACTCGTGCCTGATGGCAAGGCGTAGACGTCGCCTCCGTGGCGATGAGGTCTGGGACGTTCGTCGGTCTCGGTACTCCGTAGTTGGCAAATTGACACGTGATGAGATCTTTCTCCTCCTCAGCCTGCCACGTCGCCTACACTGAGGATACAAGAGCATTTGCATCAACTGGACAATACAGCGCATCAATTGTGTGTGCTCGTGCATCCATTTACGACTGATGAATAGCCCCAGTGTTTGCAACGGTCCACGGAAATCGCCACCCAGCTCGTGGCCTGGACAAGATGTACACGGTACGAAGGACAGTGCGCATTGTCCGGCGACACGCGGAGGTACTTGCTATGTCCTCGAGTATACAAGCATACATACCCAAAATGACTGGTGTCATCGAGTACCTCTGCCATCATATCCTCCGTTCCCAGGTACTCGCCGCTAACCACACGCACACGCATCACACACACCATCGACTTCATCTTCGCTTGCACAACCTCCACCTCTTCAACATAAGACTTCACCCTTGCGCCCGCTACGGGGAACTCGGCTCGCATGGGCTTCCAATGTACGTCTTACGTTCTTTGCCCTGACCCGAAACAACAGCACCCATCACGTTGTGCTCTGACCCGTCTGTGCCTCAGTAACGCGGAGGGCCGCCTGCAACTGACGAGGATTCGCACGCATGCACCATGTCCTCGCCTCCAGCCCTCCCAGAAACGACCAATGTAGAAACGGAAATCGATCCATGCCAAAGCACTTGTCAAACAGATAGCCTCTCGGCACGAAACGCCCACCAGCCCATCCCCCCCATACTACCGCAACAGTCTCCCTGGCTGGCACATACTTGGTTGCCACGCCGTCACACCTCGACAACCTCTTCGTATCCATCTACGAGAAACACGCTGCGCGCGGCAAACGTACCGAATACTCCGTCGACTCCCCCTTGTCAACGACAGCATTCACCATCTTGCTGGCCCTCCTTGGGCCGTTCCACCGCCAGCCTTATCCCACCCGCCCACTGGGACCAAGACACCATCAGTGACGATTTCGCCTTGGATCATACAACAATCCCGCTCTGCCCTGCCGGCGACGACGAAGACGACAACGATAGCGACAACTTCTTTCTGGGAGCATTTGCCGACACCGACTTTTCCTCTCCGTCCACCTACCCTCCATTCACAACAAACCCGCCCGCGAGCGAGCAACCACCGCCGGACCGGGCTACATTTCAGCTCCAGCAGACGGCTCGCACCAACAACAACCCTGGTCCAGAGCCGGCCCCCGTCCGCCAGACGTCAGCCTGTACCCGAACCTCTGCGGCGCCCTCACGACCTACACCGCGGTTCAGTCCGTCAGGCCCAGGAGAATCGCAAAACACCTCGTTTACCACGGACCACGGCGACGACTCATCCCCATCACAAAGCTCTCACCCGGCCTTCTCAAACAAGATGCCGCCGCCGCCATCTCGACTTCAGCATTTGCTCAACGATACTGACGCCCCATCAATTAGTAAACGCATGAGGACATCGCAGCCCGGCGCCGACGCTGTAAACACGGCTTCCGCAGGCTCGTTAGCCACGCCATCGGCACCCTTTGACGACGACGACGACGACTTGTTTGGAGAGGATCGTACCACGCAAGGCTCCGAATTAGTCGAGGGCGAAGACCTCACGACCATAGACTTGACCGAGGCCAACAAGGTTCCAGAAGGCTTGAAGAAGCCGGAACAAGATAACCGCACCAAGATATCCAAGTTCCAGTGTGTCATCTGCATGGATGATGCCACGGCCATCACTGTTACTCACTGTGGCAAGTCTTGACCCTGCAGCGGAAAACATTCATGTCCACTAAGCCACAACTAACTAACACGCGCGACAGGCCACCTCTACTGCGCACAGTGCCTCCATTCGTCACTCCACGTCGAAGCAACAAAGGGAAAGTGCCCCATGTGCAGAGCCAAGATAGACACCAAGTCAAGGAGCTCGTACAACACCAAGACAAAGGGCTTCTGGCATCTTGAGCTGAAGCTCATGACTGCACCGAAAGGCAAACGAAAAGCAGACGAAATGTTGTGACTCGCGCAGCTCATGGCTACTCACTCTGTTTGAGACGAGGGAAATTTTTGGGCGTTGTACATGACTTCAAATTCGCACAAGCGTGGTTGGCCTCTGTGATTGTTACATAAAGGCCTCAAAGAATACACGTGGGCACGGCGCGCGGGGTCTACACAACTTTGCAGAATTATGAGATGCCCTCGTTGGTGGCCTCGGGTCCTGTTATTGACAAGTTGGCATCGAGGCATGCATTCAACGATTGAAAGAGTACATAAGATCCCGTTTGGTACATGCATGATCCTCAATGGACTTTATTTCTAAGACCGTCGCTATACGCTGACCCAAAACACCCCTCAGCCTATGATCCGTTTATTATCCCCTTCGGGCCCCTTCTGGCAGCGTACTACTCTGGGGCCAGTTTATCCCGTCGCGATAGTCGGTTCATGAAATTCCTTCCCCAACGCCGTTTCTATCACCTAGTTTGAGGGCGAAGACTTTGCTATGAATTTGATCAACTTATTTTTTTTCATCTTTACATTGCCAACTGCGAGATCAATGGAACAGTGATTGGTTCGGCTTCATCGACTCGGCTACGGCTTCATTTTCATACTGAATTCTGTCAGCGCAGGAAACCAATGACCAGAGACATCAACGTCAACATACCTCCAAGAAGCCGGTTGCAGCAATCACAACCATGAGCGCATCGGCAAGGTCGCTAACCTTGTCATCCAATGCCTCGTTGTCCACACCCCCGCCGATGCCAGCGCTTCTCTTGAGTGTATGAGTCACTAGCATCCTGTGGTCCGTGAGGAACCTGCGCCCCTGGATGATGTTGTGACTTCCCCTGCTGAGTAGGGCGGCGCCAATGATGCGGACGACCTTTGCCAAGAGGTCGTAGTGCTGCTCCAGCGCATGTGAGTTCCGCACATCACTCTGCAGTTCGGGGTCCGCGGTGAAGAGGCCGCTCGCGTCGATAGCGCGGAAGAGGTTGGCGTAGAGTATGTATTTGGCGCCGTGGCGGGACTGCGCCATTTCGAGGAGGAGCGCAAGGCGGGCGTTTTGGTAGTTTTGCTGGTTGGTGTGGCCTGGTTGAGACGGTGTTTGGTTAGACGGCACGGGGACATGACGGTCGTTTTGACTGCGGCAGAAGAGCTTACCGGCCGTGTAGGCGTCGTGCCATTCTTGCATGATGTTGCGAAGAGAATCGACTAGAACGCCAATAAAGTTGAGCTTGTTGAGAGTCTCGATTACGTGGCTGTCGTTTTCTTGCCGGCCGACACTGACGAGGGAGCTCAGGAGAACGAGAGCCGATGACTGACACGTCGGCTCCCCGCAATACGCGTCGTCGCAAATCACATTGATCAGTCGCTCGCCGTACACCTGGATAGTCTTTGTCGTCTTGGGACGGTTGGGACTCGGCGCACCCTGCGCAGATATGCCGGCGAGATATCGGTAGCAGATCTCGTAATACACCGACCGCAGTTCAGATGTGCCGGCCCACTTTCCAGTTGCTTGCAGACAAATCTGAAAAAGTTGGTACAGTTTGTCGCTCACCAGGTTGCCAATCGATCGACCGTTCTTGTCCGACATGTCTTGACTGCTCAAGTCTAGCTTGGACAGCAATACTCGGGCTAGTTTTGCCAGCTCCAGAGCCTCTTTCGGTCGGTCTGAAGCAAATACTTCGAGGCTGGGTAGCACGGCCTGCAGTGCTTGCAGGAAAAAAGATGTTCGGGCTGTGCCTTTGAAGTCATTGCACTCGACCATGACAAGCGACAGTCGGGTCCATGACTTGAGCACTCTCAGACATTGGGTCGCGATCTGGTTCTGACGGTCAATGGAAATGAGATATTCAATAATCATCCCCTCTTCTCTTTCCGTCATGGCAAGCTCCTGGACAGAGAGGACGCTGCCTTGAGTCTGGAACTCCACTCGTTTTAGAAGCAATATCTCCTTGACTCGATCAATGTTATGAATGGTATTTCCGTCGGCGTCGTCTTCCAAGCAGATGGTGACATCCACGTCCTTGTAAAACTGGAGCGGGGGAGGCGGAATATCCCAGATCCCCTCGGGGAGGAGGAAGTCGAACAAGTCAAAAACAGTTGGTGTTTGGATGGGTTGGTTGTCGTCGCCGATGACTTGCCCGTTCAGAGCCTCAAAAGCCCGTCGCTTTGTGCTCGGTATGCGACCTTGGGAAATCATGCACAACTCCATGGCCATATATTCCAAGGCCAAGCTTCTTGTGGTCAGAAAGTCGACGAGAGTCGGGGCACCGTCGGTAACGGGGAAGTGTAATGATGCGACATTCTGGCCTTCCCAAAGCAGTTCGGGCTGAATGACAGTCTCACGAATGAGAAGGTGAAACAGAAACTCGTTTTCTCTCAATTCATCAATCACCAAGGGCGCGGATAGGGGGGAGCTCCAGAGAATGTGAAGGATACGCATTACTCTGGACTTGATCGCAATAAGCCATCGCCTCATACCCTCGGCATCTTCGGACGGGATTTCCATCAACAGTCGAACAAGTGTGTGAAATAAGGATGTTTGATTTGCAAACGCACTGTTGCTCTCAATCGTGATCGAGTCCACGCCACACTTGAAGCCAAGCAGCAAATGTGCAATGGTTGGTTCTTTCGGGGTTGTAGAAAGACACTGAAGGAGGAAATCTAGGATGTAGATTTTGGTGACGTAGTTCGGGGACTCAGCCTCACGCCCTGCTTCTAGAGGTGCATTGAGCTCTGACGAGAAGCTTCGTGAGATCGATTCATGTTCGCCGTTTGCTTCCATGGCCACGATGGCTTTGTTACGGTGCGATTGACGACCGGACCCTGACCAAGTCGCTGCAATCTTTGATGATGAAGACATTTTCTCGAGAAGTTTGAGGCATGCCAAGGTGAGATCTGGGTGTCCAATGCCACAGTAATTGCCGAGGTCCACGACAAGGTGCAACCTAGTGACTAGTCCCTCCTGGAATGAAGCATATGAAGCATTTGCAACCGGTTGGCGTCTTGCTCCGACTTCCGCTTTGATGAGCGGCCTCACCAGGTCCAGATACGTCGCCTCCAGGTCGAGGACTTTGGAAATGACTTCAACGGCTCTCAAGATACCGAGAATCAAGGGCGAGTCAGGAGCGGCATTGCCCACATCAGCGGGTTCTTGGTGGATCGTGTTGAACAGTGCGGTCATGACCTTGTCGTTGAACATCCATTCCATGACCCGGGCAAACGGGTGCTTCCGAACGTAGGTTGCAAGGTCAGTGGTCGAGATGACAGAGTCAATGTTGATTGTGGTTTCGCTTGTAATCACAATCAAGTCTTCATTGAATGTCGACAAACACGTCAGCATGAAATCAAGGCAACCTAGCCTCAGTACGCGCAACTGGTGCTTGTCTTGGAGCTCATGTGCTTTGCTTGCGAAAACCAGTCCTATCACGAAGTCAACGTAGACCTCGACGCCGGGAATTCGTGAATTTGAGCCCAGGGTCTCCGGAAACGGTAGAGTGTCGTTGAGAGGACTGCTGTCTATTGCGGGTGAAACAAGTGACAGTAGCAATTGAACAAACGACTCCGAATCTTCAAAGCCACTGCTCATTTCATCCAGAATTCTATCCATGGAAATGAGAGGCGCAGGTTGAGCCTGTCTCAGGGGTCCCGTGGCAGGTCCTGCGTAGCCGCCAGTGATCCAGTTTTCCAGACACGTCCACATTGCGAGGTTTTCTTGCATGGTCTTTCTGGACATGAGAGCTTTGAGCGCCATGAAGACGCATCCGCGAAGTCTTGGGGGGATTGGGCTGCTTGCCAGCTCGTACAGCACGTCAACCAGATTGTAGTTTGGATTTTGAAGTAGAAATACCCGCGCAGTTTCACTCTCGGTAGCGAGCTTGGCCATCAAGCGCAAATAACACTCGAGCATCATGGCGGATTCTGGCTCTGTCTCGACATGTTCGTTACCTGGCTTACCAGTGCGGAACCGGGATGTCTGTGTTGTTGTAGGCTTTTGTCTGATCTTGTCAGAGAAGAAGTCTAGCTCTCTGAAAATCTGTGTCCAGGTCAATGACTGAGATCGTCTCATCTTCCCCGACGACTGGTGGCCATCATCGAGGAGGAACTCGTGAGCAGCCGTGGCGCATTCATCGTTTCCAGCTATGGCTTGAAGCATTTCACAAAAGGCCGTGACCAGGGGGGTGGAAGCTCTCCTGGACGCCCAATGCATGAAGCCCGCAAGATTACTGTCTGGGTCTGACCAGAAGTTTGCAGCCGCCTCTTCACGTCCTTCATAGGAATAAGCAATAATAAGGAGGAATCGTTCCAAGTCTAGGTCTTGCTCATGTGCTTGGCTAAGCTGTCTTTGCTCATCTTCCTCTACTCTGAGTTTTCTCAGGACGTCTGGAAGATTTGATATGAATGCATCTACAAATACTTCGATTTGCGACATGAGGCACAGCTGAAAGAATCCTGCAAACTGCACGAATTCAGCCGTCAGGGCAGATGATTTTCTTGTGAGCCAATTCCGCATGCCCACACGAACTGAGTCATGCCAGTCAGCTGGTTTAACATCTCCGGCAACTGAGAGCAGAAAGTCGAAAGCACCATCCTTCAGGGCGTCCAAGAACTGTTTCGATCGTTGGCGATCCTCTTCGTCTAGGTCGGTTCCGGGAGGAATAGCTGCCTCGGGCGGATCATCAAGATAAAATCCGCTGTATTCAGCGAGCCACCAGGCCCTGAATGCGGCATGAAAATGAGGCAGCGGCCATGTCGAATCGTCTGCGGGGGGGGAAAGTTTGCTGTGTATTTCTCGTGCTTTGATCAAGTCATAGCCTCCTTCAGTGGACCCGAATACTGAGATGTAGGCTCCCATTGCGGGAACCAAATGCGCTGTTGCACATTAGCCATTGTGTCAGAGGATTCCATTCATGTTGGAGAGCTTGCACGAACCAAGCAGATTATCGTACTTGTCCAACTTGTTCAGCGTAGAGACAAAGTCCATAAAATCCGATACATCGGCTTGTCGCTTCTCGACCAGACGGCAGAGGACAACTCCCAAAAGTTCGTGCTGCTGTATCAAGCTCACCCGAGAGAACTCAACGGTCTCCATCTCTTCAGAGAGTTGGTCAGACTTGACTTGACTGAGAGCTTGCGCGGCGGCAATCTTGTCTGCCAGCCGTTGCAGCGAGCTTTTGATTTTTCCCATTGCTGCCATACATCGTGGCACGTGTCGTTTGGCCCCCCTCGGCGGGGACTGAAACAACCTGGCGGCAACAAACATCTTGATGGCTTCTAGAGCACCGGATTGCTCTGTGACGTCTTCAATGCTATCCAACTCCAACAATAGCCTCAACGCATCCAAAGTATATTTGCGCTGTTGGTGAAAGCGGATGATGCCACATTCCACCAGAGATCGACCCAGAACAGCCGGGTCATCTTGCGATTCGAGGAGGCACTTTGCAGCTTCGAGTTCGTCGAGGTCGAGTTCATCAGACAATAAAAGCGCGTCTTGTTGGAATTTCTCGTTGAGGATGTACTCTTGTCCTTCAATCGAAAGTTTTCCTGCGAAAGCTTCAGTCTTGCGTCGAATGACCTGGTGAAAGACGTGCTTTGGAAACCTACCCGACTTCACCACGTTCCGGCTCTCATCGTTCTTTGCAGGGGACTCCCACAGCTTCTCCAGCTCTTTTTCGAATGTCCGCACCAGAAGCTCGTTATTCAGACTTTCGGTTGCATCTCCAAAGCCTCCACGCAAGGCCACCAATTCTCGGTGGAAAGCCTGCAGTGCATCCAAAATCACCACGTCGGCCATATTGGTGGTAGGCGCGCTATCGCATAATAAAATATCAGGAACTGCGCGTAAGCAGACAGCTGTCGTCACCAGACAATGGCAAAGAGGGCTTCGAGGATCAGCCGATAACTGTCGCGTGTCCGATCCGGCCTCGATGTTCACGACAGGTCCACTGCTCTCTCTCAATATTCTGCAGCCTCGTTGCTTCCATCCCTGCTGGCGGCGAGCAAAACCATCAGTGATTGGTCATGGCGGAGCTGTAGAAAAAGGCTGCGGGTCCAAGTAAACATCGACAAAGGCGGTGTGGATTCTGCCGGGCCTATTTCCCACAGGCTAGAGCTTTCAACGCTGCCGCAAACTCAATGTGACGCCAGGTCCCAGGAACATTGGCGCGAAGGCATCCTCAGTAGAACAAAGCTGCAACTTCGGTGGCTTGGCCCAAGAGGGACGAAAGATATCAACTCCTCAGAGCAATGGATGCTTGACTGTGCCCTGTCGACGAATTGACAAGGATCGCATCCCAGTTACATCAGCCGCCATCATCACTCAGGTCCACACGCAGCAGCGACGGCAATGTTGACGTTTCTTTCATCTGAAACCAGCCAATCGTCGTACATGGGCTCTCCACTGCTTGGACAAGATGGCCTCGTCGCATACGTCTACAGTAATGAGCCTGACCAGTAAGAATCCCCAGTTTCCGTCCAGCTGTGGCTGCCCATAGCTAACTATCCGACGAGGCGACGTCAAATCGGGGTCTGTCAAGGCTCGTGAAAAGGCTGTAGATGGTGGGTCAACCTGCCTATTCTATGGGATTGAACCTTCTAACCAAAGCAGAACTGGTTTCTATATTGAATCCCAGGAACCGGACTGTTAATCTGTACGCTAACCCCCCCCCTTCATCGTTCTGAATTTGTGCCGCCCATCTCACCAATTGAAAGTGCCGACCTGGGCGACAAGAGCTATCACCAGATATTCGAGGCCCTTTTTAATGTTGTGATCCGCGAGAGGCCTACTTTGTATGACAAAGGCAAGAAAGAGTCTTCTCGCAAGGCAGCCACAACTCGCCTGACCAAGTGCGCTTCGGCCATCCGAATGACCGCTGCCAGAGGTGCCTCAAGACTAGGACGCAAAACCCTGTTAGCTCTTATAGACCATATCTCTCAAGTTTTGCCGGACCCAGACGGTGATTTTGTTGCACCTTTGATACAAGATTATGTCAAGGCCTTGTCGGAGGTGCTCTCACGCCAGCCGCATGTCGAGTACCTAGCTCGGCAAGATGCCAAACACTGGGAGATCTGTGTCGACTTTCTACTTGATATAGCTGCATACATTATTCCCAGTGAAGCTCCTTTTAGCTTGATATCTGCTGCCCGACCTTCTCCTGCTCCAGATGTCTCGACACCACGTTCCATCATGCGATCTAATAGTTCTACTCAGAGCCAAAAGCGAGCAAGCATTGCCGAGGGTGAGCCGCTTAGAGATGCCCTTGAAGGCCTCCAGCATCTGAGTCAGGCTTCAAATGCTCCCATAGCACGGCGAGGAAGAAACGTTACAGACCTGGCGCTTCGCGTTCTCAACATGAAGCACCTCAGTCTTGGGTCTATGCAAGCAATGTGTTTCTTGATTTGCAATACGGTATTTGCTCAGACGCAATCTGAAGATCTCGACTACGGACTCTCATTAGTGAGGGATCTTCTACCATTGATGAGCCATTGGTGGAGGGCCGAGAAGGTCTCTCAAGACGAGCTCATAAAAGAGTTGCGAAATGAGATTTCCAAGACAATATACCTGGCACACTCGCATATCGAGCATCTATCCAGCACATGGACTGAAAAGATTCAGAATGACATCGAGAATCTTGTGGACCCCTTGTGGCAAGAATACTCCAGAAGAAGCGAACCGTTTCGGCTCCAGCTGCGCGATCTCACTTTCAACAGGTCATCACTGCCAGGTGGCAATATGCACTTAAACCTCTTTGGAATACGCAATCACAATTCAGAAGGGGAAAGCCACTGGGCCCTTGTGCAGAATCTTTCCTTTTTGGAGAGTATTCTCTTGAAGCGCGGCGACAATTCTGCGAGGAAAGTGACACAGAACGTCGAACAGCCACGAAAACGACAGCGCACTCGAGAAAGCCTGAGTCGTCTCAGACTGAAACTTAGATCGAGATATGTTGGTATTCAGAGAACTGCGCTTCAGATTTTGCCTTTTCTGGTGGAGGGTCCTGGCTTTGCAGGCGAAGAGCTGGCTTCCATTTTAGACGACCTTGTCACATATGTTTCCAACAAAGATCCAATCACGGCGTCATGGGCGTTGGTCGCATCAGCAAGGTAATGTAATTCAGTTGTATCTTGTCGATCAAAGCTAACAAGACCCAGCTGTGCCTCGTTGCTCGCGGCGAATCAATTGGATGGAGACCAATGGAAACAGCTCTGGCATTTGGCTGTGCGATCGGTCAGCATCCCAACAACATGCCGGGCAGCCTGTTTGCTTCTGCACCAAATGATTGAAATGGAACTACTTCCATACAATGCTACTTCAGAGGATATCGACGGGATTGTCACAACAGCTGACGTGAATGGGCCTGGTATACTCTGTGATACTTCACTTATCCTGATGTTCCATCTCTTCCACGCTCGAAATGCAGCACTACCCAGCGCGAGTCAGGCAACATCTAATCATATAATCAGATGGGTATTTCTGAAATGGAATCCCAGTGAGTCGTCACCCATGAAATTTACACAACCTGCAGTTATCAAATTTATCAAATAACATGTTCAGATGAGCCAGCATTTGCATCCTCCGTATCGCCTCTCATCCAGCCCCTGGAGCTCGTCAACCTGCTTCGAGTGTGTTGTGGCGTCCAACCTTTGTGCTGGAATGAAGTAGCTGCTATTTCAGGCACGACTTTGGAGGCCACCTGGAGAACGAAGCATGAGTCGGCCAAATTCAATGAGTATCTGCTGTTGTTGAAGCATAAAGAACCCAGCCATAACATTCGGCCATGCATCTACCGTCCGGGTTCCGGCAGACAGCTTCAACCTGCAACGGATTCGCACAGCTTCTACCCGTCCAAGAGACTTGCGTTCGAGCTCTTTTGTCCAAAATTGGACGATCTCGTCGAGCTATGCGACACGTGGTCAAAGAAGCCCAGCGACGGTGGAACTCAGATTTCTTTGGATCGATATCGAAGCCTTTTATCTGCGTGCATCATTGGGTCGCTTCTGATCCCCCAGTTTGCTGACTTGAACACGCCCCAATCAGCCTCGATGGAATCCAATCTTGTGAATCTAGCGAAGGAGAGTTTGGTATTGGCATTGGACTCTGTCGAACCGCAGGCCTTTTTGGAGGCCACCTTGCGAGTGCTGAGGCCTTGTATGCCCGGCATGACAACCGTCGATTTGAACAGACTGTATTCGGACCAGTCCCCCTTTCTGCACGTTTTGACAACAATTTCAAGTGTAATTGATCACAGACAATCCGATACGGCCTTTGGTACAAGCCCAGGCCCAATGGATCTCGACGATGAATTTGGCTCGCAGATCAGTAGGGCCACATGCGCTTCGACCCCCATGGCTGTACCGAGACAAAACGTTCAATTGTGTTCAAGCCCACGAGTGTTCCACGTGGATACGAAAATGCGACTAGGGCTGCTTCGCGCCATCAGTGATGACTCGAGTCAGATTGGTTTGCTTCCTGAAGCGTGGATTGACGGTTTGTTGCTAATGTCTGACGATGACTTGTTGTGTTGTCAGGCTCTACTATTGGAGATTTCTACTTCCGATCTGGTTGTGGGCTCAGAGACTGCATACAGCATCATAAAAAGACTAGGCGAAATTATCTCTACGTCGGATTACCAATGCTGCGAGGTGGCGCTTACGACGTGCATAGAAATCCTCGATGGATGGCATAATATCTGGTTGAGTGATAATCAAGATCTCGCCGAAGGCGTGGGCGACTTATACAACTATTTTATCAAAGTGTGCCTGCCTTCTAATTTCTTCTCAGCCAAGGCTCAAATGTCAATGGCGCGTTTGCTTTTCTCATTGCTCGGCGCAAATCCCGCGTACGGCACCGACTTGGGTCTGGCTTCATGTCGCACCTCGTTACTCACTATTCTCGCCACTGGCTCGATGCCAGTGAAGTGTTTTGTGGCAGACAGAATTGCTGGAGTATTTGATCTGTTTATACTGATGCTGCACGATGAAATATTTGTCGACGTTCTTGCGAGCTTGCCAACCAATCCTGCGGACACGGCCGGTATTGCCTTCAGGCTTCTTGCTTTGTCAAAGTTGGCCTGTAGATGGCCAACTCTGCTGCGACGATGCATATATCACATCTTTGAGACTCCAGGAAAGATTTCACAGTCTATCGACTACGCAAAGTGGTGTCTTGCTGATGTATCAAGCACGCTAAAGTTGGAATCGCCAAAAGAGCTTTTTCTATTATTCTCGCGCCAATTGCTCTACACCTGGATGGAACATGACCCCATTGAGGATATTCCCTTCGCTATATTCGGGTTCGACGACTTAAAAGACCTTTTACGATCTGCTCAAGCGGAAGCCATTGCGCTGGCGGTGATGCGAACCCAGGAATCAACCAGTGCCAGCATAGCCACCTTGCTTGGAATGACTGAAAGAGATTTGATCAAGCGCAACTTCTCCACCACCTTGTCTTACAGCATGGCCTACGCGGACGCTTTCGGTAACGCCAGTGATGTGAAGGGCGAAGATTACATTCGGAAAAAGCTAGGGAGCAAAGGTTACGTGGAAGCAATATATACCAACCTTGTGGATATCATTGCCGCATTTTTCGATCTAATAGATCAAGAGGATAACCTCGAAAGGATTTTCCGCAGACACGAAGACATTTCTTATGCAGCAGACAATCTAGAAGCGATCAAGAAGGTGGCTTGCTCATCCAACAAGCTTCCACCAAACCAGCAGCCCATGTTTCGAGCTAAATACATCATTCACGATATCTTCAGGCTTTGTCAAGGCACCGAGTTTCAGTTTCAAGACCTATGGACGCCTGCATTGGTTTTGTCAGTGACAAGGAGCTTATTCAACACCATCCACGCCGCCATGGGCTCCCTCTATGCTTGCTCTGTCCTTCGCAAAGTCAGACTGGTCATCTCTTTGGCAGGTTCAGTGGCGCTGGAGTCGTACTGCCTTGAGATGTTACTCAACTCGGTTCGTGGTTTCATAGTGGATGCAGAATGCGCAGATGATGCCCTTGGCCTGACCCAATATCTTTTGTCTGGGGGAAGAGCATATCTGACCCAGAAACCGTCCTTCCTCGCAGGATACGCCCTGTCTACTCTTGCTTCTCTGCGGGTCTTTTTGGAGTCAAGCCAGTCCAGCACAACCCAAGACAGCCAGTTCAAAGCCACCATGAATAAGACTCAAAAGTTCCATGATTGGTTCAGTAAATACTTGTCTGAATACGCTTCGCCCGTCTTCCAAGATGACGAGCAATCAAATTTATTCAAGTCAATAACTCACTCCGCAGCCCACATAAGATCGTCCGGCAACGCTGAGAAAGGTACATCGGAGAGTAAGCTACTTGTTGATATTTTGAGAGATGGCGTCACTGGCAGTCGCTTGCTGAATGAATCGTCGCGAGAGCTTGCGTTGAAGTTGCTCTGCGGAGACTTCACGATACCAGCGACAATTCGAGAAGATATTGTTGAAACCGATGCTGCTGCTATCGAACAGGCGTCAAGTGTTTGGAAAAGCTGCGAAGCACAAGATCTCAGCAAAAACTACCTGTCTTGGGCAGGACGTGTTGTTGGCCGCTCGTTTGCTGCATCTGGCGAATTCCCCGGGGATGTGCTTAAAGAATCAAACCTGAGCCTTTACAGACACATTGCCCCAGGGCCCAACGGATCGGAGACGTGGCTACTTTGTCTTCTGCAAGATCTAGCGGCAGACCAAAATTCGACAGTGGCTGGATTGGCAGAGGCGGCTTTGCGGGAGACAGTCACGCGAGCGCTAGAACATGGCGACGAACCTTTGGTTGTCGCATGTCAAAGAACTTTATCCGAGAGCCTTTTCACAGTATCACAATGGGGTAGATTCTGTTCACCAGACGTGGAGGCTACCGATAACTCGAAATTGGATGGCGGGCCATCTGTCTGGGAAGACGATATCTCATCTTTAAGCTGTTTGCAAAGGATCACTACTCATCTGGCTTCAACGGCTTCAGACTCGATATTGCTGTCGGTTCTAACACCAATCTTAACCGAGGTACCGGGGTTTGCCGAGAAGGCGTTCCCTTTTATTGTGCATCTAGTTTTGTGTTTCCAACATGAACAACAGCAAACAGCTAAACGACAATTGTCTATGGCAATGAAGGAGTGGTTGCGAGATGATAGGCCATCGGCATCACAGAACGTAAAGCTGCTGATCAACACCGTCCTTTATCTCCGCACACAGGAGTATCCCAAAGAGTCGTCTATTGCAGATCGAATGCACTGGCTCGGCATTGATTATGCAGCCGCAGCCGCTTCTGCGTCTCGATGTGGCATGCAAAAGACGGCCTTGCTCTTCGCAGAATGGGTCTCCTCGGAGGTTTCGCGGCCATCTCGAAGATCTTCGGCACACAGAGAACACGACATCAACGACATTCTGCTGACCATATTTGAGAACATTGATGATCCTGACACGTACTACGGACTGCCGGAAGATGCAAGCCTGTCCAAGGTTGTGGCTCGAGTTGAATATGAAAATGAAGGATTGAAGAGCCTCGCATTTCGAGGAGCGCAATACGATAGCCACATTCGTCTGCGACGCCGAGAGGCAGAAGCAGACGGCCAAGCTCTCGTTCAAGCACTGGGAACATTGGGGCTCTCCGGCTTAGCTCAGTCAATACTTCAGACACATGAAAGCCTCGGTGCCAGCAATCCATCCGTTGACAGTACATTTACCACGGCGAGGCGTCTGGAGATGTGGAACTTGCCTGCGCCGGGAAACAGCGAACACCATGCCGTCATTTTGTATCAAGCATACAAAAGCATTCACAATTCGACGTTCTTGCCAGACGTCCAGGCCGCCGTGTATGAAGGCTTCAGTGCCATTATGAAAAACATGGCGAGTTGCAACCTCAATGCAACTGCTCTTAGGAGTCGGCTGGCTGCACTAGCAGCTCTCACGGAGCTAGACGATATGCTGAATATCTCAGACCCGTCCGAGGTGGCCGTCATGATGGAAAAGTTCAAGAGTCGCTCGGAATGGATGCGAAGCGGAATGTGAGTGTGTATGAGAGCACAGCCCGCTGTCCATGATGCTAATTGCCTCAGGTACGGTGATGTCGGCCAAGTTCTATCTTGCAGAGAGACATCAGTCAGTATGCTTTGCCAGCATACCGGCTTGCTAAAGCATGAAAAGATATCTGCAGATGTATTGCGACAAATGCAGGTGGAGTCGATGATTTTGTCGTCTGGCATATATCGGTACCACCAAGCGACTCAGGAGTCCCTGAACATCGCGACTGCACTCTCTGACATGATTCCATTGTGCGAAAGCTTGAACCTGCACGTTGATGCCGCCATCAGAATTGAAGTAGCCAACTCACTGTGGGATCACGGTGAGATGGGAACATCAATTCGTATGCTGCAAGCCATTGACAGGGAGTCGTCTCTGACAAGACAGAGCATCCGGGTCAATCGGTCTGACCTCCTTTCCAAAATCGGACACAAAGTGTCACTGGCTCGACTTGAAAACCCTCACGATATTCAAAAAACTTACCTCGGCCCGGCCTTGAAGGAGTTGAAACGAGAAGGCAACAGTCAGGCGGGATCGGTCTACCATCAATTTGCCACCTTCTGCGATGAGCAACTGCAGGATCCAGACGGGCTCGAGGACTTGGCAAGATTACACAATCTGCGCACAGCCAAGAAGGATGAAGTCAATGATCTCAAGGCTCTCATTGACTCAACCAAAGAAACTCAACTAAAAGCCAGATATGCACATGTCCTCTCCAAGGAGAAGCAGTGGCTGGAGCTCGATGAGAAGGAGCTAAAACGGGTAGAGCAGACTCGGAGTGAGTTTGTGCAGCTTAGCTTGGAAAACTACCTGCTCTCACTGATTTCATCGGATGACTACAACAATGATGCCCTACGTTTTACGGCATTGTGGCTGGAGAGGTCCGCTGAAGATTCAACAAACAAGGCCGTCATGAGGCACCTGTCCCTTGTCCCTACCAGAAAGTTTGCCCCGTTGATGAACCAGCTGACCTCTCGGCTACAGAGCCAGGAGGGCACATTCCAAAAACTCCTTTTTGAGCTGATTTACACCATCTGCGTTGACCACCCCTACCACGGAATGTATCAAATCTGGTCAGGAACAAAGGCCCGGGCCCAGCAGAAAGATGAGGTGGCTGTACAGAGAGTCAAAGCAACAGAGAAAGTTGCGCAAAGACTCTCTGCAAACAAGTCAGTCGCAAATATATGGCTGTCAATTGACAAGACGAGCAAGTACTATCACGGGCTTGCCATGGAAAAGAACCCAAACAAGTACAAGTCTGGGGCTAAGATTCCGCTTAAGGACTCTGCAGCAGGGCAGTACCTGGTCAGTTACCTTGCGCGATATCGTATTCCTCCTCCAACGTTGCATATCGAGGTCTCAATGACCAAGGACTACTCGGACGTTCCGTTTATACACAAGCTGGAGCCCACAATGACGATTGCGTCAGGAGTCAGTGCACCAAAAATCATCACGGCCGTCGGCACGAATGGCGTCAGGTACAAGCAGTTGGTCAAGGGTGGCCACGACGATCTACGGCAGGACGCAATCATGGAGCAAGTATTCGCCGCCGTATCGTCTCTTTTGAAGCTGCACCGGAGTACGCAACAAAGAAACCTGGGTATCAGGACGTACAAAGTCTTGCCACTTACGGCATCGTCTGGTCTCATCGAGTTCGTTCCAAACACGATCCCGCTGCACGAGTACCTTATGCCAGCGCATGAGAAATACTACCCGAGGGACCTCAAGGGCTCGCAGTGCCGTAAAGAGATATTCAATGTCCAGAGCAGAACGACCGAAACACGTCTGGCCACATACCGCAAAGTGACGGAGAGATTTCATCCCGTGATGAGGTACTTCTTCATGGAGTACTTTGTCGATCCGGACGAATGGTTCGCCAGAAGATTGGCTTATACGCGGAGCACGGCAGCCATTTCTATGCTAGGGCACGTCCTTGGACTGGGTGACCGTCATGGCCATAATATTCTCCTTGATTGCCGGACTGGCGAAGCAGTGCACATTGACCTGGGAGTAGCCTTCGAAGCCGGTCGTATTCTCCCGGTACCGGAGCTGGTCCCTTTCCGGCTGACTCGAGACATTGTAGACGGCATGGGCATCACCAGAACCGAAGGTGTTTTCAGGCGTTGCTGCGAATTCACGCTTGATGCGTTGCGCGAGGAGCAGTACTCAATCATGGCAATTCTAGATGTCTTGCGATACGACCCTCTGTACACCTGGTCGATATCACCGCTCCGACTCGCCAAGCTCCAAAATGCCAGAAACAATGGGGGTGGCGGCGAGGAGTCGGAAATGAGCGAAACAGCAGATGCCAAGAAGGCCAACAAGCACAACTGTCGAACGAATGAGCCCTCTGAAGCAGACCGAGCACTCGAGGTTGTGAGAAAGAAGTTGTCAAAGACTCTAAGTGTAACAGCAACAGTCAATGACTTGATTAACATGGCTACAGATGAACGCAACCTGGCTGTACTGTACTCGGGTAAGAGCCCCTGATTTGTGGGAAACAAAAAAAATGTCTGGAGAAACGTACACTGACATTGGACGTCTCAGGATGGGCTGCATACGCGTAAACGTCTTGGTTCTCGTCTTCACCATGCGTGGTAATTCACGGACTGTAGCGAGCAGGTTGGGAGACGCCCATGGCGTTGTAAAATACATTCCAGATTGGAACATTAACAAAATCAAGCCATCTTGTAAAGAGGGCAAATTTCTTTCTCTTCTACTGCCCGTTTTTCAGCGTCGTCACACTTGCCGCTCGCAATTGCCCATCAGAGCTGGTGAGAACTTGCACGCTTCGCACCTCGACCGAACCTAATCCCTTGCGCGACGCTATCAACAAGTCTTTGGTTCATCGTCGACATGGGCATCCGGCCAGGTCAGCACTAGTCAGTCCCAGGACAGCATGCGCTCAGCCTAACAGCATGTCTGACCCAGATTCTGGCAAAGCCACAGGCGCTGATGCTTAGGGACAGCCGCGCGAAATGCTGTGATTCGTGGAAATAGAATATCCCAGGCCACTTCACAGAAAGCGGAGATGGCAATGGCCGGAGGTGCCGAGACAATGGACTGCTTGATTTCGGTAGTCGGTCCTGACACGAGCTTGAGTTGTGACGGTAGTACAATGAGCTAAACCACAAGGAGATGTGATGTCTACAGGGGCTACGGGATATATGATGCCACTGATGGGTTTGGCAATGGCTTCAACACCGAGGGCTCAGGTCTCGCAAGGAGCCATTGACCTGGGGTCTGACCGCCAGGGATCAGTCCTCACCCAAATCACAACACCAAATAGAAGACAGGTAACTAACAAGTCACGCAAACATTGCAGCTCGGTTCGTCAGACAATCTCACGCACAGCAGCCAGAAAGAAATATCCATCAATTACGGAGTACACACCGGCTTCTCGTCCTCGAAGCTGACCATGTGGCTTGCTTGCTTGCTGTCGGCGAAGCGTTTCAGGGACATACTACTCAAAACTAAGCAGCAACGCGCCTTGGAGAAGGGTACTGCAAGCTGCCAATGGAGCTGCGCCAACTAGCAAGTTTGGCATCGGGCATCGCAAGGCAGACGGAGCGGCTCCTGGGTGCTCCTGGTCGCTTGGGAAAGGTTTGCGAGTGATGAGGGCCGACTGTCGACTGTATATAAGGGGCCCTCGCCCTCTGCAAGCTGGTGAGCATCAGACAGACCGGCCAAGGACATCATCTTTCATCCACATCTCCCCATCTGGAAGCCGTTCCACATAGACTCACGCCTCACAAACCAAGATGGTGGCGACCAAGACAATTCTAGCCCTCGCGGCGGCTCTTGCAGGAACGTCATCCGCCCTTGGAATCAACTGCCGGGGCAGCGCTCTCTGCTCGGGTAACAAAGGCATCCTCAGTCAAGCCCAAGGCCAACTCCGTGGAATGAACCAGAACCAGCAGTTCTCTGACGGCCAGCACATCACCTGCGTCAAGTCCTCTGTCACCATCGGAAACCCCTCCCTCTGCATCTTTTATCAAAAGACCGGAGGACGCAGGTGGACGGTTGCCCACACGGTCAGGTATGTACAGCAGCTCCTGGACCACGGCTGCGGTGCTTGCGGCAGCGTACCGACCAATCCCGGGAACAACGTCGACTACGGCGAGCTTACTGCCAACATGGTGACGAACGCTGCTGCTCGTCGTGGCCTGGACCTGGCCGACAGGGTTGCCAAGCCTCGTGAGCGGAAGCGAGAGGCTGAGCCTCAGCCTGTGAGCCAGGCCGAGGACTCGGCTGCCATCCTGGCACGCGCTCTGGGAATCAACTGCCGTGGCAGCTCAACCTGCGGCGTCGGCGGCATCGGCCACAGCCCTGCTGGCACGCTTGAGCAGGTTCGCAACGCGGTTGCCGGCGGTCCCAATGGAAGCTGGGGCAACGGGCAGCAGATTGCCTGTGTGCCACATGTGACGGGCCGCCTGTGTGCGTTTTATCAGAACATCGGTAACCGGATGTTCAGCAAGCAGCAGAGTGTCGCTTATTTGGACCAGCTGATGGCTCATGGGTGCAGGGTCTGCGGCAGCATCCCTACAGACCCTGGCAACAACGTTGGAAATGGAGAGCTGACTGTCAACTTTGTATCTTGAGAGAGTGATGGGACTGGAGGGTGGAAGGATCCATGACGCGGGAGTACGCAGTAGGTAGCTGTGATTTTTGAGGGAGTGGCGTTTTAATGGACATTCATCATCTGACTGTTGTCTTGTGAGCTTCGTGATCCATGTTTGTTGGGCACTTGGCGTAGGTGCTTTTCGAGGACGGGAGTGGCTGATATGCTGCGAGGTATAGTAGATGCGAATTCGCCCCTGTCATGGCAGCGCCTGGCGCGTGTCATCTCGACATCTGCGCGTGCCGCTGCGCCGCTGCGCCGCTGCTACTTATCACCAACCCGAGGCGGCGGCGTCTCTGTGATTTTCGGCGGCCATAAATTAGAGCCTCGACTCCGTCCAAGTCCGAGCCGTGACAACATGGATTTCCCGCAGCTGGCCAATCCCCGCCTCGGCAGCAGTCGCTCGGTCATCCACCCTTGCCCCACCCCACAGCCGCACCTCCCTTCGCCCAATCAGCTCAACCCTCGCTGCTCCTTCCAGACGTCCTCACTGATCAGTGATTCAGAGACGGCCCAGCTCGGCCTTCAACTTTGTCGAAATGACATATGATTCAGCTCGCGTCCAACTCTCCACCTCGTCATATTCCCAGCCTCAGCTTTACCCCTACGGTCGCCCGTGCTTGTGTGCGGACAGTTCATTCCTCGTCCCACAACAAAGTTGTCGAGCAACTATTGGTTCCCCCGTGCCGCGAAGCGCCAACCGTCATCGCCTTCTTCCGATCCCCGTTATATCCTCCGATACGAAAAATAGTCGGTACCATACTTGCGACTTTCCTTGGCCGCCAACTTGCGACGGAATCGTGCCTCTCTGATCCATGCTATCCGCATCCGGGACGCCCGATTCGACCTCCTCACGACGTCGGCAGCGTCTCTCTACGTCTCCATCTCCATCAGCAGTCAACCCCAAGCGAGCTCGGCTTGCGGATCCCCCCGCCATGGCGACTGTCAGGGCGAGGGGCAAGATGCCCGATGTCGTCGATCTGACGGAGAAGCCGTCCGCCTTTCAGCCATATACCGGAGTCAAAAGGCTGGTTATCAAGAACCTTCGAGCACCCGTGAGCCGTGAAGCACAGGTGGAGGAGTACTACGCGCGCACAGAAAGGGATCTCGAGGAAGCTTTGGGAGCCATATTTGCCGATAGGAGGCCGGCCGTGCCGTTGGAGCGGTTGTATCGCGGCGTCGAGGACGTCTGCAGAAAGGGCGGCGCTGCAAAAGTGTACGGCCTGCTCAAGGAGCGCATTGATCAGCATTTGCAGTCGGTGGTCCTGCCAAGGATAAGACGCGCTGGCGGGCAGTCCAACATCGACGTGCTTCGAAGTGTACGGGGCGAATGGAAAGCGTGGAACGCACAAGCGATGACCCTCCGATCCACCTTTAGCTATCTGGACAGGACGTATCTGCTTCGAGAGTCCTTCCCATCCATCAACGACATGGCCATCAGTCATTTCAGAAGAATGGCATTCCCACAGTCGTCGCAGACCAACAGCAGCTCGCCCGGCGAAAAGGCCATTGCCGGAGTGTGCGAGCTGGTCGAGTATGACCGCCGAGGCGACCAAAGACTCGACTCGTCTCTTCTCAAAGAATCCATCCGCATGATGTACGTGCTGGGCGTTTACGTGAAACAGTTTGAGCCCGTGTTTTTGAAGCAGTCAGTCGCGTATTTCGAGGAATTTGGCGAATCGTGGAGTGCGTCCAGCCTCAAGGACTATATTGCTGCCTGCAAGGACCTTCTCGACCGAGAGGACTACCGATGTATCGCGTACAACTTTGACGGTACCACCGAGAAAGATCTCATGGACTCGGCGCACAAGATTCTCATTGATCAGTACTCTGAAAAGCTGCTGCACGGCGACAGCTTGTCAAACCTGTTGTCCGATAGAGACGTCGCGTCGATGAAGGGGCTGTACAATTTACTGAGGTTGTCTGACATTCAAAAGAAGATGCAGATGCCCTGGACTGAATATATCCGACGGACTGGTGCTGCCATCATATCAGACAAAGAGAGAGGAGACGAAATGGTCATTCGGCTGCTAGAGCTGAGGCGATCGCTAGACCTCATGATTCGGGACGCGTTCCAAAGAGACGAAGACTTCCTATGGGGCATGCGAGAGGCCTTTGGAAAGTTCATGAACGACCGCAGGACGGCGTCCTGCTGGGATACAAGCACGTCCAAGATTGGAGAAATGACCGCCAAACATGTAGATGTGCTGCTGCGAGGCGGCTTGAAGGCTCTGCCCAAGGAGTTGCTGTCCGACGCCAAGGATCGAGCGGCGGCCGAGAAGGAAGGCCAGGCAAGCACGGCGGACGAGGACGCCGAACTGGACAGGCAGCTTGATCAGGCGCTCGAGCTCTTCCGATTCATCGAGGGCAAGGATGCCTTTGAGGCCTTTTACAAAAAGGACCTGGCGCGGCGCCTGCTGATGGGCCGCAGCGCAAGTCAGGATGCGGAGCGGAACATGTTGACGAAGCTGCGCAGCGAGTGCGGGTCAAACTTCACACACAACCTGGAGCAGATGTTCAAGGACCAGGAGCTCGCCAAGGACGAGATGGAATTGTACAGGCAATGGAGCGACAAGAACCGGGAGCGCAAGGGCCCGGTAGACCTGTCCGTCATAATCTTGTCCGCCTCGGCTTGGCCGTCTTACCCCGACACGCGGCTCAGCCTGCCCGACGAAGTGGCCACGCAGATCGAGAGGTTCGACCAGCACTACAAGAACAAGCACACGGGGAGGGTGCTCACGTGGAAGCACTCCCTCGCGCACTGTTCCATCAAGGCGTCGTTCCCCAAGGGCACCAAGGAACTTCTCGTGTCGGCCTTCCAGGCCGTCGTGCTGATGCTGTTCAACAAGGAGCCCGAGGGCGGCTTCTTCACCCGCGAACAGATATCCGCGGCGACGGGCCTCCAGGGCGGCGACCTGGACCGGACCCTGCAGTCTCTGGCGTGCGGCAAGGCGCGCGTCATCACCAAGCACCCCAAGGGACGGGAGGTCAACCCCGCCGACACCTTCACCTTCAACCGGGCGTTTTCCGACCCCAAGTATCGCGTCAAGATCAACCAGATCCAGCTCAAGGAGACCAAGGAGGAGAACAAGGCCACGCACGAAAGGATCGCCCAAGACAGACGCTTCGAGACGCAGGCCGCAATCGTCCGCATCATGAAGAGCCGCAAGTCGATGGGCCACGCCGAACTCGTAGCCGAGGTCATCAACCTGACCAAGAAGCGAGGGAGCGTGGAGCCCGCCTCGATCAAGAAGGAAATCGAGAGGTATGTTGTCCCGCCGGCTGGGTCGCGCGACGGTGTGCTAACTGCCGCAGCCTCATGGAAAAGGATTATCTCGAGCGAGAGGATAATTCGTACACCTACCTGGCGTGACGCGCCGTCGGTCGGGCCGGCTGCTCGGCATCGATCGACAAGTGTACGAGGCGTGTGTGTCGCGGTGTCGTGTATGTACGAGTTGACCATGTCAGGCTGGAGCCGGCGAGATAGAGACGTGCTTCAGCGCCCGCATCGTCGTGTGTTGGCACGTGAATACACCGGGTTTAGGCGTGTGCCGTGCCGACGTGATGCCCCTGTTTCATGCTCTCGCGGCGAACAACATGCACCTCTCTTGTCTCGGGTCGAGCCATGTACGAGTTGCTCTGCTGCGAGCCTCGCCTGCCCGAGTCTGTCGCCTTGAAACGACGGTCGGTCGAGCAGAGCTTTTACGTGTGCGTCGCAGGGGCCGAGCAGGACAGTGATCAACGGCAAAATAATCATTCGTTCAAGCAAAGTAAGGAGCTGTGTTTGCGTCTGGTACAAAGTACGTCCTCGCCCTGCAATCTCCTGCCTTTCTGCCCATCGGCTATTTGTCTCTCGCAATCTCATGTAATCTCCAGTCAGACCTTTCCCGCCAGCCGCGAAAACTCCACAAGGAGGAGGAGGAAGAATAAAGGACAAAACGAATAAATCAATAAAGGCACGAGTACAACTTGGACACGCTTGATTCTACGAGGGTTCAGGTTCAGGTTCAGGTCCAGTACTGCCGTCGGAGAGTTGGATAGCCGCCGCTGGCCGGCATCATGGGATTATACCGATCGTCTCTGCCGTCCCTCCTGCTGCTCATGTAATCCCTGGGCGCCCACCGGTCTCCCCCGACGTCGTCGTCGTATGCGTCGTCTACCACGTCCCGTCTGGGCCTTCTGCCGGCGTGGCTCCTCGCCCAGCGATCCGCGGACTCGTCGTACTCGTTGTCCACGATGTCTCGCCTGGGGCTCCTGCCGCCGGATCGCCACCCTCTTTCAAAGCTATCGTCTGCGCGCGGGTAGTAGGGGTCCCTGTCCCTCCTGTATACCTGTTCGCCACGAATGTGGTCTGTGACGCGGACTTGCTCCATGTTGCGGCTCACGTCGTCAAGTTGGTCTTGGTGGATGGCTTGCCTGGCCCTGTGGGCGGGCATCATGCGCCCGAGGTGGTCTTGCACGACCACAGGGCGGTGCTGCTGGATGCCGTCTTCTTTCCCGATGTGGTACCCCCTTTGGAAGCCGGTGCGATACTCGAACGCCGGCTGTCCAGGGGACGGCGAGGTGGAGGGCGGCGAGGGCGGCATCGCCTGGTCAGTGTCTCGTTTGGAATGCCGCCTGGTCGAGGGGACCCCGACACCAAACTGCTCGGGGCGGTCTCGGCGGCCGTGGCGCTGCTTGGACGGGTAGCGCCTGTTGCTGTTGCGATTGTTCCGGGCGCTGGAGGACACGGAGGACTGGGGCGTCATCGAGTCCCCTTGGTCGGAGGAGGAGTCGCTCTCGAAGGATGTGGCAGAGTCTGTGGAGCTGCGTGGGCTGGAGGGCCGGGATTTCACGTAGACCTTGGGGTTGCGTTGCTGGCCGGCTGGTCTGACTTGGCGGTTGGACGTGGAGGAGCGTTGGGCGTGAGGGGTGTCGGGGCGACTTTGGAGGTTTGGGTGTGGTGTCATGTTGGGAACTCTGGGTATTTGAGGCGCAGGTGGTGATGGTCGTCGTGGTTGCTGTTGCTGTTGCTGTTGCTGTTGCTGTTGCTGTTGTTGTTGATGGTGCGGTGGCGACACTTGGGGTGGCATGGCCCGTGGTGGTACCTGCTGGGGTATCTGCGGTTGAGGCCTGGGAATCTGCTGGCCCTGGGAAGGAAAATGCTGGGTTTGGGGGTGCGCTTGTTGCTGTTGAAGAATCGGAGGATGTTGCTGAGGTTGATGATGAGGCTGATGAGGCTGATGAGGCTGATGAGGCTGATGAGGTTGATGAGGTTGACGAGGTTGATGAGGTTGACGAGGTTGATGAGGTTGGGTATGTTGCTGCTGCTGCTGCTGCTGCTGCTGCTGTGCCGGCCGAAACGATTGCGCCATTCTCGGATTCGCATTCATCTGTTGCTGTTGGTGGACCTGAGGCATGTTCGTTCTCTGCTGCCCCTGAAGCGTAGCGTGACCATCCGCCATGTTGTTTTCCACGGACATGAAGCGGCGTTGCTGCGGTCGGCCACTCGAAAGAAGCGACTGCTTCTTCAACCTCTGCTTCTCTTGCAGCATCTCAATGGCGTCTTCATTACTCCTGGGCACTCTCCGAAAGTATGCCGTCACGCTGACTCTCTCGCGTTTCTTGTCGCGTTTCTTGTCTCCCTTGTACTCCTTGTCGCCCCTATACTCCCTGCACCGACGATGCTTGTCCTTGTACCTGTCTTTTCTGTCTCTGTCCCGGTCCCTCTCTTTTCTTTCTTTGTCCGACTTTGAGATGTGGATGTGATACAATGGATTGCTTTCATCAATCTTTCTAGTTTCGCTCTCCAACTGGGCCAGCTCGTATTCATATCTATCATCATTTTCGTCTGCTTCCAATCTGGCTTGCGCGCAGTCAATCTGTTGCCGCACGGCCTTCGGCAGTGCTCTCTTCTTTTCTATAACCCCATCGTCCTTTATATCGAGCTCATGCACTCTGCGGGCGGCTTCTTTCTGGGAGATGCCCGTTTCTTCCGTATGCGTGGCGCATTCCCAGGTGGGCAGAATCGGATCGCCCAGTCTGTCCGTGCCACAAACGTTGCGAGCCTTTTCCATGTGCCAGACAATGTATGTGGAGAGCTCTTCACGGGCCTTCTCCTCAGACATGTTTTCGTAGCGTAGGTCAATGAGCTCGTTGCGGTGCTCACGTCTACGGTCCTTTGGGGCCGGTTGGTTTATGCTTTGTTGTTGTTGTAATTGTTGCTGTGGCCATTGTTGAAGGTGCGAAGGCGGCGGGCTTTGATAGGCTTGACCGTGACTCATAGGCGGCTGCACTTGAGGGTTTTGCATGGGACCGGGGTTCATACCGACTTGCTGTTGCACAAGAGGAGGATATTGTTGCTGTTCTTGTTGTTGTTGACCAAGCTGCTCTTGTTGATACATTGGACGTTGCGGCATGGAGACCGGTCCTCTTACGCCTTCGGCCATGCTGGGACGAACTCCGGCACGAGGGACTCCTTCATGCGTCGGCTGTCCTCCTCCGTTGAAACCATGGAGACCGGCTGCTGCTGAGGGAGACACGGTAGCCACAGGCGGGATGGCGTTTGGCCCGTTCACAGGACGACTTCCGCCTCCCATGTGGCTTGGTGGGAACACACCCGGAGGTAGGCCCGCCATGTTTGTCCTGCAGTCTGGATTATTATGTCACAGTCTTGTCTGGATGGGGATCTAGATGTCTTTTGGCGTGGTGGTCCTTGGTTCTGGGGTGGCTGGGGTCTCTTTCGTTCTTGTTTGTGGCCGATGGCGGCATCAAGTATAAGAAGAGCAGAGGGGAGTCGGGAACGCCTCCCATTAAGGGAAAACGCAGAGCCTCCTGTTTTTCTTTTCCACTTTTCTTTTGGGCCCTTCACACACTCTCTCTATGCATCAAGTGCCCACGATGTGTGACATTGAAAAGGCCCGTCCGGCGGACCAAGTGAGGCGGCCGCATGTGCTCAAACAGGACGGCAGCGGACGGGAGCAGGATGAAGTGGTGGTGTGATGGGAGAGCTGTCAGGGAGTGGTCGTGTCAAAGATACAAGGCGTCGCCGAGTGCAACACAACGCTATGCTTGGCTCGGTGCGGAATTCAAGCGGCTTGGAAATTCCATCGCATAGCCTCGATCCATGGAGAGGAAAAGCAGGGCGGATGTCGATGTTGACCGTGCCATTTTCGAATTTCCTATTTGGGCGATTCTGGCTTACACGACGCAGCAGCGGGAGAAGCAGGAGCAGCACAGCACAAAGAGGGGGAAGGAAAGAAGGCCGTTTTTTTCTTTCCTTGTTTTCCCTCACTTTTCCCCCCTTCAAAAAATCAATAAAAATGTCTCACTCAGCACACACGCACGCTCACTTCAGTCTGTTTACGCCTTGCCACTCCTGGATTCAGCTTGACGGACATTGTACCGTCAGCGTCACCGAAACAATGAATGCATCACGACGCTCCTCCGTCTCGAGGCAGCGCCGCGACGTGCGAATAGCAAATTGCAGCCACCACAGCTGCTCTGGTTGACAGCACTCGAGTCGACCACGGTGAGGCTGCCGTGCAGATGGCCCAGGCCATGATCCATTGATCTGTTTGGTCCAACACACCAATACTGGAGTCTGGGATCTGAGAGCATCACCGTTTACAGCCAGACGGTGTGTGCGGCCACGGCTACCCATTGGCCGCGACAGGAGGGCATTTTCCCGCCGGGGTCAGCCGACCATGAACGCCTTTTCTACAGGACTGCAACGGCCCGTCGGCCTGGTCGATCGCAGAAATCTCCCAATTGCGAGCCATTGTGTGATCCCCGTCGGTTCCGGGAACGCTGTCGCGGTGTTGGACCGCGAGGCCACGTTGAGAAACAGCCATCACTGTCGGGACAAATCACGACGACAATGAGGAACTCAAAAGAGCCGTCTAAGCAAAAAAAAAAAGTTGTATATAATGTGGTGTGGTGGTAGCACGGCATCCCTCCCTTTGTGCTCTCAACGCCAATCGAGGGAACCGTGTGTTGCGACATTATCGACGTTGCGCGGCCATTGTTGCACGATCCTATCCCCCGGGATCGAGTGCTTTCGGTCATCATCATTCAGAAACACTCTCGCGTTGGTCGTGGCGCAATATTCCCACAATCAGCTGGCTGTCGCATCGTTTACGTGGTTGCGACAACGGCCAACATTGAAAGCCTCGTTGATATCCGCGGACCGTGACAAGGCGCAACAGGTTCCTCCAAAAGTGCTCAGCTCGGCCCCCCTGATTACTGGGCAAACTGTCAACGTTATTTTGCCCCAACAAGCCATGATTTGCTGAGGTGGTCGATTATCTACTTGACTGCGGCTGGAGTTGGCCTGACGTCATTTCTGGGACTCGACTCTCAGGTCAGTTTCGTGCCTTGTAAGGCTTATCAACCGGTCGTCGTCATCGGTGTCGTCGCCGTCCATTGATGGCTGCATGAAACGCCTCGTTGTCGCCGTTTCGTTGCAAATCTGAAAATGAGGCGGCCAGCGCAGAGGACCGGGCGTTGGCGACATGGCCTGGCCTGCCCGACCTGGTGACAATCCCAGACGCGAATTCTTTTTTAATATATATATATCATTATTCTCCTACACACATCCTACCCTGTTCAACGACACAAGGAAGCGGATATATAAACAAGCGGCTTCATGGCAGAATAACATAATAATGTCTTGGGCCTTCCGGGGAACCTCGTGTAACCCTCGACCGTGCAGCCTCATCGTTGCAAATACTTACTGCGGACAGCCAGTTGGGTACGTTGTGTACTCCGTTCTTCTGCACTACCACGACGCACGTCTGACATGATTATACCTGGGAAACTCAGTACCCCGGATGATCCATGCAGCGCGCATGCGTAGCACCGGGCTATCACAGGGATTTTGCGAAACTGCCCGGTTGAGACTGTCTGTGGCGCATCAAGTACGTGATACAAAAGTACAGACGACACCAAGTCCCGAAGACTTCACTTCTGTTTCTCTCATAGCCCCAACACGGCCCAAGAGGTGAGCGTCTGCGCAATGGGACGACGTGAGGTGGTTGTCGTCGTCGAGACCAGAACGAAACAAGGCGGGGCGTCAATGTGATAGTCCATGGAGCTGCAAGGCACAGCGTGAATCCCCGAGCGACTCTTGAGTATCCTGGTCAAGTTGCTCCAAGAGAGGCCAGCCGGAACCTAAACGTGTCGCCTCGCCGCCTACATGCGATATGTCACCACTTTTCGCGTGATCGTGATTTTATTACTACCACTACTATTATTATTTTCGGGTATATTCTCTCCTCCATAATTTGGACTGTCAGCCTCCTCCCCCTTCTCGATGTGGTCCTTTCAGCTCGTCTCTCGCAATCCCCTCTCACTCTCAGCCACGATCCTCCGCGTCTTCAGGGGCTTTCTCCAGCTCCCGCCCTCGCTGGACATCGATCATCTCGTACAGCCTCTGGGCTACGGGCCCAGGAATATGACTGCCGACCCGAATGTGTGCGTGTACCGACAGTCGGGAACGCCGAGCAGCACATCGAAGTAGCCCTGTCACCTGGTCTCTGCCTCGTCTTTCTGCCTCGCTCTGCGCATCGTGCCGTTCTGGAACATGCATATGGCTCCCGTGGCGCTTCTGCCCTGTGTCTCCCTCGACGTGTTTCTTGATGCATCATCACACAGAAACTTGAAGACTGAAGATTCCCTTTCTTCACCCCCCCCCCCCCCCCCCGGGACCGAGTCTCAGACACTGCGGTCGGAACCCGGTCGAGAATCTCGTTCGTCTTCCTGCTCTTCGGGTGCCCTACTCTCTCATCTGAACCCTGATGGCGCATTGGCGTTTGTTATTGGGCAAATCAAGGCATATTCGCCACTGAGAAACTCTGGCTGGCTCTCTGTTTGGAGGAGCCTTGTCAGACGGCATTTAAGGTCTCGCGATACCACCATTCTTTTACTTGATTACTTTTTTTTTCCTGCCAGCAGTATTAAATTGAAATTGGTTCGGCTACGTGTTCCAGTGACGACTGCGTCATTGACGTGTCATGCGGCATATCCTCTCTCATCCAGTGTTTGCGTCGGCCGGATCGCCAGTCCTGTCTTGCCATGTCCCTACGCTCATAGGACGTCTTATTTGCAGCATCCCCGAACGAGGTGCCCGATGGTTACTTCATCGCGCAGACTCATCAGTGTCCGTTGGCGCCCGACTTCGGGCAATCTCTGGTTTGCTCCGGAACACGCAGCTTCCCCGGACATGGACGCACAAAGCTGCCTTCAACAACCGTGGGATCCGCGTACCTCTATCGTCTCCAACGAGGGCAGACCTCTCCGCCGCTCGAGCAGAATATGGAAGCGTCTCGCGAGTGGGACATCTGTTGTGAGGTTTGACATGTCGTCTTTTTGATAAAGCATTTGCTGCCTGAGCGAGTCCAACGTCGCTGGAGCAAACATCGGGCTCCGATTGATGGACCTGTCGTGTTCACAGCCGAGGACTTTTCGGCCAGATCAGCATGGAGGATTGGGCAAAGGTGGAAACAGAATTTTGGCAGCTGATGATGCCATGTCCCACTTGTCAGTCCAGAATAACTCATTGAAATTGCTCTTGTACGACCATGGCCTCGCTTTTAACAGATGAGACTTGTATTAGTCCCACGGGCGATTCTTTTTGGGGTAATTTTGTTGCCAAAGGACAGCAGGAAGGATACTGTCACTACTCCTTCGAGAGCAGCACCGTGAAGCAAGCGGCGACAGCTTGTGCATACTTCTAACTTCCTTACCAGGCTCGATCAACGTATGGAAACTGTAAGAGCTCCATTGCCAAAAGGTCGGTGGTCTTGACTGTCTGTCTGGTGCAAGGGATAATGCACACGCTGCCCGAGATGTCCCAGAGGCATGTATTGGTATAGGCATATCGGATAACTCAATCACACATTTGACTAAGAGTGGGCCGCGGCCTACCGCTTTCCGAAAGCAGTCGCGCGTTGCTGTAAAGGTAAAGAAGGGGCAGCCCACATTACGCGTGCCACGCCAAACGACCGCGTCAACTGGTGGTGTCTCTAACCGCACCTGCCATTGTGCATCGCACGCTCACGGCTCATCTACGGCATGCCCTGAGTTTGCGCGCACATCTCTTCTCAACTCCATCCGTGGCCTTCATCAGGTGGCCGTCGTAAGCCTTTGCGTTTCCCCTGGCGAGGTCGACATCCTGCCGACGGGCCGCGTCTTCCTCCCTCTCTGTTTATGACGGCTGGCATCACCAGTCTACCCACAGGTGCCTCGCCGACCTCTCGCAGACTGCTACGCGAAGCAAGCCGACTAGCCCATGCTCGCATTTCCTCCAAAGCGTATCACGCGGTGGCTAGGCCAATGTTGAACAGAGCTTCGCAGAAATTCCAGGACGCTGCCCCAATGTCGCGGCCGCGTCCAGCCTTGGCTAAGCAGCTCTTCCCGTCAAGCAGTCCTAGTTCCTGCGTTGGCGACATTCGAGATCAGTTCAAAAAGCCAAACTCGATTAGCTCCGCAGCTGCATCTGCATCCGTGTCGGCGAGGACCGCACTAGACAATCGATCAGTCAACCTGGCACAACAAATTGGTTCCGGTCGAGCAGCCACCTCCAATGGATCGATAGCCTCTTTATACTCGGCTCGTTCAGACTCTTTCGGGACAGAACCAAGCCATATCGACCTTACGGGCCCCGAAAATTCTACCGCGAAGAAGCTGCACGAGCCTGTTTATTTTGCTGAAGAAGACTTCAGCGACGACGATGCCCTTGACCTCGACTTCGAGGCCCCCACGGCTCTCCCACGACACCTGGAACCACCGGCGGTACGAAGTTTGCCTCCTCCAGTCACGCCAGCTCAACACGAGACAGAAATCCCGTGGTCTTCTTCTCCAGTATCACATTTCTTCCCGCCAAATCCTCCCCGGATAGCATCGGCGACTTCTAGTACATCTCAAACATCCTTAAAGCGAGAGTCATTCAACGACGTCGAAATGATAGCTCCGCCAACACAAAAGAAAGTGAAGAAAAGGGTTCTGCCTGCTAGTTTTCACAGGGATGAAGCTGCTGGAGAACACGATGGTGGTCCTCTAGAGCCTTGGAAAACGCCGGCGCACAAGACGAAAGCTCCTTGGGACTCTAGTGCTAGCGCCATCAAAGAGCAAAAGAAACTGCTAAAATCTCAAAGGAATTCTCGTAACCCCGCTCCCGAGCAGGATGCTGACCCGGAGACTACCCACGAGGTCGAAGAAAAGGCATCCAAATCTGTTGCCATTTCTCTCACTGGTGAACAAGCACATGTGGTTGACATGGTGGTGAACCAAAACCAAAGCGTTTTCTTTACTGGCCCGGCTGGTGCTGGAAAGTCTGTCCTTATGCGAGCCATCATCAACGAATTGAAAAAGAAGTACGCGCGAGACCCGGAACGAGTTGCTGTCACCGCCTCGACCGGTCTTGCCGCCTGCAACATTGGGGGCATAACCCTTCACAGCTTTGCTGGTAAGACATGTAGCAACGTGACACGTGCAACGACCGAAATACTAAACCTTGTTAGGCATTGGCTTGGGCAAAGAAGAACCTTCTGTTCTTGTCAGAAAGATTCGGAAAAATCCCAAGGCCAAGAATCGGTGGCTTCGGACAAAGTGCCTCATCATAGATGAGATATCCATGGTTGATGGGGATTTGTTTGATAAACTCTCTCAAGTCGGGCGCACAATCCGTAACAACGGCCGTCCCTGGGGAGGAATACAGCTCGTCATCACTGGAGATTTTTTCCAGCTTCCTCCAGTTCCGGATGCAGATAAGAAGCGCGAATCCAAGTTCGCCTTCGATGCCGCAACATGGAGCACATCAATAGACCATACTATTGGGCTAACGCAGGTTTTCCGTCAGCGCGATCCGAAGTTTGCACAAATGCTCAACGAAATGCGAGTTGGCAGAATCAGTGATCAGACTGTGCAGGCGTTCAAGGCACTCTCTCGGCCTCTCAACTTTGAAGATGGCGTGGACCTTGCCGAGTTATATCCGACCCGTGCGCAGGTTGAAGGGTCCAACGAAAAGAGACTCCGTGATCTGCCAGGCGAAATTCACCGGTACGAGGCCATGGACTCTGGTGACCCAGCTGTTCGGGACAAGCTGCTCATGAACATGATGGCTCCAAAGGCGATTGAGTTGAAAATTGGCGCTCAGGTAATGCTCATTAAAAATCTGGACGAGACGCTAGTCAACGGGTCCCTGGGCAAAGTGATTGCGTTTTCTGACGAGAAGACGTTTGAAATGAGCGGCAGCCACTCGTACGATGACATGATGGAAGACTCAATGGCCAAGGCTAAGCGAAAACTACAAGCATTCAGCCGTGACTCAGATTCAGCCGCGAGCAGCCAGCTATATCCGGTAGTACAATTCATCTCAACAGGAGGTGTCCCGCGTGTCCTTCTCTGCCAGCCAGAGGAGTGGACAGTCGAGCTACCAAACGGCGAGATTCAGGCAAAAAGGAACCAGTTACCTCTGATCCTAGCCTGGGCACTGTCCATTCACAAGGCCCAAGGCCAAACACTGGAACGCGTCACGGTCAATCTTGGGAGGGTGTTTGAAAAAGGTCAGGCATATGTAGCGCTGAGTCGAGCCACTAGCCAACATGGCCTTCGCGTCTTGGGCTTTGAGCGATCAAAAGTAATGGCACATCCAAGAGTCATTGACTTTTATAGCAAGCTGTCCTCAGTGGACGACTTTGGAGCCAGAAAACCGCAAACCATCGCCGAATTTATATCATCTAGGAAAGGCATAACAAGTCGACCAAATGGCGGTGCGAACAACAGACAGACAAACGTAGACTTGGACGACGATGAAGAAGCACTGGCATCATATGGATGCTGATGGGTTCGACTTTGTGAGGAAAATCGAGTGTTGCTCGTCGGCGACCCTCGCCATGATTAGACGAAGAAGCATGTGTGGCTGGCGTTCCGGTGAGGTATATAGGTATAATGTCCCTGTACAAATTTTCGAAGTGCATGGGGATGCTGAACGGGAAATCATTCTGTATATCTCCTACACTTGAATACTTAATTGCATTCAATCGAACATGTCATTGCCCGGTGGTGAATCTTTATGCTGACTGACCTTGAGTGTGGTGCCTGAACGTCAGTCCGACGGTCATGTTACGTCAGCAAGTGCCCACTGCCCAGCACCCCGGCTCCCGGGCTTGGTGTGTCCGCTTATCGATAAGAAATGGTCGCTTCCGGCATTGAGTCCATCGGCGAGTGACCATCCAATCTCTAGACGGCAAAGCCTTGGCGCGATATTCTTCAAGCACAAACTCTGGTTGACGAGCGTTGAAAGAAAAAATTCCAAAAAAAAATACAAGCCGCTTTAGCCTCGACGTTTCCAACGAGCTCGTCGACCCGGGCCGATACTTGTATGCGATCCGGTTTCTCTCGCGTCTGGTGCCAAAAGACTCCGGTCACAACAAAAGGCCCCTAAGCAACGACAGACTTGCGCGGTCGAGCCAGCCAACAAATCCCCATCGCGCGGACATCTGCCTAGATACGTGGTCAAGCGATCCGGAGAAACGGCAGCCTCCTCTAGTCGGCATACTGGAGAAGCTAGTCGAACAGAGCTGTGCACGACGTGGCGGGCGAGTAAGCCTCCCTATGACCGGTTCTGTGTCAGGTGTGGGCAAAAGCTCGGTGCTTGTCAACGCTGAGGCTCTCAGAAACTGCTTTACCGACGCCGAGGAGGGACAAGAGAGCTGCACGCCGGGCTCTGTTTTCATGGGCCAACTGTACCTCTGAGTTGTCCAACCGACAGTCCGTCAACATGGCGAGCCAGTTTATTGGACTGCACATGAGGGTTGTGTTGCGCGAGCCACCGGGCTATCGGCTCACTGGCATTGTGAGAGATGTCGAGGCGGGAAGCAGCCTGACTCTAACTGATGGTACGTGTCGCAGGCCTCGTTGCTCCCTCTTTTACCAAGAAAGAAAATGTCTTCTTTTTTTGCCTTGTTTCGTGGATGCTGGTTTGCTTGATGCCTTGTAACTGACTCTGATGTCTTGCAGTCTACATTGCGTCTACGTACGAAAGAGCTGCGCAGATGACGATTGATGCGGCTAACATTGCTGACCTCTCTGAGGTATCTCTCGAACAGGACTCGCCTACCAAACTTGCATCTCCCGCTTTGGAAGCTGGACGTTCTGCCATTTCCCAACCTGCGCCGCCGCCGCCGCCGGAGCAGCAGCAGTCTTTCGTTGATCCAGCGATTTTGAGCGTTAGGAGACGCCCGACTTCGAACGCGCCGTCGGCTCCTGCTCCTGGTCAGCCCCATCACTCCGACAACGGAGAAGTGCCAGTGGCGAAGCCGGGATTTCTCCCTTCAGTGACCTCCAGCAATGCACCAGGCAGGAGACCTGAGCAGGAGATATTGGACTCAATCCAGGGCTTGAAAGTCGGCGGTGGCAGTGGCAACAATCCAGGTCTTCAGAGCCTCAACGCCGTGGCAGCGTCTCAAACGGCGCCACAGAAGAAAAAGGGCGGCTCAAAAAATTCCAAGCAGGCCAAGGCGAATAGTGCTACTTACCAAGACAAGCAAGACGCTGATGGATCTAATGTGGGCGGGCATGGCAAGGGCTGGAGACAGACACCAATTCTTCAGAGCACGTCGTCCTTCCAGCCATTCAACTTTTTGAAAAAGAACGAGAAAGGACGCAAGGGGCTTGCCGACAATGGGTGGGCTTCTGAAGAAGTGACCGAGGAAATGGGCGACTTCGATTTCGAAAATAACCTCGCCAAGTTTGACAAGCGCACCATATTTGACCAAATGCGTAAGGAGGACGAAATTGACGAGGCTGACCGTCTTGTCTCGCACAATCGACGACCGAAACCCGGCACGGCAGGCGGCAAAAACCTACACTATACCGAAATGGTCCTCGACATGCCTTCTTCCAAGGGCGGACAGAACACCGACTTCTGGAACAGCGAGGCAGAACTGGGAGCGGACGGGTCAGACAGGCCGAGCGGACGAGAGGCCAAGAACGGCGGCGCTTCCTCTGCCGGAGCTGCGGCCGCGGCGGCTTCTGCCAAGCCACGGGCAGAGAGTAAATCAGGGCTCTCGAGGCGTTCGCAGTCCCGCAAGGCAAGTGGTGTCGTTACGAGCCAGCCGCTCAGCAGGGTGAACTCGTCTGTACGTCTATCCCACTCCTCCCCCCGAGGCCCGACGCCGAAATCAGGTAAGCGTGAAGCTGATGGCCGTTCGCAGCAGCGGGTCGAGCAGCCCGGTCTCTATCTCATCCCCTCCCAGCGCCGCCTGGAGGCCATTTCCACGCTGCAGATGCTCAACCTCGAAAACATTGCCGCCAACGAAATCGGCTTCTCAGAAGCCCTCATGGCGGAAAACGCCGGCCGCGGCATCGCAGAGGTAGCAGTCACGGCACTATCTGATCCGGCCTTGAAAGTGCGATTCGGGCTTTCCAGGGCCGCCTCAGCAACCGACACGTCCTCACCGCCCGGAACCTCGACCATCGTCGCCCTTGCGGGCAACAACAAGTCGGGCATCCGGGCGCTCGCGGCGGCTCGTCACCTGCGCAACAAGAACTTTGACGTCCTGGTCTGTCTCGTGGGCTTTGAGCGCGAAAAGGACCTTTTGGAAGACCTACGGCGCCAGATACAGCTGTACCGTGCGTTTGGGGGCAAGGTCCATCACAAGAACGACTTTTTCGAGCACCTCCGCAAATCATCTGCCTCGGGGACCCCCGTCTCCGTCTCCCTCATCATAGACGCTCTGCTCGGGCTGACCATGTCCTTTGAGGAACTCCGCATCGGCGACCAAGCGACCGTCTACGAGCTGATGGAGTGGGCGAACCGCAACGAGGCCTTTGTCTTGTCCGTAGACGTGCCGACGGGCATCGACCCTACCTCTGGCAAGATCGCCATCATCGACGGCGCACAGTTGTACGTGAAACCGCGGTACGTCGTCGCTATAGGAGCGCCCAAGAAGGGCCTCTTGGAAGCCGTTGCGCCGCCCTCGGATGGGGAGCCGGGCCCCCTGAACAGCGGCGGCGCCCACGAAGACGAGTGGCGACTGTTTATTGCGGACATGGGACTAGGCAGTGCGGTGTGGAGGAAGGCTGGCACCAAGGTACGCAAGGGCATCGACTTTGATGGCAAGTGGGTGCTCGAGATGCGGTATCGCGGCACGGGAGCCGAGTATCGCGGGGATTAAGGTCTGTTGATTAAGGTCTGTTGTACTCGAGATGATTCATGGCTTTAGCGGGACACGGCTGGGATACGCTTTTTTCTTTTCGCGGTCTCGAGAAGAGACCTGGGCGACGTCTCTCTCTCTCTTTTTTTTGGGGGGAGCAGCTTCAAAATTGCATTGCTTGCGGCGTTGTATTTAATTTAGCTTGTGCGGCGACGGGTGTAATACAATCTAGATGCTATCAATTACCCTCGACAAAGAGCTGCTAAAATGGCAACAAAATATTCGTCACATGCCGGCGGAGCCATTGATGTGCACATGCCATGATGCTTACGTATTTGGCGAGAGATGAAATCCTGCCGAGACTGGATCGCCACCATGAATTAAGTTTCGACACTAGCACGTACGGCTTGTTTCTTGGTGTGTGTTTGGACAAGATAGGCCGATGTTATCGCGTAACCGCCATGTCTCGTCTTCAACGGCGGCGGCGCCCGTTCCGCAGACCTTTGCATTGCTAGCGTGTCATACATGACTAGTACGGCCCCTGTGAGCGGCTTGGGTCTGGAATAATTCTGCTGGCGTGTCAATGCAGCAAGCAGTCCACGGTCCATCTTGGCGAGCGGAAGACGCTTGATGGCCCCAGGCATGCGTGCTATTACAGGTTAAGCTTTGCCAAGGGACAATGCTGTGTGCGATCCAGGTCCACGGCAGTAAAGGACAAATTTGACAGATCCAGCCCGCCATAATTATTGCGCAAAGTCTAATCTTCTGAGTCAGGGTTTACCCGGTGCTCGAAAAGGGCAGGCACTGACAGGCCATTGGACGACCCGAGTTTGCAAAAGATGATGCGGACTTCCGAAGCCCTCTTCCATTTCTCGGCGAAATGCGTAAGCCTCTATCGTTCGATGGACTCGACATGACGATAGATGATATTACGTGGCAGCATGGCAGGTGACACTGGGGTACCACACAGGTTCTTATCTCCCGTGATGGCGCAGAGAGGACCGGGTGGTGAGACCAGAGTAAAGTGTGGCGTCGCAAAAGCAACGTTAAGTTTGTCTCGGGCCGCTTTGGCCTCGATTAGCGCCGTAATTCGACATCGCTTTTTGCCGTTTGGACGCTAGTTGCAGCCATTTTCGCGGTTCAACGCGTCTAGGTTGAAAATTGGCCCGCCTTGGTGTCCGGCCCGCCTTGCTGTCGAGCACCACCTTTGGTGGTGAGGGCTTTTGCTAGCCGAACCACATAAAGTGGGGCGGGCACGATTAGTACTTGGTAGAGCATTGTAAACTTGACCGCACAGGGTTGGACAAAGATCCACAGTTGAGCTGTAGGTCGAGTGGTCGAGTCTGGGGTGTTTTGAAGTCCAAGACATGCACGGCTTAAGTTGCACCCGGAAACAAGGTTTTGCAGGGTCGGCCCAGTTTCTTGGGACAGAATGACAGCACTGAGCGTGAGTCTCCAAATGCAAGAAACCAGGGCTAGCCACTACACAGTGCTCCGTACCCCGGAGGGTATTGAAGGAAGAGATGGTTCTTCGAGGTGTGATGCGTGGAGTCGACGCTAGACTTGGCTTCCGCTCGGTTCTTGGGAAGAGGAGGAGGGGGGACCAGATGACTGCTCAGTGGCAAGCTTCGTTGTGGGAAAGTAGAGATGAACCTTGAGCCATGTATGGTCTATGACACAAGGACACATGACTTCCAGGGCGGGAACCGAGCATGAACTCGACAATGCATGGATGCTGATGAATCGCATCCGCTTGCTCCTTCCCGAGAAAATCCCTCCGCCGCCACTTCCTATATTTTCTCAAAACCCTCACTCCGGCTCTTGTCTGTTGTTCTGGACCTTGTTTCTCGCCAAACATGTCGTCTGTGAAGCACCCGGCATCGAGGTTCGCGCTCTCAGTTTCAATTCCTCGTGTGCGCGACACGTGGAGTCTGGTACCACATAACATACGGAGAATTCTTAGCAGCAGCTTGCCGCTAGGCCCCGGCACTGGCGGGCAGAAGACAGTGCGAGCGGGGTCGCCGCCCGACTCCTGTATGGACCGAAACCTGCAGATCGCACACTCTTCTCCAATGCAGGCGCCGTGAATGCTGCAGCCGCTTCCTAGCTATACGGGATACGGAGTATAGCTTCCTGAAACCGAAGCCCTGACCAAAATCCGCACCATGTGCGTCAGACAAGCAATTGCCTGCCGGCTCCCTGGTCGCTTGGAGGGACTTCCCGACTGAAGCTTCCATACAGCATCCCTCAACCTTGACGGAGAAAACACGAACAGGAAACCGAATCCGGCGCCCATACATACGTGATATTCCGAGTCTGATCGTGAGCGCGGGGGTGACCAAGTTACGTTGAACACTCAAGGCACATCCTAGTACCATGTGCGTATGTTATCAATCATGCACCAGATGAAACTGAATATATCAGAATCTAATCACAAGTCAAGCAGACAGATGAAATTTCCCGGCAGTCTCCTTGCTGGAAATGTCCTTTGATAGCCGCCTTCAGACACGGTAGTCTTACGCCTCGCTTACGCTGGCACTGACCCTTCAAGCCGCCCAGTGAGTGGACAAAGAACCCGACTCCCAAGTCGGAGGAGGCCCGTGATCCCTCCAGACCAAAACCAAAACACCGCCTCCGCCTGCCGCCATGGACCTGCAGGTATTGGTTCGGGAGGCGGCCATGTCTTCAGTCACCAGAATATGGCCCGACTCTTATGGAGCATTGAAGCTACTCAGATGCCATTACAGGCGTGTTGATTTTGCTAATCACGTGTAGATATAAGATTGGACGGCAAGAGCTGGAGCATTCTTGTCACAAGAGCACGGCTGTCTGTTTGAGCTAGGCAGGTTTTGTACCTGTCTCAATCCCTAGTGTATAACTAGTACTACGTCTGACTATGATTCAGTTTCGTTTGGTGAAAACAGTTTTGATCACGGGCTGGTCGGATGGCAAGCACGGGACTCTGTTATACCCCATGGTCTTGCCCGATTACAACCATCGACTAAGAACCCCGCAGAACTAGAAGTTTGGAGCAATGTGTAATGCATGTCACGAGGCTGAGTGAACGCCAGATCGCCTTGTCAAGCTGTCATCTCCCCGGCATTGGATTTATGTGAAGGCTGGATGACGCACCACCTGAGGCGACACCATGGACAAGGTGATGCTAGGTTCGTTCAAAAGGCCAGCATTGTTGAATCACAATTGACAATGGCCGAGGATTGTGGAGCACTTTGGCCACTGCCGAAAGTGGCAACACGATGGCAGAGCCGTCGGTTTGTGAACCCGTGAGTGAAAAGAATCCTCATCGTCACGAGACATGCTGTGTTTGAGGATGTACCTGTACCGAGCCGAAGGCAGTGACGTATTCATATTCACGTTCATCTTCACACCAAGTGATGCAATGGCCCGGCATATCTGGTCATTGTGCTCAGTGGACGCCGATGCAATGTCATTCCTCCGGGTTGCACATGCCCGTGGGCACCAGAGTCCACAGCGGTAGAAGGTCAATGACACATCACTCGCCATCAACGGTTTTCTGCCCCAACCTTGCTCACCTTGTCCATGACTCTGGCTCCTATGGCTCTTACTCGGGCATGGCTGGGCAATAGTACATGCGCACATAAGATGATGCTTCTTGGTTGCCACCAAAATTTGCCCGTGGACCCCTCGACAAGTTGGGCTTGGGACTGGGGACCAGAGCGCCCTTGGGAGCGCCGGTGCCACTCGGGGGCAAAGTCAGCTGCTCCACTAAGTAGAGGCGGCTACTAAGTTACTACGTATTAGGCCCCAGGCCCCAGGCCCCAGGCCCCAGGCCCCAGGCGCCTCGGCCTGCCCTACAGGCTACAGGCCAAGGCCACCACCGCAGACCACAGACAGGGTAACTGTGGCCCCACAAACACTGACGCGGCATCAACAGGCCCGGCAGCCTGACCTGACCTGCTCGACGTTGACGAGCAAAAAGAAGCGACGTGTAATTGGCCTCTGGGCAGTCGGACATCTGGAGTCTGGAGCAGGGGTACGGAGTATGAATATGACCAGAGCTGATGTGGAATTCCCCGGTGTCATGATGATTGATGACGGCCAATCTGGCCTGCCTGGTGCTTGCTGTTGCTTGCTCCCACCGCCGCCGTTGCGAAGCAGCCGGGCCGCCCGTTTGGTGCCGTTGCAACCGCTATAGCCTCAGGCCGTCCAAGAGCCGAAGGCTTGATTGATTGACCGTCGTTGGCGATGTCGTAATACTACTTAAGTAGTCAATCACGGCACTGGTTGGGCGCGCACGGGAGCACCCAAGCCTCGTGGCACCTACCCGTTCTTGTGAACGATGGATCGATGCGCAGAGATTCGAGATCGGAAGTGCGCTCGTGTCGGGTTCAGCAGAAGTTCTACCAGCCGACGAGGATGCAGCTCTGGGTTTGGACGGTGATGGGCGTGGCGAGCGGACAAAACCCATGCATGTAATATCATGGTTTACGTGTCATGACACGGACAAAGCATCCGTCATCAATCGTGACGGGAGCATCAAACGTCTCAATACGATGCAGTGTCATGGCATGGCATGGCATGGCATAGCATGGCATGGCATGCCATGTTGTGGTCTGTGGCTGCGCGTCGTGTGTCCCCATTCAATTTTGAAGCTTGGAACATAGCTGTTTGTTCATATTGTACGGAAGCATGTTGACATGCTATGTTCCACGTCCGTACTCCGTACAAATGAACCCAATGCTCACTCAGATTAAGCATGCACTGGTTCCAACTTCTCGTGGTGCACAAAGACAGACAGACAGACAGACGGTGGCCCCCAGGATCCAAAGACGTAGCCCCATGTCCATACTTTATGCGTCGTGTGTGAACCAGCCGAGTCGAGTCCTTGGAGTTTGACTGAAACTCAACCCCCCGGGCCTCCCTTCCCTTGGCCCCCTTCTTCTCACGCCCGCACGCCCCAATGTTGAAGCAAGAACAGAGTCCAGAAGCCAGAAGGCATGCATGCTTGCTTACCCACTGCGAAGGCCCCCCCGAGTGTCGACTGACGGAGCTACCGCCAGGGCACATTCATTCCTTGGCTCGCCGGCCGTCTTGTTTATTTGCTTGCTTGATTTGGGAAGCACACAAGCCCCGTGCAATACTGTAGCAGTGGTATGTTGGTATGTACGGAGTGCATCGGAGCGGATGGTCATGGCCATCTCCCATGAGACCGCTCCCAACCCGAGCATTTGAATGCTGATAATTCGACCCCATGCCACGCGCCTCGCCTGCACTTGCACCCCTCATCATCCACACCCACCGTCCCATGCCAGTACGTAGTGACCTGTGTTCTCCGTACTAGACACTAGGCCCATATCCGTGTCGGGGCCAAGCAGGGGCCTGGTGGCAACGACATGGGCCTGGTGGTGCTGGTGGAGGAGGAGGCGGACGAGGAAGAGACGGTGGTGAGTGGTCTAGTCGACGGTGGGACGCTATGCTGGGATGTCGGCAGGAAAGAGTTGACACGATTGATGCATTGATTCATTGAATCATTGATGCGAAGTGTCTGCGTATTCTCGTCTGTAAAGTCTGTGCGATGTACGGGTCACGTCCGTACGTGGAATCAGGAGGCTAGAGACGCAAGAATTGTTGTGTAGTCAAAGGTCTGGCTCGGTCCGGAGAGCAGGGACGGACAAGAGGGACGAGTTGACGCTGCACCACATGCTGTAGTGGCCTGTAGGCTGCAGCGGAGCAGGGCGTGCGCATACAGCGTGCGTCGTCTGGGGTGTTGCTGCGCACCCGGTGCGTGTGCTAGCTGCCTACTTCTTCCTCTAAGAAGTGGCAGCCTCTAACTAACAGCTGCCTTGGGTACTTGCTCAGGTAAGAAGTAGGTACAGCACGTACGTACCGGGTAGGTACCTAGGGCGGGATGGATGTAGGACGTTGTACGGAATATGTGCAACTTGTACATGCCGGCTGTGTGGCCAAGCCATGGCCCTGGCCCGGCGGACGAGCTGTGTGGCAGCACTGCACCGCGCACTTCGAACAAACGACCCCTCTACCTGCCCAAGTACTTACTTCTCAGTACTCAAGTAAGTACTTAGGTAGGTACAGCACGGAGCACCTGGTAGGCTTGAATGGTCCAGACATGGATGGGCAGAGTACATGTGGGCAGGTGGCCACGGCGCACGTACTCGAGTGCCTGGGACCAAGTACTTTTTGGTACTGTCACTTGGACCGTTTGGCGTTTTGCAGGCAAGCCCCCCCGGAACAGGGCCTGACACGCCCGCGGCACTGGCGCCGCCCGGTGCAGAGACACAAGGAGACCTTGAACCTTCGTAGAACATGGTCACCGGCTTTGAACATCTGAAGTACTACTTAGACACCACTTCGGGCCTCTCAACTCTCGGCTTTTAGCCTCTGCATCTGCAACAGGCTGCACCGTCGACTTCAACCATCGACTTCTACCCTCAACTCTCAACCCTCATTCTTTTTTTTTTCTTTCCTTCTTTCTCTCTTTCCTCACCACCTCCATTCTCCCTCCTCTCCGTCCTCTCGTTCGTACTGCCCGCCGACCCTTCTCCCTGCCGATCGTTTCCTGCCTCCTCTTCCCGGCACCCTCTCAGGCTTCTCGTCATTGCGGGTGTAGGTCAAGAGACTCTCCGCACTCCAGTGCGCATCACCAGCTGCCGCCAATTGACTCGGGCAGGGCGATGGTTTGCTCCAGGTGATTTGCCAACACTCCAATTCTCTCTGTATGTGACCGCACCAACCCCGCCAGTTGTTTCATTTCGACCAAACCACTTGTTGTGGCATATGCCCCGACTGAGTCCTCCTCGAGAACGTGTATGAGGAACAGTATCGACGGCCGCAGTGCAACAAGAGACACCTTACCGCCTCTTGCTGCGCCGGTACTCGTGCCAGAGCCAACAACCGGCGTGGGTATCGTGGCAGTGTCCAAATCCCTACACCTCCCTCCCCGCTCTCGAGGACCGATTCATTCTTGTCAACAGCCAGCATCTGTCTTGTCCGCCTCCTCTCCTCTCCTTCTAGCAACCAGACGCCTTCCAATCATGAATTGCCACTTCCACTCCGCGATCATTTGCTAACGATTTTGTTCATTTTCTGCCCCAGTCCGCCATGGGAGCCGCCGATGAGAATCAACCTCCGGATCCGAGAGACCTAGGTCCTACCTTGGACAATGGCAGTCTGGCCGTCATCGTCCTTCGCCAGACGCAATTCTTATATTCGTTGGTACTTCTTTTTGGTTTTGTAACAGGCGCCGCTTGGTATAGCGTGTACAATTCCAAGAAGGACGAAGACCTCGTCCAGCCTACTGTGAAGGGACCTGGTGGGAAGCCGCTGCCCATCACGAAGCGTAAAAAGCGAGACGATGGCGAGCGCAAGGTGGGCCCCCGTTTTGGGCCAGTGGCCAAGAACGTATTCCGCTACTTGGCGGCGATTCTGTTCTTGAGCTATGTCGGCACCGGCATGTCCATGTTCGTCCATGCCTTCTGGCACGAGAATCCGTACAAATGGTCCAAAGAAGGCTTGCCCTGGGCAGGTGAATGGACTGCGGTACGTTCACAATCTCGATTCTTGTAGTGTAGGAGTGTAGCCGGCTGCACGATATTTCCGACTCCCTGGCCGACTCATCTCTGGGGTTCTATCGTATAGGAATCCGTTGGCTAACTGTTGTGCGTTTCGTAAGGTCCATGTCACTGGTTCTACATTTTTCTACCTATATATGCTTTTCTCTCTCTTCGACTGGAGGAAGGGCCCCAATATTGTTCACCTTGCCATCTGGGTCGTGGGACTATGTGGTGAGCTTGTGCTGTTCGTCACTACTTTCATTGCGGCGGCGGATTGCCAGTTCATTCGCCCGGGCCGAACAGCAGATTCTGAAGCAGGAGAGAGCTGCATAAGTTCCTGGACCAAGATTGACTTGGCTCTGTATTTCGTCCGCGTTTTACACCTTGTGGCGTCCATAAGCTTCTTCTGCCTTGCCTGGATTATGAAGGGCCGCCGTGAAGTCTGTGAGCTCGAAGCAGTCTCTTGTTCAGAGTCTACGCCACTTCTTAATGGGCGGGCTAATGGCTCGCATGAGACGACAAACGCTAATGGCCAGGCGTACACTCCCCAAGAACGACGATCTCGCAGACGGACAATGTCAAACACGGCACGAACCGGAAACTATGGTACGTCTCGCAAGGAAGAACAAGCCGCGTTCTATCGCCCAGAGAAGCTTCCTCGTCGAACGTGGTTCGAGTATGTTCGTGGATACTCCTTGTTCTTTCCGTATCTGTGGCCAAAGGATTCGACTCGGTTGCAGCTTCACGTGCTATTTTGCTTTGTTCTGGTGATGCTCCAGAGATGTGTCAATGCGACGGTCCCCTGGCAGATCGGACGCGTCGTCGATAGTCTCGCCGACGCGCTCCGAAGTGTGCAGCGGGGCGAGCGTCTCACAACCGAGAACTTCCCTCTCCAAGACTTCTTCATATTGGGATGCCTGTGGACGCTGCAAGGACAAACAGGCTTATTGGGATCGCTAAGATCACTCTTCTGGATTCCGGTGTCGCAGTATTCCTACCGAGGGCTCACGACTGCGGCCTTCAACCATGTGCACTGTCTTAGTCTCGACTTTCACCTGTCCAAACGCACCGGCGAGGTTCTATCCGCACTTAACAAAGGCTCGGCGATTAATCAGTTTCTTGAACAAGTGACATTCCAAGTCCTTCCCATGCTTTTCGATCTATTTCTTTCCATCATCATCTTTTACTACGTCTTTGGGCCATTCTACGCTGAGATCAATCTCGTCAACACTTGCTGGTATCTATACATGACCGTCAAGATGGCGGCAACACGTGCTGATCATAGACGTGAGATGACGAATGCAGATCGGGAAGAGGAGGCTGTCAAAAATGACTCCATCTCGAGTTACGAAACCGTCAAGTACTTCAACGCGGAGGACTTCGAATCCAGACGATACCGGGACAAGGTCACCATATTTCAGACAGCGGAAATCAAAGTCCAGATGGGCATGGTCATGATGAATATTTGCCAAACCTTGGTCTACAACTTGGGTAGGATCGTCGCGTCCTTGGTCTGTGGCTGGCAAGTCGTCGTTGGCGTTCGGACAACGGGAGAGTGGTTCACTGTGGTGGCTTTTCTAACCCAGCTTCAAGGCCCCCTGAACTTTTTTGGCAACTTCTACAGAACTGTGCAGCAGGCCATGATCTCAGGTGAACGACTTTTGGAACTTTTCAAGATTCAACCCACGGTTGTCGACGCACCACATGCGGTGCCGCTTGACAAGTTTCGCGGTCACATTCGGTGGAAAAACGTCAGCTTCGCGTATGATAGACGAAAACCAGCCTTGCGCAACATTAGCTTTGAGTGTGCGCCGGGAACTACAACAGCCTTTGTTGGCGAATCAGGTGGTGGCAAGTCGACGCTGTTTCGTCACATGTTTCGATACTATGACAGTGACGAGGGCAGCATAGAGTTCGACGGCAAAGATATCAAAGATCTGACAATTGAATCAGTGCGTCGACAGATTGGAGTTGTGCCTCAAGATACAACTCTATTCAACGAGTCCCTCATGTACAATCTTCAGTACGCGAACCCGTCGGCCACCGAGGAAGAAGTCTATGCAGCTTGCCGTGCTGCGAGTATCCATGATCGAATCATGAGTTTCCCCGACAAATACAATACTCAGGTCGGAGAAAGGGGGCTAAGGCTTAGCGGCGGCGAAAAGCAACGAGTAGCCATTGCCCGAACGATCCTCAAGAACCCCAAGATAATCATGTTGGACGAAGCTACCTCAGCACTGGACACTCATACCGAGCAAGAGATTCAAGACAATGTGTGGAATATTGGGGAAGGGCGAACACTTCTTATTATTGCGTAGGTTGAACCATGTCGAAGCAAAAGCTGGGTGTTGAGTACAATCCGCTAACATTTTGGACAGACACCGTCTATCCACCATTACCCACGCTGACCAGATCATCGTTCTTCACGCTGGTGAGATTGTTGAGAAAGGAACTCACGACGAGCTACTAGACGCCAACGGTCGATATGCCTCGATGTGGGAGAAGCAGATTCGGGCCGAGCGGGCCTTGGATGCTGCCCGACAGGCGCACCTGAAAGCGGCGCGGGCAATACGACGGGCAAATATGGGCTCCAAGCCGCCAGAGGAGGTTACCACGGAAGATTATCACAGCGTTGGCTCTTCCGGTACGCTCTCTGGCAATGCCACGAGTCGTGGTAACAGGGGAGAGGAAACTACCTCGGCGTCATCTTCTTCATCATCCGATGCCGAGTCGACCCATACTCGTGACCACGACGGCCACCAAGATGAAGGACGAATGAAGATCTAAGCTCGAGCAGACTGCATGTTGCTGCAGACTAAAGACTGGAGCTTTTTTTCTTTTTTTTTTTGTTGAACGCGAGACAGCACGGTACGAATTTCACGAGCATTGGCTTTAGGATTTAATATCCCTCACCCCCCTTCTTTCTCTCCCGGCAATGCAACGCAAGCCTTTTGGCCGCGGCCCGGTCTCGAGGCCTGTTGTCACAATGCTCGAAACGAGAAATGCATATGTGCGACGCAAACGTTTTAATATTCTTTCCCATGATTAATTCACTTATATCACGATCGACAGCTCATCAAGACTGCATCAGACCGGCGTTTGGAGCAATGTCTTCTCATTGTCATGGATGTTTTTCGTTGCTTTGGACTTTGCGCTTGCACACATCAGTTTCTAGCCAGCTCGATGATGCCTTCGATATGCATCTGGCCACGGCCACAGGCAGAGGCACGGTGAAGATTTTGTTTTTGTTTTCTTTAATGGCATATGCGACTCATCGTACGTCAACAGAACGAGAAAGGAAACGGCACATACGGCACCCCTGGAACACTCTGGTCTGCTGGGAAACAACAGTTTGGTGGGGAAACATGGCAAAGGCCCTTTTCTTCAGCAAGTGTTCCCCTCGGTCATTGGACCCCACGAGGATGTGTATTGCCGTTGTTGACGATTTCAAAATCGAAAGAGCCATGGTTTTTTTTTTTTTTTTTTTGGTTTTTTTTCCGGCATGCGAAGAGGCACGCGGCGCAGCGCGTTTATCCGCAAGGGACTGATAATCATGCAGCCGGGGCGGATTGAAATGAGAATGTTGAGGTAGATGGGGGAATCCTCCAAGACGGGCCTGTTGTTCTCTCGGAAGTCCCCACGCCTCGGCTGCTTTTCTTTACTCTTTCTTGCTTCTCTCTCTCTCCGGGCACCGGTGGGAAAAATACAGTAATACGCACACGCACAGGCATGGTTCACGACAAGGAAAGGAAACGGAGGAAAGGGAGGGGGGAAAAAGGGAGAGAAAGGAGGGGGGGGGGAGGGGACTAGCGGTACAAGGAACAAAGGGGCGGGACATTTTCACAAGCGGAGTTTAGCGGATCTTGATGTTTTTTTTTTTAATCACCCTTTCTTTTTAGCTCGTACAGAGTAGAGGCTAGGACAGGAATGAACAGACGTCAGAAATGTGCCGACGAGGACGTGCATCGCAGCAGACATGTCGAGATACGTGCGCCTTGAAGTAGCAGCACGGCAAACACACGAGGGCAAGCAGTCAGTCTCATAGCACGTCGATACACCCTGCCTTGACGGCGATTACAAACGTAATGTATAGGTAAGAATGAAAAGAAGCGGCCATTCTATCATACACGCCCCTATTACGCCGCCTCGAGAAACGGCGCAAAGATTATTTAGAAGAGAAGGAGGTTTTTTTTTTAAAAAAAAGGGAAAAAAAAAAGAAAAAGGGGGACACGCTCCTGTCCGTACAATGCGCCAGCCAACCAAGCACTCACTGCATGTCATGTCATGCATCCGCCGTCATTCACCTTGGAAGCAACGGTGACTTTTTCTCCCCAACGCCGTCTTATGCTTTTCGCCACAGACACACACAGAATAAACACCACGACACGAACAACAGGGTTGGTGATGAAACAATCAAGCACACTGGTAGAATGGGACCTTTCTCCCCTTTTTAGCCTGCGCCTGAAGAGGTTGGAAAAGAAACATGCAAAAGAGCGGTGCAAGGAGAAGAAGAGACGCGCTCTTCTCTCCCCTGGCACACGCACGCACGCACGCACGTGGACGCATGCGAAGAAGAGAAGAAGAAGAAGGAAAGGAAAACGAAAACGAAAAAGAGGACCAAGCCATGGTCAAGGACATCATCAGTGTAAGCTGCCATTGACGGGCTTTCCATTGAGTTCCAGGGTGGGAAGGGGCTCCTCGTCGAGGTGGGCGGGTTCGTCGTCGTCGTCGTCGTCGTCGTCGGATCGTTCGTCGTCGGCGGTGCTGTCTCGGATGAAGCGGTAGGCAATGCGGATGATGTAGAAGAGCCAGAAGAGGTTGAGGGCCTGAAGGGAGGCGAGCAGGGCGACAGAGATGTACTGGGAGATCCAGCACTTGTACTGCTCCGTGGCCCAGTCGAGCTCAAAGGGGCCGACGGTGCGGAACTCGGTCATGAGGGACCAGAGGATGCGGAGGTTGACGACGTGGCGGAGATAGATCCAGACGCAGACAAAGAGGAAGAAGTAGGGCGCGACGAGGGGGTGGTCGAGGTAGTTGAGGACCTTGGAGGTGGCGAGGAAGAAGTCGCTGATGTCGTGGGTGGTGTAGACGGCGATGCCGACGTAGGTGAAGTGGAAACGGTAGCTGAGGGCGATGAGGGCGAGGCTGACGACGTGGTGGCCGACGAGCTCCTTGAAGTCCTTGCGCGGCTTCTCCATGCCGAGGACGAGGACGATGGCCTGCTGGGCCCAGTAGGCGGCCTGGAAGAGGTAGTAGAACTTGACGGCGGCCTCGTGGGAGCGGTGGGGGTAGTCGGCGTACATGGCGTGCGTGTTGAAGTACCGGACGGGGGTGCGAGACATGACGAGCATGCCGGCCGGGCCGAGGAAGAAGAAGTAGAGGGCCGTGTAGGCCTGCTCCATGAAGCGAGCCTGCTTGTTGCGCTTGAGGCCGGCGGCGCGGGCCCAGGGCCGCAGCAGCTCCTGCATGACGAACTCGCGGGTGAAGGAGAGCACGACGGTGTAGAAGGCCACCAGGGCAACGTCCCAGGGGCCCTTGCCGTAGTGCGTCGGTCTGGACGAGTCGCCGTCGCCGTCGCCGTCGCCGCCGCGGGCGTGCGGCAGCGGGTACGAAAGAAAGATGAGGTGGTGGAGGGGGTTGGCGTTGCTCGGGTTGACGGCGTAGCCCGAGAGGACGAGGCAGAGGACGGCCAGGGGCAGCACCCAGGTGTGCTTTGCGCAGGTCTGGCGGACGCGCGAGAGGAGGCCGCGGGCACGACGGCGTTTGGAGAGGCCGCGCTTGGTGGCAGCGGTGGTGGTGCCGTTGAGAGGCCAAGACGAAGACGGAGACGAAGACGACGATGCCGATGCCGGTGCCGCGCCGTGAGTCGACTCGCGCTCGCTGCGCCGGCCGTGATCGAGGCCGGCCGTGCTCGACGCAAACGCCGGCGCCCCCGTGTCGCCCACGCAAATCTCGCTGCCGAGACCGCTGGATTTTCGCCGTCGTCTCGTGCCCTCGGCTTCTAGGCTGTGCAGTTGCTCTGCAGGGCTGCTGAGCAGCGGAAAGGGCTCCGACATGATTGCTGTGCGATCGTGTGCTGCCCCCCTCCCTTGTTATTTTTTGTTCGGGTTTGGTCTCGTCGACAAGTATCCGGGGGAGGGGGGGACGCAGATGGGAGGAAAAGAAACGGAAAGAAGAGAGCATCGAGATGTTACGTCGGTGGAGAGGAGGGGAAATTAGATTGCCGCTGCCGCCAAGGCTGAATGTGAATGGATGGAGCTTGGTACGGAGTACGGAGTATAGCAATGGCAATAGCACTGCTCCGTGCTGACGAGCTCGCTCCTTCCTCTTCCTCCTTCTCTCCTTTTTTATTTTATTTTTTATTTTTTCTTTTTCGAGGGAAAAAAAAAAAAACCCCCTTCCATCCCCCCGCCTTCGTTCCAAGTAAGACCACGTTGCCCGCCTTGCGCCCCCCTCAGGTACCTTGCGAATTGTAATCGTCCTGGCTGCCGCTGACTTGCTTTCCCGTCCCGTCACTCCTTGGTCGACGACGACGACGACGACGACGACGACGACGTCATCACTCGTGCAACGGATTCATTGCTCTCCGCCCCGGCACGGCACTTCCATTTCGCACCGGGCAGTCTCCGTCCCGTCCCCCTTGTCGCGCCGCCCATTCCGTCGTTCTCAAGAATCACAACCCGGGTACAGGTCATGACTGCTTCCCAGTCCCTGCCGACCAACTTAACTACACGCCAGAGAGCAACGACGACAAACATAGGACAGGGACACGCCAAAAATTGCGTCCATCCAATCTCCACATCCCGTAAATTGCAGAACACCAGACCCACAACCGCCTGACCAATCAGGAGACGCACCATCGTCCAAATCGTGCACTGCATGTGCATGTCGACCAGGAGTCTGTCTGTGTCTTTACTTTCCTTCACAATCCGCTCTGGCTCTGGTCCCCGTGCCCAGTACAACCCACACACATGATACCATGAATACGGACGGGGTGCTGAGCATTGAATGCATCGGTCCTCATTGTCTGCCCCTCTCCCAATGCCAATCGTGCAATGCCCCGAAACGCCATATAACTTAGTCACCTACCCAAGGTAGTAGTATACTAGTCTGCAGGTCCGACATTCAGACCCGTCGTGTAGTCGTGTGCCAAGATATTATCCTCTCCCATTGAAGCTGGCTGTAAGAAGCCCAAACGGCGTTGACATCTCGCCCCCTTCTCCTTCATCTCTTCCTGGAATATAAACTCAGCACAAAGGGTCCCCAAACACCGCGCTAGAGGCTTAAAAAACCACAATCAAATCAGTCAGACGTCCATCGACCGCCAAACCTATTCTCTTCGACCTGATTCGTTGGCGCCTCCACCTCTCGAGGGCCCAGAATCCTCCGCCGAATCATCTTCTCCGACGTTTTCGTCGCTGCTCGACTCCAGAGACTCATCCGTGTACGAATATTCGTCGTCGTTCTCGTACGTCACCAGACGCCGTCTGATTCCAGGCCACAGAGGAGGGCTCACCGAGTCTGTAGATGACGCACCACGCAAATTGCCATTCTGCCCCTCGCCCATGTGCCTTGCCTGACCTTGGTCCCGTCGTCCTTCATCGTCCGAATCTGACGACGTGGACCGCCGACTTAGGCCTTCTTCCTCTAGGACTTGCTCGAGCGCAGCACCTTGCCGCGGAGGTGCCGGGATAAAAGTCACCGGCAGGCTGTCAGTGTCAGTCGTCGGTCGCAACTTTTCGCGTATCTTGTCGGCTTGGTTTGCTGCAAACATCTCCAATCTTGACTTGATGTCCCATCGGCTTCCCATTGTGTCATGTCGGCTCACTTCTTGCCTAGGCGCCTGCCGCTGCCGCGTTGGTGATCGGCGGCTGGGCGCCTGCGACAGTGCTCGCCAGCGGTCCGTCCGACTCGGCAACGGTGAATTTGCCTCTAAATCCACTGTGCTGTTTGTGGATGACCGTCCTCCATGGGCCTTCTGCCGTCTGGGCGAGGAGCTCTCCACACGTATCTGGCTAGACTTTTGGGGGCTGTCCTGTCTGCTTAATTCTGGAGTGGAAAGTTGAGACTGTTGTTGCGGAGACGATTGAGGTGGTGATTGTGAATTTGCATTCGTACTCGTATGTGGTTGCTGCTCAGAATGGGAAACATGTAATTCTGGTGTCCGAGCAAAGAGATCCGGCGTACGGCCTGTTGTCTCCGAAGGGGGCTGATACCGAACGGCATACACCGTGCTTGCGGCGCTGGGAGTATCCGTCCTGCTGACCGGTGTCATGACAGCTGCAGGCCGTGCAGGCCAATGAGGCCGGAAAATGTCCCCAATCGTTCGCTGTGCATTCTGCTCAGGAGTCTGGCCTGGTGCCGCAGTGCGACGTTGTCCGCGTTGTCGACCGGTAATCGCTGATACGCTTGGCCGTCCATTGGACTGCATGTGGCCATGGCTGTTTCGACCTCCAAAGCCGCCAACATTCGCATTGCCGTTGGCGCCTCTGCTTTCGTCATCTCCTCTCCCACTGCCTCCCAGCCCCCCAAAGCTGCCGTCCTTCCGGTGTTTTCGCTTTCTATCCCATGGATAATCCAGAGCACTCACTTCAAGCATCTCTTCTCCTTCAAAGACTTCCCGGCCGAGAACGCCTCCTCTCTTCTCCTCGCGCTCGAGTGCCTCTATTCGTTCAACCCATTCCCATACGATGACACTCGCAGCCGCCGCTCCAACCCATCTCACGTAGTCGCCCCAGCGTGCAAATGTAGGGTTCGATATATCAAGAATGAAGAAAACTATAGGAATGAGAATGGCGGCTAGTGATATAATGGCCAAAAGGCACATGTTCTTCATCAGCGGGTGGTAAAACGCATATCGCTTCTTCATTAGCGCGTAATATATGACCCAAGCCGCATATAAAACACCAAGGAGTAGCTGGAACATGTAACTCAGCGCGGGAATGGGATGCGTGAATCCCCCGCCCATGGGGTTGTAGTTCTGGTTGGCGCCACCACGCCTGAAACTGTTGATGGCGGAAAAAATGAGATCGAGAGTGATGAGAGCAAACGCCACCCATTTGATAATTACTTTTTCTCTGTGGCGTGGGAATAGGCGGATCAGTGTTTGGGCCTGAGCCAGCCACAGGAAAAAGTTGGACACGAGTCGGATGACCCTGAGCTCCATGCTTCCCATAACTTCTGTTTGCAAGACGGTGGCATTTTGCGCGCCGAATTTGTACTGCTCAGCCAGAAAATGAAATGTATCGCAAGTCGCAATAGTCAGAGAAACCGCCACAGTAAGGGCGGCAACCTTTTGCAGCCACGGCCGACCACCGATATTGTCACCTCCAGATGAGCTGTGAGTGAAGCCAGAACGGCGGCCGAGATAAACAACGCCGCCATCCAAGAAAGATCTGGGGGTAATGAAGAGCATGATGAGGAGCATGTATGAGGTGACAGTCGTGGCCGCCAAGGCATAGCACATGGGCACTGTAGTCGCATAGAAAGGCTCTCGCAGGTTTGATACAGAAGGCGAGTTTGACGAGTCGTGCGAGTTAAGACTCGCATCCCCCAGATAGGTCGTAGTCTCTGCAGCAGGAGTCGACAGCGCGGTAGTTACGGAAGTAATCGCCGATGAAGTGGTCGCGAGGGTCGTCGAGAAGAGAGATGCGACCAAGGACGTGGTCCTGGTCCCGGAGGGAACAATGCTCGCCGTGGTCGACATGGCTGGCCCTGCCTTTGCCCGACCGACGCGGGAACCCGATCAGGTTCGCGGCGTCGCGGCCGTAGTAAAGGTGCCGGCAAGGTGCAGGCGAAGGAAGACCGTGTATCTAGTGAGGGCGCGCCATCGATGGAGGAGCGAAACGTCGGAATGATGCAGTGACGTTGGCGAATGAAATGCAGATGGACGAAGGCGTCGGGGTAGGTCTCGCCGGCACCGCCACAAAGCGTCAATGGGATCCTCTCGGGGTCGGCGACGGAATCGGCCACGCGCGCGGACTATGCTGTATGTCGTCGGATGGAGAGGATTGAGAGCATGTGGTGAAAGTCGCAGCTGGGATTTGGAGAGAATTGCATGGCTCTACTCTGTGCCCTGTACGATGGATTGCGGACCAGGCAGGCAGGGGTGGGCTTGGTGGGCGAGCAGGACCTACCTGGCTTGGAATGTCAACGCAGTTCACCCTTTGGTCCATGCGACAGATGCCAACTCACGAGCAGTTATTCCTGGCTAATGTCTCCGACCAAACCGGCTGCGGCGGGGCAAAGCGCCGGAGACTGGTAAGCTGGTGCCAATTTGGATTTCTTGGCGGTGGAGGGCCCGTTGCCACGCGTGTGTGTCACAGACGGGAGAAGCTTGATCGACAAGGCTAACCGTTGCTATCGTGTCAAAGCCCAGGCGTTGGAGGAGAGATGTGTGTGGCGTAGGACTGTGTACTGAGCCGGTCTGTCCTGGGCTGCTCTGATTCCCACAATGTGCGCCAAGTGGTGTCTCTCGTCTTGTTATTCGTACCGACGCCGAGCCCGTATCCATGATTCTAGGACCAGAGTCTTGATGGGTCGGAAGAATGGACTGGATTCGTCGAGGCCGATTCAAGACTCCGCACAGTGGGCGGTGCAGGTGCAGTCTGCAAGTCGGGCTGGAGTACGAAGCACTAAATGCGTTAGTAGGTGGCAAGCTGGATGGTGAGTCTGCCGACAGACGAGCCAATATTTCAAGGCTGACATGTTGTTGAAGGAAGCAAAAGTTCGACCGCACTAGTGAATTCCCAGTGCATGCAGTCTTCTTCCAAAATTGGTCCGTCGGTCCTTCCCGTTTTGCTGGAAACGCCACGGTATGTTGCAGAAAAGAGGAAAGGCAAGTGCTTCACGTGGCGCCTGCCCCTCCTCGACAGCAGAGTGGCCTCGTCTTCTGCGCCAACAGCATCAAAAGCAGCAGCGTTCACGTCAAACCTCTCTGACCGCGCGTACGGAGTCCTTGCCTGTCCCTTTTCAACCACTTCTGGTCTCCTGTCCACACTCCTCCGCGAGCATCAGACGCAACGCGATACACAAGCGGGTGGCCTCGGAACCGACCAGGCGAATTGCCGCGAACCCACCTGCAACATGCAGCATCCAGCTCAGTGCTTCACAAGGCAAAGACCACGTCTGTCAGTGCTCCTATTGGCGAGCGTTTCAGTTTCTGATATTCCTTGTGCTGTTTTCGTCACGACTCTACGGTCCAAGATCAATTGAAGCGGCAGTTGATGAAGAAATGAAGCGCACCAGAATCCAGAATACCCTGCGAGGCTCGACGCACGTGTCAACGAGGCTCTTGAGTATATTGAGGAAAATCCAGGTGCAAAAATTCGCTCTGTGGCGAAGAAATTCAACGTGCCTCGTAGCCGGCTTCAACGACGTGCTAACGGCGTTCCTGCTAGGAAAGGCCATCCAGCAAGAAATACAATGCTTTCACGAGAAGAGGAAGTTGCTTTATGTAACTATATCGATCGCCTTGATAAGGCCAACTTCGCTGTACGACCTGAATTCATTACAGATGCTGCAAATTACATCCTAAAAGAGAGGGCATCGTCAACTGCCCCGCCTAGGCAAGTTGGAACGCGATGGACTACACGCTTTATCCAGCGGCATCACTATCATAAAGGTCTTCAAAAAAAGATTGATTCAAGTCGAAAAGCTTCAGAAGATGTGACAAGAGCTCTTTCTTATTACAACAAGCTTAAAGAGGCTATTCAGCAGTACGGAGTCCCTCCTGAAGATATCTGGAATATGGATGAGACTGGCTTTCGTATTGGAATGGGAAAGGACCATTTAGTTGTTACAAAGCGAAGAAGAGCGCATCTATTTTCAATGCCAGAAAACAGGGAGACTGCAACAGCAATAGAATGCATTTCTGCTGGCGGCAAAGTTATTCCTGCCTTTCTTATCCTTACAGGGCAAAAACACATGGAGTCCTGGTATCGGATAAAGGAGCTTGAAGCTAATACCAAAATAACAGTCTCACCAACCGGCTTTACGAATGACGAAATTGCAGTTGCTTGGATACAGCATTTTCAGGAATTTGCAACGCCAATAGGCAGATATCGCCTTTTAATCCTAGATGGCCACGGATCACACCATACAATTGAATTCGTTGAATACTGCGAACAGCACGATATAATTCCCTTTGCGTTGCCCTCGCACCTTACACACATCCTTCAACCTCTTGATGTTGTGATATTTCAGCCACTAAAGCATTATCATGCAAAGGCGTTGGATATCATTGTTCGAGACGGCGTGTTGAATATTACAAAGATTGAATTCCTTGCTTGCATTCAAGCTGTACGAAAACAAGCTTTCAAGACTACTACTATTCTCACAGCCTTTCGAAAAACTGGAATTTCACCCTACAATCCACAGCCTGTAATTGAGGCCCTTGAACAACGAGCTGCAATTTACACATCAACACCATCGCCGCCGCCGTTATATCACAACAACTCTTCCGACTTTGAGACGCCCACAACACTCAGGCAGATAAATAAGGTTGCCAACAAGCTAGGGGAGGTATTAGAAGACGATACATCCCTTGAGCCTGAGTTTGCACGCATCTCGGCGCTTAATATGCATATGATGCCTGGCCCTGGCAGGCATGCCACAGCATATCGCCAAAACGGGATCTCTTCCGCCCGGCATGCCCACTCATTTCTCACCTCTTGTCTTTTCTGGCGGACGAGTACTCTTTCTGGCAGTTGAGCAGTCTCACCGACAAGGGCCTGCGTCCGCGGTTCAACATTCGAAAAGGACGATCGGGCGAAATGTAACATTAGAACCGACTTTTTTGTGTTCACTTTACGCTTTTCATGCCTATCAAGAGGAGCGCGAGTGAGTGTTCTGGCAACGGTGAAAGGACAGGCTTGGCTTGATGAATCCACGTCTCAACTACTTCGCAGTGTCTCTCGGTCAATTCATCAAGTACGGCCAGTTCGAATAGGAACCTAAAATCGCTTGAAGAAACAAAGCAGCAAAGTTGGGCATGGGCAAGAAGGTTCCATTGCGGTTGAAGGAACCGTGGCAACTTGGAACAATGGTTGCAGGGGCACACTGCCTGGGATCCAGCGCCATTCAGACAACTCCGTTATGAGTACGGAGTACGGAGTACGGCATAACTGATAACGACATGGCCCAGCAATCTGAGCCCAGAATCTGGGTTGGCCCGGCTCTTGTCATTGGTACTTTATAACGCCCTGCCTCAGCTACCTACCAGAGCAGGTAACCATGCCGCCATGCATGTCCCGCTACCAGCCAGGCTGATGGGTTGACTGTGGCCGTGCCTTGGATTGAAAATAGTCCACTGGATTATCTGCAAATCAGCGTCGCTCAAGTTGTCGAGTCTTGTCATTGCCATGAAGGAGCGACAAGCACCACCGTGGCCCACGCAGCGAGGTCGCCGAGCAGACCTCATGGGTTGCGTCCATGTCAGAAGCTTGCCTGGAGGCGGGGTGGCACTGGAAGCCACCAGGGACTGGTGGGGTTTAACGACGGTCCAGAAGACTGGAGACTGAGAAGTTCTTGACTGCCAATCCATTGCCATCTACGCCGTATGGGTGCAGGAGGTTCTCGTTGCCGCCATGTCTTGAATACCACCCGCCTTTCCAGCCACCATCAGCTGTGGCTGGTCCTGGCTTGTTTTAGAGGTTATGCTGGTCAATCGAGCCATATCTAGATGCCGAATGAGAGCCGTCAATGATTCCCAATGCCGGAAGCTGGGCTTGAGCAAGAGGGAACCTTGACTTCAACCTGGTGCCACTTGGCTGACCGGTCTGCACCTTTATATTCACGAACTCGCATCGAAATCCGCCATTGGCGAGGCGTCAGGGCAAACCAGGGGAGATGCGCGTTGAACAAGGCACGCGTATTCAAATCCGCCTCCGACATCAACTTCGCCCCTCAAACCCGAAGGTACTAGTAGCAAACATGCTTGGCGGTACATGTGGCGAGCGTCTGGTGTTTTCCACAGTTTTGAGTAGACGATTGCGGGCGATGGGCGTTGCATTGTCTGTCTCATGGCCACGACTACGACCACGACCACGACCACGACCACGACGACCACGACGGCGACCACGACTACGTTATGGCATCCCATACGGACTAAACCGAATATCTGTTCCGTGAGCACACCACTGAACGACTGTAGGCATCTCATTGCCCCTGGGGCAGGCGCCAGCCGGTATCAGTCATCTTATACAACACTACACACTCCGGCTTGTCACTTCGCATCCGGGCCCGGTCCCTCTCGCCCGGGGAGATGAACCTTTTCAAATATTGGGGGAGGGGCATCGGCTCACAAGGTAGTGTGCGGCCTCAGCTCCAATATCTCCGATTATCGATTTCTCTTCCGTGGGGGTTGGCCAATCGAGATTCTGCATGGAATATTGAGCCCATGTGACAGCGTTTGAGTGAGGATATGGAGCAATGGGATGGCAAATGTGGCTGCCAAGCTGCCAAGCTGCCAATTCTGACCCATGCAGGTCTGTCTCCTCCGTCTTGAATTAGCATCATGATGCGGGTATAGACGCAGCCACTGATTTGGTTTGCTACAAAGGCAGAGTTTCCGCAGAGAAGGGATCCTTGGTCGAGGCGCTAACCAATCTGTCAATAGGACATGTCAAGTCTCTGCAGAGGCTGAAAGGCGTGATTCTGATGAATGCTTGCCTTGGGCTCTTCTCTCCGTCGAGCATTCGAGTCGCCACTGCCCGTACAGTCTTGGGACGTCATTGCGCACGGGATAACTCATGCGGCGCGTTGGTCTATTGCTCTCGCGGATGCGCAGCATGTACTGCGTGTCTCATGTGCATATCTGCTCTTTTGGCTCGCGCTCAAAATCCAGCGAATGCAAACGGCTCACATCGAATCTTGTCTTCGTCGGTCCCAGTCCACCCTGCAACAAACAAGTTCTGTCCGCTCCTCCACACTCGAGAGCCGTCGTCCTTGATACCAAGTGGCAATTTCGGTGTATTAGCATTCAGAAAAGGTCAATGTGTGTCTCAGCCTCCGTTGTCGTCGTTCTGTATCGATAGCTAATGGTGGATATCGTGTTGCAAACCATGGCACAGTATCCAACGTGGGAATGGTGACGGCACATGCAACGAGCCAAAAAAGGGCCTCCAACGGGAGGAGGGGCGCACCTCGTTCTCCATGAGCGGTGATGCCTGGTCTAGGTTTGTCATGGTTGCAGCCAGCCTTGGGAAGGGAGTGGTCACGAAGCTACTCAGGGAGTCACAGTGATGTGCAAGCTCTCCGTGTTTACCTTGCCAGTGGCAGAAGATATGTGCTGGATTGAAACGCCACGACTTATTGCAGGGAGTCTACAAGCACGAGGCACATACTTGGCCACGCAAAACCGATGCAGAACATCGCAACAAGCGTTGCAAATGCGCGACTAATCAGACAGCGTCCCGAGCCTCGCGTCGCCTTTTTTTTATTGCACTCATCACCATACCAAGATATCATAGGCTGGCTCGCTACAGGGCTAATCCTTGTTATTCTGCTTGCAAGCAATTCCCACCACGTTTGAGATATCAGATCTTTGCTGGGTTGCTGCGTCCATCAGCCACGGCTTGAGGTCGGAGCTGCCGTTCAATTTCCTCTTTCCCTATCCTTGACCCTTGCTCCGGACTCCACAAAGACATGGCGCTCTCTACCGGAGCCAGTATGGTCGCTTTTGTGGTTGCTGTTGCTGTTGCCGTTGCGGTTGCTCTTGGTGATGTCGACGCCGTTGTTGTCGTCGTCGCTGTCCAACAAGTCAGAGCGCGGATGCTGCCTCCCTGGCGTCTTGGATTTTCTCTCGTGTCGCATTTCCATGCTCCTCACATATTCAACTACGGAGTAAAGCAGGGAGGGATAGAGAAGTATGTGTGAGACAGCTGGACCTCAGACTAGTGGTGGCCTCACAGATTTTCGGACCAACACCGAGATTCTTCCTGTGGGTGGCTATCTACTACGCCCGACGATGGGTCGCAGGTTGCTCACGGTCATACACTGTATATGTAGATCTGGTGAATAATGGTCTATGGCGTATTTCTATCGTGAGTTGGGCCGTTTGGCATCCATGCATCACGAATTGATGCTTCCGAGGCAGATGCCCAGTGATCGTCTAGGCCAGTTCAACCTGTCTAGGCTTGGGCGCCAAAGCTACTATTTCCAGTAGCAAAACCCAAGGCGACGAAAAGCGAAGCTGCCGCTGGTTCCGGCGTACGCCTCCCCGTTTCTGTGGCACATGACTCCAGATTCGGGTATCATTTCACCAGTGTATCATCTTGGCGCATGGCTTTCCGGGCGGAGGACTCGCTCACACATGCGGAGCGAGCGATGGGTTCCCGCTTGTACGAATGAACGAGCGGCGAGGGATGTCTTGGGGTTTGCACATTTCTATACCGAGGATGGACCAGCTCACCTCCCATAGCGTGTTTTGCGGTTCCGGCCATGTAGGGTGACATCACACGGCCGGCTCCGGCTAACTGTTTTGCAGGATCCAGGCCATGGCTCAAGGGCCACGCTGGCAGCATGGAGAAGGAAGATGCGAGATGATGATCAGTAGCAATGCGACGTTGGTTACCCCGGTTTCGAATGTTGATCCGGCCGGGGGCCCCGACTTTGATACGCGGTAGTAGCATGTACCACATGGACGGGGAAAGGGGGAAGGGGAAGGGGATGGGGATGGAGGTGAAGGTGTTGGTACCAGTTGGGTTCTGGTGGTCACCATGCATCCAGGCCAGTTGGTCGATTCTGCGATTTGAAATGATGTACGAAGCACGGAGTACTGTGCAAGTGTCGTGATATCACGGGGCATCAGGAGGGTTGGGCCGACCAGGCGGCGCTCACAAAAGCTGATATAAAAGGTTGACCTGGCTGACGACAGGAGGGGTGGGATAGAACAACTCATATTCCAGAAGACTACTATTATTAACGCCCACATGCGCCGATAACATACGTACATGTGTCCCATGGTTATCCCGTGCCCTATAGGTACATGACGTGACGTGTACGTTTTGATATCTGACAATTCCCACGGTACATGTTGCCAGCACAATTCCCTTGCATCGACGAGGCAGTCTCTCCCACACGGGGGGTTGTCGGTATTGCGCCCCTGCCCCAAGCTCAATGCTGCCGGTACGCGTTGTAACGAGGCATAATTAACATTTTGCTTGGCACTTTTGCCGCTTTCCAGCGTCATCCAACAACCGACTTTTCCGTCATGTCCGGGACTAGATTGCCAGTGACGGTTGACGCGTCCGAAACAAACGTCTAATACTGGCACTGGTTGCTTGTCCATGTCTTTTGTCATTGCAGCCTCATGAACCCCTGCAAGGGCACGCTTGGACTTGACAACTCGAACCAGTCGGTGAAGAAGGGCGAACGAGGGCTGCCCTGTCCGATCCGCAAAACGCCAACATCGGGCCTATGATCTGACGGACATGTTGCCGTCCGCGTACGGAGTATAACAGAGTAATACGGCTTCTCGAGATGCTTCCTGGATGGAAGAACAGAAGAAGAAAAAAAGAGGATCCCCGAAGCCGGAAGACGGTGAACCGGGGGAGGGGTTGGTTGGGTGCCCTTCTTTTTCTTTTGCCTTGATTTTTCGGAGGGACGAGGAGAGGCTATTGGGCAAGGAACGGCACGGGCCGGAAGCAAGGGGTTGGTTTGAGTGTCTTCCTTTCCGGCACCAACGAATACGGTTGGGGATGTCTTGGTGAGGCCGCGAAGTCGGTGAGGATGGCCTTTGCGAAGGGAACAGGGCCTAAGTTGCGATTGGTTCGGCGGTAGATGATTTCCGTGCCGGACGCCGGACGGCGGTTGTCATTGCGTGTCACTCTGTGTAGTTATTTCGGAAATCGGGGGCGAGAAGGATGAATGCTCGTGACTCGTGAGGTTGGAAGTTGGTCGTCGGGCTGGTGTAGGGTAGCTGGGTTGGGCGGCTATGGAGTAGTAAAAGACGTGCTTCTCTGGGGTTCTGGACACGACGACGCGGCTTGGTTTTGAAAGTACGCGGGTGGCTTGTGATCGGGAAGCGTCCCAGCCGAGGGCTTTGACGTGTCGAATTGGGCGGGTGACGATGGATGAAGGCGTGGGTTTACTTGTATGTCGAGGTTGAAGACGAATGTGGACAGTGAACACATGATGAGTTCGCGGCGGGGACTTGCGCAGCGTGCATGTCGGTCGACGCCGTTTTGACTTCGACCAGACTTGCACATGCTCATGTTTCTCGTGCCAGCTACTGAACGGAATGAAATACACATATAGAATTATTCACGTATATAAAGTCATAAATATACAGCATAGATTCTCGACACATACAACGCTCGCTCAACCGCTTTCAGTCCCCCACGTCTCGAGACCTTGTCCAACTCGGACAGCCATGGAGGGGCAGCCCCCAAGCTGACCAACCACAGACCGCAGCCCGCTTGAGCTCGAAATGACCCCAGGGAGGCGCCACCCAGCCTCAGCCTTGCGTGCCGACTTTGGAAAGGCAGACCAACGTAGTTGCAGTAGCTTGACATGGTCATGATGAGAATTGACCGAGGCGACCAAAACGGCCATCACCCGAGCAAGATCTAATCGTGCCTCAACCATAATTCCCCCGACAACAATCTCTCACCCCCAGCTGGAGGGACTGGTTGTTTTCGTCAGCCGCAAGGTGAGCACCGAGCTCCATTGGTCTGACCAGCGTCTGTAGTTGATTCTGATTCGCTTCACAGGCAGAGACTGGAACTTCTTGGCTTCCAAGCAGGGCTGCCAACGGAACAAGACAGCTTTGAAGATACGTCAAGCCTCCGCCTGCCCTTGTCTCGCCTTGCCTTTTCTAGGCTTTGGGCAGCTTCATCGACGACGTCGGTACGCATCGGAATTGCGAGCCAGTCGAACCCGAGTCTACCTGGCCCCCTACCCCCCTTAGCACCGCCGCCAGATCGGATTCCCATCTTCCGCAGCCACAGCCGTATCACCTCACCTCTCATACTCAACCATGTCGCAACAGCCCTCAACGCCAGTCAAGGTGCCGTCCGCAGCGGCAAACAACACCCCCGCAACCCTCGACCCCGACCTGCGCTCGCAAATAAATACCGTCCTCTTGCGAGACGGCCATGTCACAAAGTAAGACGGCTGCCGAGCTCTATACACTCTCGCTCTCGCGTGGAAACCCCTTCCTCCAAAAAGGCTAACACCTCCCGCAAAAGAATCCAAGAAGCCCTCCTCCACGCCCTCAACTCCAACTCGTCCAACTGGCCGACGCAGATCCAAACCCACGCTCTGTCGCTCCTCCGCTCCGGCGAAATCACCACGTACCCCGCGCTCCTTCGCCGCATCCTCGACGACGTTCGCGAAGCCACCGCATCCAACTCATCCCCCACAAACGGCAGAACCACCAACGGCGATGCCAAAAAGATGAACGGGTCAACCACAACATCCACCGAGAAACCAAACCTAGCTATTCCCGCCACCGTCATCGAGGAAGCCCTCCGCGTGACGAGGGAAAGCCTAGAAGCAGTCTGTGAGATCGACGACCACGGAGCTAGCTGACTCGGTGCCCCCGCGTCTCAGCACACCGCAACGACAGCCAGAGGACCTACGGAGGCAAGGCCATGGCGGACACACCACCCACAAGACTCAAACAGCTCAACTCGAGTCGAAGCCCCCAAGTTCGTTACAGGATGAACCCACGAATCACACATTACAAGTACACAACCATGCTCATGACATTGCGGACGAAGCATCGACAAAGGAGAGGCTTGATATCAAGGTCAACAGAATACCGCACCATACCTCTTTGCTGTCATTCTCTTTTTGACGAGGCCAGAAACAAGAGGAGGGGCCTGGAAAAGCGAACGGGCACCGGGTAACAGAAGGCATTTTCGTAGACAGCTCAAGAATGGCATAAATACCACCGGGTCTCACTTGGGCAATTCGAGTCCGTCACTGACCTCCTTGTGTCTCTTCCCTGCGACTCCTCGACGGAACGCAGGTGCTGTGGAGTTGTCGGATTCATTGCAGATTCCCATGTTTGCCAGACGGCCATAACAATATGCTAGGGACCGTCTCGTGCACAACTGGACATGCCTCAACGTTGCAGGATTGCTCATCAAACGAGACATAGCTAATGCTCACATGGCATGTTATAAAGCAAGTTGGTTTTCTTGTCTATTAGGCTATAAACCTTGGCCGTGGTTCAGTCTACGGCACGCGAAATCAAGCACTCATCGAGTAAACGCGTTACGTGCCAAAGCAAGATATCCGGCCCTTCCAGGTGCCGTCAAGTGTCAAGTCCGTCGTATCGAAGCGACTCCAAAAACCACACTCTGCCGTCTTCCATTTCTACCAACTCCCAGAGTCCTAAAAATAATAGCTCCACAACAATCTTGGCAGCCTCAACCCCAACTAAGCCATATCGGCTCTCTCTTGACTGTATGCAGGTTTCGAAGCAGACATGCGAGTGAGGAATCTAGAATACAGGGACCAGTATCACGTCCTTAATTACGTAGCCGGATAACTTAGTCATAGAGATCATCATCATTACCGGCATCGCCGAACCCATTCCCGCCGTTGCCGGAAGGCTGACCGTTGGTCCCGTCAGGGAACTTGAAGAAGGCGCCTGGTCCAGCATTCTTCATTTGCTGGGAAAAGGCCTCGTATCGGCGGATCTCAACGTCACTGACAGACTTGCGAGCCATCTGCATAGCTTCCTCAAAGTGAGCCTTGGTGAGCTCGGGAACGGGGTCCTCGCTGTCCTCATCATCCATGTCCATTTCGTCACCAGCAGCCTCACGAGCCTTGGTTCGTTCGATATCAGCCGTGATGGATTCCTTGATGGCGATCTTGACAGCACGCTGGGTAATGAATCCAAGATCGGCACCAGAGAAACCATTAGTCTTGCTGGCAATATATCCAAGGTCAATATCAGAGGCCAGAGGGGTCTTGCGCAGCTGAGCCTTGAGAATGCTCAGACGACCAGCCTCGTCGGGAAGAGGCACATAAATGAGTGAATCAAGACGTCCCGGACGGCACAAAGCAGGGTCGAGCTGCTCGGGTCTGTTGGTAGCGCCAATAACAAAGACGTTCTTCTTTGAGGTCATACCATCCATTTCTGTAGGAAAAGAAAAAGACGTTAATCACGCGTATCTTGTGTAATCCTAGGAGCTTTTGAGCAACTTACCTGTCAAAAGCTGGTTTACAACACGGTCAGAGGCGCCGCCTGCATCACCAACAGAGCCACCTCGGGCTTTTGCAATCGAGTCTAGCTCATCAAGGAAGACAATGCAAGGAGCAGCGGCACGAGCCTTGTCAAAAATGTCCCGAATATTGCTTTCCGATTCGCCAAACCACATACTTAGCAATTCAGGGCCCTTGACTGATATGAAGTTGGCAGCGCACTCGTTGGCAACAGCTTTGGCCAACATAGTTTTACCAGTACCAGGAGGACCATAGAACAGCACACCCCGAGACGGAGAAAGACCAAACTTGAGGAATTTCTCGGGGTGGTCAACAGGGTACTGGACTTGTTCTCGGAGGTCCTGCTTGACGGCCTCGAGGCCACCGATATCTTCCCAGCGAACATTAGGAACCTCCACGGCGACGACCTCGCGCAAGGCAGAGGGGTTGGAAACGCCAAGGGCAAAGCGGAAGTTTTCCATGGTAACGCCAAGGGAATCGAGGACCTCTGCATCAATGGTATCCTCATCAAGATCAATGAGATCCATCTTCTCGCGAATCTGCTGCATGGCAGCCTCGGAGCAGAGGGCAGCCATGTCAGAGCCAACACAACCGTGGGTCTCAGCTGCAATCTGTTCCAGATCAACACAGTTACTGAGCTTCATGTTCTTGGTGTGAATCTGAAGAATCTCGAGACGGCCAGTTGGGTCAGGGACACCAATATCGACCTCACGGTCAAAACGACCAAATCTTCGGAGAGCGGGATCGATAGAGTTGGGACGGTTGGTGGCGGCCATGACCACAACGTTGGATCGAGCCTTCATGCCGTCCATGAGAGTCAGAAGCTGAGATACGACACGTCGCTCGACTTCACCGTTGGTCTTCTCTCGCTTGGGGGCAATTGAGTCGATTTCGTCGATGAAGATGATGGCGGGCGAGTTCTTCTCGGCTTCCTCGAAGGCCTTGCGCAGATTGGATTCTGATTCACCGGCCATCTTGGACATGATTTCAGGACCGTTGATGAGGAAGAAGAAGGCACCAGTTTCGTTGGCGACGGCACGAGCCATGAGCGTCTTACCGGTGCCTGGAGGACCGTAAAGCAAGACACCACGGGGGGGCTTGATACCAATCGACTTGAACAACTGGGGGTGACGAAGAGGCAGCTCAACCATCTCTCTGATCTGAGCCATTTGCTTGCGACAGCCACCAATGTCGTCATATCCAACCTCGTTCAAGTTGTTCTCTTCCTCATCTCGCTCGATAGGATCGCCTTCGCAGTGAATGACGGTGTCTTGTGCAACAATACCGTACTCCGGGGGGTCGACTTCTACGACCTTGAATTCCACTTGACGCATACCACCACGTACGATGAAGAGGTCGCCTTGCCGGACTGGTCGGTAAGCCTCGCGGAAGTAAGGGGCAAGGTAAACGTCAAACAAAGAGCCTGTGATGCCCTCGACGGTGTCGGCGATGGGCAACACGGCGATTCTCTTGGCCTGCTTGGCGTCAGCACGTTGTCTGGCTGAATAAGGTAGTGCCTAACATGTTTGAACGTACGTATTTGATATCGGGGCAAGGTAGAATGGTGATCATGTCGCCGTGCTTGACACGGAGGTTGTGTCGCACAACTCGGTTAATGCGGGCGCTACCGTCATCAAGTTCTTCATCGGCCATGACGATGAGGACAGTGTCTTTTCTCTTCTTGCCTCGAACGAGAACAGTATCACCTCTGAATAGCTGCAGGGCGTCCATGGTAGTTTCGGACAAGGCAATGATGCTGTTGTCATCATTGACGGCATCGGTAACCCTGAAGGCGGAGTTAGCCATGAGTTGATACTATACCAAATCGGCAATGTGGGAAAACAAAACACACATCAGCTGATTGGGCTTCTTCTTCTTCCTGAGAATCGCTGTCGCGGTGTCATCCTCCTATTAGAGCAGTCAGTTTTGCTGCGGCGTCGGAAGCCTCGACCTGAGGGGAGGGCGCGGTTTCACGAACATGTTTGACGTCCGCACCAGAAGCGTCGCTACAAAGGCAGGTCAGCATAATGATTCTCATCTCTCAACAGCGACCGAGTTGGGCGGAAGACATCGGAAAAGGCAGAAAACTCACGTCAGGTTCACCTTCTTCTTGTGCTCATCGGGCTGGGAGGCCATGGTATCCGATATGCTTCGGCGAAGCTGCAGTTCAATTCGAATAGGTATGGAGACGTGGCCGTGAGCGGATGAGGGTTGAGTATCGTATCTGCAACAAGCTAACGAGCTTTGGGTCTTGCTCCCGAGAAAACGGGAATGCGAAGAGCGTGACGGGTATATGTGAGGGGAGAAAGCCACTCGATGAGTAATGGAAGGTGGAAATTGGGGGAGAGGATGATGTAAAGGTTAGAAGAAGTAGAATAGCGAGATCGAGTTCAGAGGTCGAAGCACAAGCCGCGCCAAGTGTGAGCACCCGGACTGGACTTGGAGGCGGCGACAAGGCTAGCCGCACTTCGGGAACAAGCAAGTACTGAGCACCTAGGCACGCAGGTAAGCCTTCAGCAAAATGCGCGCCTGTGCCGAAGTACGGAGTACTGATTGCTTTGGATTACTCACAGGCATCCAGCACAATCCAGCAGTTGCCAGCAAAGGAGGAGGACACCAGCGAACCAATGATAACGCCGTGCGCCCTGGCCGGAGGCGGAAGATCGATGATGCAGGCCCGGACAGGGAATACCACTGAAAGGCTGCTGTGGAAAGACGCAGAAGTTTCTACTTTTCGCCTCTGCGACCGACTCACTCAGCGGCGTGGTCGCAGCCGCCTGGCAGGCAGCAGGACAGTACGTCAGGCGCAATTTCACCAAGTACTGCCAGCCGTACGGCCGAGAGGGACCCGCTTTTGAGAAATGCTACTGCCAGCCTGCGTGAATCCGTAGAAAAGAAAGAAAAAAAAGGGAAGAAAGAAAACGACAGAGAGAGAGAAAGAGAGAGGAACAAAATCCAAAAAAATTTCACCGCCGGGCATTTCTAAATTCTTTTGCGGGCGCTTGACTAACTACGAGGTGCGAAGCACCTGCGATGGCCAGTACTAATGTTGTCCTGCAATGCGGTGATACTCCTTCGTACGTAGTTCATACCCTGTAATCCCCGTCCACCTACTCCCAGGAACACAGCGCCAATATCCAAGCGGTAATATATAATAAATATACCAAGTAGTACGGAGCACAGTCAGAGCACCCAGACACTTCCCCCGCATCAACAGGAAGCACGGACAAGCGCCATTGCGCAGGACCGCGTAGATGCGAACGCGACACAGCAACCGAGACTTCTCCCATCACAACGTGACCATGGCAACTTTGAGATTCTTTTCCCCGGACATTTCGTTCGCGGATGCGCGCTAACGAATGAGTCGGAATGACTTACGACAACGGAGGGGTGGTGACTATTCAGAAGTGAATTTGCTCGACGACTACGACTTGTTGAATTGTGTCGACTATACAGAGTACTCCATGTCTAGGTATGCTGTTTGGCCAGCTAGCCCATGTCTTGCGCTAATTTCAGCTCGTCGTTCTGTAAATTGGACGAGTTGACACGGAGTAGAGTGCTCGAGTTCTTCGGGCATGGCCTGGACTGCGGAGTTAGTACAAGGCAACGCTCTCTGTGTGGCTTGCTCTACAAGTCAGCACGTCGCAGCGCGAGGGGAGCCTTGTACCGGGATCATGCAGTATTGAGATGAATGTTGACGAAAAGCTCCATAAATGTCACTGCTTCTGCCACTTGAGGTTGCGGCCAGTCTCATGATGAGGACGGATGAGGATGCGCAGTCCGCCGTCAACACGGAAACTATTATCGCAAGGCGGCTAGACCATGCGCTTGCAGTTGCTCGCCACGTCAAAACAGAACATGATCACCTGTGAGCAACGATATTGCAAAGCTTCCAAGTAAGCGCCCACTTTACAAGCTCGGGACCGTTGCATTTCAAGGGGTCCTCTGACAAAGTTCCGAGCACGAACGGCATCATCCAGTATCTGAGTGGCCGTCTGTAGGTAGCATCGAGCCTGCCAAGATGAACGTCGAATCAGCTCTACTGCTACTTGTCGGGAAGGGCCAGGAACGCAAAATCTTCAGGGCCTGTCTCTGCCGCTGCCAGAGAGTATGGTGTTGAACGCATGGTCGCCCGTAATAGATCCGACACGGTCCTGGCTGGTCTTGTGAATAGTGTCGGTTGTGACGGCAAGCGATGTGAATCAACCGCTGTAACCGCCTAGAAGAGTAATTCGTAAGATCGGCCATCTTGATGAGGCGGCCCAATTAAGTTGGCGATGAGTGAAAAGAGATGAAAGTCAGGCCTCTAGTGGGCGGAAAATGGCCCAGAAGTCTTGTTCAGAACTTACAAAGCAAGTATTACTTTCATGTTTTCCACGGATTGAAGCGTGTTACCCAGAGCGTAACGACGGGCCACAGGGTTAGAAACGTGCTGTCCAGGTGCTGCGTCGCCCATCCATGGCCTGTTGTCACGGCTGCGATGGTGGAAGCCTTCCCCACGAAATCACGTAATTGTATCCCATGCCTGTGTTGATGAATTGCAAGGGGGGGGCCTCCTTTCGAAGCAGCTGTTGTCAAACTTTCGATTTCAGGGTGTGCCTGGTGTTACGGGTGCTGGTGCTGGAGACGAAAAGCCGCCATTCGGGATTGTCGCTGTCGACGACTTCATTCATGCACCACCGCTTTTCTCATTCGATGGAGCAGAGCACCTAGGTTTTCCGGTTGACGACAAACATTGCAAAATTCCAAAGAAGACGAGACAAGAAACCTGTTCATCCATGTTTGCCGGAAAGCCAGCCTGAAGTTGACGGCCCGACAGCATTTTGCCTTTTGCATTTCTTCTTTCTCATGATGTGTAACACCGTGCTAGGATGCCAGCAAGCTGCGTCGTAGCCACAAATGTCGGCCCGTCTATCTGACACACAATCTCATCATCTGTCACAGTATTGCCGTCTTCTGCCGTTTGCATTGATGACGCATTTCGCCGGCCGGTGCTATCGCATGCTAGACTTGTCCACGTTTCGATGGGACTTGGGACTAGCAGATGTCCGGTTTGGAGGATTTCCTCGCCGCACCATGTGCGTCGATGTATGTCATATAATTTTGCCCGTCAATGAGTGTGGCGACACTGAAACCTCTAAGAAGCTGCGGAGCGCAGCCTTGACTCACATCAATCACTACTTAAGCACTCAATAAGTAGCAACTACGAGGTGCTCCGTAGCTTAACTGATGCTCCGCTCCCATCGGAGAATAAACGCGAGGTGGTAGGGAAGGTGCTGTCGTGGAACAAAATAGTTCGGCAGGGGCGACGCCTCAAGCCTGCCACAAGTTACAACCTTTCTCCTGCGTAATGTTCCTTCAATGTTTGGATAAATGAGACGTCCGTTTCCTTGTCGTTGGAGGGAGCAAATGTCAAATTTGCCAAACCAAGATTCTGAAAAAAAAAAAATGAACAGACTTTGCCGTCTGGAGGCGTCAGCGATGGTGCAGTAGTAATAACAATCGGGGAAAAAATAAAAACGACTTCACACCGACACAGTGCCAAGGCGAAGCTAAAGGCCCGCCAAATATATACCTAAATGTTGAAGTAGACATGGTGAGCAAGGTCAAGACGGCGCGCCACGATTAACAGCCTGTACAGTATAGACATCTGGCACCGTGGCTGACATCTGCAGGCACTACAACGGTCGTCTCCGCACTTCTCGTCGAGCAGTGCGATCCAGCCTCTCATTAAATGGTGAGTTTGTGTTTCGTTGTTGTGCCTGGAGTATACTGTATGTCTGCCTGCATCCGATATTTGCTTGACCCTGCAGGGCAGGCAAAAAATAGGAGTCAGAAAAGGCCTCGCTTGTGTACGGCCAGGGCAGTGAGGGCAGCCACGTGGAAGCATTGCTCACGTCACGTAATCGAATAGTCATAAAACAAAACAGACGACGGAGCACCGTGAAGACGAAATCACTTTCCACCCAATGCCACGCTGTTACTGGCCCAGCCACCGGTCCAATGGTCCAGTGTTCAATTTCAAAATCAGGATTCAAGGTTTGACCAGGCCCGGCGGCCGGTCCCCTGCCTGTCCACCAAGATGTTCTTGTGCACGAACAGAACATGGTGGGACTTGCTGATGCACGACTGACGAACTTCAGGTAGCGCTCAAGTCCCTGACCTTTTTAGTAGCGTAAAGTCTGGTACGGAGCAGGCCTCTGGCACACTGTATAATTGTCACGGTCCGCCAGAAATGACTTGGCTCAAGTGCCTACAGGCAGGAGCGACGGGCCCAAGCTGGGGTCCCGGATTTCACTAGCACCAAATGCCCAACCCCAACTACAGAGTAACAAGTAACTACCATGCCTGCCCCTGAGCAGCCGCCCGTCGTCACGGTGCGCAGTCTGACCGTCCACTCGCGGTGCTGCCCTTTGAGGATCTAACAAAGGTTTTCCGTGGCTTATGGCTCAGTGGCCCGGTGGCCCAGTGGCCCGATGGCTCAATCAGTGGCTCAGTCGCCTGGCTACCGAGCAGGTACCTGCTTGGGTACGTACATCTTGGAGGTAACTACTTATCTAGGGCACTCCCTGGGAATTGAGCGCCGACGCAAGTAGCACACTAGGTTCAATGTTCGTCAACGGCACCGACGTCGAGTGCAATCAATCCTCCAGTCGCAGACAACGGCTCTCTGCACGCCGCCCACTGCCGAGTGTCCGCTGCCCGCTGCCCGCTGCCCGCTGCCCACATCATTCGTTTTCCGCCCTCATCGTCCCAAAGTTCCGACGTCAACAAACCTCATCTTGTTCCGTCCTCCTTCCCTGCGAGAACCACGTCGATTCCGTGCCACATCCACCATATCTACTGCCTGGAAATTTCACCTCGCCCTCCCCTCCATTGCTCTGGGGAACGCTCCCAAGAGGCATGTCGACGCCCACGACGGCCGTGGCCACGCTCCCTCACTATCACCGTCTCGCCCACCAGGCTCACCCAGCTCACCACCACCCGTCGTCGACCACATCAAATTATCGCACCACAGCTGCCAATTCTTTGCTCTACGCACCGAATCCATCCGTGCCGGCGTCTTCGGCTGCGTCATCGTCGTCGACCACCGCGGCACGCCTATTGCCTTTCGACCAGCCTGGTAGCCATAATGCCGGCTACACTTCGTCGGATGCCGTAACCCAGAACCATCAGCCCCAATCGCCACCAGCACCCCCTCCCCACGACCAATACCTGCATCGCGACCACCACATTGAAACCTCAACCCCAACAACCCCGAGGCATCGCATTCATCATAACCACTCATCCGCCATGGCCAGTGCAGCGGCCACCGCCTCGGCTTCTTCTGCAGCCGCTGCCGCCCCCGGCCCTGCGAACATTCGCGACCTTGACCCCCCCTCGCGGAAACGCCGTCGCTCCCGCGAACCCGACTGGAATACCTTTTATCGCAACGGCCTGCCAAAGGAGATTATTGTCATTGACGACACCCCAGAGCCAGAGGCCAAGACCAGTCGGAAATTGACCTCGTCCAAGACAAACGGCGATGCGTCTGGCGGTGCCGCTTACCACGAGGCCACCACCAACACTCGCCAACCCGTGAAGCGACGACGTCGGGATGCTCCCGCCTCGGGCTATCACGTCCAGTATGTGGGCTCCCGCACAAACACACCGCTGCAAAATGGCACGCCCATCGGCTCTACACTCTCCAGCGACCGCACCAACTCGTTTCTCAACACCACCGCCCCGACTTCTCTTTCTTCCAATAGCCAGTACGACGAGGCCCCTGCCCCTTTGAAACGCAAGCGGACAACCCGTCAGCAGGCGGCCAACGAAGCAAAACGTCGGGATCTTGATGGTCTCGGCGGCCGGCTCCTCACGTACAAGCCACCACCATTCCCCCCGAAAAAGGTTTCTGATGTCCAAGTCCGGGTTGTACACGATGTAAGTGTTGCGTTGCATTGCTTTCTTCGTCTCTCAGTCTCTCACCATCGATTGGTGTTTGGGCTCGAGTTTCGTTTCCACGCAAGCTTCTCCCTCCCATGCAGGATGTTCTGCGCCGGTTTAAGAACATGCCGCTGATTGATTTTTTTTTTCAAACCATGAACAGCACTACTCCAAGAACGTCGAGGTTGATGACGACGACGGGCACTATATTGTCGTCCCCGATGCAGAGTTGACGGATAAATGTACGTCCAATTTTACATGCAGTCTTCTCTGCAAACCCAATGCGTGCGTGGCTAACGCTCTTATAGATCAAATCACTCGTCTACTTGGCCAGGGGACTTTTGGCAAGGTTGTTCAAGCCCGTGATCAGAAGCGGAACCGGGCTGTCGCCGTCAAAATTATTCGATCAGTCCAAAAGTACCGCGATGCGTCTAGAATCGAACTGCGAGTGCTAGCTACTCTGAAGGCTAATGACGCCACTAATCGATATCGATGCATACACCTAACCGATTGCTTTGACTATCGAGGCCATATCTGCATCGTCATGGACCTCTTGGGCCAGAGCGTCTTCGACTTCTTAAAGGGCAATGGCTTCGTGCCTTTTCCCAATAGTCACATCCAAAACTTCGCTCGTCAACTCTTTACGAGTGTAGCCTGTGAGTTCAAGACCTCGGGTGCTTTTGGTACTCTACCGCGCCGCTGACAGGGACCAGTCCTGCATGATCTAAACTTGATCCACACCGATCTTAAGCCGGAGAACATTCTTCTCTGTGATGACCTGTACCAGACGTTTACATATAATCGGAAAATCCCCTCATCTTCGACAACAATCAACAGGCAAGCCTCGCAGCGCCGGGTGCTGCTCAACACCGAGATCCGGTTAATTGATTTCGGGTCGGCTACGTTCCAGGATGAGTATCATTCATCCATTGTCTCAACAAGGCACTACCGAGCTCCTGAGATTATTTTAGGCCTGGGATGGTCCTTTCCCTGTGATATCTGGAGTATTGGCTGTATCTTGGTTGAGTTCTTCACCGGCGACGCCCTATTCCAAACACACGACAACCTTGAGCATCTCGCCATGATGGAAGCCGTCGTCGGTTCCAGGATAGACAGTCATCTTGTTCAAGCTGTCAACAAAATGTCTTCGAGGAGCGGCGGCAATCCAGCGTCAAGGTAGGCCTGACCTTTGTTGCCTTTACAGCACGATGCCCTAACCTGCATAGATATTTTAAACGTCTCAAACTTGACTACCCTACTCCAGATACAACGCGAGGATCCCGGAGATTCGTCAAAGCCATGAAGCATCTTCACGTGGGTCCCATTCCACCCTGTCGCCACGTGTGTGACTACTATCTAACTCTCAAAATAGGACATTATTCCATCGAGTAACCAATTCTTTAAGCATTTCCTTGATTTGCTGCAAAAAATCTTTGTATACGACCCTGCACGTCGTATCACCGCCAAGCAGGCCTTGAATCACCCGTGGTTTGATGAAATCGCGCAGCCGGATGATGGCACAGAGGCGGCCAAGATCCGACTAGAAAGGAAACGACTGGAGCAGGAAAAGGCTCGGGCCCACCATCCTTACGCGGCGTAATGACGACAACCTGCCGAGTAAAATATCTGTGACCACGACCAAGACACGACCAGTTCCACCTTGTACGGTCTCGTATTTTTTTTTCTTTTGTCATAACGACCATATATATATTTATTTGTTGGGCATGGATATCGGAGTTGATGGATCTTTTCTACTTTCTTTGCGCTAGAGGGATAGCCTGAACGAGACCTATGGTTGAAGCTCTTCTTGACAGTGTGGTTATTGGTATCCTGGCTTCCGATGCGTCGTTGGGGAAAATGGGCGGAATGCAAGCGGGGTGTCGAATTGAATTTCTTCTTTTTGGAGCTATCATGGTATCAGATCTAGGGCCGAGATTTCGAAGCCAGTATGGAAAAGAAGCTGATGATTGTCCCACGAGCTGCAGCCTTCATCTATTTCAACCATCACACCCACGCCGTTGTTCGTTTGCGGTCTACTGAGAAAGACCGTGCACAGTAGCCGCCTGGCCGAGGAGTTTTTCAGACTTTAATGCTCACAACAGACGCCTCGCCGCTTTCTAAGGACTCGGGAGCGCCGCAGGCTGGCCAAAGAATTCCATGCTGTGACCAGGAATAGGCCCAAGGGAACAGGGTACAAGTCCCAGAGGCGTCGTGGGCGTCAGCTGCAGTACATAGCGTTGGATGTTCCATCTTTTTAGTCTTTGTTTTTTTTTGTTGGGTAGCATGTAGCATGTATTGTAGCACGCATCACGTCATGTCTTTGTTTTTGTATGCAGCATTTTCAATTTTCAAAAACCGGCCACGGCCAGACTTGGAAAGACGTGTGTCGGCGCCGTTTCTCTCTCTCCGGCCAGAGGTGCACCTGTCCGCTCTGGATTAATGCCCGGCGTGTCGTGTGAAGAGGATGAGTCTGGACCACGACTCGCCGGCGGTTCCCGCCGTTTGCACCGTAGCAAGCCTCTCGGTCTACTGATCCAGAGCGCGTGGGACGGGTGTTAATCGGCAGTGTTCTGTTTGCGGTACGAGCTTCAATGGCAGCAGAAGAAGGAGAGGAGGAGGGGACTTTCTCACGAGCAACTTTGTGCGTCGGCGTGGAGGATTCCGTGACGGCGGCGGCGACGACTGCGAGTAAACACGAGCGCGGGGGAACACGTGCGTGCCATTGATTCATTCACCGACTGGCTGACTGCCTGGCCATGTCGGACACGGACCGACGCCGAAGTCGTCTTCTCGATTGGCGCTACGAGAATTGAAGGGCTTCCATGGGGCGGGAGGCGGCAGGAGAAGGCGTACGTGGGAGAAGCCCCGAGGCCCTTTGATGTATATAACTATCTGGGTGTACATATGTCTGATGACCAAGATGCGGCACAGGTTGGTCCCCCGGCGTCTAGACCTAGACCTCGTCGTACAGGCTCCCGCCGGCGGCGTCGTCGACCTTGACGGCCTCGCCCAGCCTACAATGCTAAATAGCCGCCTGGGGGGGGAGGTCGGGGGCGGGCCCGGTGCCGGCCGTGTGCTTGACGCGCGCAAGCGACTCCCGGATGGCCGTGTACGCGGGGGCCAGCGCGGCGAAGGGAAAGATGATCATCCTGGACCCCAGGCGCCGCGCCCGACCATGTTGAGCAGCAGCGGCACGGGGGCCAGCGCGTCGCACGCCCGCCTCGCCTGCTGGGCGTTCTGGATGCCCTCGAGGAAGGCCACGTCGGCGCCAATCGGCACGACGCTGCCAAACCGACGGGGCCGGGCGAGTCGATCCGGCTTCGACGATGTTGATCTCCAAGGCTAGTCCGGGGCGCTGGTTCCAGATTTTTCCGCGGCCCGAGACGGCCCCCCACGGCGATCCATGTCGTGACGCCATGGAGGATACATGTGCTGTTGGAAATCAAACCCGGAGTCCGCCTCGGTTGTAGGGAGGCACTTTCGGAGTCGGCAGATTTGCTCGCGTGCGCCGTGCCACGGGCGTTGGCCAGATGCACACCTGCCCAACGAGATAAGCTCAACACGAGTCATCCTTTTCAAACGCGTCGTTCAGAAAGGCGACAAACAGCTCCCTCATCCCGTCAGCGGCCATGTTTCCCACCCTCTCGAGCCCGATGCCGCCCCTGTTCAGGCCGACAAAGGCCCTCCTCAGTCTCTGCAGCTGCGGCAGGCCGACCTTTCTGCCCGCCGGCAGGTCCACGGTCAAATGCTGGCTGCCGGCCGCGGCGAGAGGCACCGTCACCTCGCCGCCGCCGCCGTCCCCCTGCTGGTCGAGTATTCTCTTGACGATATCCTGCGTCTCCCGCTCCAGGACATACAAGTAATCGCCGCCGGCGTCTCGGCCACGCTGCACCGTGGACTGATTCGGCCTGACGGCTTTGCGCCCCTCGCCGGCCATGGCGTCCCAGAGACGATCAAAGGTCTGTTTCGTCTGGGTCTCGTCGTCGTCCCAGAGGAGAGCAAAGAGCGGGGAGTCCCAGCGGGTCATGGGGTTTGGTTCCTCGTAGCGGAAGACGAGGTTGTCCCAGTTGGCCGGCTCGTAGGGCTCCGGAGCGGCTTCGCCAGTTTGCTGCTGCCCGGTGGTGGTGGTGGTGGTGGTGTCCCCTCGCTGCCGCTGCCGCCGCCGCCTCTCCTCGTTGATGTGCCTTGCCTGGTCCACGGGGCACGCGACACGCAGTATGCAGTTTGGCGTCCTCATGGCCTTGGCCTCGCAGTGCAGCTGGTACCGCCAGCCCTTGATGTAGTTGAGGCCGTCGAGGATGACAAAGTCCCGGTCGGAGAGCAGGCGCTTGACGGCGCCGTAGAGGGCGGCGCGGGCATCCTTCTCGGACGAGTTGGCGGAGCGCGTGTGCAGCCGCACCGTGTCCGGGGAGAGGTCGTACACGGCGCGGGATATGGAGAGGGAGTCGTCGGAGACGAGATGAAGGCGGTATTTGGGAGGCTGGGTCTCTGCGATGCGCGCGGCGAGGTAGTCGCGGAGTTGCTTGGCGCGGGTCGTCTTGCCGGACGTGGGGAGGCCCGAGACGACGATGAGCTGCGAGGCGGTTGCGTTAACAGACCGACGACGTGTGTGGGGAGGGGGTGCGGGTGATGGCAGCTGACCGGCATGGTGACGGCGACGTTGTGCGTTGTGAGGCAGAGCGCAAGGCGGCGACGTCGGGACGCGCGAGGTCGAGAAGTTGCCGTCACCGGCACGTCGACTTTTTTTTTCGCGGCGGGGTGCAGTTTAGTTCGTTCAGGTCGGGGGCCGCCGAGGGAAACCTCGACCGGGCCGACCAATGGGGGGGGGGGGGGTAAAAAATGCCACCCGTCGGCTCCGGCACCCGCCCCGGCTCGCCGCCGACCAATTACCGCGCCGGCCTCCGTCGTGCCCGCTCGTCAGCCCTGCGCTGCGGCGCTACGGAAGCGCAACTTACGACTAGCCGTACCCGATGCAGCAATTCCATTCGAGCCCACTAAGCCGCTTCTGGTAACTGTTTCGACGTCCCCCAAGGGCCGCCTCGTCACGACTCACGACTCACGACGCATTTGCGGCTGATGAGCCACGGACCGCGCATGTGCGACGGGCACTATCATCATTCTCGGCTGTCTGATGCGAGATGAGCGAGTCTGGCCTGGGCGTTGGAGCTCGGAACCGGGTCGCGAACCGTGATGCCGCGTGGCCGGCGGCGTCGGTGTTGCGTATGCCTGCATCATGGAGCTGTTCATCTGCGTGCCGTGATCCGGGGCGCGGGACGTGGGACGGACACGTCTTATAAGAAGGCCTGGTTGTCTTGCGGAAGCCCGACGCTTCTCTACGTTCATTCCATCTTGTGCGGGCTTGTTACGCCTGATCTGTCGGTACGCAGTCTCTGGAGTCTGTCATGTCATACTAGCTGACATTGGGTCGTGTCCAACCAGCCCTGCGCCTAGTCGTATACCGTTTCTCGTGGCAGCTCTGTCAAGTCTCGGACAGACTTGGACAGAGTTTCTTCAGTCACTTGCAGGCTCACACGGAATCTGCCGTACATCTCGTCGCACCGGCTCCTGTACAAGCCAGCACCGCATCTCTGATATATTCGCGCCCACACCTCATCTCTTGCACATTCTCGCCGGTAGCTCACACCAATCCCCCCCCCCCCCCCCCCCCCCCATGGCTCGCCTCGACGCCTACGACATCATCTCCATCGTCGGCATCCCCATCTACGTCGTCTTCCTCCTCTGCGCCGTCCTGCTCTTCCTCAAGCACGGCTTCAGAAACTCCTCCGGCTGGCGGTACCTCGTCCTCCTCGCCGTCATCCGCATCGTCGGCTTCTCCATGCGCCTCGCCATCGTCAACGACCCGGCCAACGTATCCCTCTGGATCGGCTGGATGGTCGTCAACGGCCTCGGTCTCGGCCCGCTCGTCGTCATGCTCCTCGGCGTCCTCAACCTCGTCTTCGACGCCCTCGGCCGCCAGGGCCGCGCCGTCCTGACCCCGACGCAGCAGCGCCTCCTCAGGCTGCTGGGCCTCGCCTCCGTCGCCGTCACCGCCGCCGGCGGCTCCCAGTCCAGCTTCAGCATCCAAGGCGCCGCCGTCCACGTCGACTACTCCGCCGCCAGCCGCGCCGGCGCCGGCCTCATGATTGCCATTGTCGTCCTGCTGTGCCTCGAGGCCCTCGCCGCCCTCTGGAACCGGCGCCTCCTCGCGCCCGGCGAGTACCGCATCCTGCTGGGCGTCGTTGCCTCGCTGCCCTTTGTCGTCGTGCGCCTCGTCTACACCTGCCTGTCCGTCTTTGCCGGCGACAATGCCAACGTGTGGACGTACCTGGGCATGGGCATCCTCACGGAGATGATTGTCGTCTTCGTCACCGCCGTCTCGGGCCTCGCCCTGGATAGGACGCCGCCCTCGCAGTCCAAGAGCGACGACCCCGAGCTCCTGGCGCGTCGGCGCGCCGAGCAGCAGAGCGCCAGGCCTTGTTGAGGCTGGGAGGTGGGAGGTGGGAGGTGGGAGGTGGGCTTTGGGCTTTATTTCCTTGCTTCTCTTCCCGTCTGCCTGTATCTAGGTCGGGGTTTCTTTTCGGTTCCTCATTGCCGCGTCAGAAGGCCTATTTATCTTTCGGCATCGACGCATTGCTAGTGCCCGTCGCTCGTGTCTTTCCGGCGGATGAGCCACACTTCGTCGCATGGGTGGATTCCACGTTCCCTTTCTCGCGGCGTGACTTTGTTGAGCGACACGGTACGCAGTCAGTCTATACAACCAGCTGCGTGGGCATGAATACGCCCGCACGTAAACGTGGACGTGACGCTCCCGTATAAACTGTGACTGACCGGTCGTGAGTCGTGACTTGTCTCCTCACCCATTGCCGGCACCGTCTTTCTATTGTACTCGGATTGTCCGTCGATCCAGGCATAAGCACTTTGCTCGCAGCTTCTACAAGTCTACCGTCTACCCCCTTCCCAAGGCCCATCGAATCATATTCTCAAGCACACCGCGCGCGCTCGCCGTACCATACAGCTGGTCCCGCATGTCCAACATCCATATATACAAACGCATAGATATAACGTCTTACCAAAGGCAAGAGGTGTCCGAGTTCGCAGGACAGGGGCGGGCCGAAATGCACATTGCCCGTATCCGACGCTCATTTTTCCCAATTCACATGACCGTGCAGCAGGCCTTCTCCAACTTCCTCAGAACCTTGGGCAGCACCTTGCCGACCAGCTCCTCCATGTCACTCTGCTGCTGATTGCCGTGCTGTTGCTGTTGCTGTTGCTGTTGCTGTGGCTGCCCACCGTGGCCGGTGTGTCCCCCATGTCCGGCACCGGCACCGGCACCGTGTTGGCCGGGCTTCACAGGCTCCCCGCCCTGGAGGTTGATGTATATCCTGCCGGCGTTCTCTTCGGTCCTGTACTTGAGCCCCAGCTCGCCGCACAGCTCCTCCACCTTGGGCTTGATCTTCTGGACGTGGCCCGTGGAATGGTTCCCCTTGCCCACGATGGCGTGGAGGTGCTGCTGGCCGCGCCGCTGGCCGGCGCGGATCCGCTCTTCCAGGATCCGCTCTGCCTCCTCGACGTAGAGGCCGTGCAGGTCGATGGTGTCGCCGTCGACCTTGCCCGGGGCATTGTTCTCGCGGAAGATGTAGTCGGCTGCCTGGCGGTTGTAGTCGTCGCGTCTGGCGTAGTGCTGCTTGGACTCGCGCGAGTGCTTTTGGGATGCGTCGTGGTCGCCTGAGCGGAAGGCATCTTGGGACTAGGGCGACGGTGGATGTTAGCCGGGCTGTTTGCCCATCAGGCGAGGCGGGTGGTTATTTTGGCTTTGGTTCGTGTGCTGTGCCGGCATGTGGCATGTCGTGGCCATACTCTCTGGGACGCCTGGTGAGCCCGGTCGTTCTCGGCGCGGGCCAGGTCACGCAGTCTGTCGTATTCGCGCTCGACATCGTCGTTGTCGGCTGAGCGCAGGGCTGGGGGGGGAGCTCTTGATTAGCTTTCCGCTGCTGATTGTTGCCGCTGGCGGCTGGGAGCAAGGAGCAAGGAGCAAGAGGCAAAGGGTGGCGTACCGCGGCCGCCCAACCTCTGCATGGGGATCGCCATTGTGCCTCAGATGTCAGATGTGCGGTGCGGATTGATGCTGCTGCTGCTGGCGAGGTGATTGGTGGAAGGGCCGCGCGCGTGGCGGCAGCCGTCGTAGACCTGCGTGGCGAATGAAAGCCGCCGGTGCGAGAAGCTGGGAGCCGTGGCCGTGCCGTATATACGGTCAGGTCAATTGATTGTCAATCGATTGTTGGCTGCAGATTTCCCTTTGCCGCAGAAAAAGGTTGGCTGGCGTGGGTGCAAATTCTTCACGGCCATGGCGGCGCGCGCACACGCACACAAACGCGCACACATGATGCATCACACATGCATTGACGTGACTTGGCACTTGGGTACGTAGTACTAATCGTGCCCGCCCCACTTTATGTGGTTCGGCTAGCAAAAGCCCTCACCACCAAAGGTGGTGCTCGACAGCAAGGCGGGCCGGACACCAAGGCGGGCCAATTTTCAACCTAATAACGCTATTAACCTCTTCGCCTATAATGTACACCCTTCTCGTCCCAAATTTCTAGTAGATCTAGTACAGAATCCAGACGCCATTTACGTGCCTTTTTAGCTGCTTCAAAAAACGTCCTCTTGGCGTGGTTGTGGCGCCTTTTGTCGGCATGCTCTTTATGCTTGCTGTTCGCCTGATGAACTCGAGAAAGGTCTTTGCAAAGGCGTGATTGGAAGGAGAAACGGCGAATGGTTGACGCGACAGGTATGCATTTGTTGGCGGTGACGGGAGGGGAGCCATATGAAGAGGTGCATTATCTGTTGACTGTTTTTCTAGACCGGGAAATAAAAATAGGACATGTATAGAAAACCAGATATTACAGCCCTTTTTAAAAAAAAAATCAAAAAAATCAAAGGTCGTCACTCATTCATTGGAAGCTTCAACGAAAAAAAAAACCCCGGATGTAATTACGCAGCTCATTAAAGATCCACCTGATCAATCGCCGGCCACCATTGAGACCAGGCCCCCTGCTCGTCGAGGTTATTGCTGACTTCCGCGAAAAGCTGGTTCAACAAGGTATTAGTGTCGAGCTCGTGCTCGTGCTCGTGCTCGTGCTCGTGCCCTTGAACCGGCCAAGTCGCCTGCGCCGAGGGCCGCTCCGCGCCCCGAATCTCCCGAGTATGCGCGTCGGATCTATCCACGACACGGAACTCGTGGACAGACTGGTGTAGAGTATCAAAGTCTGCTCGTGTGCGCCCCTGGTATCGTGTCCGGTCCTCGGTTGCTCGCTCGTAGAGCACGGATGCATGGTGTATCGTTTTGATCTTGCGCGTGCCGCCCTCTCAATGTTAGCGCAACGGTGGCCACGGTCGTGTCATGCTTGCGGGCGGCTTACCCATCCGTCGGCGATTTTCCAGACAAGTCGAAACTTTTCCAGGTAGTCGAGACACATTTTGAGACAGTCGCTTGCTCGCGGGCTGCGGCCCAGGTTCATTCGGGGGTATTTCGCCACGTAGAGGTTGAGGTAGCCGGCTGAGAATGCGCAGAACCCGGCAAAGGGCGTCATGAGATGCACGCCACACTCGGAGGCCTCGTGTAGAATGGCGGCGATGTGCTCTGCCGCGCCGAAGAGGAGTCGGGAGCTGTCGTCCCACCAGCCCTCGGGGGCGGGCGCCCCCAGCATGGGCTGGTCGACTGGACCCCGTGGCTCCGACTCCGGGGTCGGCAGGAAGGGGAAGTACTCGCGGTGAAGCATGAGGGTGCTGACAAGGCGTAAGCAGGGGCGGCGGCGGCAAGTTGGGAGCCCCGTCGACCGCTACCGCTGTGGGAAGGGGATTCTTACCTCACGTAGTACAGGAGATTGAGGTAGACGAACGTCTCGCCGAAGCCGAGCGTCATGTGGACGGCCACCGAGTTGCTGGGGTAATGGAGCTTCCGATGCTGGCCTGCCCTCCAGGCCTCGAGCTGGCTTCGGGATTGTGACCAGGGCGACGCCGGGACCCAGGGGCAGTTCTGGGGTGCGCACATGCCCTTTCTGCGAATGGAGACTGGAGACTGGACCACCCCATACGTGCCACCACCAATTATCTGCACGTCCATCGGTGTCTAGGGTAGACTGCGGATCCGTCGAGGCCACTCGCAACATCCAACAGCCCAAGCCCATCAACCATCGCATCACAGGGCACGTCACTTTGCAAATGGATCTTCTCCACCGAGAACCCTGCTTGGAGATTGGGAGCCGGCAAGCCCCAGCCCCTTGGAATTGTGCTCGACGCCGTGGCACTCGGACGCCGAAATGCCTGGTCACCCATGAGTACGTGTGTGCGATTCTGTTGGTGCAACATAACTAATCAACATCAAACGCCATCCGTGCTGGCAACTCTATGAGTCATGTGCTCCGTTTTCCCGTCAAGGATATGCACAGCTGACGAGTAGTGCTATTCGCTGCTCATCGACGATTTTTTTTATTTTTTTATTTTTTGCTCGCTGGGTCGACGGACATCAAACGTGCATGTACTCCGTACGTAGTACATATTATCCGACCGAGCAGAGTACGTACTCGAGTAGGATGCTTCGGAGTACGCCGTACCCAAGCGCAAGTGGTCAACAAGACTTCCCTAACTCCACGATCCCAGGGCCCAGGGCCCAGGGCCCCGGCAGGTGGGAACGCAGAAGGCTTCTGGAAAAGTAAGAAGTCTCGATTACGGGGCTGCCGCATGAGTCCTTGACGCCTCTCCGCCCATTTAGACGAAACCCTGGCCTACCGAGTAGTTACTCCGTACGGAGCGCAGAATCGTCGATAGTAACCTGCACTCTCAGTCTGTCGGGATTCGAAACTGCCAACGGTACTCCGTATGTATGACCAAGTGAAACGCTCGCATGTCGTGTCGCCTTTGGTCCTTGACTGACGACGCCGGCTTGTAGTATAATGTCATGCATGTACCGCCTATCCCGGGACATGCGTCCGTCTCTAGGCGCTTATACTTGCTTGTCCTCTGGCTTCTTCGTGCTGTATCGGGCATATCGAGAACGAGCTCCGATCGCATCATAGACCTTTCGGGGGAGAGGGCTGATATAAATCACGCCAAGAAGAAACGATAACAGATACGTCGTTTTTCACTTGTCAGATTTTTGAGAGAGACCAGAGACAACCATTGGGGTTATATCCTTGTCAGGGGATGCATCGCCCTCAAGTGACAAGTCCATGTGGTATGCACATTGCATACTACTCCATGACATCTGGGAGAGGGGAGAAGATGTACGTACATTATGTACACAGCTGTGAGAAGCTCATGTTTGTTGTACGTCCGTACGTAGTACTTGCTGGAAATACGCTGGAAGCGACGTGTGGCAACGGGCCACGGGCCACGGCCATGCATGATGTCTCTCCCTTTGCCAATCGCCAGTTTCGCCTCAAACTTACGTCCGAAAACCAGCTTCTTCAAACCGATTTACGCAGCATTTAGCCCACGAGTGGAGTCAGCGTTCCGGAGGCTCACACAAAGCGAGGCCAGGGTAGGGAAATTGCACACGGTGCCGCCGCCGTAGCTAATTTCAGAAGCACCCACCACCTTGTTTGTCAAACGGCGTTGGATTAGTACGCATGCATGCACGGTAATTCCAGCTGGATGTTGGTTACCACTACCCATTCATTGAAAGCCACTTGTCGGCAGCAACAGCCTTCAAGAGACGCTGGCGCCCAGTCCAGACCTCTTGCAGAGAGAATGGCGGATCTCGTGGTTATGCCGGACAATGGCCGATCCGGTGCAAGAAAGCGCTCGTTCGGCACAATGTACAGAGGTACGGCACTGATGTCCGGGGCAGAATCTGGAGTTTTGAGCTGTGTCCATCGGCGGCCCTATCCAAGGAATCTGTAGTATGCTGTGTGAAATCGTGTGCTTTTTCGAGCCCTGGCGCGAATATAGTCTGGCATAGAGGGCGGCACATTAGTGTATACGTATGAATACATCGCACCCAAACATACCCAAGTACGTATTCTGCCACAGACAGTAGACAGGCCGCAGCCGTTCGTGTGCAGCTCCTCCGCATTCTACTCCGTAAACGAGACAGCAGCGTTAGTGCACTTTGTTGGGTTGGCCTCAGCAGCCAAATGCAACGCTGACTGACCCGTGGAAACTCCTGGCAAGACGGCTGAGTTGGTTGCTGATGGAAGCGGTAGCCAATGACTTCCTAGGTGCCTGGTTGAGGAGTCTCTCTCCGTTTTCGAGAGGAGGGATAACGGCCTGGACAACTGTGATCCATCTCGTTTCGTACAAAGGTGTGCAATTCATCGGGCGTCGTAAAGATCCTACTAAGCTAAGAAGGAGGCTCCAAACAGTGAGACAAGGCGCCTCATGCACTCGGCCCTGTTGTCGCTCCGCAAGCGATCCAGGTCTTTGGGTTGTTCATGTTTCGTTTCAGCGCCCCATCAACCCAACCCATCCTAGCAAAGCCGTAGTTCTCAGTCAGACAGATGCATGCCTGCCTACTCCCTATGCCTGGGCCAATTGTCAGTCACGACGTACTCCGTACCTGGGTAGTTACTCCGCACTGGTTAAAGCATTACCTGCTAAGTAAGTACTAGTAGGTAGTTGTGCCCCAAGAATGTACTCGGTAGCACGGCAATTGTGTGAGAGCATACGTATTACATTAGCTTGGCTCTGGACCAGGTTGTTCGGGGGCGAAAAAATGAGAGTGATCCATGGCTGAACCAGCCAAAGACGAGGGTCCGTGGCCGACGCGGCGCTTTTCCAATTGATACGGCCTGGCCAGGAACGCTCAATTTTTGGTCTCCAGCTGAGATACAGACTTGACCAAGCCGCAGCATGGAACACAACGATCCAAGAGGAGCCCATGGATGGTTGTGGTGATGGAGTACCCGACTCAGCGGGAAGGTTAGTCCTCCCACGAGCGGCAGTGTTGGGGAAATCGTCGGCGCATATTTATATAAGCTATCGCAAGGTGAGGTGTCGCAAGGCAAGCGAAAAAACGTGACGGCCTGGTTATTAAAAAATTTAAAAATTCTCAACTGTGACTGGGAAGTACGGAGTACGGAGCAGTCAATTGCATCAAAGGGCAGGGCCAGGCGAAATACAGGACGGCGAAATACAGGACAGTGTAAATAAATCGACGCCTCGCCGTCGTATACTGCATGCACCGCTGAGCCAGGGCCAAATGGTCCCCAGGATGTCGCCCCATTGACGGGGTCAGCGCAAACACACAGTGCAGACGGCACGCCACACACACACCACCCAACGTGACCTCCCTTGCTTTTCAGGTCCCGAATACTCCGTACGGGGAAGGTTTCATGGCCCAAGGTCGAGATGCAGAGATGCAGGCTGGGCAACGCTGCAGTCGCCCTTGAGCGGCAAGGTACAGGACAGTGAGGGAGTCTACGTTTGTCAAGAGAAATGGCCGTCTTTAGAAAAGAAGGGTACACCGTACATCCCGTCCAGCCATCTACCTGTTCAGTACTCGGGGTCATCGTCGACGCTCTCAGCGCCGATGTCTGCAAGATTGGTCTCTGCCGGCCCACTTCGGCCGCTGGTTGGCTCTTGGCATCGCCCCTCGTGCATTCACCCTGGCCACGCAAGTCAGGAGCGAGTGCCCACTTCTTTCCAATCTCACTTGCACCACACAGGCAAAGTCAAACACTGAAGCCAATAACCAATAACCAATACAAGACCGAGTGCTCCGTACTCTGTACAAGCCAAAGTCCCTTCTCTCCTCCCGACTTCCCCTTCGGCCTCCTCCCCCCTTCGCGGTTCGCAGTTCGCAGCTTCCCGAGTCTCAAGTGCTTCAATCCTCCAACCTCCAATCTCGACTGCCCCCCGACACCCTTCGCTCTCTGCCTCTTCCTCTGCCTCTGCGTCTGCGTCTGCCTCTCTGCGCCTGCTCGCCCGCCTCCTTTCCTCCTGCAACCCGACCAATCCCTCGACGTTGCCCGTTGCATTCTGCAGAGTCTGCGCTCAATTGGCACTCCCTGTTGCCAGCAGGCCACCCAACTCTGGTGAGTCAAGACGGTCGCTGCATTCTAGCCCTCCGACGCCATTTCAATTCGATTTGTGGGCGTCCCAAGACTTTCCTGTGCTGCGTTCCATGTTACGCGCCGTTGCCCTTTCACCCCCGACTCGGCTCCATCTTCCCTCGCCCCTGGACGTACGATCACGTTTCCCATGCACCCGCACGACTCGTGCTGCTCGTGCCGCCTGTCAAAATAAAGCATCTGCCCCATGGCCCCGGTCACAGCCTTTTGACTGTCGTCTCTCGATGTCTTCTCTTTCCCTTTCTGCCTTTTGAGGTTTCGCCTTTGGGTGGGTGTTGTCGACGCCTGGTCTGGATGGAGCCTCTGCCACCGTCTTACAGCCTTGTCCTCTCATCTTGTCTGCTCAGCCCCCTTTTGCTAACGTGACCGCGTTCTCGTGCAGCACCTTCCTTTCCACACGCGAAGTCTGCATCATCACGCCAGACGGCATAAGCGCGGCCTACTCGATCTTGCCGAGTTTTATTTCCAAATCAGTTGCCGCGATCGCTGAAGCGCCGTCAAAATGGGATGCGGAATGAGCACAGAGGAGAAGGAGGGCAAGGCCCGAAACGAGGAGATTGAGAACCAGCTAAAACGGGACAAGATGATGCAGCGCAACGAGATCAAGATGCTGTTGCTTGGTAAGTGATTTGCAGCAACCCATGCCGGGGGAAGTTTGCCGATGAGAATAAAACCACCTCAATTCCACCTCGGATTTCTCGTGGTCCTTGGTCCCTTTGACGGTGACATGTGTACACCCCCGATTATGATCAAGTGTTGCTAACCCGCCTTCCGATAGGTGCTGGTGAATCTGGCAAGTCTACCATTCTCAAGCAGATGAAGCTTATCCATGAAGGCGGTTACTCTCGTGATGAGCGCGAGTCTTTCAAGGAGATTATTTTCAGCAACACCGTTCAATCGATGCGAGTCATACTCGAGGCCATGGAGTCCCTTGAGCTGCCTTTAGAGGATCAACGAATGGAGTACCACGTTCAGACCATCTTCATGCAACCCGCCCAGATCGAAGGAGAGGTTCTGCCTCCCGAGGTCGGAGGTGCCATTGAAGCACTCTGGAAAGACCGAGGGGTCGAGGAGTGCTTCAAGCGATCACGAGAATACCAGCTCAACGACTCTGCGAGATAGTATGTTGTGTCCTCAACCGACGGGAAGCCCGTACCTGAATGCCTTGATGTGTCCGAAAAATAGCCGAGTCTAACTGTCAAATAGCTACTTCGATAACATCACTCGTATTGCCGCCCCGGATTATATGCCCAACGACCAGGACGTTTTGCGATCCCGCGTCAAGACGACTGGTATCACTGAGACTACGTTCATCATTGGCGACTTGACCTACCGCATGTTCGATGTCGGTGGCCAACGATCAGAGCGAAAGAAGTGGATTCACTGCTTCGAAAATGTCACTACCATCTTGTTCCTCGTCGCCATTTCTGAGTATGATCAGTTGCTATTTGAAGATGAGACCGTCAACCGTATGCAGGAAGCCTTGACACTGTTCGATTCTATCTGCAACTCAAGGTGGTTCATCAAGACATCAATCATCTTGTTCCTTAACAAGATTGATCGTTTCAAGGAGAAGCTACCCGTCAGCCCGATGAAGAACTACTTCCCCGACTATGAGGGTGGCGACGACTACGCTGCGGCCTGCGACTACATTCTCAATCGATTTGTCAGCTTGAACCAGCATGAGACCAAGCAGATTTATACCCACTTCACCTGCGCTACCGACACTACTCAGATCCGTTTTGTGATGGCGGCTGTCAATGGTATGTCTTTGTCCACGTAACCGGCTGTCACCCGTGTTTATTCCCACGCTAATTTGGATATCTAGACATCATCATCCAGGAAAATCTCCGGTTGTGTGGCCTTATCTAAACCATTTGTTTCATTTTTTGTCTTAAAACACGAATACCCTCAAGCTCAATAACGACCACCCAGGGGGCCACGGAGACACGGCTCATGATTTTTCTTTGATTGTACTCGTATCAGTGAAATCGAGAGACTTGATGTCTCTGGTTTGTTCCCCATTGCATATAATTCTTACCAGAGTTATATACTACGGCGCTCCTCTTGCATGCGAACCGAAGGCGATGTCTTTGGCTCTCGTGTGGGATCTACTTGCGCCTCCATGCACACGTAAGGGTGGGGTGGAGTTGAGGGGGAAAGGGGAGAGGCGATGCAACCATTCTACAGCATGATACCTCGTGTATCGAAATACGGCAGAAAACGTGTGTTCAGAAAGGCAGAGTGCATCGACAGAACCTCGAACGGGGAGGGAGATACTACAAGGCATCGCGAGTCAGTCAACACATCGGCGCGGCGGTGAGATACTTTGTTTTAATTACGAAAACTATCACCTTTTTATTTCCTTAGATGCTCGATATTGTCGTCTCTTGTTTGCGCGTGTCAGTTACTGTCTTTATTGCCGCCTTTCTTTCTGTTTATTTCAAAATTTTCATCTTTCTGGGGCGAGAATGGCACTCGAGACGGACCATTCGGATGTACAGGTGAGCAAGTTGGGACATGCGATGCGGCGGTTGGAAATCATGCAACAGGTGGGACATAGCTGAAGCCAGATCCAAGATCAAGATACAAAAACATACAGAAGCCTGCATGGCACACCCAAGTAGCTTGACATCCATTGCATTCACTGTGATCCACGCCTGAGGAGCACCATGGTTATAGGTGCTCGGTGAGAGAGGCAGGTGAACATGTTAGTTGCCATGCATAAATTTAGCTACGTCTTCCTATATTACGTTTTAAGAATGTCTGACTATGGACATTCAAAACGTAGTGAACCAATATATATCCCTTTTACAAAATGCCCCAGAATCGTCTCGTTTTTGTTGGTCGGGTTTGTCATGATATATGCCTGAACTGAACTTGGGGTATCGATACGAGCAAAGGTACGGCTTACTTGATGAAGAGCTGGGTATACTGCGATGGCCCGCCTTCAAGCTTGCCGAATTGTAAGGTTGTGTGCGGTGAACACGGGTCAAGGACCTTGGATTCATGACAATGGCCCGCCGGGTGAGTGGTCTTCCGCCTGACTCTGAGAAAGCTGGTCTTGTCCCAACCTTTGCTCGGCGATTGCTTCTGGGGACTGCAAATACTCGTCGTATTCCGCGAGGCGCATCCCCAATTCTTGGGCTGCAGACTCTATTCTGGCAATGTACCGTTCTTTTTTCGTCAAGCTGACGATATCCCCCACCGTCTGGCTAAGAAACTGCCTAGTTGCATCAGCCGAGAGCCGTTGAAAGATATCGGGCTGTAATGACGTGCTGGGAGGCGCCGCAGTTGAGAGTTGCTGGTATGTCGTCGCTACAGGATGCGCTGCCTGTGTGGAGGAGGCAGGGACAGCCAAGGACGAGGCAAAATGAGGTGGCTGAGGGTTGTTGTTCTCTAGTCCATCGCATCTTGTTAGGGTTGGGCAAGCGAGGCAGGGCTGACACGATTTGATCCGCAGGCCACGCAACGTACCATGAAACGTACACCTCGAACCACTCGCGTTAAACCAGCAGTTGCTGCAGCTGCCGCACATTTGGCCCTCGTACACGACACACAGGGTCCACGGGCCGTTGCGTTTCTGGCAGTTCTTGCAAGCCTGCGCAGCCACCTCGCCGGTGATGTAGGCCAGCAAAGCCTCGACGTTCCTACGCCGTTCAATGTTTAGCTTCTGATCACTCCGCCGCTGCGTCGGCTCCCGACGGGCTGGCTCGCCGGCAAACTTCCTGCAAAGCGCGCCGTCGATCCTCAGCGTGTGGCCGTATGCGTCCATGGCCACATCGGCCGCGGTTCGACTTGGCGCGTGGCAGCCGGATACACTTGCGTATTCGGTCGAGCCAGGGGAGGGAGGATGGAGGCTTTCTGAGAGACTGTGTTGGCCCAACTGCAGTCCTACCCAACCAGCTCCCATCGTCTGGTCAAACAGGATGCCGAGAGCGGGGTCGTCGCGCATTCCATGAGGGGAGGAGGCCCGGCGGCGATTCATGGCCCGCTGCGACTGGCCCAGTAGGGAACAGGCGTCGTGTTACCGGGAAAGGAGGGCCTCTCGGTGTAGGACATAAAAACAAGTACAGAACGGATGACGGATGGAGATGTTGGTTAATAGAAACTGTGATGTTGATGGATGGGAAAGTTGTGACCCGCGGGTGCCTAAGGCCCGAGGAGAAGAATTTCCTAATTGAGAGACCGCAGCTCAGTTTCTGCTCACCTTTTGTTTACCACGCAAGAAAGGAGGGGAATTACTTGAAGCCTACCAAGGTCGTCAAGTTTCTACTGAGATATATGAGCGTATGCCAGTGCACTCTTGTATTCTCCCAAATCCTTCATATACTTCAGTATAACGAACAGAAAGATATTCCGGTGTACCTGGGCCATTCGACCACCTGGTATTAGATCCGACAGCTCCGTCAGACATGATAACGCTTTGCTACGATACGTTCAACTGTCCTGTCCTGATGCTCCGTCAAATACACATGCAAAGCATCGCTGCCAATGCCATCCCATTGGTCACACGGTTATAGATAGATATTAGATTCTACCCGCGTGCGTCGTAGTACCAAGACTGAATAGCAAGATTGTGCGGCCGCTCTGAAGCATAAAAAGGAAACGATCACCTTAATCACATGCGACTAAAGCCAACAGACTGGGTATGAGGACGAGGATGTGTGTACTGGACCCTGGTACAAGCTTGGTCATAGTGCTAGGTATATATGCCCTACTATGTTTAGAACGAAGTACTTCACAGTTAGGAGTCGGCAGGCCCACGGCGAATAGTTCAGTAGATGTAGATTGCGACTCCATATTGTGTAAGCGCCCCAAACGGTTGGCAACCGACACTGTAGTTCTCCATCATAGTAGTGAAAGACACACAAAATAGGCGTATAGCCTGCCGGTGGTGCACGAATCCAAAATTGACGGCGGCACGCTAATCAGCTCGTTGGTCCCATAGCCCGTCTGCTCTACCTTCTGTAATTTCTTTCCACTGTTGCGCGAACTCCCGGAGACCCCCTTGTCCGGCAAGACTAGCATCTACAACCTCTTTTGGAAGTTTGTGAGCCGAGTACTGCGGCGTACTGAAATTGAAAGCCGCAGGATCGTCTTTTTCGATCAACCTAAGCTCAGGCAAGGAACTAGGTTCGTAGTCCATGTTGGTATCGTCATCCGAGCTATCTGCCTCAGTGTCGTTCCCACTAGCGTCTGAAGCATGGCCAGGCGCCGCTGAGCCGTAAAGCGGGTTCTTGACTTCCATGCCGAGGAGTTCTTGCCAGGAGAAGAGCAAAGTATCCGTCCGAGGGGCCCAAGGGTTGATGTCTATGAGGCGAACTTTGCCCAAGCCATCGTCGGCCACAGCGTCCTCGGGGATGTAAACGTCGAATGTGAAGCACGCATCTGGAAATGTGAGTCTCATCTTCTCTCTGAAAAAAGACCTGATCTTTCTCCATATTTGCGGCCGAAGGCCCTGCAAGAAATCATAGTAATTCAGGTCTCGCTGCGTAATGCCAATAAGTGACCGATGCTTGACAAAGCAGCGAAACTCGAGAGCAACGTGTGGCGTGAAGAATGGTCGGAGGACAAGGACGGGAGCAAACGGCCGCGACGGCGGTACGGGTGTGCAACCGTCAAACGCATGATCCAAATCGTGCGAGACGAACGACGACGATTTGAGCAGGAGGTATATATCGTTTGGTGAAGTGCATTTTAACGTGTTTTGATGTGGCGACACCCATTTGGCATCCTTGGGGGTCGACCAGTTCAGTTTGGGAGCAACGGCTCCGCCGAGTTCTTCAATAGTCTCTATGATTTTGCGATGCGTCTCAGGAAACCTCTCGTTCGGTGGCGGCCGAGGTGGCTCATCTTCGTCCTCGTCTGAGGAGTCGTCATCTCTGTTGTCTCGGGAGTTGGAGTTTGCGCCTGACGAATGCCATTCCAGATCAGTGGGTGCAACGGAGGCACCTTCGTCGGCCAACAAGATTCCGTCCTCTTGTAAGTATCCCACAAAGGACTGGGGCAGCGGAATGATCCTCGACTTCAAGGAAGAGCTTCTGTAACTTGGAAACCAAGAGTCATATGAACAGTTTTGGATGTGATCTTTGGTAACGGGAGGGAACACGAGCTCTGCGGCAGGCTGAGGATTTGCGCCCGGCCCGGGGGCCAAGTGAGGCATAGTTGTGGCTAGGTTTCAAACGAGGGTCGATGGACAAGAAAGAGCAGAGCATAGGGCAGTCAAGAGATGGCGATGGACATGTACACATCACCCGAAGACGCCGACAGGCTGAAAGTTCTCCCTCGTGGATCGACTCGCTTCATATTCCCTACAATTTATCTTGTATTCGCCTGCCACTTGCCAGGCAACCCCACCGTTATCGATTTTGCCGGCCGCGAGGGTGGCACGTCTCATTCACCGCCTACCTAACTGGGCTGCGAGGTTGTTTGTCATCTGCCTCCCCGCTACCCAGTCTCAGCAACCTTCCCATTGCATTTCTCTTCGGAAATTTGTCGTTCTAAGCAGCAAAAAGTCAATCATGTCAGAAAATGTCGGCCTATCGACTCCGAGGGGCAGTGGAACCTCAGGATACGTCCAGAGGAACCTTGCTCATCTCAAGCCCCGTGACCATGGAGCCCCATATCCCAAGGACTTGGATAGCTTGCGCCACAAGCAACGACAACCCGACAAAGGGATCCTGGAACATGATCGCAAGAGGCAAATTGAGGTCAAGGTGTTTGATTTAAGAGATAGACTCGAGGATGAGGAGTAGGTCCTCACTGCAACGACCGCCGCACGCCGCGCGCGCTAACAAAATGCCCAGGATTGATGAAGAAGTGATTGACAAACGATGCGATGAACTGCGCGAAAAACTTGTTGCAGAAATGGAATCGGGCAAGAGGGGCTCCGGACCGAGGCGCGAATTCAAAGCACATCAAGTTCATGAAATGGCTGATGCCAAGATCAAGGAAAGCGAGCGATTGAGGAAAGCACTAAAGATTAGCTCCGATTATGAGGAAGGTAGCCACTGGAAGAGACAGGAAGAACGTCTTCGAAATGCTCTCGAGAAGGAAGCGGATGAGAAGGAGTGAGGGTAAAAGTGAAGCTGGGAACAACGAATACCAAGACCAAGCCACACATCAGCTCGCATTCAAAGGCACAACATCTCGACGGGTCATCTACCTCCACTTTCGACCTGAAGAAGACGGCTGATACCCCCTCAACGCGTCGAAGCATGCGGTGTTCAGCCTACTTGTCGCAGGGCTAGCAAAGTTGACCGAGGGGGGCAAGGATGGAGATGGGGACTGTGGACGAACCAGAAATACCTCCCGTCTAGAAGTGGACGAATCCTCCGCACTGTGGAAACTCTAGGATTTCGACGCGATTAAGTTGCGGCGCATGTGAGATATGGCATGAATGGTGCGACAACTCAGGAGTGAGATGAGGCGCTATCAAGGATCCTGATGGCCGCGTCGGTTGCAGCGTCTGGATGAAGTATGACTGCAATAGTATTACCGAGTTCTCAATCCAAAAAAATGTTTAGAATGTTTTTGACCCGTCATGACAGGCAGCCGTTGTGTCGGCGATGGGTTCTCGGGCTCGGGTCTCCGTTGTCTTGGAAGGTGGCCCGTCACTGGTCTGATGGCTGCTTGAGAAATGAAAAGATTGACGATCCTGCAGTCCAGAGTCGTACCCATCAGGTTGTCTTAACCCGATCCCTGCCCCGGTCAACGCTCGCATGAACCTGGTAATAATATACTCTCTGCTGGCCTGATGTCTGATCCAATCTGACAAGTTGGACGAATCACACCGAGTTCCCTCGAGAGCGTGGAGTACCCAAGACAAAGAAAAGACGAGACCATTCCGTCGAGGCTACTCCGTAGTCGGCATCTCTTGTGAGTCTCTTCCCAATCGCCACGATATTCCTGAGGAGCGACACCACGGCCGGCGAAGCGCCACTCAAGCCTTTGCACCATGCTGTTGAGGCTCTCTATTGTGCTGGCCCTTGCATCCTTGAGCCCACCAACTGATGCCGGACGGACGGGGCGGACCGACTTTGAAAGCCGTTGCTTGTCCTTTGAGCCGGAGACGCTGGTTGTGAACTCCAAGCTGATGCGCCTCGCCTATGTCGCCAAAGGGACGGCTCTGGAACTTGCAGACAATGACGCATCATGCAACAGGGATTCGCAGCTTGTTGCCGCCAACATATGCAGGATAGCCCTGTACATTGAAACATCGAAGCGGTCGGATATCACCTTTGAGCTCTGGTTGCCCGAGGCGTGGACCGAAGCGAGATACATATCCACTGGCAACGGTGGTGTTGATGGATGTCAGTTTGCCCTCAGCTTCCCGTATCAGAATGGGCAAACTCGGATCAACTCAAAGTCTAACCCCGGCAGGCGTCAAGTACGAGGATCTGGCGTATACGACTGCCAATGGCTTTGCGGCCATGGGGACGAACAATGGCCATAATGGCACTACGGGCGTGCCATTCCTGAATAACCCTGATGTTGTCGAGGATTTCTCATACAGGGCGTAAGTCAGTCTCACACCTTTACTCGATGCTGGACTGGGTGAGAAAAGGGGGCTAACTGCTTGTTGAATTATTTGCTATTCTCACTTGTCAGCCTTCACACTGGTACCACAGCGGGCAAGTTGTTGACGAGCAGATTCTACAAGAAACCGCCTGCTCACTCGTATTACATTGGATGCTCTTTGGGTGGTCGCATGGGCGTCAAAGCCGCCGAGGCCTTCCCAGGTGACTACGACGGAATAGTCGCCGGGTGTCCTGCCGTTGACTTTCTTCACCTCCAAGGCGAGAGGGCCATGTTCTATACCATCACCGGTCCCGCCGGCGCGCCCAACTTTGTTCGCCCAGAGCTGTGGACCGGCCTCATCCACGATGAGGTTCTCAGGCAGTGCGACCTTATCGACGGAGTGCAGGATGGAATCATTGAAGTACCAGACAAGTGCCACTTCAACCCCGAGGCCCTGCAGTGTCCGACGAGGGCCAAGTGCCTCAACTCCCAGCAAGTGCTGCAGCTGAAGACAATCTACGCCACGTACAAGTACCCGGACGGCAGCCTCATATTTCCTCGCATGAATCCAGGCAACGAACAGCAAGCTGTAAATAGACTACTTGCCGGGAGACCCTTCAGCTATTCTCAGGTGCGCATCCTCGTCCGCGCCGGAGCCCGTCGACACTCACTGACGGCGTAAATTAGGACTGGTTCCGATACGTTGTCCTCAACGACTCGACCTGGGATCCCATCAACTACAATTCCTCCCTTGCGGCCCTAGCTGACGCCCAGAACCCCTTCAACATCCGAACCTTCCCCAACAGCCTCCCTGCGTTCAAAGCAAGAGGCGGCAAGATGATTAGCTACCACGGCGGTCAGGACAATCAGATCACAATGTTCAACACGGAGCGTTTCTGGGACCACATGGCCGAGGAGGATCGCGACTTGCACGACTATTACCGCTTTTTCCGCATCTCCGGCATGTTCCACTGCAACGCCGGGCCGGGGGCGTGGGCGTTCGGACAAGGCGGTGGCGCTCCGGCAGCAGGGATCCCGTTCGAGCCCGAGACGAATGTGCTTGCCGCCATCGTTGCGTGGGTAGAGGAGGGGAAAGCCCCCGAGACCTTGACGGGGACCAAGTTTGTCAACGACACGGTGGCGCTGGGCGTCGATTTTCGGCGTAATCATTGCTTGTAAGTTCCGTGCCGGGAGTTGAGGGGTCGGCGCACGGTGCTGACATGTACAGATATCCAAGGACGCAGACTTATGTGGGTGGAAACCATAGACAGGCTTCAAGTTGGAAGTGCGTGTAATGTGGGTTCACTGAGCGTTGATGTCTATTCAAGACGTCGAACCCTCCTGCTCATTTATGAGATGAGTGCCCGTTCCATCGCAACTGAATCTCATCCACTTGTTTCACCATGGCCTTTTCTATTGTGTCCGCCCTGCTCTTATCCCTTGTTGTTGGCCCGAACACGACGCTCGCAGCTCGCAGCCCTCGTGGCCGTGTAGAGGAAACACACGACACTACGACAGAGCGTGGGCAAGGCCCAAATCAACTCTACAAGGTGATGGAAATCGATTGTCCAGACGGTACCGTGAAATATGATCTTGTACCGTACAAGAAACTATCAGTACTGGCAGAACCTTTCAGTCCATTAGTGTACCAACTTCAACGTGCGCATGCCTGCTTCTGGTGTTGCTACTACTAGAAACTCAGTGTGTGCTTAATGACCAAGTTGGAATAACTTGTCAAAACTGCCCTTCCGAATCAAGTACGTACTTGGGATGGCCGCACACGTAAGGGTGAGCGGGTATCTGATGATCAGTCTTCCCCGGCTCACGACACTTTTCCAGCAGCCCGGCTCGCAGGTTCGTCCAGAAGAGACTTTCCACGAAGATTCATGATCGGGGGACGCGGCGACATGCCTCAAACATAGACAGACTCTCCACGAGCACGGGATCGTCCGAAAGAGATTCGGTATCGGAGTCTGGACAGGGGTAGAAGAAAGTGTCGCACCAAAAAACGGGCGTGGCCACGCCACTTTACTTACTGCGACAGAAAGTCGGGACGTCCAACTAAGCCTGTTTTGGCATCGAAGATGTGGCGTCCACGCTTCAGCCACAGGGACGCCCAACCGACGACGCCCCACCAACTCGAAGGCTGAAGCTTCCCGGGCACTTCACTTCAGCTCCGAGACTTCACACGTCACCAATTCCCGACGACATCGCGACTTCAAGTCTGCCAAACCGCTTCCCCCTCGTGCCAAGGATGGCCCTTCTGTCGCAGGACCCCCCTCTTCCAGACGCTGCATCTGCGCTCCCAGAAACCGCTCTCGCGGAATTGACACTGTTGCTTTTACGATTGCAGAACAACCTTCTACATCCAACTCCATCCCGAGAGAGACGACTACGAACGAGCGAGTGCGAGAGGGCAAAAGCGGAGGCGGTAAGGTGGACTGGAAGCTCAGACCTGGCGCCGAGGCTGACGAGACGACGCGCAGAACCTCAACTATGCACGGAATGTCTTGACGAAGCTCGAGCAGGATGCCCTCCGTCTAAAGGCCCCGGCGAGGAGGGCCGAGACGCAGAGTCTCTTGAATGTGAACCGAGATCGACTGGAGACGCTGCTTGACCGACTGGAAGACCTGCGACATGTCAGGCTCATCTACCGGCCCCACGGCACGATCATTGCTGACACTCGCGCAGATCGCGCGAGACGACGACGACGGCAGCTCAGACGAGGAGGATCTCCTGGGCCATGTTATCTCCACGCCGGGCGAAAGCATGGACTCAAGGTCCTCGGACACAAGAGACGAGCCCCAATCTCTCGAGACGCCGCCCGAGCCTCCAACCCCGGAGCCTGAGCCTGTTGTTCCCCACGAGACGCCCCGGCGTGCACCGTCACCGTCGCCGTCACCGTCACCGTCACCGACCCCAGTCACCCCTTCACAATCAACTACGCAAATCACGCAGACTCTGCGGTCGCGCTCCTCTGCCCGGCCCACCCCGCCGTCGTATACCACCGCCACAGCGGCCCTCTATGCGAGTCGTCCCAAACCACCCGAACCGCAAACGACCACCGCCACCGCCAAGGCCATTCTCGATAACCAAAAGGCCGAGCAGGACGACCTATCGCGTTCCATTCTTCAGCTGGCAGGCGCCTTGAAAGAAAGCTCGAAGCGGTTCGCGATAACCCTGGAGGCTGATAAGGACGTGCTCGAGAAAACCGGCGAGGGCATGACCAAGGCGGAGCAGGGCATGCAGTTTGCCGCCGGGAGGATGGGCAAGCTGCGGAAGATGACGGAAGGCCAGGGCTGGTGGGGACGCATGATCTTGTATGCGTGGGTTTACGGGCTGATGTTGAGTCTGGTCTTGTTGGTGTTTCTGATGCCCAAGTTGAGGTTTTGACACGTCACGAGCAGCGAATGGAGGAGCTAACAGATCGGCTTGGCTTGTCCCTGTCTATTTACGTACGTACGTATGTACGTATGTATGTGTGACCCGCCGGGAAAGGGGAAACGTCGCATCAATTTGCAAATCAATGATATCATGATGGAAGCTCTTCTGTCCACAGCAAGTCTGTGGTGAAGCAAGCAATGGGCAGTTCTCCGTCCTCCGCGTCAACTTGCTCCGCTTTCTTCTCGAGTGTCACCAGCTGTCGTCCGCCTGCGAAATTGTTCCTCCTGTCCACCGGTCGTTGGGGCACCGCTTCCCCCGTCATGCGCCAACGCCGTCATGTCATGTGAGCCTTTGCCTCTGCGCCGTGTTGGATCCAAGATTTCCCACGCTCTGTTATTCTCTGTCCCTTGGTGCCCAGATCAATACTTGCCTCGTCGAATCGCTCGTCCGCACGAATTGTCGCCTTTGTTGATGACGTCCTCGCCTCACCGCCGGTGGCATTCCCAGCCTCAGTCGCGGAGAGGTTCTCGGTGCTCGTTGCCAGAATCAACGCCCGTTTCGCAGCCGCGTGGCACTTCGCAGACGCCACTCTGAGCACCGCGACCGTCTTTCACGCCTCTCTCCTGATCCTCCGCCGCGGCTGTCTTCTCTGGATTTAGCCCCCTCAACGCCCTGTTCAGCTCGAAACAAAAGTAGCGGGACCACAGCTTGTCTCTTCCGGTCGATTTCCCCCCCGTCTATTCGCAGTTAGCCGATTCAGTGAAAGCCCAGGCAGGGGGGTGGACGCGGGAAGACGCACCGGGGGCGTGTACTGGAAATACTCGGCGGGCATGGTGGCGTCCCTGATGATTCGCTCCGACCAACGAATCCCCGTCTTGAGCTGGAAAAAGGCCTTGAACGCGCCCATCTGAGCACGCCGCAAGGTAGGGAACTCCGTCTCTCGATAGTAGTGGGGTTGGGTGTCGCCCTTGGACTTGGAGTATTTCGCCGCGAACCAGTATAGGTGCGGTTTGGCGTTGGACTCGTAGAGCTGTGCTTCGAGTCAGATTGTCTGCGCGAGAGGGCTTGCACGCCTCGTTCGTGGGGGGGGTCCGGGTCGTGGCGAGTGAGACGGGTGAGCTCGACCTTGTACGAGAAGAGCAGGTCGTCGACGAAGATTTGGTAAAGATCTGGCAAGGCATTAGCGACCGCCTGCGACTGAGGACCAGGCAACGGGCGGGAATACGGACTAGGGTCGATGAATCGCCTCGCCAGTCGTCTCCCCTTTTCGAGCCGCATCATCCTTTGCTCCTTTCGTTTCCTCCTGTTGTGCCCGGCGCGGAGGTCGTGGTCTTCTTCTGGCTGGGCGGCTTCTTCGCCGCCCATGGAAAGGAGGAACCATTCGTAGCGAACAATGTGGCACTTGTGCCCTAGGGCTTTTTTGACTGGGAATTGTTAGCAAGCTCTTCTTTTTGCGTGGCCAGAGCGGCCGGGGCTCTGATCGGGATTCGTCATCACGAACCAACTGGGTTCTCGGCTTTGAACTGTTCGTCAGAGCAGAGAAGGTGGGTGACGCTTTCGTCAAACGTGGTCGTGAACTCGCCCTTGCGTAGCTTGGCCCAGTGCTTGAAGTTTTCAACCGTGTTCTTGTCGGGCAGAGGACCGGCGGCAGCTATGATCCTGCCCTTGAAGATGGGCTGGGGACTTGAGAATGAATCGCGCGGCATGGCGGAGGTGGAATGGAGTGGTTGTGCAAATGTAGGGGAATAAGCTCAGATCAAGATCTATCCAGATATTTGGGAGTGTCCAAGTCCGATTTCTTTTCAGATATGAGTCTACTGGAAGATTCTCTGGCCTGGGCTTGATCTTGTGAAAGCCAGAGGAGTATGTCATGTTGAAGGGAGTGTGAACGCAGATCGGTCAACTTGGTGCCAAGGTCGCAAATATGAACGGCGAATAGAGAATAGGAAGTAAAGTACTATGATATGCGCTAAATTCCAAGAGGCCCGAGAAGATTAAAAAGAGGCAGTAGGCCTAAACGTCTCCTCGATTCTTCGTGTACGTGCTCCGTTTGTGGAATGGGCGATGCTTTGACGCAGAGCCAACCTGAGCTCATGGGACAGAAGCACCATCTCTGCGGACAGATGATGAGCAACATTACCACGGGCAGTCAAGTTCCCTTACCTTGGGCGCCATTTTATTGCCTTATATCATCCTGAGCAACTGTTGCCTTGCGCGCCTTCTTCGCGCCTGGCTTGGATAAACGCTGGATACTCACGTCCACATTGAACAGATCGCTTACGATGGTGTGAGGATGCCACGTTCATACATACGTACCACGGTGATGAGCTTTCGAGTTATTCATTGAGAAAAAGAGGCGTGCAGCAGAGAATGACGGCAGCCAAGCTGTAGCAGCGGGAAGGCATGAAACTAGGCTGGCAGACTGACGACAAGGAGACATCTGCTACAAAAAGAAGGTTAATTGCCACCCAGCACATTCTTTACCGTCTTTCATAGACCTGGGAGTTATCGAATCGTCTTGCCAGCTTTGACAAAAGCATCGATTTTCTCAAGACTCTGCTCGCCACCTTCCTCTACACCACTGCTGACATCCACGCCAACTACACGATCACTGACGTCTCCGAGCGCCTTGACTGTTTCGGCCACGTTTTCGGGGTTCAAGCCGCCAGCAAGGAATACTCGCAGATCAGGGTCCCCTTCCAGAGCCGCCTTCACTTTAGAGACGTCTAGCAGCTTTCCAGACCCAGCACCTGGGTCGAGCAAAGGAATGGTGTGATAGCCACGCAGTCCTATTCCGACGTTGTCTGCCTTGAATGATCGGATGACGGGGACGGGGATGAACTTTGCCCACTCGATGGGCTCCTCACCATGGAGCTGCACCAAATCCAGCTTGTACTGTCGCTGTTTCTCCAAGATTTCACTGAGGGGTTGATTCTGGAACACGCCTACCAGCCGCGTCCTCGAGCTTTGCAGACGATCTTCTGCGGCGGCGAAAAAGTCAGTAGCTCCGCTCTTTGAAATCGGCTCTTCTTTCCTGTCCGCCAGGTTGTCCCCTGATGCGTGAACAGCTTTCGAGATGGCCAAAGCAGAATCGTGTGAGACACACCGCTTGGTGCCGGGTACCAGGATGATCCCAACGAAGTCGGCCTTGGATTCCACTGCCTGCTTCGCCGCCTCAAGACTTCGAACTCCACAAACTTTTACAAAGAGGGGCCTCGGCTGTCGTTTCTTCATTGCAGGCTTGGATCCTGAGCACAATTCCGCAATAAATGATGTGGCATCTGGCGCTCGCATGATCGACTCGCCAACAAGAATGGCCTTGACACCATCGTTCTTGCATGCAAGCACATCCTTGTAGCTGTTGATACCTGAGAGAGCACAGATGACGGTGTTCTGGGGAACCATCTTCCGCAGTCGGCCGGTTGTGCCCATGTCGACTTCAAAGCTCTCCAAGTTTCGATTGTTGACACCGACGACTTTCGAGCCGAGCTTCACGGCAATTTCCATTTCCTCAGCAGTTTGTACCTCTACCAAAGGCTCCATGCCCAACGAAAGGGAGTATTTGTACAGTCGTTCAAGGAGTTCGGTCTCAAGCATCTTGACAATCAGAAGCACAGTATCTGCACCGGCCAGCCTTGCTTCCAGAATTTGATATTCATCAAAAATGAATTCTTTTCGGAGAATGGCAGGCCTGTTTGGCATACCATCGAGGACTTGCCGAACGGCACGGAGATCGTCAATACTACCCTTGAACCACTCAGGTTCGGTAAGCACTGAGATGACACTTGCTCCAGCCAAGGCGTACTTCCTGGCCTGCACTGGTGCGCTTATGTCAAGGGCAAAAATTCCCTTGGACGGAGAGCCGCGCTTGATTTCAGCCATCAAGGACACATCAAAAGGCGTCTGCTTAAGACGAGCCAAGAAGGGGACTAGGGGAGGAGCAGCATTCAAGTTGTAGGCTGCTTCAAGATCAGACATCCTTTGAGAAGGGATCTGCTTTTGAATCTCGACGGCTGCTCTCCGATTTGCGTATATTCTTTGGAGAATGTTGTTACTCACTGCTGGTGCAGCTGTAGTGGTCTCGTTGACTGCGGCTGTCCTCTGCAGCCTGGCATTCTCTTCCCAGGTTCCACCCTGCATGCGCAAGAAGTTCTTAATGATTGTACGGCCATGGGCTGTCAGAATGCTTTCAGGGTGAAATTGTACACCCTCCATGGCGAATTTCTTATGGCGGACCCCTTGGATGATGCCCTGCGAGCCGTCATCCTTGGCCACCCAAGACGTCACCTCCAAACATTCGGGAAGTGTCAGACGGGTGCCCGCCAAAGAGTGGTATCGGGTTACAGGCAGGCCTTGTTCAAGACCGGCAAAGACACCCTTCGAATCGTGGGTCAATGGCGATGTCTTGCCGTGGAGCCATTCCCCGGCAGAGTCGACCTGGCCACCATAGACATCAAACATGCATTGCCTAGGGAGTGTTAACCTTCTTCCCTAAAAAGGGGAAGACGAAAATGGAGATAGCTTCTCACAGTCCCATGCAGACCCCAAAGATGGGAATCTTGCCGGCAAAATGTCGAATGGCGTCCCTGCTGACACCAGAGTCGGTGGTAGGATGGCCAGGGCCGGGACTGATAATGAGCTGCGTTGGGTTCTTTTTTACCAGCTCGTCAATAGTGATTTGGTCATTACGAAAAACATGGACCGTAGCACCCTCGAGAACCAGGTATTGATAGATATTCCAGGTGAAGGAGTCATAGTTGTCAATGAGGATGAGATTAGACGCCGTGGCTACAGGAGGCGAGGGCTCCGGCTGGTGGGGCGAGTGGTCAACGAGAGCTGGAGTGGTCATCGTGATGAGAAAAAAGCACACAATTGCCAGTAAGATGACGGGGCAGGACTGTTGAAGTTTCAGACAATGCTGGCCATCCGCGCTGATGGAGAGGGGAATGTGCCAGTTTATCAGTGCTGTGAGTCAACAGTTGTCCGATGAATGATTGGGCACCGTTGCAACGAGGGAATAAAAAAAATTAACTCAGGGCATCGAATAAAGTAACGCACTGTCTACACACATACACGAGCTGTGAGGTCTCACAGTCTCATCTGACAGTGCGCATTCTTCGTGGTTGCCTCCGATTGGTCTGGGCACGTCGCGGAGATGCCAAGTTGCATCCCGAGCATGGTTTTGGCAGGCTCCCGTCCCTGGCCGGTTGAACATCGGCACCACCTTGAGCTCCACTTGCAGCCGGGGGAAGAAAAGAAGTCGACTCCGAAGCGGCATGGCTGCAGAGCTCTGCAAGTACTCTGTACGGAGTACCTAGTAACTAATCCGTACTCCGTACTTGCGACTTATTAGTACTGGTAGTACTGCGTACTTAGTACTCGGTAGGTCCTTGCCGATTGCTCAGCTCGCGACAAGCAGCGCGTCAACACCAATTGACCCCTTCGTCACCAAACCGCCCTGGGTGATGCATCGCGTGCCACTGCCACTGTAGTGACGCTCGTGGCAATGGCGCCCGTGTCCGATAGCAATTATTTTCCCTCCCTGGGAGACTGCTTGTCCGGGGAGCGAGTCCTCTTGTGAGTCCAGCCCGCTGCAGCTGACTACCTCTTGCTTTACTAACACCGGCTTTTCTCACAGATCTTGGAGGCATGTGGCCACGGCGTTGGCCGACGAGTCGGGCAGAAGGCAAAGATGCACCGAGGTTGTCAGCTTCTTGTCCGATGACTATGTCCACGCGCTCTTGAAAGATCCCTCTCTTGCGTTTGCGCCACCTAGCGAGGCTGCAAGGAAGGACTTCGAAACAAAAACGGCACCCATCAACGTTACCTCAGCGTCGGCAGAACGATACGATATCAAATTGCTCAAGCAAGATGCCGAGTGGCTGAGCAAGAGCGCAAGACTTAATTTGGTTGCTGCATTGCGAGTTGCCGCATTAGAGGTGCAATCGAGGCCAAATAACCATCTCATGGGACCGCTCTCGTCTCAGGACGCAACAAATCTTCAGGAAGCCGCCGGTCTTCAGAACGGACGGAGTACAACCTTCATGTCAGACTTTGGAGCTGGAAACGCTCGAGATGCTGACGAGATCTCTGCCGAGTTTGATACCGATGATTCGAGAAAGCGCCGGCTTTTCAGCACGTTTCTGACCGAGCGAAGATGTTTCATCATGACTATGGACTACTTGCAATCAATCAGACTGTATGGGAGGCTGCCGATATTTACCTCTGGCAAGGACAAAATGGCAGCACTCTACAAGCTAAAGGCTTCGTCAAATACCAAGGACGAGAGCGTATCATTCCTGTCCGCCTATCTCAAAATCATCACTTCCAGCACGACCAGTCTAGAGGCTGGCCTCAAGTCGGTAACAGACGAATCTGTCCTATTGAAGGACGATATTGAAATGGATTGGCTGGCAACTCTCCTCACCGAGGTCATCCATTCTCAGTCTGTGGTTTTCCAACTGGTAGACTGCCTTGGGAATGACTTCCCACCCTCCAGTGTCATTAGCCAGTGGTTTTCTTTGATGGACTTGTACAACTTTTTCGATACCCTTCAACCTGTTCGTGAAAATGGCCATGTCACTTTCTGCATCTTGATTGCTAACCAACAAACTAGATAAATCAAACGATTGACGAATTGGTTCTGCCACTGAAGACAATTGCTGTGGCTGTCTCTATCAGCCTTCTCAAACCCGCTCGGTCCCTGACTTTTTTGGCCGAGAGAGAAGAGGAGCCGACCCCGTCCGATGACATGTACGATTCATACTTGATACTGTCAGACGTCTTGGAGCAGGTTCATAAATGCGTTCTCAACGCGGCCGGCATAGATTGCGAAATTGCTACACCCGTCATCTTTGCCTGGACCCTTCTTCTTCACCGCATGAACGTGTCATACCAGAACCGGACCGAGAAGAGGGATAATTTGTTGCAGCAGAATGCACGCGAGACTTTCGAATCTGGCGGTGTCGTCCGGCCGATGGTCCGACGCAACTCCGCGGGCAGCATATTTTCCATTGAGTCATCCAAGTTTGATGGCTTTCTTGAGAATGGAACAACAGCTAAAGATCTACAAGTTGTCGAACAACTTGCATCGGCCGCTACGGCGCATGGAAAGGTGTTCGAAATCATATCACACATGGCAGACTGCCTCGGTTCTTCTCCCGGAGGTAGCATGACGCCTTTGCTTAGCTCCCGCATGAGAACCTCATTCCTTGAACTTCTAAAGGTGTCATATCCCATTGTTGGGTACCAGTCCGAGCCAGTCAGCGCTCTTCTTTCTCTCCTCTCTCCTGGACGGGAGTACTGGCAATTGTTGCCGGACAAAGATCTTGGCTTCGGTCAAGATGTCATGACCAGCATGCTCCAAGATGACTACACCATGGAATTCTACTTCCAGCAAGCTCTTGACCGGTATCCATATGAGTTCATGCCTTTTATCAGCATGTGTAAAGCACTTTGCACCGCGTCCGGCGATTCAAGTAACGAGGACCGCTCCAACTTTATCCTGAGTCTCTTGAGAAAAACGCCAAGCTTGACCTTTACCCTCCCAGACACCTTTCAGTCATATGAGCTGGTTCAAGAAGACGAAAACACCAATTCGTTTTGCCTGTTGGAAGAGTTGCCCCTGATATCGCTGTCATCTTCATGGAGCAGACGATACATTGAGAACGATGCTTACAGGCTTCCGGTTGGAAGTTATGGACGATTTATTACTGACACCGGCAGAGTTGTACTCATGGACTACAAACACTCGTCACTGTCACTTCTCGGAAGGCGATTGGAAATTAATCTGATGAAAGAGGGATATCGTTGTGAGTTGGGGATGTTACAGCCTGATGAGGTTGCCGAGGTTATATCGTTATTTGCAAACCTCCTCCGCATGGAGTATTTTCATACTGGACCTGCTTCTAGCACCGCTCTCGTGCATGGCGAGGGTGACATCCTGGCCGAGATCAGCAAACACATCAGTGGTGGCAAAGATGTGGTGACTGTCGTTTGCGAAACTATGGACTATTACATGCAGGATGAGCTCGCTGTGAACGAAGAAGCCGCAGTAAACGTTTTAACGGCATGCGTGAAGTTTTTGGATGCTATTCTACGTTCTCGACCAAGTCGAGTCTGGTCTTACTTGGCTAGAGGCGAGCTGCTCGACTCCGATTCTAGAGCAGGGAAACTGTCCAGAATCACCGGCAACCTCGATTTGGTTTCAGAGAGATTCGATTTTCTGAATTCTTCACTCCTGCTCTTCTCCGGGCTGATTGATACGGCAATGACATCAGCCGTACAGCGTCGGACTGGCAACAAGATGGTCTCGAGGCAGAAGGCAGATCTCAACCCCTGGCTGGGGACTGCAGACAAGGTGCTGACCAAAGTGAGTCTGTCTATTGCTCACGCGTCGGTGGATGCTTTTGAGAGCACATCTACTTGGAGGTTTGACGAAGCAACGAGGCGCAAACTGTTACTGGACAGTATCGTATCTGTTCTGAATAAGCTGGTTACATACAGCTACAGCATGGGAGAGTCGCCGACATCTGACAGTTTAACTGCCTGCCTACGGCCGGCTGCGTCATATGTCATTGATTGTTTCATGACTCCAGCAAGCGGAACACTTCGATTCCAGCCGATTCTCTCGTCGTTGATCGATGCCGTCGCAATGCCCGAGTCCACGCTATATTATACGCGAAGCGCCATTGCTCGGCGCCAGGCCAATTCTACCTTGCGTTTCTCCACAACTCTCTTGAGAGCAGCTAATTACCTAGAAAGGTCCTCCACGATGATCGAAACCTACCTTTTCAAGAGCTCCACACTCTTGGCCCGACTGTGTGCCGTCTCTGATGTTTTCAGAGTAGGCGCTATCAACCTCCTTGAGTCCCTCATCATTAACGCAGCGTCGGCTGCTTCCGAGCCGCCGTCCCTCCTTGGGTATTTGGGGCCTCAGACCTCCAAATCTTTCCTTCAGGTCTTAGCACATATCGGACGGCCGTTTAATTTGACATTGGAGGTCGGCACAACATGGCGATTTTTTTCATCCATCCTTCGCAACAGACAGCAATGGATGTCAAACTGCCTTCTCACAGGACTGACGCCACGAGAGGCTATGAGACAAGAGACAAAGAAAGGCGATCTCTCGGCAGATTCTGTATTTGCGACCGCCCTCGAAAGGTTGAAGAGACTGAAGGAGCTAGAGTTTGAGGAGGCTCTCGCTATTTTAGATTTCGTTGCCTCCGCGCAAAATTACTGGCCATGGACGGTTTTCACTCTACTCAAGGACACCTCCTACACTGACGGCCTGCGGGAATATGTGCGGGACCTAAGGCCGTCTCATTTGACAGTCAAGTCAGATGCTCTCAGAACAGCCGTGGATGCCAGAATAGCAGCATACGTTGCAGAGACCTTGGCGATGCAAATTTATCATTTACGGCATCAAGGAGGCTCCGAAGCTCTTGCAAAGAGCCTGGTTGGCGACATGGATTACTACATTCGAGATGGCGTGGGAGTGTCTGGGTACAATAAGTCTCTGCACAGCAATTTTGCAAACAACTTTGCCAACAAGTACTCTGGATGCTCGCTGGATAACTTCAAAAGGACCGTTCTCGAGCCTCGCCAACTAGGCAAGAATTACTACTACGACTTGGATCGTGCCACCGACATGCTGAGTTTTGACCCTGGCTGGCTAGGGGGGAAGGACAACGGCTTCAAAAATGAAATGGAGCTGGCGAACGCGAATCTGTCTCTGGTTGATGCTCAGATAGTAAGTGCAAATTTTGAATTGGGGAATTCACAAATCAAAAACGCAACACCGACTGACGAAACAAAAAGGCTCTATTTCATGCTTGGGAGTTCTTGCTGGTAGAGTTGAGTACCAGCTTACCCAACGACAAGACGATAGCGAAACAATTATTGCAGGTCGCTCAACAGTGTTTGAATGCGAACCAAGGTGTGCCTGGGCCTGAAAGTATCTTTGTTAAGCTCATCGATAGCAGGGCAAGACTAGCTCTTGTCTTGGTCCAGCGACTTGCCAAAATATCCATCCCGGTTCATGATATCAATCAACTTCTCGGCACTCTCACAGGCACTATCCACGGTGTCGTAGAGCCTTTTGCCAAGGAATCGATTGCATATTACCGTACGCTGTTGAAAGCTCTTTTTGTCACTCTACGCTCATACCGTTTTTCCGATCACAATGGACTGTCTGAACCTTCCGTCAATCTAGGCAGTTCAACTGTCACAGTCACACAAACCGTGCTGAATTTGTTGGACCACATTGTCGGTCAAGGGTTTCGGACACTTATCAGCCTCATCCATGACAACGATTCGGACACGTGCCCCGAAGACCTCGGCCTTTTGACGGCAATTCTGCAAGCCTGCTTAAGCATGCCCAACATGGACCAGTCACAAACACAAATTCTCAACATTATGGCGGCACACGATGTGGTCAGTGCTGCTACGTCATTGTTTTCCTGGGCAGATAAACTGGCATGTCAAGGCGACCCAGTATATGGCGAGCTGAGCATACTGTTCCTGCTCGAACTGTCTACTCTGCCTCTCTTGGCGGAACAACTAGCCTGCGACGGCGTTCTTGGTAGTCTTCTCTCGGCGAACCTGTCAAAGTACATGCTCAGATCTACAATATCGCCCTACGCGGAGGCACTTGTTGCACAGCGATGCTATGCCATATGGGCGAAGGGCTTTCTTCCTCTGATGTTGAATATGCTGGCGTCGCTCGGCCCTACCATTGCTCCCGAAATTACATATGTGCTGAATCAATTCTCACATGTGCTCGAAGCTAGCGTGGGCCGATTCGAGGCACCGGGAGCCTCGCGAACCAAACCCAAGTCGACGCCACAGTGTCTCACGCTGCTAGCAACATACGAGATTCATTCTCTGGCGCTTCTCACAAGAGTGTTGTCTGCCCTACGGGCCAATAATAACCGGGACATCCCTGCAGTCGAATGGGATGCTGCTAGTCTCTTGGAAAATGTTGAATTCTGGCTTTCAAGCAAGCGGCTACTTAAAGAACGACTCCTTCCGTTGGGACCTCGCGAAACTGAATGGAGGAACACTCGGAAGGAAACTGGAATCTCTGGCGACAGCGAAAGCCTATTGGAAGAGAAGGTTGTTTCGCAGCTCGAGACGGTACGTGACGTCTTGAGCGAGGAGCTAGAGAGCTAGAAGTTGGAGAAGCGACTCTTGCTTGGATCAACGTCCGACACGTTGGCTCCTTCGTAGCGCCTTTTGACTTTGCAGTGGGCATCATGATTAAATCGAGAGAGTATTTTGATAGATAGCGGGACGTGCTGGGCCTAGGCGTTGGAATAAAAGGAGACCGCCTTTCTCACTTGTGAGACACGGTTGTGTCGTGTGGGCATGAATCATTTGAAAGGTAGCCAGTAGCAGGATGCAGATCATGCTGATTACTGGCAACTTCTTTGGACGACTTGGGGTGATTGATTTGATAACCCCAACAAGGGAGAGGGAGACGTGCACGCGGCCATGCCCCCAGGTCTCCGTCTCATTCTCCCCTGCATTGTAGTTATCCCTTTGCCTCTCCTTGCTGCCCGCTGCACTATACTCATACATGCCATTCGACTCGATCAGTGCCCCTCGGCGACGGCCGGGGCATCCGTCCCTGGTCGTGGACGCCCAATTCCTCATATCATACACTACCCACGCGCAAGCCCATCCCATCCCTTCCGACGACGACATGGGAGGACGTCCCAGCGCAGCCACGGCTACATCGCCGCCCCTGTGAGATCGCGCCGCCACGGAGCCTCTGCATTCATTTATTCTGCATCTGCTGCGTGAGCTGCGCGTTGTGTTCTTGAAAACGGTCGCTGACACGCTGCTGCGTAGCCATCCACTTCGTGACGCAGCGGTTGATGCAGCCGTTTTCGCGGGTGGACACGGCCTTGGAGGTGAAGTCGTCGACGCACGAGGTGAAGCAGTGCTCTACGAGACCGCCAAAGGCCTGTTTGTACGCTGTTAGTCGCCTCGGGTGGGCTTTCTGGGGCTCGTAGGAGGGCAAGGCAACGTACTCCCATGAACTCCTTGACTTGGCGCTTCTGCATGCGCTGCTCGAGCGTGCGCTGCTCGGCCTGTGTTAACCTGCATGGCTAAGGTCAGGGCGGGCTCTCCTTCTCGACGGTTGAATTGGAGAGGGGGAGAAGAAGGGGATGGGGAGTCGAATCGTACATGTCCATGGTGGGCAGTGCTGGTGGGCGGAATTGGATGTGGTTGTTTTTTTTTTTTTGGTATATGCGATGGATGGATGGAGAGAGGTCCTGATGGATGACGCTGGGTGAAATTTTGACACGGATTGGCACTGCTGGGCTTGGCGGCTTTACCGGTGGGTCTGCGGTCTGCGGTCTGCGGTCTGCGGTCTGCGAGTTGCCGGCTTGCCTCGGGGATGGAGCTCCGATTCGACGTTGACGTGGAAAGGGAAACATCAAGTCATGTTGCAGGGCTTTTTCTGGAGTTTGCTGTTGCTGCTGTCGCTGCTGCTGCTGTTGCGTTTCTATTTTTCAAAACGTTTTCTGTTACTGATTTTTTTTTGGTCCTTCATGATGGCAGTCAATTCTCGTTTTGTGTACTGGTACATGGGAACCGGGATCGGAGCTTTTCTTCTCTTTCCCCATAGCAGACCAGTGACAATGTCGTCCCTGTGGCAGGAGCGATGCTCATGTGGCCAGAGCCTTGCTTTACCATTTTCATTTTTTTTCTTTTTTCTATTGTTCTACTTAATTTCATTTCATTTTATTTTTTGGTCATCGACGAGTCGTGTGTCTAGAATATTCGGCCTTGTCCTCGAGAAGGCTGCGTAATCGCACACTCGGCGATAATACAGGGCGTCTTGCAAGGAGTGCTCCTACTGTCCTACTGTCATTGGATACCGCGCACAGTTGTCACATCGCATTTGCTGGTCCGACGTGTCTAGACTCCACAGCCACAAGTGTACCTACTTAAGAAGTATGTATGACTGCATGGCGAGGGTTTGGTGGCGGGCCCGGGTTCCAAGGCCGAGATGTACTGATCAGTGATGGACTGATGGAACTGGTGAACTCATTGACTCGAGTAGAGAGCCAGTGCAGAGACGGCAAGCGCGTGGTTGTTCCTTCCCAGACTGTCGCCTGGACCGCCCATCAACCAGCCAGCCCGCCAGCCAGACTTGCTCCTCCAAGCAAACGACATGTTCATTTCATCCAGACTTAACATAAGCGTCGACGCCGCGTTCCCAGACTCGCCGCGTTATTTGCCGCAACACTGCTGCTAGTGTTGTGTTTTTGCATACGCCTGCACAGCTCCCTGCACCAGTCAGTCAAGCCCGTATGAGACGGGTCCCCCTTGGCTCCCTGACTCCTCGACTCCCAGACTCCCACGACTTCCCTGCCACCAGACGGCCCACTTCGGAACCAGACCTCTTCTTCCTTCGTTGGCCTTGGTCTCTGGGCCGGCTGGCCGCCACCACCCAGCCCAGGTCGATCGTCGTCGACATCAGGCGCCTGCTTCTCCACAGCAAATCCAAAGCTTGCCGCTTTCTTGCTTGACACGCCTCTTCTTGCTCGCCGGCTCGTCCTGGCCTGCCACTGCCGTACGGAGTGCTCCCCACACGTCACATAAGTAGCCAGGCATGTACGGAGTACCGCACGTCATAACGCCTGTGAGTCCGACCCCATTGCTCCGTACGAGACATCATTGGGGGCGTGCTATTGTTGGCTCAGCGTCAAACCCCCTTGACCTTGAGCGTCTGTCTCCCCTGCACATGCTTACTTATCTCCATGCCCAGGTCCCGACAACGCAACAGCAAGGAAGGAGCATTGTGGCCCGCCCGCCCGCCGTGCACCTGTTTCATCACCACTCCCACTCCCACTCCCGCTCCCACTCCCATAGCTTCCGCGCGCCAGACATCTCATGCTCCTTCTGCTCTTGCCTCCAACCGTCGCTCGCGCTCTCGGCGTCGCACGCTTCGCTTTTGCTTCCTCATGTCTCTGACGACCTGACTCTACCCTCGACCACTCGCTCGACCGTAGCCGCTTTCGCCCCGTCCCTTCGAGCGTTTGCAAGCCTGTCGCTGCTCCGCCTGCAACTCAACCCCTCGATTCTTCCGAACCAAAATTGATCGCCGCCTCGCACCGCAGTCGCAAGAACGAAGCCAAGCCGCGACACCTCCGCCGTCAACCATACACATCGCCATCAGGAACTCGCTTTCCGTTGCATCTTTGCATTTCCAACCGACTCATCATTGACGCTGTCGTCGTTGGCCGTGACGGAAATCGCTTCGTCTCGGTCGCCCCGCCCGCCAATTCGGCGTCGAGCCGCCCAAGTTGGACTTGAGCACGTCGGCTGACCAAGTTGCACAACTATATTGACTCGACCTGCTTTCACCATAGCTCTTTGCTGCTCACTGAGCGCCTCTCTTTCACCATGGCATCGCCGATACCGACTATGAACCAAGCGAACTCGTCGCATCACCATTCACCACAAGGCGCCACACCTTCCTCGCCGCCCAACAAGCGCGACTTGAAATCGTGGTGGAAAGGTTTCAAATTGCCGTCTAAGCAGCAGGATCCTCCAGGTACGTTGTGTTGTCCTCTCTCTCTCTCTCTGTTTTCCTGCCGAACCATGTCGTGTCACACGTTGCACGTACCTCTCCTGCTTTGTTGCGCAAGCCATCCATCGTCCGCCTGGTGGCCCCTTCATCAAGCCCAGCCCTCCAGCACGAATTTTCTGAAAGCCACAGACTTCTGGGGCAATTCCTGACCTGAGAAACACCGTATACCGTTCCCACAACTGTCTATGTTTGTAACGGTCTAATCAATTATGCACTAGAAAACAAAGCACCGGGCATCTTTGGTGTTCCGCTGCGACAGAGCATCACGTATGCCAATGTTGCCATATCCCTTCTTGACGAGAACGGGAAGAGCTACATTTACGGATATGTACCCATAGTGGTTGCCAAGTGCGGCGTATTTTTGAAAGAAAAAGGCATGTTTGTAATCTTAAGCCTGTCCAGCCGGAAAGGAAAGCCACTAATGAGTCTTGCAGCCACCGGAATTGAGGGCATTTTCCGGTTGAGCGGCTCTGAAAAACGAATCAAGGAACTAAAGCACATTTTCGACTCGCCCGACAGATATGGCAAAGGCCTTGTTTGGGATGGATATACTGTCCATGACGCCGCCAACGTTCTCCGCCGTTATTTGAACGACTTGCCTGAACCTGTAGTCCCTTTGGCCTTGTACGAGAAGTTTCGCGATCCCCTGCGCGGGGCCACCAAACAGCCAACTGCAGATGGCGAGGGACCACAGTTTGTCGAAAACTTTGACGAACAAGCCGCAATTAAGAAATATCAGCAACTAATTACAGAGTTGCCCCCTCTGAACCGACAGCTCTTACTTTACATCTTGGACTTGCTGGCGGTCTTTGCCGCCAAGTCTGATGAAAATCGAATGAACTCGCAGAATTTGTCTGCCATTTTTCAGCCCGGCATGCTCTCACATCCTAATCATGCAATGGCCCCGGAAGAATATCGCCTCAATCAGTGCGTTTTGATTTTCTTGATTGAGAATCAAGATCACTTTCTCATTGGCATGCAAGGCACTGCTGCTGATGAGAATACAAAGAAGGAAGTAGAGTCAGGGACTCCTACTACGCCAAATGCAGCAGGTGTTAATAGATCTGCATCTACTGCAAGCGCTGGTGCCAATAGTGTTCGCAAGGAAGGCCAGTTGCGCCGTAACCGGTCTACGTCTTCTCGGCACTCGAGAGGGGAGGGCAGCGTCGGCTCCCACAGCCCGTCCCTCGCAACGAGCACCACCGGGGGCCTCGGTCGCAGCAATACGGTACCCTCGAAGAAATCTCCAGGCTTAGCAGGGGGAAAGTTCAGGAAGCTCGACAGTCCTGGCCAACAGTCTCCAGCCCGCCTCGAACCCATGACCCCAGTGAGGCCGGCCATGGCGTTTGATGAATCAAAGGAGACAAGTCTAGATCCTCCAGCGGTTGGTTTTACACACGTTTCTACTGGCACCGCTCAGACGTCAGCTCCAAGCCAGGAAAGGCTGCTGGAGGTCCCCCAAGAATTTTTACCAGCCCCAACCAAGGAGCGAAATCTTCCAAGCTTGTTCCAGCGGTCGTCAGCAGAGTCCAGCGACAAACGTCAACCAAACAAGCTGAAGAAGAAGAGGATTCCGGGGAGCATGAACATCAGCGCTCACAGCTCTACTGCTTCTCTGCCTCACTCGAACGCGGCGTCGCCAGCCCGGGAAGCGTCGAATCCAATGGAAACGATGCAGCACATCTCTGAGAAGCTGACGTCTGACACATCAAAGCCACCACTTGCAGAAGAAACTAACAAAACGCCTCTAGCTGAAACTCAGAATCCTATCAACTCTTGCGGAGCGCACGTATCGCAAACAAAGGCGCCGTTACCACACCAGTCGAGTGATTTGTCCTCTGAACCGACGCCACGAGCATCCCAGATTGCCTCGGGTAATAGTTTACGCCCTGATGATCATATCACCGGAAAGAAGTCGCCGCCAACGTCGATCCATTCATCTTTCAACGAGGGATCTGACCTAGACCAGACCTTCGAGGGCCAGACTGCTCCACAGATTGAGAATCCTGATAAAGAGAAAAAGCGGCGATGGAGACTGTCCAGAACAAGGAGAGACGACAATGATTACTCTTCCGGGTCTTTGGTGACTCCATCACCTGGGAATCTCGGATCCAATACTGGCGCCGAAACAAGCACGACGACTGTTGGCAGTGGAGGTAGCAAAACTCGCAGAAGCTTCCAACACGATGGATCAGAGTCGCACTTGTTCGATTCTCACGGTGGGCATGACGGTGAGAGAGAGAATGGAAAAGACGACCCGAAAGGGCCCATCGGTTGGATAAAAAACAAATATCGCGAGGCCAAGGAGAACGCTGAACAACGCCGAAACAAGTCACCGCCAGCAGACAGGCATGAAGATCGACAGGCTCTTGGTGCAGCCCTGGCCTCTCGTGGGAAGAGCCTGGACTTGAAGAGGGAGGGACAGGAGAATGATAAAGCAGCAGAAAAGCCCTCCGAGACCTCCACCGCCGAGAAGGCCGCCGAGAAGGAAGTGATTGAACCGGTGATCGCCGCACCGACGCACCACGATAATCCCAAATTTACCGAGGTGCTCACTCCCACAGCTACAGCTGGACCACTAGAACCTGTTCTTGAGACGCTCATGGAAACGCCAACAGAACAAATCCACACCGTGACTGAAGCGCCACCGGCAAAGATCTCAGAAGGCAAACCCGGCCAGTCTGAAACAGAAGTTCCAGTCGCGCCCGCCCCTGCGGTGCCAATTACAGGAGAACGGGCACCTGCTGAGGCACCTGCCGAACTTGGCAAACAGGCATGAGACTGGTTTGTCCGGCTATTTTAGATGAAGTTTTGCGATATTAACACGGCGTTCTTGGATAAAACGAGGAGAAAATTCGCTTTGTGCCTTCAGCCTTTCTAGACTTGATTGTTGGATCTACGCGCCTTTCAGCACCATTTTGTTCACGAATAGGGTTTCTGGTCTCGGGCGTTTTGAGATTTATCAAGTAGCCATCAGCCTCTTTTGATACCACATTTTACGCCATTTCACTTGACTGCCTGGTTTGGCCGATATCCGCCACTCTTTTCCCACGTGACTCACAGCGCAACTCGAGCGCATACATGAACATTGTTTCACCACACCTCCGAACGAATCGAAGCCGTTTATCACTAGGTTGGATGCAGAGTGTGATATCAGGATGATGATGTTTCTGTGTAACGTACCGGAAACAAGAAAGAGTCGGGACGTCTTTTTCTTAATTATTTATGCTTCGAGTCTAGTTTCATTTAGTTGGTCCCTATTTGCAACCCCCGCTTTCCCCTTGCGTCCACATCACTCACCTCCCGTTCAATTCAATTCGTGAGCGGAGGGACAAGGAAGAGCTGGCTTTTGTTTTACCGCATGAAAGTGAATAGAGCCGCTTCTCTGCCAATGATATCCCAGGATCGTTTTGCCATAGTATGCTCTCTATTTGTTCCCCAGTCCTACAATATATATACAATATATGACGGGTTCATTTTGTTCATCGTTTTGCTTGGATGCTAAAAAGTTGATTCGACCACCCTGAGTAAGCACCTTGCTTGTATGCATGACCCAAAAAAACAAAGCCCGGCGCTAGGGCTGGCGCTTCTTCGATGGACCAGGACGATCAAATGCGCCAGTATCCCAAACTAGCATCCGACCCGACCTTCGCCAATCTTCGTTGAAGAAGCCGTTGAAGCCGTCCCAGACACGACGAGGCTTGATGCCAAGTGCCTTGCCGGCGGGAGTCTCTAGAAACTGAAACAGCCAAGCTTCGATCCCCTCAAAACCAACAATATAACGAGGGGTGCCGATTTTACGCCGCGGACCAAACAGCTCGTCTGTAAGAAAGCCTACAGGGTCGTCGTAGAATCTATCTGCCTCATCCCGGTAGTCGTTCCTCGCGCGCGTGTTGGGCTGGGTATCCAGCGGCGGCTCACAGGTCAGGGCGTATGCATCCAAGCCAGGGTAATACAAGTGGGATCGCCACGGCGTAGAATGACATGGCATGAGGAATAAGGCGAAAAGTTCATCGCGCGGCGCGGGAGGTTGATGGGTCCTGTGAGCGAGTTGAACGGATTCCGGGTGGATGCGTTCGTATTCTTTGCGGAGGTACGAAAGGACACTCAGCGGCGCTGGTTGATGCAAGAAGGACAGGTAGCCGGCGAGAACGAGGTTGACACCGACGGCTGCCATCAAATAGGGCTTGTTACGGAGGCGGGGACGGGAAGCGACTGCTTTGGACGAGGGTGGTGAGGTGAAGAAGGCGGCGGCCACTGGCGCAGCGACTATGTTCAGTATGGGGAGCAAGGGGTAGATGAAGCGCACTTCTTTGTGGGAGATGAGGGATAGAGCAGCAACTGTGGCGAAGACGGCAGAGGATAGGACGCGCAGAGCGTTGCTCGCGTTTGTCGACAGAGTGGCTGGTTTGTACAGACCCGCGAGGACGAATGGCAAGCTGGTAGTGCAGAGGAGAGGGATGCCCTGGGACAGATAGTAATGCCAAGGATTTCGACCGTAGAAGACGGCTAGGGATTTCGAAATGTTGAAATTGAGCCAATTGTAGGGGGGAAAGGTCCAGAAGCCAAAATACAAGTAGTCGGAGACTACAGATATGGCGAGCATCAGTGATCCGCAAAGGAAAGCCTCCCTCGCGAGAAGCAGGATCACGGACTTTGTCAGTGGCGAAGGGCCCTCCAGAGACACTCTGGTCAAGGCCATGGCGGAAATCGTGGCCCAGATGAGAAGGTTTGTAGGCCGAAGCACGACGGCAAGTGCGGCCAAAGACAGGGATAGGCGAAGACGGCAGATGCTTCCGAGTATGTTGGCCGGCTTCGGGTTCTCCTTTGTCGAGGACGGCGGCGCAGCAAACAGCGGCCAGGGCCAGTAGTACAGGGCCATGACGGTGAGAGTTGTCTCGAGGGAATTGGAAAAGGTGCGGGTGGAGCAGTACCACTGCCAGGCGCTGAAGAGCTGGAGAAAGAGCTGAGAGGTTGTGTCAGACGGACAGACGGACAGACGGACTTGCGAGGGGGGACGGGCGGGCACGACGGACTGCAAAGAAGGAAGCGTTGCTGTCGGGGCCGAAGATGGTGACGGCGAGTTGCCAAGTGTACCAGTCGCCGAGGCCTGCGATGACGGCCTGCAGTGCCTTGGGTGAAGCAATGACGATGGCAGATCGCAGCATGTTTCCCTCGGGGATGAGCCTTGACGCCCAATCCGCGACGAGGTAGGCTCCCGAGAACATGGCCGGGTGGAGTGACGATCTCAGCTGATGCTGCCATTCCTGCATCACGCCGTGCTGGTCAGTAGGTAAGACGAACAACGGACACGTCCACGTCCAACGGCCGCGAGAGGACACGCACGGGGGGGGGAGGGTGACTGACCCAAGTCAGCCATGCACCGCTGTTGGGACCGAAAGCCAAGCGCCAGGCTGGCTCGAGAGACTGGAAGTATTCATCTGGCTGGAAGAAGGTAGCGATCCACCAGGCATTGATCAGACGGATGCTTATGACGTGGCGAAGAAAGCTGCGACGGTTGCGCTCGTTGCGGCGAAGACGAGCCGTGGTGGACAGGGCCATTGCCCGCCCGTCGGCTGGACCCGACACCAGCACGGCCGCTGGCTCGCTCGAGAAGCGTTTCTCCCTTCTGTTTGTCTTTGTGTCGTTTGTGTCTGCGATTGTGCTCGTGGTGAGACGCGGACCCAGGTCAAGCGACGAGTCCTGAGGGGGCGGGCTTCTGGAAAAGAAGATCTGGGGCCGAAAGCGCAAGCAAAGGCGGACCGATGCGGGCAAGATCCGGAGGGCTGGGGGGTTCTTTCGATGTTCCGTGATGCCAGTCGATGGCGGTCATGTATGTTGTAGTTGTGTTGTGTGCGTGTGTGCGTCCGGTCTGGTGGTGGTGATGCATCCGTCCATCCACCACCAACCCGCCAATCACCAGCGTTCCACCCTGGCAACCCTGTTCTGGTTGGTGGACCCGGCCATGTCAGCAGACACCGGGTGTCGGCGGTGGGGCCTTCCGCAGTTTGGGCCGGTCGCGGCTAATTTGGCTGGTCGCACCTGCCGCCATGCAACGCCCGTGCCCCGAGGCTTGGTTTGGGTTCTGCCTGGCTGGGCTGGACTGCTGCCCAGGCAGGACGGTCCGACCGTGGAGGGTTTCCAAATTCCCTTATCCCATCGTCTGCCTCCCAATTCACGACTCGGGCGACCTGGATATAGTGGCAAGGTCTAGCTTCGTTCCGCGTCCTCGTCTAGGTACGCAAGTCCATCGGCCATGGGCCCGGCTGTGAGCGAGCTGACGCACGGCAGCAGTCTCGGTCGAGACGCCGCCTACGCCTACGGCGTGCCACCACCACCACCACCGTCTTGCAGCACTCATCCTTCCTCACGGTTTGCATGACGGCAGATCTCATCCATGCACATGGCTCGCCTGCCCTGTTCGACCAGGACGGACCGCAGATGACGACTTCCAGATCTTGGAAAGGTTTTGGGGCGTTTTTTGGGGAGAGACATAACTCGTCGTCGTCACGTAATGCTTGCTTCTCCATTGGCCGGCTGCTTCACGGAGGTGCATCCACGCCCCGTAGGTCATTCCGGGGTCGACAGCCACAGTCACGTTGGAGCAGCGCCGGAGCGCACACGAGAGCCAGCTCTAGCTCTGTTCAGAAAAAGAGAGACTATGTCCAGCAGCGAGCACGACGGTGAGTGAGTGGGTGGGTGGGTGAGCACTGAGAACCGGTTGCTGCTGCTGCCTCTGGGACCGCACTTCCTCACACACGATTGATTGCCGAGCGCATATGAGATGGCATGCCGGAAAACGAAAACATCGAGCGGCCGAGGCCAACAAACGGGCCTTCCATCCAGACACAAAACGGGAGCCTGTAAGGCCTTGACAAAACGGTGGCCCGGGGGGCCGGTTGGCTTCGGCATTCTTGTGCATCATTTTGCCCTCGGATTACGGCCAACGACGACCGTTGACAACGACCATGACCGACTCTCCACGCAGGGGCATCCAGCCATGGACCACCGAACCGAAGCCAAGCTTGCCAGGAAGCCCCGTGCCGCCAAAGTGGTGGCACCACAGACCACAAATGCTCCGGTCCAGCCAACCGGCGGCCAAACGCCTCGCTGCCTCTTCACGACGCCGGGCCTCCGCTCTGCCAGTCCACTTGCACTTAGGGGTATAGCGGCCCGCAAACTTGGTTGGAGTCAAGTCGATGAATAATAGTAACTTTCGTCGTCTCGCGCCACATATATATTGGAAAGGGGGAATGCCCTGAGAATTTTTGAATTTTTCCGTCTCGTCTATTTTCCCAGTTCTATACCTACCCACGACCGTCCAACATCGTCTTACACAAGTCTCGCCGTCTTTCTACGTCAACCAGGTGCCCGTTTGCCCGAGCAAGCAACCACCTCATCAGTCGCCACGGTACGCAGCCTAGCCGAAACTGTCTGTTCCGAGTTTTCGAGTGCCCCCAGTTGCCCAAACCGCGGACCTCCGTATTACCAACTGGTGCTTGACCCGTCCACCGAGAACATGTGGCTTTGGCCGCGTTTTCTGGCTCGTTCCTTGGCGGTGTGGGCGGTGCTTGCTCCATAAAACTCGGAAATCGTTTGCTGTTCCACTATCGAGTGCCATTCTCGCCAACGACCCCAATCACTCACTGCAGCTATTGATCCAACGTGTCTGGGCCAGAAATTAACACCTTCGCGAGCAGATCGAAAGACGCCGCCGACGCACCCCGCATATTCTTACAGTTGGACTCGTTTTCATCCTCCAACATGGCGCCCCATGCAGAGGTCGCCGGTACCCCCGCCGTCTCCGGCATCACCAATGCCCGGCACCACGCCGCTTCGACCGAGGCTGCAATCAAGGCTGAAAACGAGTTCGCCGCCCACAACTACCACCCTATCCCCGTCGTCTTCTCCAAAGCTCGCGGCGTAAATGTCTGGGATCCCGAGGGGCGCCAGTACCTTGATTTTCTTTCTGCCTACAGTGCCGTGAACCAGGGCCACTGCCACCCCGAACTCGTCAAGGCCTTGACCGAACAGGCCAGCCGCCTGACCCTGTCCTCCCGAGCTTTCTACAACGATGTGTTCCCCAAGTGGGCCGAGAAGATCCGCAAAGTCTTTGGCTACGAGATGGTCTTGCCCATGAACACCGGCGTTGAGGCTACCGAGACCGCCATCAAGATTGCCCGGAAGTGGGCTTACAAAGTGAAGGGAGTGGACAAGGACAAGGCTCTTGTTTTCTGTGTCACTGACAACTTTCACGGCCGATCGGTATGTCGCTGCCGCCGTTCAACTCGTGTTGCGCAATGCTGTGTGGTCATGTCAGTGCGTAAGTATGCTTGCTAACTGTACTTCGCTCCTGCAGATGACCGCCGTCACCCTGTCCACGGACCCCGAGTCCAAGGACAACTACGGTCCTTACATTCCCAACATTGGCGCCGCCAGCCCGTCCACCGGAAAGCCCATTCGATTCAATAATGCCGCCGACTTGGAAGAAGTACTTGAATCCCACGGGAAGCAAACTGCTGCTTTCTTAGTCGAGCCCATTCAGGGCGAGGCTGGTGTTGTGGTTCCCGACGAGGACTACCTTGTCAAGGTCCACGCTCTCTGCAAAAAACACAACGTTCTCCTCATCTGTGATGAGATTCAGACCGGTATCGGCCGGACTGGTCGCATGCTCGCCTCGGAGTGGTCTGGTATCAAGCCTGATATGGTTACACTCGGCAAGGCCATCTCCGGTGGCATGTATCCAGTGAGCGCCGTCATGAGCTCCAAGGAAATCATGCTGGTCGTTGAGCCTGGCACTCACGGCTCCACGTACGGTGGTAATCCACTGGGATGCGCCGTCTCTATTCGAGCATTGGAGCTTATTGAGGAGGAGGACATGATTGCAAACGCTGAGCGTCTCGGCAGAATCTTCCGCGACAGTCTTGCCGCCCTCGAAAGCCCGATTATCAAGACCATTCGTGGAAAGGGTCTCTTGAATGCCATCGTCATTGATGAGACTGCTGCGTCTGGCCGCACCGCTTGGGATCTGTGCATTCTCCTCAAAAACAAAGGCCTTTTGGTCAGTTGATACACGACTCTGCCACTCATGATGACGAGGACTCGTGAATGCTAACGACTTTGCCCTTCAGGCCAAGCCGACTCACGGCGATATCATCCGCTTCTCTCCTCCCCTGGTTATTACCGAGGCTGAGCTCCGTAAGGGTTTGAGCATCATTACCGCGGCCATCGAAGAGCTTCCTACCTTTGAGAAGTCTCTTGGTCACTAGCGATCAAACCGATGCCACCTACCCGGTAGCACGAAGCGTCAGGCCCAATCTTTTGAATGAAACGGGTCTGAGGAAAGGATGATATGCATGCTTTGGACCTTTCTTGAGTAGTCTTTTGCTTTATAGTACCACAGATACCCCCCCGGCTCAATAAAACAAACGGGAAAGGGCCTACGGCCGCCTTCATTAGATAAGCCGGCCATCGGCATCATGAAGGCGCAATGGGAAACGGAATGCGCGATATTTGGATGTACCATTGACTTGAAACACCGGCTCTGTTCGAACATCGGAGGAGTAATAGAGGTCTCCAGACTGGCGCGAATGGTGTTATTTTTCTGTTTTGGGATGTGGTATTGGGACCATTTTATATCGCGGAAATTCACTTACAACGATGGGATATGTGCCGGGTCTCTCGCAGCTAGGTGTGTGTGTGTAGATGTATCGTTGCGTAAAGCATATCATCAAGACGCCAAGCAAGCGGTCCGAGGGAAGCAGGGAGACGGCACAGATTGGGGTATTAGTAACAGTAAATTCGGCCGGCATCCATTGCACGGTCACTGACTACCTGCGACGGTCGATGTAAGCTTTCAGCCAAGGCTTCGCCACGTAAGTCTTGAGAATCGGCTGCGAGGAGCTCGGCCCCCATCATTATGACTGGTCATCTCCCAAGTAGCTGCGACATGATGCTGATTCTGTAATTTTTTTGTGCTGGTTCTCGTCAAAAGGTAACCATGCTGCATGCATGGTCTAGGGAAACTCGAGAAGTGAGAGAGTGTGTAGTCTTTTGGAATGAATGAGGTAGAGTCGAACAGGCTGGTATTTACTGTGCAAGGGAGAAAGGAGTAATGAAGCCGCAATGAGATGAGGAGACTTATACGCGGCACTGCCGGCCATTCATGCCCAGCGACAACCTAACAAGCGGCCACCACCTATTGATCCGGAGCATTTCGACCAAGTATAGTCTATGTGCTACTATTAGAGGGAATTTACATAAGTTCCAGCTATATATTAATTAAGTTAAACATTACAGTTAGGACTAGGACAGAAACTAACTGCAATATTAAGCAGCTATCCGTTCTTTAGTGCAGAGTATTTTTAAGTAAGCTGACGATGCACCTAGCAGGCTGTTGCCAATATATACTCGCGAACAAATAGGTGCAAGTTACGACATGCTATCCATGGCTTAGGTGCGTGTTTTAGACACTCTCTCCGGCTCCCACATGGCTAGGCAGTGGCACTTAGTGGATCCTCTTTTTGTAAAGAGAGGAAGATTCCAGCATATCACAGGCGATGGGTTCTCCAAACACGCGGCGCTGTAGGTTCGCTCGGGTTTGCGTAGTCTTTGCTGTGCTGTCAGCAGGAGGCGGGATGACGCCAAAGTTATGGCTGATGGGAGAGCGTCGCAAGCTCGCGCAGCCGTGGTTGATGACGCACGCCATGATACTTTGCGAGCCGAGCGAAAAAGGCGCTGTTTGTTTTTTTGTGTACTTTATTGACAGCTAAGAACTGGCGCGTGAATATGAGCTTGGTCGGCCGTTGTGAAACTTTCAAGACGTCGCATCATCAGGGTGTAGTTTAGTCTCATCATGGGTTCGTGTGGAGTACAAGCTCGCCAAAGTCCGAGCCACCGAGGAGTAGAAAGTGGCTGGCTGGCTAAAGACAATCTATTAGTTGGGTGCTTCATGCGCGCGCAGTGGTACGGACAGTTTATGGCACTCAAAGTTGGATGTGAAGGGGGTCTTTCTGTCATACCTCGACGTACAGAGTTGGTTCGTAGTTGACTGCCAGTAATTCTCCATACGGAGGAGCTGAATGACTTGGTATGTGCGGAGTAGAAGGGGTGCTAGAGAAATCGGCGTGTGGTCGAGTGCAAGTTGAGGGATGAGTTTCTGAGATGATACTTGTGCTCGATTGGTCTAGCTCATTCGCTTGAAGCATCAAGCCTACAATGAGAATGAGGCGACTTGCATATGTACGTAGGCATGTCAGCCAGCGGGGAACCGGATCGTATCCGTCCGTTAAATAGTTATTCGAAGAAGTAACCTGTCCGTACGTGGACTGAAGCTACCGCGAAGTGAGAGACATGTTGAAGTGTTGGCGTGTGCATTCGGCGCAGGCGTCATGCCAAAGGATACGAAGCAAAAGCCGATGATGGGTTTCAGTTGGCTCCGTGGCTTTACCCGTAAAAATGCTGCAAGAAGCAACCCGATTTACATAGTTTAACTTTCGGCTTTGATTATTGTGGCCAAGACCCGACGGTGGTCGTAGCCAAATCAACCGACCGCACGTATGAATGACGGGTGTGCGAGTTAATGTGAAAGTGTTGAGGTCCCGTTCTGTGAATGCCAATCATTTCATCAGTCTTGTCGTTGTTTGATTCTCCATGTGTCACGGTTCGCTAAGGGTGCGTCTTTGGTAATCGTGACGAGAGAGCTGCATCAATGGCCCAATGGAGGGTGTAGTCGAAAAAGAATCTCCCGAAGACAAGGCATCCAATGCGAGCAAGGCATCTATCTAGACACTAATGGGGGACGGGTTTGTCAAGCTCGATATGATCGTGGGTTTGTTGGGTACTTGGGTAGCTAAAAGAGAGAAGCTGTGACGGGTGCCTACACACGTTATAGGTTTGACCGGATGCGTTGATCTGGAACACGCCCCTTGGGGACTTGGACAGCTCTCCTTATTGTGGGAAATTATTAATGAATACTGGTCAAGTTGAATGATTCCACGAGTGCGCCTTACATTAGCCCAACCGGTTTGGTCGACATTTCCGGTCTGACTCGCTATGCCCCCTCATTGCCGATGCTGGCATTTGAAGTGTTGGGCTATGCGTCCTATGGTTTGGACGGATGAAGTTGAAGGTTTAGGGTCCATGTTTAATATGGCAAAGTTGGCAAAGCGGGCGAGGAGCGGGCTCTTTTCCTCTGCCATGCTGCCGATGCATATCGAGTCAGGTAGAGGGTCCGCACTCCACCATATCTGCATCGAGATGTTTCCCGACACACACACCCTGCATCCTGTAGGTGGTTCGGGGCCAGGAGCTAGGACCTGCACTTGCTCAATAAATAAAGGGTATGACAGAGAGGCATGATCGTAGTGGGCGCGGGGCGGCTATTATCAAGGCAACGAACGGGAGTCGAGATGGCGTGCGTGTGTGCCCGGTACATTTGCTTTTGTTGGTCCGCTGTGGACGGGGACGTGTGAGAGTCATGACCCTGTTTGCCTTGATACGATTAAGCCATCTTCTAGATAAAGGCGCAACTGGTTGCATTCAGACGGGGACGAGGATGCTAAGGATGGCGTGAATGATGACGAGAAGACTGCAAAGGATGATGTGAACCAACTTTGGGAGGTCGGACGCTGGCGTGCTCGTGTGGCCTGAAAGTATTGAACTTGAACTGGAAAGAGCGAGCCTTCCGCTGGTGGTCCTTGCATGTGTGCACGGACTTCGGAGCACCTAGCCTCTAGGTGTGCCCCGCTAAGAAGTACGAGGTAGGCTACCTTCCAACACCAACATGGCAGGTGCTACCCTAAGGTGCTCACCAATCTTGGCATACAGACTGGTGCTGGAGTAAACATAGTATCATAAAACGAGTCCAATGCCTGCCCAACACGTAAAGCAAGCTGCTGCATGTGCTAGTTATACGGAGCACAATGGTTGCAATCCACCCAATATTACTACTGTACGGATTCTGCCGCTTCATCCAGGTGCCGGTCATCAACTCATTGGTGCAGTCGAATGGCCGTCTCACAGGTGGTCGGTCAACGAGACGGATGCTGATAACCAATCTAAGGGGCCGATGCTTGTTGTACAATTAGAAGTAAGTAGGTACTTAAGTACTTACTTGAGGTAGGTACGTAGGGGTACCACGTGTCAATTCGACGGCGTGTGCCAGTGGCATGTAGACGCTTCCCTGTGAACTCTTGCGATGGTGGTGTTGGCGGATCCGGGACGCCCTACACAGCATTTATTCATGCAAAAGCAGGTCAGCTCAAGGGAAATGGACTAGTATATGCTGTTGTTGATATGAAATTTGAGACGGCAGAGGGCAAGGAAACATCTGGGTCTAGTGGACGTGGTAGGCTCAGGGCTCAAGAGGCTGTACCAGGTGCCTATTGGTACTTGAGTGCTTAGTGCCTGTTTACTTCAGAAGCAGGTACCTACCTACTTGTACTTAAGTGTAAGAAGTAGGTAGGTAGGTACTTAAGGCACCCAGAGGTCACCTGCGGGGTCCATGTCGTTTGGATGACGTGGGCCGGCTTTATTTCAGTGCCATGTTCAGTTGCTCACGGGTGCTGGACAGTTGGCATGGACTGCCAATGTGATGTGAAGGGCCAGGTGCCATCCCAAACGGCGCCGAGGCACTCTACAGTAATGGGTCAAGTCGAGAGCTGGTGCCTCGCTTATACGTTCTTGATACTGAGTACCAAGTCTAAGAACTTAATTAGGTTAAGTTCAAGTACTTGACCACGTCTCGAGGTTGGACTTTAATGGGCTCCGCTCTCAGGGCGCGAAGGCCAGCGGCCCAAGTGCCATGTTGCGTGAGGAATCCCAGGGTACTCTGTACTCTGTCCGCACCTCGCACACGCGTACTTGGCACTTGAGTAAGTACCTAGGTACTTACTACTTAGTAGGTTGCTGCTGCACTGATCCGGACGTGGACACGTCCCGTCAGCGTCACGAGCCCACGAGACGAGCCACCGAGCCCACGGGCCCGCGTCACGCCCTTGCGCAAGACAGCATCGGGGAGTAACAGCTGGACGAGTTGCGTACAGCGCGTAGCTCTTCCCCATTGTCCCCCCGTGCCTCGTCGTGCACGTTTGTGTCTGGTGGTGTCGGGCATCACTCCATCCCCCCCTCCCTGTACTCCGTACTTCTTGTGTCTTCCATCTCCATTTCCATTCCGATTACTCCGTACCTTGCCCTAGTTCCCACTTCTTCCTTTTTGTTTTTGTTTTTATTTTATTCTTTTAATTTTCCTTTCCAACCAGACAGTCACTATGCACCTAATGATTTGTTCCCTCTTTGCCTCCCTACTTCGGCAGTGCCTCGGCTTTTGAGTCATCCATCCATCCATGCCTCCCCACTGCCCTGCCCATAGCCCACAGCCCACAGCCCACAGCCCACAGTCCACTGTCCGGCATTCCGCCATCCGTCATTCCGCCATCCGCCACAGCCTGCTCATCAGGTGAGCAAGCGCCAGAGCCCGCCGCCCACCGATGAATACTTAAGTACCGAAGCAGCTACCGAGTACCGAGTACCGACTACGTGCCACGCCCACGAGTGGAACGCCTTCACACTGCAGCCAACCGCAACCCCGGCCTGCTCGGCTCCATCTGGCCTCGCCCACCTTATTCAGTACCCCGTCGTTCCCATTCATCCTTCATCGTTTCTGTTCGTCTGATAAAGAGCCAAGGTGGGTCACCATCTGCCTCGCCAGGCTGACGCAGCACAAGCACCAATCAGTGGCCCAAGCAAAGAGAGCGTCACTGGCCAGAGCACCACACGGCGCTGCCTGCCTGCCCGCCTGCCCGCCGCCTGCCTCCAAGTTCTGGAGCCATCCAGTTGCTGGTACCGAGTACCGACCGCCTGCTCTACTTTGGTAGGGACTTGCCAACGGTCTGCTGGCACGCGCCAGGCTCGACTCCGCAGACGACTTCAGGACCCGTCCCACATGCTGCTGCCGCCTGGCTGATTGTCAGTCCTTATCCGTAGACTGTCACTCATTCCTGGTCTCAGCAACTTGGACCTCCGACTCCCTTCGTCGTCCATCAGGGTGCTCTGAATGTCCATTGCTACTTCATAGCAAACGCCCTGTACCCTGCTTGGCACTGCGGCCACCCAGTCCGAATCGCCGTCGCCATCGCCGTCGTCGTTGAATTCGTCCCGTGTCCCACTCAAGTGTCAGTCATTTTGCTCCAGACAGACCTCGGGCTCGGGCTCAGTCATCTACCTCTACGCCCTCCAACATCACGGCAAACTCTCACGACGCGTCTCCCGCAAAGAAAAGGCGTCGTCCCATCTCTTTGCGCCTCTTCGTTTCGCCGCTCAACCACGCAGCAGCACTCCCGCCCGGTATGCATACTGGCGGTTCCTCGATCTCAACGTACTAACTGCAAGGCGACCTGTGGCCGTAGTTTTCGCCTGGCCTATCGGCTACCTGCCGCCAATTCACCAGTCTTCACGCATCCCAGACTCCTTCCTTCGCACCGATCGGCTTGCTCACCTCGTTGCCTGCGCTTTCGTTTCTACCTCGACTCTCGTCGTCATCTGCGGATGGATTGCTAAACACCTAGCTCGCCCACCACCTGTTTTATTCTTGGCAAGCTCCAAAATCGATTACATGACGACTTCAATTTTGGCAATCGGTTTTCGAGTCCTGTAGGCCCACGGGCTTCCACCGACATCGGCCATCTTCCTGTCATCGGCAAGCTCATCAGGAATCCATCATGGCGAGTCGTCAAGACGGGCCGTCCTTCGGCTCGAGGAGGCTGAACGGACGGGCTATCGGCCAATTCGTCATCGACAAGGAGATTGGCAAGGGCAGCTTTGCACAGGTGTACATGGGCTGGCACAAGGTGCGTTGCGTTACTGCTCGTTGTTTTCTGTCAATTCGGAGTACCTCCTCCTTTCCACACTTCCAACCGCTAATCGCCTACGTACTCTGACACAGGAGACGAAAGCCGCCGTGGCAGTCAAATCTGTCGAGCTCGAACGGCTGAACAAAAAGCTAAAAGAAAATCTCTACGGAGAAATTCAAATCCTCAAAACATTACGGCACCCTCACATTGTCGCACTTCATGATTGCCTCGAGTCATCCACCCACATCAATCTGATCATGGAATACTGCGAGCTAGGAGACCTGTCGCTTTTTATCAAAAAGCGAGACAAGCTGTCCACACATCCTGCCACCCACGATATGGCTCGAAAGTACCCCAGTGCACCAAACTCAGGTCTTCATGAAGTAGTCATTCGCCACTTCCTGAAGCAGCTCGCCAGTGCTCTGGAGTTCCTTCGCAGCAAGAATTATGTCCACAGGGATGTAAAACCTCAGAACCTCCTCTTACTTCCACCAAAGGCCGTTCGGGATCAGAGAGCTCTTCCCATCATGTCTGCCAGCCACGACTCATTAATACCTGTTGCCGGCTTGGCTTCATTGCCCATGCTCAAGCTAGCCGATTTTGGCTTTGCCAGAGTGCTTCCGTCAACATCTCTGGCTGACACGTTGTGCGGCTCTCCTTTGTACATGGCTCCGGAGATTCTTCGCTATGAGCGATACGACGCCAAGGCCGATCTGTGGTCTGTAGGCACAGTCTTGTACGAAATGATGACTGGTCGGCCGCCTTTCCGAGCACGAAATCATGTTGAACTCCTCCGCAAGATAGAAGCTGCCGAGGATGTCATCAAATTCCCAAGGGAAGTCTTCATAAGCTCCGAAATGAAAGCCCTTGTCCGAGGCCTGCTCAAACGCAGCCCTGTGGAGCGTCTCAGCTTCGAGAGTTTCTTCTCTCACCCAACAGTCACGGGTGACATACCTGGGTTAGTGGAGGATGACGTCCCAAGCCCCTCCAAACGAGAACTACAGCCGATTCATCAAGGAGAGGAATATACTCCATCCCCCAGAGCACCCCTTGCTCGCCAATCAGAGTCAGAAGACGCCCAACGAGAAGCCGCAGCTCGATCGCCGCAGCAGGGAAATTCTGTGGATGACCGAACCAGACGTCGGTCTCTGGATTTGCAGCAGCCCGGGAATTCTCCTCGCGATGTGGGAGCTGGCTTGGGTATCCATCGACCTCCCCCCCAGCACACGCCGTCTTCATCCAATCAACCCCGTGTCTCTGATCGGTCCTCTCGAGACCAACCCATCTCACAGAGCAACCCTTCTGATGATCCGTCTCTCAGAATCTTGAGAAAGTCATCCAACGGCAAGAAGTTGACCGAAGAGGAGAAGGCGGCCCAGGACGTAATGTTTGAAAGGGATTATGTCGTGGTGGAGCGGAGGCATGTTGAAGTCAATGCGTTGGCTGATGAACTGGCTGCAAATGAAAGGTTGTCTGGCCAGGGTTCCGGCCCCCGTTCCACGCAGATGGTACGTCGAAGCACGCTGCAAGGAGCACCGACATCAACGACCGGTGCAATCCCGACACCGTCCTCTCGTACCGCCCTAGTAGCCCAGGGCCACGTGATTCACGATCGGAGGTCATCATACGAGAAGGCGTTGTCGGCTAGTCCTGGCTCTGCCTCCAGTGCCATTTCCAAAGCTATTCAGGATGCCAGTCTGAGGCTTTTTGGCTTCAAGGTCGCTCCAGTTCGCGGCAAGGGCCACTCGCCTCCCATGTACCATCCCTTCCCGGCATACCCAACGCCGTCTCCTCCCGGTGGCCTCATCGGCGACGGAAAGAGCTCGCCATCCGCAGATGAAGACGTGAGGACAAAGGACGCCATGGCGGAATACGCTGAACGCAGTGACTGCGTATATGGCTTTGCTGAAGTCAAGTACAAGCAGCTTGTTCCCATGGCACCTTCGATGGACCACGGTCTCGGCGGCGTTGGCTTAGACCAACTGTCCCAGGATGAAGATGGCCTCACCATGGAGGCTATTGTTGCGCTGTCTGAAGAGGCATTGGTGCTATATGTCAAGTCACTGACCCTGCTTGCCCGGGCAATGGATCTTGCCAGTGTTTGGTGGGCCAAGAAAGGTCGAGGTGACGGCGGCGGTGGTCTGTCCGCCGCGGTTGCGGAAAACATCGCGCAAAGCATCAACGCCATTGTGCAATGGGTCCGACACCGTTTTAACGAGGTCTTGGAGAAATCAGAGATTGTGCGACTCAAGTTGATGGAGGCCCAGAAGATGCTACCAGAGGATCACCCCAGTTATCCGTCGAATCAAGGCACGGGCTCCCTTAACTCGTCATCAGGGTCAACAGCAAAGCAGGTGTATCTTACGCCAGGCATCAGCGCAGAAAAACTCATGTACGACCGTGCTCTAGAGATGAGTCGTGCGGCAGCAATTGACGAGGTGACAAATGAGAACCTTCCCGGCTGCAAAATTTCCTACATAACCGCGATTCGCATGCTCGAGGCTGTTCTGGACATTGACGACGACGAAGTACCTCGAAGATTGTCTTCTAGCAAGGAGCCGACCAGAAGCTTCCCCAGAGAAGCTGACAGTGAACTCGACAGCGATGAAGAGGCCCATGTACGGAAGAGTAAGTACACCCTCGCTTAGACGAGATGTCGGCGAACAGAATGTTAACGTGGAGGCTAGTGATCCAGATGATCAAGGCCCGCCTTGCGGCGGTTGTCAAGAAGCAGCAAATGATTGCCGACGCAAACACCAAGGAGCAACAGGCACAGCTGCAGGCCGCACGTCGACGCAGTGGCGATGTGACACCGCGCAGTGTGCCATCGCACGGCTCGGCGTAAGATGAGGTGCCCGCATCGGAGACCAAGTTGACCAGAAGTCATAATGAAACCCGGAAGCAAAGCATACAGGGACGAAGCAAAACAACATTTCAATAGCCCCGCGGCTAGGATATCTCGCACAATTGTGCTTTTCTTGCCTTTTTTTTTCCTGGTCTTAATTGATACCAACCCCCTTTTTTTTCCCTCCCTCCCTTTTTGACTTTTTACCTGAGCTTCTTTCTATTTCCTTGAATACGTTTGTGGCGGCGTTTGGACCGTTGGCTATACATCAGTATATTTCTTTGCTCACTACGACTAGCGAGTAAGTCGATGCAAGATTTGGAGATTGTAGTTGGACTTGTTACAGGCACGGACCCGGAGCTCGATGGTCATGGATTGGCGTTTGGGAAATGGATGTGAATTTGGTTGTTATTTCCAAGTATGGTGTGGGAAATCACCGAGAGAGCTGATGATGGCAGATGTATGCATGCATCTTGTTGGCAAAGTAAGGCCATATAGGCGTTGGTTGCCGTGTATAGCGGGAGGTATACAAGGATATACCCGCGTGCCGAGTTGCACATGTCTTTCCCTGTGGTATGTATGCAATCTGGTCTGGAGGCCTCTGGCGAAGGTCTGGCAGTGCCAGTGGGACATGTTGTATTTTCTTAACACATAACTCTGAATGCTCAGACGACGTGGCGGGTTGGCCCGTGAAAAACCCATCGCTGGTCTGGAAGTGTGCATGTATGCCAGCCCTTGCGAAAGGGCACAAGACAGCTGAGCTGGCTAGCTGCCGCTTGGCCTCGTTGTCCGTGGAGCACGTCTCGGGAGTCGGGCCGTCCACAGTTCCTCGTGTCTGCGAGCAGAGCAGCGCAGCGCAGCGCTCAGGTCGCACCGTGGCGCCGGCGCCTGCGTTCAAACGAATTTCCGGAGAGAAACTTGTGTGCCGAGAGGGGCATGCCGTTCCGCCAAGGGGCATCGGGTGCAGGTGTAACGTGACGCCAAACCGTGTGGCCACTGGCCAGGACGTGCTGAAGAAGAGACACAGGCGCGGCCGTGAGTGAGAGAGACTCGTTTAGACCGACACGCAACACGGACGCGACGGCGACGGCGACACGGGACGGACAACAAAGCCGGACAGGCGAGCGACCGCCTGGGTCATGCTCCCTCTTTCTTGCTGCGCGACCCATCGAACTTGCATCCCTCCAACTGGGGTCATGAGAAAGATGGCGACACAGTGGAGAGACAGCGAGGGCGAGAGCGCGGGACCAGGACTCTACGCCAACACGTTTGACATGGCGGTCGATTTCGAGGGCTACGCGTTGGCGCTGGGCCAGACGCGGCAGTGCCTCCTTGCGGCGGTGCGGTCGCGGCGGCGAGCTTCCGGGGCTGCGGTCGAGTCTGCGAGCGTCGCGGGCGCGGGCGCCTACCGGCGCTTGGCGGAGGAGCAGGGCGAGCAGCTGTCGCGCCGTGTCTTTCGGGCTCGCTAGGAGCGAGAACGGAAACGGAACAAGGAGGCTTGGGGGGCGCGGAGGGCGAGGCGGGTGTCGGGCGACTTTGTGCTGGGGTGGATATGGGCCTTGATTGACCGTGTCGATGGGTTTTACGGCATCGAGGAGGAGGCCTGCTGGCTGGAGAGGCTGGAGAGGGCGAACAGGGAGATTGAGGAGGTGTGGGAGGAGAACAGGAGCGTGGTCGAGGCCGCGGTGCCGAGGTATTTGGACGGCGTTCCGGTGAGGATGATGATGCGGCCGCCGGTTGCGAGGGGCCCTTTGAGAAGCGCGGCCCGGTGGAGGGAGCGAGCCAAGTCTTGCTTGCCATGCGTGGCCAAGGGGCTGAGGTGTTCGCCGGCGTGGGATCATGGGGGCCGTTGTTCGCGCTGTGTGAGGCACGAGGATGCTTGCTTGGTCGACGAGGAGGAGGAGACGATGGCCATGTCGAGGGCGAGTGCGGCTTCGAGAAACGTCACGTCGGTTGCTAAGCCTTGCTTTGCGCCGCCGTGGCCCGGGCACAGGGAGATGGAGTCGGTGATGGGACGGATACTGGGCGACGGCGGCTTGGACATGTGATTGCGAGAGAGAAATGTCTTGTCGGGCTCGACTCGGACGACTCGGAACTGTGCCATGGAGGCGAGAAAGACGAGGGCAATCAGACGTCAACTCCCATCCCGTCTGCGCATTGCCTTGTCTGCAGTCTTGTGCCGTAAAGACGACCGACACGTCTGACGGAGTAGATAAACACAGTCGCCGCCCTTCATTTCAATCCCCGAGAAAATCCTAGCAGACATCATGTGTTCTTCGTCCATCGTCGTCGTCGACCCGTTTGTAGGGACGGCTCCTCATTCGTGGCCTGGGCCGTATCGTGCGTGTGTGTACTGGGCATTTTGTTAGACATTCATCGACCCCGCCATGCCCAACAAACTCTCATTCTCACCACCTCAGTCATCCCTCGTCTTCAAGGCCGACTTTAAACACCCACGACGCCATGCCTCCACCACCAGATCTGTCATCCTTTCGTCTCTCAGACGAAGACTCCCAACGCATCTTCACCACCGAAATCTTGCCCGCCGAGTTCTGCCACCTCCCTTCTCACCACGCGCCCCCAACGCCGCCGCCCCTCGCCGTCCTGGTCGTCGGCCAAACAGGCTCGGGGAAAACTCGCCTCTCCCCTGACATTCTCGCGGCATTTCAGCTCGCCCGCGGCGCTCCTCCAGCTGGCCCTGTGCATCTCATCGCCGACACATACAAGACATACCACCCAGAATACACGCGCCTCATGCTGTCGACGCCAGACCTAGCTTCCCCTGCCACGGGGCCCGACGCGAGGAAATGGCTTGCCATGGCGTCCGAGGAAGTCGTTCGACGGAATCTAGATGTCCTTTTGGAGAGTGCTTGTCGCCATCCTGCTGATTTTGTGCAATTGGCCCGTCTTTTCAGCACCGCTGGATACCGCGTCGAAGTCGTGCTTTTGGCGGTGCCAGCCGCCCTCAGTAGATTGGGCCTATTGGTGAGGTTCTACGAGACGTTGCCTGAGGGCCGGTCAAGGAATTTGCCACTGAGATTGACACCCACCAAAGTCCACGACGATTCGTATGCCGGACTATTAGACGCAGCGAGGTTCTTGGATGAGAGCTCTACAGCGCATCAGGTGCTTGTGGTAAGAAGGGGAAACCTCGTGGCATACGGCACCGTCGATGGAGCTTATGGGAACATGGTCTATAGGGGAGGCGTGGAGGAGGCGTTGAAGAGGGAGAGGGAGCGGCCATTGACGGTACCAGAGATGAAAACTGCCTTGGATGATATTCAAAGGATGAGTACGCATGCTGATGCGAGTGAGCAGGTAGAACAGGTGAGGAGCATGCTGAAGCCGCTGATTGAGAACAGCTCCCAGGATGGTTGGCCGGAATTGAAGCCCCTGACTTTTGGCAAGGTTGGTGAAGAAGCAGGTGGGACCTACAATGTTCTGCGGTTAGGACAATTGTGAGTAATGAGATGGAATATGGTGCTTATATAGTATAGTGCAAGATGATGCTAATTACGTCCCTTGGATTGTCGCCCAAGATGATACATCTTGTTTCGTAACCAGCGGTTTTAGCAAAGCAAACAAACTAATTATCACTGGTACTCGTACAGCGGCACGTTCTATTAAAACCTGCAGGTCTGCCGACGCTTGGCTTCATTAGCCTGTCGTTGTCCTATTGTAGATTCTCATCAGGGCCCCATCTCGTCTGGGCACGATTTGTGGTTTCATATCGCGGGAAAGAACTTCGTCGTGCTTCCGCTTCGGATTTGTTGAGCAAGTGCCCGGTTGATGGGAATCGACCACTTCTCGGGATGGTGATGTCGGTTCTGTCCCCGAGCTTTCTGGAATGTCTGAGCTTGCAGCCGTGATTTGCATTTTGCTTGACTTATTCTTGAGATCTGCTGTGCCGAAATACCTCGAGAACTCTGTCTGTAAAAGGTGATAGCGCTGGGAGAGAGTAGCATATGCCTTCAACAATTCCTCTTGATCTCGCTCTTGGGCCAAGACTCCCATCAAGACACTTGGGAGCTGCAGTGGCATTGGGTTCAACTTGGCTGGAGCTTTCCAGCTACCCAAGATCTTGTGGTCGAGCTGTTGAAAGAATGCCAGGTGCTTCTCTGGAGTGCAAAGCCAATCGTGGCACGCGGCTTCGAGACCCGAAATCCTGGCTTTCGGGGAAACTTGAAGGCACTGCCACACAAATTTCTCGCTGTTTTTGGAGAGTTTCAGACATGGCTGAAAAACGTCATGCTTCAAAGTCCTGTCCAATAGAGCCTGAGTATATCGGTTGAACTTGGGAAGGATGTTCTCGATATCCAAGCTTGCCGTCATCATTATGACAGTAACTATGCCCAAGGACCATATGTCAATGGCTGGCGTTTGAGAGGACTGGCCTTCATAAAGCTCCCTGGGTGCAATGGTTAGACATATTGATAAGAAGCCGGGAGGGCGAAGCTTCTTACGGTGCTTGATAGTTGGCTGTTCCGACTAGCGTGTTCATCCTGTTTCTGCGTGGCACCGCACTTGTGGCAAAGTCTGATAACATTACTCGATGGTATGCAATTTTTGGTGAGTAGGCTAGCAGGATATTCTCTGGTTTAAGATCACGATGAATGATGCCTTTGGCATGAAGGTAGTTCAGCCCCCTGATGACTTGTCTAATTATAATTCGCGTGTCAAATTCTTTGACACCATTGTGTCTGTTGATGAAAGACATCAGATCTCCCCCTGAAGCTAACTCCGTGAAGATGAATCTGAAATGGTTAGCGTGTGTCTAGCTGTGGTGACAGAAAATACTTGCAGAGAATGGGGCGAAGAAATGGATTCGACATATGGCAGGACATTCGGCTAGCTCCATTTAGCAGCAATTCCCGATCCCATAAGATTGGCACCTACATGTCGTAGTTGGCGAAGTATGTCAGCCTCTTGTAGTTTTCTGGTTGAGCCGTGCCGGTCAAAGCGGTTTTGGAGCTCGTCAAGATTCACCACCTTGCATACAATTTGTCTTTTTGAGATCACGTCTTGGGCCAGGTAGACATTTGCATCAGTACCCTGCCCAATGCAACGTTCGGATATCGAGTATTTATCCGAAAACAACTATGAAGCCGGTTAGCACTTTAAATTCGGGACGCAGTCAGTGTACTTTCCTTGGACTCTGCCAGCTGAATTTTGTTCATTCCAACTCGTGGAGTGCCACTCTCTTGACATAGTCTGAACGTCCAGTAAGGCCGGATTTCTATGGTATCACCGTCTTCAAGGAGATACCCAGAAGAGATGTCGGGTCCTTTGCCAATCAAGACCCCGTTGACGAATGTGCCATTGAATGATTTGCGGTCCCGGACGTAGACTAGATTGACCCCTGGTTCATACACCACGGTGTAAATTTCGCAGTGGTTTCTAGAAATTAGGCTCTCGTGATCGCTGCGGATGGACAAATAACTGCACAATAAGCATCAAGAATATCCTGGGATCGAAGGGTAAACAAACTTTGACCTAGGGTCCCTCCCAATCTTGAAAATGTCGTCTTCCCGGATGGATATGAAGCCTCGTCTGGAATTAGCCAAGGCGAACAAGGCGCAGGGAGCTTGAATAATTAGCAACTTTCTGAACACGTTCACCGCAAGCGAAAGTATACTCGAGGCGCGCGACAGGAAACTGGGATAGGGCATCTCTGGCACGTGGTGCAGGTGATGAAGCTCGCATGATGCTTCACGAGGAATTGATGGTTGACAACGTGCAATATTGATGCTTTCTTATGATTGATGTCGAAGTCACAACCTATTGAAATTTCAAAAACAGATTCTTCTTCCCTCCCCGACCTAAATCTTCACCTCTCAGGCACCCGTGGCTTGTGAAGTTGTCACGGCAGTTACACCAGGTTGCTCCTTCCATGATGGTGCAGTCGGAATACAGTGCATAATTAACGTCCACACTGTACCTTGTATGCGAAGGGCACGGACCAGATGGAAGACCCACGTGACCTCGGGGGGTTTCTTGCCCTACATTGGGAACTTTCCTAAAAGCTTTGGAATTTCCCCCGCTCCTTCTTCTGTTGCAACTCATCCAAAGCACGATTCTCATCCACGAACTAGTAAGTACTTTTCTCAATAGTGCAGCTCAAGGACATGAAGGGCCTTTGTCGTACTCTGCGAAGCATTGAATGCCACTGCCATTGTTCTCGGTGCGCAATGATGGGACTCACCAAATTTGCTGACCAAGCTTCAGACCATCGTTCAAGATGAGAGCCAAATGGAGGAAGAAGCGCGTTCGTCGCCTCAAGCGAAAGAGAAGAAAGATGAGAGCGCGATCGTGAGTGCCACCAGCCAATTTACCAAGTTGAAGCCAGCTGGACCATGTTCTCTAACATCCACACAGCAAGTAAACGCCTCGCTCTTCTACCTGACTTGACGCATCTTTCATGAAGTAACGAACTCCTCACGCCAGAGGGACACGTACAAACGAAGCTGGGAATGGGCCATGGTATCAGTGATGCCGATGGGGTTTTGCCTTCGGGGACCACGTCAACGGCGGCTGGTTCCACCAATCCGAGCTACGATGTTTTGATGGGCGTGGTGAGAGATGGGTGAATGGACAAAGGAACGGTCGGGTACAAGGATGGCGTTCGGGGATCGCCAAAGAGAAGCAAGCTGTCCTACGAAGGCGCCTGCAGGAACAAGTTTGGCACATTGTCTTGACAAATAAAACACAGATTCTGCTTCTTGACTCGTGACGTGTGTGGTCTCGTGATGCCTCTGATATGTCAGTGCGGGACAGTGTATATGTGACGAGAAAGGGAAATGGGATGGCAACAATGCCACGAATTGTCTTGCACCGGAGGGAGGCATGATTTGAACCTCGTCCTGAGTAAAACAATGAAGACAACGCTGATTTTTTGCTCTTTGAGTCGCCGTGTTTGTGCTTTTATCTCGCCTAGCGGAGCTACAGGACAGCTATGGAGCAGAATGGCCTCGAGAGCTTTTTCTGGTGGAGCCAGAAGCTGCCTCTCGTCACGGATCTGGGGGTTCGAGATTTCACATTGCGGCGATGGACATAAAACACAGTTGCTCGGCGAAGCTCTGAGAGTTTCGGATGGCTTCAACCAAGATGTGTCATAGCATAGAGCTGTGGTGCAAAAATTGACGCAGCTTTTATCAATACGAGTACGACACAGAATCGAAATCGATTTACAGTGATTTACAGTGGTTTGACTGAATCTGCCTGCCCTTCGGAAAACTACGCCCGGAAACTTTTTTTCAAAGAGTTTACCTCTTCATTTTCCATGCCAAGGTACGTTACTACGAACTTCACGCGGAGCTATGCTGAGCAACCAGCCAGTCAATGTCGGTGGGGCCTGCAGCCTCACCGCCCGAGTCTAATTGGCGACCAGATGTTTTGTGCCGCTCTCGGAGTGTTTGCATACCATTTTTTTTTTTTTTTTTTGGCAAATCGAAAGTTCTGAGCAGAGCAGAGAACAAAAGATCTGCCCAGCCTTGGCCTGGGTCACCATCCGTCATGGCAGATGTCAGTAGCAAGAAGCGGAAAAGAGACGGCGAATCTTCTGGCAAGCCGAAAAAGAAGGTTGTGCTGCACGCCCCGGCATCCACAGCCTCGGTCTCATCAGTCCTTCAACCCAAACACTGCCCGCCAGTTATTGGTAAGGAATTGTCCTGTTGATTGTGTAGTGAATTGAAATGACTTGATACTAAGTTGCAGCTCTTTAGCTACGACTCCTGGTCTTGAGATTCCTGCAAATGTCGCTTTTCATCCATATCAACCTAGAGCGGGCTCACGGCCAAAATCGACCAAATCGAAGCATGCGGGCGACAAGGAACTGCTGCTTCACTCAACCTCCCACCGAAGCCTAGATTACACTGCCAGAGAAGAATGCAAGAGGGGGTTGAATCAACAAGTCAAACATTATGTTGGGGTCTATGATCCCCAAACCGGAAATCTCGAGGTAGTGGAGGCCAAGAGGATGGTAATCCGTGGTATGGTTCGCGCCAAGCAAGCATCGGCCTCTACCATGGTGGAAAATCAGGCCAAGCAGGTGAGATTTTGTTCTTCATGTGGAGTGCATTTTCCCCAATTGGAAAGTCTACGCAGCTAACGGCTCCGGTAGAATATGATGGAGCGCAAGACGGACCTCGGACAAACATTTGGCACCAAGAAAGCCAAGAAGGCCATCCGTGAGAATGTACTCAACGCCATTGCCCCACAGAGGAAACCTGGCGACTCTCCTACGAAGATTGACGATGCCGGTAAAGCAATCCTGAGCTCCGTTGGCGAGGTTACGACAAACATGGCAACAAGGGAGGAGCTACAGGCTGCCGTCGACGAGGCTAAGCCGGTGCCCAAGGCCAATTTTAATGCGCTGGAGATTCATGATGTGTACGATCCAAGCGTCATTGTCGGCACAGATATCCTTAATCTCGTGCCTATAAGAGAATGGCAAGAAAAGGTCCGTCACAAGGAAGGCATCCAAACTATATCCCGATTTGTAGCAGCTCGAGTCAACGCCATAGCTGGGAACGACGACGCCATCACCCGTCTGCGTGTGCTTCGATACTTTAGCTTTGTGCTCACGTTCTACCTGAAAACCACACCTGGAAAGCAACGGGGCACGCGACAGGTCCCCCCTCGCGACAAATTGCGTGAGCTGCTCTCTCCGGCTCCCGAGGCGGTCGTGGAAAGTATCCGTCGGAAATTCTCCGATGCGGGCGTTATGAGAAAGTTCCATATTGATCTTCTTATGGCCTACTGCTGTGTGTTTGCGTTTATCATCGACAACTTTGAAGTAGACACGCAGAATCTCAGAGATGATTTGAGGGTGGACCAGAAGACGATGACGCAGTATTTCCGCGAGATTGGCGGCCGTGTGAAGCCTGTGAGCAACAAGGCCGAGGGTGGACGGACTATACACGTAGCCAGGCTGATATTGCCCCTCGACTTTCCCAAGCAGAGACAGATGGCTCAACGTCGAAAGTGAGGAGCAAGGCAATGGGGTTTGCTGTGATGTACAGCAAAAGACTGCACGTAGATGATGCATAGAATGGCGTTTGGGATGCCCAGTCGAGGAAAAACATTTCATTTCACTGTATGGGTAACATCGCCCGGGCAATGGACTTGTATTGCGGCCATGCAAGTGTGAGTGCCGTTCGCTCGCAAACAACTCCAGAGGCTGCGTTTCCCAGGATTTGCCACTGTCAGCGGCAAAGTGATGGCGAGTCTGTGCTGTCTGAGCACTTGGACAGTCAATTGATGCAGCCCACGAGCACAAAATCCAAACACAAGCCGCGCAATTCAAGCAGACGTGCAAAGGGCAACCCAAGTAACGCTTCTGCATCTTCCAGATCCGCACACCCCGTCCAATCGGTGTGTCCAAGACCGAGCCGGCCATCGACTTGCCCCGCAGTTTCCGACGGACCGAGGCAATTCGTACTGTAAGTTACTCTGCAAGTGCCAACCCGCATTGCAACCTCGACCCCGGATTTTAACCCAGGGCCACGAGCAAACCTGCCAAATCCCCCATGCAGGGTGCTTTGAAACCGGCACTCGAGCGTCGTATTTCCCTTGAATCTAGTTTCCCTGCCCGTCCTGTTGTACTACTACCACCTATTGCCCGATAGATCTTTCCGTCAATCGGTCCCAGGATCATCGATAGACGGCTCAACATCGCTTCGTCATTGCATTGCACGGGCAGGCGACAGCTTGTTCTCTTCTTCTCTTCTCTTCTTTTCTTTTTGTTTGTAGACGTCGCCGAGGTAAGACAAGACAGTCGACAGACAACAGACAACGGACGAAAGGTTGCTAAAAGAAAAAGAAAAAAAGACAGAAAAAGCAAGACACAATGGCCACCAAGTCCGTCATCAGCGTCGAATACCGCGGCCGCGTGGCCGTCATCACCATCGACAATGAGAAAAAGCTAGGAGCCCTCTCGCAGCCGCAGTACTACGAGCTGGCGACCAAGATGAACGAGGTGGCGGCACACGACGAGGTCTATGTGACCGTACTCACCGGCACGGGACGCTTCTTTTCCGCGTAAGTTCTGCCAACCACCAACCACCAACCACCAACCACCACGGAGTGCACATCTCCGAAGACAGGCGAGACACGAGACGAGACAAGACACGGCCTCGCCTCCTCGTGGCAAAAGGGTGTGACGGGTCACGGGACTAACTCGCTCAGCAGAGGCGCCGACGTGTCCATCTCCCGCGATGGCCCCGAGGCCCCTTCGGACGCCCACAAGTTCTGGCTGCAGACGTTTGTCGCCTTCAACCTCAACATCGCACACACCTTCGCCACCCACCCCAAGGTGCTGGTCGTCGGGCTCAACGGGCCGGTGGTCGGGCTGTCGGCGGCGCTCGTCGGCTGGGCCGACTTCGTCTACTGCACGCCGCACGCGTTCCTGCTGACGCCCTTCTCGTCGCTGGGCCTCGTCGCCGAGGGCGGTGCGTCCAGCGCGCTCGCGTCCCGGCTGGGGCCTGCGCGCGCCAGCGAGGCCCTCCTCATGAGCAGGCGCATCTCGGCGCACGAGCTGAAGCAGTGCGGGTTCGTCAACGAGGTTTTCGACTTTGGCGAGGCCGACGACGCCGGGTTTCGCGCCAGGGTCCTGGACGAGGTGGACGAGCGGCTGGGCGCGCACCTCAACGGCGAGAGCTTGCTGGGCATCAAGAAGCTGTTGAGGAGGCCCGGGCTGGACGTGCACAACTCGCAGAATGTGCACGAGGTTTTTGCCGGGCTGGATCGGTTCGTGAGGGGAATCCCGCAGGAGGAGTTTCGCAAGTTGGCCAGCGGCGAGAAGAGACATAAGCTTTGAGGCTGTAGACGCGCTGCCTTGGTTCTGGGTTGCCTCTTGCGAGCAGTTTTGTGAATACATGTCCGTGTCCATTCCACCCACCACCTCCTTGCTGCGACGTTGCCAACTTGCTCGCAACGGGAGTGCATCACATCACATCACATCACGGGCGAGGCGTGAAACTTGGAATGGACCCATTTCAAGGACAACAGCTGGTATTATGCCAAGAACCCAAACAACAAATTGACGCGTCCCCAAAAGTCTTGCGCCATCTTGTTAATCTTCTTCCTCGCCGCCTCGTCAAGCCCGCTCTTGTCGTATACTTGCCCGTCCAGCTCTTCGAAGTCGTGCACCCCTTCACCCGTGGCAATGCAGCAGCGCAGAAGCGCAATGTCAAACAGCCACTGCGCACAAATGTCCCCCGTGTCCGCCGTCACAGACTCCTTGGGCTTCTCCTCTTCGTCCGCATCCTTCTTCTCCTCGTTCCCATCGTCGTGCCCACCGCTAGGCGTAGCGTCTGTGGACAGTCCATCGAGCTCCTTGCGCCACGCAGCGCACAGCTTTGCCATCAGCAAGCCCTTCATCGCCGCCGTCGCTGCAGGCGTCCACAGATCGACCCCCAGATCCGTCATTGACAGCGACAAGTCCCGCAACAGCTGGAACACAGCTGGCGAGGGCTGACTTGGCATTGCGGGCTCGCCCTCCCACAGCGGCTTCAGCGCCACGCTCTTATCCGACAGACCAGAGGATATAAACTCCTCCGTCGCGGACTTTGATGCCATGACAGCAACTTGGTTGTGGAGGCTGGGAACCAGCGATATTCCAAAGTCCTTGATAGCCGGGCGGTCCGGGAGCCGCGTGCGGATGTCGCGTAGCACGCGGATGAGGTAGATGGCCATGGCGCCGCCGGACTCGTGCTCGGAGTAATGTCGCCACAAGTCCTGTAGCTGGTGTTGCAGATCTTGGAATGCCTTGTCTAGAGTCGTGTCCAGCTTTTCTTGCAACTCTTTGGGGTCTTCCTGACTAAGCATCTTCTGTCTCGCTTCGATGGTCTCCTCGTCCTCGATCTCGTCGTAGTCGTTGTCCCAGCGCTGTTTTCGCAGCTGCTCCACGACGGTCTCGACGTCGTCGATGATGTGGAACCAAGAGCCGTAGCTGTGAGTTGCTCTCGAAACCGCGTCGTTGCGACCGTACAGTCGGGAGACGACCTCCTGGATAAAGGGCGTGGCTCCGTGGGACAAGGCGGCATCGTAGCCCTTGTCGTCCCAGAGGCCGTGAGACTCGTCTGAAACGCCCCTTTGCCATCCTTCGAGGGTGGCCTTGACCTCGGATCCCACGAGCCGTAGCCTGGTGGCTTTGATTTCGACGACCGCCAGCAATCGCGTGTTGATGGCCTCGCGCAACTCGTCTTGCAGGACTTGCGGGTCGAAGCCCTTGGCCCGGCCGCCGTCTCTGATCCAAAGCTGCAATACGCGTGTTCGCAAATCAGTTATGGACTTGAAGTCCATCATGTGGTCGAGCGTCCTTTGCAAGCCAGAAATGACGACCTGGCCACCTCTTTCGGCAAACGTGCCGAGCATCTCCCTCGCCTGCTTGCCGTCAAGGTCGTCATGTTTGATGAAGGGTGTAAAATCCCGAATTTCATCGCTGCACCAGCGTTCATAAATGTCCAAGCGTAGGCACTCGAGCTTTCTGAGAGCAGCGTCCGCCAACAGCGTGTAGCTCTTCAAGCCGGACAGGGCTTGCGACAGCTTGACTGGGACCAAGGCCTGGACGTCGAGAAGGGTCTTGGTGTAGAGTCTCAAGCTGCGGATCACATCCTCGGCGCCGGTCGTCCGCTCGCTCTCCTCCAGGTCCAACGCCGTCTCCACAGCTCGTTGTCTCACTCGGAGAAAGAGCCAGATGGCACGCTTCGCCCCAGAGCTGTCCGCAAGACTGTGCGCGCACAATGCCTTGACCACATCTTCCGTGTCTGTCGTGTCGTCCGCGTTCTCAAGCAGTCGCTCGATGTTTCGTTGAATACGTCGACGCAGCGACTCCGACATCTTACCGGCGGCGTCGGCCGCTTGCTGAACGTGCTCCGACGAGGCCTCCTCCCTCAAGCTCTTGACCAACAGTCGGCCAATGACAAAGACCTTTGTAGCCAGCACCAATCTGTCGCCCTTCTTCATGTGCTCGTCTACTCCCGCACCGCCTTTCAGAATCCTCGCTACCGCGAGACCGCACGATTCCACCAGCTTCAGTCTCGCCGTTTCGATCGCTTCCGGACCTTTGTTTCTTGTGACAAACTTGCCAAGCCCAGACGCCTTGGAGGAGATGACGCTTCGTCCGCATCGGGCTCCCATCTTGCCCAGAAGATCCTGCACTCGGCTATTATCGTCTCGCATGTGAACGATTGTGTCAGCCGTGCCTAGGAGTTCGCGGTACGAGCCGCCGACCTGCGTCCGTAGACGAGCCGCCTTCTCCCCGATATGGACATGGAGAGAGTTGTGGATGGATCGAATTTGCGGGAGGGTGTGAGTTCCGGAAAAAATGTCGGCAGACGAAGTGAGGGTCGTGGGGTCGGGGGCAGATGCCATTGTGACGACTTGCGCCTTGACGGCGGAGAATTGTGGACAAGCACGATATTGGACGGATCATCAGCGCATCGTAGGGTCTTTGTGTAACGAATACAGCGCACGGCTGCGCGCAGGCTCGAGTCACCGTGTGTGTGCGAGTTGTGATGCAGGATGCAGGACATCATGTTCAGTCGAGGCGAGAACCGTGGCCAAGGTGGGGCTCACCAACAACTGAAGCGGCCTCCCCCTTGTTTCGCTCATGCACATTCGAAAGTATAGCTGTGGGATGCCAACCACATTTCTTGGTCAGGAAATACTAGTTTCACATGTACGCGGTTTTGTTCAGACCCAATCTCCTACAACTTGATGCTCTTCACGACACCGACATTAACACCAGAGGTTTCTCCCTGGTAGCCGCCCTTGGGCTCGCCCCCTTTCCAGACAGGCTTGATGCTCTTCAACTTCTTCAACTTGGCCTCGTACTGCTTTCTCCTCTTCACTCTTGGGTTTCGGACATCCTTGTTTCGTTTGGGCGCCAGGCCTTTGTTCTTTTCAATGGCATATGTGATCTTCCTCTTGCCATCCTCTCCCACCTCTTCATTTTCTACCACCCTATCTGCCTTGCTTGCTGCAGCATAGGCAGCATAACGAGCGGCCTTGTCGTCTCGCTTACCCTTTGACTTTTGAGCCACCATGTCGTAGTACTCGTCCTCGCCATGTCGAAGAGAGTCTGCGGCAGCGTCGTCGTCATCGTTGCTGTCATCGCCAAGATCGGCACCGTGCTTGGAATCTCGCTTGCCTCGCTTCTCTGCTTCTGCAAGGAGACGGGCTTGTCTGTCTCGAAGTCGTTCGCGATGCGGGATGTCCATGTCTCCTCCGGCATCGCGTCCGGCACCGGCACGCTTATTGGCCTTTTGTGTGATTTTTGACGTGTAGAATTTGAGACTCTTCTTCCGGGCGGCTTTGTCTGCGGCAGTTCGTGCGTCCAGGCTGTCCTCCTCACCAAAGTCAGAGACATCGTCATCTTTCGCCGCAGCAGGAAGCTTCGACTTTGGTTTCAACTTTCCAAAAGTCAGCGGCAAGTTGTAAAGATCAGAAACGCTGCCTTCAATGGCCCTGGCCCTTTCGAGCTTCTTCGCCTCCTTGGCGGCTGCAGCCTTGTCCTTCTTTGCGGGCTTCTTCTTCGCCTTTGGAGTGTCGAGTGCCGTCATGGCATCGTTCAATGCATATTGCCCATTGCAATCCGCGGCCAGCGACATGGACGTCTCATCAGGATTGCTCGCCGCCGTCAGGTTCTTTACTCGATCCCAAGCCACGCGGCAACTGAGTAAAGTCTCCATGACTTCGTGATCCCGTAGGTCGGTTGCCGACAGGGGCTTTTGTACTTTCCCGGCGTCTCGCGCAGGTGATGTTAGAATGGCAAAATAGCTGGCCAGAGTGGCAACATAGCAGCCCAGCACCCAGTATTTGATGGTCTCGACTGACGTGTCTGGTTGATTGGCTGCATCCTCCTTGAGCCCGAGATACACGGGGTGCATCTCCTCGAGTTCGCTTGCCAAATGCTCGAATTCAGGATATCTTGCTGACATGAGCCGCAGTCGCTCTTCTATGCTCATTTCAGGGGTGACTTCGATGTCCTTGAGAACCTCAACAACCGGTCCTCCACTTTCCTCGGGTTCGGGCTCTCCAGCTAACCACTCGTCGCCGTCGAAGACGAAATCCTCCTCCCTCATTTTCGAGAGTTTCTTCTGCTGCAGTCGCCTGGCCTCGGCTTCTTCTTGCAGCGCATCGGCCTCGGTTTCAATATTGTCAGCGTCGTAGTACTCCTGTCTCGAAGATCCCCACCAGCCAGAGTCCCCTTCTTCTCCTTCTCCTTCTCCTTCTTCTCCTTCTTCTTCACTGCCGCTTTCGGAAACTTTCCGATTCTTCGCAGCCTTCCTTGACTTTGTGAGGAGCTTTGTATCGGTCTCGTCCCCATGATCATCAGAGTCGGAATCCTCATAGCCAAGTATCTCTTCGTCTGAAAAGTCCATGTCTTCGTCCTCTTGTCTCCTGCGTTTCGAGTTCGGCTCCTCGTCCAGCATTATTGTGTCTTGGCTGATAAAGTATTCGTCTTCCGAATCGGCGACATCTTGGTAAGTGGTGATGGGACCAAGTCTAGCGTCACCCAGATCAAGTTCCCTTGGGCCTTTTGGGCCAGCATTGCGACCACCAGCCTTTCTTTTCTTTGCCATGATGACACGACTGATCTGCGGTCAGTTTTGGGGAGAGTGGCTCTGTGATTTCAACCCCTTTTTTTCCTTTTGCATGTGTGTGTGTGTCTCCAGCGACGACGAGGCAGTTGAGTTGGTCAAGCTGCGATGGCCAACGTTTTTCTGCTGCTCTTGTCGGTCCAATGGTGGTCAGAAATTTATTAATTTTGAGGCGACTGATAAGATAAGGATGTGTGTGGCAGACGGTGTGGCACTGCTCAGGGTCGCACCAGGGTCGTCTGGCGCTCGCGCCAGCTGAGGGGTGCGGCCAGTCTACGGAGTACGGAGTACAGTCGATAGCAAATCCCGAATCATGCCCCTGTGAACGCCGCAAAGGCTCAAAGGCAGTGCAAAATCCAATTACTCGAGTCATCAATCTTCCGGTGTGCTTCCTGCGGCAATAGAGCATGTACCTACCTACCTAACTAGTAGGTGCCTGGGAGCTGTGCATACGCCAGCAAAAACTGCCTACTGGCATTCAGCTTGCACGTGATGATGCTCAGCAGCACCGCTTGCTGTTGTACCGCGTCAAGTGATCCGTAAGTAAGTAGGTACCTACAAAGTGCCCAAGCACGTCGACTTCGGCCGCTGCTGGGGTAGGACGGCATGGCGAACTTGATACTTCCCATCCTCCCGTGTACTGAGGTGCCATCCATGATATTTGTTGATAATGAAACTTCATACCTCCTTCCTCCGCGGCGTGCAGTGCATCGAAGCGATAGCCTCTTGCGTGAACACGAGGAACGCCGAGGGCCGCATTCCTGCGCCAGTTGACGCACATCCCACTGCCATGTGCCCGTGTTGGTACTTGAGTAGGTTACCTAGGTACCTACACCTACTTGAGCACTTTAAGTACTTACGTAAGTACTCTAGGTAGGCACGTACCCAAGTACCCAGGCAGGTGCTCCCGTGATGATCATTGACCATGACCAGGATCACGAACCACTTTGCGCCGCACCATGATGACGGCGTGTGGCTGGCTCCCCAAGGTTTGTTACGGCCTCCACGTGCTGGTTAATAACGTTACCAACTTCACGCTAACGTTCCCTGCCCCCTAGAGCCAAACAGAACAATAGACCTTGCGCCAAGGGGCTTGCGCAATCAGGCTGAGAAAGTCCGGGTCGACACTTTGACGGCACCAGCAGCACTTGCAATTCAGGTTGAGACGCCACTGGAAGCCTGATCTCGCCTGACAAGCAAGCAAGCCAGCGACACGGTTAAAAATATCCTTGAGCATCTGACCACTTGAGCACCTGGGTCCTTAGGTGAGACATCACCATACCATTCGCGACGCACCCATCTATCCAGCCCGACTGGATTCCAGCTTGGGCTGGTGCTTTGAACCGCGGCAAACAGAGCACAACACTCGACCGCACTTAATCACCCAGCTTTGGTCTGCAGCTGCTGGTGTTGTTCTTTTGGCAGCTATTCTCTATGCTGCTTCCGATCTTTCTCGCGTCGTCGTCATCGCGTCACCACCACTCTAGCTAGCCCGCTCCGAATTTCCGTCTTGCATGCATCGTGAAGGCATGGACGACTCTCTCCCTTTCCCGGTCATATTGCAGTCGTCTATCACCTCTTCATAACACCTCGTCAATCTCGGATCTTACTGCCGATCCCCCGAACCCCGACCCGTCTATCGCTACTTTTATTCACCGGCGACGTCGAGCAGTGAGTGGCATGTCGCACTTTGGCGCGGGCCCGGTGACATAATATCAGCATCACTGTTGACGCTTCATTTTGGGGAGCTCTCCTCTGAGCCCTCCACAAGTTGTCTCAGCCCGCATGCTTATTATCACCTCAGATTCCGATCCTGTTGCGATATTACACGACATAAACCCGTCCAGTCGACCTGATCCGGATAACCATGGCGGACCCCGGGCCCCATAATGCCGGCTCGCAGCCGTCTTCGCCTCGTGCGAGCCGTCGACCACATGCCCTCAATAGGAGTGATTCGAGCATGGAGCCTAACGAGCGCTCGTCGTTACTCTTGAACAGTTCCCGATCTAGGGTGAGAATAGATGGTCCTGCACCGTCTCCTCGAATACCCCCAATATCTCGAAACCATAGTTATACAGGTATGCCTCAGTAGCTGGACCCCACGAATCCACTACGTGGTCATGCCATCTAGCAATTTCTGGACGCTGACGGACGTTTTTCTCAAGGCAGTGTGCGGCCAACTAGACACCATAGCAGACAAGGATCATGGGGACAGAGACTGATGCAAGCCTTGTCAGACCGGAACACCTCAATGTCGGAATCCAAAGCTTCCACGGCCCCCGACGAGAGGGTATGGTATGACCAATTCACAAGTACTGACTGGGTGCACGATGCCATCGCGGATTCTCATCGCGTCAAAGCCTTGAGAAGCCGAAGGGACTTTTGGGGCCGAGTCCGTGTTGCGCTCGATGGCTGCCAGGGCTGGATTCTCAGCGCCGTATGTGGGCTTGTCGTCGCCATTATTGCTTATGCCATTGACGTGGCCGAAGTCACCATCTTCGACTTCAAGGATGGCTACTGCTCAAGAGCGTGGTACTTGAACGAAAAAGTACGGTTCTGGTGTGAAAAGCTGCCGTTGATAGTCTCTTGGCTAATGCGTGTGTGTACAGAAGTGTTGCCGGCGAGGTCCATGCGATGACTGGAGAAGCTGGTCACAAGCCTTCAACTATCACCCACTAGGCGAGAAGTGGACCGATTTCATGATATACCTGACTTGCGTCATTGGCCTAGCGCTCCTCTCGTGTTGGATTGCGCTTGGGACAAAGACCGTCGTTCCGTCGGCATATCAACTTACGACCCTGGACGAAAATCTAGGTGCTGTTCCTCAGGTAGCGGGCCAGCTCGTCGACGGAAACACGACAGATGACAGTGTAAGCCCTCGTCAACAAGAAGAGCTTCAGCAAACGAGCGCTCCCATGATCTATTACTCTGCCGCTGGCAGTGGAGTTGCTGAAGTTCGTGTGATCCTCAGTGGATTTGTCCTGCACGGCTTCTTGGGTTTCCAGACCCTGCTTATCAAGTCGGTTGCGCTCGTCTTGAGTGTCGCGTCTGGCCTCAGCCTGGGAAAGGAAGGGCCATACGTCCATATTGCTGCTTGCGTCGGCAACATTGCCTGTCGATTGTTTGCCAAATATGACCGAAACGATGCCAAGCGCCGAGAGGTACTCTCCGCAGCAGCAGCAGCAGGGGTTGCAGTTGCTTTTGGTGCTCCTCTGGGCGGCGTGTTGTTCGGACTGGAAGAGGTGGCCTATTTCTTCCCTGCCAAAACTCTGTTTCGGACCTTTTTTTGCTGCATTATTGCGGCTTTGTCGTTGAAGTTCCTGAATCCATATGGAACGCACAAGATCGTCATGTTTCAAGTCCGCTATCTCACGGACTGGGCGTACTTTGAGCTGGTTAGCTTTGTTTTTGTTGGCATTCTTGGCGGTGCTCTTGGTGCGCTGTTCATCAAAGCCTCGAAATACTGGGCCCAAACCTTCCGTCGTCTTCCAGCCATAAAATCATATCCCTTGCTGGAAGTCTTCTTAGTGGCCCTTGTCACTGGCCTGATGAGTTATTGGAACGCCTTGGTAAAGCAGCCAGTTGCAAAACTACTGTTGAACCTGGCATCTCCATGCGATGGCAATGACGACAATGCAGATGAGCTCGGCCTGTGTCCCGGCTCGGTGAACGATATTCCTCCCATTCTTCTTACACTTGTCGTTGCCTTCCTCATCAAAGGATTTCTCACCATAATAACTTTTGGTATCGTAAGTGTCCAACATCACGACCCGTTCCTTGGCCTGCTGCTAACCCAGTTGAAAACAGAAAGTACCAGCGGGAATCTATATTCCATCCATGGTTGTCGGCGGCTTGATGGGGCGAATCGTGGGACACCTTGTGCAGTGGTTCGTCCTCTCAGTTCCGAAGTGGTCCATCTTTGGTGATTGCGCAACGGCTGCGGACGGGTCGTGCATCCAACCAGGTGTTTATGGCCTCATGGCAGCCGGGGCTACCATGTGTGGTGTGACGAGACTTTCAGTGACTCTGGCAGTCATCTTGTTCGAACTCACTGGCAGTTTAGACTACGTCCTCCCATTTTCACTGACCATCTTGGTTGCCAAATGGACAGCTGATGCCATCGAACCCAGCAGTATCTATGTAAGCGATGGCTGGGTCGAAGGCGGGACGCAACGTGACTAACAAATGTCTAGGACCTCTTGACAAGCATGAACGCGTATCCGTTCTTGGACAACAAGCACAAGCCAGTCTTCACCAGCGACTTGGCGGATATCGTCAGCCGACCTCGTCGGGAGAGAGTCATTGACATCACCAACTCGCCACTGGTGTCGGCCGTGAGTCTTCGGTCCAAGCTTGAGCTTCTTCATCGGGCTGGCGAGCTTGATGGTGGGCTTCCCATCATCCGACATGACGTCTTGGTGGGACTCATCCCGGCTCCAGATCTGGAATATGCCTTGGATCAGCTCAAAGATGAGCAGACAAGCCTGTGCTTGATGGATAGGGTGCCAAGCATCGACGAGGATGACGAAGATGGCCTGGACCCTACCGACTTCACGCAATACATCGACCCGGTGAGTCACTCGAGGTTGCAATTCGGGGCCTCTTGACTAACCACAGTGTAGGCTCCGGTTGCTTTGGATATCCGATCACCGATGGACCTGGTGTACGAGTGCTTTGCGAAGCTAGGCCTGCGATATATTTGCGCTCTGAAAGATGGCAAATATAGGGGCATGGTGAGTGGTGTTTTCCTCGCCCCCCTCTGACACTACCTCCCGCTCTGGGCTAACGGCTGCTGCGCCGTAGATTCACAAGAAGACTTTTGTGAGGCATATGCGACAGCTTGAAGAGGAGGAAAGGTAGACATGCTCATTGGGACGGGCGGTGGGGACTGGCAATGGATGTTCAACATGTTGGTACGGCACGACTGGCGTTTTAGACTCATGCAGTTTGGGGTGGTTATGTATTTCTTGTTTTAGAGCCATTGTCTCTGTAGTGCTTGCGGCACCCTGCCTTGGTTCCCATTGGAGATGATTCCAGGGAATGAGCAATTGGCGTCTGGTGTTGGGCATTGTGTAGCGACCGAGGACCATATCGATTAGACATTGCACGTTTGGGCATTAGTATTAATAGAGACGACTGGACTGATTGATTGCGCGACGCGGGCCGCTCCGTTGACGTGAACCACCACAGGCTGGATTTTTTAAAGCATGTGAATTGTAATCATATCAAGCATTCTACTCAACTCTGGGGGAGCTTCCATTACAAGACCCAAGTTGATGTGTTTATCTCAAACCTGGGCGCGAGACGCGATTGAATTGAAGCAGATTTCTCGCATTGTCGTCCCCCCCGATTCAGCACGGCCTGAGCACGACGAACGATTGGGTAGTTGGAATTGCTTGTTCGTCGACGGTTAGCTTTTCCGGTTGGATAGACACGTTCAGTGAGCCCACTTGGGCGGCGTTCCGAGATGCGGTCCGAAGCAAAAGCGGAATCCACGGGGCCCGGAGCTAATTAGTAATGGGCCTAGTGGCAGTCAGTCGGAGTCCTAATTTCTAAATCAAGAAGCCAACCAGGTGGGACAGGGTACGGTCCACGTGAGGATCTTGTCAGAGGCAGTACTGGGCGGGGGTTGGTTGGTGTGGTGGTGGCACTGGTGTTCCGTTGGGCTCCGAGACTTGCTGGGCGGAGAGTCAAAGGCAGAGAGGGGACCTACTCCGTAATGATTACGTAGTTAGACCTTGGAATTAGACCCTGGAAGCCCATCGATGTTGGGACTTCGGCGTGGTACACGCCGGATAGCGGGCAACAAGGTTGAAACATGGTTTGATCCCGGGCTTGGGCTTGCCAGCGGTCTTTTGCTCCTTCCCATGGAGTCGCTTTGGCGTGTCAGACGGGGCTGGTTGCTGACGAGGGCATCGGGTGGTGAAGCTGACTGCCTGGTCCTACTGTCCAGGAACGGCCCGTCTCACGAGCATGAGCGGTGTCGGTGTCACCATGCCGTGACGGCGCGCGCGCACGCTCTGCAGCGGGTAGCCGGCTCCCTGCCGCCGAGATGCTGCTTGGCTGGGATGTCGGAAAAGGCGCGCACGAGTACGTAACAGTGGTGCGTGGTAGCCAATGGTGCCCCGGCCGATGGCGATGCGGGGGATCCTGGGAGGCGTTGGACATGGAGTGAGTGGTGGGTGCGAGTACCGAGTTCGGACGTAGTGCCTGGGGAAGCTGACGGGCTGGCAGCAGATGATGGCCATGGGACATGCGTTGGCTCGGTCGATGGACGGTTTGGCGACTGGTGGGAGATGGAGGAGATGAACGGGAACAAAGATGGAAGACGGAAATGATGAGCCTGACAGCGGACAGCGGCTGCACAGGTGGAGCGTGGGGCCCGGTGGCGGTGGGACGCAGTGGGTTCGGGTTCTGCAAGACGGAGGGTGCACCTGCCGCAGGTGGGATAGAGATGGGCCGTTGTACGGAGTAGTCCGGCGATAAAAGGCACTGACTGGACTGGAGCTCCAGCCCAGCCTCCGACAGCGCTTCCCGGCCCTCCTGCACTGCTCCTTCCTCAACACCGCCGACGTTTCTCGTGATCCCTCCCCTCGCCGCTCGCAAGTCCACGCCACGCCAACATGTCGGCCCTTCGTGCATCTGCTGGCGCGTCCCGGCCTGGCATGATGCAGTCGTTCCGAACTGCCATGACCAAGCGTCCCTTCAACACTGCCAGTGCCATGCGCCCCGGTGCCGCCAGCTCATTCCACAGGGACGAACCCGCTGCCCCCATCCTCAAGACCAGTATTCCGGGCCCCAGGGCCGCCGCCGCCGCCGAGGAGCTGGATGAGGTCTTCGAGACCCGCAGCATCAACATGGTGGCCGATTATACTCGGAGCGTTGGCAACTACATTGCCGACCCTGACGGCAACATGCTTCTGGATGTGTACGTTGGTTACCTTGTCCTTGCGGCCCTGCTGCTGCTACTCAAACAGCTTCGTCTCCCCCACTGCTCGTCACGCACCTCCATGATGTTAACGCTGCCGCCACCCAGTTACGCTCAGATTGCCTCCATTCCTGTAGGCTACAACAACCCCCAGCTTCGAAAGGCCGCCCAGACCCCCGACATGGTTGATGCCATCATCAATCGTCCTGCCTTGGGCAACTTTCCCTCTCACACGTGGGCCAATATCCTCAAGACTGGCATACTCAAGGTCGCTCCCAAGGGCTTGAACAACGTGTACACCGCCATGGCCGGCTCCGACGCCAACGAGATCGCCTACAAGGCTGCCTTCATGTACAAGCGACAGGTTGAACGAGGTGGTCCCGACGTCGACTTCACTCCACAAGAGATGGAGAGCGCCATGAGCAACCAGGCCCCTGGCTCTGCACAGCTTTCGATTTTGTCTTTCAAGACCAGTTTCCACGGCCGCCTGTTTGGTTGCCTCTCCACCACCCGCTCCAAGCCCATCCACAAGCTTGACATTCCTGCCTTCGACTGGCCCCAGGCAACTTTCCCCCAGCTCAAGTACCCCCTTGATCAGCACGCCGAGGAGAATGCCAAGGCTGAGCAAGCCAGCTTGGACGAGGTTGAGCACTTGATCAAGACTTGGCATCTGCCTCCTGCGGCCGTCGTCATTGAGCCTATCCAGAGTGAAGGCGGTGACAACCACGCCAGCCCGGAATTCTTCCAGAGGCTCCGCGCCCTGACCCGCAAGCACAACGTTCTGCTCATCGTCGACGAGGTCCAGACTGGTGTCGGCGCCACGGGTAAGTTCTGGGCTCATGAGCACTGGGACCTTCAGGACCCTCCCGACATGGTGACCTTCTCCAAGAAGGCCCAGACCGCCGGTTACTACTACCGGTCCAAGGACCTGCGTCCCAATAAGCCTTACCGCCAGTTCAACACTTGGATGGGCGATCCATCCAAGGCCCTTCTTTTCCGTGCCATCATCGGCGAAATTGAGCGCCTCGATCTTGTCAACCACACTGCCAAGGTTGGCAACTATTTGTTCGGCAAGCTCGAGGGTCTTGCCAGCAGATACCCCGATCATTTTCAGAACCTCCGCGGAAAGGGGCAAGGTACTTTCATTGCTTTCGACCACCCCAAGCGCGACGAATTTCTCGCCAAGGCCAAGACCTTTGGTATCAACATTGGTGGCAGCGGTGCCAATGCCGTTCGTCTCCGTCCCATGCTGATCTTCCAGGAGCACCATGCCGATATTCTCATTGAGGCTCTTGAGAAGATTGTCAAGGCGTTGTGAGGGCCAAGGCCATGATGGAAATGCGGCGGCTTAACCATGGGTAATGCACAGCGACACGAAGAGACTGGCGGATAAGTTGCAGGTTTTGCAACTGAAAGAAGAAAGAGTCACATGCAAATCAAGGCGTAGGGCCTTGATGGATTTCAAATATCCCATGACCGACTCACTGCCGGGAGGGAACCGCAGGCAGGCAGGCGTCTGATGTGATTTTAAAATATTCGATTAGGTTTGTGCAATGAAGGACTTCGGTCCTTTCAACTATAAGAAGGGAGCAATTTGAAATGCATATGTAAGCATGGTCCAACGACGCTGACTGAAGTTGAGTCATATTCGAGCAGTTTATTGAGAGCGTATTGTGATGCTCTGTGGTTCATCCGGCTTCGTAACTAACTAATATGATTGGAACAAAGCGAGTGAAGTTGGGGAGGGGCTATGACATGGTTGTATCCTCTCACGTCTGGCTCTGCAAAAGTTCACAACTGCCGCTCCCTGTTCTACACATCTCATCCACATCGTATCGTACATAAAGCCGTGATTAGACAACCACAATCAACATTGCAGTCTTTCCATACCTGAATTCATAACGCTCAAATCAACAAATCAACCACCGTTTCATCTCGCTTCCAAAGACAAACGGCATTTCGAGAAGAGTCGTACCAAATGTGAAACAACCAAGGCCACAGAGCTCAGGCACGTCGTACTTAAGAATCGAAGTTGTGCCCAAGTCTCAGCCTAGGCCGCTACACACGAGGCTAAAGCCCAAGTGCCTTCGTCTTGGCATCGTGAATTGGTAGTGCGGCTCGCCTTTGCTGTGAGGCAGGTGGCCGTACGAGCAAAGTCTTTGGACAAGAAAAACTGAAATCAGTCACACAAAGCCGGCGGCACTGCAGTCGTTGTTCATGTTATTGACGGTGTCAGCAGTGTCCGAGACCTGCTGAGCTTCACTGATATCGCCAACCATCTTGGGATCAATGAGACCCTGATACTGGTCTTCAAAATTTGTCGGCTCGTAAGCAGTTTGTGAGACTGGGAAACCATGACCCGCCTGTATATTGCTCAAATTCCAGGGCTGCGTGACTGATACTAGACCATTGCCTGGATTGTCTGAAACACTTGTGACTGCTGGCCCTCCATGAATTCCGAAGAGCATATTTGTAGGCGTCTGATGAAGGCTAGAAGGACGTGAGCGACTGATGAATGATAATATACGGGCTGCTGTTGGCATCTCATGTGCAAAATCCTATGTCGTGGAACTCGATACAACAGAGCCGGTAGGAAAGGAACTGGGTTCAGCTTGTTGAGGTTTTCCAAGAGGCGTAGCCAGCCTTCGCTTCTTCGCCATTCCCGCATCAGCGGTCGCAAACAATGACACTCGTGGCTGCGTAGGGCGGTCAGATGGATGTAAAACGGCAGGCAAAATTGGCCTGTGTCCAGTGCCATGTTGCACACGGGGAGCTATGTGTGGTGGAAGATTTGGGCGAAGATCACTCTTGGCCCTATCCGTCCGAGATGGTCGGCCTCGTTTCTTTGGTTGTACTGTTGATGAGGGTGGAAGCGTGGCAACAGGTTTCTGCCCAGGTTCGTTTGAAGGTCGAGGGAGGATTGGGACCGGTACATTTAAAATTGGAGGTGACAACTGTTGTGTTTTGAAACTGGTTGTGTCGCCCGCGACGCCAGGATTGGCTTCCCTCGGAGCAGACTGCTCCTGACTGCTCGTTGATAGCCATTTGGAACTAGAAGGGCCGCCCATTTGCTCTACAATTTGCATACACTGATTCATAGTACGACCTACAGAAACATTAGACGTCTGCTTAACAAAATTTTGAGGGTTCCAAGACAAAAAAAAAAAAACGACTCACGTACCAAGTGGGAGCTGCATGCTCATCCAGTCGGGTTCAAGACGATTGGTGCTTATGAAAGCCAACAAAATGTCGATATTGACAGCACTGGATTTGACGATCTCAGCAAGAACAAATCGCTGCAAGACGAATATTATTATCGGAATTTCTCATCACCTACTCTTGAAAACACTATCAAACATACCTTCTCGTCCGGCGTAAAGAAGAGCTCCATGGTCTTTGCGATGCCCAGCGGAAATGAAACAAGTCGCAGTAGAGCAGGGCAAAAACAGAATATGAAACAAAATGATTTGGAGGAGTCCGACAAGTCTCGAATGCGCATTAGTGGTGGTCTCGCTGGGCTTATGAAAGTGAAGCGAAGCTGACCCGGTAGGAGAATAATAGAAGTGTTGTCACTACCTCTCCACCATTCAAGACATTATTGTTGGCATTTCTTCCGAAATAGACGTCCTTGACTGAACCACAGAATCGTCTGTACTGATTCCCGAATAAAGGTACGGACAATTGAATTCCCTGAACGAACGGGCGTTACCGCAGCCCCTGCCTGTTGTGTATTATAAACAAGGGTTGTGGTTGGGTAGAGTGTCCCCTCTACTTCTCCGTTTTTCACATGAAAATGTCTGGCACAAACTGGACGATGCAAGACTGTAGTTTCGCGACTCGTCAATGGAAACCTTGACCTTGGAGAGGGAATCAATTGTCAAGTTGGTGACGCCCAGCAAGATTCCGGTTGTGCGCCGAGAACAGAGAGATAATGGGTAAAAGAGTAGGGGCGAGGCGGCAAATGGGTTGGGCGATATTGATCTGCGACAAGCAGGCGAGTAGCGCCAAGAGGAAGCACAGGTCAAGGAGACGGTGACCGTCTGAGTGACTGAAGAAGCACAGGACAAAGTTCCTGAAATAGGTCTTGTTTACCAGTTTGTTACTGGCCGTTGCGGACTGGACCAGCGTGTGCTGGAAGGGGTCCCATGTCCTATCCTCGGACAGGCGACCACGGCTCTTTCGCAGCATAGAATCCAGAGCCTCATGAACCGCGTTGAAACTTGACAATCATAGCTTGGCCAGCCCGCGGCTCGTGGATACCACCTCGCTATTCTAAGAGGGCGCGGCACTCCGAACGGTGACGGTGGTGGTGCCGACAAAGAATGGCCAGGGTCGCAATAGGAATGGATCCAGAGGCGACAAGATGGAGAAGTTGCCCTGGCGAGAACAGAAAAATATGGTAGCTCTCCCCGTTGGATGCCACGCCGCCCAGCCCCAGATACGGGTGATCATGTGTATTAGAAAAGGCTTCATGACGGAACCATGCAGCAGTATCGGGGCTTGTTTCCAGATCCTAGTCTCCAGTGACAGCCTCTCACGCGCTGAATCACGGCCAACCTTTTGCCACACTCGGGAACAATGAATAGAGCTGTCTAACCCTTGGATGTGTAAAAGAGCGTGGTTTGCCAGCAGTACGTCGGCAGCTGTTGTCAAGCTGAGTAGAGTACCGGGGCCACTGGTGAACTTCAGCCCACTCGACTGGCCAAAGATGGCTTCGGCGCGGGCCGATTGGTATCAGCCGACGAATGAGTCCCCAACGCCCAATAACAAGTTAAGGCCTGGAGAGTCTCGGCTCGCCTAAAGAGTCGTGAGTATGCAGTTTTGTAAAGTTGCCAGGATCTCGTGTCTTTTGTCAAACAAAATGTGTGTGTGTGTGCGTGTGTGTATGTATTCATCGCGTGAAAACCCAACGCCGCATAGCTGTCACTGACCAAGGACAGCTTCTGGCCCCATCTGTGCCTGCCCGTGGTCCAGGTAGTCATGGCTCGAGACATGCCGCCAGCTCGGTTTAGGAGTTAGTGTCTTTGTTCAGGTTTCTTCTGGTCGCAATACCGAGAAAAGCCCGTCCTGTGAACAAAGAAAGGTATAAAGAGGAGAAAATTTGACACGGCAGTCTGTCACTCGGTGCGGTGACACTCGACCCACCGTCGTTCTGCACATGGCGGTGGCCTTCAGCCTGCACTTCTCAGGCAAAGTCTCTCTTGACCAGGCATAGCCAATCCCACGATCGCGCCTGACATGTCTCAGTACCCCCTCCAACCGTCGATGGTAGTAGACGCCAACTTGGCGACCCGGGTAAAGCTGGGCTGCCTCGCGGCGCTTCTCGCGCTCACGCACCATGAATATGCTTCTTCGACTGCCCAACCCTTACCAGGAACACGAGCTGATGGGCGGGGACGTTTTCTCGAGGCAGATGTGGTGTCAAAACCGGTGAATGTTGCTACAGCAGGTGTCGTGCAGGAGATTGCGAGAGAGCCCGCTCGTGTAAGCAGTCGCGTGACCGTTGGGCTGTGGGCAAATGAGATCTGTAAACTGTGGCTCAAGCGACAGCGCCCATTTTGGGGGAGTTCTCCATGGCTGTGCCAATCAGAGTCTCCTCCGCATGTTCATTCGTATGTCGATTGTGCATGGCGGGCTGCCGTTGCCAGTCGATGTGGGCAGGCTCACCGCCATTGCTCTGTAGGCACCAGCCACCGGCGGCCGCCTTGAGAGACCCATCTTGGAGCACTGGGAGACAACGACCCGTCGACAAGTGCAGAGTACGTAGGCAGGGTGATGTCAGAATCACACCTTCTGCGGTTCGGATAACGCCTCCATCAGCAAGACAAAGAAGGCCGTAAGCATGACAACCGTTTCAAGAATTGAGGGGGGTTTTGAGCAAAGCCCAAAGTTCTGCAGCCGGACCGCCTTTTATAAAATCAGCCCTTGGTCGCTCCTTCCGAGCCAAGCCCGGCACGGCACGCCTAACGAATGACCCATGCAAAGTACGTACTCCGTAAGTGAGTTGGCATCCAGGAAGTCTCACCGGGCAAATTTGGGATGCATCATCTGTCCTTCCTTCACAGTTGCGACGGCTCAATTCTCTCAGGCCGTTTGATATCTGCAAGGTGTGTGTCGTCCTGAAACCTGTGGCCCATCATGGCCCAATTGCCTCGTTCAATTCCTCGTGCATATTGCATCCTGCCTCCGTCATGCAGGTCTACGATTGCGACCTGCCAGTAATCTCGATGGACAACAGGGGCTAGTGACGACAATCAAGTGCTCAGGAATTGCCAATTGTGACACGGGCAGTAAGTATTGGCGACGCCAAACGGTTGATTTCCGATGTGGGATTCTGTACTCCGTCCGCAGCTTCACATTGATTACCCGAGAGCGGGTTCACTGTCCGTAGATGGTGCGGTAAGCAAGGCCTTTTCGTCTGATCTCAACGCTACTTTTCGGAACCGCCAGAATCGAGTCGCCAAATTCCTTTGCCTGAGCGAAGATGCCATTCAGGCGTGTTACGGGAGTAATGCCCGATGAGATATGACACGCGTACTTGAGTGGTCAGAAGCAGGCACAAGTCTGCCTCCTACTTACTTACCTCTATCGTATACGTAATGCTGATCGTTTCTAGTACATGAATGACTTGGCAGTCTTCTAGGGCAAGATCCAAGTAGAAAATGCCTGAAATGGTACCCCAGAGGAGACACAGCAACGGCACCTTTCGTACAGGCAAGGGGATTGCCACCCTGGCGCTTGACTCGTCACTGCCTGGCTCAGTATGTCTGTCAGCTCATCTTGGGAGGAGAAGACGACCATGATGAAGAAAAGGGCCCAGGCTGCATCATCAGTGCTGATTGAGCTCCAGCACTGGGATAATTCGCTCGTTGGACAGCTCGCCGTGCTTACTGGTCATTGTTTTGTCTCGCGAGACCGGGATACAGCACAGTACGTGCAGTTACCCGCTGATATATTGAGTCCAGGCACACGAGCAGCGCAGACGCGTACGAAACAAATGATGGTATTACAAAAGGATGACTATGATGAGCCCTTGAAGCTCACGGCCTTTACAATTTAACAATAAAATCAATTCTGATTTTGAGAAATAGCAAGTCTTGTCGACTAGCACTTATTATAGTGGTAACTATGCTAATTGACGAGGTGGGTAGGTATGATGTATTCACGACATCTCAGCTGAAAGCAAAGAGCCCGCTTCGTGAAATGATGCAGCCCGTAAGCTACTGCAACTCCGTTGCACATTCTCATCGAAGAGACAGATGCATTGTTCCTCGTCCCTGCGCTACTGTCCAATCCCAGATTTGAACGCCAAGATTCCCTCAAGGCAGCACGTGAGAACGCCCAACTTCGCAGACTGAGGGGATTCAACCTTGCTATTCCAATGATGGGAACCAGCAAGCGCCACAGAACAAGGCCGAAGCAGCCAACCGCAACCGCTTTGCCTGTCTTGTCAAGTCGCTGGCCGCTGGGCCTACGGCGTAACGATGGCGCCCGATTAACGGGTGGCGTGCGAGTTGCCACGCAGAAACACGCAGAGAATGAACTCTCTACGGTCTCATTTGGAGCCATGTCCCATGCGCAAGCCAAACGCTTCTCATCAAAACGCAGTTCGCCTGTTGCTTTGAGTCTATAAATTCCGAGCTTGTCCTCCCAGAAAACTCCATCACAGAACAGCGATTAAGTAACAAGGCTTACTTGACGTCGTGATTAGACATCCCCACAGCACCAATATCGACACAGTGCAGAACACGTTGTTTGCGCTTGCAATCAATTTTTTTTCCGACGTATTTTCCACCTTTGCATCCAAAGACGCCTCCGAAATGCCTCGTTTCGCCTTCCTCGTCGTCGCTGACGCCATGGCCGATCGACCGAATCTCGAGATCCCCACTGAGATGCTCGAGACGATGACGGCCTTCAATGAGAAGATGGCGGATGCGGGCGTGCTTCTCTACGCTGACGGCTTCACACCTTCCTCTGACGGCGCCTACCGCCTCAAATTTGGCGGACCGTCCGGGCCAGAAGTCACGCCTGGGCCCTTTGATTTGTCAAAAGAAGACCACGTCTGCGGGTACTGGATAGTTAAAGTCAGGGACACCGAGGAGGCCTTGGACTGGGCCAAGCAAGTCCCTTTCCAGGCGGGACAGCTTCTTGTTCGTAAACTCGCGGATGGATGTGACTTGGGCAAGAGTTTCACAACTGAATTGAAGGAGCGTGAGAAGAGGTTGAAGTTGAAACTCTTGGACAATCTCAAGAAGGCGGTAGATGAGTGAGACGGGGCCAGCCGCGAGGCATGGATAGGCGTATTTCCATCCGTAGTGTGCTGTGATTCAGACTTAGGATTGTTGGTATAGTTCAGCTTGGATGTTTTTCTTACTTGACTAAGCATCTGTGTTGGGTGCGTCTGTCCAGAGTATCGTGACAACTGTCTGCAGCTAAACCCAGCACCTAAATGTTATAGCTTCACTTGCCATGTCCGGTATAGACAAATACGCCAGTGGGAAAAGAGAAGAAAAGAATGAAAGAAGGTATTACGCAACATTGTATTACAGGAACAAACTACGTGTCCGTGCCACGTCTGTACCAACACCATTTTCTGCAGGGCACTGTGATCATGCACGCCGGTTCAGCTGTACACACACGAAACAGGTTTATCAATAGGCAAGCTTCGTGGCGAGAAGCCCAGGCAGCCCGTGTTTCCTCCAGGATTGATAACTTCGGTCAACCAAACGCTCCAAGAATCATCTATAGAGCCAGGGCAAGCCTGAAGAATGTTGTTGTGGAAAACGAGATTCCCGGCGGGATCAATAGACCAGCCGTCGAATTCAGCATTCCGAGGAGCCCTGGCGTCACCTGTGATGTAGCCAATCTTGCCTTGGCCTATTCAAACTGGTCAGAACGAGAAGGGGGCAAGTAGGAGAGGATTGCCTGATTGCCTGCCGAAGACAGCTGGAGTACGTACCCATTCCAGAGCGATCGACATAAACCTGCTGAACTACATCCCCATCCGAGTAAAGGAACAGCTTGGACTCATCGAGGTAAAAAGTAGCGCGGTTGTTCGCTCCCTTACACGTAGCACCTTGGTGGCGCAGGTTAAGAAACAAGCTACCTTGTGCAGCACTGAGAGGAGCGAAGTGGATGGGGCTAGCTGATCGGAGGGCCATAATGTCGAAGGCTTGGGGCCGGTAGGGAACGGCGAGGGCGGAGCCGGCGAGGGCGGGTAAAGAGATGGCAAGGAACTTCATACTTGTTTAAAGATTGGATGGCAGAAGCTAGGACAAGAAGCTATCTCGGCAATGTGCAAGAAGAACGAGGAGTTGCAGAAATGGTTGGGAATTAATTGTCTTGTATTCTTAAGCTGGGAGAAGGAGGCAAGTGCAAGTGGGTTCCAGACGCACCTTCTTATACTGGTCGACACCGACGGGCAGCCCGATTTTGACTCCCGAGTCGCATCTTTTCCGGGATTCGGAAGCTACTGGTGGTGTGGACGTGACTGGGCCTTACATGATTTTCCACCACTACGAGCTGCAGATGGCCATTTACAGCAAGAAAGCAGCATAGTGGACGGCAGGTTGAAGTTGGAGCGAGCCAGCCAGGGAGCAATGACGTTTGTGGATACGAGAGGACCGACGTTGCATGGGACCCTGGCAAAGCGACGGACTGGAGACTTGCGGCTAGGTTGGAGGGCCGAGGCGCGGAAAGACTGGCAGACGTCATGTTTTGGCTGATGCGGGCCGTGGAGGGAGTTGCGGATGATATGGTATTGACCACCGGCGGCGGGTGCCTTGATATATGACGATGATGTGCGGACGTGATGTGGTGACTTGGGTGCTGCCAGCTGAAGGCCGTGGCGGCTTAGTCTGTCTGACCAGAGGCGCGAGGTTGTGGTCAAATGGTTGCAGTCGAGCGCATTTCAGAAGTGGCTGGATTTGAAATGTCGTCGATGATGGACGAATCGATGATCCAAAGCGGACGAGATGCTCGTGACCGAAGGAGCTGGCTTTTAGTTTTGGCTTTCTTTCGCTCTCTGCCCGGCCTCTGATTCTTCCAGACCAGCGCTTGCAAGTTGAGTTGGCTGGGCACAATTTTCTGGCGGTGTACTCCGTACGGAGCAGCTCCTTTACGCTGAGGTAGCTGGGTGATGCTAGGAAACATGGAAGATGGACACGCTGGCAAGATGGGCTCCATTGGAGATGTAGTAAGTAGGTGGTGGTAGCGTTGGAGTGGTGAGCATCATCAGGTTCGCCATATCCGGCTGTAGGTAGGTAGGTACCTTAGGTACTTGCTTACCTACTAAGTACCTGAGTACCTAGGTAAGTAAGTACTGGGCAGGTACGTTCCTACTCAAGTTAAATCTAGGATACTTCACAGTCAGCATTACGTACCAAGGGCATCGTTCCCGGAAATAGCGGCGCATATACACATACCTTGGTGATAATAACGGGACTACGGGAATTAGAGTTGGAACCCGAATTGCCAGGGGTTTACCGACCTGCAGACCAATTCTGAGTTGACGTTGTTGATGACCATTTGACGCCAGGTGCTTACTTAGGTAAGCAAAGTACCAGACCCGGCGTGCGGACATGCGTCAGGTACAAAGGCCAGGCCCAGTGCCACGGCTCCGGGCCAATTGGCACCTGAAAATCTCGACTGGTGGCGCCCAGCAGCGTCCTGACGCCGGCCTGGTCCAGTGCGCAAAGTCTACATGCAAGTGCCAAGTAGCGATGAGGAGCGCTGTCTGTCTGCGCCGGGCCCCGTGCGGCCAGGCCAGCACGCACTCGCACTAGCACTGACAGACAGCACCGACGGCGCCGACAAGCACCGACTGACACCTTGACCAGACCAGACCAGACCAGACCAGACAGACATTTTCAACTCCCTCGGCCCAATGCCCTCAATTCCTCTCTTCGCCTCTCTCAAGGTCTGGTGCAAGGCCACATGCATCGCAATCGATCCCGACCACGCCGCAGCTGAGAACCGCCCGTCGCCTCTTCGCTCCCGCCCTCCCCTCTCTCTGCCGTGTCTCCCCGTGTCTCCCCGTCTCTCCCTCCGTCTGTGCCTCTCTCGCTGACTCCAAATTGCCGTCGGCGCACGCGGTCCACCGCAAATCGCTGGCTTCCATCCTCCATCTTCCAGCTTCCGGCCTTCGCTTCAGCCCACACCCGACTCTTCTTCTCAGCAGCCTCCCGCGCGCGTCTCCCCGTCGCTCTCTGCCACAACCTCGTCGAGGCCCTCGCTTCCTGACCCCGGATTGCTGGCCAGCCCGGCCGAGAACGACGTGTTGGCGTTGACGCTTCACACCGCCGTCCGCTATTTAATGTTGTAATGGAGGATGAGGAGCATGCATCCAGAGGCATGAGTAGGATCAAGCTGGAAGACGGAACCGCCAATGGTCGGCCCGAAGCCATGGACATGCCCGAGTCCACGCCAACGCACGTCGTCAAGGGCGGTGCCTCGCCTGCATCCGTCAATGGCATCAAATCAGAGAGCGACGGCGTGAATACGCCCGCCTCGGGAAAGCCACGCCTGTCGCGAAGATCTTCACAGAAACCCGCCGAGCCCGAACCGCGACTCTTCAATCATCTCCCAGACGTGACCGATGAGTCTTGCAAGTCCTTTCAAGTCATTCGAGACTGTCTCTACGGATCGAGACATCTTGGTTCTACCGACAATGACGCCTTGGACTGTGACTGCGCCGAGGAATTTCGTACGTGCCGTTTTCTTTTTCTTTTTCCTGTTCTTGTTCCTGTTCTTCTCTCCCTCTTCTTTCCTTCGTTCCTTCATCCACGCCTATTTATTCACCCCCCTCCCCCCGCTCATTGCGCGCGTGCTGCGCCATGTGTTGTTGTTGCTGCCCAGAGCGTTGTGACTAACCAATGGACTGCAGAAGATGGAGAGAATTTTGCCTGTGGCGAGGACTCGGACTGCATCAATCGCGCTACGAAAATGGAGTGTGTAGCCAGCGGCAGCAATTGTGGTGGCGGCTGCCAGAATCAACGCTTTCAACGCAAACTTTGGGCCGATGTTGCAGTCATCAAGACCGATAAGAAAGGATATGGTCTTCGAACCGACTCCCCCTTGCAACCAAACGACTTCATTTATGAATATGTTGGCGAGGTCATCAACGAGCCCACGTTTCGACGGCGTATGCTGCAGTACGATAACGAGGGCATCAAGCATTTCTACTTCATGTCCTTAAGTAAGAGTGAATTCGTAGACGCAACCAGAAAGGGTAACCTCGGTCGCTTCTGCAACCATTCATGCAATCCCAACTGCTACGTGGACAAGTGGGTTGTTGGGGACAAGCTGCGCATGGGAATCTTTGCATTGCGCAAGATCCAAGCCGGCGAGGAACTGGTATTCAACTACAACGTCGACCGATACGGTGCCGAACCACAGCCGTGCTACTGTGGCGAGTTGAACTGCGTCGGATTCATCGGAGGCAAGACGCAAACTGAGCGAGCCACCAAGTTGCCGGCCACAGTCGTCGAGGCACTTGGCATTGATGACGCTGATGGTTGGGATAAGGCTGTTGCCAAGAAACCACGCCGCAAGCGACCCGAGGAAGATGATGAAGAGTATGTCAACAGCCTGCCAGCCAGGAGCTTGGGTGAGGACGATTCGAGAAAGGTCATGGCTGCGCTTGTGCAATGCAAGGAGAAATGGATTGCCGTCAAGCTGCTTGAGCGCATCCAGCGCTCCGATGATGACCGAGTCATCCACTCCGTCATGCGTATGCACGCCTACCAAATTCTCAAAACCACTCTCAACACCTTCATCGACGATCACAACGTCGTGTTGCAGGTCCTGGATATCCTGGACAAATTCCCACGCATGACGAGGAACAAGATTCAAGACTCCAACATCGAAGCGACGATACAGCCCTTGACCGACTCGAAGCACGAAGATGTATCAGCAAAATCCAAAAAACTGCTCGACGACTGGAGTAAACTGGAAGTGGCATACCGCATTCGACGAAGGAAGGTTGACCCCAACGCGCCAGTTCAAAATCTTTTCGACGACCGCCGAGGACAAGCTCGCGAGGAAGAGACGGCTCAGTCGACACCGAAAACAGCATCGCCACGACCGATTGACGCTCCCAAGGGCCCCAAAAGCAGTATTCCCCAGCGCAGTGTATCATTTCAGCATAACAACGTGAACCGGCCACCCCGACGCTTTGGACCGCTCCCCGAGGGCTGGTTCACCGCCAAGGATTCCAAAGGTCACACCTACTACTACAACAAACAAGGCAAAACGACTTGGAGCAGACCAACTCAGCCCGCCAACGACGGGCCGAAGGCGCCCTCCAAGGCCATACAGGAGCAACTAGCGATCCAAAGTATCATCGACCGCGTCACCAAGGAAGGAGCACCGAAGCACACTTTGCCACAGCCAACTCCATCACACGCCAGTGAGTCGTCATCCAAGGAGTCCAGGAGGAGCAAGTGGAAGGCACTGCCCATGGAAAAGCAGATGAAGATTTACGAAAATACTGTACGCCAACTCGCCTTGACCAGCACCTGAGTTCAATGACGTGTGCTGAGCTAATTGTCATACAGGTCTTCCCGCCAGTAAAGCACATGCTAGACAAGTTCCGCCATAGACTCCCGAAAGCAGAACTCAAGCGGTTAGGTAGAGACATTGCCAAGAAGCTTGTAGCCTCGGATTACAAGAACAACAGGGTGGATGATCCAACAGCAGCCCTCAGCGAGAAACAGACGCTCAAGATCAAGAAATACGTCAAGGACTTTTTGACACGGGCAGTCGAAAAGTACGATGTGCACCAGCGGAAACAGGCCTCGAAAGAAGCGAAGCCAGGCAGCTCCAATGACGGAGCTGCCACGACGGCCAGCGACCCGTCTCAGAGTGTCGAAGCCGAGGTGGCGGCGGACGACATTGCGCTCAGTGACATGGAAGAAAACGAAAACGACTCCCCTAGCAGCCAGGAGCGCAAACGCAAGAGAGACTCGGACGTGGCAGACTCGGCGGGCGCAACACCTTCCGAGGGACCAGAGCTGAAGAGACCACGAGCCGAAGACGGTGCCGAGCCGTCGCCTCCGCCTCCTCCACCCCCTCCACCGGACTCTGGCTCAGACGACGCCCTGACGGAAGAGCACAACGCCGAGCAAAGGGCCTTGAAAGAACAAGAAGAGGCTCTCATGCGAGAAAACGAAGAGGCGCAACGGCTAGAGGATGAGGCGAACATGTCCAAGAACATGGGAGAAAAGGCTGAGGAGATGCGTAAGGATATAGTTCTTGCGGCGTGATTATCTGTTTATTAGCATCAGGCGAGGGCTATATCTTTTTGCTTACCAGGGGGTAAAGGGGAGGGGGGTTTGGGCGCCGCGGCGGCCTTTTGATACCAGAGCAGGGGTTCTTGCAGCATAACCGGAGTCTCTCTAGGCATATTGTACCATTACTTGATGTTGTTTTGCAAAAAAAAAAGGGGGCCCGAGTGAAGCGTGGGCCGCGCTGCATTACATGTATTATTGGAGAAACCCACAGGGGGAAGCAATGGAGCAAGTTTCTACACGGAACAGAGGCGGACAGGGGCCGCAAGCGAAAGCCTCAGCGGTGGCAGGGGAACCGATAGATCAGATACCACGTTTAAATGGCTCCATGTGCTAACATGTAAGAGGGGGGAAGGGGGGGAAGAGCAAAGAGAGAGAGAGAGAGAGAGAGAGAGTGAGAAGAGAAACGCCGCGCGATGCCAACGCAATACCAGCCCCCGTGTCCCAGATGCGTGCCGCGACGGTCTGTCGCCGCACGCTGCAGAGCCAGAGCCTTGGTGCCATGCCATGCTGTGTCATCCATCGTCGCCCGAGGAATCCGAGTCGTCGCCGTCGCGCCCCCTCCGTTTCCTGGTGCCCGTCTGCGCGGCGACGTCGCCCCTCCTCCGGAAGACGTAGCTGCGCGCGGTCCGCTCCTCGCCCTTCCACCCGCCGCCCAGGTCGCCGTTCCTGGTGCGCACGGCGCCGAGAGTCCGCGCGTGCTTGTACCCGGGGTACGCGGCGGCCTGGAAGCGGAAGCTCCGGTCTACCTGGAGGCCCGAGTGGCGCGCGAGGTCGCGGATGTTCCAGAGCGTGTAGGGCTCGCCCTCGAAGAGCGTGACGACGATGGTGCCGCCGGGGCGGAGGGCGCGCGTGGCCCCGCGGAAGAAGGACACGAGGAGCTCCTGGTTGTGCCGGACCTGGCGGTTCACGTCGGTCGACTTGCCGCCCACGTGGGGGAAGTTGAAGACGACGGCGGAGTATACCGGGCGGGCGAGCGAGGCGGGGAGCTTGGTCGCGTCGATGCCGTAGAGGAGTCTGTTGGTGGTGGTGGTGGTGGTGGTTGTGGGCGCTTCCTCTTCGTCGTGCTTTTCGTCGTCGTCGTCGCCGTCGCCGCCGTCCTGCCGAGTGCTTGGCCCTGTGCGCCCCGTGCGCCCGGTTATGACGGATATGTTGTCGTCGACCGAGGGGTACTTTTCCGCCAGCTCGTGGTGATGCTGCTCAAGCACCGTGGCCGTCACGTCGACGCAGCCGTGGTGCCGGATGATGGACGCGGCAAAACTCAGGTCCCCCTCGCCGATGAGCAGGATCTTGTCCTCGGGGCGGAACGGGATGACGGGTTCTTCGAGCCGCCGCTGCTGCTGCTTCTTTCTCGAGGGCGGCTGCCCCTTGCTGGGCGTGGCATCGCGTCGGGCGCCGCCGCGCAGCGCTGGTTTGGGCCTTTGCACGTTGGGGCGCTGGTGTTGGCGCTGCAGCTTGCGGCGCTTGGCATTGGCCATGGTTGACGGGATTGGTATCGGGGGACTGCGGCGTCGAGATGGGAGAGAGCGTGTGGGTGTTGGGGAGTTATTTTATTTTTATTTTTTTAATTTTTTTTTGTTCTCTCGTGTGTTTTGTTGCTGTAGATGGTGGTGGTGTATCGTATAGCGGGGTTGAGGGGGGTTTCGGCTGCGTGGTCAAGATGAGGTCTCTTGCACTCCTCCCGGCTTGCTGCTTGCTTGGACCAGCTGCAAGTCTGAACCGTCACTGCTTCCTCCCGTCAGTCGTATTACACATCACACATCACACATCACACATTACATACAGATTACACACCGAGTACAGCTGACCAGCAACGGCGTCCCTGGGTAATCTGCGGCGGGCCCCTGTCTGCCGGGGCGGATCTCACGTGCGTTGTGGGACGATCCAATCTGCCATGTAACTACGTACTCCGTACTCAAGTACGGAGTTTAAAACGCAAAGGGAACTGGGGGCGTTGCCGCTTTGGGACCTGCGTGCACCGCACACTGTACGCCGCACAGTGTGCTTGTCTGTCGACGTTTGATTTGTGTTGCGGCATGGGGGAGTCGGAGATTAATTACTGGTAGAGTTCTGCTGTGAAAAGATGGTGCATGGCCGTGGGCGCGCATCTGGGGGCGGTTTGTCCGGTTGTTTATTCAGTCATGCCTTTTTCCTTTCCCCCCCGCAACATGGATCGTCCCCGATCATGAATCACGGGCGCTCTTCCTGGCTGGTTCGTGTTTGCATCCATCACGGCGCGACGGGGACCGGAGTGCGGCTGAGCAGTCGCATCACGGCTCCCCCGTGGGCGGCGAGTATAAATTTTTCTCGACTCGGTATGGCTTTGGCATAGCTGACGGCTCCTCGAAACCGCGTTGTGTGCTCCGTATCGGAGCACCGTACCTGCCTGCCTTGGCAGTGCCAGTGCCAGTCGAGACTCGGATGAATGGGCGTCAGGCGGGACGACACTTGCATACGTTGATTGGCTGCTGGACATGTCGGCTGCGGGCACTAAGCTGATTCGGCAGGAGACAACGTGAGGCCCGCGTCGCTGGTTGGGCCGGAACGGAGGATACTCCGGCCGCAGGGTGCGTGTCGAAGTCAAAGTGAAAGAAGACGAGGGGACCACTCGCGGGGAGGAGGAGAAGCGCAGGGTGTAAGAGAAGCAGAAATCTGTCCTGGTGTAGAATTGTTTCTTCTTCCTCTTTCTTTTTTTTTATTTGGTCATGTCTGTCCAGGTGGTGTCGGTTGGATCTGAACAGCGAGGCAATGTTCCGGCCCGTGGCGAGCGACTTTGCACACGCCTCATGATGATGCTGGTTGAACCTACTCAAGCTACAAAGTTACAGGACGTACGAAGTCAAGAATCAACACAAACTACTCAAGTACCCACGTACCCTAGTACCTACCTAGGTACTTAGTAGGTACCATGTTGCTGGGAAGTTGGAACCATACCACTTGGTGTGCTGCCGGCCGGCATCTTGAACACGGGAGTTTGCGCGGGAGGCGTCCACGCATGAACGAATCCGGGAAACAAGACATGCTCCCTTTCTTTTGCGCCAAGTAAGCTGGGCAATTTTTTTGGTGCCATGACTTGGACAAAAAGTCAGAGGGTGCCTTCGCTTTGTGCTTGGATACATGGCGGTGTTTCAACACATGATGCGGTACCTGCATCAGGACCAGGCCGTGGGCACTCGGTCTCCCGTGCGAACTCGTTTGACCAACAGTCTCACGGCATCGGAAGAGCCATGGTGCCAGAGGGCATCATGTGCTGCTTGGAGTCAGTCCGGCCCGGCCTGGAGTCGTCGATGTGCAGTGTGACGCAAAGCGGGAGGAGTTGCGACATGTAAAGCAGAAATGCTTCGCTGGCATGGGCCGCCGCCGCGCCTCAGGTCAGCCTCGCCGGGCTCGAGTAATTTACTGTGTGAGCAGGGCACCACTGGCGAGGCAGTGAAAAGTCGACGCCTTTGTGTGTCTCTGTGTCTCTGCCTCCGCGTGGCCTCGTCGTGACTCGTGGCCGTGATGCGAAAGCGCCGGCAACGTCTCTCTGCCTTGGACTGCACTCAAAAGGCCTTTGGAGCAAGGACTAGCTACTTGGCGTACGTGCGGCGGCGGCGACGACGGGGGCAGTGTGCTAAAGAAGAAACGGATTTATATATAGCCTCCGCAAGCCTTATTCGCCTTTAGCCAGGGCCAGCCTGCGTTCCCGCGATCATTTGTATTCAACAATCAGTCGGCTCCTGTGCCTTTGTATTCCCAGTCGGGCGGTACACGACGACAGGCGCAGACGCCCGCGCACCTGGAGGTACCGCCGCAGCCCCGGTACCTGGTGGAGCCTCGAGCCACTGCCCGACGCAGCCAGACGCAGCCAGACGGACAGGACCGGCTGGTGGTCAACCAGACGCCGCCGCCGCCGCCGCCGCCGGCAACCATTGAACATTTGCACTGCTTGCTGGCCGCCAGCCTGAGAAGGGGCTGCCCTGCCGCCAAAAAAGGTCCCCCAAAAGGTCACGCCTCATCGTTTTCTTCTAATCATCCATCCGTTCTTGCAAGTCGCCGCCATCCACGCTCGCCGCCTCTCGCATCACCATTGCACGCGGCAAAGTCTTGTGCGGCGGTGCGTCGAGACGCCTCTGTATTTTTTTTTTGTTTCATCAAAAATCATCTGCCCTGGCGCTGATTGCCCGTCGGCCTTGGGTGCTTTTTGGCTCACTTGCATCCGGTTGGTTGGCTGGGGCAAGGCTTTTGCTGCCGCTGCCGCTGCCGCTGCTGGTCGCCTCTGTCTGGTCTGGTCAAGTGCCTCTGGTGCCTCTGGTGCCTCTGGTGCTCTTGTCTTGTCACTTGTGTGCTCTTCTTATTACACTTTCCACTTTGCCTGGCAACTGGCAGGCCTTTCTTGCCTTGGCCGCACCTGCACTTTTGGGTGGCCGACGGACATAGACACGCCAACACCCACCGCCACACCACTCACATACACCCAACACACACTCACATCACACTCACAATCCACATACACAAACATACAGAACTGACCCGGATCGAGTACATCCACTCCATCCGTCGCTCATAACCTCCCCCGTCTCCTCCCTCTCACCTTTAACCCCCCCCTCCCTCCTCCCGATCCCCTTTTCGCATCCCTCCGCCTCTCCAGCTTGGATACATGATCCGGCTCCGCTGCGTCCGCCATGGCAGCTGAGACTTCATCGCCCGCGCGCGAGCCCGCCACATCAACCCGTGGCCGTGGCAGAGGCGGGCGAGGCGGCCGTGGTCGAGGTCGAGGAGGTGGCAGAGGCACCTCCAATGCCGCCGTGTCGAAATCTACTGCTGCCTCTCGTGGTCGGGGTGGCACGCGCAGGGGGAGAGTAAAGAACTTCTCCGACTCGCGTGTACAGGCTGCTTATGAGCGCCAGCGCGACCTCAAGGCTACCTACCAAGCCGTGGCTTTTGCCCTCAAGCCTGCTCTGCAGGAGCTTGCCGAGCGTAGTGTCGACGAGATGCTGCAGAGGCCAGACTCCCACAAGCAGGCCAAGGAGTATCAGCCCATTATCCAGCAGCTCCGGGAGAAGCTTGATAACAAGCTGCGCGAGTGTGACCGTCGCCTCGAGTGCGATCTCAACCTTGCCGAGCACAGCTTCAATGCCGATAGATATGTCGCCGAGAAAGAATTTCAGGTTCGTCTTGCTGCCGCCTGGCTGCTTCCCTCTTCCCTCTTCCTCTTGGACCCTGGCCGTCGGCTAACACAGACAATCCCAGAATGCCCTCGGTGACATGATAGAGCAGTTTTACCAAGGCCAGGAAAACCGCCTGCGCATCCTCACTGCCCTTCAGGCCAAGAGTTTGCCCGTCGATGTAAGTCTGCCGTTGTTGTCATTTATTTATTTGCCTTGTTGTTCTGTCCTCGCCGTCCGTCCGCCCACTTCACCTACCCATCCATCCATCGTCCCCCCTCCCCCCGTCTCTTGCCGCCTCTCTCAACTTTCAATTTGTCTGAATATCATGGCTGACGCCCACCTCCTTCCGCTTAGGTCGAGGATGACCAATACGAGTATCGTGTCATCAGTGACGCCGAGCTCGACAATGACTTTGGTATTTATGAATGCTACAAGAATGGTCACCTCGTTCCTTACCCCTCACGTGTCGCCGGCACGGAAATGTGGAGGAAGGCTCGCGACCCCGAGGCCTCGGCTGCGACGCCCCGAGAATCCTCAGCAGCTCCCACGAGAGGCAGGGGACGGGGTCGCGCCGGCCCTGCCAGCGGCATCAAGCGCAGAGCTGTCGATCAACCAGATGGCCAGTCAACACCAAAGAGGTCGACTCGCAACGTTGATGATAATCAACTGCTTGCTCCCGCACCCATCGCCCCGGCGCCCATGAAGGGCTTGCTCGCCTCGGCCGCCAACGTCGACGAGGAGCCCGAGGGCACCCCTGGAGAGGAAGAATCCGTTCCCGCCTCACCGGAACCGCCCCTGCTCAATGGCAATGGGTCCCTGAGCGGCCGTGCTCTCAGCAGGCAGCAGGCTCGAGAAAAGAGCCCGCCGTTACCCAAGAACATAGGGGAGCCGGATGAGTACGGCGTGCGTACCTACAACCAACGACCGTCAATGCGAGAAAAGGGCATCAACAGTCGTATCCTCGCACCCCACGTCGTCTGGTTTGAGGATTGGGAAATTGGCTTCAAAGACACGTCCAATGATTCCTCAAAGGGCCACACTCGCGCCAAGCGAGGCAAATTCCTCGACACCCCCAACAGCAACGGATTTCACTTTGATCACTGGTGCAACGCATATGACTTCTCTACCACGACTCCCGAGGACTTTGATCAGGAACTGGTCAAACGATATGGTGTACATCCCAAATACGGCATCTTCCTTCCCAACAGCACAAATGACTTCGAGCAACCGCAGCCTTACGTCATGCCAGGGAAGCCCATTGTGTACATCGCCAACCCATCCGGCCGCGTATCTCACGCCTCCAGGGGATTCCAGTCGACAACCAATCAACGTCGATCGGAAGAGTCGCCGCTCAGAGAGAAGATGAGGGCCAGTCTGCGCCGATTCTGCAGGATGGCCGAAATCGACTCTGACGACATTGACATTGCCGAGTTTGTCCGATCTGATGACGCACTTCGAGCCAAGTCGCTGGGAACTGCCGAAAAGGAGTTCAGTGCACGACCTCAACTTTCCGAGACGACGTCCGAGGCAGATCAAGGTGAACCGACTCCGCCTCAGGAACCCGAACAGTCTGACGAAGGCGTCGCGGACCTGTCTGCGTTGGCTTACGCAATGGCCTTCATCGCAGCTTGGGATGTCACCCGCGCTGCTGCTCCACCTGCTACTACATCCAAGCCGGCACGTTACGATGCAATTCGCGATGTGTTTACCGACTCGAAGCCAGACCCTGCTCCTGCTCCTGAGAGCACCGGCCTGGGTCTCAACCTCCTGGCAGAATTGTGCGACCTCGAGTCACGCCCTCCCGGTTGGGACGGCCACGCTGAACGGACAGGTGCCGTCGCGGAATCGGATTTGCGTACCACGATAAAGCACGAGGAACCACCCCCAGTCTCCTCATTCTCTCATGCACCGATGAATCCAAGGCTCAGCCAAGAGCCGCCTCCGCCGTACACGCACAAGCAGCAGTCGGACCGTGTGACGCTGCCTCCGGTCAGTTCTGTTCACGATCGTCCGGCATATCCTGTTCCCACGCCACTAGATGCCGGCCACAGAATGGACTACAAGTCCTCCGCTCAGGCCCCCCCGGCACCACCTATGCCTGATCATGAAAGTTATTATCCCCCTCCAGGTGGTTCTTATCCACCTGCTCCTCGTGAGCCTCACATCTCAAGCGGTCGACCTATAGAGCCGGGCTACAACCCTCGTCGTTTGAGCTACGGACCCGAAACACCTCAACAGCCGGCATACAGTAGCACGTACTGGCCTCGACCGCCGTCTTCCGCCGGACCGCCAGGCCCTCCATCCGTTCTCCCTCCGGCTGGTACTTCTGCTCCTCAGCCGGCCCCTCAAGGGTATCCGCTGCACCCGCCTCCGTCGAGTTCGAGGATGCCTTTCTCCCAGTCCGCGAGCGCAGAGCCCCTCCCGCCCCTACGTCCACCGCGGGCACGCACACAGTCCATGCCGGAGGAGCCGCCGTACGACCTGAGTATGCGTGGCGGCATTCACAGCGCTTACTACCCGCTGCATCCACGATCTTATCAGAGAGGATACCCCCTGCCAGAAGCCCACCAGCCCCTACCAACGCTTCAGCCTATGCCTGGGGAGAGGATTCTTTCAAACCCACACCAGAACAATCCTCCTTACATGGGTTCTCCGCCGCCGGCGGTTGGCTACGCGTCTCAGATCATGTCGCCAACATTTGCCAACGCCCCGGGGCTGCCGGGGCCGCTGGGTCAAAGCCCGCCCGGAACACCCTACGGTGGACCTCCGGGCTCGATACATCGACACAGATCGACGCCTTCCGGCTCTTCAGACGCGGGGTCGAACAAATATCGTAAACTGCAGCCGGCTCCTGTACCACCTCACCGGGCATGGTCCAACAAGCCAGAGCTGAAAACGATCCCTTATGACCACAAGGAGACTGGCTCTTCAGCTGCACTTCCCAGTTCTGGTCCCACCCAGATAAGAGGGTGGAATGTAAATCAGCATCGTAAACGAAGCAAGCAGGACAAGGGGGACCTTTCCAACGACAGAGACGAGTCCAGATAGGATCCGGGCCGTCTACGGGTCTCGAATACGGCGACGAACCAACCCAAGTACAAGTCTGTTCGGTTTCTAACCCCGCGGGTTTTACGGAAGACGCTTCCGGCCCTCTGCCCCCGAATTGAGCCTGCACACCAACCGCGACCCGAGGCCAAAATGGTGGCGGTGCAGATGCCCGCCGACCCTTCTTCGCTGAACAACGTGTCTATGTATGGCTTTGGCGCGATACCAAATCTAGAGGCGTCGGTGACTCCGGAAGAGCCCCTCAAACGTCGTCTGCGACCACGAAGGGGGAAAACTGAAGAAGCGTCCGATGCAGACGTCTTCCTTGTCAACGTCAGACAGCGCAGCAATGGGAACCAGCGGCCGTCGTCCTCCAGCATCAAAGTCAAACCCAAGCCACGGAAAACTCTTATCCGCCTTCACGGGTCGGCCAAGGCTCAACCCGGCTCCAAACACTTACCCATCGAGATACTTGACAGCGAAAAGAAGGCTGCCGGTTCCGATACATGATCACTATCAAAAGGCTTTGGGCCTTTACAGGCAAGAAGGCCACACACACCCTGACTCTTGTACTATTTTCTGCCAGCATACATACAGTACTGGTTTCTTTAGCATTCCATCTGCAGCCATCTGCTTTCATTATCAGTGGCCACGATACCCGCCGCATCATTTCTAGCTCTTTTGTTGTGAGGATGCACAATGAGTACATAATTCTTCAACCCCCTCTTTTTTTTTCTTGGGTTTTATTTTGCCCCAGATAATCTCTGGTCCCCATGGCATAAGATGGCGTGTCAGGTTGTCTCATCATTATTTTTTCTCCGTTATTGACTTATTTTCAACGTCATTCTCGCTTCCCCCCACCCTAACCAACCTGTATGAATATACATCTGTTGTGTATGCCTCGTCTACGGAGGTGGATGGGACTGCAGAGGATAAAGGTGCATTGTCATGTGCGTTGATAGACGAGCCCCGGATAATGAACGAATAAAAGCCTTTCTTTTTGGTACCGAACATGCTTTTGGAAGCACTGTGCATGCTGTGCAAATGTGGGATATTGTTTGAAAGTACAGCCATTGTGGTGATACATTGGACGAGAAATTTTCAGCGTTGCCATGTAGAAAGTAGATGCAATCAAGTCCAACCAAGGCTATCTACGTGCCGTGGAACGGTCGCTGTCCTTTTCATCAAGGCAGTCATTTACCCAAGGCATCCATTCTCCTCGTCTCACGTCGCCCGAGATGGAGTCCTCCTTGTTTCGTCTTTCTTTCCTCCCCACACGACATGACAAGAAAATGTCTCTCCTTCAATCCGGACTCTACGCAGGAGCGCCTTGCTTGGAAGCCTCATTTGACGTCTCCTTTTCTGTGTCCGCCTTGTCGTTGTTCTGACCGTCTGCCGGCTGTGCGGGAGCGTCTTGTGCCTTGACGTTCACGACGGCCATGTCTACATTATGCATTGGCGCCACCACGGGATATGCAGTGTTCTCTGCGGCGCCAAACATGTGCACGTCTCCGGGAATCACGGGGTCCCCCGCGGCGGCAGAATTGGCGTTGGGCACGGATAGCAGGCTTGCGCCGAGCTCGAGCTCAGGGTGGAGAGGATACACGGGGGCTTCCATTTTGTTGCCGTCGAAGATGACCATGTTCTGGATAGGCTGCTGCGACTGGCCGAGCACGTTGATGACGTCCTGGGCCAGCTGGCCGCCGAGGATGGCGGTGACGGGGGCGATCTCGCTGCCCAGGTTCTGGAGGAAGCTGCGCAGGAACTCGGGCCGCAGCGTCTCGCTGGGCAGGCTGAGCGCTTTGTGCTTCTGGGTGGCGATCTGGGTGAAGAGCTTCAAATCCTCTCTGTTGCTGGGAAGGCGGTTGCCCTGGAGTTGCTTGAACTCCCAGAGAGCCCGGAGGCAAGACAGAGCGGGCGTGACGGACTTTAGGCGCCGCTTTGAGGAGGTGTATTCTGGCGGGAGGACGGCCACGTCGCTAGCGAGGAACCACGTCGAGTAGAGCTCGCGCTTGGTGACGGATTCAATGATTTTGCCGCCGTCCTGCTTGGTCTTCACGTCGATGATGGAGCGGGTGCGCGACTCCCGCTTGGGCGTCGTGAAGACGTTGCTGGCTTCACGGGAGATGATGTAGTCGTGCTCGATGAGGTCGCTGAAGATGAAGCCGTACATGCCGTGCGTGCCGGCAGCGTAGAACGGCCGCCCGTTGATCCGCGTGGCCGTGTTGATGATGTTGAATGTGCCGGGGTCCAGGTCCGTCGCGATGACGACGTCATAGGCGGCAAAGTAGCTGGGTCCCTTTGCCGTGACACTTTCGGGATCTACGTGTACGCGGACTCGGGGGTTGAGCTTGCCAAGTGCGTGGCTGGCTGCCTCGGCGCGATTCTGGCCGACGAGGCTCTCGCCGCCTTGGGAGAGGAAGAATTGGCAGCCTAGGTCGGTTTCTGTGACGGAGGAGCCGTCGAGCAGGGTGATGGAGCCGACGCCTGCAAGGACGAGATTCTTGGCGATTTCGTGGGCGAGGCCACGCATGGTTATGAGGAGGATGTGGGCGTTTTGGATCTTTTCTTGGGCAGCAATGCCCCAGAGGCGGATCTGCCTGTCATACAGGGCGATGTCGTCTGTCCCTTTTTGTTAGCGGATATTGGGCGCATTTGGTAGCTGGCTAGATTTTTTCAAGGTTTTCTTTATCGCATGATATGAAGAAGGGGGGTGGGGGGTCGAATGGCTCGTACCAGCAGATACCGTATTTTTTGGCATTTCCGTGGACAGGCTATGTGGCATCATCATGGGCATCACAAATGTCCCATCCGCCATGGGGACGTCGCCCAGGCTCGAATCTGGTATGAATGGCCGGCCGGCCATCATGGCTGCCATGGCCTGGGGGGGATTTGCCTGGCCCAGCATATTCTGGTCGAACGCGGGCAAAGATCCATTTGGCTGCGCGCTTGGCAAGGCGGCAGCATCAGCATCTGCAATGGTGACAGCGTCGTTCTGGTGATGCATCTAGATGTGACCTGCCAAGTGGACTTGAAGGATACGTGTATGGCAGAATGTAAAGGCTTTCTTGTCCGTTTGTCCTTTCTTGCCGAGATGGAGTGTATTATTTCTCGTCTGAGAAAAGAAAATTAAAGAATTAGTGATGAGTTATTTGGCTTCCAATAAAAAGAGTGCCGTGTGCCACAGTGCTGAGATGAAAGTTGATTGTGATGGGTGGGTGAATGAGTGAGATGAGAGCAAGGTGAGGATGACCGAGATGAGGTTGGGTTCAGATAGATGTTTGGCACGACGAGCAAGACGCGCAGTGGCATCGGGAATAACTCCTTATAACGTACTGGGGCGGCAGGGTGAGTGTATTGATGCACGGAGGCGAATTGATGCAAAACTTGTTTCCTTGAGCCTGCGCAAGCTGTCAAGGAGACGGATCATGACGAGGTGCAGGAAGCATTTTGGAGACTCGTGGTGACGTTTTGACGTCTTGACTCTGTCTGGACTCTGGACCCTGCCAAACGGAAGGGCAGGCACCGCAGGCAGGAGCGACTCCCGAGTACTCTGTACTGTACGGGTAGTTCGTTATCACTGTACGGAGTAGGGAGGATGAGCGCTCCGTTTGATTGGCCGGGGTGCTGACGTAAGATGACTTACTCTCGTTGGCGGCAGGACACAGACTCGCGAGTCGTCAGTGATTTGCTTTGCGCCTGAACAATTGCTCGTCCTGAGTTGAATTGTTCTCGGTAGAGAAGATGACGCAAGTTCATGTTTGTCGGTATGTGACGGGAGATGAGGAGCATCAGGTGGGAGTGATTTGACCGGACCGACGACGACTCGACTCGAAGCAACGCTCCGAGGATATGCATCAGTCACATGGCCCATGATGGATGAAGTACAGTACATGCACATGAATCATGTAGGTCAAGATGAACGAATGCCCACCCAATGGTTGATAGAGAACAGGAGCTGCCAGAATTGATGTTGTTGCTTGTCGTCCATGGCTGGTTGCTGGTCGTGGCATTTCTATCTTGTGCATTCATTCGTTCATCCGCCGCTGCGTACACACAGCATCAATAGGCATCGGTCCTCGCTGTTCGGTGTTGATGGCGGACGGACTTGGCTTGACAGTCAGTCAGTTTAAACGTTGGACGTTGGGAGTCGACTGCAGGCTGGACTGCACTTGAACCAGTTCTTTGTCTTTTTTCCGCGGAACCGCATCCCTCCGTCCATCTCCCTCCTTATCATTTGCCTGCCCTCGCCTTCGCTGCCCTCCCTCCAACTCAACTTACTCGTCAACTCCACCGGCGGCTCTCGTTGCGACACGGAATCCCCCCCCGAGTGGATTATGGAAAGGGCCAAATAAACATTGACCTGTTCTGACTGCTGTTTTGAATTCATGATCCCTGACCGCGAGCGCTCATGGCCAGCCACTTGGCCAGACGCCAGCCAGTCCTCTCTCCTCTTCTGCCTCTTCTGCCTCTTCTGCCTCGTCTGCCTCGTCGGCCTCTTCGGCCACCCCCTCCACCTCCTCCCTCCCGCTCTCGGACCATCGTGGCTTTCAAATAACGCGTCCCTCCCTCTCGCCCGCCCTTGCTATTCATGCAGTCTGCTCCGCCGTCGCCCATTCTCGGCCTCTGCATCGACGTCGTCGTCGGGGCTCAGCTAGCCATTTGACTTCTAACGGCTGCTTCATCGGCGTGTCCTAACTCCCATTCCAGCTCCAACTTTCGTCCATATCGCCATCGCCATCGCCATCGCCATCGCCATCATCATCATCGTCGTCGTCGTCGTCTCTGCCATCGCTCTCGCTCCCGCCCCGCCATCGTACCCAAATCAGCAGCCACCCTCACCATCACCACCATAAATAACCCCGGGAGAGAAGCCGTCGAGCGCTCCCGCCATGGCCTCCAGGTCGGGGGCCGGTCCTGGCCGACACCCTGCACATCCAAACCCCGCTCGAGACGCCGAGGATGACTTCCCGCCGCTTCCTCTGCCCCGATTTCCGTCCCTGCGCACGTCGAGCGGTGAGCTACAACCATCTCGCCCGGCTTCACCTTCACGACCAAGTGCCAACGCCAACGCCGCCACCGTTGCTGCCGGCCCCGGCGGACTCAACGGTCGACCTCCCACAAGATACTGGTCCGCCGCCGCCAGAAGAGCCGAGCGCATCCGCAACCTCGACGACAGAGACAGAGCCCCCAGTCTGGATGACCTGGAATCCAACTCCGTGGACCCGTCGTGGTCCTCGACATCCGGGCGTCGCCATCCACGACTACGGCCACTCGACTCCGCTTCCCACCATCGACGACCCAACCTGGACGAGCTGGACCAGACCCTCGACGAGGCCAACTCGCAGCTTCGCACCCTTCTCGAAATGACAAACCACATCAACCTCATGACGCCCTTTGTCCGTTCGACCCTGTCGCCCACTATCCGCCCCCACGACTTCTCCGATGACAATCTCCCAACCAAGCGTCGCAAGATCGACTCAAACAGGCTCGTACCTAGCTTCAAGGGCTTCCGATACGGCAAGTATGGCCAGGTTGAACCAGGCCACCTGCAAATGGAGATTGTGAGCTGCGACGGCGGCATGTTTTCCAACGAGTCGTCCTACGCCGCCGAGAATATCCTCAAGGACGACAGCTCGGTATACTGCACCAAGGGCAACAGATGTAATATTGTGCTGCGACACCAAGGCGCCACCGTCTTCACCCTGGAGGAACTCATAATCAAGGCTCCTGCCTCGATGAATTATTCTCACCCGTAAGGCAATCCCAACTCCCGCCTCAAACGATAAATACATGACCAAGGAAACAAATCTCCATCCGCCATTACTGTTGCACTCTCTGACGATGAGCTCAGGGTCCGCGAAGGCATGGTCTTCATCGCCATGAACCAAGACGACATCCTCAGTCGCACGGCCCAATACCAAATCCAATACGTCCCCTCCAACCGCGTCACGTACGACGACCACACCACTCGTCACTCCCTCGCTCGCGACCCAACACCCCGTCACATTGTTTCCATCCGCCACCACCACGACGGCACAACCTCTACCCGCGTGCGCCGCTCCGTCTACCCCTCCCTCTCTCGCTCACACGACAACGATGAGCACGACCACCGCACCCCCGAAATGCCAGACGAGTTCTCCGCAAACCAGCCCGACTTCCGCATCACCACTGAATGCACCTCAGACGAAGAAGACTACTCCGCGCCCCACAACCTCCGCCGCACACCTAACCGCATTGGCTTCCTGCCCTTTGAGACAGAGACCTCTGATTCCGAAGAAGGCCCCTTCACAGACGACTTCACCGAATCCTTTCACCGGCAAATCCACCCTCCTTCGGCATCTTCGACGTCCCATCCTTCACACCCAGTCCGCCCTCGCACTGAACGTCTCTCCGTCTCCCTGGCAGAAGCATGGGACGCCCACGCCACGGCCACGCAAGAAGCCATTCGCGCAGTAGGAGGCGAGCTGCTCGTCCCTCACGCCAAGTTCTTCATCGAGAAGAAGAAATCAAAGTGTACCATCCGATTCGACCCCCCCGTTTCAGGACGCTTCATTCTTCTGAAGATGTGGAGCTCGCACCATGACGTTGCGGGTAATATTGACATACAGAGTGTCATGGCCAAGGGGTATGCTGGACCACGCTACTTCCCCTCGGTGGAGCTGAGTTGACAGTCTCGGCTTCGCGACCAAGCTGGAAAACGGCTAGCAGGGAGACTGTTGTTCTTTTCTTTTATCATTTCTCTCTCTCTCTCTCCCTTTCGCTCTCTCTCTACTTTCTTTTTACATGTTTTTCTCCTTCAACCCCCCCAACTGGGAAGAGTTTGTAGATATGGGCTACTTATAGACGATGCTGATGAGCGGATACGGCGTTTAAGCTTCTGGCACTGGATGATTGTCGATTTGGGTACATTACACACTTTTGTAACGAAGCCGCTTGGCAGACTTGTCTATTTACAGACAAGGACATGTACATATGCTACATGTTTGCATGAACTGAATGTGGGAAATACACGCAGGTGCTTTATTTTATAAATTCGACTTTTATAAGTGTGAGCATGCTTTGACGCCTCATCGTAATCTATTCATGCTAACTTGTATTCATGATGCAGAGACTAGGTGCTATTGAAGAGAGAAAGCAGCGAGCCACCATTACGAATCCATCAAAGATTCACCCCTCAAGACTCCATATTGATTTGGTTACAAAGCACTCGTGTCATCAGGCATCAGTAGGGACTACAGCATGTACACCGACCAAAACGCCTACGGGCGGCGCTAGAGCGACGCCCAAACCACAAATAACAGCACTAAGGATTCTGGCAAGGCGTTAGCATCGAAAGCACTTCATCCTGCCACAGCCGCCACTAACATGTTGAAATGGACCATGGCAATGGGGAAAGTCGTCCCGGCAATGTGAATCAGCTTGGAGAGAGTAAAGGCCCCCCCGATTCCGACGAGGAGCCCATCGCCCGAATCGACCCTCATGTCCGCAACGTTGAGCAAGCTTGATTGGTTGTGACTCTGTTCTCCGAGACCGTTGCGCAAATGGCTCAAGCTCGACCAGCCGATAATTTCCATCGGTACCAGCGTCAGCAAGGTGAAGAAGACGCCACGAAACACGTACAGAGGATCCAGCCTAGCGTTGGCTGTGCGCGTCACACCGTGAGTGAACATGACGAGCGCCACGAGACCAGAGATGAGGCCTGCGGCCGCCAGGAAAGGGTAAATGCCCCAGGCAGTGAATCCACACGCAAGGCCATGCAATTCGCATTCTTGATACTCTGTCTGGTGTTTAGCCTTCTTCCAGGCAACGACGGATCCGCCGAAGAGGATGAAGTTTGTTATGCTGTACTGCCCGAGGAGGCAAAGGAGGGTACGTGAGGATGCGCTTTTCCTGCCTGATGGCGCAGACATTGTAGACCATGCACGGCGAAATGCCACGGGATTCGGGCTGGGCGGAGGGCAGGCAAAGAATAAGAGAAAGAATGAAAGAATACTGGCAAGCGGCCGAAAAGCGATTGACGAGTCAGTAACTGAATGATGCTGTAGCTAATGTAGTCGGGAAAACCACGATGTGGCTGAGGGTCGAGTGGCCAAGATTGCTGGTGATGGAGAGGAAATAGAGAAAGGAAAAACAAAAGCAGTCCGGGAGGATACTCTTGACTTGGATGCTTCGATATCTACTGCTTACCCAAAAGTACCTACCTCAATTTAGGTACTCAAGTAGCTTCCTGCCCGGGTAGCCTTGTCACTTGGCTCCTTCCGACAGACTCGCCATGGACAAGAACAAGGAAAGAGCCATCTACGCAGTACGTACTTATGGATGAAGTGTTGGTGGCCCTCAGCTTGTCTTCCATGCGTCCAAAGCCCCGACATGGCTACAGGTGATTCCACCGTCGCTGGATCATGACGGTAGTCAATTTATTGGTGCCGAAATCGACAAGGGTTGTTGCAAACGTTGCATACTTGAAACTACTCGGGCATAGATTTCTTCGCCGTCGAGGATGACCGAGGTCTGGAGCAACCAGGACATGTTGTATTTGGCTTGGGGGGGAGCGTCGGTACATCACACTCGTCATATGACTGGACATACTCCGCTGACATTTTACCCAGTGATTATGGCACTCGGTGGGAGACATTAGTTGACGAAGACACGCAGACTGGGGTTCATACTTTATGCGACGTGTTGTTATAGGATGTCTGCGAGATACAAGAGACGCATCGGTGCTTCTGAATTAGGCCGCGCTCGTTTTGTACCATGGGAACTTTATGCCCTCTGGTGACTCTATACCTTTGCGTTCCTAGTCGGAAAACGTTCTATACCATCCGTGTGTCTATGGACAAGCTCTATCCGTACACGCACTTTACAGGATGGCGGCAATGGCCGCAGCCAGCGCTCCAGCATGGCAAATATTCAGACGACGCGTCGTCCCCCCTGCGGCAGTGCCCTTGCTCGGCGACGTCGTCGCAGCAGAGCCGGCTCCGACGGCCGCCGTGGTCACCAACGTCGTGGTAGCAGTGGTGGTGAACGTCTGTCCATTGCTGGTCCAGGTCGAAGTATACAGCTTGGTGGTGTAAGCCCAAGTTGTCTGGGAAGTGGCCTCTCCGCCAGCGACAACGGTAGCCGCGGCGGTACTGGTGAATGTCTGGCCCTTGCTCGTCCAGGTAGGCGTGTACGGCTCGCTAATCACAGCCGTGGCCTGTGCAGTCGAGCTTGAATTGTCTTGAGAGCCGCCGTTGCCCAGGACGCCGCCGACAGGGTCACTTCGGGGGGAAGTGCTGTTCGAGGCTCTCATTGCAAGCGCAGAGAAAGCCTCAAAGGTGTGGCCCGTCTTGGGGGCGTTTATGGCGCCAATCATGCCTAGAATGCGGTTAGCTTGACTGTCGAGCCGCAACCCGAAGGCTGGTCACAGACTGAATGCTGGCAGGAGACGCACCCTTCTGGCAGTGGTTGGCCTGGCCACAGTAGAACCAGATGGGCTTCGTGTCCTTGACCTCAATGGTAAAGGTGGTTCTGGACGGAGAATCCGTTGTGGGCACGAACCCAGAGAAGAAGCCATCTTCAAGGGGGTGGCATGGATCGTTGAAGGACGATTGAGTGACGCTGTGGTTTCGGGGGAAGTAGAGAAACTCGATCTTGGTGCCGGGTGAGGCTTCAAGGTTGGACGGGCTAAACGCGAGTTTGCCGTGGGAACCGACCTCTACTTTGATGAGCTTTGCTTTCTGGGCAGCCATGGGGGAAGCTGCCAGTGCGAGACCGGCCACGAAGGAAGAGAATCGCATCTTTGATAGGTATTTTGGACAGGGGATTGCGTTGGAGAGATACTAAGAGTAGAACTGCTAGGCGTCGTCCTTGGTGGTGATTCAGAACGAGACAATACGGCTCGGAGGGGAACTCCAGCTCTTTATATGCCGATGACTGCCTCTGGTATATACGGCACAGATTTCACTCACCAGCGTGAGTGATGGGATTTCGAGCCGGCTTGCTTAGACTTGCTTTGGACGCCACCATCGCCAAAACCTCGAGCAATCATCGACCACGTATTTCATCCCCACCGGGACACTTCAATTTTCATCTCCTACCGCCATCTCGGAAGACGATACTTCCGTCGCCAGTTGAACAGGGCTGGTTGTCGGCCAGGTTAGCAAGCAAGCGCTTATTCGGCTCAGCCACCGATCGCTGAGCTCCCGAAAGAAAGCTAGTCAGCAGCGAAAAGAAGAGGACGCCATCCCGCAGGAAGGCACGTTTCCAGAATCTACACTTGTCGCCCTGAGATCTGCCGTTTACGTGGGCGGCGCTGCGCCTCTCGGCACGGTAAACAGCCGCGCCATGAAATGGGGCCAGGGGCCGATGGCATGAAGGCGTCAAATCAGACGCGGACAGTAGAGATTGTTTTAAAAGCGACAATACCGCCTTGTTCGCTATTGTCCGCAACCAAACTCGGGCCGCACGAATCCGCGCAGGCGCCATTCGTGTCCACCTCAGGAGAAGAAAGGCCGCGATGTACCACGGTGTGTCAACTGCTTATTCCCTCCGCGCCAATGTTGATCAAGCTTGAGCCATGGGGATGGTGAGCCGGCGTTTCTGAGCCTTGGACACGACGGAGGCCGCTTACAACGGCCAAGTCATCTGGCTCAAGCACACTCTACCGTCTCGCCTTTGCTTCCCTCTGTGATTCTTCCCATTGCTGATTTATCTTGAGATTTCCCCATATCCTCCAGGCAGCCGCAGCCAAGGCCAACGGCGGACAGCCCAACAAGAGCCACGACCACCACTCCGGGCTGCTCTCCTTGACCTTGGTCACGGCCCCGCGCAGCTTGAGCTCCAGCTCGTCCTTGGATCCATCATTCCACAAAACCACGCCGTTGGCCTCGCCTCGCGCCAGGCATCTCTGTGCCTTGTCCCTCACATCACCTTGGCTGCGCACCCGATTCTCGGCATCCTCCCTGCTCAGGTGGGCATCCCTCTCCATCAGCCGCCTCATCTGAATCTCGGGGTCTGACACGGCAACCACCATCGTCACCCCACAGAAGCGATCCAGCTTGCTCTCAAACAAGAGCGGGATGTCAAGCACGACGGCCCAGTGGCCACGGAGATAGCACCCCAGCACCATTTTGAACATTTCCCTGCGCACAGCCGGATGCACGATTCCATTGAGGACGGCACGGTCCCTTTTCAGCTGCTCGCTGTCGCCAAAGACGCGTCTCCCGAGGGCGGGACGATTGAGCGGGCGTCCCTTGCCGTCGGGGCCGTTGTCCGGCACGCAGTCGGACGGCTCGACCAGGAGATCCGGTGTTGTCGGGCCAAAGTGTTTGACGATGGCCTTGTAGCCGTCCGTGCCTGGTTCGACGACCTGGCGGGCGAGGACGTCGGCGTCTACGATGGGCAGCTCGTACGGCGCCGACTTGAGCATCGATGAGACGGTGGATTTGCCCGTGGCGATGGATCCAGTTAGTCCGATGAGTAGCATCCTTTTTTTGCTCTGGGCACCTAGTATGTTGCTCGGTTACCAAGGCCGTACATTTATCGGATGCATCTACACGACAATCAAGGAGGCGACTGTAAAGGTTGGACAGGGCGGAACTAGAACTGTTGGTGAAGCTCTACAGGATAAGTTGAGCAGCCAGGAACGCAAAGGCAAGCAAGCCAAGCCAGCTTACGTAAGAGGTCGTGCGGAGTGACATTAATGTTGAAACGTTGATTGGGCAGCAGATGCCAGTAGTACTAGTACAAATTGAGCACCAAGCACCAAGCACCCGCTCCGCCAGCTGTATGCACTTTATCTACGGAGTATCCGTGGGTTGTACTCCGTATCATGTATGCATATTTATCGGCGGGCATATATTATGCCAGAACAGGGTGTCAACGGTCTGCCAATGAAAGACGGGTTGATAACGTGGCTGGCAGGAAGAGAGTAACCCAGTGCTTGTTTTTGTTGGATCATCCCCTGGATTGGTCGGCTTGAGCGGGGGACAACGGACACGCAAAGACGGGAGTTTCTACAACCATGGTTTGATGAGGATGGGTACTCCGTACGGAGACTCGAGATGCTGGCATCACGATTGACAGGCTCCTTTCCACGGGGCGGGGGTTCATCTGTAGCCATGCATCTTGATGGCCGGGTGACCATCACGTATGTTATGGATAACATGGTGGAGCATCGCCGAGCGAATGGCACGGGCAAGTCCGAGGATCATTGTGGACAGTCCATTTGTACGAGACGTCGGCAACGATGAGAGCCCGTGGTTGTCCTCGCTTCTGCGTCTCTTGGCCGTCAACCGCAGATCACTAGATCATGCGCCTCGAATGCCATGTACGTGGCGGCAGCAGCACGGCATTGGGGAAGCTCCACGTCGCACAGATCAGCAGATGCTTTACCGGTGATGTGGCCATCCGTACGGAGTACTGCGTACACGTATGCAGCTCGGCCATAGTTGCGTTGTGCTGCAGCGTCGCATGAGCCCCCTCCCCCTCCCCCTCCCCTCATTGCCGGCTGCGAAATGCAGCCCTGGAACAGAACGCAGTCATGTACACCGGAGCAGAGTTGAAAATGCCAAGGATACGTAGGAGACGGGGCCTCGCCCTAGCAAAACTTATTAGCAGACCCATCCGGCAAGTTCCTGAACACGTACATTGACGTGGTACGTACCTGACCGTGGTCAGCATGGCCTCGCGCCAGTGTCCTCGACGCACGCGCCGTGGAAATGGGGACGGCCAGGGCCGTCTCACACGAATCTTGCCGAACCCGGGGCGGTCAGCTCCACAGATCGATGGAGCGTGTCATGCAGGGCATTCCTGGCTGTTGTGGTCACTGGTGGCTGTCCAGCAAGAACTTCAGAGCCGTTCCAGCACAACGACGGGGTAGCAGTACACCGTCCCGTGCAGGTCTGCACGTACATCCATGGATGCGGTTGCCTATCGTGGCGTTTCTCGATATATCATCACGGCCGAGGGTTGCGCCGCGTCAGTGAGGAACGGCCAGAAAATGGCGCGAGGGGCAAGAGGGCCTTCTTGGAGTCTTGACGTTGAGAGAAGGGAGAAGCTGCACGTGCAGGCGTCCGGCGGCAGGCGTCCAGGGAATAAGCCGCGGAGATTTTTGCCTTTGTCCGTGCTTCTTTCCTCGCCAGCAAAGCAGAGGCAAGGACGGGCGAGTGGCGCATAGTGGCGCACGAGTACGGCCGTCATAACTTGATAATCTAGAGAACTACCTGCTTTGAGAAGTAGGTAGGTACTTCGTGGCGCAAGTATGGCCAAGTACCTGCGGCCTAGGTATTTCGACCTGGAACGTGTAGATCTGTGAACGGAAGATTGACATGTGCGGTGCAACACACATTGGGTTGGGGTGCGGGGATGAACGCAGCAACAACCAAGTGCCAAGCAATTGATTGCGGGTACTGATACTACCTGCCAAGGTACCTGCCGACTTACAAGTGCTTAGGTCCTCCGGTTGTAACTACCTAGGTACTTACGTGGAGTGCGTTTCCGTACATCCACGGCACACGCCCGCTCAGTACCGAGGTACTTGAGTCTTGGATGCATGTACAGTACTCGCCATGGGCACGGAGTCACGTCCGGTCGACTTTGGTCACGTCTGCGTTCGTTTCGCCGCCGCGCTGCTGGCTTCAATGTTCGCCGTCGACCGCCTCCCACACCCCAGCTTCACGAGGCGGTCTATGCGCGCCAGGGTCGAATGTTGCTGCAGATTTTCCGACGAATTACGCGCCATGTCGAGTCTGGACTGACTGACGCCTGTCCGTCGATGCGCCGCTTCTGTGCCGCCGCCAATTCGGACTCCGTACCTGGATTCCATGTCGACCACGATTCGGAAGCGCCCCACCACCCCCAACGCACGTCGCCCCATAAAGAAATGGGAAACCCTCGGGCAGCCTTCATCGTGTGTTGCTGACCCTTCTTTTGAACGCCAGGCCTCGCTCCCTACTTCTCCCAAAAGTCTACTCGTAGTCTGCCTTTTCAATTTTCGAGTATCGGTATACTTCTTAGCGACGGGCAGTCCTTCTTGCGTCTACTCCTCCGGCCCAAGCAGCCCTTCCAGCTTCCGAGCTTGAAGCCACCTTCGCCAAGCGAAACGCTGGCGGGAACTCGGTCACGTTGGCTCGCCCGGCCTTGTTTCTGGCTCAGGTCCAGCTCTGTTTTACTCTGGCCATCCTCTGCGAGGTAATTGCAGCCGTCGTATTGTCCAGCTCACGCCGGCCCAGGCCCTGCGCCGACCAACCTAAAAGTTATTTGAATACCGGCTGGCCAGTCTCACATACCTCGTCGAGACAAAAGCAGCCTGGGCTGTTGCTGCGACCTCTTCATCCTCGGTCGAGCAATATTGTTGACATTCCCGCCCTCATATTGGAGTCCAAAGCCTATCGTTTGCCCTTTTTCCCAGTCTCTCGGAATCCGGCAGCCTTGCGATTCAAACATTTGGACAACAAATAGCCATAAACATGGGCGACGACGGACCCCAACTCGTGCGGCCGATTCCCCGTCGACCATTCGATATGAATCTCTCGAGCGCGACACCCCCAGGCGATGACCTCGCCGACTACGACGACCCTTCTCAGGCTAGCTTTGGTTCCGGCCTCGATTTTTCAAGCCCGAGGTTCCTGCATCCCAATTTCGAGCGCGCCGAGTCTGCCGTATCGCTCAGCCGGCCACAGTCCATCATAAACTTGACTTCTTCGACCCTGATGGGGATATATTCCGTGGCGGCGTCGGACAGTCGGGATCGACTCTTTAATGATAATGATGAGCCAGATACGCCATGGGGAACTGGCGCGCATACTCCAATCAGACGCCCTAGCGTCAACGAGGCGACTTATGAACTTATGCGCGATCGCTCTCACTTTCCCAGGCGCTACTCTTCGTTTGGACCTTATGCGCAGGTTGAGCACGCCGTATCATATTCCACCTTCGATTCCGTTACGTCCCTCACATTTCGTGGCACTCTACTGTTCTTGCTCGGCTTGGGTTACGGCGCCCTCGTCACACGCCTTCACAACGAGCAGAGCCATTTGCCCCCGATTCCTGACGACAGTATCCTGAAACCCGGAAACAATTGGAGGTATCTGGCCTTTTGGGGTGTAGCGGGCGTCGGGCTGGGCTCGTTGTTGCCGTGGTTCGACAGACTATGGGATAACATCTTTGGCAGCGAGGGCGACAACGTCGTCGATGACAGCCGAGCTGGCCCGGGCACCGACTGGGCTCTAGTCGTGCGAGCTATTGGGGCATTTGTTGGCATCATTTTTGCCATTGTGAGTTCCAATATCCAACAGCGGCGCCTCCATGTCACGAGTGACTGACGAATTCTTCCAGCGCAAGCTGTCGTGGGCATCTACCCTTCAAGTCTCGGCGACATTGGCACTGGTCAATCCCTTGTTATGGTGGCTCATAGATCGCAGTAAGCCTGGATTCGTTCTGTCTGCTGCTGTTGGCCTGACTGGCTCGATCCTTTTTCTCCGTGTCGACCCGGAGATTATGCCTGCGCCATTAGGACTGTCACCTCGTAATTTTTCAAATGTCTTTGAAGGCGACCCCTTTACACTAGGCGGCTTAGCCACGCGGAAAACTGTTGAAACAGGCGTGTGGATGCTCAGCGTGCTGTTTTGCAGCTGTCTCTGCTTTGGCAATATTGGTCGCAGGCTGACGTGGAATAGATCGAGCGGGAGATGGGGTGTGGTTCGATAGAGGCGCTCTTTTTCTTTTCTTTTTTTTTTTTTTCTGCGATTCTCGAGGTTATCTGGCAGCATGTGGCAAGCAGCGCAGCTTCATGAGGAGATTCATGTTCGCCCTCTATTTGGATAATGGGTGCTGTAGTGGTTAAGTTTGTCTGTAAGTTCATGATACCCGTATGGCTGGGTCAGAGGATAACCATGAGAAACATGGAAAAAGCCCGGCTATAGAAGCGAATATTCGATCATTATCACACTTTGTGGTTGGCCGTGTATATGCATGCATATTATGTCTTGGGTGGTGTGCGAGCCGTGCTGGGCTCGAGAATCCGTGGTGAGATGTTTTCCCTTTCCTGAGCTACCCGACAACACAACTATTGCGCTTGTCTGTGGCTATGTCTTCATATTGGTTCCAATAATGGTCGCTGCTCCAGCCAGCGCATAGTCAAACCACTTCTGAATGTAGCACTGCAAAACAGGCGAATACTGTGGGTAGTTGGGACGCCCATTTCGGAGTGGCATGCATACCAAAGACGACAGGACAGGACATGTAGTTACAATATTTCCAGGCGCCGGACTTGACGGCCAAATCGAGTACGTCGTCGGTAGCTTTCGAACAATACTTGAGGGCATGTAGGTAGTAGCTGTAAGTCGAAACCATCGGCTTGCAACGGTTATTAGCTAGCACTCTGGTGCAAGCCACATCTTTCAAGGAGTGACGCCAACGACTTTTTCTGCCTCGGGAACCGTTAGCAAGCGACGGAATGATGGGATTATACCTCTGTGCCGGATACAGGCTGTAGAGACAGGCCCTGATCTGAAGGACAGCACGGATTAGGCACGCCGCCACCACTGTAGGAGTTGGCCAAAATGAAAAATCGTGACTAGCGGCGATGATGCGAATGACGTCTTGTACGGATCGAGGCCAATCGTGACCATCAGCCCTCATTCCTTCAGCACCCCCACTGTGGGGCCCTTGAGTCGTACTCGTTGGGGCCCGGGGGGGAAGGAAGGAAGCCAACGCTAGCGATCGCCTCTAACACCAATCTTCAGGGTCCTCCAGTAACTTACATCATGACGATTCTGTCGTGATGTACGTTGGGTCTTGATGGGAACGCCGACGACTCAATGGAGCCGTCTTGCGCTCTACATCTCAAAATAAAAGACACAGGATGAATCCATGCATGACGCTGCTTAATGGTGCAGAAATCTGCAGGCCTTCTGGCCCCTGGGCTACCTACCGGTGCTTCCTTCGCTCCTGCCGCCTCTGTGTGATGACGCGACATATGACGTAGCCTGCAACTCCCCAGGTAGGCTCGGCGGGAAGGTGCGAGTCGCTTGCTTCTCTGCTCGGCAGGTAGTCCAACGGAAACTGGGGAGCGTCAACGGCTCGGTTACGCATCAAGTTTAGAACCAGACAAGACTACAGCCTTGCAGCTTCACACCATCGCCAGCAGTTGAGCGTCATCCAAATCCCAAGGGTCCTGGGGCCTCGCCTCAGCCGATCCCGGGCACGAGCAGTGCGGAGCCATCCAGAGTCCCAGACACGCCATGCATGACGATGACTTTCCACCCCCCGTAACCGTCGGCTCCTACGTCAACGGTATTTTCCCTTCCCTACGTCTCGGCCACTCACCCCGTCTTCCAGTATCACACATCACACACCAGCTTGAAAGCCGGCCCGTTATTGTGGAGATCGAGTCTGGTTCTTTCACCTCCCATTGACGTCGGATTTCGGCGATACGATATGAGGCCAACCCGGGTAGGCATACCGTCCGCCAGCTCCCAGCCTTGATCATCTGCAGGGGCGCATGCAAAGTTCAAACGGAAAGCATAATCATATTCGTCTATTTTCGCCGCCTCTCCATCCTAGGACCTACCGTTGTCTCTTGCCTTTCGCCGCCACTAATCCCAGCACCCTAGGGATCCGTATGCAAACCTTTTCCTGTTTCGTTTCAGAACCGCTGAACCCAAATTGGTAGAGTTGTCAGCATCCTCTGTCGGACTCTCCTCCCGCATTGGCGCGGGTGACCGAGTGGCATATTCATCGGCCGAAACCTTGCTTGCCGGTGCTTCCAGACTCTTGTTTTGCCAGACGTTTGAATTCTCGAAAGCCTTTGGCTGTACAGAAAAGCTCTGCCCTAACTGTCACAGATCGCCGAGATCATAGTTCGACCATTGAAGCGACACATTAAACCCTTCTCTCTGACTGCCCGAAGAAGCATTTTCGTTCGATCCACACGCTACCTCGGTGACTTGTTTGCCAGGGCTGCGTGCTCCGACTCTCATGCTCATGACATCACGTCAGTCTTCACTGGCTCATGCTCGAGCCGATGGGAATCCGGAGCATGTGCAAAATTTTGAGAGTCAACTGCAAGACACGAATTTCGAAGAGCATAGCACACAGAGCGAGATGCTTCTGGATGTCCCCGCACAACAGAAAGATGCCCATCGACTCCTGCCAGACTCTCAAGACCAACAACATGAAGGAGAGGACGGCAGGTACCCCAATCGAAACCTTATACCACGGCAAATACGTGACATCGTTCGTCTCTTCCAATGCCGTCAATGCTCGAAGCCGCTCAAGAATGCCGTAACTCTCCCTTGCGGTCGAAGTATATGCAGAGCATGCGTTCCTGCAACCCACCTCCGAACCAGCATCACATATCCCGCCATTCCTGATCGACTTCGGGGCTTCGGGTGCCCTTTTGTCGATTGTTCCAAGGAGCATGTCCTGAGTGATTGCAGCTTCGATGTGGTTCTCAACAAGGTTAGCCAGCTCATGGAAGATGAAATTTGTCGCGCTCAGCAAGCTGCCGCCCATGCAAGCATTTCAACTATTATACGGCTTCGAGACGCATGGGACGTTGCTGGCCTACCCTCGATGAATGATAATCACCATGATGCCCGAAATATGCCAGGTGGCCGGCTGGTGGCGACATGGTGCTTGGCCGCAGAAGGCCATTTGTCGGCCGACGCTGAAGTCACCTATTACCAGGACAATCCTCCGGAGAGGTCTCAGGATGATATCTCAGATTTCGACGTCAAGGCTTTAAATCGCCTGCAAAGTATCACTCGCAACGAGGTAGACTGCCAGGTGTGCTATGCATTGTTTCACGACCCGTTCACAACGGGCTGTGGGCACACGTTTTGTCGCTCATGTCTACATCGGACATTGGATCATTCGCATCGATGTCCCGTTTGCCGTTGCACACTTGCCATCAACCCTCTACTAAATTCCGGTCTGTGCCCATCGAATGAGTCCATCACTCGGCTTATTGAGCTGTTTTGGCCCGATGAGAAGGCGGCTCGGGACCAGGATGTCGCGTCAGATATCGCTGCGCAGCACCAAGATCTTGACTTGCCATTGTTTGTCTGCACGCTTGCATTTCCATCTATGCCTACCTTCCTCCACATTTTCGAGCCTAGGTACCGATTGATGGTTCGGCGGGCATTAGAGGGAAACAGGACATTCGGCATGGTCTTGCCAAAACGTTCCCGAAGCCCAGACGACGCCCATTTTTACGAACTAGGCACACTCTTGCGAATCGTCAACGCTGAGTTCTATTCCGACGGCCGGAGTTTGATTGAAACAGTCGGTCTGACCAGATTCAAGGTTTTGCGGCATGGAGAACTAGATGGGTACACAGTTGCAAAGACGGAACGTCTCGACGACATGTCCCTCGAGGAGGAGGAAGCTATCGAAGCTGCTGAAGCTGCTGCAGCTGCTGCAGCGGCTGGGAGTTCTGATGCCAGCGTTTTCAACAGTGATTCCGCCACCGATGCGGACAATTCTGTACTTGAGAACTTGGACGGGACCAAGCCAGAGACCGGGCTACCAGGCGGCCCCCAAATCCCGACGACGACTTCAGATCTGCAAGCCATGTCGACGCAAAATCTAATGAGTTATGCCACAGCTTTCGTGGCACGCATGCGTGGACAAAGTGTTCCATGGTTGACAGCCCGTATGTTCGGCATATATGGAGAGTGCCCAAGCGACCCAGCCGTCTTCCCATGGTGGTTTGCCAGCATGCTACCGGTAAAGGATCTCGAAAAATATCGATTGTTGGGTACATATAGTGTTCGTGAACGACTCAAGATCTGTTGTAGTTGGATTTTGGAGTGGGAAACGACAAGATGGTAAGTAGTTTTACTGCTCTCTGGTTCTGGAATAAGCCTTCCTCCCCTTGCCTGCCGTACTCGACGCGCTAGATGGATAAGAGCTAAAGAGTTTCAGGGCTAATCTAGTCGAGCCGCGGTTAGGTCGTTTCGCGATTGCGCTATTCTCTGAGGATTAATGTCCAGGCACAGGTCCCATTTCCCTTCAGGAGGTTGAGTGTACAAATTGCGTTCCGAGAGGCCGAGACTGGATAGACATGTCGTGTTTGCATAGCTTCGTTATTATCATTCGCAGTCTGTATTATTGAACGATGAATAAATATGGAATATGATACCCCGACAGTCTACTGCAAACCCAACTAGCATGAATGGGTCGCATTTCTATTTCAGATTGTATCGCAAAAATATATGTCCGTTTTTATTTCCCCAGGTCAAGCATCGCCAGATGGTATCCCACGACAAAATCACCACATGTTCTCGTCTACTCTCCCCCCCGTACTTGCCGCCATCGTCGCATCTCCCCAGGCGGGAGTATCCGGCGCGGCACTCCATGAACCAGGCATGACATTGTTGTGTGCCTCCGCGGGGGGGGGCATTATCGCCTTGCGCGGCATCGCCCCATTGTCCAGTATTACTATCGACATTCCCGTTCTGCGCATCCTGATTTCCCCAGGTGCCGTTGCCGGTAGAAGGCTGTCCTCCATCAGGCCACCCACTTCCACAGTTGCCGGTATCATGGTTGTTGCTCCAACCCGAGTCCTGATTATCCCCGCCATTGAATTGCTGAGAACCTCCCTGCTTTCCATTACCATTGTCATTCCACGTATTGTCCTGTGTCTGATTGTCCCACGTGCCCGTGGCTCCTCCATTGCCGTTCCCCCATCCACTCTGCTCCGGCTGACCCGTGGGTTTCTGGCTTTCGAGTTTAGCAGGGCTCACATTCTTGGGGCTCGCGTTCCGTACGGAGCCGTTGCTGCCTCCAAACCCACTGAATTGAGATCTGGTCTTGTTTGGAAGATACGGATTAGCTTTCCCAGGGGGGAAAACATTGTTCCCGCCAGCAACATCCTGGCCTTTGCTCGATGGAGCTGCGCCGGCAGCGTTTACAGCAGGGTTCACCAGACTGAATGCTCCCTTGTTTTGGCTCTGATTCTGAGTTGCTGGCTGCATGCTCGGCCACGGTGCGCCCGGGAAAGCACCGGGATACCCGGCGAAACCCATGGGAGCGAACGCGTTCCAGGCCGGCATTGCCATTCCCTGTGTGATGGGTACATGTTCCATGCCGGACTTGTCTTGGGCCCTTTCAAAGCCGTGGTAGTACGGGTTCTGAGTCGGATGCGGCATGCCGATTGGTAAAGGTAGAAGTGAGGGGTCCCGCTTGGGATATAGAGACTGGTGGTGATGTCCGTAAACGGGACCGTGATATATTCTAACAATGTTATTTTCGGCGTCATAGTAGGCGTTTGGGATGGGATCTTCAGGGGTTTCGATGACTCTTTCGGTGTGAACGACTTCTGCACGCATGGGGGCAATGAGGTTCGGACGGCGAAGATGAGGGCAGGGGTAGGGCCTTGGGTATCTGCTTTCTCTCTCCTGTCCGAGTTTCTTTTCTGAAGGTGGTGTTTTCTTTTCGGCTGCCTCTTTCGGGGGGGTTTCCGGCGGGTTTTCCGGTACTCCTTCGCCCTTGGATTTGTCGTCCTTCTGTCCGTTCTTAGTTTGGTCTTCCTTCTTATCCCCATCTTCATTCTGGTCGTCGTTCTCTTTCTTCTTCTTCTTCTTCTTCTTCTTCTTCTTCTTCTTCTCCCGCTGCTTGTTTTCCTTCTTCTTCTCATTGCTGGAATCATCTGTGTCCTTGGCAGACTCTTCCTGCGACTCGCCATCCGAACTGTCCGCCTTGGTCTTCTCTTTCTCCTTGACCTTTCCTTTTTTCCCGCTATTTTTCTGACCTTTTTCACTCTCCTCGTCAGTTGTCGCTTCTGTGTCAGAATCGGAATCTTTGGGCTTTTTGGAGGCTTTGGTAGTTTTGCTCTGCTGTTTCTGCCGACCACGAAGACAACTGGAACACTCACCAGTGGGATGGGGTTCGGAGTCATCTTCGCTATCAGAAAGTATTGCCGGTTCTTTTGTCTTTTCTCTGTTCTTTTTACTTTTGCTCTTCTGGGGAGACGGTGAATCGCTTGCTTTTGAGTCGCTCGACTCGGCAGAGATCTCTGCTTCGGAATCGGTAGGCGCGTCTTCAGACTCGGATGATGCCGGGGACTTTTTCATGGAGGATTTCTTGGGCCTTTCTTCAAAGCGGACTTTTTTGACAGTTGCACCCAATGTGTTTTGTTTCTTGGAAGATCTCCCAGACCGAGGGTATGTTATTTTAACGGTATCTTCCTCCTTCTCGTCGTCGGTGAGTACTTCCACCGTGACAACGTCTCTTTTCTCGCGAGGCTTCTTGGGGATGGGCCCGAGGGCAGAGGCAATGGTAGTGCCAACGACATACTCGCAGAAGAGAAGCGCTTTTGAGGGCCGCTTTTTCTTGCTAGGCATTCTTGGGGGTCTTTATTGAGAGCTCCTTTGCTGAGCAATTTGAATTGGCCGGGCATGCGCGAGAAATGAACTTTGTCATCGAGTGGCAGACGGAGTCGTCGTGGCGATCAGACCAGCAGCCACCTACCCAGGCAGAGGTGAAGAGATGGAACGAACGATATGGATTTTCGGGTTGGGATGACCTGGTACAAGATGAGATGGACGGGAAAGGATGTGAACATTGAAGGCGAATTCTGGGTCGAGCTGTGAAGACGGCTGGCTGCCAGCTGTCAAGCTTGCGGCGGACCGCCAACGCATGAGATTGGCGGAAGACGGAATCGATTGAGATGAAAGGCTGTGGTTTCCCGTTTGACAGTTTCTTTTTTTAAGTTTTTTTTTGTATATTCTTCAGATCAAGAGATGTCGGCACACTCGGCCGGAATTGTCCGTGGAAACGTCGCAAACGGCGTCCCCAGGCCAGATTTTATATGAGTGTCTGACGTCTCTTTGGACAACGACGGTTAGCAAACCGCTTCCTTGGACGGAGTCACAACCAAGGTCGAGGGCTGATAGGCGTCTGCAACATGAAGTCTAGAGCAAAACGAATCGACAAGAAATGGCCCATCGCGGGAGAGGCCCATAGCAATGCCTAGTCAATAGAGACCACCTCGAGCAGTCGACTGGAATATGGGGTGAGCCACGTTCGGACGCAGGCAAGATGCAGAGTCGTCTCAATTTTTTGTCGCTCAGCTTTGGCAAATTCTTCGTATCATTGCTTGTATGCCGGGAGGCACACGACACTGTGCGGTAGTTTGATCCCAGAAAACTACAGCTGCGAGCATCTTTAAAAGCTCGATCTAGCTCGCTGGGTAGCAGACAAGGGTCCGACTTATACTCTTGGTCCGATTTAGGCTATTGAAACAAGTGATTACTCTGGCGGCTGATTCTGTCTGTGAAAGCCCTGGGCTGTTCGTCCCAGAGCCATGAGTTCTTGTAAAATCTCACCGTTTCCGAGTATTTGTTTTCATTTCCTTTCCTCGCTCTCCTAAGTTATCAGCATGTACTACGGTCAGCTGGTGTTTGTTTGGCAATTGCTTGGCTCGAATAACCATTCTTTGTCAGCTTTCGTTTTTCGTGGCGCAAATGTCACCGCAGACGAACTCGTTGGTGGCCATGGCGAACCAGTGTGTTACGAATAGAGTTGGCTTTTATATGTCAGCCGCATCCTGTAGAGGTGTGGTCAAGGTTTACTGGCATGGGAGGTATCGGCCACAACCAGCTATATCTGACTTTGGGTGGCAAATGTATTTCTTGATTCGTTGCAGTCAAAACTTTCCGTACACTTATATTCCGCAGACGCTGTGGGATCAAAACCCAAACAGCAGCAAAATATAATTCCAACTCTGCAATTTCCTCTCATTTTCCCAGGCTCATGCTTTGTGCTGGAATTCATTATCATACAAGTCGGTTCAAAGACGTGACATCTCAAAGTCTCCTTCTAAGCTTGTCCTTGGGCGCCTGATTCACTGACGTGTCCCTCGTTACAATTCGTCATCCTTCTCGCACTTCTTGACTTGGTAATTGACTGTGTCATTTCCGGTCCCCCAGACCTTGGGCTTGAAGTCAAGGTACACGAGCTCATTCTTCCCGGGCTTCCATTCTCCATTTGTGTCTCTGTAATACACCATCTCGCCACTGCCGGCGTCTCGAACCTCGACGGTCGTGTGAGAGAATGTGCCGTCCGTTGACCACTCCAGCTTGTAGCAGGCGTCCCTCTTCACGGGGAAGGGCTTGGAGCAGCGGATGTTCCCATCGCTATCGAGGCATTTCTCCACTGCGTAGTCAAGCACTTCGCCTTTGGAAACGGTGTCACCAGCTAGAAGGACGGTGCGTTAGATAGCCAAAACGGTCAATTTTTGAACGGAGCACCCGTACTTAATTTGACGCTAGCGAGAGCCAGGCCTGCAGTGGCGATCTTCTGAATATCGGGGACATACATGATGAGAGTCGGCGGTTGACTGGGGTAGAAAAGAAGCAGATAGATTGGAAGACAGTAGATTGGTGCGGGCGAATTTGTTGTTGAAGATGTGATGGAAGAGCAAAGTAACTACGCTCCTTCAGAAACAAGAAGTCTTGGTACGGGGGGCGAGCGGGCAGATTTTGAACCTAAGAACCTTGCAACGAGTTGCTAAAACTTATTCGCATCATCGATGACGTTGGTGCATGATGCCTTGGTCCTGGCTAACCCTGACGTTGCCTAATTTGGAAAGCGGGGCTGTATTATGGATCAACCCCACACGTGCATATTCAAACGTCGACATCCCGCCAGTTAAACGAGGAGTTGCTAGTCACCCGGGTGTGCGCTGCCAAGTAGTTATTCGCGCACTGTGGGCTTTTGACCGTATGCCCAACTCGTAATGGACAAGCTGCGTTGTTGAAGCTCCTTACTATTCTGCCTCTGCTCGTCTTGATTATTGTTCAGTTCAGGCCGCTGGAGATGGTGATGTGGCTGCTCAAGTCAGTAATCCGGTGACTCAGGCAAGCATAGAGTCATACGAGGCCGTGCCATCTTGACTCTTGGCTTGGTGCATGTCAGGATGGTACGGATGTATAGTCGCGTAATATTTCATCACAGTTCCATCAATATATTCGACAGAATGCCTCTCTAGATATTTTTTTTTTTTTTTTTTTTTTTCAAGTAGTTAACTAGGTACCTAGCAATTTCAAGTTTTCAAACCTCGAGAGGGAAAATGGGCAAGGGGAGGAAACTACCCTGTACCTATGTACCTGAATCCTAGAACCCCGCACTAGAACGTTTTGGGATGTCGGATCGTTGCTCCAGACTCCACCCCTCGCAGCCCTTGAGCCCCTCCGGAAAACATCAAAAATCACCCCTCTTCTGACTCAGGACGACATACAAGCTTGCAACTCTTCTGCTCGGTCTAGTCACCACGGAGACGTGTCTCTCGGATTTGCTCCTATTGACAAGCCGTAGTCTAGGTGGAAGCCTTCGGTTTCAATTGCTTAAGGCAGCAATACCATATCCCACAGGTTCGAGCTCGCTCTCGATACATCAGTCGCCTCCCCTTCCACACCATTCTGTATGATGCCGGCCGGAGAGAAACTGTTGCATTCGACCAGCTACTGATCAAAAGACGCTATACTGCAGGGTCGCCATGGCTTCCTTGGCCGCTTCCGCACCAACCAACATTCCCGTCAGGGATGGTCCCCCGTCACAATCTGACGGTCAGCTACCCAGCTTCATCGTCGAGAGAAACCAGCTATTCGAAGAACTGAAGAAGAAACACGACGATACCGTAGCCTCGAAGCCTCGGAATCCAATCACTGTGTCGCTCACAGCTGGCCCGGACAATATCACTGAAGTCTCTGCTACCGCTTGGGAGACCACACCGGGTCAACTGTTGAAGCACGTTGCCAAGGTCATCGCTTCCGAGGCAGTCGTCGCCAAGGTCAATGGCGAGGTCTGGGATCTGACCCGACCTCTGGAGGCCGACTGTGCCGTGTCGTACTTGTCGTCAAAGGATCCCGAGGGTCGTGCTGTCTTCTGGCACTCGGCCGCACACGTGCTCGGCGAGGCTTGTGAACACCAGTTTGGCTGCATGCTGTCCCATGGGCCCCCAACCAATATGGGCTTCTTCTACGACATGGCCATGCAGGAGGGCGATGCCGTCAAGGAGACTGACCGCCCAGCCCTCGAGGCTTTAGCGAAGAAGTTCTTTAAGGAGAAGCAGCCATTCGAGCGAGTCGAGATTGCCAAAGAGGACCTACGAAAACTATTCGGCTACTCCAAGTACAAGATGCACTATATTGAGAAATTCGTCCCTGATGGCGGCTCCACCACCGTGTACCGCAACGGCTCCCTCGTCGATCTCTGCACCGGCCCGCACATCCAGAATACCAAGCAGATCTCCGCCTTCAAGATCATGGGCAACAGCTCAGCTTACTTCTTGGGTGATCAGACCAACGACTCCTTGCAGCGTATCTCTGGCGTTGCCTTTCCCAAGAATGACCAAATGAAGGAATGGCTTACCTACTTGGAGGAGGCCAAGAAGCGCGACCACCAGCTCATTGGAAAGAACCAGAAACTGTTTTGGTTCAGTCCGCTCTCCCCAGGCTCGCCATTCTTTCTCCCTCACGGCACTCGCATCTTCAATGCCATCCAGGCAATGCTTCGAGAACAGTACTGGATGCGTGGGTACGACGAAGTTCATTCTCCCCTCATGTACGATGTCCAGTTGTGGAAAACCTCGGGCCACTGGGATCACTACCAGGAGGACATGTTCCCTGTGCCATTAAAGCACACTCATGCTCCAGCGCCGGATTCCGCAGCAACTTCTGCGCCAGATGCTGGCAACAACACCGACAAACCGGCCGGCAAAGACGCCGAGCATGGCGGGCAAGTTGCAAAATTGGAACAGGAGAGGTTATTTGCCCTGAAACCAATGAACTGTCCTGGTCACGCTCTCATGTTCGCCAGTGAGGAGCGTTCCTATCGATCTCTTCCCTGGCGAGTCGCCGACTTCAGCGTTCTGCATCGCAATGAAGCCTCTGGCGCGCTTACCGGTCTTACTAGAGTCCGCAAGTTCCAGCAAGATGACGCGCACATATTCTGCACCCTCGACCAAGTCACTGATGAGCTCCGGGGCCTGTTCAAATTCATGACGCACGTGTACACCATGTTTGGATTCCCTTTCAAGTTGAAGCTCTCCACTCGTCCAGATTCCTACATGGGAAAGCTGTCCGACTGGGATGCAGCCGAGGATCGACTTAAGAAGGCTTTGCAGGAATTCAAGGGCGATGACTGGGCTATTAATCCCGGTGACGGTGCCTTCTACGGACCCAAGATCGATGTCACTGTCAATGATGCCCTGGGTAGAGAATTCCAGTGCGCCACTATCCAGCTTGACTTCCAGCTGCCACAAAACTTCAACCTCCTCTACCGCACCAACGAATCTACAGCCGATCGCGTCAGGGGAGAGGGAGAGGAGGAGAGCGGCATCCCCTCTGGCATGGCGAGACCCGTCATGATCCACCGAGCTGTCATCGGCTCCTTTGACCGTTTCATGGGCATCATCATTGAGCATTTTGCGGGCAAGTGGCCTTTCTGGCTGTCGCCGCGCCAAGTCATGGTCATTCCCATTATGAAGGATGCGGAGGACTATGCCAGGGAGGTGCGGGACCTCTTGCACGACGCGAGGCTCTACGCTGACGTCGATCTCTCGGGCAACACCCTGCAAAAGAAGATTCGTGCCGCTCAATTGGCTCAGTACAACTTTGTTATGGTTGTGGGTGCCGAGGAAATTGAGAAGCGAGCGGTGAACATACGAAACCGGGATGATCCCTCAAGTCAGCAAAAAGGCGCCATGGTTGATCTCGATGATGTTATCAAGCGCCTTGTAGAGTTGAAGGCCGAGAGACGATTGGTAAACGCCATCTGATAGACGAGGTGTTTGGGAGCGGTACTGAGACCCACGGGTAGGGGAAAAGAGAAAAGAAGAGTTTTGTCTAGCGTGGATTATGAAAGGAAATCAATGATTCTGACTTTATTACTCGGTACGTCGTGTGAATTGGCTTCTAGACTTGATGACTATTTTTCTGCCCAGAGTGACCCTTTTATTTCGACATGCTCCCTGGTAACCTGTATGCTGGGAGCATACTCTGTGACTTCAATTGTCACGTACAACTTCTGCAGCCACGAAAATTCATCTCCCAGTAAGTCCCTGTCGGAGTGAATAACCGTCTTAGTTTTGTACAGCTACTGCTGTCCTGACATAGATTAAAAAATGACGAAACCTAACTGACAGGGAGATGATGTCTCGGTTCTCGCTGGGTGCAATCAACCTCGCCGCTCTTTCAATCAAGACAAAATGGCATTCGATTTGCATGTCGAAATATCCACTTTGCTTCGCAACGCGACAGAGCCGACCTGGCAGTAATCCCCTAGCAACTGCATCCGCCGCCACGACGACTTGACAACGGCCGTCGGCTTCGCGAACGGGTCGTGTGCTGAGTATGCGTTGGCGATTCACGTAAGCCTCGATACGTCTGTCTCCTGCAGGCCTTGTTCCTCTCTGGCCTGTGATATTGCATGAAATGATTTGCTGGCGCCCGCTGGAAACGCAGAGGCTGCTTCTGACTCTTTCATTGCCTGCATGTCTACGGAATACCTGGCTAGTCATTTATTGGGCGTCATCTTCGAAACTGTGCGAATTCTCGGCACTCGCCCGAGTTCACCAGAGCCCAGAACCCCATTTTAGCCATTTTAGGCGGCGGTTCATGGCAAAATGAGAAGGAACGACGCAGCAATTAACTACGTAGTATGCATGTGCAGGCAACTCCCTACTCCTGCCTGCCAAAAGTGGAGGCCAACCTCCCAGGCTGCTGCTATCTTCCATGTTCCTCCCTCTCCCTCTTCAGTCGCCCAACAGGGAACACCACTTCTGACATGAACCGATCCCTAGGGTGTGTGAGATACTGCCGACACAAGAATTCAGGAACTACGGCGAGGGCCGCAGCTGACGCCAAAATCCAGCATGTACGGTGCCAATTGCAGTCTTTCGGCTGAGCAATCGAATGCAAGCCATATTGAAGCTAAAGTTTCTAATGGAGCACCGAAAGCACAAAGGGGTAATAAAGCCGTCGCCGCACTGACGCAATCGCTCATCTCCTCTCTGAACCTTCACGTATGGACGCTTCGGATTTAGTGACCTCCCAGCTGAGGTGGAACTTTCGCTTCGCCAGGCACACCAATCCAGGATCTGCGGCGAACCAGTTCAACCCGTGCCTGTCTCGACAGGGTTGTATTCATCCAGATGTAGCAAATGGCGGCAAGGCGGCTGGCTCTTCCGTTGCCGTGCCCATTGCCCGCCCGATACCCGCAGTGCGGATGAGACAAATCGGAATATCCGTCAAGAAACGTGGGGTGGGATTGACATATAAGACATTGGCGTGGTATCTTGGTCCCGTGTCTCAATGTGACGACTTGGTTTCCGGTGTCTCGGAGCTGATTAGTTACAATCTCTCCAAGCCGGTTGCGAGCGAAAGCTGCGACAATTCAATTGATTTGAAGCCGACTGGAGGCCCTACAACACACGGCCGTCATGTTGACGTCTCTCGGACTGATTGGGGCAATTGCTGCCATTCTCCCAGGCACATTGGCATGTGGCCACGATGATTGCTACGGACCGATTGACAAGGTTGAAAACGTTCGTCACGTCAAGCGCATGCAGCCCGGCGCTCCCAACGCCACATATGGGCCAAAAGCACCCCTCGAATGGGGCCAAGTCAATTTCCTCCATACCGTGAGTGAGCCGTTCGGAGGCTGGGCTAGGTTGTTGATTGTAGGATATCAATTGACGCAAAGTAGACCGATACCCACGGCTGGCTCCAAGGTCATTTGAAGGAGCCAAACTATGGTGCTGACTGGGGTGACTTTGTCACTTTTAGCCGCCGCATGAAGCAGACAGCCGAAAACATGGGAGTTGACCTGCTTCTTGTTGACACTGGCGATCTTCACGACGGCACTGGTCTGTCGGACGCTACTAAAGAGGATGGCGCCAAGTCGATGCCCATTTTCGACGAAATCGAGTACGATTTGTTGACAATTGGTAAGAATTCGCATGCAAATCTTGAATCTTGGCTAAGCCACACGCAAAGGCAATCACGAGCTCTACGTCAGCGAGGTCGCATACCAGATGTTTGACGACTACTCCAAGAAATGGGGAGACCGCTATGTCACGTCCAACGTAAAAGTTCTCAACCAGAAGACGGGCAAATTTGAGTTTGTGGGCGCCACACACCGTTACTTTACTACACCAAATGGATTACGCATCATGGCTTTCGGTGTTCTCTTTGACTTTACTGGTACGTCCGTCCTCTGGCATTGCTTATTCGAGAACCGAGCGCTTAAGCTGTAGTTGTCCTGTAGGAAACTCCAACGTCTCACAAGTCATCAAGGCCAAGGACATGGTGAAGGAAAGCTGGTTCACTGAAGCGCTTGCCAGCAGGATGCCTGTCGACCTTTTCGTTCTCTTTGGCCACAATCCCGTCCGCGCTACCGACACTTACAGCACCTTCAAGGTCGTGTTCGACGCCATCCGTGCTTCGCATCCGAAGACCCCCGTCCAGTTACTCGGCGGACACAGCCACATCCGAGACTTCGCCGTCTATGATGACAACGCCGTTGGCATCGAGTCCGGCCGGTACTGCGAGACGCTAGGCTGGATGTCTGTCTCTGGATTTGACTTATCCAACAGCGGATTTCATGGAGTCAAGAACCCTCACGGAGTGCCCAACCCTTCTCGACCTGCCAGAGAAGGCGCCAAGTCACCCTTTGTCTATTCCAGACGATACTTGGACTGGAATCGAAAAACCTTCCTCTACCATTCCAAACAATTTGATAGGACGTACGACTATCACTCTGGCTTGCGTGTCACGAACGACATCGCCAAGGAGCGTGAGGAGCTCAAGCTCGGCCAAGTGCACGGGTGTGCGCCAAAAGACTACTGCATCGACTGTGCCCCCTTCACCGATGACAGGAACATCTTCCCCGGGGTGATTTACCCTGCCGTCTCGGCCATTGTTTTGAACGAGACCCGCAAGGACAAGGCTCGCATTATCCTGGGTAACACTGGCGCGATCAGGTTTGACGTGCACAAGGGATCCTTTACTTTTGATGACAACTTCATTGTCTCGCCGTTTAGAGATGCATTTTTTTACATTGCCGACGTGCCTTTTGACAAGGCATCCAAGGTAATCGGCCAGTACGCCTTCACCATCCCTTCCACGGCAACACGTGCTCAATAGAGATGCTTTTGTGCTAAGGTTCCCGCAGACTCAACAAGAGAGTTGTGGACAAGCGTTTTGCTTCGATGCTCGTCGCGAATGATGAATGCACCAACCCGACACTCGGATCCATGAGCCGTCGTGATATGCGTGAACCTCGAGGCATTGTCCGTCGACAAGAAGTTGTCGTTCCCGGTTACAACACCAAGGACGACTGGGGCACTGATGGTACGCTTCTCCCACGCGGCCGAGTCTTTGACACCATTGCTAACGTCAAAATAGGCGATGACACGGAGCACTCTGAGATTCCTAGCTTCAGGATTCCCGGATACTGGGAGGCGCGCGCATCGTTCCCTAAAGACGGCAGCAATCCCGACAAGGTTGACTTGATTTTCTTTGACTTGTACGTTACCAATTATCGCGATTCGTGATTTGCAGCCTACTAAGCGCACAACAGTATTCAGCGCCGCGTCCTTGCAGACCTCGGTGCTGGTTTTACCGCGGACATGGTCCACTGCTACATCAACTGTAGCTTTACGTCGCAGGATTTTCTGTTGCCGTATGCCAAGCTTGCGTGGCAGGATGATGTAGATAACTGCCCCATTTGAGCTTTCATGCTGGGAGAGATGCGGCGTGGCGAGAAAAGGCATACGTTGTTGAAAGTGCGTATGGGAGTGGACGAAAAGGGGGGAATACCTGGAACTCTAGGCTGATATGAAAGGCATATCACACTCGCTGTATTTCGATGCAGTCCAAGGTGGAATTTGTCCAAGTATGGGCTACCTAGTAGTACACGTCACCTTTGATCAAGACCCTCCGAGGGCCGTACGCAGCAACTTGGCGGACAAGATGTTGCCGAAGTCTAGGCGGACGACGAGGCCGTTGGACGTCTTGGAGTGGGGAGGGGAGCAGCAAGTGCGCAGCAGCACAGCAGCACAACAGTCGCCGTTGTGCAACCTGTCAAGGGGGAAAGTGGAGACGATATATGACCTAGAGAAATGAGGGGTAACGTTATTAACTAGTTACTAACTAGTTATTACGGGGCGGACTCGGCCATAGAAACCCAGAAAGAACAAGCATCAATACTACGTTACCCAATGCCCATCCATCATGAGCATCAAAAACCCCAAGGTGCGCAGCGCATTCACCGCCTCCTTCTCCCACCGGCGTCAAGGTTTGACTGTCCCCCTCCAGTGATGCGTCCGTCTTGCATGGCACAAAAGCCGGCCGCCCCTTGTCTCGACTCTTGGGCACGCCTTGATGGCCTCGCGGCCCGACGGCGACGATTGGTCTGCGCCACTCCAATTTCCGGCCCCGAAACGCCGTCTGTTTGTCGTGGTCGCCTTGTTCAACATAAAGGCATGCACCGAGTACGGAGTAGAGTACGGGGTATTCATTGCGTCCATGTCCAGGCACAACAAGCACGCTCGGCTCTTTGGCAGACGCCTTCTTTGAGACTCTGGCCTCACGCCTCTCGCCGTCTTTGACTTGAATGCCGTGCGTCTTTTTGTCGGACCCAAACGCTGCCAGTACAGTACGCACCATCGGCATCGACATCAACCCAAGCAAAGCAGAGCAAAGCAAAGCAGGGCAAAGCAGAGCAGAGCAGAGCAGAGCAGAGCAAAGCAGAGCAGTGCAAAGCAAAGCATAGCAGAGCAAAGCAAAGCAGAGCAAAGCAGAGCAGAGCAAAGCAAAGCAGAGCAAACAAAAAGTCACGTCCTCGCAACCAGAATCACTCATAACCACTCGAATCCCCCTTCTATTCCTCTCCCCTTTGCTCTACTTTTCCTCGACACACAACCTCGACTCGGTCATTCCTTGGGCTTCTCTTCTCCCCTTGCTCATACCATACCATCCATCCATATACCCGCCGACTCAACACCACGCAGAATGCGCTTCTCGGCAGCAGCCCTGACTCTGGCCCTGGCCGCCACCGCCACCGCCGAGCTCGACGCCGTCAAGATCCTCGAGGAGATGATGCCCAACTTCAAGTGCAAAGACACCAAGGAGTGCCGTACCCCCGCGCAGAGCGCCCCCTTCATCGTGAACTCCATGAAGCGCTGGCAAGTCTGCAACCCCAACGCCATGGCCGCCATCGTCTCCCTCATGGCCTTTGAGTCGGGCAACTTCACGTACAAGCACAACGCGTTCCCCGGCCGCCCGGGCCAGGGCACCGCCAACATGCAAATGGCCAACTTTAACCTCCTGTACGCCCAGGACATCCCCGAGCTCAAGGACAAGGTCAGCAACATCACCGACGTCAAGGGCGCGTCCAACGAGACCCTCAACTACATCTTGTCCTTGGTCCAGCCGGACGAGTACAACTTTGGCAGCGGACCCTGGTTCTACCAGAAACAGTGCGACAAGGGCGTCCACGACGCCATGGAGAAGAACGCCGACGAGGGTTTCGCCGCCTACATGAAGTGCGTTGGCGTCCAGGTCACGGACGACAGGAAGGCCTACTTTACCCGCGCCAAGAAGGCCTTTGGCCTGGCTTGAGAGGGCTCCTCTGCTCTGCCCTGCGCTGCGCTGTGCGGGCAAGGCGTGGTCTCTTGGCTTTTTTTCACCTTTGAACCGAGTACATGTTCTGGCTGGCTCTGAATACTCGGTCGGGCACGACGACCCTGGTGGACGTTGAAGCGACTGCCGGTTGCAGTTTGCAGTTGGGAGGATGATGGTGGAGGGAACAATGAAGCAACTTTTCTAGCTCTGTTGACAAACAAAAAAAAAAAAAAAAAATGAAAACGAAAATGAAAATCTGAGCCTCCCCCCCCCTAAAGTCTCCAAAGCACATAGATCCCGATTCGACTTGACCAGCGAGCGTACATCTTTGTAAACAGCCCATGTGGTGTCCCCACGAGCCGTGACGACGTCGAGAACCTCGTTCATGACTCTGGGTCCACGCACCATCACTCAGGACTACTTGGCCAAGTCAATCAGCCCGGGCCGGTCGTTGGAAGAGTCATTCGTTATTCATTCGCCGTTGCTTTCGCTTTCGCTTTCGCTCTTGCTCTTTTTTCTACGCCTATTATACACTCTTGATATCGTGAGCATGTCATGTTCCCTTTGCCACCTCCATTAGCTACAGCTGTGTGTGTGTCGTCAAACGCCTGGCCAGACATGTCCCCCGTGTCGTTGAAATGCTCCTGTAATCTCAAATTCCATGTATATCCACCCTGGGTCTCTCCCGAAGACCATCCCCTGTATTCTATCAGAGCCAAAGAAAAGAAAGAGGGCGAGGAGGAGGAGAAGAAGACGAAGAAGAAGAAGGGCAAAAAAAAAAAAGAAAAAAAAAAGAAACCAGAACACACGCGCCATGGTACCTGTACCTGCCCCAGCCGGCAAATGCAATGAGAGAGAGAGAGAGAAAGTCAACAAGCGGAAAAGCCACCAAAACAATTTCGTCGTCTACGTCATGTGCGAGAGAAACGGACTGAGCATGAGCTCGTCGGCGCTGGGTCGCAGGTCGTGGTTGAGCTCAAACGTCTGCCCGAGGAAAGCCTTGGCCTCCTCGCTGGCGTGCTCGGGAATCGTCGGGGATGCCGTCCCGCCTCCAATCTTGAAGATGGCCTGCAGTTGGCTGCAGTCGGGGAAAGGGTGGTTGCCCGTCATCATCTCCACCACCAGGCAGCCGAGCGACCAAATGTCGGCCTTGAGCGTGTACTCTGTCTGCTTGACAACCTCGGGCGCCATCCAGAACACCGATCCCTGCAGTGACGGCCGGTGTCGGTTGTTCTTGGCGTTGCCCAGAATGTTGGACTGCTCCAGCTTCTTGGAAATGCCAAAGTCGGAAATCTTGATGGTGCCCTTGTTGTCCACGAGGATGTTGGCGCCCTTGATGTCGCGGTGAATAATGTCTCGGCCGTGCAGGTACGACAGGCCCATCAGGATCTGACGGACAAAACTCCGCACCAGAGGCTCGGGCAGCGCGCCATACGAGTTCAGCATCGTCTGGACCGAGCCGCCCGGCACGTACTCGAGGAAGATGTTCAGCCGGTCCGACGACGAGCTGCAGCCCAGGTACTGCACAACGTTGGGGTGCCGCAGGTCACGGAGCAGGTTCATCTCGCGGTTGAGCGCCTCAATCATGCCCCTCTTGCGAGTCTCGCTCTGGCCAGTCGCCCCGGGGGCCGGCATCTGGACCTGCTTCACGGCGAGCAGCTCACCAGTCACGGCATGGAGAGCCAGGTAGACCGAGCCGAACGAGCCCTTGCCGATAAGAGCTCCCTTCATCCACTGGTTGTCGTCCCACGAGTCCCCAGACAGAAAACTCTCAAGCTCCTCGTCCAGTTCACCGCCGTCGTTGGAAAGAGCTTGCCGGATCGACTCGTTGAAGGAGCCCGACCCCGTAGACCCATCGCCATCGTAGTAGCTCGTCATGGCCGTGTTGCCGTCCGGGTCGGTGACGCTGACAGTGGTGGGATCGACAGTGCCGTCGTCTCCGCTCTCGGTAAAGGACACGTACGACTTGCGGTCCGGCTCCAGGGGTGATGATTCTTCTTGGAGGGTGCCCAACGTGGACGAGGCAAAAGAATCTCTGTTGTAGATGCCGGGGATCCGTCCGTGGGAGTCGCGTGTTCGGACCTTGGCGACGTGGGCGGCACCGCTCAGCCACGAGTCGGCAATCGTCGGGATTGGAGGGGCGTCTTGTACGCTCGACGCCAGGCTGATGCTACTCGCAACGCTGAGTCGACTGTTGACCTTGCTCAGCCGGGTCGACCGCCTCATGGAAAGACGAGCAGTCCGGTCAATGTCCTCCCGCCGGTGGTCGGGGAAGTACGAGGTCAGATCAGAGGCGATGAGTTCACTGGGAGGTCGAAGCCCGCCAAACTGGCGAAGACCAGCCTTGCGACGTTGCGCAGCTCGAGCGTCATCAGCCGGATGGGTCCTGTCCACATCCCTGGGGATTTCGTGTGCAAGAGATCGATCTCGGTGCTGGAAGAAGACGGGAGACAGAGGCTGTTGCAGCTGGTCGTTCCACTTCTCCCCCAGGACCTTCTGGACCTTGAGCTGGCTTCTCTTGTCGACCGACTCGATGGCCTTGGTGTGCTTTTGCTGCTCCTCCTCCATGGCGATGGCAGCAGCGCGCTGCAGCTCCGACTCTCCGGGCTCGCCGGCGGGCACGCGCCGCAGAATCAGGCGGTTGCGTTCGGGCCGCCGCTTGTCCTTGATGATGCGCCACAGCTCGGTGTCGCCCAGACGTCTGCACTGACTCGGGTCGGGGTCAATGCCGGTCAAGACCCAGAAGCAATAGTTGCGCTCGTGGTCCTCGCGCAGAGCAAACTTGCGGAGGGTGACACGCATGACGTCTTCGCAAGTGGTGCAGTCAGCAATCTTGACCACTTTGGTGACGCCGCCGGTGGAGATGACGCGAATAACGTCCTGGCCCTGGGGCAGGGCGGCCATCAGCGAGCCATCCATGCTGGAATTGTTTCTCGTATGAGTCGGTACCAGGCGGCCAGCGGCATGGTCCGGAGCTGTTACTGCTGGAGGCCGTGAAGGCTGGCTCTGGCCGACGCTGCTAACGTAGCCAAGACCGGCAGGGAACCGAGCTTGCCGAGCTACCCACGTTTGCACAGTCAGCTGTGTATTGGCGAGTCAACCATGTGCCAGTCGGGTTTTGTCAGCTCACCAGTTTCCAGCGGAGCGGGCACATCGGCTTGCCGCGAGTATCGACGGTTGAGAGAGGAGGAGGCGGCCGAGCGAGGCACAGACGAAGTCTGGGCAGCAAGGGTGGTGGAAGGCAAAGAAGAGTAGGCATCGAGGCCGGAGAAGGAATCCTGGACATGGAAAGAAAAGAGAGCGTGTCAGTGTCAGCCAGCTGGCAGACCCGCAGCTGCGATCGTCTATCCGGTTCACTTCAGACTCACCCGATTGCGCCGCTTCTGATTTGCATACGTCTTGGTCCGCAGCTTCTTGATGCACAGGAAGAGGCGCACTCGATCGCCAACCTTGTCAATTCCCATCTCCTTCAGCACTTCCTTGTCCATTTCTAGGAGGTTCTCGCCGTTGATGTGGTTCTTGCGGAAGATCTTCTCGTAGTCCTCGCAGCTGACGCTTCGAAGGTATTCGCAGACACGGTCCTCATCCCAGCGCCTCACGGAGTCGGCGTCGTCGGCCTCGGAGGGGTCAGACTCGGTCGGGCTGGCGTAGCTCTGCGTGCTGCTCGACATCGGGGGCAGTCTCCTCGAGGTGGACAAGACAGACTGCAGGCTGGAGCCGGGAGGAAGATTCGAGGTGCTGAGGGCGGCCGGGAACGGCGATTTTGACGAAAGCATGGCCATGACGCAAATGATTAAAGCTGTGTATTAGGGGAGAGGGAGGCCGAGCGAGCCGGGTGTGATGAGATATACGGGGTATATCGGTGCGTCCGGGTCAGAGTCGGTGGCCAACCCGCTTCCTGCCAGACGCGAAGGCGGAACGGCGAGGCGACGTTGGCGACGTTGGCGACGTTGGCGATGGTCGCAAGGCCAGGCAGGGCCAACAGCGGGCAGCCAGGAGTCCAGGTCGCTGTCGCTGGATCTATGCTTCCCAAGCTTCTGTGCCGGCAGAGACTTGGAAACAGGGGGTACAGCGGAGCGGTGGTCTGGCCAGCACGGCAGGTCGACGACTCGACGGTGCGATATATAACCGACTTGAGGAGACGGCGGAGACGACGGTTCGTCAACGGCACTCGGGGACGGAGCGTGGATGGAGTATGGAGGATTGATGTGCCAGTTGCTAGTCTCAACTTCTCAAGCGCTCTCTCGGTGAGCAAGCGAGGGGCCGGCGGCAGGGCAGGCGGTGGAGGGGGGAGGAAAAGGGGGGGCAGACGGCTCACAGGGGGTTGCCAGCGCCGGAGGCCGCCACGAGTTGTCCAGACTCCAAATGCTCCAGTGGCCGGCCAGGTGTGCAGCAGCGCACAGCGCACAGCGCACAGCAAACAGGATGCAAAACACTTTGCGACAGGGGTCTGTTCCAGCACCGCCGGCGGCGGCAGCAACTCGACGCAGGGCCGGGCCCGACGTAGCCCGAGGCAGCCCAGCGCGATGGGCGTCTGTCTGGTCTGGGTCTGACAGTCAGTCAAGCCGGTCCATCCAGCCTTGGGCACGAGGCACGACGCGGCCGGGGACACGACGAGACGCCAGGACCGGCACCACCGCTCTCCATTCTCCATCCATTTCATGTCCCGTCGCCGCTGCCTCGACTGGCCAACCCTGTCGCTGCCGCACACCACGCGTCAGCATCAGCATCGGCATCAGCATCAGCGTCAGCATCAGCATCAGCATCAGTATCCGTATCAGTGGCGGGCCGCGGCTGATGGCTCGCCGTGGTTGAAGCCGTGGCCGTGGCCGTGGCCGTGCATCGCGCATCGCGCATCGTGCATCGTGGATCCGCGGAAAAGTTGAAACCCGCCAGCGCCAACGCGAACCGGCACCACCACAGCCGTTCAGACAGCACACGGACACACGGACGCACGGACGCACAGACACACGGACACACAGACACGGAGTGACGTTGTCGGCACGCGCTTGTGGCCGGGGGGCCGGCCATCTTTGCTCTGTTGGTTTGGTCTCGTCGTCGCTCGCTAGTGGCGCGTCTGGACCTGGGACCTGGGACCTGGGGCCTGGACAATAACAACCGCAACCGCAATCGCATGGGCGCGGGCGCGGGCGCGGACGCTCGGCTCTGGTCTCATCATCATCGGTGGCTTTCGGAGTATCATCCAACTACAAGAGCCCGACGTTGAAACACACACATCTGCCTACGATTCATCAGCAAATGTCGGTGAAGAAGCCCATGTGTAGAGGCCGGGATGTGATGCAATTCTCCTCCAGGCCGCTGTCATCTTGGCACGCCGCGGAACCCTTGGGCCAAGACGTCCCGGTTGTCGCATCCGAAGCATGCACGACGATCCTTCACATGATGGATGGACGGATGGACCGAGCACTCAGTAGCTACATACTACTGCCTGCCTGCAGAGCATCACCGATACGGAGTACAGCCGACCATTCCCATGCCCTGCCTGGCCCCTGTTGCTTTGGATGGGCGGCACATGGTCAATCCATGTGCGACGGCACTAACAATGGATGGCGATGATGACAACTACGGAGTACAGCGAGAACAACAATTACAAGAACAATAATATTGATCACGACGATGATAATACTGATACCCCTGTGCTGGTCGCTCGATCTCACTTCCGTGTTAGTGCATACCCGCCCATTCGGCCCTCGGGATGGGCAGCCACGGATTGGCACGGTTTCATGAGGAGAGCAACGTAAAGTTTAAAATGTAAAAAACATGTGAAGTACGTACCTAGTTGATGGCCCCTGCAACGACACAACGTTGAAACGTCTTTGTTGGCCGATGGTCCACGAGCCATCCGCCAGCCTCCATGTCCATGCCGTACCGTGGACGTGGTCGTGTTCGTGCGTGGATGGACTCGCACTCGTGGCAGATGGGGACCCCTGCGGATGCAGTTTCAGTTCTCTTACACACCGAATGCGTACCTAGGTACGGAGTAGGTAGGCACTCAAGGAAGTCTACCGAGTCCGGAGTACTCCCAGAGGTAATACGCGCAGTGCTCGCTCCGCCGTCACAGCCCTGCTTCAGGAGCCGCGTGTGGCGGTTCTATAACTACCTCGTGCCTAGCCGCCCCGGCGGCGCGCGTCATAGTCGGCCTTCTTCGCATCGCCACCTCTCGTGCCAGTTCACCCGTCATGGTCAAGAGAAAGAAGGGGAGAAAAAATTGTACTACAATGCCACCACGCTCGTATGGGCGGCCGCTCCGTCACACTACGGCTTCAGACCCTCAGGCACACAGACAGTTCCTGTCTCTTTGTCCAGCCGCCCTGGGCAGTCGCATGGTCGGCGTCCTGTCTCTTTGATTGCTGCCATGGGGAGTCATGGCTCGTGGCTCACGGCTCACGGCTCTTTCTTCTCCTTTCCGCCGCCTGCAGGATTTCAGGAGACTATTGGCAAGCGACGGCTCCTGATGCGACTCCAGCCCGGTCTGTTTTTCAAGTGGTTTTCCGGTTTGTTTTCTTTCATTCGAATGCCCCTCGGCCCTCGGCCCCGTCTCTGATCCTGTCAGCACTTCTTCCCGTCTCCCGTTCCAGTAGGAGCATCTCGCTCAAACTGCCGTGGTGTTGTACACACAACAAATCTGCACATGGAAAAAATGACGATTGACCACAAGATGCCCAAGACGTCCAAGTGCCCCCCAGCCCCACCCTCGCCCCACAATTGCTAGAGTGTCAAGACCCCCGTCTCCACTTGGGCGGCGTGCGCCCCGCCCCGCGAGGCTGACCAGGCACAGCTCTGCAAATGATTGGCTGCGAGCTCGGATAATATGAAACCGGCAGCGTTTCGGCCTCGTGCGCGGGTGGGCAAAGCTGACCGAGGCTGTCGCACTCGCGGGATTATTATTATTGCTGGTAGTATCAAAGTGGGGCCACGTAAGCCATCCGGCCCCCCTTTGACCTTTGGCCTTTGATCTTTCTACCTTGAAAGCATCTCGACGGCTGCATGGGGTGGCCGAACCCTCCGTCCTCACGACCGCACATGTATTAGTATTGCAGCTTGCAGTGGTAGTTGCGACATCGATAGATCCTGCGCAAGTCGACTATGCACTTGCGGCGTAGCATCAGGCATCTTATCTCCATGAGGACCTCACCTCGCCGTGTCATTCTTTTTTGCCTCGGCAGCTGCCGCCTGGTCGACACGGGAATGAATGAAATGCGAGCCAAACACGAGCTAGAACAGCCCCAAATCGCTGCTACGTTCCATTGAACTCTAAAACGTAAACTCTACTTGCCTGAAACTGAAGATATTCGGACATCTGGACCCTTCGAGATGGCTCCCATGGGGCGAAATCGGGCGAATCTCCAATCCGCGACTTGATCTTGGTCTTACCCCGGACACTTTGGCCCGGGGGATTGACCAGCTTGACGCGACGACGGGCTTCTTCACCACGGGGTATGGGAGCACGGAGTACTTGCCGTAGATGACTAGATCCGGAATACCAAGGTAGTTGGGTTGTTTTGAGTCTTGACCAATGTCAAAAATCTCCTACCGTGCACAAGGTAACTAGTTCCTGGCCCTATCAGGCGTGTGCCTATCCCGTTCCCGCCAACTACTACTAGTGTATTCCGGGGCTACATATCATTCATGTGCACGAGGAGTTGGATTCTAACCCGTGGCCTCCGCATGCCGTGTTCTTGCTTGGCTGCCCGACCAGACTAAACCAAACAAACGCACAAACGCCGGCGCCGGCCTCTCGGATGGCGGCAAACGCAGCCCGCGGCATCAAATACTTTCTCGTTGACCAAACACGTTGAACTTTCGTGTCCAAACCGGCCGTTGACGTCTGCACCAGTGGCAGCTCCGACGACGCGCCCGCCCGGGAATCAAACTTGACTTTCTCCACAGCGGACTTGGGCCCATTCGGCGAGCTTAAAATTCCGAGCGCAGAGACTGCAGTGCAGTGGCTTGTTACATCGTCACGTGCCATGTGCCCGTCATGCTTGGCTCTCTGCTTTTGCGCCTTTCTTTTTGCCGTCTTGCGCGATGGGCCAGCAGTGGCATCAATCTAAACGTTTGAACAAGGCTGCTCCCGAGTCGTTGCCGCTCCACCATGTCCTTGGAAGTTGAGGCCCGAGGGCCGAGATGGAAGCGTAATCGCGGTGTAGGGTACCTTGGCGGATTGCCTGTCTCGGCAATAGGAGGCGATACACGAGTGGATTGGCACGTGGTTCCTCTCATCTCAGGCACCACGGTGCTTTTTTCGTGATAAGGGCCCCGATAGAGAGGATGCAGGGAAATAGACGATGTACTCCGTAGATGAGGTTCCTTTTCCCTGACGACTGTGGCGCGCGCGCGGGCAAATGCCACCACGGCAACAGCGATATCGAGAATGCGACCCGACCCGTGTGATTGTTTTCCAGGCGCGCTTGTTGCTGGTAACGGGCGGAGAAATAGGGAGACATGCGAGAAAATAAACTTTGTCCAACCAGCTGCGAACCTGAGTGAGGCTGTGTGATGCCGGCGGTTGCCATTGATACTGCGGTAATCCGGAACTTCGTCAATGACCTGTCTGGAAACTCCCAACATTCTCGGAACGGTCCATCCGAACGTGCCCCGAAGTCGAGATGGTTGACCCTACAGTCCACAGTTTGCGTCGTATTGTTAAGGGGGAAAGTGGAGGAGTTGTATGACCTAGTAAAATAAGGGGCATTATTATAGGGCAGACTTAGCTAGAAAGACTAAGAGAGAATAAGTATTACTACTACTTAATACTTATTATATATATTATATTTTAGTAATAGAACTAAGACTTTATATTATCTATATTAAGAACTAGCCTTATAGGTAAGTGCGTGTAAGCATTACTAGCATGACATATAAACTAAAAGAGAAAACAAAGAAAAGAAGAAGTTCTCTGTTCCCCTTTTCTTAGACTATTATAAATGTATTAGTCTTAGTATATATTTAATAAGTATCGAATAAAGCGTAATAGACTCAAGCTTACAGCTCGAGTATACACAAGGCACTGCATTAGTGCCTTGTTGATTACTAGACCCTCTAAGCCCTAACTATTAAGCTGAAAGAGTATATAATAAATAAGCTGCCCTAAGCTTAGGGAGGTCATTAAAGGGATAAGCTATGTCCCGCTCGCTAGATTGCGCATAGCTTAGACTATAACATAAATTAGAATTTAGAATTATTTAAAGCTAGTAATAGTTAGTATAATTAGTATTATTAAAAAAAGTTAGTATTAATATTTAAGTTAATATTAGTTTCTCTTCTCTTTAAATTATTTAGTGGGAAAGTAAAGTAAGTTGTATAACTTAGTAAAATAAGAAGTATTATTATAGAGCAGACTTAGCTAGAAAAACTTAAAGAGAATAAGTATTGATACTACCTAATGTCTATTGAATGCATTACAGTGCCTTCCATTCTCCACTTGCGCGATATAGCTAGGCCGAGGCAAGTACTCCATTAACAGCTAGCATACCGGCTTCGTCGTCCTCCTGCTAATACGGTACGCAGGGCGTTGTCCACGACAGGCAACCTTTGAAGTCGGCATCATCCGTCAAAGAAAAATCCATCAGTAAGAACACAAAACGTGGAAGACGTCTCGTCCTGGAAAGCTCGGCCAACCTCGATTCTTGGGCCCGGCGCCTTTTTTTGGGTCTAGGTTATTTTGGTGTGTTCCCGTCAGTTGGGTCCCAGTCAAGCTCTCGCCATACATAGAGAAGGCGATTCAGGCCTTCGTCTCGTCTCAAACATCAGTCGTGGGGAACCTCTGATGTCAGTACCATGGCATCATCCCACGACCAGCCCGTGGTCAGTTTTCTGGGCCCTGTGGCCTCTTACTCGCACCAGGCAAGTTCCCTGACCAGGGCTCAACCAGGTTTGGGCCTCTTGCTGACTCCTTCACAAGGCGGTTCGGCAGGTTTTCCCCGAGGACAAATGGCACTTGAGACCGGTGAGTACCATAGACGGTAAGTCTCCATATCCGAGTGCAAAAGACAGCACCTGATCATCCAACCCTTTGGTCTGAGTTCTGAACCATCCCTATAGACGTGTTTGATGAGGTCCAGGATCGCCGGGTCACTGCCGGCGTAGTCCCTTTCGAGAACTCGACCAACGGATCTGTGGTATTCACCCTAGATAACCTGGCGGACCGGAATGGCCGATACAAGGACGTCACGGTCGATGGCGAAATCTTCGTTGACGTCCACCACTGCCTGCTTGGCCGCAAGAAGCCCTCTGAAAAGTTGGACCAAGCTCACGAAACTTCTGGAGCTTGCGCTCCCGCGGCTGCCAGTCCCAGTCCATCGGTGCTCGACAGTCTCAGCCACATCAGGCGACTGTATTCACATCCCCAAGCATTTGGGCAATGCAATGCTTTCATCTCCACCTATCTCAAGGGCGTCGAGATTATCGACGTGAGCTCCACCAGCAAGGCCGCTGAGATTGTGAGTCAAGATGAAACCGGCACATGGGCTGCCATATCGAACCACCTAGCTCTAAGCCTGTACGGCCTCGACCTGCTGGGCAAAAACATTGAAGATCGAGAGGACAACACCACCAGGTTTCTCGTAATTGGGACGAATCCCTCAGTGCCGGACGACTGGGACTTGCAAAAGCTGTCGATTGCTAGGTCGGGCAGTAAATCACTTGTCTCTTTTACTGTTCCTCATACCGCTCCTGGTGCCTTGGCCGACGTGCTTGGCTGCTTTCGGGAATTCAATCTCAACTTGACGAGCATTAATAGCCGGCCCAGCCTGTTGGCACCATTTCAGTATATTTTTTTCGTCGAATTTGAAGGTCACAGGTATGACGATGCTGATGGCCGAGTGAAGGGGGCCTTGGAAAGGATTAGCCAGGCGGCTCAGAGCTGGAGATGGCTCGGGAGCTGGGAGAGGTACAGGTAGCCTAGTCATCTTGAACAGCCAGACAAAATTAAAGCAAATCGCCAGGTTGAGAACGAAGTGTGCGGAGGTCAGCACACTTCAGAGCCAAATGAAAGCGAAGATGTGTTCTCGCAGCTCCCGCATTGACAGCTGGCGAGAACCTGTTGACACATGCAGGCAACTGGCAAGCCAAGAGAGGCCATGATAAAACAACCTCTTTCAACCATCCTGATGTTTCTTTCCTCCTCCTCCTCCTCATCTCACTCTGGTACCTCCAGCCTGCCATATCTTTCCCAGTCGTTAAGACATTGCTCTGGTCCTCTCCAGGTCTTCATTTTGCCATCAGCATCAACAGACAATATCACTATTGGGTTGCACCACGCTTACCGAAATGGCTATTGTTGATTTACAGTCTAGAGATCACAAAAGTCTTCTAGACTTGATTGACACGCTCCGCGGAAAAGGTGTCGCTCGCTATGTCCCGCTTCCTGAGATCGTTGTTGTAGGGGATCAATCAGCGGGGAAGAGTTCAGTCCTGGAAGCCATTTCTGGCATGTCTTTCCCTGCCAAGGACAACCTGTGCACACGGTTTGCGACAGAGCTCGTTCTTAGACGATCTACAAATGTGGAAGTAAAGATATCGATTCTCCCAGAAACAAGTCGCCCAATGCGCCAGCAAGAAGAGCTGAAGCGATTTCGCCCGGTCGTGGAACCCGGCACCCTGGACCTGTCGCATATTGTTGAACAAGCCAAGTTGGCAATGGGCATTACCCCAACCTCCAAAGCTTTCCGAAATGACACTCTGCGAGTTGAGCTTTCTGGGCCCGACCAGCCTCATCTAACAATGGTCGATCTCCCGGGACTGTTTCAGGCCGGCAACAGCCTACAATCTGACCAAGACTCCGAAACCGTGACGAATATGGCCATCAAATACATGAAACTACCAAGAAGCATCATACTTGCGGTTGTTTCTGCCAAGAGTGACTTCGCGTTGCAGCAGGTTACTCGACTAGCTAGGGGGTATGATCCGAACGGACATCGCACGATCGGCCTCATCACAAAGCCGGATACATTGGACGAAGGCTCAGAGAGCGAAGCAGCATATATTCGTCTGGCCCGAAATGATGACGTGAAGCTGAAGCTGGGATGGCACGTGTTGAAGAACCGTGATTACAAGATGACGCAGAACAAGGCAACCTCGAAGGAGCGCGACGATGCGGAGAAAGCCTTCTTTTCCAGTGGCCCTTGGGCAACGCTTGATCCATCTACTGTTGGTGTCAAAACACTAAAGCCGCGTCTCAGCAATCTGCTGAGAGACCAAATAGTTCTGCAACTGCCCGGCTTAGTGAAGGACGTCGAGTCTGGAATCAAGAAATGCAAACGTCAGATCGAAAAACTTGGTTCACCACGAGAGAGCATAGTCGAGCAACGAGAGTATCTCATCAGTGTGAGCCAGACATTTTCCGATCTGATGAAAGCAGCAGTCAATGGAAATTATACCGATGCATTTTTTGGTAGCTCCAAGTCCGAGGAAGGTTACCAGAAACGTCTTCGGGCAGTTATCCAAAGCTTATTGACCGAAATTAAGGATGAAATGAACGAAAATGGTTGCACCAGACAGATAGTCGATCCTGAGGACCAGCCAGATGATGAAAGCACGATTCTAAGCGACAACCAAGTGCTTAGATCGGCCTACATGGAGGACGTCTCCAAACTGATGGATCGAAATCGTGGTTGTGAGCTGCCAGGAACCTTCAATCACCTCATTGTAGGAGAGCTGTTTTTTGACCAATGCAAGCCATGGGAGGCGATCGCGGAAAGGCTTCTCGGGCAAATCTTGGAGTCAGTCCACCAAGCATGTACATCAGCCGGCGTGCAGGGATGACTGACTAGCAGAAGATGCATGTGGATTGATTGGCAGGGGCGGCACATGCCACTGACTGCCCCGACGCCATTGGCCACTGCCAGTCGCCAAGTCGCCAGCTCTTTCCCGACAGGGACTTGTGGCCCCGGCTGTCGGTGGTTTTGGGGCGAGGCCCAGTGTGGAGAACTGGGGTCGTCCATGAGGCAGGATGAGGATGAGGATGAGGATGAGGATGAGGATGCGGATGGATGAGAGTGGTAGTTGGTACGGAGTAACGAGCAGTTGGCGTGGGAGTCAATTGGCTTGCGGCTGTCGTATCTTGAGTGTCGAAATGTACAAGCGACTTGGACGGCACAGAGAGACATGCGGTTGGATGTGCGACCTCCGGAGTGTCCTTTGTGTACTCAAGTACTCCGTACACGGGACAAGATGTTAAAGGGGGCCGGAGGGCAACGTGGCCCATGGGGCACGCAAGGACGGAAGGGCAATTTCCGAATCTCAAACTACTACATACTCCGTACGCATGCCATGTACGTCGTAACTTGATAACTATACCCCAGTGGCTGCTTCGAGCCATGTTTGCCATCTTCTCATATTGCCAATTGGTCTTGGTATACGGAGCCCGGAGTACGGAGTATGTTGTACTCAAGCCATGTTGCACGGGAATGACGAGACTAAGCTGAAAGTAGCCGCACGCGCGGCAAGCTGGCGTTGCTACGGCTCCATGCTAGCTAGTATTTTGCCCTTTTTACCCCTCTTTCCGCCCTGAGGCACCAGGTCACACGCACTGACGCAGGCAGTTTTGGCGTATTTTGCCTCCCCCGCTCCCGGGCGCGATAATCGTACCTATCCGGTACAAGTATGTAAGAAGCAGGCAGGCACCCAGGTACGCCGCCACTTGGGACGAGGGATGGAGACACGGGCAGGGATCATGGGCCAGTCCATGGGGAATGGATTCACCCCAAGTGCCAGCCAGCACGGAGCCAGCAGCGTGCGGCCGCTGTTGAAAGCACAGCCAAAAGGCTGGGACGGTTCATCAGGCCTGCGATTGATGACCTGGGCAAGGACCTGGAAGCATCGTTCCAAGATTTGCTTCGGCCGTACCAAAACATACACGCAATCACATACAACGAAGCGCTCACAGCGCATGTTCAAAAGGCGCAAGCCGAACGACGACGTCGCAACTTGAAGGCTAGGCTTGACGAATCATATCCCGTTGAGATTGCGGGGTCCCAAAGGTTGACAGTAAGCCGACAAGCAATCTTGGACATGTTCAAGGCTACCGAGGACGCGGATATGAAATCCCATGCCAGTTCCTTGGCTGTGGATTACCTGGAGGCTTATTACAACGTAGGCAATCACACATATTCCATCCCGATAAAGTTGACGAATAACCATGAAATAGGTCTCCCTGAAGAAGTTTATCGACGACATCAGCACCTTGGGGGTAGAGTGTTGCCTGATGCAAAAACTGCGAACTGTCTTTGACCCTCGAGAAATTTACAAGATGAGCGACGCGGTACTTCAACAACTGGCTGCAGAGGACCCGGACGAAAAGCTGGAGCGCTCCCGATTGAAGGAAAAACTGAGCGTACTCGACAGTTGCTTGTACGAACTGAGGAGCTGTGATGGGCTCCGTCCCGGCGCAAAAGGTATTTGTAGGGCAGTGTCAGCCTGTCCGCCCGGTTCTGCAAGCATCACCGAATCCTGAGGACACGGAAGTCGACGACTGACTCGTAATAGGGCCGAAGTCGTTTCGATTGTTTACAAAAAAGCTGATCAAAAGGGAAAGGCCCAGTGAGTGAGGATTTGCATTGCGTTGTTTTGGCGTATTTCCAGAGAGAGTTGACAAGGTATGGAGATGGCGACTGAGCCTGGCATTGACGCACCACTTGGACAACTCACAACTCAACAGAGACGGGGAGGAGTGTTTGGAGAGCCCAATGCATAACGAGGAGTTGCGGACAATTGGTCTTTGAACATGACGAGCTTATGGAAACTCGAGAGAGGGGCATTGAAGTTTTTTTTTGGGTGGTGATCATTAGAAGGGCAATTTGGATCCGTTTGGAATTCAGACTAGATGATTAGTACTTGCTACACTCGGGACTTGGGACTTGCTATGGGCGGATAGATGGATAGATGGATAGATTGGATGGATGGTCGGGTCGAGAGGCGACGGTAGATTGAAGTTGCAGTCGAGTTGTTGACAATGACCTCCGATGATCACCAGACGTTCGTGATCTTCATGCTGAAAACGTGTAGGATGAGCGGCAGTGAGAAGATGTGCCCCGGCTCATCCGCCCGCCGCAGACGCAGATGCCCGGACGCCACGCCAAACGGGTCAAGATTGATTCAGATCACATTCACGATGATGAAGTGGATGCATCGGGTCGTCGGGGATTTGCATACCAAGCGCTCCGACTTCCGAGACCTTGCAACCGCTACCTGTAGTGGCACTGCCTACGGAGTACCAAGAACATTAAGTAAGTACCTAGGTAGGTACTTAAGTTAGGTAGATAGGTACTTCGGTACCTGGAGCTGCGATAAATGTAATGTAGCTCTATGTAAATAGGGAAATTGCTAGGACTTCTACTATAACTACTATTTCTTAGTACGCTTATGTATCTCTTATATCTAGGTTTCCTATTAGTTGACATCCTTGTTCGATACGAAAGTGGCACCCTCGCGCATTTAAAGGGATGGGACAGCTCTGGAAGCGACATGCATGTGTGGAGCGCCAAGTAGTACTACCGAGTAGCACCGTAGTACGTAAGTACTAGTTAGTATACGGATGTACTTCTCCAAGAACTTGGCAGGTGCGCCAGATCTAATCGATTGGAAGGATCGGTCGACAGGCACCGTAACCCATCATCACCCATCGCCCGTCTTGGTTTCAGCCCCCATTTCTCGACATGACGATGCAAACGGACGAAAGAAATGGCTCAACCTTTACGCACGAACACGACCTTCTGTACGAAGTGCCTGAGTAGTTGCTTCAGGGCCAACGGCCAACCTGTCCGCTAAACCACCTGACGAGCGGACGCGCCCCTCACAGCTGGAGCGGAGCATCTGATCGCCACGACTTCGCTACGACCTCCCAGACAGGGCGGCCTAGCATGCAACTCGCAGGACGGACTCGCTGTGCGCTTGACGCCGACACTCCCCTCCTTTAACATCTGGGTGTGGCTTGAAGATCCAGTCTTTTCATATTTGAAGTCTGCGTCACAAAGACTTGGTACTTTGACCAGCGCGCTAAGTGCGCAGCGACGGCCCGGTACCCGCTGTTCGAGCCCCATTCTGCTTTCCCTCGCTCCAACCTGACAACCGGCCGTTTTTCTTAAAAACTGAGTGTCCCCGAGGCTGAATTCACTCCCTCATTCGTACAGAGTTGTACTCCTCGGGGTTTCTTTTTTTCCTTCCAAAGGCGACAATAGTCTATTGCCTGTAACATTATAACAAGATGGCGCCTCGACCAATTTTCACAATTACGCACCCGCGCGCGTGTTCCACCGCCTTTGAACGGGTAAGTACTCGAATCTGTGTTTTTGCGACCGCTACCTTCTAATAACATGATTCCAGGTCTTCATGACCCGCAGAGACGAATTGGCTAGCCAGCATGAACCTTTTGGCGACGCATACTACTTTGGTCCGGAATGCGTCAGTGAGCGTTTCAAGGACGACCCTGCTCGCCGCAAAGGAAGTGGTGTATCGGACGCCACGTTCAAGAGCGTACTGGAAGGATTCGATGAGGTGACCCGACAGGTTCGCGCTCTTCCGTGTGCAAATCTGTGTTCTTCCGCCCGAGTTTCTGTTTTTTAACGTCGTGGTTGGCGGAACGTGAATGGCAAGAACAAGATCTCTGTGCCATTTGAGCAAGACTTGGTCCGGTCATGATGCCACCACCAAAGGGGCTGATACCAGAAGGTAAATACCTCAAGTGAGGTGGAGGATGCTCTGGAGTTCCGGCTCGCATCGGGCTGATCAGGGTCCGCTTTTGTTCCTCCGGCTGTACAACAAGCCCATGTGTTGCGTTGCGTTGCGTTGCGCGTCGTGACGGGACGTAGCAGTAGTTGCATTTCCATATCCGCTCTCTTCGGTCTGCCTCGCATGAAGTTGCATCGACGCCCTGGCCAGCAGGAAAACGATTTCCCCTCTCTGCTCTTATCTCGCATATACTATGCAAGATTTGACACCAGGGTTGGGCCTGTGATGATTCTCGAATAGGCAAATTTGGGCTCGCTGTTACGCCACCAATCTTCGAACACAAGGTCCAGCGACTGATACTTACCATGACATCCAGGGCAAACGCGTTTTCATCAAAGACATGGCCTACTATCTCTTCCCCGCCCCCGGCGAGAAGACCCGAATCGCAGCATCTCTTGGCGGCGGTGAGGAACCAAACAACCCCACCGTTATTCCTCTCGATATGCTCAAGAAGTTTCATTTTACCTTTCTCATTCGCCACCCTCGTCGCTCCGTCCCCTCCTTCTGGCGATGTTGTATCCCGCCGCTGAGAGAAGTCAGTGGGTTTGACTACTTTTTGCCCAGTGAGATGGGATATGAGGAGCTTGTCAGGTTTCTAGACTGGGCTATCGAAAGCGGTCTCGTTGACAAGGATCGACTGACAGTTGTTGATGCCGACGATCTGCTTGACAACCCAGAGGCTATGATCCGCAAGTACTGCGAGAGAACGGGACTCGTGTTCGACCTGAGCATGTTGAAGTGGAACGATGCTGACCAGGAGCATGCTCAGAAGTTGTTTGCGAAGTGGAATGGCTTTCATGATGATGCTCTCCAAAACAGGGAACTCAAGGCAAGAACACACGCTCAGGTACGGTATAACACAAGGAAGGGACAGAAGAATAATACGTGGCTTTACAAGCTAATCACGCCCAGAAAACACTGACCGTTGAAGCCGAAAATAAAGACTGGGAAGCCAAGTACGGAAAGGAGGCCCAGGAGATCATCCGCAAAACAGTCGATGCCAACATTCCTCACTACGAATACCTTAGGCAGTATCGCATCAAGCCACAATGAGCACAGGCTGGATACAGGACCCAAGGAAAGGGAAGTGATAGGGCCATCAAGGTACCAGGATGCGAATTGTTCCTGGCATATGCTCCGGCAGAGGCTTGACTTTACATATGGTACATGGATGACCAGCAACATCTATATGTTGGTACAATTACATTCCAGCAGCGTAGGGCTGCTGTTGGAAGCGGCGGATAGACATCGGCTCTCCTTTCATTTCCACGTGGCTTCGGCGACTATGTCTTCTCCTCATTTGTCCCGATCAAAGTTGGACACCACTTCTGCCTGCACAGCAACGTCTGAGAGTTCTCCTTCCTGAACGGCAGTTTAGACGAATGCCGCCCTAGGCCGTAGACTCCGCCTCGTTCCCAGAAGTGTAGGCTGGCTCATCCAAGAGCCCGTGCGTGACGTTCTTGGACCACGCCTCGGCGTAGTCCTTATCCTGATCGTTCGCCCAGCTAATAGAAACCTGAACAAGATGAGGCTGACCGTCGGTAACAGAGTTTGCTGTAGCGATTGCGTTCCCGTTTCCATAACCGGCCAAAACAGCCGCCATGTCAGCAATAGAATTTGTCTTTTGCGCGTTTAATGCAATTCCTCTTTCCGCTTTGCTTCGCACCGGCTTGTACTCGTTCCCCGCAGCCTTTTCGTCCGCAATTCTCTTCTCGTCTGCGGCAGTAAATTCTTGGGCCGACTTGTATCGAAATGCGTCGGTCCAAGACACCTCGTGCAGGTGCTTCAATTCGCGTAGTCTCTGGTAGACGGAACGCCCGACGGCCCCCCGGCCCTTGGGAAACTGAATCAAGGCCATTGGGGACCAGTAGTCTTTTCGGAGCTTGGCTGGCTTTGTCTTTTTGCCGTTGAAAGGCAGCTGCTTCAGTGCGTGGAATCCCTGCGGCGGCACCTGTCAGCATGAGCGAATTGGGAAAGTGAGGCGCCTGGAAGAGGTCAGATTGAATGACGTACGTCCAGCCTCTCCTCAAAAGAGTAGATTATTTGGTCGGATCTCCGGTGTCGAAAAACCCAGATCTTTTCTCCGTGGCCTTCGGGGCCCTGGCAGGCCTGGCTTCGACCCGTGTGCGCTTGACGAAGATAGGTGCGCAGTGTACTTGACCACCGGCCAAGCCGGGGTCGTGATGTCGTGTTCATCGCGGTCGGGGGTTCGCTGAACTCGAGTTTCGATACGGCGTCGACACGACTGGGCATGCCGAGTCAAGCTCGAAAATCGAGGCGTCCCCGTCCCCCCGGGGCTGGCGCGCAGTCATGTGATCATCGGAGCCTGAAAAGTGATTGCCAGGCCGGTGGTTCTTGTGCGAGGTGCCCCGTAATAACGGCCGGGGGTCGGGCTGCAGGCCAGGCGATGGGGTAGGCGGCGCTGTCCAATGAGAGAGGGGCAGCGCCCCGCGATACGAGTGACATCAGCGTCACATCACGAAGCCTCGCCAAGCTTCTGGTGGCTTCTGGCAAGCTGTCCAGGGACTCCAGGCCGCCCAAGCAGCTTCCAGCAGTTGCCAGCTCGCCTCCCTGCGCAGAAAGAGCTCTTTCTTGGCCCACACAGCCCAACGACAGATATAATATCTCCAGCCTGGATACTGAATCAAGTTTGACCTCTTGTTTCTTTTTTTCTCAATCAGACTTCAGACATCTAATACCCACGTTTTGTTCGTCGCTTTGCGCAAGAAGCTGAGCTTTTCGCCAAGTCGATCACACGCCGCACAGCTTTCACCACCACACACCGTGACATTTTCCGTCTACACATACACAAGAAGCTACGATGACGTCCCGCATGGATTTTACAGACCGGGCTCAAAAGGCTGTCGAAGACGCCATGAGCCTGGCTGAGCAGTACGCCCATTCACAGCTTCTCCCAGTCCATCTTGCCGTCTCGCTGCTGGAGCCGCCAGTCGACCTCTCAAAAGACCAACAAAATGCACCTCAAAACCCCACCGTCACACTTTTCCGACAGGTCATCGACAAGGCTCACGGCGACCCTCAACTCTTTGATCGTGCCCTGAAGAAGACTCTCGTCCGGCTTCCGAGTCAAGATCCCCCGCCAGAGCAGGTCTCCCTGGCGCCCTCCTTCCATGCCGTCTTGAGGAAAGCCATGGAATTGCAAAAGGTCCAAAAGGACTCTTACATCGGCGTCGACCATCTCATTACTGCTCTGGCCGACGATCCCTCGTTGCAGGCGCCGTTGAGAGAGGCCAGCATCCCCAAGCCGAAGCTGGTCCAAGACGCCGTGCAAGCCATCCGAGGCACGAAGCGGGTGGACAGCAAGACCGCCGACACTGAACAAGAAAACGAGAACTTGGCCAAATTCACCATCGACATGACTGCCATGGCCAGAGACAAGAAGATTGATCCCGTCATTGGTCGCGAAGAGGAGATCCGACGAGTGATTCGAATCTTGTCTCGACGCACAAAGAACAACCCTGTTCTCATTGGAGAGCCCGGCGTCGGTAAGACTACTGTTGTCGAGGGTCTTGCACAGCGAATGGTCAACCGAGATGTGCCCGACAACCTGAAGCACTGCAAACTGTTGTCTCTGGATGTCGGTGCGCTTGTTGCTGGGAGCAAGTACCGCGGTGAATTCGAAGAGCGAATGAAGGGAGTCTTGAACGAGATCCAAAACTCCAAAGACATGATTGTGCTCTTTGTCGACGAAATCCATCTGCTTATGGGTGCTGGTTCCTCTGGCGAAGGCGGCATGGATGCTGCCAATTTACTCAAGCCCATGCTTGCCAGAGGGCAGCTTCACTGCATTGGTGCGACTACCTTGGCCGAATACCGAAAATACGTTGAAAAGGATGCCGCTTTTGAGCGGCGATTTCAGCAAGTCATTGTCAAGGAGCCCAGCATAAACGAAACGATATCAATCCTGCGAGGTCTGAAGGAAAGATACGACAGACATCACCGCGTTACAATCCTTGACAGCGCTCTGGTTGCTGCCGCCAACCTCGCAGCTCGGTACCTGACTTCCCGCAGGATGCCGGATTCCGCCATTGATCTGGTTGACGAAGCCGCAGCTGCGGTTCGCGTCGCTCGCGAGTCCCAGCCCGAGGTCATCGACTCCCTTGAGCGCAAGCTCAGGCAGCTCATGATTGAGATTGCGGCTCTAGAGAAGGAAAAGGACGAAGCATCCCAGGTACGTCTTCAGCAGGCCAAGAAGGATGCCAAGAACGTCGAGGAGGAGCTGCAGCCTCTGCGAGAAAAATACCAGAACGAAATCAAGCGAGGCGAGGAGATCCACCAAGCCAAGCTCAAGCTTGATGAATTAGAAAAGCGGTTGGAGGATGCCATGAACATGGGCGACAATGCAAAGGCTGCCGATATCAAGTACGGGGCCATTCCTGAGCAGCAAGCAACCATCAAGGAGCTCGAAGCCCGCAAGGCCGCGGCAGATGCTGCTCTCAACGCCTCTGGCGGCGAAGCCGCGACAGCCATGGTCACGGACATTGTCACAGCCGACCACATCAACGAGATCGTCGCTCGTTGGACCGGCATTCCTGTTACCCGACTTCGCACTTCCGAGAAGGAAAAGCTCATCAACATGGAGAAGGTGCTCGGGAAGGTCGTCGTCGGTCAGAAGGAGGCAGTTAATTCCGTTGCCAACGCCATTCGTTTGCAGCGATCTGGCCTCTCCAATCCAAACCAGCCCCCCAGCTTCCTCTTCTGCGGTCCCTCCGGTACCGGCAAGACGTTGCTCACCAAGGCCCTCGCCGAGTTCCTCTTCGATGACCCCAAGTCCATGATTCGATTCGACATGTCAGAGTACCAAGAGCGACACGCACTCAGCCGCATGATTGGCGCACCTCCCGGGTACGTCGGCCACGATGCCGGTGGTCAGCTCACCGAGGCTCTGCGTCGAAAGCCGTTCTCGATTCTCCTCTTCGACGAAGTCGAGAAGGCCGCCAAGGAGATCTTGACCGTACTCCTCCAGCTCATGGACGACGGCAGAATCACCGATGGCCAAGGCAGAGTCGTCGACGCCAAGAACTGCATCGTGGTGATGACCTCCAACTTGGGTGCCGAGTACCTCTCTCGGCCGGGCACAAAGGACGGCAAGATTGACGCCTCAACCCGCGAACTTGTCATGAGCGCGCTTCGCAACTACTTCCTCCCCGAGTTCCTGAACAGGATCAACTCGGTCGTCATCTTCAACAGGCTCACTCGCAGGGAGATCCGAAAGATTGTGGATCTCCGCATCAACGAAATCCAGAAACGCCTCGAGGACAACGGGCGCAAGGTCAAGATTGACGTGTCCGACGAGGCCAAGGACCACCTGGGCAACGCTGGCTACTCGCCTGCCTACGGTGCTCGGCCTCTTGCCCGCCTGATTGAGAAGGAGGTCCTGAACAAGTTGGCCATCCTCATTCTGCGAAACAACATCCGCGATGGCGAGGTTGCCCGGGTGGAGCTCATCGACGATAAGATCACGGTGTTGTCGAACCACCCCGACAGCGAGATGAGCGACGATGATGACATGATGAAAGACGAGGACGATGCCGTCGACGAGTTGGTCGGAGACGACATGGATGAAGATATCTATGACTAAGTTGAGCGGCCAAGTGTGGCGTTGCGTTGTATCTCTGGCATGGGCATGGGCATGGTGCAGGCATTGACGGGAGGCTCTACTGATTGCGAAAAGGCGGGGCGTTTTGAGAATTTTCCAACTCAATCAAGTGTAACTTGGTAGATACGTACTATGGTTTCGTGAATACCACAAAAGTCTAGTCTATCCTATGACCCGGGACGTTTCGTCGTCGCCTCCACATCCGCCTCGTGAATGCAACTAGATGTCTGCCTAGCTGGATGCTATTAAGCTATAAATCGTGCTGTCATGTACGTGTGTGTATATCCATATTATTATGGCCAACTCAGTTTCCAGGCAAGCCTAATAAGATAGGATCGTCCCCTACCCATCCAAAGTCGTCCATGAACAAGGACCAATCTACATCCTGGATCGGGTCCGAAGACACGTTTCTTGGCTGTGCCGGGCTACTGTCAGATTGCGTACTTGGGGTGCAGTTTGCCCATCGGCCCTCTAAACGTTCGAGTTAGCGGGTTGATCTCCGTTTGCCGCCGTTTCCAGACTCGAGAGAGGCGGTCGATACTCACGCATCAGTTCCAGCGTCTTGTTAACCCTGTCTGTGCTATTCCGGGCGTCTCGCAGAGCCGTGCGGAACTTGTTCAGACACCAAAAGGTGACTCCTGCAGACGAGCGATCGGGCCTTGCGCCGGGGGCCGGGCCAAAGCTCGGCACCAGGTTGCGTATGCTCCAAAAGGTCTCGGTGATGATGCTCACGCGGTGGGCGAGGTCCGCGTCGCGCACCGAGGTGCGGAGGAGGGCGCCGCAGGCCTGCTGAACGAGGTGCTGGGCGTCGGGCTCGTTCATGACTGGCGAGCAGTCGGAGTGCAGAATGGAGACGATGATGCAGGCGGCGTCGATGTTGGTTCTGGTGACCCATTGCGGAGCGTGGGTGAGAAACTGAGTGCGGGATTCGAGGTCGAGGCTGTGCGCGACAAAGGAGCGCGCCGTGTTGAAGACTCGCACGGCGTGGGACTTTATCGACGGCACGGCTGTGTTGGGCGGCGCTATGAAGTAGCATAGCTGGATTTCGAGCTGTGCTGCCAGCAGGCAGAAGCGGGATATGTCTGGGAGCTGTCAGATACGTTTGAGACGAGGAACAAAGGCCGGGAGGGGGATATGTACCTGAGTCGTGTTTGGTAATGAGTGGTTTGAGAGACTCGAATTCCGTCTCCCACAATGCGACTTCGGATTCGTGGACGCCACCACGGGCCGTGATTTGAGTAAACATGCTCGTGTGGAAGCGGTTGAGGAACCGTTGGACATCGTGCATAATTATGAGGTCGACCCACTGCGATACGTCGAGGGCTGCTTTGACCCTGGCGTCGCTGTGCTGTATCGAAGGCGGCGGGATGCCCATGCCGCAGGCAGTTCTGCCATTGGCGTTAGTCAGGCGTGTGTAATGGTGGCTGTTTGAGATTGAGGGGAGGATAAAGGAGCACACCGTTGTGAAAGCATGCAGCACGCTAGCCATGTGGAAGAAGCCTCTTCGTCCGTGGCTTGGAAGTTCTGGCGCAGGCCGAGGAGAAATTGAGGATTCCTCCCTTGACCGGTGTGACATCCCAGCCCCAGCGCTGTGGTTGTCGCTATGGCGGCAAAGGTTGGCGAGGGATCTGTTATGAAGCGGATATTGGGCATCGGCCAGGTGCACATGATTAAGAGGGCGTGGACGGCATCAAAGTCCAGGGCGGGCGCCGATGACATTGTCCAGATGTTTCCCTCCAGGTGATCTGTCAGCAAGGGGAGGAGGGCGCGATCTCGGGCATAGCGTCGACAGGCGACGTAGATGACGAGCCAGAAGAGGGTTTGGTTTGCTTCGTAGCATTCGTCCGGGTCCCTTTTGCGCAGGACCGGCAGGAATCGATGAAAGTGTTGGAGGTAGCTACAGAAGTTGTGTGAGCGAGTATCTGGAAAGGAAAAAAAGAAAGGAGAGACCCTCATTAAAGGAAACTGACTTGGTAAAGTACCAATCGACATCATCACCCGATACAATGTGGTTTCCCAAGACACGCGCCTCCGCGGGACCGGTTTTCAGACGCCGCTCAGAGCTCTGCGCAGAGCGTCCTTGGCTGGTCGACGATTCCGGCCGAGCGGTTGCGGCCTGCGGTGCCGTCGTCGACGTGTTGATGACGGCGGCAGCGGATGCAGTTCCCTGGTCTGGTTGCAGAGCAGCGATGGCGGCGCGCGGGCTCGGCTGCGTCCAGACGGCGTCGGGCTGCACGACTTGCTTGATGCTCCTCAACTCCTGCTCGAGTTGTTCTAGCTTGCTGTGACGGGTGGCTAAGTCAACGTATGGACATGGATGAAGCGAGTGTGTCGTCGCGTGTCGGCGACTCGCAACTCGGCAAGCATCAATCGACAAGCTGAAAGCCACACGATGTTGCCAACGACCAACGCCAAAGGGACCATGGTCCGTCAAGAGCCGGCGTACCTTGTTTTGGTGACTCTCTTGTGAGACTTGTCAACCACGCACGATATCTGGAGTTTGGCACATCGTTGGCATGGCTGGCCGCCAACCGGACTCGTTCTGCATCGCACCTTGACCCAGCCCGCCGCCGCAGGGCACCGCGTTAGCCATCCGTCGACCCCATCGTCGGCCGGAAAAGGTCTCTCTCACTTTGGAATTGCGGCAATTGACGCACGCTACGTTGCGTCTTGTTCTGTTGTCAGGGCCGTTGCCGTGACCGTGGCCGTGACCAGGGGTCGAAGCAAACACATCCACCGAGGGCGGCGTCGGCGACATGCTCACTTTGCATGGGTATTCGAACCTCCAGGCGCGGATCCTCTCTTTGGTTTTCTTTCTTTCTTTCTTTCTTTCTTTCTTTCTTTCTCTCTTTGTCTTTGTTTTTTTTTGGTCTAGTAGATTGTCCTCCAAGTTGCTCCGATTATTCTGAATCGGAGAGCATGGGCGCGGGCTGTTGTTGAGCCAGACTGATCAGACTGGAGTGACATGGCGCGCGGCCGCTCTTTCCGCCGTCTCCTCCTTCTTGTCCTGGGACGGAGGGGCGAATGGGAGAAAAGGAAAGAACGACAGACGGCAGGCTGAAGATAACATCAACAACAACAACAACAACGACAACAACAACAACAACAACAACAACAACAACAACAACAAAAAAGGAAAATCAAATCAAATCAAAAATCAAAAGATGCCGGCCCCTACCGTCACCTGCCCGTTGTCTTTTCAGAAGGTCAGTCTTTCTTTTTCTTTTTCTGCTTGGCTGGGTAGGATGGATTTTCCCAAAAGCCAAAAACGTTCAAAATATACTTTTAGCTGACTTTGAATGGCCGCTAAACCCGCGGTGAAGAACGACTTTCTTACGGAGTACCAGTCATCCCTGGTCACGTGGCTCCTCTCCGCAAACCAACCAGCAAACCATCCGGAGCCAGCGTCTCGTTCGACCTTTGTATTGGAGGTGCCATGATGATGGATACTCTGGCACGATACAGTCAACACCCATGTCTTACCATTCTTGAAGCCTTGCATCTTGCATGGATGGTCATGGCACGCATGTACCCTCGATGACGTGGCCTCTGCAACTAGACTAGACAGAGTCTTGATACCAACCAAGTCACCTGTGCCTGTTTCCCTAAGCGGTCTCGTGCCATTCCTGTTAGGTTTACCATAACGAAGTCAAATTAGTATAGCATTGCAATTGTGCCTTGATGCTACCGAAGCCGGACGAACCCCAAATCCATTACACATGAGACACCGAGAAACCTGCGTACAGTCAGTGTTTCTGCGCCCTCACTTCACTTGCTCTTCTTGCTCTCCTCTTGCACCTCGCCCGTCATGCTTTCATACCCGGATACTGCAAATACAGCAGCCAACTTCCACAACACCCATGCAAAACCCAGCGACACAGCTGCTGCAGTCCCAAACCCAACCAACGAGACTCCATGTTCTTTCAGAACCGGCACCGATATGGGCGCCATGATTCTGTTTCCCACAGCTGGCCGCGGCGTGGCGTGCCAAAAAACTGTATTGTCACTGAATAGCCCGTCATAACCTAGTCGGCTTCTGTCAAAAGGATTGTTGGATAGGTCGGCATTGGCGCCAAGCTCACATGCCCAGAACACCGCTGGGTAGGGGACCTCAATGTCGACTTTGCCGCTCGCAGACGGTTCGAGGTACCGGAGATGCAGAGGCACCTCGGCCGTCCAAGTTTCCGCCTCGTTGGAGCTGGGGGGTGCTAGTTGCAGCAAGACACTGGAGCCCCATTTTTTTGTGGTATATGCTGGTGCTTCCAAGTCAACAGGGAGGCTTGTGTATCTTGAAGCCGTCAAATTCTTGGACGCTAACAAGAGCTGGTCGGCAAACTGGTATCGATCCGCAAAAAGCGTCTTGGGGAGGGTGAAGTATGCATAGAGGCCGCATTCATCTTCTGTGGGTGGCGGTTTGTTCGAGCTCACTGTCAACCGCAAAGTTGGGTGGAGACCCGTGGGAGAGACAAACCGGGCTGAAAACTCAGCCTCGGTCGCGCGATGCCGTGATGGGAAACCAAAAAGTGTTCCTGAAGGCTTCTTGTTCTCGCCAAGAACAGAGAGCAACCCTGATACTCCGACTTCGTGAGGCTTTTGGTTAGGCGGCGCATCTTTGGAAAACATGCCCACCTCCGTTCGCCTAGTGGGAGAGCCGGAAACGCTGGTGCTTTGCTCACTCAACGGGAACAGTGACGAGACCCTCAAAGTTCGACGTGTCGAGTCCCACGAAATGTCCAGACTCACGGCATTGGACAAGGCTGCTGCCCGGCTCTGGCAAACAGTGTCTTCCTTGGGGCATATCTCCTTGGTAGCCCAGTTGATAAACGTCGTCAGATGCTCGAGTTCTTGATAAAAGGTGGCAGCTGGAGGGTCAAAAGATTGCCCTTGACCCTGTGTAGTAAACGACTACGACGCCATCAAGTCAGAGAATGACGAGCTTGGAAAAGTCACAGGTCGGAACCATAAATGACAAACCTCTGTGGACATGCAGTGTATCGAGCCAAAGGCTTGTAGAAACGCACATAGCCTCACTCTGGAAGCCAATCAACATTTGACACCCGGACAAGATGCCAGATGGCTCGAACAGGAGTTCATTACTCACAGGTCATGCCCAGCATTATCGGTAGCAGGTGTAGAAAATACATGAAGACCTGGCGACAGCCGTGACACAAACGGTTCTATCGCATCATGGGCCAGCTCGCTGGCCCACCGAATGCTGACATCTCGGTGACTGTGGAGGAGGCGGGCGAGCTCGGGCGGTAGCTCAGCGGCCTCGACTGTTAGCCTATTTTCTCGGGCCGCCTTCACCGATGGGCCGTGAAACTGGTCGGCGCTGATTGTAAGGATGTCTGGGTCAACGTCGGCCCCTTGGGCGAGGAAAAACGTGATTCTCTCCTTCATGCTGCTCCAGCTTGTGTGCCCCTGATATGAGGAGACTCAGACCATGCCAAAATCCGGGGCCGGTGAGATTTGGCTAGCGGGGGCTGCACAACAAGACGAGCGGCGTGTCCAGAGTAGAAAGGACGGAAACAAAGGACAGGCGTGCTCAGGTCTGAGCACCACCATTAGTACGAGGTTGAATTTGGGCGACACGACCGGTGGTTGCACCTGTCGACCATAGATGGTAGTGCGGGTTGACGGTTAATGCCTTGTCAGAGCCTCGTCGTCCCGGTCGTTCGAGTTGGAGGTCCGTCGTCGACATGGGAGGCGAAAAGGGAAAGGTGGATGAGGCGACGCGCCTGGTTGGCTGATAAGCGGCGAGGTGCCACCCTAGTAACTGGCAGGTCCCGTCCCGTCGCGGATGCTCCTTGACGGCGAGATGTCACCACCACAACCCCGCCAGTGCCGCCACCTCCCTAGGCGTCGATTGCGCTAGCGTGGTCCACTAGCTTTAGTTGATGCGAGCTAAAATTTCACCCGTGGCGGTGGCCCGGTCAGTGAGCTTCAGTGAGCTTCAGCGAGCGCTTAAGTGGGGCGACAGGTTTTCCCGGTTCGGAAACAGCAACCGGACGGGATGTCGATGTTTCCATGTCAACTGGCTGTTTTCTCACATCCGTCAGACAATGACGTCGAGGGCTTCCCAAGGTGCAGGTGTATAAGCCTGGCTCAAGGTATCAAGGTATGTGTAATGTTGCAACGAGAAAGATAGAAGATGGACAGAAATACAGCCACTGTTGACTGCATACCGTCACCAGTGGCAAGCATGGATTTGAGTTGCTGGGCCTTGATCGAGGCCGTCTAGGTGCCATGTCGAGAACCTCTTTCATGGTCGGTGATTAGCCAGCTTTTGAGAATGACATACTAGCTGACGCACTAGCTTGACAGATCTGATCAACTCGTTGGACTGATTGAAGCCTAAAGGCTCAGGTGACCTAATCAATGACTCGTTGACACGCACACACGCGCTCTTGATGTCCCATTGCAGTCTACCGCCATGCATCAAGGTCTTGCGAGTACTATAAAGACTCAACAGTCTCCCCCTAACTGAAATGTGCCAACTTGGCGCTCAGTGACGCAACACGTTGCCCTGCGAAAATGAAGCTGAATATCGTTCTGCTCGCCTGTGGTCTCACCGGCGTTGTTGCTGAGACACCACGTTTCTGGCAAGGAGTGAGTCGAGGTCGCTCCCTCGCAATTGACCCAAAGCACACAGGCTAAAACCCTTCCTTGCAGATGTGCAATCCAGACAGCCAAAAATGCTATTACAGGGAAAAATATGTGACCGACGTTGGAGAGACTAACCTGGAAACAAAATGGAGATGGCACCCTGAACGATGCAGCCCCTTCTTCCCGGTACGTCACTCAGATCGGATATCTTTGCTTATTCATTGTGTCTAGATGCTTGAATCCTTGGAACCGGGATAGGCTGACTCCAGGAATCCAAATGTTTAGTGCAGGAGTATTGGCCGTGGCTGCGTAAAGGATATCCAGAGGGGACAAACCGCCTGCACGTAGGCGCGTCACAATTTCCATGCCTGACAACCTGCGGGTAGGACAGTAGTCAAGGGAGTGCTCGCGTGCGGATGTCGCGATATTCTGGAATCTGCATGTCTGAGGACATGACTTCAACTGCAGTCTGGACTCTGGACCCTGCAGTAGGCACCTGGCTGATGAATCTCCACATCAACGTTGAGGTCTCTGCCATTGCCCGTCATCCAGTTTCGTCGTTGTCTGTCTTGCATTTTCCTCTCCAAAAGCAGCTGCATACGCCAGAGTCTAGGTTCTCTAGCAGATGTTGTTGGGCGGCACATTGACTGGCCGGCTTACAAACGCCAGTATATATTATCATACTTGAGTAAATGAGCGTGTATTGTTTTGCCGCCCACCAAGCACTTGGAGGTAGTGAGTTGTACTTGAGTATCTGAATATGAAAGTACTTAAGACGTTGGTCAGACACGTTCAAGTGCTTTGTCCCGGGTCCATGTGCCGAGGTACGTACCGAGAAGAACAAGAGGTACCTAGGAGGGTCAATTTGTGTATTGAGAACGTGCACCTCCCAAGTACTCAAGTAGCCAATACTGAATAATACTTCCTCAGCACGCCTCGCCAATGTTGACGACCTCTTTGGGCGAACAGGTGCCCCGGTCTAGCCGTTTTGGGGACCGAGGACCCCATCCATGCATCGCGGCCCGCTTCGTCGTCAGACGACGGGTCAACCGACGAGTCGGCCAACTCACAACTCGCCATGCGTACCTCTCTCAACCGTCAGGCTTCTTCCTGCCTCGAGCGCCTGAGCGACTCTAACGGGATTCCGCGTACAATGAGCGTGCGTCGTGTTCCTGGGATTTCTCTCCCTCGATAACGGCTGATGACCATCATCTCCTCGTTCCAGAGGGCATCGCAGCCCGGGACCACGAATCGCATATTTCGCACCAGACATGACGCAAAAAGGCAGCGGATTCAAGAGCAGCACCATGGAGGACCAGCAACCTTACTATACAATCCGCTCTCGGAGGCCTGCTGGTGGAAATGGGACGAGGCAAGGAGAGTTTCTCGTGCGTCCCTCGGCGCCTGTCTACTGAGCGTAGTTGTTCAGATGGCACTAACAAATGTCCCAATCTCAAGCCCGCGAGTGCATCTGTCGATGGATTCGCAAGATCGGCGACACACGAAATCAGCCGCACCAGCTTCCACGTGAAACATATCGGCGCTTTTGCCCGGAGACTCGAAGATGTTGGTTCACTCACCCACCAACGCTCCTTGCCTGCACATGTCGAGAGACTGACAGCAGACTTGCCCAGTCAGCAGCTCGGGCATTTCCAAACAGGGGCCGCACTTCGCAGAGGTACAAACAGGTCCAGGCGCTTCTCTTGCACTGGGGCTCCGATGACCTCTTTGTCCTTCCGGAACTGGAAGATCTTGAAAGGTGTCTTCGGCTGGACTATGCATTCGGAACCGATGTATTTGCCATACCCTCGGAAAACTCGCATTTGGAGCTGATGATGCGCGTTGGCCAACTCATCAAAGAATACGAGTCACAGGATACCCTTTTCCTGATTTACTACGGTGGACACGCACGCATTGATGAGTCAAGACAAAGCACTTGGTGCGCGTAAGTACCGGAATCACAACTTCACGTAACAGATTTCCCTAACCACGCACACGCACATGATTTAGAACCCGTCATGCGGAATCTCCATGGCTACAGTAAGTGCGTCTTTGAACTTGCCACATGGTCTCAAGTGCTCTGATGCCTACTTTCCCAGATGGTCCGCTATCCAGACATTGCTTGAGCGATCCAAGTCAGATGTTTTAATCCTCCTGGACTGCTGTGCTGGGGCTGCCAGCGCAACCTTTCCCAATGGTAACAGCATCACCGAGACAATCTCCGCTTCAAGTTGGGATGCCATTGCTCCAGATCCCGGGCGCTACTCTTTCACAAATGCTCTGATCGAGGTTCTTCAAGAATGGCGCCTACGAAGCTTCTCGGCTGCCATGCTTCACGCCGAGGTCTTGGCACGCCTCAAACATCCTCGTCCCATTACCATCAACGGCAAGCATTTCGAAGCACGGTCAACGCCGGTTCATTTCATGATGACGGCCAACCACAAAGCCCCCAGCATTGAAATGACACGATTACTCGCCCCCGAGAAAGCCACAGAGCCGATGGCCTCTGGTCACGCACCGTCAACACCAACAGGGCGAGCCGCGGACTCGGCGGATTTTGTTGCTGCTGAGCTCGTGCCAAGCGAGCCTAACGAGGACTCACCTCATGTCATGATATCCCTGGCACTTGAAGACGACCAGCGGCTCGATATCAATGCCTGGGAGCAGTGGCTGAATGCTTTCCCCGCCATGGCAAAGTACGTCAAGGTTCAAGGCGTCTTCAAGAGTCATTCGACCATGATGCTCCTTTCCATGCCCGTCATGGTCTGGGATCTCTTGCCTGAAGATCCCGCCGTATCATTTGTCGCATTCATTCGGTCCAATAACTTGGCTCTTCAGAAACAGCAACTACCCCAGCGCATGGTTGTCCCGTCCTCTGTCCGCCAACCCCAAGGAGAGCTCATCAACGACACGTCTTCTTTTGTTACTGGCGTGTCGGGTACAACAGTTGCTGCTACAGAGCACGTGTCTGTCCAGCCCCCCTTCTGGCTGGCAGCATATGGTTCCTCCTCAAGAGAGCCTGCGTATGGCAGCTCACGTATTGCGTCTGCAAGTCAACCGACCACGCCGGGGAGGCCAGCCTCTCCGCCATCTTCATCCCCAGGCAGTCTTCAGTGGTCAGTGAGACCAGTTGCTTCTAGCGCATCACTCACGTCCCTACAGCGGCAGGCAACCGGCCCCCCCGTGAGCGGCAGCAGCACCATGATTTCTCGGCAAATGGTCATGAATCAGCAGCAATCCATGAGAAGGACCACGTTCGGCGACAACGTCCCCGAGCCGAAGAAATTCGCCGCCCACGTGGAGCGGCGACTGGAAGAGTACTATCAGGAGGAGCCGCTGCCCAACGATGCCCAGAGTGCTTTTATAGCGTCAAATTTGGGCATTGAACCACGGCACCTCGAAGTGTGGTTCCATCATCGCCGGGAGAGGGATTCGATATCCCACAAACTCGCCACCATGAAGCTCAAGGACGCCGTATACGAGGCCAGCCACGGGCCGAGAATGATTCTAGCCGCCGATCTGAGCCGACTGCTGGAAATCGCCCTACCCGGAGACGCACTTCTATTTGACCTCAGATCACCTGCCGAATATGAGCGATCCCATATCTTCAGAGCAATCCATCTTCGCATTCCAAGAAGTGTCCTCCGGTCCGCGCCCCTCGAACTGATTGAGCGTGCCATCCCCGACGAGCAGGGAAGGAGACAGCTAACACAATGGCCCGCGGCCAAGTGTATCGTCTTCTACGGACGCGGGCTGGAATACCCCTGGGAGTGCCCGGTGGCCGACCTCGTCGCTCAAAAGTTGTGGAAACACGGCTGGGTGGGACGGTGTTTCATCCTACGCGGCCATTACCGAGAATTCTGCCAGTCCTTTGCCAAGCACATCGTCGGTGCCAAGATGACACAAGGTGCCGAGGATTGGGTTAGCGGCCAAGCCACAGTCCGGGCGACAGACACGGACAGGCAAACGATTGAGCAGCAGTACTCGGCTTGGCTGGACCGCGTAGAGAACGAGGACCGGGCACGTCCATTGTCCGCATCTCCCACACAGACGCTGGAGCGGTTTGAGGCGCTGGAGAGGCAGGAGAAGGACGTCGAGGCCGAGTTCAAGGCTCGCTGCGGCGCTCTGTTCGGAAAAGCCGCGGCCGGGGATGACCTGATTGCCAAGGCCAGCATGGTGGAATATCTTGACCGTGTGCTAGAGAAGCTGCGCTGCGTGCAGGATGTTCCGCCAACGTCGTTCCCCTCTCGCCTTGCAAAGTTGCCCTCGGAAGACTACGGCGAGGGATGCTTCGGCAAGCGACAAGAGCAGGACTTTGAGGCGGAGTACGTCGAGGTGATCAAAGACAGCCCGGCGGAGGTAGCGTCCGTCTCTGGAATCCCAGACTCCCCAGAGTCGAACTCGCCCGCGGATCACTCGGGCCTACGCGGGGGCGGCCTCCTGCACAAGATGTTCCGGAGGTGAAAACGCCACATGACTTTTCCATCTGTCTACTTGTATCCGCGCAGGTTGGGAACGGTGAGGGACTGACCATGCGATATGCAGAGGCGTTATGGCGTACGGGGTTGGTCTCTGTCACCTTGAGATCGATGCCACCCTGGGGAAAGGTTTACATTGCTACGCATCACACGTGAATAAGGGGTTTGCAAAATCTCAGCAGCACCTTTGTCTGGGCTCGGGAACGGGCCAAGTCTAGGATTGACGGAGCACTTTGACCAGCAGCTTCTTCAGGAGAGGCCATTTTGCGTCTGCTTTCGGAAGCTCATCACATCCTGCTGCTTCCCTACTGAGTCCGTTTATCCGCACTGCCGTGTGGTAGTCAATGCCTCCATGTGACACGGGTCTACTGTACAACGCCTCGCACACCGGTAGACATGGTGCTTTTCTCAAAAGGAACTGTCCTCGCGTAAGTCTATCGGTTTCCGGTGCCGGGTAGTCATACGTCGCACGCCTCTTCTGTGCTCGTACGACCTTGTTCCCCGGGCCTCGACGATTCTGGGCCACGTCCGCTTGCGAAATACGGCTCACAGTTATCTGGCACGCTAAATTTATCCACGCCCGACATATCAGCAAGCACCGCACGAGGCCTTACTTGTGTTTACTAGACTTGAGGCATCTTGGCACTGTAACACCTCTGTGGTCCTGTTCCCGCCACGGTGTGAGCGGCATCGGCCGTTTGTTCGCCACCAAAGCCCGCGGTCATATATGAAAGGAGCCGAGGCCAGATCCAGAGAGCCAGCAGGAGCAGCGCCTGGCTTTTCGGCGGTCTGCGTGGAGGTTCATCCATGACCGTCGCGATAGTCTGAAGCTGCAGACATGGACGTCACCACCGAAAGAGGGTGGGGGGAGGCGATGAGTGACGGCGCAGAATCAGGCGATGCAGCAAACATTTCACAGCGTCATTTCGTGCAGCCAGCCTGCAGCAGAATACTATCCGATCTGCCGTGGCATAATCTGCCGGCAACGTGAGCCGTGTTGACGTTTTAGTTGTGCGACTCTGCCGCTCCGCTCACGAGGAATGGCACATGGCATTGCGGCGTACAAGGCCGAGACCGAGAGTCTCCTGGGCTTCGGGAGCTGGTTTCTCTGGCTGCCTTTGGCTTTTCTATGGGGCAGGTGTGGTAGCACGGTGGCTATTCTGGTGTTGCGTGTGTTGATATAAAGGCGCTGCCGTTTCGAGTACGCCATGGACATCGCGGGACGAGGGGGGGCGATTCGTATTCCAGATATTCGCGGTAGAACCAGTTCTATACGATACAGGCAGTCGGCGGATGCGTGTGTTACATGAGGTACAACGCAGAATTTCAATTCAAGGGCGTCTCTTCGTCCGAGCAGAGCTGGGCGCACGACTTGCAGAGCGGGAGCCAAATCTGTAGTAAAGCATTCTCTCTCCACGTCAGACATAGCTCCGGATCGCAGGCCGAGGTAGACCAATGACAAAACAGATGGGACGGTCCGCTGGTCATCGTATTTTGGAATACCACGCAGGAGCTGTAGTGACTGTCGTGTAGAGAGTGAGAGTGTGCTTCGATACGCTTCACAAACCATGCCGCCACGGAGCCCGTATCTGCTGCCGACTCTGTAACCTGTCACGCTCATGCCTCCCTGTCTCTCACACACGTGAGCTCGTGTCAAAGTACACGTGTGACGATGCACGCGGTTCGATCCTTGACATGGCGCATGCTTGAAAAGGGGGGCAGAGGGCAAAATTGCCATCCTTTTGTGAGACGTTGCACGGGGATGAGATACACGACGCAGATACCGGTGTCGCACCAGGCTCTCTATTTATTGTTGTTTTTTCCGTCCTGCCTCTCCATTCCTCTGCTCCCTACCCAGAAGAAAGAGCATTTTTTTCACCTTGAATGGCTGCCTCATGCTCTCGAATGATTCCTGGCCGACAACTGCCACAGTCCAGTTCGCGTCGTTGCTCTAGACTGTGGTGTCACCACTCACACCAAGCACTTCGGCTGAAGTGTGTCATTCATGTCAAACGCTAGCTCGTCTGTATGCTTTGTGCTTGCTGAGTCGCTCGGTACTGTGACCATGTATTAGGGAGTCGCGGTGAATGCCCTTTGGGTCCAAGTTTCTGGTAGAGAGGAGAACTACCAGCCGAAGTTGACGAGAGCTCATCTCGCATTGTGACTACAACCCGTGGGAATCCATGTTTGTTACATCATTCTGCAACTCTCTGCCTACGCTTCGACTTTTCAGGGTTTGATCCTGGTTTGAACGAAGTGCATCCCCTGGGCGAGGAGAAACGAGAAACGAGACACAAGTCTGGGGCTGGCTTTCCTGCCTGGCGCGTTTACGACGTGACGTTTCGGCCGAGAAAGTTCCCTCCTGAATCGCGCGGATACGACGAGTGCCACTGACGAATGTTCGATGACGAGCACGTGAATGCTCCGTATGACTGAGGGAGACGGCGACGCCGTCGGGAGTCCTAGCGGCTCAAGCCTCTATAGACTCTGGGGACCGCCGATCGAAACGCGTTGCGCATTTGTCGAGTCAGTTCTGCCGAGACGCCAGCCCATCGGAAGCGGAATCTGAACAGGGCAGCTGGAAAACAGATCTGAGTTCCGACTAGCGAACGAACGCCACTGCGGCGTCGAGGACCGCAACAAGCCTCAGAGTGCAGAAAGACAAAGACCATCAGACTTGGACCCGCTGGGAGCTGCGGGCTCTGCTAGATAGCTGCCTCATCCAGGCAACGGGTCGTATTTCGGCCTGGGTTGCCCAAACGATTGCTGGCCCCCTTTGCCCCCTTCAGTCGACCTTGCGAGCAGCTGTCAAACACACATAAGTGGAGGCTTTGTCCAAGATTGGCCATGGTCTCTCTTGCGTAGAACTGCCGATTGCTGAGCGTGTGAGGGTGACGCCGTGCGTCGTCGCCGTGTGACCAGCGGAGGGATCACCAAGCGAGACAAAGTATCTGAGGTATTCCGTAGTTGCTAGTGGTGTTCATCCGAGCATTTTGAGCCCCCCTGATCCCCTTGAGGCCTCTCGCACCCCCCCCCCCCCCTCCTCCTGGGCATAGCACTTTGCAGATCGACTTGGGTGCACGTTCCCGGCCACCGCCAGGGCGCTTATGGTGGCTCTCGCCCCGTGGTGCAAGGTGAATGCTGTTGTGGGTCGAAAATGCTCGTCATTGGCCTCGTGAAGCAGATGCCGCTGAACATACAGCTTCTTTGTGTCCGGCACGAGTGCGTGGAGAAACAGAAACAGGCCATTCTCTCGTCAATGCGCAGTCAGCCACAGCATGTGGGATACACGTGTAGTCGAGACGCCTGCTTCCCGTCAGCCATGGTCTTATTGTTAGCAACAGCCAATTACCATTGACGGCGCTGAGCTGCAAGCGGCCAGCCTGGCTGCCCTCCTTTGAAACTGTGACATGGCATGAATGCTGGGGTAAGGTTGTAGCAGGGCGCCCGTCGTACAAACAGATTGTGTGTAATGACAGTCCCAAGAAATGCCTGTCGTACTAGAACTCACTAGGATCACCTAGGCCATCTATCGAATTCGGAGCATGGGGTGCCGTTGTCATCATGCTGACCAGGGTCGACTTGAGCTAGCTACAGCCAGTGCCTTTGGCTTTTTGGCTCGACCTGTGGCCAGGGATCATGTGAAACAAGCAGCGAAGACTTGTTTACACCAAGCGGCTACGTGCACCCTGTAATTTTGTGCCGTAGACTGGTGGAAATGGTACCGAGGCATTCGTATGGCAAGTCTCACCAGGACTTCCTTTTGGGAACGGGGACATATGAAGTTATAGAAGAGGCCAATAGCGGCGCACGATAACTTGACGGGTGTGGCTTACATGGCAGCATTGTGTACTCCGTACCTTTTGCACAAAGACCCAAAATATGTAACGCTCCCCGGCCGCATTTAGATCCAGTTGGACATTGCAAGGGAATCGGGAGCGTTTTTGTTTGTGGCATGTCGACTCGGTACATGCTATGGAGTCTGGCAACAGAATCTTCTCCGGAGGGCACGGGATACGTGCCCGCGGCCACAAGGTCTAGTATTCAGCTGACAACGCTCTGCGCATTTGCCAACTTTTTGCGGCAGATTTCTGGATCTAGCAAAACCCGACGGCAGCGACTCCTTAGTAGCCTGACCACTGGCCGCCAAAGATGGCTAATTTTGACACGAATACCCAGCTTAAGGCTTGTTAGGTTCGCCGAGGCCATTGAAAGATCCACAAGCAAACTGGCGGGCTGTTTGCGGGTGGTTGCTGGGCCTCAGTAATTAATATGTACGGAGTACCGACGACTGCTTGGCTGGCAGCGGAGGCCACTCTTCAAGTCTCGGGTGGGTTCCACCAGATCTGGCACACAGAGATTAGTGATCGGACCTCATGACGGGAAACTCCGATGCTCCCTGCTCCGCGACGAGGTGTTGTGGACGGCTTCGGATGGAGTGACATGCGTCCATCATCGCCCATCGAAGAAAGGTCGGTTCTCTCAACGCGCCCCCCTCCCCCGTCGGAATCCACCTTGAGGCAGATGAAGGGGCCAGTTTGGATGATGCTTGTTGAACCATGGGTGCCCCCTGATTCCTTCATTAAATTATGCCAGAACTTGCGCCGACTTGTCGGGTAAGAACCAATGGCTATTGGTGTCCTCCGCAGAGACAGCAGTCTCTCGATGATGGGATTGGATGAGCAGGAATCGGCTCCCAACTGAATTGAAAGGGCGCCTGCTGATCATCTGTCGTCGTCGACACGCTTTTCGTTGTGCCGAGTGCTCGCTGGACATACAATACAGTGACTCACCGCTCCGTAGACGACAGCACATAATACTCGGCTCGTACAATGCAGATACGGCAGAAGACGTCCTTCCTGTTGGCAGCTTTGACCACACTTGGTTAGTATTATATCGTGACAGCTGTGTGGGTTCTGCGGTGAAGAGCCGGTGCATGAAATAAGCTCTGACCAAGCAAGCTGGATCTCTTTGACAGCAACTGTTCCAGAAATCTGGTTCAGATCCTCGGATATTAAACAATGGCATCCGGGGTCTAAAAGAGGCGGCACGCACACAATGAATCTTTGAGTTTTGGCTCGGACAGCTGCTCGTCTGGCAACGAATTCTGAAGCAGAAATAGCCGGGGACACGTGAGCCACCGGCGGGCTCGTGCGCTGCGATGAGAGACACGTCGGAGTGCTGCTGAATATGTGTAGTGTAGTAAGTGAATTGGTAAATGGTACGAAGTAGATGTTCTGCAATCGGGCCTGGATTGTTCCTGATTCCTGATTCCTGACTCCTGAGGCATGATGGATGGATGCAGTCTGCGTCTTCATTGTTGGGCGAAGGCGTAGAAGTAGAAAATATGCAGGACATGCAGGAGCTCCCATGTCCCCTTCCCTTTTGGTCAACCTTTGATCTGAAGCGTGACACAGCATCTGGTAAGTTACTCCGTACGCCGGATAGGCAGGCTTCTCTCAGGAAAGCGTCCATCCATTCATCTCAACCTCAACACATACACATACACATACACAAACACAAACACAAACACAAACACACCACAACCGCAAGCGCAAGCGCAACTGTGCATGGACATTGGCCCGTCGATCAGGCCCCATCGGTGCAAACCTTACCGTCACCTTTATTTCTGTGCCAATCCTCAGCACCGCCGACTGTACAAACAAAGTTCCCCGACGCATGCGTACAAGAGCACACAATACAAAAAATTCCGCAACGATCGACTATGCTCGACGTGCCGCCTGGAGCAAACTGGCACTGACAGGTCGTCCCACACGCCTCAGCTTTGCCCCGATTTGGAACAAGAGATCGCCGACCCCTCCTCCCTCTGTGTGGGTTGGTCGGTTTGACCGTCCAGTCGCATCTCGACAATTTCGCTGACGCAGCCCTCTGACTTGGCTGCCCGGATCTTGGAACGGCTGTCAACGCATGCAGGATTGACAGGGGCCCTCACCCTGTTTTCCTTGTCGCTGTCTTAGCGGCACGCCACAGATACAGAATCGACGACAATGCGGACTGACCCTGTCGCGATGCCGATTCCGAGTGGGATTGTCTCCAGATAACGTCGCAGCGTGGAAGTGACCAACAGTCTCTTTGACTTGACAGCCGACCATGCCACGCCATGCCGTGCCATGCCATGCCACCTCTTCCTGCTCAATCTCTCTGCAAGAAGCCCGTGCGAAAACTGTCCATGCTGACGAAACACATAATTTGCCCCAGTGGATGGGCCCGTCACTCCCATCTGACACCGCCAACGCAGTCAAGCAGTTATGAGCTGGGAGAAATCGCCGTACATGCACACACACGTACCTAGGTTACAGGTATATACATGTGTGCACCCATTTTTACCACACTCCCCTCATCGAAAATAGGGGCCGATGTCTGGGTATGTCGCTGCTGATGCTTCAGCACCGCAGCAGGGACGGGGATAGGCCGCGCGGGCATATGCTCGCGCTGGCATAGCCTTCCTGAGACAGTAGCTCGCTCCCGGCAGGGAAAGTCAAATAGCTGGAGACCGCTCGCTCACGCCGTCGACCCAACATCACGGCACGCGCACGGTGTGGCGTCGGTGTGGAAAAATTAGGGCAGGCCAATGAAATGGTGGGTTCGACGGAGCAAGTCAAAGTGCCGAATCATTCAACGACGGGACCTAAAAAAGCCACCGGCGGTGGGTTTTGATGAATGTTGACTTCAAGACACACAAAAAAAATGGTCACCGCTCGACGGGTGTGCCAAACATTCCAGAAACGCAAGGAGACGTCAGAAGACGTGACCTCCTCCCCTAGCGCGTCTAATCGAAGTGCTCAAAACACGAAAATGGTGAGACGGTGGGATACCTACGACGAGCTCGTTAAATTACTTCAATGTCTAGTCCCTTGCGAGCCACGAATATCCGAATGTCATCATTTCACAGGTCTCACAGGTTGTGCTTGACGATGCTACTCTACTGGTCTCGCTCATGCCACCAAGCACAAACTAGACATGCCAGGCTAATCAATCTCAATATGGAATCCTTATCATGGACCACCCTCAAATCTGCATGGAACTTTCAGATGTTCTTGCTAATGGCTGTGCCAAGCAACAACGAGCCCCGGACCGCCGGTTAAACAACTCTATGCGACCCTCCGCCCTTGGAAGAAACGTCGGCATATCTCGTCGTACGGTAGAGGCTGTTTCGGTGACAGGGGCAATGACAACATCACTGCTGGCCAGGAGGGCAGGGCGTCCCGGCGCCGCCTCTTTAGCGCCATGTCGACGACTGCCCTCAACCCCGAATTCAACAGCTGCCTTATACCCTGGTGGAGCTGACATGGTTCGGTTGACAGAAAGCAGAGGCACTTGGCACGCACCGGGTTCCTTTGTTTCCTGGCCCCGCCGCCCACGTCGACACCAAGCCGTCCGCCCTTCAGCGAGGCCTGGCCGCAAGGCCCGTGCAACCAGCCGGAAGTGCCAGGTCGGGTCAAGGTCGACGGCGGCGGTTGAGGGCTGGCACTGAGCAGTGGTCGCGCCCTGCTTGTGCGGCTGTTGTGCATCTCGTCAAGGTCCCGGCCGGGTCGTTTAAATACGTGTCAAGTAATAACCCGAAACGCTGGCGAGCCATGATGGTGCGAATTCTAGTGGACATGACCATGTCTCGAGAACTCTCGCCTCTATCGATGGCCCCGAGCTTCAGCCTGGAACTTGGAGCCAAAGGTCTTCGGCTCCAGAGTTCGCAGCCATTACTACGGCGGACTTGGATTTGATGCTGGCTCCTCTCCGAACTCCTGCCATGACATGCATCTCTCTCTAGACAAAACTGCGGAGATCAGGCCGCCGCTTGTGTCAACCCAAGAGCCTTGCTTGTCAAGACCCTGGCTGCCTGGCACCTGGTTATTCATGCTGCAGAGCCCCATCGTCTGCCCCAGTGGCGGGTGTCAATGTGACACTACAGTACTCCGTATCGAGGAAACTTCGTTGTTCGTCCCAGTGCAGTGTCAGGGCTCACTTCACTTGTTGTGTCGCACTTGCGCACCCCCTCCAAGACTTCCATCCCCACCTTGGCAGGGAAGGGCTCATCATGCCGTGACGGCCCTGGTGAGTTTGCTGGGCCATCTCACCCTCTTGGAGGACTTCTTTCGACTTTCCAACTTCTGAGCTCAAAACCGGCACGCCCCAGTTCTATTGTCGATTGTTGTGCTGCCTTACGGAGCGCGTACTGTCCCGTGTGCCCTTTCGGAAACCTGGAGACGTGCTCCGTACTCTGCGATACCGCGGCCACGGACGCCATGACGTCGTCGCTTCCTACGTCAGCGCGTCTTGGGTATGGAGCGATTCCTTCTGCGGAATGGCGCTCTGTTCTTGTTCCACGAGGCGTTTATGGCTCTGTCTATGCGAGCAGAGCTCAGGCAGGCGCGAGCGTTTGCTAGTGGTTCCGAGCCAGGAAGTGTATAATTCTTCATACCAAGCCCAACCCCGCTGGCCACGTTGATTAGTATCGGCTGTGGCCACCGAAAGCCACAGGTGGGTGGCACTCCATGCTCCATGCGTACGGAGGAGAGCCTGGCGCATCTCGAGGTCATGGCTCATTCCCCATCTATCCCACCAGATCCACTGGTTCCTTGGTCAGACCCGTCCTCGGCCGCTATCCGTCGTGGGGTTGTTGGCGCAGACCTGTGTGTGTGTGGCATGCCTACCATGTTGAGGAGCGAGCTGCGTACTAACGTTGGAACTAGTCGGAGTATGGTTGGCTTGCCGGTTCTTGTCTGTCGGCTGTTCTTCCATGACAACCTTGGCGACCTAACGTCCCTGGCCGACATACTGCTGGTTCTGGAGGCGAACTTCTCGACCACTCCCTTTCTGGATGTTTAACCCGGGCCCCCCGTGCTTTGATCTGAGTTTCCCGGTCTTTGGTCTGTCAGTGCCTGGGTCTGTCCGTTAGTCTCAACAGCGCATACCCCGGCACTCTCACTCACTCGCTACCTGGATATACAAAAAGACACCCTCACCCCCTTCCAGTCCCAACTCGGTGCCATCGGTCCGGTGACATCTTCAACAGATAACACAACACGTACATGCTGTCCACGGGATGCCTCTTTCTCGCCTAGCCTTTACGTCACCAAAAGGACCATCTCCAAGGCTACAAAACATCGAAATTAACCAATCCTCAACTCCGCCGCCAGAGGCCTAGCTGCACCAATACGTCGGGCTTCCAGCGCCCAACCCTTCCTCTTTGGCATTTGTTCTCGGCTTGTACGCTTTCACCCAGTATCGACCAGTCTTGTCGACGTAACGGACGAAGGACTCAGGTATTTTGGAACCAGCGCCTATTTGGCTGGATCGGTTGGGATCGTAGCCTTGTACGGCACACCGAATTTCGCAAAATCACCGAGCGCGACTTTCCCCGACAGCCAAAGATGTCTATTCTCGCAATGTCTGCCTCTCCGCAATATCCATTCAGAAATGACCTGCCTAGGGACTCCTCTCGAGCAACCTCTGTCTCTTCTCGCCCCCGTGCTGAGTCAAAGCACGTTGCCCTACCTTCCATACGTCAGGTATGCAACAACTCCATGTCGCAAAGCAAGTAGACTTCCGTGTGCTAATTACCATATTTTGAGCAAGACTTTTCCAGAGCTTCATCTTGAGGGCTCTCTAGCTGATGTGACTCCTATCATCACGTCCGTACATAAAGCTCCTCTGCACCTGGCTGGCTCCCTGGCATCACCTGAATATGTTCACTCTCCAAATGGTCATAAGAAGCGACGGATATCAAACGAGGACGAGCAGGCGTTTCTCAGGGCGAAACAGGTTCCAAGGCTCTATCGTAGCCCTGAGGCCCCTCCAGCGCGAGCGCTTTCTCCGGCTCGGGCTCAGCCAACACCCTTGGGCGCCAAGAATCCTTGGACAGGAAGCCCTTCAAGAAGCCACGCTTACTCTCCCCACATCACCAATCTTACGGCTGCCTCCGTGACCAGTCGAGCTGACCCACGGCCGGCTTTACCAAGCCTGCCCCCGACTCTTAAACTTGAGAGAGACGCACGGCCGATACACCGACCGCTGGAAACGAGCACAGGCTCGGCCCACAGTCCCAGACCTGGCGGAGCGAGCCCAATGCCGTCAACAATGGAAAGACATTCTTCGTATCAAAGCCAGGACTATGGCCATGCGTACCAGCACCCATCGCGCTTTCAGTCTCTATCTACAAGCTCAATCCGCTCGTATGGCCGTGGTCCTTTCTCAGCAGGTGCTACCTACGGACACCACTACCCGAGCATATCACGATATACCGATATCGGCAACCTTGGCATTGGTAGTGATGCCAAACAGCGCAAACGGCGCGGTAACCTGCCCAAGGAAACAACAGACAAGCTGCGGTCCTGGTTTGTGGCTCACCTACAGCACCCATATCCAACAGAAGATGAGAAACAAGAGCTGATGCGCCAAACTGGCCTGCAAATGAGTATGCTTCGCCGTGAATATACCACATAATTTTACTAGCTGATTATAATGCTGACAACCAATTCAGACCAGATTTCCAATTGGTTTATCAATGCTCGGCGTCGTCAGCTCCCGGCAATGATCAACAACGCGCGAGCCGAGTCTGACGCTATGAATGGCCGCTCCAGCGGAAGCAGCGGTGATGGTACCGTTTTGGCTTCCACAGAGCAGGGCTCTGACTACTCCGGACATGGAAAACGTGACGATGCCTTGCCGCTGAGCGATGGCGAGGGGGGCGGGTACGACGACGATGTGAATAAGCTGCATTGTCGAAGACCTGCCGACCGCTTGAGCTTGTGAGGTCTGCCCGGATATCAAGGAGGAATCCTTGTATATCTGTGTGCTTCACAGTGCACGACTACTTTGACAGTGTTGGACAAGTTGCGGCACCACATTGTGGCAAATTAATCAACTCTATCCTACCTGCCATGGCAGGAGGCCCCTAGCCGCCGAGCGCCCATTATACGGGCTTCTTTTTCTTTCTTTGACCAACTAGAGAGTTCATTCTTCTTCTTCCTGCAGCATTTGGGATATGCGCGTAATTGCCAACCGTTGTTGGGATACATTTTGTCTTTTTCTATTGATGGAGTTTGCTGGACATGACATGACGATGGATACCTTGGGTAAAGGACTTGGGACAGTCCTAGGATACTACAATTTCGGGGAGCTTGTTTGAGGTATTTAGTTTCCATCTTTGTCCTCTTGCCGATTTTTTTCATTTTATACTCTTGGGAGCATTTTCATGACGGTACCGCAATATGTGCTGTACTACAACATAGAGGGAGAAAGAATTAAGTTAGACTGCGATGTAAAGGCTAGAGAAAGACACAATAGTCATGGATTAATCCTTGGGCATGGTACCGCAGTCCTGAAATTTCCTCGGCATCAGCAGTATTTGATCGGTTGCCTCGGCCAACCTGGCCGGGAGGGAGGTGCGTTTGATTTTGATTGCACAATATTAACACCCCCCGGGGGATAAAGCATGCGAATAACATTTGCTAATAATGATGGACGGACTTCGTATTTATCTTGCCAATGCCTATTTGAGAATCACGAGATTCCACGTCCAGCCGGCAGGCTTGGTACTTGGCACAAACCCTGGCGTGGTCCGGACGTCTCTGTAGTATCGTCTTGCCTGCTGATTGTCAGGTTGGTCGCTGGCTCGGCGAGACACAGGCCTATCGGCGAGGTTTCGAATGACTGGGGAGTCGGGCCATTTGCTCATTTTCAACGACCGACAAAATGCGGGCCAAGAAGAAAAGCAGGCCGGAGCTGTCAGCCGTCGTTGTGGTGTAAGTCGGCATATTATCGCTGACCCCTAACCCCTGTAGCCAATGAAGGACAAGCACAGCATGCTCTCAAAGACTGACGAGACCACACCCCCATCTCCGCCCTCTTTTCTCCAGGACTACCTGTCATGGTGATTCATCTAGACTCTCCCCAGCGCGCCGGCCAAGTTGGTCGGCTGCTACAGGGGCCACGTCGGAAGCTGAGTTGAAGAGCTTGTTGGTGGGTTTCCCCTCTTCATCAGAGAGATGATACGGTGTCGGACGTCTGGATGTGCACGTGGACCTCGAAAAGCCAATGCGTCGCTACGTTGCTCCAATACACTTCGACTTCATGTTGGCGTTGTCCATGTTAACTTGCTCTCATGTCGTCGGCGTTGAGAGCAGTGACTGGCTGGAGGGCCAGAGGACAGGGGATCATATGATCCACAAATCCAGGCAGCCAAATAGGTCAAACCAGTAGGCAGGAGATTCCAGGCCCCGACTTACCCATCCAAGTGGTTCCGTGGGCCTTTTGGTGGACGCATGGGGGAGGTAGTTAGTGCCTTGGAAGTGACGTTTTCCTTTCAGTCAGCCCAGATCTGCGCTGAGCGGTTGATTGGCAGAGCGGATGCCAGGGGACAACGGAGCTTGCCACTGTGGCGGAAACAAACCCCCCCTCCCCCCCCCGACCCAATTATGGAGAGACCACATCTGGTCCAGGGAGACTGGGTTGATGATGACTGGCATTTGACTGCGCAAACAATGCCAATGTGATGGATAGCACCAGAGGTGTGCGGCGGCTGGTCCAGTAAAAACAACAAACACGAGGCTCGCCCGGCTCTGTGGTGGCGAACAAGACTTGCGTTACTCCCCATGGCCGAGGAAGAGACACTCGACTGTCGAGACGTGCGTGGTTGGAAATGTTGGACGGTTCGGTGTCGGTGTTTGATCTAACAATACCAATGTCATGGATAGCACGAGTAGCTTGGTATTTTGTTCACGGCTCGGATGACCTCAACCTGTCTCAGAAATAAGCAGGCAAAGGCAACTCCCATTTCTGACGACATGTCAAGACTGACGTGTGCTTGATTTGAAGACATGAAAAGGAGACGTCGACGTCGGGGGCCCGATCCAGCAGGTGTCAAATGCGCGCATGGGCAGGGCCGCCGCCGGACGCACGAGCTGGAGCTGCTGCTACGTAGCGTGAGCAAGACGCCACGCTGGTCAATGCTTGCCATCATCAGCCCGACAGGGGGGGGGGGAAGACTTCACGATTCACCATCATGCACAGCAGCAGCGTGCAGCGTGCTTCAATGTGGAGCCGCCGTGTCTTGTGCTCTTCGCGAGAACTCGGGCTACTTGACGGCCTTGGCATCAAACTGCAGACTGTCACTCGTCGGTCGTCAGTGGAGCGTAGGGTTGAGCGTTGAGCGTCAGGGTTAGAGCGTCGAGGCGTCGAGGCGTCGAGGCGTCGAGGACGTCTTCGTTGGCCAAGAATCCCCGGCGGACTTTAGAGTGGTTAATACCGACCAGAGCACGTCTTTCGCTGCCGACCGCGGACTCGTCCAAGGAGCCCGGCCCTCGTGAGTCGTCTTGGTCGGCGACTGTTGGTCGAGACATGGAAGTTGAAGGTGTGTTGCTGTCAAATGGTCAAACGATGCCCATGCATCCCGTTCCTGCCTTATTTCCTTCGTCTTCTCGTAGACGAATGGGCAAGTAGGGTCGGTTGGTAAGGGTTTAGTAAGGAAAGCGCCGCCGATGCCATTTGCCGAGAACGAAGCTCCAATGAGAGGCAGGCGCGCGCCTAACGCGAAGCGAGCGTGAGCCGTACCCTTCAACTATTCTGAGACTGCCTCAACCTCGAGGTTCGTCATCATGCCGTGCAAACCACCTACCAAAGCCTTGGCCTTTTGCGATACTCTCTTATCCCGACGATATACTGCCCACCTGGCTCAGCACCATGATCTGCCAGCCAGCAGGATGCTTCAACATCGTCATCATGTAGCATCTCCTGCTGTGCGAACGAATGCTTCCTTTGCAAAATGGTCCCGTTAGGCGTTCAGAGTATCCGATGATGCAATACGCGTTCTCAAGGCTGACGAGAGATTCACGTACGGAGTACTATGAGAGGCAAGCCACCTCTTTCTTCTCTTTTTTTCTTTCCCGAGGGCAGAGGATATTTGGCAGAGTCAGGCCAGCCAAAGCTCCCCAACTTTGAGATATCTGCTGAGCCACGGTCTAGAGATGCTAGTTACGCCATATTTACTGGCTCCATGGTTCCAAGCACCCTCCACCGGTAGTACCGGCCGGCACATGCTGTTTGTTTCAGACTTGAGGCCCCTTCGACCGACTTCTCCGTCACGGCCGGCATTCGAGCTTGCTACTGACATTCTTGACAATCATTTTAGCGCTTCGCGCCAACTAGCCGATACCAGACGATGAAATAAAGCCAAAGGCAGCTGGCGGATCCATAAACTCTGCCTAAGCGGAAGAGGTGAGTGACCTTAACAATAAACTAATAAATTGATCGTCGCTTAGCTCACTCGAACCAGCACCGACTACAACGTTGGAAATGGAGGCCTCTTAGGCTCCCATTGGTTCTGGACCACTACGTTTCGGCTACGTACCTGTTGGGTTAGAGGATCAACGCATCATTGGATTTCGAAGCGGGCCTGTCGCTGCGGCAGGGAATAGTGTCATAAAAGCCTGGACGGCTGTCTCGAACATGTAACCTCGTTTTGTCGGCCCAGCAGACACCAACCATGCCTAGTTGGTCTCTTGAGTCGCATAGCCATTCTCCATCCCAAAGCGTTTGCCGAAAGCTATAGTGAGGGATGGAGCCTCCACGTTCCCTCAGAGGCGTGTGTTTTTGTCTTGTCTGTACACGCGCATTGTCGTCAACAGTCTTTGTGGATTGTGCCCATTGCGCCGAAATTCCTGACGGAAGTAGCTGCTGGAGATGAGGACAAAAGAACACGACACATTTTCGACTTTTCCATTCCATCAGGTCATTGAAGTGCTTTCTATCAGCGTTAGACCTGACCCTGGACAACGAGCTGGCGCGACGACCGCCGAGACCAGTGAAACCATCTGCGTGTAGCATTTCATACCATTACTTAATATCAACCAAGACGGTGCCCATGGCGATTGCAAAATTGTAATCGTGCCCGCCCCACTTTATGTGGTTCGGCTAGCAAAAGCCCTCACCACCAAAGGTGGTGCTCGACAGCAAGGCGGGCCGGACTCTACCTCAATCTCCTGTACTACGTGAGGTAAGAATCCCCTTCCCACAGCGGTAGCGGTCGACGGGGCTCCCAACTTGCCGCCGCCGCCCCTGCTTACGCCTTGTCAGCACCCTCATGCTTCACCGCGAGTACTTCCCCTTCCTGCCGACCCCGGAGTCGGAGCCACGGGGTCCAGTCGACCAGCCCATGCTGGGGGCGCCCGCCCCCGAGGGCTGGTGGGACGACAGCTCCCGACTCCTCTTCGGCGCGGCAGAGCACATCGCCGCCATTCTACACGAGGCCTCCGAGTGTGGCGTGCATCTCATGACGCCCTTTGCCGGGTTCTGCGCATTCTCAGCCGGCTACCTCAACCTCTACGTGGCGAAATACCCCCGAATGAACCTGGGCCGCAGCCCGCGAGCAAGCGACTGTCTCAAAATGTGTCTCGACTACCTGGAAAAGTTTCGACTTGTCTGGAAAATCGCCGACGGATGGGTAAGCCGCCCGCAAGCATGACACGACCGTGGCCACCGTTGCGCTAACATTGAGAGGGCGGCACGCGCAAGATCAAAACGATACACCATGCATCCGTGCTCTACGAGCGAGCAACCGAGGACCGGACACGATACCAGGGGCGCACACGAGCAGACTTTGATACTCTACACCAGTCTGTCCACGAGTTCCGTGTCGTGGATAGATCCGACGCGCATACTCGGGAGATTCGGGGCGCGGAGCGGCCCTCGGCGCAGGCGACTTGGCCGGTTCAAGGGCACGAGCACGAGCACGAGCACGAGCACGAGCTCGACACTAATACCTTGTTGAACCAGCTTTTCGCGGAAGTCAGCAATAACCTCGACGAGCAGGGGGCCTGGTCTCAATGGTGGCCGGCGATTGATCAGGTGGATCTTTAATGAGCTGCGTAATTACATCCGGGGTTTTTTTTTTCGTTGAAGCTTCCAATGAATGAGTGACGACCTTTGATTTTTTTGATTTTTTTTTTAAAAAGGGCTGTAATATCTGGTTTTCTATACATGTCCTATTTTTATTTCCCGGTCTAGAAAAACAGTCAACAGATAATGCACCTCTTCATATGGCTCCCCTCCCGTCACCGCCAACAAATGCATACCTGTCGCGTCAACCATTCGCCGTTTCTCCTTCCAATCACGCCTTTGCAAAGACCTTTCTCGAGTTCATCAGGCGAACAGCAAGCATAAAGAGCATGCCGACAAAAGGCGCCACAACCACGCCAAGAGGACGTTTTTTGAAGCAGCTAAAAAGGCACGTAAATGGCGTCTGGATTCTGTACTAGATCTACTAGAAATTTGGGACGAGAAGGGTGTACATTATAGGCGAAGAGGTTAATAGCGTTATTAGGTTGAAAATTGGCCCGCCTTGGTGTCCGGCCCGCCTTGCTGTCGAGCACCACCTTTGGTGGTGAGGGCTTTTGCTAGCCGAACCACATAAAGTGGGGCGGGCACGATTACTTGATTGTGAGGCCAAAGCTGTAGATTCGGGCCAGCAATGTGTCCATATGATATGTATGTACGGAGTAACTGAATACACTTAAATGTCAAACCCCGTCGGGAACAGGAGACATGCTGCCCTGCCAGACCACTTGCGTATCAGCGTTTATTGGCCAGTCAATCTTCCCTGTCCATACAATGTTGGACGAATCGAGACAGTCATCCTGTCCCTGCCTCTTCACTCCATCTGAAGTTGATTGGCGATCTCGGGAAGAAGGATCATCACGCACTAACGACGAACAGGCCTCACAATGTCATTACGCCGACGCGCCGTCTCACATTTACATGCGCTGTGATGGAGCTGCATACGACTGACTAACTATTCGCCGTTCGGATCCACGATGATGCCCCTACGTCTGATGAGCTGCATCAAATGACTGGACGTGATACCACTCACTCCGCGCTGTGAGCCCACATTCTGGGGTCGGCCCAGAGGCCAGAGGGATTTCTGGCCCCGAGCAGCCTTGGTCTCCTGAAACTGGGGATTTGTCACAGTGACATGCTGCAGCCAAGGTGTCAAAATCAATAGCACAAACTCCATTCTCCAGATTAGGCACTGTCACAGGCCACTCCAAGTCCGGCCGACAGCTGACGACGGCGAGATCCTTGGTACGAGCTGGGCGTTAGACAAGCTAAGCTGGACAAGGGCATCATGACCAAACGGCCACGGAGTACGGCCACGGCGGTCTGCCTGATCGAGGACTTTGCAAACGGGTCCCGGCTGGCTGACTCGTCAGGGTAGGCATGTAATCATAACAGCCGAAGGGAAGCTAGCAAGTCGGTGAGGCGAGAAAGCGCCGCCGCACCTGTCGCATCAGTCGCATCTAGTTAATCTTGGTTGCTCAGTCAGTCAATTCTTGGAGGTCGTGGTCGCCGTTGACGCACCCCATAGGGTTTGTGAGCAAAATCTCGATGTGCTCGGGGCATCTCTGGCCTGTGCGCGTACTCGGTCGTGGGTAATGCGCAGCCAGCAACTATTTATCGTACTAGCATGTGCGCTGCCCTGTCTGGGGGAGGAAGCAAGCTTAAAGAGGGAAAAGGGAATTTCTGGGGTTTTGTGCCCTTTGCTCGAAGATAAGTTAGTAAAGTCCAGCCTTGGTGCCGGAAAATGTGTTCGGAGCTCGGAGACGGAATGGGCCGTGGGAGAACGAGTAACGAGTTTGCCTGAACGCACCTTAGTCATCGGAAGGCGGGAGCTCGCAGTCGGAGGAGCAGGAGCGACGGCCAGATTGGTAAGCAAGCGACTGCCACGCCCGGGTTCCCACAACCAGTTGCTCCGTAGCCTCGGGGAGTGCAAAATGAGCACCAGCCAACAGACGAGATCCGCGTCGCCCAGAGTCAACCAAGGGTCAGGGCGCGCGGCAGCATTGGACATTCTGTTGTCCTGCGGCACCGGAACGTGCTGCGGCTAAATCAGACGTCGACTCACCTGGCGACTGGTTGGCGGCCGACCCCGGGTGGCCCCACCTCCGTCAACCTTGGTCCGTGACGCTCCGTGGACCGCGGAACCACAACCTCACGACTCACGATTCCAGCATCGGATCGCCGGCGACCGACCGGCGACAGCCTGGCCATGTCTCCCGAGCCGCAGCCGCGGCCGGAACCGTGCGGCCTCAGTGTCTCGTCCACCCTGGAGCCGTTGGCCTGTGTCACGTGTAGGTCCAGGAAGCTCAAGTGTGACAGAGCCAAACCGTCATGTACTCGCTGTCGCAAACTGGGCGGCGAATGTGCATATCCAGAATCACGCAGGAGGCCAACCTTTAAGCGGAGAAATGTCAAGGAGATTGAGGCCCGGCTTGGTAGGTATATGCCCATCAACCATACGCCGACATTGGCCTGTCTCGTGCCGCGTGTGGTTCCTGCTGATGTGACGGAAGAGCCTCTTGCTGACAATATCAACCAGCCCAGGTAGAGAGTTACCTCAAGGAGGTAAACAAAGGGGTCGATGAAGGCGGGATTTCGAATGCATCGCGGCAGGCAGACCCGCCGCTTTGGCAACGAGACTTGGTGTTCGAGGGCGGACCGACAGGAAGTGATGCCGCTGATTCTCAGCAGCCGCAAGGAACTGCCTTCTCCTTTCCCGGATTTCCCGTGCCAGATGATTGTTGATCCATGGATAGCGGCGCGCTCATTGGACTGGGTTACTCGGAGACGCTGCCACCCCTCCAAGTTCAAGAGGAGCTGTGTGTTTGTTGTCCATGTTGCCTGCTTTACATCATGATGAACCCGCACGGCTAACCCTTCCCAGCAACAACACCTTTTTCCTCGTTCCATACCACTTCATCCCCATCATACACTCTGCAAGGTATTATCGGTCATTTTACGCAGGGCCGCTGCGAAAACCGCCCATGAGCCTGCAGTATGCCATATGGGCCATGGCGGCCAACGGGCATGCCGGATATGACCAGTACTCGCAAGTGTTTTATCAGCGAGCTCGTCAGTATATCGAGGCAGATGAGATGAAGGTGAGAAACGGCCGGCTCTGGGCCAAGTGCCGTTGCACGTATATGGACTGATGACGACGCATGCAGGATCATGGGGAGTATTTCATCACAGTTGCCCATGCATCAGGCCCTGTGCCTGGTGGCTGCTTTCGAGGCCAAGCGCATGCTCTTTACGAGGGCGTCCATGAGCTGCGCCAAGGCGGTTCGGCTTTGCCAGATGATGGGCTTGGACCGGCTTGACGGTGCGCGCGACGATTTGCCCCCGGCTCTCGGTCCACACTCCACGTGGGAGGAGCTGGAGGAAAGGAGGAGAGTGTTCTGGGGTGCCTTTGCCATCGACTCCCATGCCAGCATATCTACAGGCTGACCGGCCTTGATCAACCCCGATGACGTGAGGACGACTGCATTCAACGGGGCCTCTCCCAGCCGACGCATGCTAACGGCGCCGCCCAGGTAACGACCCGTCTTCCTGCATCCGAGGAAGCCTTTGTTTCCGGCGAGGAGGAAGTTGCCGGTTCTCGGCGCAGCGAGTCGGAACGTCGGCGCCGGGCCAAGAGACGGAGCGGAACACAAGAGGAGGAGGAGGACGTCGAGTCCGTCTGCTGGACCAGTGAGCACAAGCACGGGCGGCCCGGTCGATGAGACGCCAGCTCATGACCCGGCGCCCGCGTTCAGCGGTGCTCGTGGCGTCCACGTGCGGCATCCGCCGGGAGACGCGTCGTTCATCCTGCCGGACCGCACGAACTCGTCGGCATCCTCACAGGACGCCCTGTTCGCATCGCCCGTCCCCGAGGCACCGTTTACAATGGCCGGGATGGACGAAACGACGACGGGATGGGAGTCGTGGGACGAGACTGCGCCGTGGCAGGCGGACATGTCCCGGTCCTGACGCTGCCCGCCACCCACATCACATGAACAGGGGCATTCGTGCGAACCCGTCTTCTTGGCTAGGCGGCACGGCGTCTCGGCGTTTGTCAGCCAGAAAACAGCTGCTCATCCCCAACTCATGCGGCCCCGTCAGCCAAGCCAGGCCAGGCCATCTCACCCCGGCGACAAGTACAATGAGTCACAATGGTCCTTCTGGCCCGCGAGCCTGCGCGTTGCACCTTGAACCTCGTCGCTCACTCTTTGCCGCAATAAATGCCCCTACTTCGCCAGCTTGGAGTCTGCGCAACGGCTTCCAGGGAAGGCGTGGAGCGGCTCGTCCATCCTGGCCATCTGAATCTGGCATCTAGCATCTGCATCTGCATCTGGCATCTAGTCGGCAAGTGCCTACACGGCCTCTTCAACCCTCGCTGCATACTCCAGCCCAACCTGCGGTCGCGCCTTCACATGCGCACACGCTCACACTGCCCCGTCCACCGCCCCAGTGGCGCTCGGCTCGTCCTGGTCCCCGTGGATCGTGATGGCCAAAATCCCCATCACCAACACCAAGTAAACCAAGAAAAAAAATGGACTCGGGATACCGACCAAGAGTCGTATTGCTCCGCGACCAACTCAGCACATTCCCTCGCGTCCGCGCACGCCGACCGCAGCGCAGGCGGTGTGCCTCAGCCGTGGTCGCACGTCCGAGGGCGCAGTGTTTCCCGAGCAAGCGCAAACAGGGACGCTCTGACAGGCTTCGGCGCAGGGGACGAGAGCCGGATCGAGAGTCAGCATGTCCGTCCGTCCATCGGTTTGCTGCGCAATCCGTCCGAGGCGTCGCCTGCAAGTGCTCAGTGCGCGCCGTCCGCTGTAGCTGGAAGCGAGGGCGGCCAAGTGAGAGGCCGCCGTGTACAAGCACCAGGCGCGTCTTCAACCCAGGACACGTCATGTTGGCCCGTCGACCGCGTCACAGGCCGGGGGAGAGCCTACAGCTTGCCGACGTTGGGCGCCGGTGAGGGGCCGGGCCCCGGCTCCGGGGTGGGTCGAGCGCGGAGCGGTCGGTAATGCGGCACGGAGTCGGCGCCAAGGTCGGAGAGACATGGTTTCCTATTTGGGATTTGAGACACACGTGGGGGTGATGGGAACTCCGGTCATATGGTAATCTAAACGATCTAATGATTGGTTTTGGTCCGGCTTATAACCATAAGCCTTGAGCCAGTAACCACCAGTGTCATATCCGAGCCTAAACGCCGTCGCAATGCACTGTCCCGTATTTAGAAACCCACCCCCAAACCCAGCCCACGTATGCACACAGTGTTACAGCAACAACCTGTGCTTTACACAAGAGCCCCTGCCATTATGCATACCAAAATCATTGTCAATGATGGGAATGATGGGACGAGACTAGTCGCCGTATTGCCAGTCTCCAGGCTGCTGAACCTGCCACCGCCCTTTCCAGGTAACCCGGACGTCGCTTTGATGGGGTTGCTGGCTTTAATCGCATATGGTATGCTCGATCCGTTGTTAATTTCTACCTGGTTGGATGTTGTAACGTTGAACCTAGTATTGGCAAGGGCAATTGCGTTGTTGTCTGTGTCGTAGACCACGTAGGCGCTTCGCAGGAATGTGTCACCCAGGACACTGGGTGATTCCCCGGCTGGCAAGATGCCAAACAGACAGACTGGATCGCCATTCTCGAGAGTCAGCCGCCCTTCCGGCGTATCAGGCACGTCGAGAACCATTTCGTTCATGGGCACAGTTACGGACGCCGGTGAGCTAAAGTTGAACGTCAACGTGGCATCTTGCCTCTTCAGAGAGCAATCGACGAGGGCCACATCTTTTGCATCGACGTATGTTGCCCCGACCTCGCTGTAAATGCTTTCAACTATCGAGGCCGGTAGATATGACAACGAGCTGCCCGAGTCAAGAAGCACAGCGAGAGCCACGTCCCTGGCGACGTTGTTGGATCCAATGTTGAGTCCGGTCATTGTGATGAAGAACTCGCTATGAGCATTGTTGACTTCCTGAATAGGCACACTGACCAAGCTTCCGTCAAACCGTTCCCTGTCGACGCCGCCAAATAAAACATTGCCTGCTGAGGCATCTAGATCGTTCAGCCACAGACTGAACGCACTGGATGCCGTGAGTCCATCGGCTACCATCTTGGCTGGCAGGTTGTCGTACGGTTCCAGATGTGACCGCACCACTTGCACCTCGATGGCGGGATATCCTATGCCCAGAACATTCTGCGCCGAGGTGCTGCTGTAGCCGACTCCAAACTGAAACGATGTCATGCTGGCTCCGGCAATGCGTATTGTGTCTGTGGCATAGTCCCCTGCCGCGCCTGATCCATCGACGTAGGAGATGTTGAAGTCGTTGCTGACGTAGCTGTACGTCGATGAATAATTAGCCGTATATGTGAGAGACTCGGCGCAGCGCTGTTTCCTGCTCGAACAAAGGTCGGAGCCCGGAGTGTTCACCCACATGTCGCTGCTTCCAGTGTCAATGTGTAATCGGACGTTTTGTGGTGGAGTTCCTAGGGAGGCGTTTACGAAGTAGAGGGTTTGCTGTTCACGTGTGAGTTGCGCCAGCGAGTGACTGTTCATCATAGAGGGCGACGTACCAGGTTGTCGAGTGTCGCGCTGACGGTGCCACTTCGCTTCTGCATTCTGCTCCTGTCATGTGCGACGGGGTCTCGAATCTGACCGCGATGCAGCGGAAGGCCAACTACTCGCGGCGATCCAGGTTGCCGCTCTGATATCGCTAGACTACGCACAAAGGGCAGAAGAGCGGCCAAAACTACGAGCTTTATTTTGGACATCATGTTGACGATGTACGTGTATACTGCATGGATAGATTATGTTGAGAATGACAAACGTGCTTCGCCCTCGGGGAATATATAAGACGAGGCGTAAGAAGTCGCCGCAAGAGGGTTTGACGTTTGAGCCCCCCGTCCAAAACCTGACGGCGATTACGCAAGTCGAAAACGAATAACGTTGCCGTTCAGCCGAGTGGTTTAGCCCCCTTTTCGAATCACAGGTTGGCGTCGAGCCTCGCTAGAAGCCAGAAAAAAAAAAGGCGGAGAACCCAGATAGGGCGTATTCTATTGTGTATGCGCCGGCCCTTGGGGCTGATTCGTAACCTCGTGAAGTCGTCGATGTTTGAGGACGCCACATGCGGGCGTGGCATACGGCAGAGCGGCACCTCGTGTAAGTTTCCAAATGGAATGGATGGCTAGGTCGGGAGAATGGGTGTGCTGCGCATAGTCGGAGCGTGGCGAGTGACTTCGGAAGGTGTCAGGTGTTCAAGCAGGAACAAAAGACTTGCCGCAATGGGGGAATGGAGGGCAAGAACATGGAGAAAACGGAAATTGGACGCCAGTTTGCAAATGGAATAACAGAACAGGATGAGACAAACCCAACGTCTAGCTACTCCGTGATGCAGCAAGGCCCGAGGCCCAGGAGACTGATGGCGGCGGCTCATGCTGCAGCAGCGGGCTCCCGTTGCTCCCGTTGGGCGCAATGCTCTGGTGGGATGCCATTTCTGGAGATTGATGGTTCTAGCCAAGGCCAGCCAAGGCCAGAGATGGAGCAACCCCGCCACCGGGGTGAGCGGGAAGAACGATGCCGTGTCGAGGAGCCATGAAGTTTGAACGGGGGGCGATTCTGAGCGTGGTCCGGGACTCCGGGTTGAGGCTGCGGAGCCCCTGATTCTGAGACGCGCGGCCTGCGCCCATGTAAAACCCAGACACGGACAGCAAGAGATGTGGGACGAGTGTGACAAGTTGGAACCTAGAAAGACTGGTTCAGCAAAGTTGGAGACGCGACTCTTGGCCATGTCAGGGTTCATCCGTGAGAGCCGTTCTTGATGGCCCGTCCACTTGCACGACAAACTGCGCTCGTGTTGCTGTCGTTTCGGGTAGATGTGGTGGGTGTTTGTCGTCGCCGTTGCCAAGAGAAGGGTGGCCGCGTAATGTCGTGTAGCACAGACTTCAAAGTACGGAGTGCGGAGTGCTCCGAATCCACGGTCAAGAACAGTCCGAGCATTTCGAGCATTTCTGCTCTGCATGGACAATGGCCCCTCATTCAGCATGTGTTTCACTTCGGTCTAACCTCCAGCCACGTCCCATCTTTTCGGCGCCAGACGGCGCTCCATGCTGGCGTTTTTGAATCGCTCGCGCCGCCCACGCATGACGTTGGCAGAGCCAAAAAAAAAAAAAAAAAAAAAAAAAAAAAAAAAAAAAAGAAAAAGAAAAAAAGTGACCGTGAGATGGCAGTGCCAGGGCCCAGGGAGGGGCACGGCAGCGGCGTGTTGCCGCGTGGTTCTGTCAATGTCGATGACGCACCGCTGATGAGTTGGAGGTTGGAGGTGAGTTTTGGTTTTGGTTTTGGTTTGCTTTGACCGACAACCAACTGCATGCGACGTTGCGTCGTGATAGGCAAGGCAAGTCCTGCGGCTCCCGTGACGCGCTCCTTCCTCCTCTCATCTTAGCCCAACGCGGCAGACCAACGCGCGCGCCTTGATCTAGCCAATACTCCGTACTCTGTATTCTATAGCAACATCGCAGACGAGGACCAGGACGTCCATGGAACACGGAGCACCAGCCGATTGATCAACTCATTGGCGAATGCCTCGGCTCGCCTACCGCCCAGAATCCGGCAGCCAGCGCCTCGCCCTGCAAGAGCATCACCGTCATGTCATCAGTCATCATGGCCTCTTTTCCAGACTCACCGCCGGCCGCCTATTCAACCGGAGAAACCGGCCGGCCAAAATGTGCAACACGTACTCCGTACTTGACACGTTTTCTTGCCAAAACACACATGTGAAACCCGAGTTGACCAAATATAGCAGCATTACGACGTCCGTCTCAACATTGGCGTGGACCTCCGTTCGAAGCCAGTCTCGTGCAGGGCGCTTTTCAGCTCGTCATTCCGCATTCCCGAACCCAGGGCAGGGGCCACGTCTTCTCGAATACGCGCCCCTGCAACAGCTTTGCGCACGCGGACACGGTTAACTTTCTGTTTGAGACGACCCCGTTTTGGCTTTGACTCGCTTGACTGTGCGTACTCGGAGAAGCCTACGTCGAGGTAATGGTGTCTGTGCCCAGCAAGTACGGAGTAGCCCGCCTGTTGGGTCATGGAGTCATTTCGTCCGTGCACCGCCGAGTTATTGCATAGAGCCGTCTTCGCCAGGCACTGCGTAGTGTTGTGATGACAACTGACTCGACTACCGAAAGTGCAGGCCAACCAACCTCCGGGTAGGTCAGTCGTTGTCCTGGTATACATCGTCTTCCACACACAGGAGCGGCCAGATACATGGTGCGCCGAGCATTTTCGGACGAACAAGCACTCTCTAGTTCCTCCGTCTCTCGACTCGTAGAGTTCGAGGGGAACATGTCACCCAGATCAGCTCTCCGAAATACTGCATTCTAAAAAGACACTTCCAGACCCGCGCCTTGGTTCTTGACCCGGCGCTTCTGGTGGCCTACTTGCTCTCATGGTCGGCAAGATGCTCATTGGTTTTATCGATGGCTTTGGTGGTGTAACCTTTGGCTTGGCAAGCTACCGAGAGAGCGGCATGCATGACAAACAATGCGAGTCGGCACCGCCAGTTCAGCCGGCCGCAGGACTCCTCATTGTATACTCCGTAGTCAGACGGAGTCATTTGGCAAAGGTCGACTACTAGGCTACGGGATGTCTTGCGCAGGTAGGTCTACGCAGGCCGCGTCCGTGTCTTCACTCTGCTCGGACGTTGACGTGATTTAGCCAGCTCGGAGCTGTACAACATCCAGCATCATCGACGAGGCAGCAGGCCCGTGTCCAGAGTCCAGAGCGAACCCACCGGCCAATATACACGCTGCACATTGTTTTTGGCCTCTAGACATACTCCGTACGTGGCTCGGTTCCGTCACCGGCGCGGTCACACAGGCTGTCCATGAGTCGCGGCGCAGGATGTGACGGCTCACCTGTAACCTTTCGCTGTCAAAAGAAACTGGGAGGCTAGCAGCAGCAGATGGACAGTTCGGGAGGGCATATTCGCGCCATGACACGACATTTGGCCGTCTACATGGCGAGATATGGTACAATAAAGTGGCAAGTACGTAATAATGGCTGGCAAGCAAGTCTTCTTTGGGCGGTGGCTGTGTCTTCCTGCCTCGTACAACCACGACGCTGCGAAACGCTTGGCTCGCCGAAATGTCGGTGACGGCTCAGGGCTGGATTCGCTGCCGAGTACTCCGAGTTATCAGCCGTTGTGGCTTGTGACCGAGGCGTCCTGAGTGGTGGTGTTGACTCGCCGTGCGTGCACTCGTACAAGTGATAGCAGCCACGACAAATATGAATGCAATACGGAGTCGTTGCACGCCGCGAGGTCAGTGTGCAGCGAGACGCTGATGGCGACTCGGCCGTCCACGGACAACAGGTCGAATGTTGCGAGTAGCACGGCAGCGAGCGTCGAGGCCATGCAAGTCACGTCTATAAAAGCCTCGCGCCGGTCCGTATCCAATCACGCGAGCCTTTCAAAAGAAAAGAGCACTTCCCGCCGGACCAAAAATGAATGACCTGATTGCCCCTTGACGAGGTTCGCCAGCTCAACACCACAGACAGCAACGAAAACAACAAGAAGAAGCAAGGACAAGATGGAAGCACAGTCAAAGCCGCCAAGGAGAAGGAGTCTCATGTTGGGCAATTTCGTGCACAGCGAGACACGCGAACAGCTCGGCTTCCTTCTCGACGCCGCTATCGCCGTCGACGAGCGAGGCAAGATTGTCGACATGGACAACGGCTCAGACGATGTCAAAACTGCCAAGAAGCAGCTGCTGTGCCGCCTGGGCTGGGACGAGCACGACCTGGACGTGTATGCGTGCAGACGAGGCCAGTTCTTCTTCCCCGGCTTCGTAGGTAAGAAAAAAGAACCCCATCAACGGAGAGTCCACGCGCTCTAAGCAGAAGGTGCAACAATCGCCCCAGACACGCACGTCCACGCCGCCCAATATCCAATCGTGGGCGTGTTTGGCGAGACAAGCCTCCTCGACTGGCTGGACAAACATGTCTTTCCCTGCGAGCAGAGATTCGCAGACGACAAGGTCGCGCGGCAAGTCTACACGGCGTGCGTGCGGAGGACTCTGGCCCACGGCACGACGACGGCGGCCTACTACGCCACCACTCACGTTGCCGCGACCAAGTCACTGGCCGACATCTGCCTCGGTCTGGGCCAGCGGGCGTTCATCGGCCGGGTGTGCATGGACAGGGACCTGGGCCCTGCGGCGCTCCGGGATCCGTCGACGCGGGAGTCGCTCGAGAGAAGCGACGAGGTGACGCGGTACATCAACGGCCGGGATGCGCAGGACCGTCTTGTCAGGCCCATCCTCACGCCTCGCTTCGCCCTCAGCTGCACGCGCAAGGTCATGTCTGGGCTCGACGAGAGGCACAGGGAGCACGAGCTGCCGATACAGACGCACATGTCGGAGAGTCCGCGCGAGGTGGAGGACGTGGCCCGGCTGTATCCCGAGGCGGGATCGTACGCCAAGGTCTACGACGAGCACGGCCTGCTGACGGCCAGCACGATTCTCGGACACTGCATTCACTTGAGCGAGGGCGAGGCTCGGCTCGTCGGGGAGCGGCGGGCCAAGGTGTCCCACTGCCCCTGCAGCAACTCTGCTCTCGGGAGCGGCGAGGCGCGCGTGCGCTGGATGTGGGAGAGAAACATCGACGTCGGGCTCGGGACGGACATGAGCGCCGGATACAGCCCTTCGATCCTGGAGGCGGCCAGGCAGGCGGTCCTCGTCAGCAGACACCTGGCGATGAAGGCCCCGGACGAGGAGGCGCGCAGACGGGTCAACCTCTCGGTCGCGCAGGCCTTGTATCTGGCCACGAGAGGTATCTGGCCACGAGAGGCGGCGCCAAGGTGGTCGGGCTGGAGCACACCGTCGGCGGCTTCCAGGTAGGCATGGACTGGGACGCACAGCTCGTGGGCCTGCATGTCGTGGGGGGCGGCGGCGAAGGCGAGCACAAGGACAGCGGAAACGTCGACTTGTTCGAGTGGGACTTGTGCAACTGGAAGACTATCGTGGCCAAGTGGGTGTACAACGGGGATGACCGCAACACCAAGATGGTCTGGGTCAAGGGCCGACGCGTCCACAAGAGATGAAGATGGACCGTGGACGACGGCCGGTTTCGACGCCGTGCTCCAACGCTCTGGTGCCGCCGAACAGCTGTCTCGTCTCCTCTACTGGCTGTCCAGGGTCATGAAGACCACGTTGCGGCAAAGCGGTTGGCGAGGGCGGAGCGGCTCGTTCTGCACTCTGGCGTCGTCGTCTTACCAGCTCGAGGTTCGCTTCTGTATGCCGTCAAGGACGGTATTGCCGTTGCCCTGCTTGCCGCTCTCTTGCCATGGCATGTGTATTTGCTAGAAAAAAAATTCAATTTAATTTTTTTTTATTTTTTTTTTTAAAAAAGGAAGAAATCATACCTCATCACCAACGGCATATCCCCAACGCTTCTGCCTGACCACCACCACCACCACCATCACTCGTCCTCATTGGCGCACCACAACATCCCAAACACGTCTGCCTAGCCAGCATCATCCCCAGCATCCCACTGGCCTAATGTACCCCCCGGAAATGGCGCACGACCCCAATCGGACTCATCTTTCGCCGTCTAGGCAGCAGGCCATTCCCTCGCGGAACAAAGCCAAGCACACACAACCATCACCACACTTCAAAAGCCACGCCTTCTCGCCTCGTTTTTCGACACTCTCCCCCTCTAACAAGCCAGCAGATCTCACCCGTCGCAGACTCTCACACGGCCTCGACACCAACAATGGAAGACCAAGTCTTTGCCTCCCTAGAGCGCTGGTACCTCAACCCCCCTCCTCCTCAAGACGAAACATCCCGCCCAACCTCAGAAAGCAACACCTTGGCTAACTCCCACAGTCCCATGTACGCCGTCAGTGTCCCCATCGACAGCGCGGCGGCGCAATCCACCGCTGACTCACAGACCACAAGCGACAGTCCTTCTTCGGCGCAATGGGAATCGCGTCCGCCATCGTCTTCACCACATTCGGCGCCGCCTACGGCACGGCCAAGTCCTCCATTGCCATCTTCTCCTGCGGCGTCCTCCGACCCGACCGCCTGATGCAGAACACGTACGTCCCCCCTGGCCACCAAAGCACCCGCACCCGCACCCGCACCGCCGCCGCTAAAAAGGGCACACACAACGCGCAGTCTATGCTCCGTCATGGCCCAGATCCTCTCCATCTACGGCCTCGTCTCGGCCGTCATCATGTCCAACGGCATCAGGGAGAGGATGCCCGCCCACACCGGGTTCCTCCAGCTCGGGGCCGGCATGGCCGTCGGCCTGTGCGGACTGGCAGCCGGGTTTGCCATCGGCATCGTCGGCGACGCGGGCGGTACGTGCGAGAGCCCTCCTGGACGGCCACCACCGACCGACCTTGCCTCCCTTCTGCCTCCTGACGACTGACCCTGTCCAGTGCGGGCGAGCACCCAGCAGCCGCGGCTGTACGTGGGAATGGTCCTCATCCTCATCTTTGCCGAAGTCCTCGGCCTCTACGGCGTCATTGTTTCCATCCTCATGATTACAAAGTCTACTCTCGACGTCGCCGAGTGCAGGTACTGAGGCCGAGAGACGCCGTTGTCGGTGGCACGGCGAGAGAGACGAGGGACTTCTGGTGCGCACGTACTTCTCTGGCTTGCTTCCGGGCGTGACGTCGATGCATTCGGGTATACGCTAATCTGCAAATATCATACAATCGTCTTACCTCCCCCTTTCTTTCTACGCCCCCCCTGGCTCCTCTCACACAGCCCATTCATTCCGATTGTCGTCGGCAGATATGAGCGGCTCGTCTATTCTCTTGATGGCAAAGTCGCTGCATAAAATACTGCCAATAGTCAGCAGCAGGCACAAACTGATACACACACGCACGCACGCACGCACAGAGAGAGAGAGAGAGAGAGAGAGAGAGAGAGAAAGAGAAACTTACCAGGCCGAAGCCACCAAAGCATCGAGCTCAGCAACCACCGCCTCCCTCTTGGCCCCATTTACCAAGCCCTTGTGGATCTGCATCTGCAGCTGCCGTATTTTCTTCGAGTGTCCGATCCCAGAGTACTCGAGGACCTTTTTCCCCATGCAGTCAGAGTGGAAGGCGTGCTGGCAGGGAAACACAAAGAACTGCCTGCTGAGCAGGGGCAGTCCACAGACGTAGCACTTCTCTCCAGGCTCGACGATGGCGTACCGATGGTCCAGTGCCGCAATGTCCATCTTGATATTACTTGCCGTCTGCGAGGACTCGTCCATCTCTTTCTTCAAGCCATCAATGTTCCGGGAGTAGTCTTCCAATGCTTGACAAACCTCCTCTTTGAAGTCGTCAATCACCACAAAGTCAGGGAAGAACGGGATCAGATCTTCAATCTTGACGAGGTCGCATCTCCTGAGAAACTCAATCGCCGTCTTGATGCCGTCCGACTTGGCAATGACCTTGCGTGCCACCGCCAACCAGAGTCTCTTTCGGAGCTGCGGGTTTGACATGGGTCGGTCGGCAATGACCGCGGCCAGTTCAACCTCGCCGTGCGACAGGGCCAGGTCAACCGCTTGCAGGTACTGGCCCATGCTCGTGTAGATGTGCACGCACGACAGTGTTCTGTGGTTTTGGATGCACAGTCGCAGGGCAAAATCAGGGTCATACCGCGGCTCGTCACCCTGAGCCTGCAAATAAGAAAGCAGTCCTGACTCATCCTTTGAGGGGTGCGAGGCGTATATCGAAACGAGCGTGTTGTGGATGGCGGCATCGGTAGAATTCAGTTGGAAAATGACGTAATTCAAATACCGTACTGCCTGGTTCTGAGAGTTTGCGTCTCCAGAGAAGTTGCGATTGTACTCTAGCAATGCGGGGATGAGGCTGCGAGGCTGGAGCTCGGAATGCCTCATGAGAATCTCAACCATTTCTTGCGGAACATGGGTCATGAGGACGGTGCTGTATCGGTAGAAAACATCGACGTCAGTCTGCCTCTTGAGCACGTTCAAAACCTCTTCCCAGCGCTCTCTCTGTACCCAGTACGACAAGACGTAGTTGTAGTCATCTATCGCGTTTGCAAAGTATAGAAGCTCTCCCTCCCTTCCATGGCTGCCGATAATGTCGTACGCCGTTTTCCGATCCAGGTCGCCCTTGTACTTGTTGACGAAATCGTGGTATTCCTTTCGGACAGACTCCAGCATCATTTTGGACTCTGCTGGGTTCAGGCTCTCTGAAAGCTCGGCCTGCGTCATGATTGTGTCGTCGAGCGAGTTGAGCTTTGCCATGAATACCTCCACTAGCCAGCTGGCAACTATTTCTGTTTGTATGGTCGCAGACTTCTTTGTGCCGGCCAGCTTCGTCAGTAGAAACTGTCTCAAGGCATCCGGTTGATTATTGTCAATGATGCTGAGCGCGACGTCTTCGAACGGTTTGTTGCTGCGACCATATAGCACAGCCGCCTCGTTCCAATGTCCCCTTTTTGCAAGGTAGTCCCCGTAGCTCGCCGCAACGGTCTCCTTTTGCGCCTGGGTTTGGGCATACTGCAATGCCGATTCAAACTGCCCATTCTTCATCATTATCTGCCAAATGTTCCGTTCCTCATCTCGAGCGACTATCTCGTAAATTTCATCAGAAGTGATGAGCCAAAACGTTCGCTCTTGCATGTCCATGGTAAAAGCAACAGCCTTGTGACCGGTTGCAAGGACGTCATGCTCGGACACCGTGTTGCCCGTAAGACGGTTGGTAGCAATAATACGGTTGCCGACTAGGCTGAGCATGTGCCACTCGGTGAGCAGCAACGAATCGACTGTTTCCGTGGTCGGCTTATGCCTGCCCGTTGATTCCGGAGCGATGACTTGTGCTTTGGACAGGGTTTTCGAATCTGCAAAGACCTTGGATCCGAGGCTGCTATCTTTCGGGCTGTTCAGAAGCTTGCCGTGAAACACTCCCTGTGACGACAACCATGCGTACGCCCTGTCCGGAGCATTGTCTGCACGTCCGCCCTCGGGGGGATCAGGCGAGACCACCACTGCCGAATGGCCGCCAGACGAGCTTCGCGGGATCTCATGAATCACGGGCTGTTCCGATTCAAACACTTTGGTATAGACGGAGCCGCTGCCGTCGTGACTCCGCCCGATCTTGCCCACCAGATGGAACAACCTGCTCTGTGTGCCGATCATGATTCTTCGAATATCAGGGCTTCCCTTCAGATCGTCCACCCACAAGCCCGTGATGGGGCCATCAGGCAGCTTATGCAGGTTCTTTAGATGTTTGAGCTCTCTTTTGTAAAACTCGTTGGCGGTCTCGATGAATGCCTCGTAAATGTTGCCGTCCGAGGCACCAAGGATGATCTCCCGCGTCGAGGCGGTTGGAAGAGACGGGTTCCACGCCACACTCTCAATGGTGACGCCACGCAGCTGGCCCAACGGCCGAGGTTGCCTTGATTGCGTGTGAAGGTAGTAATTTTCGCCAAGCGCAGTGCAAATCAGCAAGTGGGAGGCAGTCGGGTCCAAGAACATGCGTCGAATGACGCCAATCTCGGATGCTCTTTTTGGTAGATCAATATCTGCAGGTGATTAGAAACGACGTCGCGGGCTTCGCGTGTAGCAGCAATACGACGACTGGGGGAGGTGGCGTACCATCAATGTCCTCCGGCCGCTTCAGGTCGATTCGCAGGATCCGACCGTTGGACAAGGCCAGTATCATGACGTTGTTTGCTATTTGCGCCGCGACGAACTCCGCCGTCACGGAGAACGCCATCTGGGCGCGTTCGACGTTGAAAATGGGTAGCTCGTCGATGCCCGGGGCACCTCCCGTCGGTGCGGCGGCCACGAAGCCATCATTGGGACTAAAAGACATGGCGGAGGTCTACAGCGGCATGGCCGGGTCGGCAGACTTGTCTCCTCGCGCTCGCAAGAGCGCAGAATAGAGCCAGGTCAGGGCAGCCAAGTAAAAGTCGAACGACGCTGGGCGTGTAGGACGTTGGTGATGATGATCAACTGGTGGTTGGAGCAGCTCCCCACCAGACACGCACCTTATCTTTAAGTACTCAAGTACCTGGGTACTTAGTCTCTAGTACCTACGGAGTACCTGCGTGGTATCCAGTACTTGAGCTGTGGAACTTGAGCCTGCCTCCAAGTGCCTCGTCTCCACATCTGCACGTATCTAGACACCTAGGAGGAACTTTCGGGGTTACAGCCCGCTCACCTCCAGCTTGCGGCAGTTCCACCGGAGCACGTCACGCTCTAGAACCACGAGTCGGTTTCCATATGGCCAATTCAGAGACTCGACATGAGTGTGTCTGCAAGGCAAGGCAGACCGTAGCCGAATTTGGTACACTCGACGCCTTCCTATCATTTCCCTACCAGTGCTCTGGCTGGTATCGAACTACTCCTGAGCCTTCATCGCCGCTGCAAAAAACCAATGGGGCCCGCCCCCCTTGAGAGTCGCAACAGCCCGTGTGTCCCCGTAACCGTAGCCCCTGCCCATGGCCATGTATCCTTCGAGTCTTCTCGCAGCCTCAATCTCATAAATCGTGTGTTTCTGATGACGAGTCACTTTTTCCTCCATCCACTGTAGTACTCTCGTCCGAGGAGCGGGCCGGCGCAGGAGATTCGTCCCTGGAGGGCTTTCTCGCCGAAACAGTGCGCATGTTCAGCACCATGGTCTTGCAGGATTCCGAGTCTTGCGCGCGACTGGCGATCTCTCGAGCCGTCTCGCGGCACGCCGTCTTGACAACGTCAGCGTCCCATCCCATCTGCTCTGTGAGTGTGCGCAGGCAGTAGGCCTCGATGCCATCCAGCCAGCACATGAGCCAGAGTTTACCCACGGTGTCTTCCTGCAGGTTCATGCGGAGAACATGTTCAGACACGCGAATGTCGACGAAGCCCGCCTCGAGCAGATATTGCCGGTCCAGATGAGACATGCCTCGTTTTCGGCCCGACTTTTCGGCTCCGGCGAAGACATCGTTCATCATGCCGAAAATGGGCGACTCCGAGGAGAAGCCGGAAAAGAACTGGATAGATCCGTCCTTGCTGTCGTAGTCTGTCACTTCAATCCAGCCGCCAGGCTTCAGTGAATCAAATACATCCTCGTAAATGCATCTCCAGTCGCGAAAGGCTCCCTCCAGACCTCGCAGGTGCACCAGGTCATAGTGGTCCAGAGGTCTGTCCCACTCTTCGGCGTCTTCGATTTCGAAGAAGACGTTCATCGGAACCCCTTGGGTCTCTTGTATGGCGGATATGTCGGTTCCCACGACTTCGCAATCGGGATGCAGTTCGGCGAATCGAATGGCCCATTCGCCCGTTCCTGTTCCGACATCCAAGACGTGCGTGGGGTCGCTCACGGGAACAAGTGTGAGCTCGCCGTCGAACGCATGCATAAGCACTTGGTGTTGTATAGTCAGGCGCAGCTGCTCGACCTCGTCGTTGGGCATGAAGTATTCTTTGCAGTAGCGACGGCCTCCGATTTCTCGATAGTCAAGCTCGCGTGCCCACAGAGACCGTGTGGACGCGGTCCTGAAAAAAGCAGCATGCATATTAGCCGACGGAGGAGCATGAAGACGGAGGAGGAGGAGCGTGACTCACCTATCCGAGTATGGCTGTCCATGATGGCCGTGGAAGATGAATGCTGTCGTCGAGTTGGTGCTTGGACGTCGCTGGTAAGTCCGTCCCGGGTAGAGTGACATAGCTTCACAGCCATAATCCGAGGCCTCATCTCCCGCGTCGGCGCCCACGTGGCGTGGGGACGCATCGTCATCATTTGGCGTAGAGCTGCTCACGGCGGCCTGGGCCCCATCGCTCGCAGCTCCGTCGTTTGGCGGTTGAGCCCCGTCAGAGATGCCAACTTCCGCAGCCTTGTCGATGGCTCCGACCGGCACCTGCGAAGGATTGGCGGCGGCGGGTTCAGTGCAAGAGGGCGACCTCGAAAGACGTCGTTGGTTGACCATTCTCTATCCTGGCTGACCTTCAATGGGTTGCGCAGGCCGCTACGATCTCGTGCCAGTACCGGTGCCTGACAAACGGCATGATACTGTAGATGGATGGTCCTCGGGTGCCAAGGAAGCTTAATGCCGTGGGCTTGCAACGAGGCAGAGAGCGCAAGTTGCAGACCGAGTTGGTGTTGGCGGGCGACGGACGAGACGATACATGCAAGTGCCAAGTCGCAATGCAGGGACCAGGGACCGTTGGCATGGATCGCTGCAGGGGTCCCTCCAACACTTATTATCATCCAAGGCGAGCAACGTCGAATGGACAATGGATGAGAAGACGGCGACCCGACTTTGCGTTGGCTGGCTGGCTGGCTGGGTCTGGAATTTGGAGCACCGAAAACGGCGTGGACCCTTCGGCACCAGTCGCGGGAGAGCTGAGCTGAGCTGAGCGGAGCGGAGCGTTGGTGTGTGGTGTGTGCCACTGCGTACTTGATTTGAGCGGTGACTGACTGGACGAGAAGTCAAACAGTCAACTCAAATGGCTCGCGGATGCTACGTGAACCGCTCAAGCTTTCTTCATGGCCCGTTGATATAGCCTCGGCCTTCCATTCCCCATGATGAACGGCACCCATGTCGCGGGCTTGTAACCGGAGCCTAGAGGCCTCCCGAAAACAGGACTCGAGATGCCATCAACATGACCTTATTTTTTGAAGTATTATATGCCCCTAATGTCCCTGCCGAATCATCGAATCATCCATGCCCAAAGCTGCCCCGGCTACTGTTCACCGTTCAACGCCGTTTATTGACCCATCAGCCAAGTCTCTGATAGCAGCCCCGGATATACACACCCTGCACCGTTCATAGAAAAGGGAAGGGAGAAGAGTGACCAAAACGGCAAAGAGATGATGAAACCTGTTTCTATCGCGTTTTCGCATTGCCACGTCAAGTCTACATTCCAGAAATAGTCTTCGTCTGGTCCATCCTGATCACGTCATTCATGTCTTTGTCGTCTGCCATCCACCCTCTCTGCTTTATGTATAGAACAGGCCCTGTCTCAGAACTTCTACGCCTCATTCTGGCCATTGACAAGACACTCATCGCCTGGTTGCACGGGGTCGTCCTTCGCCAGATGCTCGAAATCCGGCACAACTTCCCCTTTGCTGACCACTGGAAACGGCGTGAGCACATGGCTAATGTCCCCCCACCACGACTCTCCATATTTGAGGTACCAGTCTACTGTTGTTTCTAAGCCCTTTTCGAGACTTGTGTTTTGGCTCCATCCGAGCATGCGTAATTTCGTGCCGTCTACCGCATATCGCCGGTCATTGAAAGGCCTGTCGTGGGTATACTTGATCCATTTGCGGAGCTGCTCTGGCGCTGAATGGTCTATGCCCATTGTGTCTAGTAGTCTAGAACAGAGATGCAGGTTTGAGATTTCATCAGAGGAGCCCACGTTGTAAATGTGGCCAATGTGGCCCTTGTGTAGGATGGTGTCAAATGCGTCTGCGGCATCGCCGGCGTAAAGATATCGCCTTGTTGGGCTGCCGTCGCCATGCAATACAACGGGCTGGCCTCGGCTGAGAAGACAAGTGAACTTGGCAATGATTTCTGTAGATGTAGAGAATCAGCAGACTTTCCGGCAAGGGCCAAGACGCGAGCATAACTTCTGACTACTGAACTTACTTTCGGGGTACTGATGTGGTCCGTACACATTGTTACTTCGAACGATTATCGTGGGTAGCTTGAAGCTCTTGTGGTAGGACTGAACAAGCATCTCGGCTGCCGCCTTGCTCGCTGCGTAAGGGTTGGTCGGCGAGAGAATACTCGACTCGACCAGGTCGTCGTCATCCTCCTTGACTTCACCATACACCTCGTCGGTAGAAACGTGTATGAAGCGCTTGATCTCGGCTTTCTTGGCACCCTCTAGCAGTACGTGCGTCCCGTAGACATTTGCATGAGTGAAGCCGTACGAGTTGCCAAAGCTTAAATCTACGTGAGACTGCGCAGCGAAGTGCATGACCGTGTCAATCCGGTACCGCTCCATGCAGTCCAAGACCTCGGTTGGATTGGTGAGGTCCCCATGATAAAATGTGAAGTTGCGCTTGTCGTCCAACACGCGGGTATTGTTGAGGGACGAGCAATAGTCCAGCTTGTCAAATGAGACTATGTTGTACGCCTCTGGATACGTGAGCGTCAGGTGACGGACGACCCAAGAAGCTCTGCGACATGAATCGATTAGTCTAAGCGCGGGAAGTCATGTTCGGCACTTACATGAAGCCTGCGCCTCCCGTCACCATGACGTTCTTGACATCTGGCCGAGGTTCAAACTTCGTAGTGCCATGAAGTGTCGGCGCCCGCTTCCACACGTCGAGGTCTTGCAGGCACCTACGCGTCCCGTTGGCCACACCACCTGCGGCGGTACATCACGGTCAGCGACTTCAGATCCGTGCGCGCATCGAGTCGACAAAGACGGCAACTCACTGTTCCCACCATTGGAAACAACTGGTGCATCGACGTCCGGTGGGGAGGACAAAGATGACGAAGATGCCGCTCTGTCCTGCCTTTGTGGCTGGGGCAGGTGCCGCAGGCTCTTCAGGAGTTGTCGTGCCATGATGGAAGGCGCGGCCGACCTCACCAATGACCATGCATGTACGGAGTAGTGGTATGACAAGACTCAAGAGACCAATGAGACTGGAGGGCGTGGAGCACTCGAGGATGGGAGAAGACTCAACAGACAATTGCGGACTTGCGAGCTCGTGGAAGACTGCTCAGGCGGGGCCCCTCGTCGTCGGTCGAGTGCACGGCTTTATTGGAAAATTGGCGATTGCTTGGGACGCCGACGCTTGGCAGTCCGTGCCGACATTCGGGTGGGCGGTGGTGCCTGAACATTAAATCAAGTTACCAGGGACTTTCCAAACGCGTGGCGGCCTCCGGGGCACTTCACCAACGTAACGAAATAACTAATCTGCCCGGGATTCGGGACAGCCATCCCCGATAACATCGAGTGACTTCACTCGTTGGTGTGCGAATTTTGTCTCAACATCGACACGTCACACGACCCGACTTTTCTCCTATCGAACCGCTGGGAGATGCTATTTGCCCGTGACTATTTCCACGCTACAAGTTGAAGCGCTTGCGATCCTTCTCCATCTTCGCTTTCCACTCCCACTGGCTCGGATCCTCGCCCTCGCTGCCGGCCCGGCCAATGCCCTTGTCAACTCTTCTCAGCTTCAGCGTAAATCGCGGTCCGAGTTCCTGCAAGCCTGCGCGAATCCCCTCCACACCCTTCATCTCCTTTCCAACCGTGCCCACTATGCTCTTCTCCGTGGCCCGTTTCTCACGGAACACGTATCGATGTCGCCGGACAAAAATGTAGTCGCGCTGGTTGTGGAGAGTGACCACCTGACGACCCTGGAATTCGGGCCTGGGGGGGAAGAGCGCCTGGAAGAGCTTGGCCGTGAGAAGACCAAGCGGTGTCTTGAAATTGTTGAGAAGCAGTTCGGGATAGTGGTTGGTCGGGTTGCCATGACCAGGAAGTTTCCTGCCTTCAATCCAATTTGATATGGAGAAATGAAACGTCGGCCCAGACGGGAGATGGACAACCGACAGCCCAGTGGGCTTCTTCAAGTCTTCCTTGACGAGAAGAACAGCAGTGTAGTCCCTGTTTGTGGCAAACTTGCAAATTTCTCGCAGTGAATACTTGTGCCCATAGCGATGCGAGGATCGGGGGATATAAGTACTGTTCGGGAACAGTGCGCCTAGAAGCTGGGCTTCGTAATGAATGGTGGAATTGAGAGAGGTCGTGACGAGGATTTTGGGGTCTGGTGCAGGAATATCGCTGAATAAAGTCGGGAATTTCAGCGCCAGTGACGACGGTGTCAAGTCGAGGTTTGTGCTGGTGGTGGATGGCGCTATGCTGTTGTCTCGTTTTGCGCGTTTCTCTCGTTGCTTCTCACGCGCAGCCTGTCTCGCTTCGTCATCTTCATCGTCATCAGACTCTAACATACTGTCGCTGTCCCCGTTGTCCTCGTCCTTCATCCCCGTTTCAAGCGCCACCTGTGCGTCAGCTTCAGCTTCCTCCATTTGCCTCCGCCTCAACTTTTCCAAGTCGACCTGAGCGCCAAGGCTGTCGTCATCTCCATCATCCCATACTCGCTTCTGATCTAATGTCAAGGTCTTGTTCTTGGCCAATCGGGCAGCCCTGAGTTCGGGCTCTCTGTTCTCTTCCTTTCTCCGGCGATGTCGAGCTTCCCTCCGCTCTTTGCCGGACGCCGTTTTGTGCTGGATAAAGAGCGCTTGGCGTTTTAATTTGTTGGCAGCTTTCAGCGCCTGCACAGGGGGCTTTGTGAACCCCATCGTGCGGGTAAATTTGTTCGCGCTGATGATATAATTGCAGATTCAACAAGCAAGCAAAATGGCTGGGCTGGGAATTTTCCGCGTGGAGGGGCACGGAGGGAGGAGAAAAGTCCGGCACAAAACTACAAAAATTTTGGCGGTGAGGGTCAACCGCCGCATCTGATTGGAGGCGGCCAAGCCTTCCTGGGTCGCGGTACTGGTACTGGAGCTTCCGCAAGAACTTCATCCAGCCCGCTAAGAAACACAATAATTGCATACCGTCTTGATTGTGGCCCTGCGCAACGCGGTATCGGCCTAAGATGGTTGTCAATGGCAGCAAGAAGAGAAAGATAACTCACCCCTCCTCCTCAGACGATGGACCACACGCTCCCGTAACTTCGAAACGGGCCCAGAAGGACTTCTTCAAAAATGCATCCAACTGGAATCTCGAGCAAGACTACGAGTCTCGACCACGGAAAGGCAAGAAAAATGAGAGAGAAAATTCAAGACTCCCCATCAAGTCACAAGACGGTCGATTAGAACTTCTCAAGGACCTAGATCCAGACGATGATGCGGCCTCCATCAAGAGTGATGCCGAATGGCTCGAGGGTCGCGATGATGAAATTGAGTCGGGGAGCGAAGAAGCAGTGGAGTCGGAGGAAGCAGCAGAAGTCCCAGAGGCCCAGAAAATCCTGGAAGCACAAGAGGAATTAGCCAAGGCAGCCATGGCGCTCAATGAAAACCCCGAAGAAAACATCGCCGACTTGAAAACGCTCGCCAACATCAGCCAGTCCAAAATCCCCGTGATTCGCATGCTGGCGCTCATGACGCAGATGACGGTATACAAGGACATCATCCCAGGATACAGGATACGGCCCCAATCCGAAGAGGCACGCAAAGAGAAGCTGTCAAAAGAGGTCCGCAACACACGGCAGTTCGAGCAGTCCCTCGTGGCAGGCTACCAGGCGTACGTCAAAGAACTCGCCCACTGCGCCAGATCAGAAACAACCCCGGTCCGTGGCGGACAGAGCCTCTCCAGCGTCGCCGTCACATGTGCATGTTCCCTCATCACGTCCGTACCGCATTTCAACTTCCGCTCCGACATCCTCGCCATTCTCGTCGGCAAACTCGGCCGAAGAAAAATCGACCAGGACACCGCCAAGGTACTCCAATCCCTGGAAACTCTGTTCCGCGATGACGAAGAAGGCCGCGCCTCCTTCGATGCCGTATCTCTCATCGCAAAAATGATAAGGGCCAAAGAATTCGCCGTCCACGAAAGCGTACTCAACCTATTCCTCCATCTGCGTCTGCTCTCCGAGTTTTCCGGCAAGGCGTCCCAAGACACCGCGGAGCAACAGCGAACATCAAAGTCCAAAAAGAAGCGCGAATTCCGCACAAAGAGGCTACGGAAGGCGATGAAGGAGCAAAAGTCCCTGGACAAGGACATGTCCTTGGCCGACGCGCTCGTCAGCCACGAGGAACGAGAGCGAATGCAATCCGAAACACTGAAGCTCGTCTTCGCCACATACTTCCGCATCCTGAAGCAGCGGTCGCCGCATCTGATGGGCGCGGTGCTCGAAGGCCTCGCCAAATACTCGCACCTGATAAACCAAGACTTCTTTGGCGATTTGTTAGAGGCGCTCAAGGACCTTATCCGCCACAGCGACGAGGACGCCGAGCAGGGTCCCGCGGACAAGGAAGCCGCCGAAGTGGAAGAGGGTGAAGATACGGTACGGAACCTGAGCCGCGAGGCCCTGCTGTGTACCGTCACCGCGTATGCCCTGTTAGCAGGCCAGGATGCCCATAATTCGCGAAACGACCTACATCTTGACCTGTCATTTTTTACGACACACTTGTTCCGCTCTTTGCTTCCTCTGTCGGTACAACCCTGTCTCGAAAATGCCCGTCTGTCGGCATCCTCTGCCGCGTCCAAGATCAACGTCCAAACCACCACGGTGCTGCTTCTCCGCTCCCTGACGGGCATTCTTCTCCCTAATTACAACATTCGTCAAGTTCCCCCTTTGCGCCTTGCCGCGTTTACAAAGCAGCTTATGACCGCCGCACTGCAACTTCCAGAGAAATCGTCGCAGGCAATCCTCGCCTTGCTCAACGACGTCGCGCACACACATGGCAAGAAAATTAACAGCTTGTGGAATACTGAGGAGCGCAAGGGTAATGGTCAATATAATGCGTTGAGTGATTCGGTAGAGGGAAGCAACCCTTTTGCAACCACTGTGTGGGAAGGGGAGTTACTAAGAAAGCATTTTTCGCCAAAGGTTAGAGAAGGCGTCAAGGTGTTGGAAAATGGCATGTCAAGATGAATACTGTTATTTTTAAAAATACTTTGTCGACGTCGAAAGCAACACCTCAATAACGCCCAAGAGCCTGATGTAAAAGACATCAAGTTGCCAATGCTCCTCTTTGCAATTCATAACATTTTGAGACGTAAACAGACTTCCTTTTATTTTGCCGCCTATTATATTTCCGTGACGTTGCATACACGTAACACATAGCTAACACCAAACCGAGCAGTCAGGGCAAAATGTCTTGTACCTGAAAGGCATTCATTCTACCGTCAAAGGAGGTCTCTCCATTCGACGGCGAATTCTTCCGAGTGTATTCCTTATTCCGCAAGTGCATGCCCGCGATTTTTTCACCACAACTTGGTTTGTCAAACGTCCGCCAAATCAAACTTATAAATACGCAATGAATTTGGATGCTGTCGCAATACTCGTCCTGCTCCATCACCCAGACTTCTTTGACGGCTGGTGTGCCCACCTCGAGGCTGAAAGACCTTGCATTGGCTGTGGTTGGCGGCTGTCCAAGGTTGGAGCTGCAAACTGCGTTTCACACGTTGCTGCGGTTGATTCGCAGTACGTATTGGGCATTGGAAATTGAACTGGGAGCCAAATTGTATGAGTCAAAGGAAGCGCATGCGTTGCTTTCTCGGTCGCTGGCCAGTGTCCACATGGCGTACCATCAGAGGGTGAATTGAACTGACCGGTAAAGGGCAGCTTTTCTTCCTGATACTGGTCGTCATCCAATACCACGGCTCCTTTCGATGGAGGACTGCCTATGCCATCGTTAGCAGACTCTGCCCCAGTCGGTGTGAACACAGCTGCCTTCGGACAGAGTTGCTTGCTCTTCGTTGTAGCTGGCACCGTATTTGTGTTGAAGAAGTCAGGTTGGTCCGCCATATTTGACTGGTGACATTGATAGGCAGCAGTGGTTTCCGCGGCTTCCTTTTTCTCATCATGTTCGGCATCGCTGCGAGTCGTAGTGTAATCATTCTTGACACACGACTGCTTATCAAGGCCAAAGTGTTCGGACACCTCAACGTTTTTAGCTAACAGCTCCAAAAATCTATCCATGATATGCCCCGGACCATTTCCTGTCGAACTTCTTTCCTTGAAGGAGAAAGAGCTGAGTAATACGGCAAGCTGGTCAGCCTCTTGCTCATCAGCAGGCATTTGAGACGTGTCTGCTGGACTGCTATTATTCTTGTCACGCGGCCCCTGAATCATACTCTCGGGTGTCAACGGTGTACTATCACTATCTAATACTGGTGATCTGGGACCAGTAAAATTCGCAGTCATTTGCGAAGTCGCTGGAGTTCTGGTTAAAGGCTGAGGCGTCGCAGCTGGTGTCAGTGCCATGTCGCTTCGGTTAAGAAAGTCGAATACGGCTTTCCCTATTACTGCATCTTCAGCCCTAAGTTGTCCGATTTTCCAACCTTTGTCCAGAGCATCGCTACTATACTTCCTTTGAGAAGGCTGAACAAATCCGGTAGCATCATATTGTCTACTTCTTTCTGGTCATTGGTTAATATCAAGAAAGTCAAGCAACGACAATTGGCTTGTTATACATACCTGCGACACGCCCGAGCTGGGAGTGCCTGGCAGGATCGTGATGCTTCATGCCAGTGATTGATTCCGCTCCATGTCTCTCAGAAAAATCGATTGCTTCGGCTCGTGCTCTGGATTTACCATGTCTCTTTTCCTTGAATTGCCCGGTTTTGAAGCTCGCGGCGAGGGCGATGGCATCCGCCAATTTCTGGGGATCATTGAATGCGGCCATTTCTGTCGTTTTTATTAAGAAGGGCGAAATGTTTTGTTCAAAGCAGGAATGCCGACATCGACGAGCAAGGCGGGATGCAAGAGGAAAGGAAATAGCACGAAGCGTGGACGTTTGTTTTGACAGTTGCGTGTAACGTGACAGCTGTCTGGCACCTGCCAAGTCCGAGTGGTGATCGTTGCATAAGTATTGCTTAGCTGTCTGCATAACTCACGACACAAGTTGAACTTTTTTTAGCTTCCGAGTACCTTCCTGAGTTAGTCAGTTTCCGATAACCGGGTACTCCTTCGAATAGGCACTTGTCTGGAGATTAGAAGAACTCGACGCAATCAGTGAAAGGACAAAAGTTGCTGCGGAGAGCTAACGCTGGTTCTGGAAATTCTGTAACTGTTTACCGCTCCGAATGTAGCAGTATGCTAACGTGAAGTTTAGTATAATGATACTCATGGCCGTCGTTCAATCTAGTATCCACTCTGTCATGGTTCTGGCTCACACTTGCCACCTTAGCTCCTCCTTTCGGATTGGAAAATACCCGCTACCTAGGGAGTTTTGTTTTGTTTTGTTTTTTTCGCACCAAGCACAGTCTTGACGGAGCTAATTTGAGTCGGTTGATAATGTGGAGGGTTGATGCCGTCCAGCCACTCAGCATCAATGGTCGGTACGTGTTCTTGGACAAACGCCCAGAGAGCATCGGCTCCGGGGGCATCTCTGGCGATAGCAAGGCAAGACACCCTGACGACGCCTAAGGATGAGCTCAGCCTATCCGAGCAAGGTTTAGAGAGACCAATCAATTTGATATTGTGCTGCAGGCCGAGCTTATGGGACGAGGTAGCAACCATCCTTGGGAAGTGGCAGTTGAAAGCCGCAGACTGATTGCCTCGACTCACGAACACCATAGAATATGGTTTCCTTGAGATGCCCGGTTCAACGTCTTCCGTGGACTTGGACTTGGAGATTGACTCGAGGCCCCTGGTAATTGCGTTGAATCCTATGTCGACATGATTACATAGCACAGGCTTTGGAGGTCTGGCAATATTTGGAACCGAAGCAGCGGGATTTTCTTTTAACGATTCCGCTTGGCGCTTTGCCGCTCTTTTGCCTCTCGAGGGCTTTATATGTGTCCTTCTATGCTGGCCAATGGGACTCAGAAGACTGATAATGAAGTCAGCGGAGAAGATATCGCGAGTTATAAACCTGCTTACTTGCAAAGCAACTCCAGGATGGTGTCTTGGTCATCAGATGAGATTTCGGGCCTTTCATATTCATGAGATCAAATGGTAGCTCAGGAAGGATGGGAATTCCATACCATGATACTTTTGAGAAGGGCGTATCGAGATGATGAACCAGGCGATTGCGACCAGGTGGTGCAATTGGAGTTGTCATGCTGTGCGCCAAAATGTATACGACGAGCGGATCAAACGACCAAGGGAGGTTCAGGCTCAGGAGATAATCACAAATCTTCCCATGTGTAGCCGGGAGGTCTGAGGGTGAACATTATCAGCTCTGATGTCGTAGTTAGACCTATAATGGGAAAAAAAATCGAGGTGGGGCAGCGCACGGTCAAATCGACATGGGTACCTCCATGTGAAATGAATGTACTCCGTACGGAGTAGTGCAAATCTAACACGGAATGTTCAATAACTTGCTCCCTCTGTAACACCAAGACCACTTGAGCGCCTGGTGGTCAGTGATGCAACAGGGTATGACCACAAAATGTTCCATCGGCGAGACCACAACATCTTGGTAATGATGGCCAAGCCCTCAATTATCCAGAACGACATTTGTCGACCATGGCCAAGAGGAGGCTGTACTTGAGAATATTACTCAAGTAAGAACTTTAGGGTAAGGTGGGGGCTTAGGCGCGAGTTACACTTAAGTAGGTGCAACTCCGTACAGCCTGGAGTAAACTTTCGCAGTGGTCAGAGTTGACAACTGTGGCGTCTAATCGTGCCCGCCCCACTTTATGTGGTTCGGCTAGCAAAAGCCCTCACCACCAAAGGTGGTGCTCGACAGCAAGGCGGGCCGGACACCAAGGCGGGCCAATTTTCAACCTAATAACGCTATTAACCTCTTCGCCTATAATGTACACCCTTCTCGTCCCAAATTTCTAGTAGATCTAGTACAGAATCCAGACGCCATTTACGTGCCTTTTTAGCTGCTTCAAAAAACGTCCTCTTGGCGTGGTTGTGGCGCCTTTTGTCGGCATGCTCTTTATGCTTGCTGTTCGCCTGATGAACTCGAGAAAGGTCTTTGCAAAGGCGTGATTGGAAGGAGAAACGGCGAATGGTTGACGCGACAGGTATGCATTTGCATTTAGTTGTTACAAAGCGAAGTACCTGGAAAAGTTTCGACTTGTCTGGAAAATCGCCGACGGATGGGTAAGCCGCCCGCAAGCATGACACGACCGTGGCCACCGTTGCGCTAACATTGAGAGGGCGGCACGCGCAAGATCAAAACGATACACCATGCATCCGTGCTCTACGAGCGAGCAACCGAGGACCGGACACGATACCAGGGGCGCACACGAGCAGACTTTGATACTCTACACCAGTCTGTCCACGAGTTCCGTGTCGTGGATAGATCCGACGCGCATACTCGGGAGATTCGGGGCGCGGAGCGGCCCTCGGCGCAGGCGACTTGGCCGGTTCAAGGGCACGAGCACGAGCACGAGCACGAGCACGAGCTCGACACTAATACCTTGTTGAACCAGCTTTTCGCGGAAGTCAGCAATAACCTCGACGAGCAGGGGGCCTGGTCTCAATGGTGGCCGGCGATTGATCAGGTGGATCTTTAATGAGCTGCGTAATTACATCCGGGGTTTTTTTTTTCGTTGAAGCTTCCAATGAATGAGTGACGACCTTTGATTTTTTTGATTTTTTTTTTAAAAAGGGCTGTAATATCTGGTTTTCTATACATGTCCTATTTTTATTTCCCGGTCTAGAAAAACAGTCAACAGATAATGCACCTCTTCATATGGCTCCCCTCCCGTCACCGCCAACAAATGCATACCTGTCGCGTCAACCATTCGCCGTTTCTCCTTCCAATCACGCCTTTGCAAAGACCTTTCTCGAGTTCATCAGGCGAACAGCAAGCATAAAGAGCATGCCGACAAAAGGCGCCACAACCACGCCAAGAGGACGTTTTTTGAAGCAGCTAAAAAGGCACGTAAATGGCGTCTGGATTCTGTACTAGATCTACTAGAAATTTGGGACGAGAAGGGTGTACATTATAGGCGAAGAGGTTAATAGCGTTATTAGGTTGAAAATTGGCCCGCCTTGGTGTCCGGCCCGCCTTGCTGTCGAGCACCACCTTTGGTGGTGAGGGCTTTTGCTAGCCGAACCACATAAAGTGGGGCGGGCACGATTAATGCCCATTGATTGCTGCCAGCTCAGGGCGGTCGATGATCCATCGATGACACCTAAGCGCTAAGCCAAGTCTGTACCATGCTTTACTTTGTACTAAATTCAACCAGACAAGACAAGCGTTGAACGGCGACGGGACCCGGCTCAGGCTAAGCGCCCTTTGTTTGTGAGCCATGACAACTTGATAAGCTTGTTTAAATGATACAAGCCGGGTGCAAGTCCACGGAGACTTGTGGCATTCTATTTTGACCCTTGCTTCACTCAAGAGCCTTGGCGACGAGCCACCCCGCGCGAACATAAGTACTTCAGTACACAAGAATAAACTCCCGTAAAGTACCGACTTCTGAGGTTTGGGCAATGGTACCGAACAGACGCACGTAGTAGCTTACTACTTAAGTACCAAGTACTGACTTAGGTTGTTCGTAGTGAAGAGACGCTCGTGTGACGCTCGGGCAAGCGCCTTATGCAACCAAGAGCATACCAAGTCCCTCATTAAGCGCGAGTGATTGTAATGAGCTTGCTTTCTTTTTTGGCTTGGATACTCCGTACAGGGTGCATCTCGGTACGTGCCCAGGAGCCATGCAGACTTTGGGACGCCTTGCAGTGGAGCTTTGTTCAAGTTTTCTCAAGTAAGTACTCAAGTGCTTAGAGATAGTGGGCGGTAGCCAAGTTGGCACTGTACGTAATGAAGTGGCGAGTGTTTGCATCGCCGTTCTCGAGTTGCAGACAATGTGTCTGGAAGTGCCTTCTCCCGGTGTGTACGGAGTAGTTGGTTTGACATGTCCATGTCGAGGAGCTACTAGCCTCACCATGACGGCATGACGACATGACCCCTCGGCACCCCCTTGGCAACTTGTAGTGGACACCTTGACACATCCATTGCCTGGGACTGTGCGGGTGGTGAGTACATGTGCCTGGACCTGCTCCTAAGTGGGCGCCCACATACCGATCTAGGTCCCCATATACGTCTTGCCCGCACTTTGGCACTTTGGCAGCTTGAGCTACCCCTCCAACTTTTTTGAACTTCCAGTGTCGCCGCCCCGTAACCATCAACAATCCGCACGAGCACCGCGTCGCGCCGGCCAATCCACGGCCGTCCTCGCCTCCAGGTACACCGACCTCCCCGTACAGTTGGTACGTTTCCAGGGTACTCTCGGTACGTACTTGGCCTGACACTCAGCAACTCGGCACCAGGCACCTCACCACTTGAGCGCTCGCTTTGCACGCACTTCACGGCTTTCGCTCGTCCTCCGCAAGACGCATTTTTCACCAGCTGTCTCTTTACTGCCAGACTTTTAAAATCCTTATCACCGTGTCAGCCCTGGCCCCTATTGGCCCTTGGAGTCGAGAGGGCTTCTGGCCTTTTCTTTCCGCACCACACATGTTAATTTTGTGCATCTGCCGCCCTGCCGGCCCTCACGACGTTGTGACGTCTTTACCTCGAGCTTAGCCCTTGGTGCGAAGCAGAGGTATCTGGTCAAGATATCGACTTCCAACGCTTCTCAAGGGCCATCGACCCGCTACGCTGCCGAGCCCGAGCCGGGCACCCAAGTTGAGCTGCCAGGTCGAGCTGCCAGGACTTGATCGCTCGAGCACTCAACATGGAGAACGACACGGACAGCCAGACGGATCAGCCCGCGAGTCCGACTGGCAATGTTGCCGCGACGACCTCGCCCAATGGCCCGGACCATAGTCACGCCCCTTCCCCTGATCCGCCATCTACTCGCCCAAATCCCTTTGATGACAGTGAGCTTTCTGCCCGCAAAAGACGTCGAACATCGGGCTCTGCGTCACCCCCACCAGTATCATCATCAGCATTAGCATCCGCCCAAGCATCTGCAAGCTCGGACGCATCGACGTCTGGGGATGGATCCGCAGACGACAAGTCGGCCGTCAAGAATTTCAGCAACAACACAATGACTACGGACCAGCAGTCTCAAAACGCGGCGACGCCTTCTGCGCCCAAAACTGAGCTCCCATGCACACCAAGAACACCCACAGACAGCGCAAAAAGCAATAGCCCGACGCCGCTATCATCCAGCAAGGTCACCATCAATCTGCGAAAAACCACCAATCCCGTCACCACTAAATCTGCAGAAGCTTGCTTACCGTCATCGAGCCACGACGGGGTTCCACCAGTCATCTCAGACGTCACGAGCGATGACCAACAAAGGATAGCTGTGGAGGAGCGGCTGCACACCAGGTCAGGAGAGCAGAGCCCCCAGAAGTCAGACTCTGCAAGCCCGCCAGTTGAATTAATCGCCATCTCCGACGATGAAAACGAAGAAAGCGATGACGAAATGGCCTTTTCAGTAGATGAAAAAGCTACTGGGATGCTGAGTCGCGAGCATGTGCCTATTGACCCTACTCCGCAGTTTCCTTATATACAACGCAATGAAGAGCCATCCCTACCGCTGCTTCGATTTATCCATCATTTTAGAACCGGTATGCCCCCCCCTTTTTTTTAAACTGACTTCATTTCTTTACCAATCCTTTTGTCAGTTTCTCATTTCGCAATAGCCGTGGTTGATACTGAGGCCGCTACAGATTCTCCCATCAGCCCTGAGGCTCTGTTCTTACTACAAGCCTGGATGCAAGACTATCTGAGGTTTGCCAAGAATGCCGACAAAACCGCGGTCCTGGACTCTCGGCAAGCAAATAAAAGGTTCTGGTCGATACTCCCCGAATCAATGCTCCAGTTGTTACTAAGAAGGTATGTGCCATGGCCGTCTCTCCTCTCTCGCCTGTCCTGCCTTTCCCAATTCACTGTTTGTCTTTGTCTTCAATGTTACCACCTCTTCAGGTTGGACAATTCCAAAAAGCCATGAATGAAAAAGAGTGGCCGACGTCCTAAACTAACGATTTACAAAGTTCTGAACTTGTCAAGTCTCCAGAGCTGCGCAGCGTCATAATCGGGGTCTATTCCGCCTTCGCCTGTTTAGCGGCGCGCATGGCTGCTCTGGATATGGTGGTACTCCGAGAAATGCAATCCACCATTGGGGCGACAAATGAGGGCCCTCCCGATCTATACTCCGCAAAGTACCTTCAGCAGCTTCATGACATAATAGTCACCGATGTATCCTCAACAAGTAGCGGCGGAGAAGGATCATCCCCCGGCTCAGAATGGGTTCAGAACGAAGTCGGATCCTACCTACTTGCCAAACTACAATCTAGCCAGGGAGGCAGCGTGACAGCCCTGTCGCAATTGGCAGCTGCATTGACAGCCTTTGTTCCAAAGTTTCCAAGACTGATGGAACATCTGGCAGCTATCGCAAGGATTCTCGCTAGTTGTTTGCGAGAATCCGTCAGAACGCTTGCCACTGGTGGCGACAGAGTCGCGCAAGCACAGAGCCAGCTAGAGATAGGGACGACTGCTTGGGATACTATTTCGACTTGCCTGGAAATGATGATTGAGAAGCACGTTACTCAATTAAGCGTTGACACAGCTACAATTCTAATCCAAGCTTTGACGGATGTTTTGAAATGGACGCTGCGTGGAGAACACGGGTCAGCATTCGATACCGTACGCCGACACCTTCAAAATTATTCCGATCTACCTTGCGTTCATGGATTTGAAGCCGTTGCGTGGCAATGGAGGCTCGGCATTTTGGACCGGTTAATCCGTTCCAGCCAAATGCAACTTCGTGTCATGGCCATTACCAGGCTGTGCAACGACCTCGTCTCGGTATGGAAAAGCACCATGACCGCCAGCGATGAAAGCAGCAATAGATTTCTGGCATTTATTGGGGAATGTTTACTGGAGACTCGATTGATCGACTACATACTGGGCCCGAATTGCCATCCTGAGATTATCGTGGAGAGCTCGAATGTGCTGGGCTTTCTGATTGTTACCAAGCTCTACAGACAGTATCATACCGATCGTTTGTGGCAAAACATCATGCTATGCCAAGATCCTCGCATTACGGAGGCTCTAGCACGCATGGTAACAAGTATAACCAACCTGTTTGACTACGACGGTTTGCTAGGTTGGTGTCAAAAGTTCCAAACCATGCCCCTTGAGGCGTTCTCGCCGGCGATGCGCACCCTTTGGGACAATATCATGAACGAGCTGATATCGAAATGTCAGTCAGAACGGCAAACACTGTCATTTGAACCCTTTGACCTGTGCTTGAGGCTACTGAGAGAAGCGTCGATTTGTACGGCGGGGTCGCAGGTAGCCGATCCGGATTTGCAAATGGCTGCCATACAAAAATTGAGGGAACTGTTAAGCACTGCGCGCCCCGACGATCTGGATATTCTGCACCTGAGCTGTCTGGATGACATAGCTAAGAAGTCGCCTACAGCTCTGGGAAGCTTGTGGTGCTTGTCCATGACCATGCGAGGAAACATCCCGAACGAAGTCGAAAATCTTACAAAGAACCACGACCTAGCAAGGCTTGTTGTAGAGGAACTAGATCATGCAGTTCGTGCAGGGCGACAAGCGGGTGCGTTTGCCGTAATATCTGGCACGCCCAATGTACCCAGAAGGGATCTAATCGCCAGCCTCATCCAATTTCAGCCAGCAGCTTTGAACAACGGGTTGGGCCCCATACTATTGGATATCATTGTTGGCCCGAAATCGCCATGTCCTGATGACAGAAAAGCTGGCTGGTATGTCATCACAAATGTAATGAGAAAGGCATCGATGAAAAACGCGTTTTTGCAAGCCTGCTTCTCCAGATACCTGCCTGGCCTTCCTGCGTCCTGCTTCTCGGATGGCATGCTCGATTTCGTTCGAGAGAGAGTCCTGTACCTGGCCGGGGATGGCAATAATTTTGCCTTGGATGACGCAGAAGCGCTGTCGTACAGTGGTATTGAGCAACTTTGGCGTATCATTCTAGAGGCTGAAGACCCTCTCTTGGTGTCGCGGGCTATCTCTACGCTCGCAGTCGACTTATACTTGGAGAGTAATGCCATCAAGTCATATTCGGTCTGTCGTTCGAGGAACGTGCACACATCCCTGGTCATTCGATGCTTGACCCAGATGGAACAGGCGGCGAAGAAGCTCAAAGGGTCTACCGAGGCCGGCGTTGGAGAAGACGATGAATCAATGGTGCTTGTTGCAACTACTGAAGATGTCCAGAAACAGGAGCGAATTTTTGGACGCTCTCTCCAGTTGATGAGGTTTTTTCTGGGAAAATACCAAGTGAACGGTCGATTTTCCGTTGCGGACTTCAGACCGTTGATGTCAACGGCGGTAGAAGAGATAAACGGCGAGTCAGCTTGTTTACAGTATCAAGCCTTTGACAATAATGACCAGACTGACATCAAGCCTATAACTATTGGTCTTGGAAACTCCATCGCTTCACTTTTGACTTGCCTGAAGACCTTGACCGGCTTTGACAATTACCGCATTTATTATCGGGGACAGCCGCTTCTTCCCAAGGAGCATCAAGCTACGAAATCTTTAGAAGAGCTCGGCATACGTGATGGGTTTATTCTAGTCAAACGGGATGAAGGCGGCGCGTCACTCGCAGGATACATAAGACCCGGTTCATCACCGCTGGAGATTGAAATTCTAGGCCACTTCAAAGACTTATGGGAATACTTGAGCATGGGTGAGAAATTGGCCGAGGAAGTGAGTACTGGCAGCTTGGGGCGCGATGCAAGCGAGACTAACGCGCGCAGGTCTACGACTTTCTCGTCAAACTCCCGGCAGATGGCCACTTCATGCTGCAGTTCGATTCGGATCAGAGTGATCATTCGCGAGTGTTCCTCAAAGGACAGGCGTTCAAGACACTATACGGTCTCCATGCTCTAAATGATTACATCGAAGCTGCTCAACATTCCGCATTTGCAACGAGCCATGATGAAGATTATATGGGAATCAAGTTGACATCTTACCAGCAGGCCCTTGTGAGAGGCTTGCGCCTGATTGTCAAGGCTATAGGCGATCCCGAGATGCTAGATGACATGCCGGCTGTCCAGCAGCTACGAATTGCAGGGACATTCCTGCAAGCTTTCGTGAAGCTTTTCACGGGTTAGAGATGGTATCCTTTCCCCCTTTTGAATCATTGTGACACTGACTGCTTAATTAGAAGCTGCCAGGTACAAACCATTATTGGAGCTCGGTGACGACGTGCTGCCACATCCTACTCGACTCGTAGACATTCTGGCTACAGTGGAAGGTGACACGAGCGACACAAGCTTGGCGTTAATCGAAAGCGCATGCACAGCGGTCTTACGTGTGGGCTCTGTGAATCGGGAATTTTGGAACACAGTGGTGACTTCCACTTCTTTTCTCGACATCATGAAGAGCTTTCTGTTGAAAGACCCTCGCAAGGCCGTGAGGCAAACGATTGTCGAACTCATCGAGGACATCACGGGCCCAGAAGCTCAGATTCTAACACCAGACAGCGGCAATTCTGTTTATTCCAGCCAGGAGACCAAACCCGTTTTGCTTTCCATTTGTACTGCTCTGACCGAGGGCCTGCCACTTTGCCTCGTCAACCAGTCTCAGCCTGAGGAGTATTTCAGAGCACTGCTCCATCTAGTTGCTCACGCATGTACGACGACTTCTCAAGCAGTGGATATTGACCTACTCGCAGTAGTGGCACGAGACCTTTTGCTTAAACACACCTGTACAGAGGTAAGATCAAAGCCGCGTCATTGGTCAGTAACGTTAGGGTCTAACACAGGTTATAGACGATTGACCGACCAGACATGGCAGATCCAATCGCAGCCGGTCTGGTAGCAGTACTGCATATTTGTGTCGAGAATAGCCAAAGTCTAAGCAAGTCCAGAAATTTTGACGAGTTAGTTGAATCATCCGTCCCACTGCTTTCACTCAAGCTGTGATAATGTACTGAATGAAGTAGAAACGCAATCTCTCGGTTGTTTTGGCGCCATCTTTTCCCAAAGAAACGACGTGGTGACAAGGACAGCGTTCCTCGAGTAATTCTCAACACGAACACGCGAAGTAAGCTCTATGATGTAGTTTTTCGCTGCGTGAGATACGATTTGAATTCTTTCGTCCACATGCTTGATACCTTGAACGGTCTTGTGCCGTTTTACGTGGAAGAACCCGGTGAGTGTTTGAGAACCCCCACTAGAACCAGCGTCATCTCATACGGCTAACTATTTTGTGCAGATGATCCTTATATCTACGATCTTCCGTATCAATTCGACCGGTCCAGAGCAATACGAGCCCCTTGTGGATATGTTGGACTACGAAACCTCTCCAATACTTGCTATCTAAATTCGCTCCTTACTCAGCTGTTCATGAACACTCAATTCCGAAGGTTCATCATGTCAGTCGTTGTACAAGACCCACAAGCATCGCAGCAACTGCTCTTCTACACCCAGAAGCTTTTCGGTTATATGCAGGAGAGCTTTCAACGTTTTGTGGACCCATTTGACGTCGTGGCCTCGATAAGAACGTATGATGATACCCCCATTGACATTCATAGTCAGATGGATGTCGATGAGTTTTACAACTTGCTTTTTGATCGGTGGGAAGGGCAACTCCTCAACAAGGACGATAAGAAACGGCTGCGTTCATTTTTCGGTGGCCAGTTGGTCCAACAGGTGAAGTCGAAGGAATGCAAACATATCTCGGAGCGTCTCGAGCCATTCTCAGCCATCCAGTGCGATATCAAAGGCAAAGCCACACTTGAAGAAAGCCTTCAAGCTTACGTGGATGGCGAGGTGATGGAAGGTGAAAACAAGTACAAGTGCTCGACATGTGACCGTCATGTTGATGCGGTGAAGAGAGCGTGCCTGAAAGACGTACCGGACCACCTCATCTTCCACCTCAAGCGTTTTGATTTCAACTTGCGAACGCTACAAAGGAGGAAAATTAATGACCACTTCACGTTTCCCCAGACTTTGGACCTTGCGCCGTACACAGTGGAGTACCTCAACGCCGAGAAGGATGCAGCTCAAAGCGATATTTTCGAATTGGTTGGCATCCTCGTCCACTCTGGAACAGCCGAGTCCGGACACTACTATTCCTACATTCGGGAGAGAAGGTTTGGTGGTCAGCCAAGTTGGGTCGAATTCAACGACGACTCTGTGCTACCATGGGATCCAGCCCTGATGGAAAGTGCAACATTCGGCGGCCCGGATCCCCAGTCGTCCCTCCAGGACATAAATGGTATCGTTTACGACAAGACTTACAGCGCCTATATGCTCTTCTATCAGCGTGCATCATCTCAGCGTCATGATTCGCCATCAGGCGGTGCGACGATGAATGACCGTCCGTCGCCTGTTGAGGTCCCGCCTGCATTAAAGGAGCATATCGTCAACGAAAATAGAGTACTGCTTCGCCGACAGTGTCTTTTTGACCCGAGCCACAGTGGCTTTGTTCAGCAATGTTTTGGCCACTCAATTTACCTCGGAGAAAACGAGGCGGCCAAGCTTCGCGGGTCGAAGTACGATGGTGACAATGACGACGAGTTGGGGAGGGGCGCAAGCTCTGATCTGGATACTTCAGCCCACACCTTGGAGAACTTGGCCATGGAAGTGTCTCTGTCTCATTTCGACCAAGTGGTTTCCAGAACCAAGGACGCCACGCTGGTGGAGTCCTTCACTTCAATGCTGAAATCTGCAGTTACAAAGTGCTACGATTGCGCCCTTGCATTTTACAACTACTTCCAGGTGCGCCACGGGGCCATTCGTTCGTTGATTCAGCGAAATCCAGATGCAGATATCAGAAGCTTTACTGGTAAAACGCTTATACTTGCAGCCACGAGGATTCGAAGCGGTCTTCCGCGACTTTACCATTTTCCCGTCCCAACAAGAACAGCCTCCCACTCAGCTAGTGTGGATAGCGAGGATGACTGGGACGATTCAGAGTCTCCGCCATCAGTGCTGCAGGGAATGATGAACATGTTTAACCATCTTTGGAGATTCTTTTACGTACACATCAGGTCCTGGGATGAATATTTCGGCACAGTGCTCGCCTTTGCGAGGCTTGGAGATCTCGAGGTGGGCCGTCTCTTGGCAGACAACTTTTTGCTCAGACTACTTCAAATTATCAGTGCGGACCCGATGACGATGGAGTTGCAGCCCAACTATCAGCGCATGGTTAACAACTTGACGCGGCGCTTCAACTCCAAGCCGGCTTCCTACACTGCGATCCTGGCACTCATCGACTACCTCATGGCGCAGTTGGAACCTACATTGAGCGCAGACGTGATTGTGGACGAGGCAAAAGATAGATGCGATGCGCGAAGGCCCTTCGCTTGGACGTCAGAAGAAGTCCAGGCTGTTCACAGCCACCCCGATAGCCCTACGACTAGTGTTTTCACGGAAAAGCTCCTAGAATTGGATCAGGCACCAGCGTCGACAAACAGCATCATTGGACAATTGGTCGAGAGCGGAGAAGAATTGGATCTCAGGGTGTTCAACACTCTTCGGAGGAAAATTCAAGGGGAAACAACGACACAGCCCATGGACTCGTCCATCAGGGCGGCCGGGCGATATGCTGAATGCAGCGAATCGGTGGAGAGAGTGCATATCCTCATCAGGCATATTTGCACACAAGCACGCAGTCTCCAGCACAATGAGGGATCTACATTTTTGGACTTTGTAGACCTGATGCTGCGCTCGCGCCGACCCAACGAGAGTCTGGCCTTGGCACGGAGAAGGTACATACTTCAAGCGATTCCCATGTGGGCGCCATATCTGCTGGTGTACAGCGACGAGCACACAAGAGGCGTGGCGGAGCGGCTTATCAACGATAGGCTTTTCCCGCCCATGGGACTCGACACACTTGATAGACAGGAGGACGATGCTGCGTTGGAGTCAGAGGCACTAGAACACGTTATCCGACAGCTCGGAATAAAGTGCCTAGTGTATCTCCGAGACGTCCATGTCAAGGGAAGAATACAGCTCGAGCGCAACGCAGCGGGCAACATTCTACGTGTTATCGGTAACTGCGTTCCATTTTACGAGGGAAGCGACGAGATGAACGACTACGCAGACGACAGCGCCGAGTTCAGAGCCATCCAAGGGGGTATGTGAAGCAACAAAAAAACGGGCTCCAGGAACGATGTGCTAACCATTGTTCAGAGATAACAAGTCCCCTGCAGAGACTACTTGTGGACGAGATTGAGGATGACGGGTCTGGTATGTTGTGCTTGCCCGTGCCACCGATTGGAGACATGACTAACGAAGGAACAGAATGGGATGGCTCTTGCGGCTCATCGGAATTCATGGACGCCAACGTAGGCACGTTGGCGCAGACAGGAAATCATGTACAAGACTAAGACCATGCAGAGGTCAGTGACGGCACAATGCACGGCGTTGACGGACATCTATCTCGATGCGAAACCCCTTTGCCATGCTTTCTCTCTCTCTTTTGGGGGGTTTTTTTTTTAAAAAGAAAACTTTTTTTTCTTTGTTTCATCTTTGCTTTGATTGGAGACGTCCCTTCTCAACATTCGAGTCCCAGCATCCCAGATACAGGAGGGCAAATGATATTATGAAAGACTTAGATTAACGCAACAGAAACAGGCTGTCGACACGAGCAGCCTCGTGTTTCATGCACATAGCAGCGGTGTTTCGGCGTATAGAAGGAAAACAGGGTTTCTCTGTAAATGACGATTTGACGGGGCAGCTTACGAGCGATGGCCCTGTGGTTTGAACTCGCAGCATATGATGTGCGTGATATGGTCAACAGGTCAGAATTTGGAGTAGGTTGATAGCAGTGGTAGAGATGGCGATGAATGACAGCGTTGGCAGGGGTCAAAGATGGTTCCCTTTTTGCAGTTCACGTTTTGTTCCCCTGATCTGTTTTTTTTTTTTTTTTTTTTTTTTTTTTTTTTTTTTTTTTTTTTACCAGACTTGCCGCTCCGCAAACGCATGCATTCCCCGACCAAACTGATGTGCACAGCTGCAAACATGGGTGGATGGCGGGACGGCAAGCGGGTTCGAGATGCGATGTTCGGAGGCGTGGGAAGCTGTGGAGCCTGACCCCAGGGGCCTCGACCTGCTACAGGGAAAGGGAGCCAATCACAGATGAAGGTCACTGCCGACAAGACCAAAATAGCACGTAGCCGCCGATGACGACGCCGGATGAGGGACGTGATTGGCTCCACGGACCGGACCTGCATTCCTTGCTGCGTGGCATCCACTTGCCTTGTGCGTGGACGCTGGCTGCATATTGCATAGTTATGTAGTTACGGAGTACTCAAGTACTTGAGTGCATATGCATGGTCACACGCACGCCATGGCATGGCATCGTGGAAATTCCATTGTACCACCACTCCATGCTTCGTTCCATCAGTCTACCGGCCGACGTGACCGGTGACCCCAGACGCAGACGCCAGAAGTTACAACCTCAGCCTATTGTTCTTCTGATGGAAATGCCATCTTGGCCCTAACGGGCAATTGAAACGCCACTGATGCCGTTCTTGGTCTGCAGCATCCCTTCCTTGCTTCTTTCTCCTCTCCCTAGCCACGTTTGGGTTTTTACATGTGCATGCCAACTAACTCTACCTACCAGACATCCTTTGCGTTGACGGTCACATTGATGACGAGACGCATCCATCTCACACCAACCACATGGCTGCCTGGCCGGGCCTGGCAGGGCGCGACCTGCTCCCACGAAGCTGAAGACTGAAGACTGTCACGCAGTGTTTCTGCGGCCCTGTTTCATCGAGGCTCCCGTTTCAGAATATGCAGGTTATCGCGGTGCGCCTCGTGACTGGTGATTGGGTGTGTGAGTCGTCACCAAGGCCACGCTGACGTCTGCCGCATACCTGGGGTTGTTGGCAAGTTATATATCCCACATACTGCCTGCTTGTTTGCGATCCAGTTCGATCCAGCGGAGGACCTCACCATCTGCGTTTCTGGTGATTTGTGCTCACTCTCTGGGTGGTCCTCCTCGTTTTTGCTTCTGCTTGTCTTGGGATGTCTCGGTCAGGCCCGGAATGCTCAATGTTGCCCGTGAAAGCCCCTGGGGAACGTCTTTCGCCTGGCTGTCTCTGAGCCTGTCACCACTTTATTGTCCCTGATTTTCTGTGCATTTCCATCTCATTTATTCTTTCCTTTTTTCTTTTTTCTCCTTCTTTTCTTTTTCTTTGCCTACTCTTTTTTTTAAAACTCAGACACAAGTGTCATTCTACCGCCCTTCAACACCATGACCCTGAAAGAGAGGATTTCTTCACCCCTCGAAGCTGGTCCGTCCATCCTTGATGCCCATCGTCTTCCCCCTCACTTGACGCCCGCTCTCGAATATGCCTCGTCTCGCCTTGCCAAGAAGTCTCTCCATCTTACCCTTGTCGTCGTCCGAAGAGACTACCAGCTACCCAGCGTTGTTCCTCCTCTGAGATCGCCGGGCCTGTCTGCTCCAGCCACGCCCGCCTCTCCGCCCTCTGCCAAGTTCGGCTTTTCTACCGGCCCTGTCGCGGCCCTGAAGCATCTTGTCCGGACAGCATCACGACAGAGCTCGCATTCGGCACAGTCCAACGGCTCCAAAGGTGCTGTGTCGTCGCCGGCTACAACCACCCTGGACTCTCCCGGTCCGAGACTTCGATGGCCTCTCTCGCCTTGTACGCCTTTGTCTCCGCCTCCCATGACGCCATGCACACCGTCCTCTGTTGCGACGGACTACACTGGTCCTATGACACCAGCCGGCTGGGGGATTCGCTTGATACACGCATCTGATTTGTGTGCCAAAAATCAAAGAATCCAGCGGGCGGTGTTTACGAAAACTGCACAAAAGTTTGGCCTGGGGTAAGCTTTCGAATTCAACCAAGCAAAAAAGCAGGAGCGGGCGTCAGATCCCATTCACGCTTACACACTAATTTGTCTGGGGGAAAAAAGGTCTTGTCTCTCACCCGCCGTCGACCCCTCAACTTGTGGCCTATCCGCCCATCTCATCGCAAACTCCCTTATCCAAAACGAAGTCCTCTTCTCCTCCGACGGGCTCACTCTCCTCTCTCTCGAGCGACTGTACAGCCTCAAGAGCGCTCTGTCGAGTTATTCCAAAACCAAGGCCCATTTACGTCTCGAGGACGCAGTCGACGAGCTCCGTCGGTATATTCTTGCCAACAACGGCGCCAAGGTCACCAAGTCAGATTTGCTACGCTCCTATGAGTGGCTGAGCGCAAGTTCGTCTGCTGTGTCAGACCTGGACAAGATGTACAGAAGGGCGTACGGAGGACCCGGCGAGGTGGGCGCCATATCCGGAGTCGGGCCTCCCTCTCCCACGGTAGTCCCGCCTCACGCACCCGAGCCGGTGGTTCGCCCAGACGAGGATTGCGAGTTCCTCACCGAGTATGACGACGATCCCGATCTGAGCCCCACGCAGATTGGACTCGCGGTAACCACGTTTGAAATGAGCAAGCCGGCCTCGCCCAAGGGCCCGGTCTTGAAGATTCAGACGAAATTCAAGACAAAACCTATGCTGCGGAGAAAGCCGGGCTTTGGACCAGACCTCGGGGGAAGGGACAACAAGGTCGAGGGCCCTGAGAAGAAAGACGGCGAGGAGGGCGGCGATCGGCCGGCACGGCCTCTCGAAGCGGCATCGGGGGGGTGCACACCTTGGCCAACATCGATAGACAATGTCCTGAGTGGAGCCGTGACGAGTGCCGACGCGAGCTCCGCGTGCCTAGTGCCAATGACCCCCAAGGAATATGATGATATTTCGCCCATAACGAGAGGAGAATGGGGCTTCTTGATGGTTGACGACGCGTTTCGGGGAGGGCGGACCGTCGCAGTGGAAACGTGCTGACCACGGGAAACACGGGACGAGATTATGCCGTCATGTATGCTAGACCATTTTGTCTTTTTCTCCTTTGGGTGCGGCAGACTATGCATTGGGAAGCGCAGAATACGAGATTGAACCCGAGTCGTGTGTCGCTTCTTCCACATGAAGAAAACCGCTTCGTGCTGCGTGTGTATCTGGGTGTCGTGGAGATGGATTCGCCTCTGCCCTACCAGCCGTATTTGCTACTCGTGGCCTTCTTGTTGGTCCTCGCCGTGGCGAAGCTGTCCTCGAGCGCGTCGCGCTGATTCTGCACATTCTGCACCAGCTGCTTGAGGGAATGCTTGCCGCCGCCTTGTATGGAGCGCACGGCCTTGTGGACCTGCTGGTCGCCTGCTGCGCGGACGCTCTCGTTGTGCTGGTACTCCTTGTCCATGTTGAAGTTGACGACGGTCTTGGCCGCAGAGTTGCCCGCGTCGCGGCGGCCAAAGAGCTCTCTCCTCGCCGCCGCGGAGAGGTTCAGATCGCGGGCGATGGCGTCGAGAGATTCGGGGTCGGATTCGGGGTTGGGATTGCCGTTGCTGTTGCCGTTGCTGTTGCCGTTGCCGTTGCCGTTACCGGGCGTGTCGTCGGCGGCAACGGCACGGGCGTCTGGCTGGTATGCCGACTCGAAGAGAGGTTCGTAGGCGCCGGCGGATGAGGAGGCGAGATCCAGCGGTTCCTGTTCTTCAGTGTGCATGGGGAAGAGGGATGTTTTTCTCCTTGGTGCTCCCGCCGGTGCTGGTGCCCCATCGGCGTCTGCCTTCGTTGATGCATGCGGCTTCGGGGTCGCGCCGGCCAGGGACGATTTAGACTTGGCCTTCTTGTCCCCCCTGGCGACGAAGCCTACTGATAGGGGCCGGAACATGAGCGGCCTCCCGACCAGCGTGACTTGGTCGGCTGGCTTGTGGCCGAGCGGCATCGACGGCGCGGCGGCATCTTGGTTGCTTGCCGCCGCCGGCGCTTGCTCGTCGGCATCGCGGCTGAAGCCTGGCGCTGCGCTCGTCTTCAGGTTGATGCCGGGCCGGGGGGGCGCGCTGCCGGACGGTCTGGAGCCGGGCTTGCCTGTGTTCTTTGGCGGCGGGAGGGACGAGTTGAGCCCGGAAAAGAGGCCGCCTCGTGCTGTGCGCGCGCGTTTCGCGGGCGGTTCGTCGGGTCTGCGGGAGCTGGAGCCGGAGCCGGAGCCGGAGATGGTGGCCTGCGGCAAGCCGACGACGATTTTGCCTGGCTTGGAGCGGTCGACTACTTTCTGGAACGGCCTCTTGGGGGTGCTCTGTGAGGACGGGGGCTTGGGGGGGGCTTCCGGCTCGGAGCCCGAGTCGGATTCGGAGTAGTCGACGAGGCCCATGGTGCGGTGCGGTGCGGTGCTGTGACGGAGATGTGAGGTGAGGATTTCGAGTCCAAGGCTGTATGTAGTTACTTAAGTAAGCACCACTTATTATCATTGGCGTTGGTGGACTCGGGACTGCACTGTGCCTCAGCTGTGGGGCGCCTGGCTTGGCTTGGGGCTTGGGGCGGCTGGGCCCTGCATCTCGCCCGTCACAGGCAGGTGGGTGCCGCTGGCTCAGCCTGCCGGAGCACTGAGACGCACCGAGCCAACGCCCCCGTCGATCCGCTCCGTGCGTGCTGCAGCCAGCAAGCTGTCGTGGCGGCTTTGCTTTCTTCGGCTTCCATGTCTGGTGCCAACTTCGAGCCATCCATCCCCTTCTCTCACCGCTTGGCCGGCTGCTATGCTCGTCAGAGGCGATTCATGCCAGCAGCCGAATAGGTGAACCTGATTCAACAGGCATGTAGACACGGGCTTGTGGCACATTCTTTCTTGAACCTGCGCCGACGTCAACATGTCCGTCATTCAGCTGGAAGAGTAAGTCTACCTCGGAGGACCGATGTGCAGTCAGCAAGAGCAAGAGCAAGAGCAAGAGCAACAGCTGACACTTGGCCGCCCCCCAGGCTCATGTCCTACCAACTGCGGACGAGCTATCTCGATGAAATCGCAGACGGCGTCGGCGAGCGACTGCTCACCGTCAACGACAACTTTCTCAACTCGGCCGCATTCAAAGCCGCCGGGTGGCGTCCCAACCGGTCCTACATCAAGCGGACGTACTCTCCTCCGATCCCCACGGCCGTCGCGTCCGAATACTTCCAGGCGCCACGACAACCAGGTCTCACGCTCGAGGATGGCGACGAGGACGGCGGCATGCTCACCGGCGGAGGGGCCGACACCATGGGTCCCGGCGTGGCTACTAAGAGGCGCAGGCGCCGGGAGCAGGTGGAGGAAGACGACAGCAGCGACTTGTCGGACGAGAGCGACGAAGAACAGGAGCAACGCGCCGCGCAGCAAATCAAGTTTTCAAAGATGCCAGTGAGGCAGCGGGCAGGGTCGTCGCCGCTACAGGCATCGCCCGTGAAGCCCCAGACGTCGCCCCGGGTGCCGAGGCGTGGGTCTCAGTCAGCCCTCGAGACGGTGCGAGAGCGCCGGCGCAGGGACACCGTCACCAGCAGCGACATTTCCTCCGAGAACGAGTTCGACGTGCCCGCTGTGCTGAGACACCGGGAGGCAGCACGCGCCGCGGCAAGGGCTGTGCGGTTACAGGACAAGATCAACGAAGAACCCGCGCCCCCGCGTCTCGAGAGGGCTGACACTCAGCTTCTGCCCGAGGAAGAGGAGGACGATTCGGACGAGGGCTCCGACATGTCTGGCGACTACGTGGGGAGCATGGATTCTGCTTCGATTCTGGACGGCGTGGAGAATCCCATCAATCCCTCGCCCACCCAACAAGTCGTGGGAACGCCGCCTCGAAACTTCCCGCGGCAATCCATGGTTCGCAAGTCACAACCACCAGCAAAGCCCGTGGTCCTGGAGGCTCTGCCTCCGCCCCGGCCCATGAGCATGATCCGGCCGGCCAGCTACGTCCAGCCTACGAGTCTGCTCTCGGCGGCACTGAAGGCGCGGGAGCACAAGTCATCCGTGCCCTTCCAAAAGTTTGCTCATTTCAGCGGCCAAGGAACACAGGGGTCCATCGCCGTGCGCATCTACGCCCCCTTTTGCAGGACGGCGAGCAAGCCTTTCGAGGTGCTCATCCGCCCCCGGGTCCACGACGGGCAGGGCGCCGAGCGAGTGGTTACGGTCACCGACCTGATTGGGCTGAGCCTGTACCGGTATACCGAGGAAAAGAGGGAGCCGCAGATATCGCCCGGCAAATACAGCGTGAACTGGTGGACGCTCAGAATGGTGGAAGACGGCGAGGTCGACGACGACTTCCCGCCGTTTGAGAGGAAGAAGCCGCTGACTTCATTCACGACGGTCAACAATGCGAGCGCCAGGGGCGGAGGCAGGATGCGGTCCAACTCGGCAGCCTACGATGAATTTGCGCTGGTGCCCGCCTCGGAAGGTGAATACGAAGAAAACAAGCGCCTGACACCCCAGCTAGACGATGACGAGGCCGAGCAGGCGCAGGGCCAGCAAGCAGCGCCGCCGCCGCCGCCGCCGCCGCCGACCGTGAGCCATCTCGTGAGCCCCAACGAGGGTGATGACGATGATGCCAATGATGATGCCGCTCGTAAATACTCGCCCGCACCGCCACGTATGGACCCCCTGGCGGACAACAGCCGGCCGAGACAGAACCCCATCGTGACGACGACGTATCGGCCAAACACGCCCCTGGCCGACTCGCCGCAAGTGCCGGTGACGGTGCCGAACACGACACGCGGGCAGCACAAGCTGCTCCGCGTCCACATCATGTCCTCGGACGTGGCGGCGGAACAGATGGTCACGGTGGACGTGACGACGGACACGTACCTCGCCGAGGTGCTCGACATTGTCTGCCGCAAGAGGCAGCTGGACAAGGCCAACCACGTGCTGAAGCTCCCCCGGTCGGGGGCCGTGGTCATGATTGACCGGCCGGTGTCGTCGATCGGCAACGTGTCCGACCTGGAGCTGTACCGGAGACGGTTTGCGACGGACGGACCGCTGAGCGTGGCCGGCTCGCCCAGCAGCTCGTCTCCGCGGACCATGGGCCTCCCCAGCAGCCAGGGCGTGTCGCAGCGGAGGGAGCACAGGAGGGACAGGTTGCTGGGGCCGCACCCGCTGGCGCAGGAGGCGCTCGAGCAGGACGAGTTTGGCAACGCCAACTACAAGAAGTACACGGTCTGGCGGAAGCAGCCGATGCGCCTCGTGGGCATGAGCGAGCGGATCCTGGTGATTGACGGCGAGTACATCCACATCGTGCCCGCGTCGGGGGGCAAGGCGGTCCACGACGGCGGAGGGAAGACGACGACGGTTCACTTTAGCAACGTCGTCGGGTGCAAGGTGCCGCGAAAGCACCCGACAAACGTCAAGGTATGTGTGTGCGCGCGATCCATCCGTGGCTTTTTCTTTCTTCTTCTTCTTCTTCTTCACCTTTTGCTGCCTTTGCGAAAGAGGAGATTCTCGACGCATTCTCGCAGCTGCGAGAGGCGCGTGGGCAAAGGTGACGACTGCGTCATCACGTCTCGTCCCGTCCTGCGGGGGTTGGCGGAGCAGAATGCTGACGGGGATCCGGGACCCTTGCCCTCGGGGTTCCAAAAATAGCTGGTGATCTACAAAGCCACAGAGAGCAAGCGATACGATTTCGAGGCGCGCGGGGCCGACGAGGCAGCAGAGATTGTGGCCGCGCTGAAGAAGGGCATCTCGCCGTACAGAGAGGTGTAGATGCAGACGGGGACGGTGGCGGCGGCGGCGGCGGCGAGAATCAGCCGGTGCAAGCAACCACTTGACGGCTTACGCACGCCAGGAGGCGTAGGGTTCTGGCGGCGGGTGGCTGAGCCGCGAGCGAGCCGCCATCCGAGGCCTCGAATTGCTTCGGTGCGGCGGTGCGGTGCGTGTCGATCTCCGGGGACGGACGGGCGCTCCGAGAAGCTGATCTGGCGTGGGATGCGATGACGTGGACGTGGAGACGTGGAGACGTGCAGGCACTCGGGCACATTATGACGAGGCACTGGGCCGTGACGTGCCGCTCAAACAGTTGGCTTGGAAGACGGAGGAAAGGGTGTCGTCATGCGCATCACGATGCACCTGGCTGCATCGTTTGCAGTCGAGCCGCAGCTATGCAGTCGAGCCGGGGGGGGAGGGGGGCTCAGACGCGGCTTGCTCGTCGTCCGAGACGCGGTATGTAGTTGCGCTCATCGAGAAGAGACTCAACTTGGTATTTCGCGTCCCAAGGGCAGCGTCGGGCGTTGGGCGTCGGACGTTGGGCGTTGGCACGGGAGACTGATGATGAAATTTCCCACGGTGCCACGCACGCCCATTTGGTTTTGCGGCCAGTTTCATTGTTTCACCCGCGTTAGCAATACAGGTCACACAAACTCTCTGCTGCCCGTACGTGTCCCCCGGCATCTCCCCAAGCAACCGCGCGGACGGAGGGAGCACATCAACATGGGTTCGCGAGTTCATTGTCCTTCCCGATCCTGCTTCCCTGCCCGCCGGTTCTCGCAGGGCCCACCGTGACGCAAGACGACAAGCAAGGTCGAGGAGGGAAGCCCGGCCCTGGTCGACCTTGCGAACGACGAACGACGAACGATGAACGACGATGCACAGGATTGTCGCGGACGACGACCTGCATGGATGCCAGGCCACGCCAGGCCACGCCAGGCCACGCCAGGGTAGCAGCTCCTCCGTGCCGGGCTCGGCTGCGAACGCCCCGAAGTGACGCCCCCGGCAGCGGTGGTGGGACGACGATGCACCAGCAGGGCACTGAAACGAGCACACGACAGGTGCCGTTCCGACGGTACACGACCCCCTGCAGACAGTGTAAGTGTAGTACGAGCCGTTGGCGTTGGGGCAATTGGGGCGACCGAGTCGAGTCGAGTCGAGTCGAGTCGAGTCGAGCCGTTGGTCTGGCACATGCCTCCGCCGTTGGGCGACGTTTGCTGCGGCGCACGTCGTGAAATTGGCCTTGTGCGACGGGGTTGCATCACCCCAGCCCACGACTGCTGTTCCTCGTCCTCGTCCTCGTCGACTGGGAGACACACGGGGGCGCGGGCGCGGGCGCGGGTGAATCCAGCGCGGCCTCGTTTCCCTTCCACTTCTCGGCGGCCTGGCTGGCGGCTGTGGGCTTCGTTCGAGGAGGCAGCCGGCCGGCGATTCATCGGACTCCCAAACTCAATCGCGATCAGGCACTACGCGGGCGAAACTAAACTTGCGTGCGTGGAACTAGCGGCGTCCCTCCCTCGCAGGCGAGCCGGACCCTGGCTGGCTGGCTGGTCACCCCGGACCGTGAGCACGGAGCAGCTCGTGAGGTGGACGCAGCGGCGAGGGCGCACATTGGCGAAGACGGACACGACTGCGGGGACGGCAAAGGCAGAAGCCACGCCGAGATTAGAAAGTGGACTCGTGGGCTCGTGGGCTCGGGCCTGGGCTTGCCAGGTTGGGCCGGGGTGCGGGCGAGCTGGTGACGATATACTTTGAACCCAGCCGGGATGGGGCGTCCTTCTTGGATGCATTCTTGCATTCTTGACTCTCGAGGCCCTTGAGGCGCAGGCCGGTGATCGCCGTGTCGACCAACGTGCCCATGGGACGGCGTGGAGCAGGCGAATGCTACAAGTACTTGAGGCGCCCCGAGTTCCTGGCCCTCGCCGCCGTTGACCTTGGGAATCTTTTCCATCCTGCCACTCCCACTTGACCTGTGTCTAAATCTACTCCGAAGCCATCGCTTTCCAACTCCAACAACACCCTTCGACTCTTGACATCAACACATCACATCCCTCGCCGTCATGAAGCTCTCCAGCACTGTTATCCTGGCCCTCGCTGCCGCCGTCCAGGTTCGTCGCGTGTCCGCACAAACAAACCCCCTCTTTCCCGCCCCCTTGACTGACCAGCCCGTCGCACCATGCAGGCCGCGCCTGAACCTCAACCCGACCTCTTGAGCGACGTCACCAGCCGCGTGGGCGGCATCGTCTCGGACGCATCGACGTTGGTCGCCGGCGCCTCGAACCACGCCGCAGAGGCCACCAGCGAGGTCGCCGCCAAGGCCTCCAGCCTGAGCCAGCTCATCGCCACGGCCACGGGGTCCGCAAAGTCGAGCGCCGAGAGCGAGCTCTCAGAAGTCACCAAGGACCTGACCAAGGCCACCGGCGAGGCTGGCGCCAAGGTCTCGAGCCTCAGCAAGCTCATCGCCACGGCCACGGGGTCCGCAAAGTCCAGCGCCGAGAGCGAGCTCTCAGAGGTCACCAAGGACCTAGCCAAGGCCACCAGCGAGGCTGGCGCCAAGGTCTCGAGCCTCAGCAAGTTCGTCGCCACGGCCACGGGGTCCGCAAAGTCCAGCGCCGAGAGCGAGCTGTCCAAGGCTACCTCCTCTCTGGCCGCGGCCACCGGCTCATCCTCCACGTCCACCAGCCGCGGCGGTGGCGCCCGCGGCCCGGCTCCCACCGCTGCCGTGGCCGTCGGCGCCCTCATGGGCGGTGCTGCTCTCTTGGCCAACTTTTGAGAGGGGAGAGATGCGAGTCTTTGCTGGCCTTTCTCGTGGCCTCTGTATGCTGGGGAAATTAGGAACGGGGGGGCGGGCCTGGCGTGGCGCAAATGGGATCCAAGGGCGTGAGCCCTTCACAATGAGCAATGTAAAAAAATACTGTTGGCCCGGCAGAATCCTTGGCTGTCACGGGTCTCTAGTTGGTGTAACGGATGAGACGAATAATAGCCCGACTTTGCCTGTGCCCCTGCCTCGCATTGTCTGTGCTCCGTATCGTGCGTGCCTGCCGGATGCCTGTAGCAATCGACACGGTGGCTGCCGGTTGTTGAACGATGCCAGACCCGAGTGGCTTCGTCATGTAACAAGGCAAGCAACATGTTGGTGCGTCGAGCGTGATGTGATAAAGAGAATTGACAGATCAACAACAGGCTATTCTATCATCCCGACGCCAGTTGCTTGCTTGCATCCTGGAAATCTATGCCTTGGGCTGCAACTCCGCCCACAGCTTGTCGATAGTCTGAAATACAGCCGTCACATCCCTGATGACGTCGCCGTCCACCTTTTCGCGCAGCTTTTGCTGCACTTTATCCGGGTGCCAGCGGACTCGCTCCTCCTTGAGCTTGGCCCTGAACGCCTGCTCCCCAATGTCGTCGAGACCCAGTCCGCGGACCAGAAACGACCGCACATCTTTGTCGCCCAAGTCCTTGCGTTGTCCGCCGTCGACAGGCCAGGCCAACGTATCCAGCGTACCGTCCCACGATGCCCATGCATTGGTGTATTTCTCCCACTGCTCGGCCCACCGGCGTCGCTGCCGCCGTTCTTCTCCACGCCGCAGGCTTTGCTCCATGTCTTGGCGCAGCTTTCGGGCTGTGCGCTCTTCGTCCTGCCTCTGTCTTCGCCGGTCTTCGCGCTTTGCCCTCTCCTCGAGCAGCCCCGCATGTGTCTTTTCCCACATCTTTTGTCGCACGTACGCCGCATACTCGTCGTCCGTCATTTGCTCCAGCTCCCCGGTCGGGCCGCTTCTTTCATTGGGGTACACGTGGATGGGCTGGCCGTAGACGGATTCCCAGTACGCAGCCCCTTCATCGTCAGCCATTGCATCAAACAGAGATTCTCGAAATGCAGCCTCCGGGTCGAGTGGCGAAGGTTCGAATGGATTCGGCGGCGTTGGCGAGCGCCGTCGATGTCGCCGTCGGTTTCGTCGGTGGTGGTGGTGCCTGCTTGGTCTTGAAGACTGCGGCTCGCCATCGCCGTCGTGGTCCTCGTGTATTTCACGTCCATCATGTCTCTCACTGTTTCTGCGTCCGCTTCTGGACCGGCGACGGCGAGACTGGTCTGATTTGAGCCTCAGTCGTGACCGCCGAGGTCTGGTCGAGTCACCGCCTCCGTCTTCATCCTGAGTATTTCGCCACGGCTTTTCCATGACGGGAGGTGATGCACGCGAGGTGTCTCTCCCGTGATGACTCGAAGCCGCCCGGGTAGTCGAGCTTGGTTCGTCTTGATTTATCGACGACAGGACGTGACGCCGCTTTCGCGATGGGCTTGCATTTGCCATGATGAGGAAGCGGCCATAGTCACTGCGGCCGTAGCAGTAGCGCCAAAAAGAAAAAAAGAAAAAAAAAAGAGGAAGAAAAGGAAACTCAAAATTTTTTTTCCCTGACGGCCTCTTCTGGCAGTAATCACACGGCCATGCTTGAGTAGTTGGTTGTTCAAACGAAACTCGACGCCGCCATCGGTTGGTTATGGGTCGACCGCCATGACCGGTGGAGCTTGGCCGCCAGGGTGCAAGCGGAAGGAGCGATCTTGAGCCACCGAGCACCGAGCAGGGCAGGAGGGAAGAGGGGCTCCTGGCCGAGCCCGGAAATGTGACCGGGGTGTCGCAACGACCACGAATCCAAATTTCTGCCATTGAAATGCGGAAAACCCAATCTGCCCTCTCTCCCACGCTCGACCATCTTCTTGCGCTGCGCCTCCGGCATTCTTATTCCTCACGCAACTGTCTGTACGACTTCCAGCTATTCGTCAGGCACGATGCGCTGGTAGCCAGCTTTCCATTTCCACCTTGACAAGCCACTGTCGACCACAACCTCTGCGACATACGCACCAGCCTGCGTCATGGCCGGCATATTGCTACTTCTCGGCCTCTGCGTAAGTCCATCCGTTCTCGGCGACTGCACACTTGGTTTGAACTCGGACAGCTTAACCAGGCTTGACTACAGGTGGTAATGGCCGTTGCGTAAGACGGCAATGAGAAGCGCGCCCGCAAAACAGGACAGAAGCTAATGACACCTGCAGGTCATTCCTCGCCGGCGCCCTCCCACTCTCCATGACATTGTCACAATCACAGCTACGGCTAATATCCAGCATTGGTGTTGGGGTGCTGGTAGGGACGTCGCTTATAGTCATTATACCCGAAGGAATCGAAGCCGCTGCGTCATCCCCTACCACATCACCGCATGCCCACAAGCTACGAAGTCTCTCGCGTCGAAGCCCGTGGAACTTTGAACTCCAAGAGAGAGAGGTCATCGAGCAAGTCGCCGCAGTTGCGGCCGTGCGCCGGGTGAGCAAGGACGACGGCGAACCGTTGCGCATCCTCGTCTCTCCGAGTACACCGAGCCCCAGCGAAAAACGAAATGAGCAACCCTCCAAACGTGCGCCCGACTCGCCCGAGAATGAGGGCGAGAAAAACAAGGAGGAAGCGCACGTGGAAGTCCCAGCTTTCGAGGTCGGATTCTCCATGGTTCTCGGCTTCATTCTCATGTTCCTGATTGATCGGCTGCCAAAACATGCCTCTGATGGTCTGCACTCGGGCCCGCAGCCGCAGTATTTCAGTTTGGATAACTTGGGCGGCAACGGCGTAGAAGCCACGCCGGCAGATGAAGAGCAAGGCTTCTTGGCTTCGCTGACGCCAACGCCAAAATACACGAGGAGCCTGGCTACGACCATTGGATTAGTCATTCACGCTGCTGCGGATGGCATCGCCATGGGTGCCTCGTCGGCCACATCCAACGTGAAGCTTGGATTCGTAATCTTCATCGCCATCATGATTCACAAGGCTCCCGCGGCCTTTGGCCTGACCTCGGTGCTTCTACGGCAAGGACTGTCGAAACGCGCGGCGCGCGGCCATCTGGCCGTCTTCAGCCTGGCCGCGCCGACGGGCGCCATATCGACCTGGCTCATGATCAAGTTGCTCGGCGGCCAGCACCTGGAAGGCGATGCAGGCATGTGGTGGACGGGGATGTTGCTCCTCTTCTCAGGCGGGACATTTTTGTAAGCTTCACGACGCCGCAAGTCGGCCCTTTTGGGCCCTTCTAAGTTCTAACGCTTGTTCCCCTCGTCAGATACGTAGCGATGCACGCCATGCAGGATGACGCTTCGTCCCATAATCACGAGAGCCACTCCGGTACCAATGGATACGCGGACGGCACGCCGAGTGCTCAGCGGAGAACAAAGGGGCCCGACATCCGCGATACCTTGGCCACCGTCGCGGGCATGCTGTTGCCCCTCCTTACGCAGTTTGGACACCACCATTGATGCGGCACTTGCGACAGACGATAGAAGGGCCGGAGACGGAGGACACTGGAAGCGAACGAGGGACGGCCCGCAAGGGCGTCGTCAAGTTGCTCGATTGCGACATTGTCAGCCGTGTAGAAAACAGGGCATATTTGCGGAATATAACGCATGAAGACTAGCAAGTAAGGACATTACATTAAACTAGACCATAGCGCTGCGGATTCTATATATCGCGAGACTACTCCGTACTATTCGTCCCATTTCATGAGCATCGGTCGCACGGGCCGAGGCAAGGCTGACCCGAGAAATGATTGCTAGACAGCTACCCAGCCAAGTGCCCGAGCAGTGAGCAGTCCGTCAATTTCAACTTCAGAGGGCAACCTTCACGGAGGGCTCGGGAACTCGGGCCATTGTTTCAAGACCAGTCCATGCGCACTGGCCCGCCACGACACGCTGCCGCCATCAAGGCACGAGACGACAAGTTGCGCATGGTCTCTTGACTTGTCGGCGCTCACGCCTGCATTTACGTCCACTTCAGTCGTAGATTGGCGTGCACGGAGCATGAAGAGGGATGGAGAGAGCAAATGAGCCATTGCAGGCAGCCCTTGGTTGGGGGCTGCAGAGACACCCGGATTCAGTGGTTTGCATGGAGCCATGGTCCAAGTGATATATTTACGTGCTCGACTTGTTCATACTCTGTACAGATATTCTCCGTCCAGATGAGACGTGAGAAGCAGAGTATTCTGCACAGAAGGGTAAGACATTGGAGCGGAGAATACAGGGGGTTCAGAGGGTTGGGCCGGGTCATTATCCGACAGGCAGGGTAGATAGATATCTGCCGTGGCGCGGCAATGGGCCAAAAGTTTGAGATGGTGAGAAGAGAGGGACGAAGAACCCACGCCAGATGTTCGGATCGTCGTCCAATGGTAAACCGTGCTGGACATAGGAACAAACCAGGTACGACGAGATAGCGTGTGGTGCGAAACAAGGGGAAACTATGCTGGAGAACAGCCAACGGCCGACCAGAGTTCCCGCCAAAACACTTGCATTCTCGAAACCGCCAGGAACCACTTACAACTGGATCCGCGCTTGATTCCGCGACCGCGAGTGTTACAGATGGCGGCCAGGGTGCGCACCAACCCGAGGTTCATGCCTCGACGGCTATGCCGGGTTGGTGATTTTAGTCGTCTTGCGATGCGTAGACGTTGATTGGGGTCCGTACGCCCCGCGGCCCGTTTAGCCAATCCACAAACCCGGGGTTGGTTGACGTACGACAAGTAACTACGGAGTAATGTGTGTGGGATGCCGCATACGGACGGGGACGATTTGCTTGTTGCAATGCACGTCGTCTCCAAGCACAGGCAGGGCCTTGGTACCCCACGCGCCATGGCGGCTTGTCGGACCAGTTCTTGTTGGACATGGTTCACATTCTTTTATACGGCTGTTTAACTGCTGCTCGGGGACATCGGTCAGGTGAGAGACATGCATGGGTCGAGTTATTGAGACGGGTTGAGGTCAATCGACCGGTGGTGAAGCTGTCCGATCTGGGGTCCGGCTAGTTCGGAAGCTGACAACTCGAGACCTCTACCGGGTCTGGGTAGGCGATATTCGAACCCAATCTTGATCAGAACATTTGTCAGACAAGCAGGTGTAGGAAACGGGCAGCCCAATGCATGGTGTGATTTGGTACCTCGGCAATACGTGTTAGGCTATCAGTTGCGATATTGTATTGTGCAGTCAATATTGTACAGCGGCCGGGTCCGGGTGGCAGCAGGCCAGGTCGCCGGCCCAACTCTTGGGGGCCTCACACGTCACCGACCACCGACTGACTGACTTTGTTTGACGTGGTGCTGCGGTTTGCTTTTGACTGATTGTCATGGGTTGCCGCCATTGGCATAGATATGGCCGTCATCAGGCAGCACATGTGGACGAGTTTCGATGCGTTGAGGCCTGGATGGTTCACATTGGAATTTGGGAAGGAGCTTGGGCGCACGGTGAGGCGAATGCCAGCTGCTCCTTCTCCCTCTCCCCGTTAAACTGATGCCTTTGATGGGCGATGGACGGCAAATTGTCGGTTCTGGCCCTGGCCACGACTCTTTTGTGGCCAAGGATTCACGACGTGTGTACGGAATACAATCTTTATTTACTAGACGCATCAACAGTAACACTGGATCAGAATCTGCAATCACGGTCCAGAGGTTCCATGATTGCTACGCTGGGAGCACCACCCTGGCTCCCTGCAACCATGCCGTCCCTCTTACTAGCACCGCTTCAGACACAGCTCAGCATCCCATCCGCGAGCAACGACTTGCCTTTTCTCGCCCAAGGCTGCCCCGTCTCTCTTTTTTTGCCGGGTGGCTGTTGGGAGTCCTGTTTGTCACCCAAACCCGCTGAGACTCAAAATAGTAATTGGTAGTTGGCAGTCGAGACATTCATTCACGCCGGGTAGCGAGTTACAAGCAACGTTGATGGCCTGATTCCGCCGATGTGCTGGCCTTGGCCTCGGGCACGAACATCTCTGGCAACAAACCCGTCATTTTGGGCTCGTGTAGGTCTGGATGGACGTTGGGGCTCAGCACCATCTAAACGCCCCAACCTCACTTCGCGTACTCTATAATTCCAAGGCGAAAACCCAGCGTCCAAGCCGTCGGCGGTCCTCAGCTCGTTGGACCCCATGGTTGTGTATGACTTGTTCACAAGGTCCTCCATGCCTTGTGCTGGAAACGACTCGAAACTGCGTCCTGGCCATTACTCATGCAGCCCTAGTGCTACTGCAGGTTCCCACCGTTTCCTAGACCGCTGAACCTCGAGATGCTTTTTTTGACCCCCAAGTCAACTGTGGCTTGTCGTCGGCATATTGTGGTTCTTCAACACAGCTTGGCAACAACCCCCAGTCGCTCTCGCTGTTCCAAACGTTCTGCTCCGTACTCCGTACTTGAGATTGGTTCACGACCTGGTCGAGTGCGGCACCCCCAGCCAAGGCTTATTGACCAAGACCAAGGACTTGCGCTGGCCAACTGCCCCGAAAGCCGCGGCTGCACCGGAAATCGACCATCCCTGGGTGCAAATCTCGCCAATCTACTCCGTGCTCGGCCCACATGATCCCGCCTCCCTGAAGTTACTATTGTGCAATAGTACGGAGTAGTCCTACCCAGCAAGTTCCCGAGGGCCAATGTTGCTGGATTGGCGAGCGCAAACGAGCACAAGAACAAGCACGAGGGACCCCCTAGGTGGCCATCGATGCGTCTGCTTGCTTCTTTTGTAGCGGCCACGACCGTCATTGAAGGAAGGGATTCGCCTGCGCGACACTTGACCCTGGCCAATGCTTGCTGCAGGCTGTCCAAGTGAGTGTGTTGCGTTGCCCTTGTCCAGTTCCTTGCCTCGAAAGCGTGCATAACGTTCCACTCTTCTTCCATCACCGAACGTTGCTCCATGCTGAACTTCGGGCAGTTGTGTTTTTCCCTTGTCCTTTTCCTCCTCGTCTTCGCCCTTGCCCTGCCCCCGCTGCTCGGTCGAATCTGGATGAGCCTGAATCACGTTGATGTCCTTCAAGGCCGCCATTTCCATTTCCAGCTTCGCAGTGTATTTCGACAAAATCAAGGGGTAACGGTATTCACGCCAACGTGTGCGCTTCATTACGTGTAAGTCTGGGACTCTGTCGCCATGGGCCGTACCGTACCCTGGCGCGCCTTGACACACCCCTCGTGAAGCGATTCATCCTCGGGTCGGGTCCTCGTCTGGTCCTGTTCCTCTGTGCCCCTCCCTAGCACGGAGTAGTAACTACCTAGGTACCTAACCTAACTTGCTTCAAGTACTACTTACTTATTAAGTAAGTACTTAAGCAACTTGCAGGCCTGGCCGCTCGGGCATCCACCCCCGACTTTAAAGGCACGGCATCCAGCCTTTTCTTCCATCACCATCGCCGCGCTCCCTGGCCCGCGTGCACCACATCCCATTCCCGCCTTTCCTTCTTGCTATCTTTCCGTGCTCTGCGAATGCGTGTTCGTATGCTACCAGTCCGCGTCGGGAGCTGACATGACCTGCTCGCAGGCTTAGCTAGGCCCGTCCTTTGGCTCTACAACCCCCCGTCCGCCTTTGCACGACGCTCCCATCCGGCTCCTTTCCAGGCACGCCGTATCCTCATCCATCTGCTCACATCCTCGTCCTGTCTCACGATTCTCCTGGCCCTGGTAAAAATCAATTCATCCACGACGCGGATACAGCGTCTACCATCATGGATGGCTATAATCGACCCGTTGGCTTCTCCGAGAGAAGGGGGAGCATCCTGACCGAGGAGTTGGCGCTCAATACTGGGAATGCTGCCATGAGCAGCCCCAGGATAGAAAAGCTGCCACAGCAACACGCTCGACCGATCAGAGGACCCCCGACCCCGAGCATACCCACGCCGGCGACCGACTTTGACCAGCAGCTGACGGGCTCACCACCACCGCCTCCCACGCCGGCGGCATCTCCTGGCCCAGCGCAATGCCAGCCGGATTGGAGCGATGCCGCAGATGATGAGGACTTCTTTCTCGCCAAGGTTCGCCAGCATTTTAAGAATTGCTCAGGTCCTCAGCGGACGAGGGTGCTGGCTGACTTGCTCAACCTCTGCACCAGCCAACAGCTGAGTTTTGTCCATCAGTTTGTCAGTCCGCTTCTCAAAAAGGACCCTTTCACCAGCCTACCGGACGAATTATGCTTGAGGGTAAGACACGACAGGACGCTCTGTGCCCGCTTTGTAACTGTGCTTGTCGTGAGAGCATGGAATTGGGTATTTGACTAATCAACTTGACACAGATTTTGTCCTTTATTGACGACCCCAAAGTTTTGGCTCGAGCCTCGCAAGTATCGAAACGATGGCGAGACCTTCTCAGTGACGATATGACATGGAAGAATCTCTGCGTCAAACACGACTATGACCGTCGCCTATCCGAAATCAATACCCCTTCAGCCGGCTTACCAATGAAGTCGGTTGCTCATTCTCTGGCAAGTGCCGATCACGACATGGTGACCAGCAGCAGTTTCCCCGGCTCGTGTCCGCTTTCCGGGCGTGGCTCTGGCGCTAGAAGCTACGACGGCACCCACAGGCTGCGACCCAAACTGCGATCGTACAAGTCTCACTTCAAACAACGATATTTGGTGGAGGCCGCTTGGAGGTCCGGCGGCACCAGTGTTCACAGAAACGTCACTCAAGAAGGCGGCGTCGTTACCAGCCTGCATCTGACTCCAAAATATATCATTGTGGCTCTGGATAATGCCAGGATTCATGTATTTGATACCAATGGGGACTCTCAGCGCACCCTACAAGGGCATGTGATGGGCGTCTGGGCCATGGTACCATGGGAAGATACCATGGTCAGTGGTGGTTGTGACCGTGATGTTCGCGTCTGGGACCTGAAGACGGGGTATGTGAAACTCGATGGTCGGAAAGGCTCAAGCACGCTAACCCTGTGACTGTGTAGTGCTTGCCTACTCACATTGCGAGGCCATACCTCTACGGTCAGATGCCTCAAAATGGCCGATGCAAACACGGCAATTTCTGGCTCTCGTGATACGACCCTTCGCATCTGGGACATAAAGACGGGATTGTGCCGAAACGTACTAGTTGGACACCAGTCCAGCGTGCGCTGCTTAGAAATCAAGGGCGACATCGTTGTGTCTGGCAGCTATGACACCTTTGCAAGGGTGTGGAGCATTTCGGAAGGACGATGCCTCCAGACATTGCAAGGCCACTTCAGTCAGATCTACGCCATCGCTTTTGATGGCAGAAGAGTAGTCACTGGCAGTTTGGACACCAACGTCAGAGTTTGGGATCCAACTACTGGGTATGTGTTCACGTGACCAGCGGCGACGATGAGTAGCTGCTAACCTTTTTTCTAGCGAATGTCTTGCCATTCTTCAAGGTCACACATCTCTGGTTGGGCAGCTGCAAATGCGCGGAGATACTCTTGTCACCGGAGGGTCTGATGGGTCCGTTCGGGTCTGGTCACTGGAGAGAATGTGTCCCATCCATCGCCTTGCAGCTCATGACAACAGCGTGACTAGTTTACAGTTCGACGACACCAGAGTTGTCAGTGGTGGAAGTGATGGCCGTGTGAAGATTTGGGACCTCAAAACGGGTCATCTTGTCCGAGAGCTTATTGCTCAGGGAGAAGCAGTCTGGAGGGTTGCATTTGAAGACGAAAAATGCGTCGCCTTGGCCTTGAGACAGGGCCGCACTGTGATGGAGGTGAGCAACACGCTTCACTCTGTAGATTTCAGGCGTGAACAAGACTGACAGTACCATGTAGGTTTGGTCGTTTTCGCCACCCGAGGAACAGCTCTACGACCGCCCGCTTTCCCTTCAGCAGCGCCTTCTCGAGGACTCCAACAGACCTTTGAGCGCCATGGCTCTCGACTACAAGGCTGGAGACCCAGTCGTAGCAGGTCCAAGCCGCGAGAACCAAGATGTTGACATGCAAGACGCCGGCCCTGCTGCAGGCCCATCTACCGCATCATTACAGGACCGAAACAAGACCTTTTTCCATGACGACTAGTGACCTTCTCCAGCACAAGTGGGTGTCTCGACGACACCATGCCAGCAGCTTGCGCTGTATGATTCGTGCATGACATATAATTGGAACCCAGGTTATACGAAAATTTTATTCTATTCGTTTTACCAATTTTGCATGAGTTCTTAGCCTTCGCGTTTGGGCCTAGAGCCGCCGGGCTTTTGACTTGTTTAGATCTGGACAGTCTCCAGGTTATAGAGGATGGCAAGGCTTTGTGGGAAGCATTTTACAATAGGCATTTTCACATCATTCAAATCGTGCGAGACCTTTGATTTTATCATTTGTGGCTTTGGGGGATATCGCAATATACAATACGCATGAGGATATTGGAGAAATATTGGGTTCTAGGGCACAGGGTCAAGCTGAACATGGGGATGGCGGAGTAGTACAAGAGACGAGACTCCAGGCAGCGGGCCGGGATGGCCCATGCAAACGCCAACTTTACGGGTAAATGAAGTCATTATTAGCCATGATACCATGATATGAAGCCAGGCTGTTCCAAGATATGACTAGCAAGCTGTAGTCGGAACGGCGTCTGAACACGTCCGTCAGTCTTGAGAGAGGCTGACTGCCAGGCCTGGTCGGTTCTCCTCCCACGTTGACGTGTTCCCTCACCTTACCCATTTGGTCCCTCGTAGCATTTCTGCTCTGTCAAGCGGGAACCTCCAACTGAACCCCTGCAAGTAATTCGTACATTGCCGGCAACGGCTGTACCAAAATGGCGTGGTGGCCCCGATGTCGCATCACGTGCATAACACTCGAGCACTATCTGGGACTAGCGCGATCCAACAGAGCTCTCAACGCTCAACACCGTGAAATTTCGGAGAGCTCCCTGTCGGCGGGCTGTGCAGACTGCCCTTCTCTTTCCAACTCCATCATCGTCTCACTTTCCCCTTGGAACAGAGGCCATCGCCACATCGCCAGCGCCATGTTCTCCAGAGCCCTCAGAGTCCCAAGGGCGTTGCCTCTGCACGTCAGGATCCAGGCACCCTTCGCCCTGACCTCGCGATCTGTCACCACTGACGCTGCCTCTGCGTCCCTTCACAACTCCGTCCCTCAGGTAAGTGCCTATGTACTGCCTGCCACGGGTGTATTTGCCAGGACTACTTGGAGCCGAACATGCCTCGAAGCAATCTACGCTACGAATTGCCCTCCATTTTGGTGATTGGTACGCTGACGAGTTTGCCGATCCAGTCCGAGGACGAGCCATTTCAGGTTACCCTCAGCGATGAGAGCTTCGAGACCTACGAGCTGGACCCTCCTTCCTACACCGTTGATGTGACTAAGAAGGAGCTGAAGCAGATGTACTACGACATGGTCACCATCAGGTACGGTTAGATAGGCCCAGTCAAGAATGGGAGCTTACGTTAAGACTCCGCATTGTGCTGATGATCCTGCAGACAGATGGAAATGGCCGCCGACCGTCTGTACAAGGAGAAGAAGATCCGTGGCTTCTGCCACTTGTCTACTGGACAGGAGGCTGTTGCCGTCGGTATCGAACACGCCATCACCAAGCTCGACGACGTCATCACCGCCTATCGATGCCACGGTTTCGCCCTGATGCGTGGTGGTACTGTCCGATCCATCATTGGTGAGCTGCTTGGACGACGTGAGGGAATCGCCTACGGAAAGGGCGGCTCTATGCATATGTTTTCCAAGGGGTTTTACGGTGGGAATGGTATCGTCGGTGCCCAGGTTCCTGTCGGTGCTGGTCTGGCCTTTGCCCACAAGTACAGGGATAGCAAGACCGCCAGTATTATTCTATACGGCGACGGTGCCAGTAACCAGGGCCAAGTGTTTGAGGCTTTCAACATGGCCAAGCTCTGGAACTTGCCTGCCCTCTTTGGTTGCGAGAGTGAGTGGTTTTTTCTTTCCTTCTCTTGTCCCCACCGCGGCCCCCCCCCCCCTTCTCCACAAACCCGAATGGTCTCGGACTTGACGTGATTTCTCCAACATGCCCGTCTTGACTGACTTCAACATTAGACAACAAGTATGGTATGGGTACCTCGGCTGCTCGATCATCCGCCTTGACCGACTACTACAAGCGTGGACAGTACATCCCCGGTCTCAAGGTTAACGGCATGGACGTCTTGGCTGTCAAGGCTGCTGTCAAGTACGGCAAGGAGTGGACTGCCGCCGATAAGGGCCCCATGGTCCTCGAGTACGTCACCTACCGATATGGAGGTCACTCCATGTCCGACCCCGGCACTACTTACCGTACCCGCGAGGAGATTCAGCGCATGCGATCCACCAACGACCCCATTGCCGGACTGAAGCAGAAGATTTTAGATTGGAAGGTCACCACCGAGGATGAGCTAAAGAAGATCGACAAGGAGGCTCGAAGCCATGTCAACGAAGAGGTCGCCATTGCCGAGGCCATGGCCGTTCCGGAGCCCAAACCTTCAATCTTGTTCGAAGATATCTACGTGAGGGGAACCGAGCCCCAGTACGTCCGTGGCCGTACCCCTGACGAAAACTACTACTTTTAAACGCGCCCTGCATAAGTTTTATTTTGTGTCTTGACACGGGACCTATGAGAAATTGACACCTAAGCACGGAGTAGTGGCGGTGATAAACAGCCCATCTATGACTGCTCTTGGGACTTTTCGCCTTTTGTACTATAATCCTTGAGATAGAGGGGTGGAGAGCTCGAAAACAAGCCTTGTATTCTTTGCAACTCCAATTGAATAGACAGCAGAGTGAATTGGATATACATTAAGACGAGGCATGAGGAAGTCTGTTTTCTAGTTGAACAAATCTGAGTGATTACAAGCAAAGGCTCAAGGGTGACCTAATGACAACTAAAGTACCCAGTACCTACTCGCCAAGTTACTTTGGAGCCCGGGGGTTAACTCTGTAGCTGTCCTCGGCTTGACCAAGTAAGTTAGGTAGGTATGTCATGGGTCTCAAAACAGCTCACTAGTTGTCTACCAGCACATGACAGTTTTTATTATTTCATGACAGTTTTCACCGGTCTCGCCATAGCTCTGCTGTGCTCAGAAGCAAGGGCGCGCGTACGCAGGTCCCTACAGTTTTCAAGGCAAGGCAACGTACCAGGTACCTCGGCGCCTGGAGAGTTGTCAAGCGGGCCTCAGCTCAGGCAGGCGTTGACAAGCGCGCCGTGACACGTGACTCCGCCTCGCGACGTGCCTTGAGCTTCTGGGTCGCGAAGCCAATTAACGCGCCGGAGCGCGTCATGGCAACTTCATCATTGGCTTCATCCACGACGCCGCCTGCCGAACTTTCCTGGTTTCTCATTTAGTTTGACATTCAGTTTGACCATCCATCCTCGACACCTCGTCTCATGGTAGCCGCTCGAAAGAGCCTGGGAAGCATCTTGCGCCGGTCTCTGGTACCATTCGCACCTCAGAGACGGCGTATCATGGCGCCGCCGAAGCAGGCGACCTTGGGGTACGTGAAGGGTGCTCAGAGCACTCTGGGGTGCGTGAATTGGTGTTGAAAGCTTGGAGGCGCCAAAGGCCTTGTTCTGGGAAGTCCCTGCATACAAATACCGAAACACTAACGGGATCGTGTTTCGCCGATTGTAGGAAGTTCTTTGGTGCCAAGGACCCGCCGCCGCAACAGCAGACGAAGCTTGCATTTGGAACGAAAGCCCGTGCCGTGGAGGGGGCTGCCAAGGACGCGGGTGCAAAGGAGAATAGAGATTTTGGTCACGGTGAGTCTCTTTGTGAACTGCGAGTCCAAATGCGGCGCTATGGACGAGAGCATCGTTGACTCGGTTTGTTTAGATTCCAAGAAGCGAGCCCATGTGCCGGGTCGGAATGGTGCTGTGGAAGCCGAGGACGACGAGGACGATGGACCTGTGGTCAAGCGAGCGAGGAGAAGTAGAGTCAAGATTGAAGATGAGGATGACGAACCTGCCCAGTCGAGGACCAAGAAAGAGGAACACCGTTCGGAGCATGACACGATCAAGCAGTCTGTCGAGGAGACTTCCAAGGAGGAAGAGGGACATGTCAAAGATGTAAACATGAACAAAAAGGAAAAGAAGAAGAGCCAGAGCCCTGATTCAGATGGCAAGCCTATCAAGGCGTCAGATGATGAATTCAAGGATGAGGCGGCTTCGGAATCCGGCTCGGAGGCCCAAGAGGATGCAGACGTTGAGGAGAAGCCAGGAGTTGCTGCAAAGGCGAGGGAAAAGGCGCAGACACAACTCCAGTCCAAGGCTGCTCAGCACCCTTATCCTGACTGGGAACCGGGTAGCCCTGTCCCGTATGCAGCGTTGTGCCAGACGTTCTCGCTGATTGAGATGACGACGAAGCGGCTGGTCATTATGGGGCATTGCTCCCTGTTTCTCCGGCAAGTTATGCGGCTCACCCCGGACGACTTGCTCCCTACCGTCCTCCTCATGATCAATAAGCTTGCGCCTGACTATGCGGGTATCGAGCTTGGCATTGGCGAGTCTCTCATCATGAAGGCTATTGGCGAGACGACGGGGCGAAGCTTGCAGGTCATCAAGGCGGATCAAAAGGAGATTGGTGACTTGGGTCTCGTGGCAGTCAAGAGCAGATCTACCCAGCCGACCATGTTCAAGCCCAAGCCGCTCACGGTGAGAGGCGTGCACCAGGGTCTGATGAACATTGCGACTGTGACCGGCAACGGTGCTCAGGGCCGAAAGGTCGACGGCATCAAGAAGCTTCTGTCTGCTGCTGATGCCCGCTCCACTGTCAAGGCAGACATCACCAAGGACAAGGGCGGCCCGAGTGAAGCCAAGTATATCATCAGATTCTTGGAGGGCAAGCTGAGGTTGGGTCTGGCTGAAAGAACTGTGCTGGTCTCCCTTGCCCAGGCCATCGTTTGCCACGAGGCTGAAGTGAAGGGCAAGATCCCCAGCACCACCGACATGGAGAATGGAGAATCCATCCTCAAGACGGTCTACAGGTATGTAAAGGCGACGACGGACGACCTTTGCCGGGTGCTAAACCGCGAATAGCGAGCTGCCCAGCTACGACGCCATCATCCCAGCAGTTCTGTCGCACGGAATCATGAAGCTGAGAGAGTGCTGCAAGCTGCGTCCCGGCGTGCCCCTGAAACCCATGTTGGCCAAGCCCACAAAGGCCATCACCGAAGTCCTGGATCGATTCGAGGGCCAAAAGTTCACTTGCGAATACAAGTACGACGGTGAGCGAGCCCAGATTCACTACGTCGCCAAGGACTCGGAGCAGCAGTTGAGCCAGGCAACCGCGGGAGCCGCCAAAGCAGCAGCCGGCGGCGTCGCCAGCATCTTCTCCAGGAACTCGGAAGACTTGTCCAAGAAGTATCCCGACATTCTCGCCAAACTTGGCACCTGGGTCAAGAACGACACCAAAAGCTTTGTGTTGGATTGCGAGACGGTGGCCTGGGACGTCGCGGAGAAGAAGGTGCTCCCGTTCCAGCAGCTCATGACGCGAAAGAAGAAGGACGTCAAGCTGGAGGACGTCAAGGTCAAAGTATGCGTCTTCGCCTTTGACTTGTTGTATCTGAACGGCCTCCCCGTCGTCGAGAGGCCGCTGCGCGAGCGGCGAGAGCTGCTGCAGCAGTCCTTTGCGCCGGTCGAGGGCGAGTTCGCCTTCGCCACCTACATGGACGGCCAGGAACTCGACGAGATCCAGCTCTTCCTGGACGAGAGCGTCCGGGCATCCTGCGAAGGCCTGATGGTCAAGATGCTGGATGGGACCGAGAGCGGGTACGAGCCCAGCAAGCGCAGTCGAAACTGGCTCAAGGCACGAGCCCCCCTGCCGCCCCGAAGACGACGGACGCCCCCCCTGCTGACAGCCCGCCCAGATAAAGAAAGACTACCTCGCTGGCGTGGGCGACTCGCTGGACCTCGTCGTCCTGGGCGCGTACCACGGCCGGGGGAAGCGGACGTCGGTCTACGGCGCGTTCCTCCTCGCCTGCTACAGCCCCGCCGACGACACGTACGAGACGGTGTGCAACATCGGCACCGGCTTCTCGGAGCAGGTCCTCGAGGACCTGCACGCGCAGCTGTCCGAAATCGTCATTGACCGCCCCAAGCCGTTCTACTCGCACTCGGCGGGCGGCCAGCACCAGCCCGACGTGTGGTTCGAGCCCCGCTACGTGTGGGAGGTCAAGACGGCCGACCTGACCCTCAGCCCGCGCTACAAGGCTGGCTGCAAGGAGGGCGTCGACCCGGCGGGCGACAAGGGCATCAGCCTGCGGTTCCCGCGCTTCATCAAGATCCGCGACGACAAGAAGCCCGACGAGGCGACGAGCAGCAGGCAGGTTGCCGAGATGTACAGGAAGCAGGAGAGCGTGGCCAAGAACAAGGGTCCCTCTGTGGACGATGACTTTGAGTACTGAGGGGATTCAGGGGTTCGCGTGGGCTGGGCGGCCACTGACGGACGTCTTGACGTGGCAGCTGGCGTTTTCCAAGTCCGCCACCGCAACTTGACATGTATTTCGTACAAGGCGTCGTGGCTCACACGGCTACGTTATGAGATGACTAGAGGCGAGGGCTCGGTGTAATGTCAAGCAGGTGGTGTAAATGTGTACGTCTAGTCGTTGCATGATACACGGCCGATCAAGAGGCTACAATATACTCGCCGCATCATCTGCGTCCTCGACCCTCAGCAACCCGTGGTCCTCGCCGCTCTCCTGCGCACGTTGGATGCCGCCCGGACCGCCGGCCCGTGTGTTCCCTGCCGGCGCGGTCCCCGTCCTCCTCGTCTCGTCTGCCCCGTTGAGGACGTACCAGACGTCCTTTTTGGTGAGAATACCCTGCAGGACCCCCCGATCAGCAAAGAGCACGTACCGAAGACCGAGCTTCTGAAAGTACGTCACCGCAAGATGCAGGTTCGTGCGGGACGGAAGCGTCAGGGGGGTCTGGTCCATCCACGGACGAAGATCAAGTGTCGTGCGGGGGTCGGCGAGCGGCTGGTGCGAAAAGAAGACTTCCGTCTCCGCGGGCAAGGAACGCGGCGCCTGCGTCGCAGTGCGGATGTTGTAGCTCAGCTCTGCGCGAGAAATGTATCCCAGCAGGATGGCCTCGCGGGGGTCCGAGATGACGGGGAACCCGCGGTGGGCGTGCGCCCGGAGGATGGTGTTGAGGGAGGCGATTGTGTGGCCGGTGGCGGTGAGGACGTTCAGATCCTCGATCCGGGTCATGATCTGGGATGCGGGGATGTCGGGGATGGTCATTTCTTCGGAGTTGTCCAGGAGCGGATACTCGTTGAAATGGATCCACGACTCGTAGATGCCGCGGCGAGAGAAGGCGTCGCCCACCCATTTGGACGTCATGACGGCTACCATGATGGGCAGGACGTAGGTCAGGGCGCCGGTGAGCTCAAACATGATGACGACAATGGAGACGGTCATTCGAGTCACGCCGGCCAGGGCGGCAGATGCGCCGATGATGGCGTAGGTTCCCGGGGTGATGCAGGGGAGGTCTGGTGCGCAGGAGGCGAAGACGAAGAACTCGGGGTGGTTGTGAGCCCACATCTCCATGACGATGCCCACGGCGCGGCCGGTCAGTGCGCCAATTGCCATGGATGGAAGGATGATGCCGGCGGGGATTTGGAGGCCAAAGGTGATGCTCGCGAGAAAGAAGCCCAATACCGCAGCAAAAATGAGCAGCACGACGGTCCCTGCCGACGCTGTGCCCGTCCTACAAAGGCCGATGGGGTCGTCAAGGACACGGGAGCACTCGGAGAACAAGCTCGAGACGAGTTCTGTAGACTGGACTTTCATGTAAAAATTGGGATAGTTGATGAGAGCTGTGAGGAGGGCCACAGCAAGGACTTGAAAAACCGGCCCAGGAAGCCAGCTCTGCGTCTTCCTCCAACGCGCAACGGCCATGTTGGTGCGAATGAATAGACCCCCGTAGACGCCCTGTTGATGGTCAGCTCAAGATTTCGATGCTGAATGGGGAGGAAGAGGGAGGGAGGGAGGGAGATGTACTCCAAAGACGCCCAGAATGGCGTAAGGGACGATTTCAAAGCCGTGCCAATCCACGCTGTACTTGGTCTGATACAGGACGAGCTTGCCCGACCGGAACGGATCAAAGGCCTGCAAACAGACAGCCGCGGTCATGGCACATACAAAGCTCTGCCACATGGTCTTGTCCGGAAAGTAGTACGAGAGTTGCTGCCAACCACGTCAACACCGGGCGTATTGAGACCTGGACATGGCGAGGAGAGGGGAGCGAGATTCACCTCGAGACTAAACAAGACCCCCCCGATAGGTGAGCCAAAGGCCACGGAGATGCCAGACGCGGCAGCTGCCGAGAGAAGCTCTCGTTTGCGAGCTGATTCTTGTCAGACCGGAACGCGAGTGCGGTTCGACGTGAGCGAGTCTTGCCTTCATTTTCTCTGATGTTGGCGAACAGCTTGATGAACAAGTTGGCGCAACAGCAAGCGACGTGTACCAGAGGTCCCTCCTTTCCGAGCCACATGCCAGACGATACAGCAAGAACCTGCGAGTAGAAAATCCATCAGTGCGCAGCTCGCACGGGTACAAACGAAGAACGCGTACCAGACCAATGGATTTCGTGATCAACGTCCAAGTTCCCAGGAATCTTCTCATGACAAAGCCACCCAGGACTGTCTTGAGCTCGGGGATACCGCTATGCTTGGCATACATGGCGTATTCCTGCACGAGAAGCGCAGCACAATATGCTAGTGTTGTCTGGTAGTTTGGTAAGCCGATGCAAGGAAAGAGACAAGACGACAACAACAACAACTACATGACGAAAGATGTGTCAAGGTGCTTACAGAAAAGAGGAGATAGAAAATGTACTCCACAACCCATCTTCCCCCGGCAGCACGCACACCGAGAGCCTCGCTCCAATTCTTCCATCCAGCACACTTGGAGCCTTGATCATAGCCGTAACAGCAAAAGTTCTTGTTGAGATAGAAACGGCCGCGCTCGGGGCCGCTGGAACAGAAGCCCAGCTTCAGGTCTCCAAGCCAGTCGCTCGATACGTTGATTCCCGCGGCAACTGCGCCGACGAGCAGACCGGTCAGGACCAGTACGAGCCAGACTTGACTGGCGTCAACGAGGTGCTGGAGGCAGCCCGTGATTCCGCTGGCGTTGGACGACAGCACACGCATTCGCTGCCGTTCTTTGGTGTACTCGAAGATCCAGTCAATGGCCGTCATGTCCTCGTAGGCGACTCGTCGGCCGGGGCCTTCGGCGTACCAGTCGTGGGACCCTCCATCTTTGGAGCCGGCTCTCGGCGGTGAAGCTGTGGTGACGGAAATGTTTCCACCGCGCTGGTGCCGCTGAGGAGACGAGGCGTCTGGTCGAGGGGCCGAGGGCGAGCCTGCGAGGGACGAGAAGAAGCGTGATGGGCCAGCCGGCGCAGGCTGCTTGGACCTGCGCTTGAAGGACAATGGGGCGCTCAAGTCTTGGCCAAGAGGGCCAGGGTCGAGGGCGTGGCCCTGGGCGGCAGTATCGTGGTCACTCCCGTGGTTGTTCTCGTGGTCGTGGTCGAGGAGGTCGCGGTCGTCGGTGGACGGCGGCGTGCGCGCGTTCGGGGGCGAACGGGACGAGGATGAGGCAGAGGCGGAGGCAGAGGCGGATGCAAACTGATGGTGCTGGGCGGCTCCAGACATGATGCGCCCCATCCCATCTTGCAACGGCCGTGGGTTGAAGCTGGGACCGATGAATGTTGAGCAAGTTGAGAGTCGCACTGCGGGCCCTGGAACAGCTGCTGACATCTGGACGCTAGCGGCGGCTCTACAGCGGTCATTCACTGCCCCTCGGCGGAAGCCGTCAAGCCGCTCAAGTTCGCTGCGCTGATTGGCCGATGTGTCACGTCGTCAGTTTTCACCCATCAGCCGTCGCCACGCCCGCCATGGCCATGGTTCCATCAAACCTCGAGCACAAACGCAGTAACTTATTATCAATTTGCTCGACAGTTCAAAGGCGACTCGTCGCCCCGGCGAGACTATGAATACAAACGACGCCACCTAGCTGTCCTCTCCTCCACTTGTCGAAAATTCACCTGCAGCACATCGTGTCTGGCTCTCGAACGGAAACCTCCTGCGTCGCGCAACCTCATCAAACCAAACCAACATGGACCAACCAGCCGCCCAGCCCAGCCAATCCTCACAGGACGTCTCCCCAGACTCCCCAAACGCCACAGTCTCCCAAATACAGACGTTTCTCAAGTCCAAGGATGACACCCAGCGCTTCGTCGGCCTGGCTCTGCTCAAGTCCGTCCTCGACAACACCCCCGACCTGCGGCAAGATGAACAGGTCGTCGAGACCCTGTGGGACAGCATATCCCCCAGGTTCCTGGGCCGGCTCATAAAGACAGGCTCCAAGGTCTCTGGAGAAAACACCAAGGAGATGCTGGACCTTGCCGTGTCCGTCATGCACACCTTTGCCGCCCTGCTGCCCGCGTCGGCGAGGGGCGACGACAAATTCACGCAGAGAGTACCTGGACTGGTGGGAGCTGTATTATACAGGTATCTCGTGAGATGGACACATCCGGAAGCCCGCAAAGCCTTGCTGACAGTCTGCAGTTCCGCCGAGACTACCGCAATGCTGCTGCAACTGCTTCACACTCTGGTCAGCACGCCAGAGGGCGCAAAGGCATTCATCCAAGTCGGTGACGTCAGCGCCCTGAGCGAGATCGCCCCTACGCACGCCATTGTCATGGACATCTTTTGCTTTGCGTGGCTGAATGGCATGGCCGGCGTTGTGGAGAAGCACGTCCTGATCAGTCAGGTTGTCGATACCGTCCAATCTCTGGTCTCTTCCTTCTCGGGAACCGACGCCGTCACCCTGCTCGAGTTCCTGGGCACATTTCTCAGACAGGCAGACCCAACTGCACGCCACCACTCTCTCTCTCCCGCTCTCTCTCCCGAACCTGCTCTCCAGAAGACAAATCTAACGACCGTGGCAGGTCCTTCCCGTTGAGCCCGCGTGGCTAAAAACAGTCGTCGGCTTCATCCAAACCCTCGTCACCAGTCGTCCCAACGCAGCCGCCAGATCAGCCTACACCAACGCCGCTGCCTCCCTTCTCCAGGCCTACCCACAATCAGCACCACAGCTGCTGTTCACCGAAGACCCGACGGGCGACAAGCCCTTCGGGTACCTTCTGGTCAATCTCATGCTCATTGACATCCGGTCATGTGCGCCGACGCTTCTCGGACAACTAAACAGTCCCGAGTATGCCAGACTCTCCCGTCGACTGGCGTCCGCCTTTGACGTGATTTCCATCTTCATCGGCCATCTTGTCCGCTGTCTCCAAGACGAGTCCCTAGACACGCTTATCATGTCCCCGGACAATCTGTTGAGGTTGCGCAAGGGCATTTCGGAAACCATGTCCCTGGCGATGGAGTACCTCCGCGACAGGTGGGACGCCACATTTGCCGGTGCAATGGGCCTGCACCCCGATGCGAGAGCCTCCACTGCCGAAACGGTGTCTGGCTCGCATCGTACATTGGCTTGGGACTCCATGGTGAACACAGCCGACGAGGATCCGTTGATCCTGTCGGCCGTGAGGGCGCTGGCGCTCTGGCTCAGGGAAGACGAGAACGAGATGCTTCGAAAGGAAGCAACCGGTCTGATTGACATGCTGATGGAGCTTTACCAAAGCAGCTCTTCAGAGAAACTAGACTTCCGAGAGGCCATACTGGTCGGAATGGAAGCCTTGGTCACCCTCCCGCAGGGGCGACAGGTGTTCCTCCACAACGACGGGTGGAAGATCCTGAGCAAAGATCTCGCGAGTCTTATTCACGGCTCTGACGGGGTCGTAAATGTAAACGCTTCGAGGGGCGTTGAAATTGTGCGGGTTTTACTATCCGTGGCCGAAGACGAGTCCTCGGGTACATCAGAGGAATGGATGGATCTCGTCACCGTCGCGGCAGCATGGGACGTCCCCTGGCAGGACATACCGCCACAGGCACGGGAGTTGCAGGTCGCCGTTTTGCAACTATGCTGTACTTTGTTGGTTGGCGCTGGCGACGGCATGCGCAACCGATACAAGCAGTCGATTGCTGCGATTCAGAACATGGCCGCTCAGCTGAAGCGCGAGGCCAGCAAGGACGGCGGGTTGGCAGAGGCCATGGAAGACGTTGTAGATACGTTGAACGGGGTGACGGTGGCGCTGCCGCTGCGGACCTACTAGAAGGCTCAAGTCATATATTTTCGGGGGCAAAAAGAGGCCACCCGCGTCCGTGTCGTGAGCTAGTTTGTACGTGTAGGCTGTGTCAGGCAGCCCTGACATGTCCATCTCGGCCCAGCGTAGTCGACGCCTCCCGGTCCCTGGCCTTGCCGCGTGCAGCCTCCGCTTTGGCCCTCCTCTTCCGCGCTCTCCTCACTTCAACCTCAACATGGCGCATTTCCGCATTGACAGACGCCAGGCGTGGGACGACGTCCTCGACGGCCCTGATGGCATGGCGCTGAGCAGCCCGCAGCGGCATGGGCGTGAGAATGCCAAACCACCGGAGGGGATCGTCAATCTTGGTGCCGCCGGCCTGTCCTCGCTCATCTTTTGCTTCCTCTGCTCCCTCTGCATCCGGCGACTCGACCGGCTCGTCATTGTCAGCCGCGCCGTAGGCATTCTCAGCAGCCTGCTTCTCTTGCACGCCGCGTCCCGTTTCTGCAATGGGGGGAGGCTCTTTACAAGTCGTCGTCGTCACAGTGAACCCGGGGAGCCCATTTTCAGTAACGGCAATGCCAACCCGCCGACTCGCTCTCATTCTCTCGTCGTACTGGTCCTGGCCATATCTCAGGCCGCGTTCGCCGGAGAAGTTGGCCCGGGCGATGTCGTGGTACACGTCCGCCTGCAGCTGGGAGAGCTCTTTGCGCAGCTTCGAGTACTCGTCCAGCAAGGCGAGATAGCGCTCCAGGAGCTGGTCGATGTCATCTTGGCTCGAGGACATGGCGGGCTGGATGGGTTCATGACCCGGACGTCGGGTCAAAGGTCGAGGTTGGAGTCCTCCGAGCTCAAGTGGGCCGGCTGCCTGTTTCTTTCTCACCGAGCGCACGGAGTAGTCAGCAGGGCGGGCGTCCGATTTCTGGCACTTTATCCGCCTTACTACTTGTTACACACACACGTCACCGTGGAATCCAACATTTTCATTCATCATCATGTCCGAGGACTGGCTCCTACCGGCCCATGATGGCCAGAGTGACTTGATGCGCAGCACGCCGGCGGCGCTTCTTCCACAAGGGCGGCCCTCCAATCAAGGTCGCGCACAAGACTGACGTGACGGCCGAGATGATTGCCAAACTCCATCCCATGGTCGCGAATCCTGCACTCTGGCTGACGAATCCGCCCAGCAGAGGCCCGGTCATGACCTCTGCTGCGTAAGCAATGTTGTACAATACATGGTCCAGAGCAATGGGTTTTGCTCCCCGGTCCGCGTACCGCTCTTCCGTGGCAAATGTAATTTCGGCCGTGACGGGGCCGAATGTGAAGGCAAAGCCGATTCCGCCAGCCAGGAGACCACACAACATGACTACACGCGCCGTTGTATCCCCTGTCACGAACCGAAGGCACACCAGGAACGGGGTGTACAGGATGAGTCCGAATGCAGACAGCCAACGAGGACCGAACCGGTCGCACAAGCATCCCGCGACAGGGCCAAGACAGGTAGGGGCGACGAGCGGAAGAAATATAAGCCCTGCTCCAACGGAACCCCAACGGAATGACTTTCGGACAAAGGCCAGCACAGCAGCCTCTGCCACCGTACCGGCGACACGCACAGCTGACACTACCAAAAGAATAAAAGCCACGGATGAGCGGGTTTCCAGGAAAAAGGGCTCCTTGTCACCATCTCCCATACGCTCGAGATGGTCATTGTAAAGTCCTATCCTGTCGAATTCTTCAATGTAACCAGAGTGAGTATATTGAAGAATTCAAAGAAGGAACAAAACTGGTCCATTCCAGGGACAGTCATTCTATGATCCCTTCTCCTCCTTGACGTCACTGGTTATCATTGATGTCAGAGTCCAATCGCAAAAGTCTGCGTCTGTAAACGTACTCGAGAGAAGAAGAAGGAATGGCGCGGATGGCCGTCAAAGGACAACAGCAGAGAAAACAAGAGACGGTCTCGGACATGTTAATATCGTCGTACCACGGCGATGGATTACGGCACTGGACGGTTGTGAGCACAAGTCGGCGGATCCCGAAACCACCTTGGGTATAGAACAACTGCATAGTGGATCAGCACGCACCGTGGACTATGAAGGACGCAGCAGAGGAACCTGAAAGACGGGTTCGGGGCCGCCGAATTTCGCCTGCGTGTGTGTGTACGCGGCTCACGGCCGTCCGCGCGGCTTTGTTTCGGGTTGGTGCCGTGTTTCCGGACCGTGACGCTCGAGACGCAAAAGTATATACATCCTCGTTCGGCCATTGCGCAACCTCTCGGAGAGAGACCATGCAACGCAACGGTTCGTCGGGGGTACTGAGGATTGTAGGCGCCAAAAGCGAATGTGACGGAGATTTTGTCTTTGAGAATGAAAATCGTGTCAAATGGTCCCAGAATTGCTCTCCAGGAAGGAACGAGCAGAGGCCCAATGGGACCGACTTGAAAAAAAATAACTCAACTCTGAGCTGGGGAATGATGATTGCATGCAACACCCTGCTTGGGCCTCGTTTGCGGCCCCTACTGTCCTGTTTCCATAATTGGATCTCATCGAGTCTTTGGAATCTTCTCAGGAAGAGACCCTCGGAACGACGGCACTCATTCGGCTTTCTGCCGTGCGAGTCTTCATGGTGCGGCACCCATCCATGGTCCAGAAGTCCACACACGCACGCCACCCCCGGCACATGCACAGCCAAGTCTAAGTCGAATGTCCTGAATGCCGGATGGCTTGCTTGCGGTACTGCATGCTCCGGGCCCCGGGGTAACAAGTCGGCACGGCACTTTGTGTGCCACACCGGAGACATTCGACCGAGACGCACACGCACAACGCTAACAGGTAAAGTACGAGCCGCATGCCAACTCCGTGGCAGATGGCGGCATCCGCGGATGGTCAGACCCCGTCGCATTCTGTGGCGAGAAGGCAAACCCCGAGGTACTTGGACAATGGTCGAGCGTAGGCTGGATGGATATACCATGTGCGGCCACTGTCACCCCGGAATATCATTGCCTCTGGTCGAAACATATTGCCTTGCGTCATCGGGTATTCGGCACGACGGGGCCTAGCTTTGGTTTGAGCCTCCTTTTTTCGGAGGTAAAACAAAATTAAGCCGCTTACTTGCCTGGGTATATCTGGGTGTTGTTTGCGAGCCAGGCATTGTGGAACGCCTACTCTTCGTCTTGCTACTTGACGCGGGCGAGTAGTTGCTGATAAAGAGCAGTATTCAGGGATATCGCTGTTCACGTTTCCCTGCATCATGGGAAATCCCAGCAGTGATTTTCCTGCCGTGCGATCCGCCACACGGCTCCTCCCCGAGCCAGTCACCACTGGCCGCGTAGTAACAATTCGTGGTGGCATTGAGAAAGTGTTCGAAAGAGCATCGAACGACAGATACGTGGCCAGACCATGACTTCATTGCAGCCTCGGATTTGTACGACATGACTCGACGCGGATTGTGTACAAAAGTACTCCGTATATTGTGTCCATGAAGCTCAAGTCTCGCAACGTACTCCTTTGACGCAGAAAACAGTACGCTTCTCGTGGACCATGATGCTATCAACTCAACTCGGTGTGTTTCTGATGCAAAACGACCCCCATTCCAATGACGCAATAAACCCGAGTTGGCCTCTTGCATTTCCGAGGGTTCTATGTCCTTGCTACTTTGCCGTCGGCAACTTTATATTGCTTCATGGGCAAACAATTATATCGACTTGTCTTGCCATGTGTAGACCCAAGCGAGGCGCTGATGCAACAACTCCTTTGGTGACAAAGGTATACTCCAGAGCACGATGGTTTAATGAAGGACCATTGGCAAGGTACAGGATTGGATGCGGCTTGCATCCATGCCTCCTTGCCCAGCTGCAAACGTTCGGCGGCGAGTCCTCGAACGAGTCGATTGAGTCCCTAACTTCGGCCGCCTCTTGTTGACATTTTGCGCCAACGGATGCCTGCCTCGTGCACTACATCTTTTTGTAGTGCGGTCTCGGGCGGTGGATATCAAGCACCCTTGACCGTAGGTTGAGGCCTGCCGATATTACTCGTGGCGCTGAGTATGAGATGACAATGAGGCCATCGTGCATACAATTGATTGACCTCTGCTAACCTCGCCTTGCTCCATATAATAGAAATAACTTCGAACTGTTAAATGACAAGGACTGCTTCATGGAAATGTCAGCGCATCCCATGGGAACCATTCACGTACGGAAACGATTAGACGGGTATACATACTGTTTCTGGCGAGATGATTATGCAACTGGGTATGGAGTATGTAGGTATATACTTACTGAATACGAAGTATGTCGCCAAGCTTACGTACCTAGGGATGTCAATATATCACATCGTGCCATAATATGCAACCTGCGTGGTGGTACCAGCTCAGGGTAGGTTAAGGTGTGGCTTTGCCCCTAGCCGCATTTCCAGCATGATACGATATTGACCGGGGCCGGGGCCAGCTTGCAAACATGTAACCAGGGAAGACAGCAAGCGTTTCGTCACAAGAACCCAACTGATGGAATGAAGCGTCCAGGTCGCCACGACTGTTGGATTCCCCCGAGCCCTCAAGCCTTTTCTTGGACACTGTGGCAAACCTAATAAACACCGAGTGTTCTCGCGGCCCGCCGAAGCAGAAGTAGTAATGGAAACGAGGGCCCCGGACTCCGTGTCAAATACTCTGTAAGTGGCAATGTGACAATGCCCCTGGGCTGAGGCTACTCATTTCGAGTGCTGAGCTCCCCTTGCGCAAGAAATGTTGACCGGCTGCGTGTTGGAACAATGTAAACTGTTGCTTGAGCAAAGCCGGGCAGTGTGCTATCCGATTGGCGCTGTCGGGCTGGTGATAAAGTCGAATGCTTTTGCGGTAGCTATCCTCGTGGGCCGTTGGAGGCCGGTTAATCAAGGCGACCAAGGATTGCCATGCCGAGGTCAAGACGACTGCCATTGCTTCCTGGCCGGAACATACTCAACTCAACTTTGGTACAAGACAAAACGGGCCACCTTGCGAGGCATGTCGAAGTAACTTTCAAACAGTTCATGGGAATCGTGATCGGGAAGGGTTACCCCTTGAGATTCGACGGCCGCCCGCCCACGTCTTGACGTGTCGACTGGCTCCTTCCGCCATCGTGCATACTTTGAGTAGGTACTTAAGTACCTAGCTAGGTACGTACCTACCTAGGTACTAGTTAAGTTAGGCATGGCCTGACCGCATCGTGCTTGCCAACTTGCCCAATGAATGTGTACCTACGTACCGAGTATTGCAATATTGCACATGGTAAAAAGTATCCCACGCCTCATAGTCTTCGTCTCCTCGTGCCTTCACGCCACCTGTGTTAAAAAAAGGTCTATCAATGTTGTATCCGACGCCCTGCAGCCAAGCCACCAACCCGCCAAGGAGTTTCACGGACTCGGTCGCGAGCGGCTTCTACATACGTCACGGGCCACGGCACTGCATGTTGCACCTGCCCGGGGTCTGCCAGATCTTTGCTCGTCCATGGACCATCACACTCCCCGTTTATGCCTGGCGCCGCGCAGCCCAATAACCGGTTCAGAAGAGGACCGGGGCCCTTCTTGCGCAGGTCGTTGGTCGGTCCACAACGCCAAAAACAGCACGCACTCTCGGTGCTGTTGTTACTCGGAGCTCTCGCAGCTGCCCCGCCCATCTGTCACACAAAAGGCCTTGTTAGCTTTGAGTATGGAGTAAAGGAAAGGAGCCTGGAAGACAACTCGACCAACCGGTTCCGAGAGGCTACGAGAAGAAGCGTAAGGAAATCACAGAGTCGTCAAAGCTGCCCCCGCGCGACGTTATCAAGGCTCACGCTGGTGTTCAAAGACTTTTAGTTAATCTGTGTTGCGGTTCTATTGCGCAAGACTGCTAACTACTAGTCTACTACTCCGTACAATGCGGAAACTTGGAGTACGCGCAATAATAAGCTGAGACAAACATTATTATCACCGCAGCCACCTTCACAAGCGTCAGGGCACTACAGGAGAAAGAGAGAGACGACGGCGACGGCTGATACAAAGCCTTGCTGGCAAATTGGGACGACGATGCACCAGGTGTACTGATTGCTCGGTACCACGGACTCTCCATCCCAGGGACAAAAATCAAAATGCTTGGGCGGTGCAGGGGAGCCAAAGCCAACCACGGAAGATTGTATTGCATTGTTATGCGGCGTACGCGGACGGGGTAAGAGGCGAGCGCGGAAGAATTGCCCTGGTTTCACGCAACGAGAACAGAAGAGTACGTAGCGCCAAACGCTGCCTGCACAGGCACATGTTGGGCTGCTGGGGGTCTCTGTCTTTGATGACGCCATGGGCTGTGAGTCTGTGACATCTGGGTAAGCATCCAGACAAGATGCCGACAGAGATGGATTCTA